CTAACCCTAACCCTAACCCTAACCCTAACCCTAACCCTAACCCTAACCCTAACCCTAACCCTAACCCTAACCCTAACCCTAACCCTAACCCTAAGGGTTCGGATTCTTGAACATCTCATCGGTCACCCTGCGCTCTGCCTCGTCTCGCAGACCGTCAATCCATCCATATCCCACCCCGTCACTGAACTGTCCTTTCTGCCGCCACAGGATGTGCTTGGGGGGTCAGAGACACTCGGGGATTAGTAGCTAGCTAGTAAATAGTTACCGGTCAGTAGGCACTCCAGCGGCGGTCCGGGTCACATAGTAGGAGTCGCGTGGCACGGCCTTGGCAGGTCGTGACACTAGTAAGGGAGGGCAATTCTCAGTTAACTTTATTAATATACTAGGGCTGCAGGCAGGCCTGTATAGGTAGAAGAAGCTGTATTCAGGAGATAGCGGTACTGGTAAGGGCATCATTTTTAATGTGGCAGACAACGGCATTGCTATCTTCAAGGTCACGACTACTTGAATGACAGGGAGTAGGTAGTAAATGTAGTGCCTATATCAAAGACACGAGAGGAGGTTTTGATGCCATGTTCATTTAAAGAGTCACATACTCTACGTAATGGTCCACCTCCCTCATCGTTTTGCTTTTCGTTGAGGAAACTTTTCCACTGTGAGTGGCGCGCCGTGTAGCCTGAATGCAAAGGTAGCTTTAGCGTCCAGGTCGACGAACAGGTCAAACACACCCGGATATATGACGCGGTCACCATTCTGGTCGACTCGAACCAGGCTGTCCAAATTCACTGTCAAATCCCGTGTCACCGACTGACCCGGCTGGATATCCTTGATTCGTGTGTACGCTGCCAGTGTCTTCAGTGGTCGTGGAGACGGCCCTGCGTCAGATTTAAGAAACAGCAGAAGCACATAGTCTGATGTGACCGGCCCAGTATTGGTGACTGTTACGGGAATCTGGAGCGCGGGGACCTCCAGCAGTTCCATCCAGTCAGCCGGGCCCTTGATAGACTGTATGGACACCCGGGCGCCATTATGGATTGGTGTATGGCTCATCCATCGTGGCGGTTGATTGATAGTGACGTCAAAGGTGGTGTAGTGAAGGCCGAACCCAAAAGGTACAGCGGTTTCTCCTTCGTACCACATATATGTACGCCCGAGGTGGGAGTTGCCCTTCCCTGGGCGGAGACTCATGTCCGCTGGTGGCACGGCATCAGCATACCACGCCGGGTACTGAGTGACAGGCAGTCGACCAGCTGGCGAGGCCTTGCCAAACAGCAAGTCCATAATGGCCTGCCCTCCTGACTGACCCGGGTATCCCCCCCACAGGAGCCCGTTTACGTGTTTATTGGTGAGCAGCTCCGAGTCGTCGAGTTGGCCGCCTCCGTACCGGACCACGACCAATTGCTTTGCATTCTCGGCGAGCGCTGTAATCAATTCTTTTTGAGGGGCCGGCCACTCCAGGCTCTCTCGGTCTTGGGTCTCCTCCTCAAAGCTGCTGTCGATACCGCCCAAGAAGATCACCGCATCGGCGGATCTAGCAGCTACAAGAGCGGCATCGTACGTGGAGGGATCCGTTTGATTGATGCCGGTTCCCGCGACGTAGGTGTAATTGATCCCAAGGTCTCTGGCCGCCTGCAGAGGGGAGATCAAGAAGGGTGCCGGGCCGTAGTAGATACCCTGTAGCTGTTCGGTTGCAGCTGCCCATGGACCGATCAGCGCATAAGATTTATTGGAAGACAGCGGGAGCGCTCCATTATTTTTGATAAGAACCGTGCCTTCTACCGCAGATTGGTACGCTAGCTGCTGCGAGGCAGCACTATTCACTACCTCCCAGCCAAGGGACTCCAATGAAGGAGGGTTGTCAAACAGCCCGACGGTGACCAACGCGCCATACAACCGCTGTGCGGCCCTGTCTACCTCGGGCTCGGTGATCAGGGACCGGTTCCAGGCCGCCAGGAGACCACTGTTCGGGCTCCCGTTGCATTCCAGATCAGTGCCTGCTTTCAGAGCCAGGGCCGCCGACTCGCCAAGGTCCGAGGCGTAATGGTGATCGGTGACCATATATCCAATGACCCCACAGTCTGTGGTGATATAATGGTCCGGGGCTTCCCACCCCCAGTGATCGCGCAGGATGTCCTGCAATATATAGCTGTCCGCACACGCCGGGACCCCGTTGACAGCGTTGTAGCTGCACATGACAGAACTGACTTGTTTCTGTGCAGTACACGTGCGGAAGGGCGGGAGGAAGTATTCGGACAAATCTTGCGTCGATATTACTGCATCAAAGCCGTAGCGAGACACATTTCCAACGCTCTCCAGGTCGTTGCCGACGTAGTGTTTGCAGGTAGCGAGAATCCTCTTATGGCCAGACGATCGATACTCCATACTGGAGATTAAGCTGGCTACATAGTTTTTCGCCAGCAGAGGGTCTTCCCCCGGGGTTTCAGACCCACGACCCCAGCGAGGATCCCGAAACAGATTTATGTTCGGAGTCTGTATCCACGATCCCCATTAGTGTCTTGGACAGGAATTCCGGTGCTTTTCGGTGTTTCAGGGACACTTACATAAAAGTCGAAGCCGTTAAGGCCGGCATTGGCATATGCTCTTGCTTCTATACTGATGGCCTCACCAATGGTAAATACAAGATCGTCGTTGAAGGAGGCAGCCATGACTATGGGCATGGGAAATGAGGTTGCAGAGCTGAAGTTGCCACTATCTTCGAACTCATTTCCGGGGGCATAGGCGAGCCCATGTAGCGCCTCGGACCACCATTCGTACGGCCAGATACCCAATCTCGGTACCCCAGGGGTCTTGTCGACGAGAGTATCCAGCTTTTCCTCGACACTGAGGACATTCACCAGCCCGGCCGCTCGCTCTCGCACGGAAAGAGATGGGTCGCATACTGGATTTGAGCATAGCGGATCCCGGGTACAATCGGCGAAAATATCATTTGCCTTGCCCACTTGTGGATTGTTGATTCGATATATATCTATGCTATCGTTTTCATTAATCATCAATGGTTGGTCTTTTAGAGATGTGATTATTTGGGCCCGCGAGAACCTACGTTGAATTCCCGCCACACGTTGCTGCAGGGTCCCCAGGACACGGCAAATCGCAGGACGATCGACTCTGCTTTTCCACCCATGGGGGGACTGAATTTCCACAAAAGCATCCTCTAATATGGGTGGCCGAGCATAAGTTAGTAAACATACGCGCACCAAACAACAAGCTTCAACAGTGTGTATACCGACCCTCCAAATCCGAGGCCCTGCTCCAACCCAGCGTATCGGTATCCTTCCCTCCCGCAAAGAAGCGCACAGAACTCAGGCGAGTTTTGGGTATTCGCTCTATAATCACGGCCCGTGAGGATTGGGGAGTTGGGATCGTCGGCATAACAGGCCGTATAGGTGATATCCGGTTTATACTCTGGAGCCTTCGGCAAACATGTACGTTCAGAAGCCACGAGGCCAGAGACGGCCAGTACCCCGAAGAGAACGTCAATACCGATCATTTTGAGACGGGGTGTATCGACGAGGAACTCTTTTCACAACTCACTCTACGATGGCCGGATTGATATTCAGGTTTATAGCATAAAGCCGTGGGGAAAATAGGCTGAAGTGGTCGTGACATCCCTAACCTAATAATGTTGTTCTGTCGTCTGGTCACTGTTACATTGGTCTTGTCGGAGTTGGGCTACTATGAAAGAACTACCTAAACTTGCAATTCGTAGCATGCGTGACGTTCCTAGGGGCTTCAATGCCAGCCGTCAGGTATCCCGACTCCGCTGTTGCCTACTTCCACTTTGATTCCTCTGTTACAATGCACGGCATCGAGGTGTTTTAGCAGTTCTGTTTAGCTCCTTCGCAATCCTCGGGAGGTCTAATCCAAGAACTGCCGAAGGGGACCTCAGCCTCAACCGTGAACGGCAATGGTCGAATCCGTAGGCTAAAGGGGAGCGGGGATCAATGCGAGAAGACTCTCAAAGTACTAACGAACAGAGAGGTATGCTTTGAGAGCGGGGAGCAGTGAATGCTTCGGTGGAGAATGATCAACGTCCCCACAGGAGTTTGACTAGAAGGGGGTTCGATCCCAAGCACAAGGTGATCCCATCAGGGCAGAAGAGCACCTGAGTTTAGCCGGCTATGTGGGGATTAACAAAGATTTTAATTACCATACGGGCAGGAATGTATGCCAAGAAGGCGCCGGAAACAGTTGCTAGACGAGAGAGTTTAGGTTGAAACAGGGCTGCAGAGATAGTTGGAATGCAGCAGCAAAGAACATCTCGGCACTTGCAACGTCAGCTCCAGGTCAGGAAAACCCAGCAGATCGGTGGCCAAACCTGACACGGGCCCTACCTCACCCATCCTCATTCAAGGATAGTCACTGAGACATCAACTGGCGCCCAAATTAATGCCAAGGGTGAAGACCTTCGGGCTTTGATCAGAGTTTAGCCAGTCGGTAGTTGCACAGCACTGAGAGCCGAGACAGCAGTCGTTACTTGGACTTGAATAGTATTCCCCCCCTGCAATTCTTGCGACGATGCGGAAGATCGACAGGCCTGGTTCGATTATTCTGCCGGGTGTACGGGTGAGAACTGCGTATGTTATCGGGCGCTCATGGGAGTATGAGTAAACGGAAGAGTATTCTGCAGAGTGTTTAGATAGGATGCAATGGGATACGGAGGAAGGCCTGCTTTCTGGTTACACCCAGTGATGGAAGTCCTAATTCATGACCTCATCGTTAAGAGCCAGAATACTTAGAAGCTAAACAGTATCTCAAGGTATATAGCGACGTCCGGCCCGATGATCCGCTAACCACCAGAGCGCGTCGAGACTATTCCTGGGAACATTAATTCGTTTCGAATATATCAACCCGTGCGGGGTTTCGAGTTATTGACAAACCTTGATCTCCGTTCCCAGATGGCTTTAGGGTCGACAGCTGCATTGTGATATCCAAGTTCCGGTAGGAGCTGTACTGAGTGTCCTTCTGGGTGTGGTCGCACAATTTGGAGATACGGGTATAAATACAACGCAGTTGTCCATCAGGAATAGTTCAATACCATCATATCATCGAGAGCCCAAGTTTCCCATTCATCATGAGGTTCGTTACTCTTGCCTCTCTGGCTGCGGCAGCCGTCGCCCAGGAGCTCTGCGAACAGTATGGCACACACGTCAGCAGCCCCTATAGTGTCAACAACAATCTGTGGGGGATGGACTCCGGTTCTGGCTCCCAGTGCACATATGTTGATGGTATTTCGGGTTCGGGCGCAGCATGGCACACCACATGGACCTGGTCTGGGGGTGAGGACGAGGTTAAAAGCTACGCCAATTCCAAGCTCGAGGACCTGAACAAGGCGCTTATCAGTGATATTCAGAGCATTCCCACCACAGTGGAATGGAGCTATGACAACACCGACATTCGGGCGAATGTAGCGTACGATCTCTTTACGGCGGCCGATATTAACCATGTCACCTACAGTGGCGATTATGAGCTGATGATCTGGTGTGTGCCTGCACTGACCCTGCCCCGTGAACCTCTGTGGCTAGCTAACTCTGGGGTTACAGGCTCGGTCGTTTCGGCGGCGTCCAGCCCATTGGCTCTCAGATCGGCAGTGCCACTGTTAGCGGAGCTACCTGGGAGCTGTGGAATGGCATGAATGGGGATATGGAGGTGTTTAGCTTTGTTGCGGCCAATCCCCTGACATCCTGGTCCGCTGATATCAAGGAATTCTGGACCTATTTGGGTGATCAGCAGGGGTATCCTGCAGCAAGCCAGTATCTTATTAGTAGGCACATCATTCCCTGTACCAACCTTTAACCCCGACTAACTTTGTGCCTAGATTTCCAATTCGGCACAGAGCCTTTTACAGGAGGTGAAACCACCCTCACGGTTGCCCAGTGGACTGGTAGCGTGTCCTAAGGGAGCATGCTTCCTACATTTGTCATATTGGGCTGACATCATACAACATGGGAATCAGTATCAATGACAGGTTTCGCTTAGGCCCTACACTAGCTTCTCATTAGTAAACTCTATCAAACTCTCGAGTCAAGTAAGGCTTAATAGATTTGACAGTAATTAAAAATATTATACTGCCACCCGCACTGGCCGAAGTAGCCGTGTCACTCACCTGGGACGAAGTCACATCAACGTCCCACGGCTGCGACTTTGAACCATACACCCAATTTGAATCTCCTGAGGAAACCACAAGCTGGTTCCGTCTATACACCGGTAACGAGACAGCAGACAGCAGCCAATTACGCATCTTCGGCACCATGAGCGCAGGCGGCTACATTGGGTTCTGGCTTGTCAACCCTCAGCTTGAGACGCCAGTGACCGCGCAGCCTGTCGTCTACTTTGGCTCCGAGGGGCGGTTCAGCGTTATTGCTCAACACATCAGGCAATACAAGCCTTCTAGTATAATCTTAACCATGTTTCGATCTACTAATAGTAATAGCTGCTTAGGGAATTGAATTATATGCATAGCATGAATTGAACATAAGTGAATAGATAATAGAGCATCTTGGGTCCTGTAATCCGTAACTACTACTGGAACTAATACAGATGAAAGTACATTTTATTCATTACAGGAGGGGATTTCAGTCAAAGATCTACCGGAGGGAGGGACATTTGAATGTCAGGTTTCAACCGCTAAGACCAGTCAATCCTTGTGATATATCTAGCATCGAAAGCTCATCCCAAATATATTAGGATAGAATCTGATACGGCAAGTCTCGTAGGCTTGGCATTGCCGAAGCGATTCAACTAGGCCCCTTAGTAGCCCTGCAGGATGAGTGAAGGTCTCCACGATTTCCAGACCTGGCCAGGCGAGGAGAGAATAGCAGACAACATGCTTGTCATCTTCTCTTCATCGCATCCTTCATGAGCACTGTGGTCTTGAATGTCCTCACCGTCACTATCGTTCTCCAACATTTCCTCGAGCTGGAGGGTTGCGTACTGAGGGAGTTCCACCTTGACCAGGGTCGCCTCACTAGGCGTGCCCTCGGAATCCATAGCGAAAAGCATGTACCAGCCAGGAACCAGGACACCACTGTCATCTGGGAGGTTGGAACTGAAGGAATGGCCTTCATGGCCGTTCACCTCGATTGGGACACGGCGCTGGTCAGTGTTCGTAGTGTGGGTAGTGGTTCCCTGGCGAACGAGCGATGCAGAAGCAACGTGCTTGTCGGCCGTGAATTCCAAGATCCCGCCCACGATGACTCGAGTATCAGCACGCAGGATCGTGGGGCGTTCACGCCGTTCTCCAGAGGGAGTCAGCAGGTAGGGAGGAGTGAAGATCTGGGCATCGTAGTGGTTCGCGGAGCAATTTCCGCAGAGACCACCACCGCCGTTCAGGACAGTCGCATCAGGGAGCAACATGGAGATGCTGTGGTAAACACGGACAATATTTTGACCGTTCATGACGTCGAAGGTATCAGCCTCGGGGTTGTAAATCTCTGGATAGAACTGGACCGTCTCCTCGTTGAAGGGCGATCCCCAGACCTGGCCACCAGCAATAAACACCTTGCCATCAGGCAGAACTACAGAGGTATGGTAGACACGGGGGAAGTTCATGCCGCCACCAGATCCTTTTCCGGCGACCTCGACAAGAGGCTCTTGAAGTGGAGCGCCCAGTGTAATGATATGGGCGTTCTTGGACCCGTAAGAGCCGTCGTAAGACGGCTGACCTCCGAAAGTGAGAATCTTGCCACGAACAGCGTCATACATGACAGCGTTGCCCGACATAGAGTCTCCATCATCCATTCGCCTTCCTGCAGAAGTTGTGCTGCCGCTGCCCTCAACAGTAAACCAGTTCATCTTCACACTGGGACCAGCCTGGAAGGCACTGCCATTCTTCCATCCAAATAACCAGGCATGGTTATCCGCACGCCAGCGACCCAATCGGTCATTCGTCAACATGGCGTCAACCTTTGCTCCGGAGCGGGTGTACCACTTCTTCTTGATGGGGTTGTACACTTCACCATTCTTCTCGACCTTGTTGCCACCACTCCAAGAGCCCCCGATCGCGAAGATTCGACCATCGGATAGAGTAGCTGTTGCATGGTATCCTCGAGGCTGGCGCATATCAGGGCCAGACTCCCAGGTTTTTCCGTTGAAAATACTGGTTCTAGCAGCGTCACCACCGCCGCTGACGACGATACTTCCATTGAAATCCATGGCCATGCCGGGGCAGAACATGTCATGGTGGGTTTCAGCAACCACACTTTGCGAGATTTCCTTGGTCTTGGGATTCCATGTGGTGGTGAGTGTCTTGCCACCGGGGGAAGCAAAGAACTGGTCATTGGCCCAAGCAGACCAGAGAATGATCTGACCGTTCTGTTCCTGGGCCGAACTGGCGGGGATGACGGGCAAATCGAGGGTTGGTCCCCAGGCACCCTTGCCAGGCACCGTGGGGAGAGTATAATCGGTAGCATAGATACCAAGGTTGACGATCGAAATAGGCTCATGCCAGTCAGGCGCATCGGGAAGAGCCGGAGTATCAGCAACAAGCTTGACATAGCGTGCAGGGATGGGGTTGAAAGAAGCGAGCTTCATGGCTTTATTGTTGGCCCATTTTCCGTAGGCCACTGGCTCACCCCAGTCTCGCTCATCCTTGCTCAGGTAGACACGGTGGGATTCAATCACACCCCCAGTGACATCGTCATCAAATCGAGGTAGCATCGTCAGCCCACTGACATTGTGGACTGTTTTCAGATCAATTGAAATCCACGGTGGCCCAAGACCAAAGTTGTCACTCTCCCAGTATGTGTCGCTTCTGCCGTCAACGACGCGTTCACAGTCGTGACCTGCCTTCTGACCAGTACAAGTGGTGCGGAATTCCTTGACATTCAACAGAGTTGAGTTGACGGGGGGTGACTGCCATTGAATTGCACCAGTGACTACGCCATTGATGCCAGGGTGGTCGGCCTCGGTCGACTCGTAGGAGTACTTGTCGGATTTGTGAGCGCCAACGGAGACAGCTCCCAGAAGGAGGCTGGCTGCGTATGAGAATTTCATTGTGAAATGAGAAACAGATGGTTGACAGCAGTGGATGCTGGAGTTCCTCGCCAGGGAACTTATAATGGGGAGGTAGGGTTTCAATGCCAAACTCAAAACAAGAACGGGACGCTCGGGGGAGGGTGTATGAAACTGAAAGACGACCTACTTCATGATCGCCATTTGCCATGGGAACATAGTGCGGACGAGAGCGTTCGGGTTTCCCGTAGGTATGAATGCGATCATCATAGACTCCACAATATCTGCTAGGGAGGTGTTCATCTCAGCTGAACATTGATCCACAAAAGTTTCGGAGCCATTTATCTCCGGCAATAGTACAGGCGATCCAAAGATGTTATCCTACTGATATAGCTTTACTGTATTAAAACGAGAATTACTAGCAGAATTTTGTATCAGGGTAAACATCTTTGGAAACTCTATACGTCAGCTTGGGCTGGCCGAAGGAAAAGTGGGTACCAAGACCCACAAAAGCGCCGGGTCGGGGCGGGCACTACGGAGTATAATGTGATGAAAGTCTTCCCAAGGCCTGATATCTACGCCCATCCGTACGGAGTACACGAAACATATCCTTACACGGACTGTGGGTCTCTTCTAGATGTGCTGCATCTATCGGTGGCGTTCTATACGCCGAAAGTGATAGATAAAAAAAAAGGACTACAAATCGAGCAACCAAAGTGGCAGGTGTTCCGAATCTCTCTGTCGAATCTGCGTTGGAAGCGCCAGCACCCTTCATTGTTGAACCTAATGCCCCGCTGGGGTGGAGCATTCTCCTCCTAGAGGCAAGTAAAAAACCCAGTTTGGCAGGATGATGGTTCGCTCACAGGCAACCAAGGTGGAAGGAAAGAGAAACATGGACCAGTATTGAAAATGAAGACGATCTTATTGGATCCAATATAGTTTGCTCACCACAGCGTGGGAACAATCAACAGCTGTGGGTATTTAGGCATAAGAACTCCAACCGCTCCTCACGTTTGAAAAAATTGCCCTTGGTCTCTTCTTCCAATACATCTGTATCTTTGAGAGCCACAAAAAGATGAGTCATCCAGTAGACAAGACCAACATCCAGGGCGGCATTTGGCCGCGCATGCCCAAGGAGTTTGAGTCCTACCTCTTTTACAGGATCAAAAATGCGAACAGACTCCGCTACGATCTCAGGGAGTTCATCGGCGAAATCACCACTGGAAAGCAATGTGAAGAGCGTCTAGAAGAGATCAAGTCAGCACGAGAGAATGGTAAAGCTGCAAAGATCCCCATGTCGGGCATAAATGTGTCCTTTACCCAAAAAGGGCTGCAAAAAGTAGGTTTGGCTATTCCCATTTACTATCGTGGTCACGATTTCTCGTTCTCTATTCTGTTTGACAAGAAAAAGAAGGGTCATTAACAAGGATAAAACAGTTGAACCTAGCACAAATCAATGATGGCCTTTTTGAAAAGGGCATGTACAGCGACCTTGTCTTCGAAGGCGCTGATATTCCAGACATGTTGCTTCCCGAATTCAAGCCTCCCCCTGGACACCCCGCAGGCGATGACAGCTGGCGTATCGACTTGGTCTTCATCGTGGCTGCATGCAGCGAACGTACCCTGAATGAGGGAATTGCCAAGATTGAGACCAATTTCCATCTGAGAGACTTGAACAAGACGAGTTTGGAGTTGATATCTGCCAAGCATGGTCAGCGCCGGCCCGGAGATCTTCGCGGCAAAGAGCAGTAAGTCAATTTCCATCGAGCAGTAGAAATATTCTAACTTCATTCGCAGCTTCGGCTTTGAGGACCACATCTCGCAGCCTCAGCTTCGCGGCCTGGATCCCGAACCGGGTCCACGTGAACCACAATTGTGTCCTCCTGGGTAATATGCTATCCTCTGTCTCTTAACCCTAAGCGCTAATTGAGCTAGATACATCTTTGTCGGTCATGACGGAGATCCTCGAAAAGACATTACGCCTCCCTGGTCCGTGGAAGGCAGTTTCCTTGTGTTCCGTCAGCTAGACGAGAAGGTCCCTGAGTTCAATAGGTATATCATCACCAGGCTCTCAACTTGGGGGCTATGCTAACTATGCTCAGGTTTGTTAGGGAAGCTGCAAAGAAGATTCCAAACTACTCTGGAGAGAACGGCGCCGAGAAATTGGCGGCTCATATGATGGGACGTTGGAAGAGCGGTATTGTGACCTGCCGTTCTTTGGTACACTCAATGTACTGATATTCTGTAGGCGCGCCCGTCGCTTTAACCCCCCACAAGGAAGACCCTAGTCTTGCACACAGAAACGACTTCGATTTCCGGCCCAAGCAGAGCATTCTGGGTTGTCCATTCGCCGCGCACATCCGTAAAATGCGTCCTAGAGCTGACCACAAGCCCGACCTGGGCAATGATGACGATTTTGTGAAAGGACAATTTACTGATCCTTTGGTTCACGATACCAGCGCTGTCACGATCCAGGATGTTGATAGTGACGAAGAACCCGACCAGCCACCCCAGAGGGAAGACGCCAGCGTTATTCTGCGGCGTGGAATTCCGTTTGGACCTGAGCTTGGCCCCGACGAGACGGAAAAGACCACCAAGAGCCGTGGTGTTTACTTCACCTGCTACCAGAGTGATATCCGCGACGGGTTTAATTTCCTTATGACACGTAAGCTCCCTCTGCATTAGTATCGTCGGGCATTTCTGACACTTATGAAGGCTGGGCAAGCAACAGTGTTTTCCCATCATCCAAGCACAAAACTCATGAGCATGGCCCTGGAATGGATCCATTCATCAACCAGAGACAGCGTAAGGACCATCCTGAAGGTCATATATGTGTGCATGACGGCACCGATTCGGAGAAGGCGCACAGGCTCGGGCTTGGGACAGATGCCTGGGTGGATCAGCGTGGAGGCGAATATTTCTTTACTCCATCCATTCGAGGCCTGCGGTGGTTCTGCAATGCGCCTCAAGAGCAGTAGTAGGATAGATTCGTTTACTTGAATTCCAATTCAAACATCCATTTCTTGTATTCCCTTGCTGTTAAGTTCTCAGCATGGTCGACTACAGCGGAAATTATGCATGCTATCAAATAAACTGGCGAGGATAGGCAGGGATACTAAATTATTCCGGATAGCAGTGAAGAATTTTGTTGCCATGGGATGAGTTTAGGCCTCTGCATGGTGCGGTCTTGGTTCTAATATCAAGGACTGCGGACCGCACCACGCGGTCTTATAGTCTTAAGTGTAGAGATTAGGATAGTACTATAATAAACTATAAATATATAATTCTGCTAGGATATTTCATTTTTAGTTATATAAATTAATAAATTATGATAATATTCAAAGTGTGATAGCCACGCTAGCCATGATGCGGATATATATATATATATATATATTATATGGTGATCTATCCCATAGACCAGGATAGATAGAGCAACCCATCGACCACGGCCAGGCTACTCTCTGCTAGTTCTAGGTGTGAGTCCAAACAAGCGTCTGCCATGCGTCGTCCTAATGCTCGCAGCCGTCTAAAGAAGCAGAGTCCAATGTTGCACTGCAGCAACTGCAACATCGCCTCCCGCGGGGACAGTGCGTACAGCGCCGACATCTCCGCGTCTATTTCGGTCGGACTAAAATCAAGCGTCTGGCCGAGCAGGTGGGAAATGCGACATAGCTCTAGTTGATCCTTCGTCTAGCTTGAGCTGGGGAATTCTGATGAAGCACCAGAATCCACGGAAATGAGTCCGGGATCTGGTTGAATGTCCTTCACCGTACATCCACTCCATCAATCTGATCCCTTTTGCCAGGAATGTGAAGCTCTCGAGCTATACTTGTCAGGGCCAAGTGTGGGAGCAGTCAATCAGCCACTACATCCAGAGACGCCGATTTGATGAATATTTTGGAGGAGCCCCTTTTTTTCTGCGTCTTCCCAAACACCTCCTGTATACAGAACGCTTCTACGGTGCCTTCCAGATGAATATCTAGATTACCCAAGCTTTATATTCTAGTATGATCACCGGGGCTGAGGGCTGGAGTACCCTCTTTGAATGATTGTGGGCTTAAAGGACCAAGCACTATCCTACCCGCTTATCCACAGAATACAAGAGGGTATCCCTATCTTGAGCTTTCATCATCGCATCCGAGGCTGATCCCGATCTACAAATACTGAAACGCGACGCGATACCCTTAAACGTAGCCCATACTAGCTCTCACGATACTACTTTGAATACAAGAAAATATTTACACTGAGAAGGAGGTTATAAGAGCCTAACTGCTGAGAAGTGTTGAGCTTGAGGAATATTAGAAGCTACGACTGGAACAGAGGTAGGGAAGCTTGTGGCTGGTCGCCGGTAGATCATCCTCCGTGTTTATTGCTCCTCTCCTTCGTCAAAAGCAGTAACGTATCCAGGTGTTGATTCACAGCAAGACTTTTGCGACGGAAAGGATAATATTACCCGTTACAAGACCTATCTAGATAAAGACAGACACAGGATCTCTGAGCTATACCTGCAGAGGGAAAGATATTTGACAAACATGCATGACCAACAATCAAGACGCCCACCAGCAAACTCGATAGTAAAGGATGACAGAGCTGTCTCGTTGCTGGTGCCCCATGTTCGTTTCGGAAATTGTTCATAATGCGGTAGAAGCTGTTTAATCGCTCCTGCAACAGGTCCAGCAGTCCTAGAGCGCAGGAGAGAATCAGTCGCTTGTTCTGCCGGAAAAGGCCTTTGTGGTCGGGACATACTTCAGTAAGGTGGGTTAACTCCATACCAGGAGGGCATGTGCTGGGTTCATCCCAGCAGATATTAAGGCAGTTGGCATCGGCGTTCAGCGCATACTGGGTATCGGCAACGACAGTCGAAACGAGGACGGCCATGGCGGCGAAAAAGATGGAATTGAGGTGCATCTTGGTTGCTCAACCTTTTGGAGGGTTGTAGAAATGGGTTGAATCACTGATCGTGGGATGTCGTCCACAAGAGCGTTTCAAAGACGGTATTTATATCACTCAAGCCTTTCTCGAAAGCTCTCGATTTCAGAAACTCTCTTGTATAATTAGGAAGAGGGAACACTAGGCTTCATTAGGAATGTTGTGCAAGGGGTGGGATATTCATTTAAGAGCTCCAGTTCAGCTGCAGGTCCTCAAAACGTGTCGACATGTCCACGTAGTTTTGCTATCTCTGCCGCAGTTCTTGCTTTTACGGTACCAGGAAGTGCAGATACAACCGAGTTTCAAACCCCAATTTTCAAGATCTGATCAAGCCTTCGTGGATCAGCATTAGGATGGGCGAAGGATCCAGGTTGATCAGTAATTTATCAACCCATATCGATACCGCCCCACTGTAAAAGATGTCCATTCTGTAAATTATTCACGCAAGCAGATCTCGTCTCACCAGCTCACGTTTCTTTTCCTCCACCTTTTGCCCGTGGCTGGCTGACAACCCACTTTATATGCATGGTCGAAGGAAAGGCTCGGCATGCAGGCAGTGTCTTACGTGGGCCAACCCCTGGATTTAGTCAGAGGACTCAGAACAATTATTATTGAAGGGCTCTTGCATCGATCGCCCGCATTATAATGACTGCCTGTTAGACAAACAGAATTACAAATCTAGGTTCCCAAACAGACTGAATATGCACTGCTTCCGCCGCGGTGGTGGGGTGCACAACCCATATCGGTGGTAAATAGCCATGATAAACCCGGATTTATGGAGGCTTTTGGCTGGCTATCGAGAGCATTTGCCTCTACAACACGGAGTATATCTCTTATTATTTTACTAAGCACGTAATAAAAGCGATAGTTTGATATTGTGTTCGGGGTATAGTATACACCAAGTGAATATCTGGCAAGATCACTGGAACTAACCGAAAGACCCAGTACGGATCACAATAATACCATACGATCGTAACAGACCGCTACTTGAAGGTTTGAGTACCATATGTGATATGATCTAGTCGGTGATCTGCGAAAGGAGGAGTTGGAGAGAGCTGGCGAGTCACCAGCTGCGCATAGCCTTTTGTTCAGCGGTCAAGCGCCTCGTGAGGAGATACGGATGCACATTCCTCGTCATCAGCTGCAGGTTGCACCGCTCACGGACACCTTCTTGGCCTTCAGCTCGCTCTTGCTTGTTGTCTGTGGAGCCCAAGTGCTCTGGTACAGGCAGGACCGGCAGGCCCTTCCTGCCTCCTAATTAGTGCGCTCAAGGTGGCTGGTATGCATGTATTTGATGTCCAATAATGTTGACCAGTTTTTCCTCTTCCTGCCATCACAGCATTGAGCCCTCTGTGATTGAGATTTCACGATGCAGATAACTTTGCATATGATCTATCACACCACCCCCGCTTTGGCTTTTCACGTTTTTGCTCGGACCATATGCTGTGATACTATCTCATATATCATCTATAAGAGCTGCCTGATTGTTGCCTTTGAGATTCTTGCAGACGAGCGTTGTCGAAAACCAAAGAACAAGTCGGAATATCTGTCTGCAACCAAACACACAGCATGCTGGACCAGAAGAACATACAGGGGGATATTTGGTATGTCAATTCCCTGGTCCTTCATCCCATTCATTTGCATTTACTTCTTGGTGGGCTCTGAATTCATCTGTACTGGAGCTAACAATGTTAGGCCTCGTCTGCCCAAAAAGGCCGAAAGATTTGTGTTTTTTCGAATCAGCAACGTGCCAGAGTTCAAGAGCAGCCTGCCAACGATAGCGAGCTTCATCACTACATCGGATTCATCTCTCAAGACCCGCAACGACATCTACAAAAGGAAGCAGGAGGGTACCCTCAGGGGTATTATTAATCTAGTCTCGATTAATATTGCGTTCACTGCGGCTGGACTGGACAAAGTGAGTACTTGAAACCTGGCTGTATAAGAGTCATCCTGCTAATATCAAGTAGCTGGGAGCCGAACGTTTCAATGATGAAGTCTTCAACGGCGGCCAGTTCAAAGACATGACTGCTCCGTTGGAGGGCGAGACAGCCGAAGACCACCAAGGACTTGATCCTCAGGGTGACTGGGTTCCTGAATTTAAGCCAAGCGGTGGGGGTATCGACGGTGTTCTTGTTGTGGCGGGCAATAGTCTCGAAAGTGTCGATAAAATGATCCAGGATGCAATTGATTGGGCCTTCAACGTTGGCAACGACAGGCAAAGTATTGAGAAGGTCTATACTAAGACCGGCACAGTCTACCAGAACCACCTTGAACAGTGAGTATCTCCGATCCGTTTCTAGATGCAGGCATAAGTACTAATACCTGCGATGCCAGCTTTGGATGGGTAGACGGTATTAGCCAGCCTAAAGTCAAGGGACTTGACGAGCTCTCGGTGAAGGGCAATGACACTGGAATGGCACCGATAGATCCCGGGTATGGCATTTGCGCCTGATCCTATTGCCTGGTTGTTAAGTTGACACGTTCTTTGTAGAATTATCATTGTCGGACACGAAGGTGATCAGAACAAACATCCAGAGTGGGCGAAGGATGGCAGCTTCATGGTCTTCCGGATTTACGAGCAGCTGGTCCCTGAGTTCTACTAGTACGTGCTCTTACCTGGCGTCATTCTCTGCCTGCTTGATATTAACAAGGCAACCTTTCCCATTTAGTTGGTGCTCTCTGCACTGTCCAACCGGTGCGGAGGAGACAAAAAAGGCACTACGAGAAGGAAAGCCAGTCGAATGGAGTGAACGGTCCATGGACGAGATGGGCATGTTCTCCTCGCGATTGGTCGGACGCTGGCCTGCAGGTTAGTATTTTGATACGAAAATCACTGCTCAGGAAACTGATAAACCCCACCACACTAGGTGCTCCCATGGAGCTTCACCCCAAAGAGGATCCCAATTCCGGCCTGTCACGACATGAAGATGAGAAAAAGAACAGAGATCTAGTCGCACAGGCGCTTGGTAAGGAGGGGCTAGACCGGCTGGCGACAATTAAGCAAAAGAACGAGACGGATGCCTTCAACTACAACCCCACTGACCAGACCAAGTGCCCATATGTCTCTCACATGCGCAAGACTGGCCCTCGGAATGACCATGACAACTACACCCGGCATTTGATGATGCGCCGGGGAATTCCCTACGGGCCCTGGTGCGAGGGTGAGGAAAGAAGCCGTGGGGTCACAGAGCATGAACGTGGCCTTCTCTTTGTCAGCTACCAGAGCAGCATCGACGACGGGTTCCGTACCCAGCAAAAGCGTATGTGCACCTCTTGAATCTCGGGCAGTGATGTTCCTCTAACGAGTAACAGGATGGGCCAATGCTGCCGATGGCCCAACCGACATGGCAAAGCATAGTGGAGGCAACAGCCAGGGGATTGACCCCATTGTCGGTCAAGCTCACCCGCGCCATATCAGGGAAGACACAGATGGGCGGATCCGTGCCAAGTATCGAGACCCTGCGCCTCAAATCCACTTCCCTGAAACGGTCTACGGGGAAGCCGGTCCCCAGGTGTATGATCAAAAGATCGATCTGGCCAGGCTATGCATTCCTCATGGCGGAGAATACTTCTTTTCCCCCTCCATTTCTGCCTTGAAAGATTACTTGCCTTCGAGACGTCTGGCGACATGAGGTTTTGATAGTAATAGATTACTATGAACGGTTGAGTAGTTACTTGATTCTATCTTTATATCTCCACAACGATCATTTGAAAATCTGGAAATAGATAGAAGTGCCGCACCTGGTAATTCTTTAAACTTGTGATACTACAATAGCCGGAAGCAGCGACGGTAAATGGTGCCATGAACGGCTGCTGTAGTAGTTTGCAGAGCAGGGAATACAGGATACTTCAATCGTACATGTCTGGCCAGACCTATAAAGGGCAGCCAGCGAAGAGGCCGAGGCACTCTGGGGAGGAAGGGTCAATGCCAGACAATCCTTCGGCATGACGGAGTATGTCTGAATCCCTTGTATCTGCGGAGCGTGTGTAGGTGATTTGACGTGGCTATACTGACAGTCCGGGCCGTATCTAGGACAACCTGCTCATTTCTAGAATGGCACTCTCGGGACCGGAGGCTATCATCATCAGTGGGAGAATTAAATCCGAACTGCGAGGCGAAAATCATGGCCGACGACAACATCACCGAGCTTGGATACAACGAGCGTGGGGAATTATGGGTTCGCGGCCCGAATGTCATGAAGGGATATTGGAAGAATACCAAGGCAACAATGGATACCAAGACCGCTGATGGCTGGCTGAAAACGGGAGATATTGCCTACGTCGACACTGATAGTCGATTCTATATCGTCGACCGAAAGAAGGTACGGAGCCCTACCTATCGTACCATGGAGCAGAAATCAATGCTCACGTGCTGCAGGAAATCATGAAGGTACATGGAAGGCAAGTAGCACCCGCGGAACTCGAAGCACTTTTGCTTGAACATCCCGCCATTGCTGAAGCTACAGTAGTTGGAATATCAGTGTAAGGGGCCTGAGGGTTAGGATTAGTGGGAATTGCTGACGCGAGTAGCGACTGTGACGAACGACCACGGGCTTATGTTGTACGACTGCTGGGACAGGAGGTTACGGAGGAGGACATCCATCGTTTCTTCAAGGATTCCAATGTGGCTCCTCACAAGAGACTGACTGGCGGCGTTATATTCTGCCCGTCACTTCCTAAGAATGCTTCGGGGAAGATTCTTCGACGAGAGCTCCGCGCCTGCGCTCAGAAGGAATTCCAGGGGACGGTAATCGCAGGTTAATGCCTGCATTTCATGTTGTAAGCAAAGGGGTCCGACTTATGCCATATGGAAGTCGCAAAGGCCGTCCTATTACAGTCCATTCGTCGTGGGGATACATAGATAGAGGCAGTGTTCTTAAGCAGTCCCACACTTGCTAGCCAAGACAGAGGCATCGCATAGAATCACTGGCTGTGAATAGAAAGGTTATTGTGTGTAAAATGTCGGAACTGGATATCTGTAGCCCGGGCTCATGTATTTGCCATCAACTGTAATCTGGGACTGGATTGCATTGCATGTCTATCTATGATTCCACGCCCTCTTGAGACCCGGCATCTGATGCATTCGTGACCACATTTCTATGACCCCAAGGGCAAGCTCACGCTGGCCCCGATCGTGCATTAGCTGGGACAGACCATCATGGTAACCAAGTTGTTCCCGACCAAAGCCGTCCGCTGCCAACCAATCTTCTACACTGGGGTTGTTCTAGAGCCTAGTCTGGCATGGGAGGCGTCACTTACCCTTTACCTCGAGCTCGATGCTTTGCTTGGCCTGCACACCTGCGCTAAATTGCGCCGAGCTATGCGGACGGCAAGATATGCTGCAATAAGTGTTGCCTGATTATTATGCTGTGTGCTGCGTTTTTGGTATTGTTAGCCCTAGACATGCAATGGCATGACCTTTGGATGCCTCTTGTGCATAATCAAGGATGTTGATGCAGTTTTTTCCCCGCTCCAGGACGAACAGCAAGGCAGCGGTGGTCTGCCTGTTGCCATCTCCAATGGTCTTGTCCCCTTCGGCACCCTTGGATCCCCTTAGCAAGCGCTGAAGTCTTAGCATGGACCTCCCTACTGAAGATGCGTGTGAAATGCGGCACTACGTGATCAATGTTGCTCTGGGTCGCTGCAGGGTGAGTGGCTGGGGCTTACCTATCCACGAAGCTACTCAACGGCCCTTCTCGTGCTGGGGTTAAACCAGACCTGGTTCTCACATGGCAAGGTCGAGACATGAGGCACATAGCATTCGTGCTGCTTAACATGCCAAAGCCCCAGGATTATATCCATGTAACTAATATTCCAGTATGTGTAAGACGAAGCGTCGGCGCGTATGGAGTAGTTAGACCCTCAGTGTGGCTCAGGAACCAGGGAAACCGTACAGCAGCAGGATATAGCTTGATGAAGACGGGGTGAAAAAGAAAAGAAAAGAAAAAAGAAAATAAAAGACAAAACAACAAAGAATAGTCACGGCTACATCAGGCACTTCGATATAGATAGGTAACAGGCGTGATGGCAATATCACTTTGTTCCTGCTTCGCAGCCCTTGCCCAGCCTAATTCGCCTAAATCTCGCCGTCTTCTTTGGCGCGTTGAACAGTACTTTCCAAGATCCCGGCCAGGAGGTGCTCGAATGAGATCCCATTGCTCTCGGCGCTTGCTGGCAATGGAGAATGACCGGGAAGGAGGCCGGAAATGGGATTCACCTGGGAACCATCGTGTCAGTTTTTGTATAGAGTACCAAATAAACATGGAAACACTCACTTCTAATACGTTCGGAACAGCGTTGGGCTCAAGCGAGTCGAACCGAAGATCAACGCGTCCAGCATCACGACAGCCCAGAATCTTCCAAGCTGCGAGAGAAACCTGGCAGGCCGCCTGGACTTCGGGGTCGGACATGTCATGGTGATCATTCCACGAGAGGCGACGACCGCCAGCGCTGGACTTGCTCTCTCGACAGGCAAAATCCAGCCCGGCAGCGCGATGGCTGCCATTTGTGTCGCCATTCGTGCTGCCATTCAGCTGGGCACGACTTTCCCAGATATGCTCTCGGATGCCGATGACGCGCGATGCAGCGCCGGTCCCTAGGATGCTCACTGTGTACTCGCGACCGGGCAGGAAGGATTCGATCAGGATGTCCTGGCCGGGGAACTTGACGCGCAGTTTTTGCACGGCCATCTCGAGCTCGGCAGGCTCGGTTGCTTTATTAAACGTTCCGATTCCCTTGGACGAGCCCTCGGTGACGGGCTTGAGGAAGAGCGGATACGATGGCAGCTCGGTGGTTGCTTCAGGGAGGCTCGAAGCCGATGCTTTCGTAGGGAGAACGAGGAACGGAGAAGTCGGGATGTGGTGATGCTGCAGCACAGTCTGCGCCCCAGTCCATGGTTAGCAGGCTATATGGAACTCTAAATCAAAAGGAACTGTACCTTGGTGCGAGCCTTGTTCTGGCACAGCGCCATCGTGGCTGCGTCGGCGAAGGTGTAAGGGATCCGGTACGCCTCCAGCAGAGCAGGCACCTGCGACTCGCGCGAAGTGCCATGGAAGCCTTGCGCCATGTTGAAGACCATGTCCCAGGGCTTATGATCACCGCTCGCCAGGTGCTTGACTAGACCCTCGATGCCCTGGACGAGAGTGACATGGTGGCCGAGCTGTTTGAGAGTGGTCGCGACTGCCCGAACCTCGCCCTCATGCGTGAGCGCAGCACAGTCTTCTTCTGAATAGCCCTCCTGGAGGAACGACGATCGTTGCTCGGCGACGAGGGCGATCTTGAGGGCCTCTCGTTCCGATCCCTTGCTCCCCTGGCCAGGACTGTGAGTGAAACTGGCAGCCGCGCTGCTGAACGTTGGAATGCGCTGCTCCATTGCGTCGAACCAAACCTAATGACAGGAATAAAGCAATATAAAGATGGACTTGCTATAGGGTGGGGAGGATAAAGAAAGATCTAATCGGCGTCAAGACAGATCTCGGGCCCAGCTGTTATATCTGGAGGCGTGGGGCAGCACGGTCGCTGTCCTGCACGCATTCATGAATCGGGGTCAAGTCTAGACGGTTGGATGGGACGGCCACACTGCTCGTCGAGGTGTGGTAGCATCAGTTGATGTCAAGCCATGTCATCGGTGGAGCCGTTCCACCGTTCAGTGGGCGATGTCACCAACGGGTGGAGCGATGATGCTCGCACTGGTCTCGGCCCGCTGACGGCCTCCTGCTTTCGGGCCTCGACCCAACGGATGAAGAATGTGATTGTCAACAGCTCTGGCCGTCCTTTCCAGGGCACTGTCCGGGCTGGATCCGAGACGATCCGGCCAGCTGCACAGCGTTGACCGTTGGAGCTAGTTAGGGCAACCTGCGGGCTACCTAGCTAGGGAGATCCAGCGTTTCCATGTGAACGTGAAGATGTCCACCACTCAGAGGGCGCAGAAAGATCCCGATATGACCCTCGAGCCTGGGTGAGACAAAGAAGTCTTCTCGTGGATGTCATGATACAACATTGCATAGGCCGCAAACGGAAACATCAGAGTCAATGGCCGCCGGAACTGCAACTCCGACGGCCTCGCAGCTGCTGTAACACCTCTTCTATAATGTCTATAAGGGCCAAGACCAATCGTCCTGGCACTGAAATAAGCGGGAACTCAATGTCAGCCTCCCTTCTCTTGGTCACACCGAATTCGCTCCAATCAAGCATTGGATTCCCTTCTGCCCACCATGGCCGGCCAATTCTATGCCATCACCGGTATCCCATTACCCGCGAGGCCGGAGATCTCCACATGGTCGAGTTCCACCAAGCCCGAGGACCAAATTCAAGTCTCGCTTTTCATCCGAGCCCTGCGCCAGATGCAGCAGAAAGACCCAGTGCATGACAAGCTGTCCTTTTACCAGATTGCCGGTGCGCTACTGTATATCTATTTCTGTTACGAGGCCAGGCTAATGTAAACTTTTACAGGAGTCCACGGATATCCAAAGGTTGCGTGGGACGGGGCCAAGGAGAACGACGGGTTCTACTGCACCCACGGTGTCTTCACTTTCCCCACTTGGCACCGACCTTATATGTTGTTGTATGAGGTACATGGCATCCATGGTTGTTGAAGCACCTATGGCCTCTACTGACGGCACACTATAGCAAGTGCTGTACAATATCATGGTCGACGAACTGATCCCCGGCATCGAGGATCCGGCCGCAAAGCAGGCCTGGACCCGTGCAGCGCAACGATGGCGTCTCCCCTTCTGGGATTGGGCCATCCGTCAGTCCGATACTGGACAGTTTGGCGTTCCCGGAATCGTAGCGGGTCAGAATGTCTGCATTCGCAAACTTGGCGGGGAGGCAATTGAAACCGTTGAGAATCCCCTTTACAAGTACATCAACAAGGTAGATGGGAAGGGGGTCCCGATGGGTGACCCGACAATGAAGGGACAGCGTCTTGGATACGATGACGGCAAACAAGTAAGTAACCTGATCCCTTAGGGTGATCGAATACTGAATAGCCAGTACAACGACTGCATTGGAACCAGCCGTTATGCAAAACCCGGCGATGAAAAATGGGTTGCTGGGTCCGTTGACAACGCCAAAGTTGGCGATGCCCTCGCACACCCTGCAGGAAAAAACTGGGAGCCTGGGAAGTCAATTGCAGACAACGTCTATCGGATTCTCACCGATGGATACTTCACGAGCTACAAGCCATTCTCATCCACCCACTATTGTGACTACAGGAAAGACGTGGAGAAGGGTAAGCCCCCTCTAACGCCATGCGAGTATCTTTCACTGGAGATGATACACAACAACATCCACGTACGTTCGTTCACCTCTTCTACTGCGCCAATGCAACTAATGCAGCCAGAACTGGACTGGGGGGGCAACCGACGAAGCACAGGGCCATATGTCCGATGTGCCCGTAGCAGCATTCGACCCCATCTTCTTCTTGCACCATTGGTAAGCCTGTCGTGTGGTCAACTGGTGAATCTGCTGATAAAAGGTCCAGTAATGTCGACCGACTGTTCGCAATCTGGCAGGCTCTGAATCCCGATAGCTGGTTTGACCCACCCCTTCCTCCCCACGGCCATGACGACAACGGCAAGCCTATTCCTGGTCCTCCGTATTGCCCTGACCCAAAGAGTGACGCTCCTTTGCCGCCGTTCCGCAAGGACAGTAGCGGCGAATACTATTCGTCTGACTCTGCGCGGAGCACCGAAAAACTGGGGTATACTTATCCTGAGCTGCTCCCGGGAAATAGAGAGAAGTTAAACGCGATCCTGCGGGAGAAATACGGCAAACACCTATTGCACCTCAAGAGACCAGTAGATGATAAAGGAAAGCTCATCCCCGGCATTGGTCATGAGACGTTCCCCGACTACCTCATCAACGTTCAATATGACCGGTACGCCTGGGCTAAACAAGGCCACAAACAACCCTTATAACCGAGCAACTGGAACTGACCACCAGGTTTAGGTTTGAATTCGGCGGCGAACCCTACACTGTCAGTTTCTATCTGGACACATTCAACAACCAGAGCCAAAGCCTCGAGCGTTACGTCCTGGGTTCCTTCTACAACTTCACTGCGCCCGTGGTGCCCGACTGTGAGAACTGCAAAGCACAGGAGAGCAATGCCGCCAGGTCGAAAGCACAAGTGCCGATTACACTCCCCTTGCAAGAGCTAGTCCGGGATTCCGACCTTCCCAATGCCCACAGCATGGAAAAGCTGCACGTTGAGGCCCTGCTACAGGACCAGCTGAAATATTCGGTGACCAAGGTATGGCCAGCGCTGATCAAATTTAATTCATTGACGCTATACTGGGCCCGATCACTGACGACTCTACAGCGTTCCGGTGAAGAGATACCCTTGGAGCAGGTTCCAGGACTTCTGGTCACTGTTCATGCTGGAGAGAGCAGCTACCCCAAGGATGATTCGCTTGATGTCTTTATGCCTCGCACCTATTCTCCTCTCTGGGCTGCCACTCAGTATAAGGTTTGTGGTGCTGCGCCGGCTTAGGAGATGGGTCTGTTGCATGGTATCAAATAAAGACTGGAAGTGTTACACCAGTTTTACTCCTTATTCTAAAAAGTATTGGGCGTCCTTTTCATTTCTTTTCCCCTGCTTCCTGTTGTCGGCCCAGTCTGTAAAGGAAGAAGCCCGGCGCAGACAAAACAGCCAGACCCCCGATTGCAACGCCAACTCCTATTGCAACTTTCGCGCCCGTCTGGAGCCCACCGGATGATGCGGCCTCCGGGGTTGGGGTGCGTGAACGGGCAGGCCTGTTCCGCACGAGGAAGCTTGAGGAAAAGATGTTGTATCCGTCGTAGGAATAGCTATAGCCCTCTTCTGCAAAGACAACACAGTACTTGTGGTTCTTTGCCAGGGTTTCGTTGTCAATGTTGACCGTCCAGTCGTACGACCCAGAGCCCGAGACGTCCCACGAAGCTGTTTCAGTCTGTTAGTCCAGGACCGATTGTCTAGTATTCAATGGCTTGGGGTTGGGGATTGCGTACACGCAAGTGGTCTGATATAGTCCGCGTCTTTGTCCTCCCATGCAACCACATACAGGTTTGCTTTGAGGCTGCCGTCCAGCAATGAATCTGTGTAGTAGCTGGCCCAGCCAGCCCATTGGAGGTGCACTTTCTCCCCATTGTAGAAGGTCTGTTGGAAGTCCTTCTCGTTGCTTCCGTCAGGCACAATCCAATTACTTCTGCCTGTTTCATCGCTTTGGGCCACCTGCACCACCGAGAGCAAAAGCAGCCAAACCCACTTCAGAGTAGCCATGATTAAGGACTTCGCTGTCAGGACGGATAGCAGGGGGCGGAGAGAGGATGTAGCATAGAGGTGTTTAGGTATTTAAGAGACTTATATTGGTCGCCGGGCGGAAGAGATTTCAAGGCTGCCCTGGCCTGCGGCTTAACATGGGCACGTCTAGTCATGGGGCCCATTCCTGTGAAGTGATACTGATACCCACTGCATATGAGGGAGCTGGGGGCAAATATCTCATATATTCATAACAGAAATAAATCAAGCTACTCTTATTAAACTACCACATGCCTTCCCATACCTGTATCTTTTGATATCTTGCAGTTGACACCTGCCAGGCAGTACAGAAAAATAGCAACATCGGTGCCTTAGGTCTGGGGAGAGCCCTGGGAAATTGGCAACCGTTTGGCTTACTATGATCTGCTGTCTTGGCGTGACTATGGCGGCGGTGGGTAGGTTCGCCACTCTGACACATACACCGTGGCCATTTCCAAGCGTTGGAATTAAACACGGTTCTGTAGTTGCCCTAGTAGACAAATTGATTGTCCGTTGGCCTTGTCGTAGTTGATATCTCGGTACTCCACCACCATTTGAGAACGCCAATGGGTTGACTGGTTCTTGGCAATTTCCACCGGGTGCGAAGAATATATATCTTTATAACGATGTACCACTACTTACTCAATAAGTGCCGTTCGCCAAGGAGACTTCGACTGCGGTGCAAGTATATACAGTGCTTCTCTCATACTATCCCGGAGAATATGTCTAATAGAATTTACAGCAGCATTACAGACAAGGATGTTCACAGGTTTATTCTTAATTCTATCAAGGTTACCACTGCCGGTGCTCTATACTTTGGCTTCGACTGCATTCACTTGGTTGTGAAGGATGCGTATATCAAAACTGTCGGAGACAACACCCCTCCAGGTCTCCGTCACAATAGCCATATTTACTTCTTGAACGAATACATGACATAACCCAGGTCTGCTTGAACGTGGAGCCTCATCCAAACTAATGCAATGACACATGTACCTCCGGGAATGAGCACCGTACAGCACCAGAGTATCACCCAATTTCCCCGTTTCACATCAACACAACCAATCAAGCATCGAAGTAGCATACAGCTGTTTTGTCGCTTGCGAAAGGCTCAAACCCTCCATTTTCATGGCCACACTTGTCCGATTTCGCGGTGAAGCTCTCTCCTTTATACCCGAAGTCCAGGTGGCAATTACCAGGGTCCGACCAGACATGGACCGTCAGAGATCCTGCATCGAGTACATCATTCTTAAAGGTACATTCGTTGACTGCCGGTTTGCCGTCTGGTGCGTGGCATTCCTCTGCCAGGAGTGACGATCCATCGGGAACCAACAGTTCAAGACTGCTGCTATGCGAGTAGTTGTTCGGCTCTCCATGGGCTTCCGGTTTGAATCGAAATTAGCTACCAATATGTAGAGATAGAGGGCGGGGAAGCGGCATACGTCCTCCTGGGTATATAGCGTGACTGCAATGAAAGCTGACCTTGTAGGCCCCATCAGCGTTTTCAGGGGGAGCGTCGCGCTTCAGGGTAAGCCCAAGGGCAGGCGCACTGCCCAAGGCAACAAGTGGCAGGCAATCTTTGAACAACATAATGGTTCTTAATCACAGGATGGAAATTAAAAGAAAATTCAAAGGTTGGGAAGTGTTGGACACGGGACTACACGGGCAGCAGCGCAGCTTTATATCGCAGAGGCCTGGCCTTCAAGACTATCCAGCACGTGTGTCTATGCTTCATCAAGTCATTATGCGAAGGTACGACCAATATAGCTTTGAGAATGTACAAGCGTATTCGTATTCCAGGAACTGGTCTCCACCTGTAAACGCCGGTTCGGAAACACCATAAGGCTTGATCGTTAATGATATCGCTCCAGGAAGGGGGTTTGGTCTCTAGGCTGGAGAGCCGACCCGATAATCACCTGGAAAGGGAATTTGGTCTGCAAGAAGGAGAGCTGGACCTGATAGTGACCTTCTAGAAAGGGAATCTGGTCTCTAAGCCGCGATTGAGCTGACGTGTTAATCACCTTCCGCAAAGGGAATTTGGTCTTCAAGCTGGGGGCGAGACTCTGCATCAATACGGATAATAATGGATACAGTCCCATATGTGCCTTGGCAGACATCATATGGGTGTGCCTTACTGACAAACGCCTGGTCCGTCACCCCCAGCAGGAGAACCCATAATGGGACTTCGGACTCGATCGGGCCCCCGACGTCGGGAACCCGAAAGGGGAAAGTCAGTCAGCTTCATTAAGTAGAGTATTTAGCCAACAACTCGGAACTTTTCAAATCCCCCAAAATCCAATCCTCTCTTGCGTACTATTTGGCATCTCATGTCTCTCTCCCAACGAACCCTGGGCCATGGCGGCCCCAAAGTCTCTGCTGTTGGTCTCGGATTCGGCAGCTTCACCGGCTTCTATGGACCACCCGGTACCACCGAGGAAAGGCTAACACGCCTAGACCATGCGCATTCCATCGGCTCGCGGTTCTGGGATCTTGCGGATATCTACGGCGACAGCGAAGATCTCGTTGGCGAGTGGATAAGGCGATCTGGGAAGCGGAGCGATATCTTTATCGCCACCAAATGTGGGCTCCAGCGACAGCCCAACGGGACATTCGCCTTTTGCTCTGACCCGGAATATGTCAAGCAGGCTTGCGATCGGAGCCTCGAGCGACTCGGTGTCGACACGATCGACCTTTACTACTGTCATCGAGTGGATGGGGTGACTCCGATAGAACGGACCATAGAAGCCATGGTTGAGCTGAAGAAGTACGCACTCTACATTGAACAGCAGACTGAAAGGCTCTAATTGAAATCAGCCAGGGAAAGATTCGATATATCGGCGTCTCGGACGTGTCGGCGGCGACTCTGCGGCGCGCGCACGCTGTCCACCCCATCGCAGCTCTACAGATTGAGTACAGCCTGTTCACACTTGATATCGAGTCATCTACATCGAAGGTCCTTGAAACCGCCCGTGAACTCGGCATTACTGTCGTAGCATTTAGCCCTATTGGGCGTGGTATCCTCGCCGGCCAGTTTCGATCTCGCGCAGACTTCCCACAGGGTGACCTTCGCGCCATGTATCCCAAGTACGCCGAGGAGAACTTCCCGGAGATTATGAAGCTGGTGGAGGGAGTCGAGGAGGTGGCGAGCAGTCATGGAAGCACTCCTGCACAAGTCGCCCTTGCGTGGCTGTTGGCTCAGGGCCCAGAAATCATCCCCATCCCTGGGACCAGGTCGCCCGCGAAAATGGACGAAAATTCGGCCTCGGCGCGGCTTGAATTGAGCAATGAGGAAATGCAACGCCTCCGGGCCCTGGCAGAGAAGGCAGATATTCAAGGGACTCGTTATCCCCCTGCGTAAGTCTATCGTTAATTAAGGCGAGCCCAATGCTAATGGTTGGCATAGGATGATGGACGTTCTTCACACCGACACTCCTCTACCATAGGCGCATATTCAGTTGTTAGCAGTGAACGTGATATATTTATTCTATTCATAATATGTGGAAGCCTAGTAATCATCCCCAGTGGAACCGTACAGGTGCACGCCTCTTTCAAGGACCTCAATCTCATCCCCAACTTCGACATAGAGCCCCTTTCCTTGTGCCTCAGCATCCTTGAGATCCCGATCCTCTGGCACGCAGTGCATCCCCAGATATCCCAGTGCCGATTTATTTCCAGTTTCAACCGTTCGGTAATCGACTAGTGTTGTGCTTGGCTGTGGCTTTCCCTTCTTCTTTCCCTCAGGTGGCAGATCTGTCTCAAACGTGCCAGTTGCTGTGTCGACATTCGGCATCGTACATCGAGACGTACGGCAGACAACAGACAACGACGGGGCCACAGACGCCCTTTGGTCTTTGGTGGCAGATGCCGAGGGCCTGACTCTGCATCTCTTCCAGGTCTCTTCTGCGTAGGCTGGGGCTCCAGTGATCCATAGATTTGCGCGAAAGCGAAGGGCATCGAGTGGCTGGTTCTCGGAGGGTAGCAGTGAAGATACAGCCTGCACGGAGGATAAGCTGTTGATGTTGACCGGCTGCTGGTCTGTATATGCATGGACAGAAGGCGAGCCGATATGTTCAAGCGGAGCAAGATTCTTGTTTGTCCGAGTAAGCGAGTCGTCGTTGCATCGCAACAGTGCCAGCGGCTGGGTCGCTGGAAGACCCAGAAAGCGCTTCAGCTTAGGCAGGGCGTCGGCCACAGATGGGACAGTGCTCATGTCGAGGCCGCTTGTATCACGGCCGTGGATGGTGAATGTCTTCTGTTCTATCTGGTACTTCTCTTGTTGGCTGGTTGGAGGTTCAAGAGGTACAATGGCAGAAACCTCTGGTGTCACTGCCATATTCCCATTGTAGAAGAGCGACTCGAGACAGTCTGTCCAAGATGGAGCCCGAACATTAGGGTCTTGAAACCTCAACACTAGACAGCCGCCTGCCTGGACGAGGGGATCGGACGCATCGCTGTGCTTATGTGGCAGCCACAACTCGGTCGCAATCAAGGCCATCGCTGGTTTCGTGCGTTGACTGATAAATCGCCATTTCCCATCTGCCACGGTTGCAATGGCAAAGCATCTGTCGTACAAAAAGCCGGTCTTGGTGAGCAACGCACGGTGCACCTCCACGGGGCCGCATGATTTGACGGGGTGGATGTAGATTGACTTGATACGGATGGAGTGCTGGGCTGCATCGTCTTCAGCGATGGCATACTTGGAGTCATACTGGTCGGCCATGTTGCTCTTGTTGCTGGGCAGCCCCAGTCTGTGCAGGTTTCGCAGCTGGCGGCGGGTGGAGGCTGTGACTCCATTGTTGACGATGGCCGCAAATACCACGCTGAGGAGGAGCGTGAGAGCGACTGTTGAATAGATGAAGGTAGATGTTTCCAGAGCCAGCACGGCCTGTGCAGCCTGGAGCAGCATTGCGACTGAAATGCGCTTGTAGAGGAAGTGAAGAAGAAGAAGCGAAGAAAAGAAGCGGAGAAGCTGCACAAGTGGGATGATGACTCAGCTGCATAACATCATGCACATTGCACACCTTGTATAATCTATATAGATATTGTCAACTGGATATCATGCAATACAGACCCTTACTAAGTAAGGGTGCCCTTGTTGGTGTAGGGGGGAAATCTGCAATAGATATACAAACTCATCGGACAAACTCTACTCGTCGCTGTCGTCGTCCTCATCCTCGTCCTTCAATATGCCGTGTCCCGGCCATCCAGGGCGAGAGTATTTCTTGACCTGCGCCTCATCCCCAAACTCGTCAAACCCCATATTTGCAATGCCCAGATTGACAAATGCGCCGTGTGCCTCTGCGGCCGGGATCCGGTTATGCCTGAACCCCCGTAGCTGTGGCACATCGATCCCGTCTAGAAGTTCCGACGCGGTCGTTTTCTGGTCCCTGGGAATGTACAGCGTGTCTGCCTCTGCCACGATTACGGTCTGGTCAATACCGGACTGTCGGTCAATGAAGAATACCGGCGTGTTATGCCCGCAAGGAACTGCGTGTCCCCGCTTGTATGTGTATACATCCCAAAAGATCTCCCACATGTCGTCGAGATTGCCCTCGCACGACTCATCTTTAGTCCAAGGCACGTAGCATGCACACTTGGAGTCCGCGACGTCGACATCGACGAGTCTGACAATCTCGCCACGCACTGCCCTGTCTTGCTCTGGGGTCAGTTTGTTGGTCAGGTAGAAAACTGGGATCCAGGTGAGTGCATAGCTTGTCGACTGCCAGTCGGGCGTCGTCACATAGAATGGATGGTTTGGTGCAACGACTTCTGGCTCAGTATACGATCTTCTTGAGACTATGTGCCTTAATGGAGCCTGCGCAAATTTATATCCACCGTACCTCTCCCTGACTACTCCGAGCTCGACATTGGCGACATCCTGGATTGGCTCTTTCAGCAGAAACACCTCCCATTGGATCTTGTTCAACGGAAGGCAGCGTTGGCATGCATCCCAGAGCTCGATTATCTGTCGTCGACTCACAGCCTTGTGACAATCCCACGGTACCACATGAACCTGCAGTGGCGATGAGGATTCACCGTCCTCGCCGTCCTCGCTCTGGTTGAGTTGGAGACAAACGTCCATCGCCTGCTGGAGCGCCGACTCTGTTGTTTTCTGCTCGTCCTCGGTAGTGGGAAAGAGGAGAACCACGTTGAAATGGTCCCGACCGTGCTGAATGGTGCCCTTGGGCAGTTCAATACGAGAAACGTCGGCCCCACACTGCTTCTCCCATTCCAGGGTCCCTGAAGTCTCTGGGCTGAAGGGGCGCCTATCCGGATCATAGAGAACGAGCCCGGCGTCGGGAAAAGGGTTATCCCCCCTGATCGGGGCAGTGGGTTCAAAGGTCGACATTTCCGTAAGAATGTCTTCATATACCAGTTCGTGCTCGTCTCCTCCGATGGGCCATGTCGGACCAGCTGTGCGTTTTGCAAGGATGCGAATTCGGCCTTCTGTACAGGTCCTGATGGAGACCATCACAGCAGAGACAGTCGGGTACTCGCCCACTCTCAGGCTCCCATTGAGCTGACGCTTGGTCAGTTGATCTGCCACCAGCAGACCGTCCCATCCTGCGCGCGAGGCCAGCACTGCTATCGCATGGATGTTCGCCTGGCTGTCGGGGAAGGGGCCTTGTTTCGCGATGGACTGGAGGGTCTCTATCGAAGGTCCCCATATATGAACAATAAGAGGTTCACCATCCTTCACGGACCCTCGCAGGTGATGGATGAGACGAGTCCTTTCACTATCATCCAGATCAGCCAGGATAATGAGTGGCAATTGAGCACCGTTGATGCTGTCGTCTTTCAAGGGGAAGCCATGGGTGGGAAGAGCCGATGCATTCATGTTGACTGAAGTATGGAAATCGATTTATTATTGTTACTGCCACCTTGCATTATTTAACAGTTGATTATCTCGCCCCCACGCGATTTCAGCCCTGGTCGGTTTCCAACTGCGAATGAAGGCCAGGGCTTGATTCCACCTTCTTCTTGCAGTGACGATGCGCAAGTGGCTTACTCTCTAGACTACGTCCTTCACGCACTTCTGCCACTGGCTTCTGGCCTGTTCAAACTGCGCATCGTTTGTGATCATTTCCCACCCGATCATCCCCAAGCTCTTGCCTACCACCAGGGCTTCTTCGTGGGCACGGTCTGTTCCAGCAGCAGCAGCGAAGGAAGGGTGGTGAGGGAAAGCCCCGTCCGCTGCTCCGATGGCAAACATCGTATGCAGCGTGGGCATGATGTAGCTGACATTGCCTTTACAGTGTTAATCTCCGGTCGATTCTCGTCTTAGGATGCACATACCAATATCGGACGAGCCAGTCAGGACCTTCTCGTGGGTTTTAAGGACATTGCGCCCGTAGGCGCCCATGTGAGTCTGATATAGGGCACAGAGAGTATCATTGATTTTAATATCGGCATACAGCTCCTTTCTGTTAAACACTCATTAGATGAAGACAAGACAAGCGCATTCTCAGACAAGACATACTCGACAATTTTAACCTCGCACCCTGATGCCGACGCGCCAGCCTCAATGCACTTGCGCGCTCTAGCCATCAATGCATTCAATCCTTTCAATGACGGACTGCGTATCTGCCAGTAGGCCTTGGTGAACGCCGGTATGATGTTGGCGACCTTGGGTGTATCCAGGAAAGCGCAGTGCACTCTCTCGTCAGGCTTCATCTGCTGGCGCAGCATCGCCATGTTGTTATACGCGCCGACCAGGGCATCAAGCGCATTGACGCCATCCCAAGGGTTGCCACCAGCGTGGGCACTGACGCCGGTGAACTCGCAGTGGATTTCCTTTCTTGCGTTCATCAATACACCAGCGCACCCGTCCGATACCACGCCAGGGAAGAGTTCTTGCGGTCCTGCGTGGCTGAAACAATTCAGTTACATCCTGTTATAATTGGAGGGATACATACGCCATTAATGAGATGTCCACGCCGTCATAGGCACCAGCATCAATCAGCTTGGCCTTGCCGCCTCCATTTTCCTCTGCAGGAGTGCCCAACAGCTGCGTGCGACCGGGGATGTTATATTGCTTCAGTACAGCCGAGAGCGCTAGGAAGGCTGCAACGCTGCTGGTTGTGATGAGGTTATGGCCACAGGCATGGCCGATGTCCGGCAATGCATCGTATTCGGCGTTGAAGTTGACCAAACGGCCGCCAGAGCCACTTCTCGCCTCGAAGGAGGTGTCGAGGCCAAATGCATGCCGCGTGACAGTAAATCCCTTTTCTTCGAGAAAGTTGCAGATTGTATCGTGTGCTGCGTGTTCCTCGTACGCAGTTTCGGGGTTGGACCAGATCTGGCGCTGTCAGCAGTTTGCAAATTACGTAGCTGGGTGGGGCTTATCTGGTACAGTTTTATTGAGAGCGCGCAGAGAGGCATTCGCAGCTTGTAGTGCCTCGTCTACAGACGCCTTGACTTGCTCGGTGGTTGGGTTGAGGATCGCCATGGTGCTCGTCTGGATGATGCTCCTGGCAAGACTGGGCAGTGGCTGTACCTATATCAGCAGACGGAACAGCTCCGCAATCTCCGCGATCCCCGCGACGTTGGAGACAGTCGGCTTTCATATCGGTACTCTTTTCATTGATGACTGCGTGGCGAGATCGAGGGCAGCCTGTCTGGGGATTCCCCGGACAGGCGCGATATGCGGGGAGATTCGCCACGACAGCGTTTTAATTTGCCCATCCTGATTGGGCCGTCAGTGGCGTTGAGTTTGGTCTTGCCGAGTGAGATTCCTGATTGGAGCAGCAGCCGACAAGCACTCATGACAATATCAGGAACCGGCCGTGCTGGCGGACGTCTTGGAGACGGTGGAGACCAGATTCCACCGAGTCCCATTCCGTCCTCGTATCGCTTGGAGCTCTCCTGAGGCCAAGACGGTTGCTGGCCTCCAGCTCATTTACCGACACCATGGCGCACTGGCCATCTCCTTCATTGTACAAAAGATCTGGTCCCCAGCAGTACCCCCAGCAACTGCAAGACCCAGACCAATCCGATAATGCACAATCCTTCAAGACGAACTTCCAGGGACATGCCAGTCGACGATGCAGGCGAGGCAAAGCCGTACCTCGAAGAATTGGAAACCCAAGATGCCGACTTGGGTCAAATGATGGAGGTGGCTGCAACGCCAGAAGAGGAACGCCGCGTGGTTTGGAAATTGGATATGATGTTGGTGACGCTGCCCGTATTCAGGACGCCCCCTGCTGATAACGACTAGTTTAATCCCCATGATGGGTCTCTGCTACATGATGCAGTACATGGACAAGCTGGCTCTGAGTCAAGCGACCCTGTTCAACCTCCGAGAGGACCTCGTACGCTCCCCCGTCACCAGACAAACACTTTACAGCGCTGACCTTCTATCAGAACCTCCAGGGCTCGAATTACTCGTGGACGTCGGCCGTCTTCTACTTTGGATACCTTGCATGGAGTTGGCCCAGCAGCTATCTGATGGTTCGCCTGCCGCTGGGGAAGTACCTGACTGCCTGCGTCCTGACCTGGGGAGGCGTCCTGATGTGCCATGCAGCAGCAAAGAACTTTGGAGGGTTGATGGCGGCGCGGTTCTTCTTGGGTGTGGGTGAGGCGGCCATTGCTCCAGGGTTTGCACTCATAACTGGCATGCTATACAAGCGAGAGGAGCAACCAGCACGGTACGTCTCCCTATAACCAATACCAAAGTGCTTGTCTAATCACCAAGATAGACAGGCAGCCTGGTTCCTGGGCAACTGTATCGCCACCGTGATCGGGGGAGTCGTCGCCTATGGCATCGGCACCGCCAAAGGAACTGCAGTCACCAGCTGGCAGCTCCTCTTCCTCGCCTTAGGGACTATTACAGCTGGGATGGTCTTCTGGCTGGTCTTCCTACTGCCGGATTCGCCCAGGAAGATCGTTTTTCTCACGAAGAAGGAGCAGGCAATAGTCATCCAGCGTACCGTGGCCAACAAGACCGGCACGATGGACAACGACTCCTTCAAACTAGGCCAGGCCTGGGATGCTCTTCGCGATCCCCAGACGTGGTTTCTCGTGCTGTATCAGTTCTGCGTTAATCTGTGGAACGGCGGTGTCACCAGTGTACGTTGTTATTCCTTTCTTTTCTGGGCCGTCAGCTAATAGCATTTAGTTCTCCTCGATTATCATCAACAGCTTCGGCTTTAGCCACTTGAAGTCCCTCCTCATGCAGATGCCCATGGGTGGTGCTCAGATTGTCTTCCTGGTCCTAAGTGCTGCTATTGCGACCTGGTTCCCCCGAGCTCGCATCATCACCATGATAATCAACACGCTGGTCTCAATGGTGGGCATGTTGCTGGTCTGGCAGTTGGACGAAGACAACCAGGTCGGCCGCATGGTCGGACTCACCCTTGGGGCTGTCTTCGCGGTAAACATTCCACTCTCGCTGAGTGTTATCAGCTCGAATGTCGCTGGCTTCACAAAGCGCAGTGTGACCAGCGCATTGATGTTTGTTGCATACTGTGTGGGCAACATTATCGGGCCCCAGCTCTTCTTGACTTCGGAAGAGCCGGCCTACCCTGTGAGTCAAGCACATACTATTTACGTATCCAGGACTGACGATAGTATAGACCGGCATGAAAGCGGCAGTCTCTGGCTTAGCACTGGGCGCCTTCTTCCTCCTCTGCCTTCTCCTGTACTACATCTTCGAGAACCGACGCCGCGATGCGAAGTATGGCCCTCCTACTCAGCTTACAGAAGAGGAGGAGCGTGCCCACGCGTTGTCGAACAAAACAGACCTGGAGATTGAGAGTTTTCGTTATTTGATTTAGTTGTTGACACACTGGGATGTGATCTAGATCTATAGCACTTGAAAATTCATTCCATGATTACCCTCCTCTATTTCCACCTAATTATGGTTATTTCAACTATTCTAATTATTGGCCTGACAATCCCTTCTTCAATATTTACCCAGACAATCTGAACGAGTATAAAATCGCCTATCTCGCCACCGGCAACGCCGCCAGTCTGGAAGTCATGCAGATTGGGCCCATTCCTCCACCGCAATTCTTTCAGTACAATCGACAAGGCTTCTTCCATGAGCTTCGAGCGATTGGTTACCAGCGTTTCTACCTGATCATTACTGCATTTCTTTCTGTATCTAATGGTCCTATCCGTGCATCACACGTTGGAATATCGCTTGGAAGCGAGTTTCTGCACTGCTCATGTCCACCTTTGCTGCCTCGTCCCTCAGTCGTTCAGACCTGCTTTGTACCTGCTTCTGTAGCGATGACCAGTCCAGCTGGGTTAGACGACCGTCCTGCTTGACGATATTCCCATCGACGATGACGGTGTCGATGTTCTTGGGCGATGCATGGAAGACCACCGTTGCAATGGGATCCAGCACGGGCACTGTCTCGATATCATCGCATCGAAACAAGACCAAATCGGCCTTTTTGCCAGGGACAATAGACCCAACGATCGACTCCATCTGCATTGCCTCTGCGCCACCCAGAGTCGCCATATGGAGCACATCTGCTGTCTTTCTGCCCAGGTCCCGCTGCACCGTCTGGTCATACTCGCGCGCACGTTGTGCCTGCAGTGTCAGTCTCATCTGCGCGACAAAGTCGTTCCCCTGGTTGGAAGTGATGTCCAGCCCAAGACCGGTTCGACAGCCCAGATCACTCGCCTTCCACACGATGGGATATCCCATGCCCATCTGCAGCTCTGTGTCCGGTGTGCCCACAACGCCTGCTCCAGACCTCCGCACGGCCTCCAGCTCGTCGCTCGTAAACCAAACCCCATGACTCAAAACGAGGTCTGATCCCATGATTCCGGCGTCCTCAAGCTGCTGCACGATCTCAGGCTTTGGCTCGCCGTGGGATACGACTGAAGCATGCGCCGTGGTAATCCGAGGCTCCAGCCTTCTCGCAACCTCCAACCCCCTGACATTTTCCTCGGCCGACAGGTTTGTCGGATCATCCAGTGCCACTCCAAAGGTAAGAAGTGTCTCGCCAAGGTCATTGCTTGGGAAATGTTCACGTCGCAGCCGGCGCGCATCCTTAAACCGCGCGGCCTGGTCATCAAAGGCATCAGTAGCTGCACTCTCCGGCACCCCAGGAATAGGCGGATTCTGGTAAAAGCCATAGCAAAACGTCCCTCGAATTCCTGCATCTTTCAACCCCTTGACTGCCGCATCAGCATGCGCCGGCGAGTTCACGACATGGCAATGATCGAGCACAGTCGTAATGCCGTTATTCAGCAGGCTCATCGCAGCCGCATAGTTGGCGACGCCGACATCTTCCGCCGTATACAAACTCCCGTATACCATTCGCAGATGGCAGGCATATCCAAAAAGAGACCAGTCCAGGGTGAGCCCGCGCAAGAGGTGCTGCCACAGGTGATGGTGTCCGTTGACGAAGCCGGGGGTGATAATGTAATTCCTGCCGTCGATCGTGACTGCTGTACTCCCATCCTTGACGCTCGGCAGAGAGAGGCTCGTGCCTACAGCTTTGATCCATGAGTTTTCTATCACAATATCGTGGTCCTTGAGGACTGTGCCGCGCGATGGCTGCATGGGGACCACGGTTGCCCCTTTGATCAGGATGTACGACGTCGCCATGTTCTAGAAATAAATAAACGACAGTATCTTGCTATATCATTCTATGGTTTAGATTGTAAATGCCGGATTTATATATCATCTCTAGCTCATGACGTCGGCGATGAACCCCGCACGGAGCTTCAGGCCCCCTGCAGCAGTCTCCAGCTTACTGGCTTCAATTAACGAGCGCAACATCGGACCTAGAATGGAGGCAACCGATTAAGTTTGCTTAGCGGATTGATACGAGTCTATTTAGTGGGAGTGTGGAATGTGACTCCACTGGTGGATAAGGGGGCTGCATGAAGTACTTCAGAAGATATATATATTCGCCATGCCAGATCCAATGCGCGGCCCTTCCAGCGTATGGAGTTGAAAAAAACAAAAAATAACAAAAAATAAATGTCCCCGAATGGCATCAACTTAATTGGGTATATATACAGTAATAAGATGGAATATTTACAGTTTCGCCTGCGGTGACAGCACTTCGCTGGCAGGAGCCACCTCAACAATCATCTTGCCCGTGTTGACGCCACGATACAGATCAACCAAGGCCTTGGGCGCTACTTCCAGTCCCCCAGGTATAATGTGATCCTTACGTGCAAGCTTGCCCTGTGCCAGCCAGGAAGAAATCTCCTCACGCGCACTCTGGTATTTATCGGCGAAGTCGAAGACAATGAAGCCCTTCATCGTGACGCGTTGGGACTAGGAAAGGGTTAGCTCGAAAGCAATTACTAGGAATACTAGAAAAAGAAACTTACAATCACGTTCATATAGCTGGCCGGCCCCTTCGGCTTCGAAGTGTTATACTGACTGATCGCGCCGCAGATGGCGAACCGCGCATTCCGAGCGGCCCGAGCCAGACAGGCGTCCAGAATGTCACCACCGACGTTATCAAAGTAGACATCAATGTAGTCAGGAGTGGCCGCCTTGAGCTGCTTGCGCCAGTCTGAGTCCTTGTAGTTGATGGCGACATCAAAGCCCAGCTCCTTCTGCAGGAATTCGCACTTGTCCGGGCTGCCGGCCAGTCCGATGACACGTTTGGCTCCCTTGATTTTGGCGATTTGTCCAGCGACCATACCAGTGGCTCCTGCAGCTCCGGATACTACGACAGTGTCGCCGGCGCGAGGTTGTCCGATCTCCGTCATCCCAAAGTATGCAGTCATACCGGTCATGCCCAGGACCGACAGAGCGTCGGTGGGTCGACCACCCGGAGGTATGACAACCTTCTCCACTTCACTTTTGTCCAGAACAGCATACTCCTGCCACCCAGAGTAAGCCGAGACCCAGTCTCCGACCTTGAACTTGGGGCTGAGGTTACTGCCCACGGCCACGATCTGGGCCATACTCTGCCCGCGCATGACGGCGCCGACCTTCACAGGGGCGATGTAGGAGCGACTGGCAGACAGCCATTGGCGCATAGCAGGGTCAAGCGAGAGGTAGTGCACGCGCACCAGCACCTTGTCGGCAGGCACATTGTCAGGCTTGGGGACGGTATTCAGGCGAAAGGTGCCAGATGCGAGCGAAGGGTCAACGGCATCGGTGGGGCGTTCGTGGAGGGTGACCTGCTTGTAGGACATGGTGAGAAGGACAACTAAACAAGATGAAGAGAGAGAGAAATTACCAGGAAAAGAAGAACAGGCTTTTGTAGACTTGAAGATGGAGAAGCTGCCAGAGTTGCCGGCAAAGTACCGAGGCACAGGTCAGGTGACGCTGTTGTGCATTACGTCATCGGATTGTGCACTGTGCATTGGAACTTTGTGCATCCAATTCATCCCACTTTCACTTTCACACCACCACCACTTTCTTCTTTTTGCTCTCCTCACCCATTGTACTCCATCATTGCTCCCTCCCACCGGATATGCAAAGCTCCCCATCACTCGCTGATCCCCTCGCAATCCTCCCTCCAGAGCTGGTCCTGCGCGTCCTTGAGTTCGCCTCGTTGCCCACAGTTGCTGCCCTCACCGCAGTCTCCAAGGCCTGGCACCAATTCATCGACCTCACCCACCAGGATGCCATCTACTCAGTGCTCTCCAAGTCAGCCGAACCCGCTGCTCCGACATTCTCCCGATGGTTCGACGAAACCACCTCATGCAAGGCTGTGTGTGAACGGCAAACACGGCTTGCTCGCAATTGGGACTCCCCGCACCCCGTGAGCCGCGAACGAATCTTGCAAGTCGGCAACGACCCCGTTTGGCGGTTCCGCGCGGATTTGAAGAGAAGATTCATCGTGTCGACCTCTCACGCAGGCGGCCTGAACGTGACGGATATCGACACCGGCCGCATCTTATGGCGACTGCCCTCCACGCTGGATACGGATAACGAGCATGCTGTACGCCCTTATGCGCACCTTGAATACCAGGATGGAATGGTGGTGTTTGACAGGGAAGGCGACGCGGTTGAGGTCTGGCAGGCCGATCTGGAAGATGCCCCCCGCGGGGAGTTCCGCCGCATTGCTATTCTGGACCACGATTGCCAGACAAGGGGTTTCCAGCTATCATATTGGACACTCTGCGTGGTGTCGACGCAGGGACAAGGGTTTGTGTATGATATGACAAAGCGTCCTCCGACGAGAACAACTCATCTCCATATTGAAAATGACGCGGTTGGCCATCTAGACCAGAGCCGGGACGCTGTAATGTACTCTATGGGACCGCGAGGGTACCATGTATATGACAAGAAGTCGGCTGAATTCATGGGCGCACTGCGGCCATCGCAATGCACGGAAGTGTACCATATCCGCCCTCCCAAGGGCAGCTCCGTTTCGGCGAGCGCGAGGTTAATGGGCCTTGCACAACACGACCCACTGCGTCAGTATTCGTCGCCAGGACCGGCGACAAAAGACCATATGGTACCCATAAAACTGGAGAAAGGCCCACTACCACCACCAGATGACACAGACCACGTTCGACATGGCGAGGATGAATGGGGCGCGGGCATGTTGAATGGCGACCTGTTTGTTGGTGTTTCTCGCGCTGGTCGCGTTTTTGTCTGCTCGGACTGGCGCAAAGCTCTCCACGACGAAGCAAGCCTCGCCGCATGCAGCGCAGTTATCGAATGCGAATCGGACGGATCAACCTTCGATTTGGGTGGGTGGCTCTCAGTCCGCAATCATCGTCTGATGTTTGAAATCCAGGACCGGGCTTATGTTGTCGCACTTGATGATAACAACCGTATCCAAAACGTCGATTCTCCAGAACGTGCATCGTTCTCATTTCTTACGTGCTCTACACCGCAACTAGCCGTTCCAATCAGTTTTATGGCCCTGTACGGTGATGCGATCATGACCACCTACACGGTAAGTTGAATCCACTCTGACGCGATGTGCTTTGAAACTGAACGATATAGACACTTGGCCGACGCCAACCCCCGCCAAACGTTCCGGGTGCCGCACCACCTGACCACCACGAAGGCCCTGCGCGCATCTTCCCAACGAAAACAATTCGAATACTCAGCATGGCGCCTGATAGCCCCGCCGTAAATGCAGCACCAGGGCCATCCTCTGCCAACGGAGGGATTTGGGACACGGATCAAAGTCCGCCCCCAGCTGATGAGATCGTTCGTTCTCAGGCCTTGCTGCAGCTGCTCAGCATGCTCCGGGACGAGTATGGCGACGAAGAAGATGACCGTTCGGATGATATGTGGGAGGATGTGGACGAAGAGTAGGAATGAGAGTGCTCCCCAGCTTCGTCGTTGTATTTGCAGGCGTCGTTGTATGCATAAATTACTACTAACCCCTCCCAAGCGCAAGACGACGGTTTACGATCGCAGATCTGCAGCAGGCGAGACTGCCTTTTCAAAGGCAGTATATCCCGAAGTCTCTTATGGACGGACCACCATACGGGTATGACCAGGACAAATCGAATCGTCTTTTCAACCACCTGCTTCAGACCCGGGCCAGGTCTTTTAGGACATCAGACCCCATTGTTCGCCAAAGGCCATAATAGTATAGAGGTAACAACCGGGATCACCGAAATAGTCACTAACATGCTCGATGTAGTACTGTGGATCATTCAGCTAGTTCCAGAATGATGGAAAACACTTCTGTTGTCCTAAAAAAAAAAAAAAAAAAAATCTCACACTCTCATTCATATTCTCCATAATGTTTCCCGTATCGGTGTAGCCTGGACGGCAGGTATTATATGGCAGCCCTGAGGTCTGCAATGTTTGCCCTTTCCTCCACGGATCCCCTTCCTATGCATGGTGTATTTGGACAAGGACCCAGAATTCTATTGCGACGGTTGAAGCCTCTGTGGTACATATCAAGCCAAGCCTTTGTTGTTGCTACTCGGCATCTTTTCGAGCTTGTTCCGTTACTCCAGCGTCGTCTATCCAAGCCAGGTTCCAGGCGGGTGCTCAGCGGCAATTTGATACAAGAGGAACAATTTCAACATTTCACCCATTCGGCGGATAACCAAGCACAGAGCAGCAACGCAGCAGGAGTTGAGATCAGAAGTGCGATGCAGGATTTTGCGACGGCCTGGTCATCTCACGCGATCGAGTGTCCAGGAAGCTATCGGCGATGGACAAGATGAAAGTGGGAATGTTGGCCGGTTTATACAGTTCCCACATCCTCGTCTATTGCAGCTCGTGTCGCACATGCTGAGCTGGTAGCCCCGCGCAGTCTCTTTGTCCCATCAGCGCCGTGACATCTGGAGTTGCGAGGATAAAAGCTTTGGCAGCCACTTCCGACACCCAGCTCAAAATGAACCGGGGCTGGGCGCACTCTGGATAATAAACCATCTGCTTGCCTTGCACGGTATTGTGGCTGGTCAACTAGCGCGTCTTGGTTCGATGCTCTGGGACACCTTTAGTGAGTAAGTGGATTCCCCCAATATGGCCCCTGACTACTGATCCAATCATAGTACTGTCTGGAATATGAACAGGCCATGCCGTCTTTGAGGCTAACATTCATCTCCTTCACTGGCGGTCCCTGTGATTCATTCCTTGTCGAAGCGCCCTTCCTCAACCAGTTCTTGGGCACAGCTGCACTGTAATGGCTGTGAATGATGAATTCAGCAAACTATCCAGAGGAATCGTACCTGTCACATCTACTTCTTTTATGAGTTTTATATGACCGTAGTCGAACCGATGATCTCTGGGCGCATCGACAATGAGTTTATGGCCAAGTGAATCACGGTCGGTGGAAAGTCTTCCAACCCTAACCAAACCATGGATAAAGCACAAGGGTCGTTACTCACTGGTGTCTGCTTCACCTGAAAGGTAAAGGGTGAGTCCCAGACAATTGCACTTTGACTGTGGAATTCCTGTTTGTTGCAATTCGATGATATATAAGACAGTGGTCTATAAAACCAGCCTCGTTTCCTGGAAACTGCCCGTTTTCCCACAGACTTTCGCTATCAATGGATCGCTACATTGCTCAGTTAATCGCAGAAAGATTGGATACGTCCGTACAGGATAGTATGTCCATAGATGACGACGGAGCCGGCTCGGTGCCTGACGGTCCTGTCAAGTGCCCACATTGTGGCACCGAGCTTGAGAAACTGGGCCAGGCCATTGCTACAGCCACCAGGTTTATGGATGCGATGCCAGGTGCCGTAAAGCGGGAGATAGCCGATACGGAGAAGATCATGGACTACATGGAGCAGTTCGAATCAGAAACCAACCCGGGAGATAGCGACGATGAGGACGACGATGAGGACATTGATATGGACAGTGATGAGGACGGTGGTGAGGACAGTGATGAGGACGACGACGAGGACAGTGATGAGCACGACTACCAGGTCAGTGATGAGGATGACGACGAGGGCGACGACGAGGACAGTCATGATGAAAGACGCCCATGGCATAATGGCTGCAAATGGAATGCCAAACTATATCCTCAGAGAGGGTTAGACACGAGCTCGGCTCCACACTACACCGAGCGGTACGGCCTGACCCCTGAAATAGTTCTGAAAATTCGTGAGATAACACCCCTCCACTTCTGCCGTACTTCATAGCTGATATTATTATATCTTGTAGGCGATTCCGCCACTCTTGCTGCTCTTAATGCACATGCAACCGATGTTCTGAGTCCGACCAGATGGATAACCAATGCGTACCGGGATGCATTCAAGATATTTCTCCAGGCACTAAAGGACTCTAAGTACCCAAGGCACTGGCTGGAAAACCCTAACTCGGCAGTTTACGAAGCGTACTGCGACTACATGCAGGCAAGGCGCGCCATGCCCAAGCGTGGTAAATCTAAGAAGGCCTGATGAAGTGGCTGAGTTTGCTTGAAATAGATGGTTTGTATCTAGCACTGTGTATGTTCAATATATTTATTCTCATATAGCCGTGGAGCGCTGGCCTGAAGTAGAATGCACCATAGATTAGCTGTAGCTTATCCGCCCACGCCGGGGTTATATCTCACCACGGCCATTCTATAGCAGTGCTATGGACACTGAAGCCTTCTGTCATTGTACTGCCTGTGGAGACTTTCTGTTCTGTCTTCACGCAGCAAACGAGAGAGACAACAAAGGCCCGTACGATATAAGTAGGACATGTAAACAGCAATTCCCCTCTCCATCTTCCAACTAACCTTCATCACTATTTCCCTATCCAATCTCATCTACTTCTCGGATTTTACCATCTCAATACTGTATCCATCAGTGCATAATAGCGGTTGAACATCCCCATCTGTTTCAAGCAAGTGACAACCACCAGCTCGCGTCCGATAGCACGCTGCTCCGGCTTACGTCGCCTAGCGGTCAACGGGGAAATTGTACGACCATGAATCCAAGTCCACACACCCACAGGACTCGAGCAGATGGATACGCCACAAACGACACAGAATCGCGGATGTCAAGTGGGAGCGATACTGGGGAAGGAAGCCCGACGACGACGACTCCTACGGAGGCTGGCAGCGACGCTACAAACCAAGAATATCCCCTGGTGTATATGCGGAAGTTTAGCGCGCCAAACAATCCTGACGCACTTAGACTGGCGCAAAATGTCCTAAACGACGTCGATAGCAACGATGAACTCCGTTTTCGAGCGTCTGGCAACTGGAGGGCCATTGCCAACCCAGAGGGCCTCTGATATATCGGGTGCAGTAGCCTGAACGACGTGACAAATACGTTCATGGAAAGCAGGAAGCGCCTTGATGTTGTCTTAGAAGACTATATCGCAATCCGGCGTCGCTTCATGGTAACGTATGTGCGCAGGTGTAAGGAGGAGCAGGGCCAGCGCACAACCGAGAACGAGGATGACATGATCAAGGAGGGGAATCAAAAGGCCCATGGAGGCGATTGTCTCCTGGACGCGGTTGTGCTTAAACTTCCAGATGGCCCCGGACAGGATACGTACACACGTCTCTACGGAATGCCTCCAGACAAGGTGGAGGAAATCGGTAAGTTCTGGAAAGAAGGTTTGGGGACATATACTTACCAAGGTGCATCAGCCCACAACAGCATTATCGACGAGCTTAACCAGCATGCCACTGCGGTGGCAAACGGCCGCAGGGAAGTGTCACTTGACTATTTGGATGCCTTTAACAAGTTTATCGCGGCTCTCGAGAAAGAAGGCATCACTCCGGGAACGGACCTCAACCCGGGCGTTCGCGCCGCATATGACGCGCTTAAAGACACGCCGGTATACGAACCCAATGCCAGAAGCAGCTGCAGCAAAAAGCGCAAACTCTAGGGCTTAGGCTGGCGGGGCCGTTGGTGTCTTGGAACGGTGGTTAGAGGGTCGGTATTGTTGAGATTGATGTCTTTTTGTATAGATAACAGCGGACTTCTGGTAATATCGCGTTCGAATAGTAGAATATAGTATTGTTGGCTCTGCAGTGTACGTTCAGGATATTCGAACATGTCTTGTAGGCTGACAGTTGTGTCTTTCTCTGACTGTCCTTGTTCCCAACGGCCCCTTTATCATCACTAAAAGAAGCACCGGTGGGATATGTGCATTGAAAACAACAGTCTTGAGAATGGCATCATTCACAATTGATGTTGACATTGAATATGTTGACCAGAGAGACAAATTCCCAAGTATGAATGATGAATTCACTGAATGGCAGGTCCTTGGCAGTTCGACAATGACAATTGACTGCTAACCAAGTTACGGCCAACGGCAAAGGCCTTTGCCTATTTATAAAAGGATACGTTGTATATAGCTGCCCCTGTCTGTTTCAGCTCCTACCAGATCATCGTATATAAAAGCAGGCTCGTCTCCTGGCTCCTGCTCCCATTTCCCTCAACTGGCCTGCTTGGTATAGATACTCAACATGTCCTCTCAAGCCGTGGATGGTACTCCAAGCTACAAAGATGCCGGCGTTTTGGACGACTGCTGCTTAGACGACGACAACTGCGAAGGAAGCCATAGGCTAGGAGGCCCTCTGAGGATCCTTACGAGATGATATATTCTACATACCGTAGCTACCATGCCCGCTGTGGTTTATCTTTATTTAATATGTCCGCCATTCGCTGAACTTACACCGTCATACCAGCACAATTGAATAATCCTTCCCTGTTACAAATGCTATCTGATAGAGAATGAATAAGAACCCCTAAGCCCACCTCGTTAAACGGCTCTCTACGGGCTAATCTAAGATACTAAGGCCATGACAGAAGATATCGGCGTGCAGGAAGTGAATGAAGCCTGCGTGAACAGAGAGCCATCATACTAGCAAACAAGACAACAAAGGCCCTACACGATACATAGATGTAAAAAGAATTAATCCCTCCTCCATCTTCAGCCATCTTCAATCATTTCTCCTCGCTATCTTCCGGTGTCATCATGTATTATAGCTTACTCCGTCGACCATAATGAGTCACATTACGGAGTCCGACCAGAGAAAGCCAGATGGATATACCCCAAAACCAAGCGAGCGCCTGGTGCTGAGCAGGGAGCAAGACGAACCCACCGCCCCCCAGAGCGAGAGGGTAGTGTATACGAGGCCGTGCCATCGCGGGAAGTCGATACTACCGGGAGCGCAGAGGTGACTGATCTCTCACAACGCCCGTTACAAAGCCCCGAGAACAGCAGGGCTTTGCGAGTGGAGACAACCCCCGACGGCGAGGTGGTCGACAATGCCCGGGCTGTGACGGACGCAAACGAGCATACTAGGCATATTGAGAGAGTGCATACAGAATCAGGTACGACGAAGGAAAAAGGCCTGTCGCTGCAGGCTGCCTGGTCTGAATGCGTCGCAGTCCGGCGTCGATTCCTCGCGACTTACAAACGGGACAAGAAGGAATGGACGAAACACGATCGCAAGATCATTAACACGGGCAACCAGGCGGTGCAAGATGGCACTCACCCGAACGACACGAGGTATACCAACAGCTTTATGGGTTGACGCCAGCTGAGGTTTTGACCGTTAGTACGCCTCCATGACGATATGAAGGGTGCTGTGGCCCACGGAAAAACTATAAAATCAATGGGCTGACACGCCACTGCTGTTGCAAATAAAGACAAAACGGCTACCCAGCCCTTTCGAGACGGCTTTGCGAGGTTCATTACCGAGCTCAGGGAGACTGGCATCACGAACGACTGGGATCCAAGGTCAGACGTCGGCAAAGCATATAAGGACTTTAAGAATGCAAAGACATATGAACTCGGCGGTGGATAGGCCTGCGGTTAGGGAGTGATGGGAGAAGTTTAACTTGCAGATATTGTTTACCTTCCTCACACGAGATGTTGTTGTGCACACGGTTGGCAGATAGTGGCTTCAATTGGGCCATCGTTTAGTGAACAGCTTTGATTTTTTTGGGTTTCCCGTGTAGTAAAGCTGGTATTGGGACACCGACAGTGGTAGAAACAATCCCAGAAACATCGGCAGGATACCTAGGACTGTACACACCGGCATCGGCGTATCCATTGTGGGGGTAGAACCACATAAGTCGTGCCCGTAGGTCCATTCCCCAAGGTGTATGCTCTGCTGGGTGATGCGAGTACTATAGGAGCTGATCCCTGGGGCCGAGGGACCATATATTTAATAGCCTGTAAGTTAAGACAGATTGTCTGCGGCAGGATTCGTACCTTGGTGAAGCCACTTTTGCTCTCTAGATGAGTTGCACCGATTGCGGATCTGCCACGGACACCTCGTCGGGGGTGATGCCCACGATAGGCCCTGATTAATCGATGCTGAACGTAACGAACTTCATGAGACCGCAGTGACCTAGGCAGTTGCTCATGCACCATCTGTATAGTAAACCCTGCTTTGCCCGTTGCTACCTGATATGGGAGCCAGTATCCCGACACAGAGGCCCAAAACGGAGCGCGTACGGTGTTCAGAGGATGAAAGTATCCGCCGTAGATAATCCAGCATCGGAGATGATGGAAAGCCCAAAGAATATCCATTTCAATCTAAGGGGTTTCATGTCGGACAGGGCCAATGCGGCCGACTGAAATGACCGCGAAGACTTTTTCACTCATGTGCAGGGATAATGCTGGCAAACAGGCCCTCACTACTACTTTTACACGGCTTCACAGCTATTTGCTTCTGAATCAACCCCGCAGGCCTTCCCAGCCTTGTGCATAATGGCCCTGGATCAACCAGCGGTAGATCTTGTGTCCTTGCTTTTTAATATTGCTGCGGGGAACTTTTTAGTTACAAATTGAAGTTGTTAATGCGGAGTTTATAGAAATGCTTTACAATTCACTATCCAACCGTTCCCCATCACAGCCGACATCACTCATAGTATTTGCAGGCATGCAAGCTAGTGGGCACTTGCAATTAACAACAGGGAGAGACGACTGTTCATCTGCGCTGCGCAGTAGTCGAATGACGTGGCAGTCTGTCGATGAAAGGCCAGTCGTGCGCTTTGGTCGTTGAAAGTTGGATGCCACCCGGATGCCGAGAACCATTTGCATACAGATGAGTTACAGCCAAAGGCTGGATACTCTCGCAGTCCATTCAAAATGTGTTCCGAGTGATTTGTTTGGCCCTTTTGCTGGTCCCTGACTCGTGTGCAGCTGCGCTAAGCGCCGGGCTGACACGTCCCACGGGCTAGCAACATGTTGTTTGGAGGACAATTTGCTCGGAAAAGCAAGCATTCGTCTTCTAATTATAATCCCCTTTGGCGACAAAGCTCGCCAGTAGAAATGTTTGTGTTGAGGAAAATGCAGCTATAGACATGGGTGGTGTGGCATTTTGGAACCGCCATGTCGCATACAAACAGCACCCAAACAGTCCCCAGAAAGCGCGTCAAGATATGATTTTAACTGAGACACTCCCTGGAGGGATACAATGCAGTGGAATACATCTCGCTGACTGTCAAACAAGAACGCCGACCGTAATAATTCGACGCCGCGATGGATACGAGCAGTTCGTCAACCGCGCAGTCTACTCTAGTCGGGTGGAGGGCAGAGCCCCAGGGCAGAGGCACCCTGGGCCTGCTTGCGACGAGCCTGAGTACAGTCTTTCTTTGCACTTGGGTGGTCATTCACCCCCGAGTCCACAAGAGCGAGGTCTACGCTGTGCCTCACAAGCTGGCCCTGCTCGTGAAGACTCTATTAGCACCCGAGTTCATCGCTATCGAGGGCCTCCAGGAATGGGCCCAATGTCAAAGGATGGTCTCTGAGTGTTCTGAATGGTCGCGTGGAGAGTTCAGCCTCGTTCACGCCTACTATATCAGCATGCTCGCACTGCGATACCAAACCCCCGGCGGAAATAGGGTTATCTGGCCTAACCAATACACCTGGCTTCTCAAGAGACACTTTATCAAGTGGGAGAATCATGCTGACTGGGGCCTGGCGATGGACCAAATCCAGGACAAGAGCAAATCCGACAGTATCACCAAGCTCATCACGCTGTCCCAGGTACTTTGGTTCGTTGCAACTTGTATAATGCGCGCCGCCAATGACCTTCCTCTCTCTCAGCTCGAAAGTATGACGCTCAGCTACATTCCGCTGTTTGCCATCACGTATTTCTTCTGGTGGAACAAACCGAAGGATATCTTCTCTCCCAGTATCGTCTGCCTCCCTGCTATGAGTGTTGAGGACAGGCAACATTTCGAGTCAATGGCACTCAGCAACAAATTCGACGAGACCCAGGATGCAGTGACATACTGGAGCATATGGTATTTGACCCCGAGAGTGTTCGAAAAGGAGGAGAATGACAGGATGGAGAGAGCTGTCCTTCAACCCAGTTCTCCGAAAGCGCCAGATGTCGACGGAGAGATGTGCAAGTACCGCAAGGAAATTGTTGTTGCACATTGGGATCCTTATCTATACCGGTCAAAGACAATACGATCCCTATGCTGTCTATTCGGTGCCTCGTTTGGAGCCCTGCATCTGGCCTGCTGGAACACCATCTTCCCAACGACGGCGGAGATGTGGATGTGGCGCGCTTCAGCGTTCGTGTCGATTTTCTCGCTGCTGGCATTCATGCATTTTGAGAAGGTTATTCTGCGATGGGATGGCCTCATAACGATCGTTAAGATTGGCGCGCCGGGGATCTATTTTGTCAGTCGTGTACTGATGATGGGCGAAGTGTTTGCTGCCTTGAGGGCAGTCGACCCTGGAGTATACGAGACCTACGAGGTTGAGAATTACGGGATAAACATATGAAGTAACAGAATGTCCAGAATAGAGGAAAGGACCTCTAGCAGTTATTCTATTCTTCTTCTACCACACTTAACAGGCAGCACTCTAATCTGTAGACATTTACCTCGTGAATGAAGGATCAGCCGCCTCGAAATGTCGCATTACAGCCATCGTAATGATTGGATATCCCATTATAACATCATGGAGCCCGGTCTTGAGCAGTTCTTCTCGGATCACGCCATGGTCAGTCCGCCACTCCATGACAGTACCTGCCGCCCCAAGGTCAACCTGAGATTCCAGCTTCTTCTGCTCTAGGTCATCAAGCGTTATTCCAACAGGCACTGCGCCATTGACTGCGTGCCAGAAGAGGAGCTGGCTGTGGTGAGAGGGGATGTCCCAGTCGTCCTCGGCATGGATGATAGTGAGACGATATTGCTCCTCGTTGACCTCGTTGAGCCGGACATAATTTGCAATCCGCTCATTAGACAGCCACTTGTCTCTAATGAAACGCAGGAGATAGTCAAAGACCGCTGGAAATCGGGCAAGAGGCGACAAAATCGGGATTGTGCCGGCCACGCGGTAGGTCGAGACCAATGTTGGCACATTGACAAACGGCGCGACGAGAACCATGCCCGCAAAGACAGTGGGGGGTGACTGGGCTGCGTAATGGTGGGCTACAGCAGTACTCACCGCAGTGCCCATTGATTGCCCAAATATCAAGATCCGCGAGGCAGGAATGCCGCCCACATTCATCGCCCAGTTGGTCACAGCCAGGGCGTCTTCAATCAAGCCACTCTCCGAAGGAACGCCAGCGCTCCGTCCGAATCCCCGATAGTCGAATGTCAACACATGGATCTTTCCAGGGTTACCGGCAGACAGCGCCCGATAGTTGGGGACCCGATGGCCTGAGCCTACAGTGCCCCCTGCGCCGTGCATATGAATGACTAGCCGAGCATCCGGGTCATCTCGCAGCAATTGAAAGGCGAGCCTCGAGGAAACATTGGCGACAAACCCAACTGGCTCCGCAGTAAGCGCCAGCTCGTTCTTGCGGTACAACTCGATAGGGAGGAGGTGCCAGGCGTAGAGCTGCCCTCCACTCGGGGTCTCAATGGAGAAGGGAGTAACCTGGTTTTTTAGAAAGCCAAAGGACTCGGGAACATCCAGGTCTTTGAACCAGGTCATTTGAACTGCGTGTAAATAAACCGCGTGCGACTGGAAAGTGGACGTCGTCAGCAGGCCCAGCAGGGTCGCGTAGAGCCCGACACCAGCGGCTATCGAGAAAAACGCATATTTGAATACCGACCCGACCAGGTCGTTGGCGCCCATCTTCAAAGTAATGGGGATGTGTTTGTTGGGCTTGTCGTGATTGAGAAGAAGATGGTGTGCGGGGCGCTTAGGAATGTGATGGCTGTGACACAGTAGTATGGCCAGCGTCCTCCGAGCTCGCTAGTTACTTGGCATTATTGGCAAGTTATTCCTGCAGTGATTGGCCAAAATTTACACTTCAGGCATACCCATTCGATTGCTACACTGCTCGTTCTCGCTCCTGGCTGGTATCATCACCATGACCGTCGAGGAGTGTCGGACTCGGAGCATCCGGAGTCTCTAGATTCCACCTGTAGATCATATGGGTTACCAAGACAATTGACATCCCCCATTTCTGAGTAATCATGGTATCTCTCGAGGGCACTCCAGGCTCCTTCAGCAGATCATTTTGCATGGTCCTTACTGATTGGTGTGCTTGTTGACTTTCGTACCAACCCATTTCCTAATCGGGCGACAACTCCGGCAACTCCTTTCGGACTCCAGAACGCTCGATATCCAAGAAGAATTACAGCAAAAGGATATGGACAGAATTCTAACTCCGGAGTCCATAATATGCCCGCACTTAACTCCGTTTGAAGTCAGTGCACTATCTATAAAGAAAGGTGCCCATCCAATTCTACATCGTCCCTTTCCTACCGTCAGATATCAACCAAAATGACTATTCCCCAAACTTACAAACGCGCTGTCTACAAATCTGCTGGCACCCCGCTGGTCCTCGAACAAGTCCCGCTCACATTGCCTGGGCCCAATGAGATCCTAGTCAAGGTAGAAGCTTGCGGCGTTTGCTTCTCTGATGTATTTGCCCAGGGTAATGTGATGGGCGGCGGTTTGTATGTTTCAATCCCCCTTCCATGTCTGGGTGAGTATATAGCTAACGATGGATCTGTGTAGTCCCATCGTCCCAGGTCATGAAATTGTCGGTCATGTCGCGGCGCTCGGAGACAGTGTGTCCGGTTGGGCAGTCGGTGACCGGATTGGTGGTGCATGGCATGGTGGGCACGATGGTACGACAACATCCACACCCCGAGGAGGGCCAATAACTAAACACAGCTAAAAAGGAACATGCCACGCCTGCCGGAAGGGTTGGTATCAAATGTGCGACGCGCAGATCGTTAACGGTGAGACCAAGGACGGTGGATGTATGCTCGACACTTCCTTTCCCCGCATATCAGCTCTCTAACACTGCAGTCGCAGACGCAGAGTACTGTCTCGTGAACTCCGAAGCAGCGGTGCGAATCCCTTCGCATCTTCCAGCCTCGAAATATGCCCCGATCCTATGCGCCGGCGTCTCCGTCTTCAACTCCATCCGCCACATGAACGTGCCGGCCGGCTCAACAGTGGCAGTACAAGGCCTAGGTGGCCTCGGGCATCTCGCCATCCAGTACGCAAACAAAATGGGATTCCGGGTGATTGCCATCTCACGAGACGCGGACAAGGAGGGGTTTGCGCGGGAGCTCGGGGCACACGAATACATAGATTCAAGTAAAGAAAATGATGTGGGAGAGGCACTGCGTACGCTGGGCGGTGCGTCTCTGATTGTTTCCACTGCGCCAACCGCAGCGGTTATGGCGCCACTGTTGAAGGGACTGGGGATTTTAGGCAAGCTGCTGTTATTATCCTGTGAGTGTCCAGTCAGACCTTGTCTCCTGTTTGGCTAACACCATGATAGTGCCTGGCGAGCTGCCGATTGATACTGTGACCATGGTAGGTAAAACTTACACTCGAACTGCAGGACAACTGCTCACGATTCTCGATGCAGCTGAAGTACGGTGTATCGGTTCAGGTTTGGCCCTCTGGTCATGCCACCGATACTGAAGAAGCACTTGCATTCACGGAACTCCATGGAATCAAGTGCTTGGTGGAAGAGTTTCCCCTCGAAGAGGCAAACAAAGCGTTCGGTAAGATGACTTAATTGGTCCGCCGTGGATGATAATGCTGATTCCATTCTGCGCAGACGCCATGTTGAAAGGTACAGTCAGGTTCCGGGCGGTCATTACTATGGAATAAAGGGCAGCTTGGCCAGAATCGTAAACATTTTGGTATTAAGCAGGTAAATGGGAGGAGTCACAAGAATGAGTTCACTGTTGGTTGAAGGACCATCCATCCGCAGCATATAAAGGCTCAAAGCTGTAAAACGAATCAACATCGTGGGCAAATCCCATGGCGCCCATCAGCGAACTCTGGAAGATGGCCGTAGACTCATCTACCATGGTTGAACCTCCAATCACATTAATTCCGATCTGGCTTAACAGCCCATCATCTATTGGCTCTGGCGATAGGGGTGTTAGGTTCGAGATCGTGCCATTTCTTGCAGCAAAGCGGCCACTTAGAAAGTCAGCTTTATTGACCAGGGATCGAGTAACGTCGGCCGCACTAGCGGCCACAGCGAAATGATTGCCGAATACTTTAAACACCGTGATGGCATCGTCGATTGCTCCACGAGCAGCTGCGGTTGACGGATGAAGAGGATAGGCTAGGATAAAGCCAAGCATGGAAAGGGTCGCATTCCATTGCCATTGGAAGGCTTCATACCAGCCTTTTAGATACTCGGTAGTAGTGTGAACCTGGTTGAGTATGTCGGTGATCGCTATCGCGTGGTTGAGGCAAAAAACTGCATGGCCTTGAGCAACGGGGGTATGGTTGGAGTCTACGACTGGGTTGGACGGGAAGCAGATGAAGGTCCGGTGGATATTCATTAATAGATTATGGTAGAGAAGCTCGAGAAGAAGGCGCTGGCGCTGTAGCCATGATGGTGCATACCGCTCCAGTTCCAAGCCAGTCCTGTCAACCGAGAACGATTCTCCTCCATCTCTGCGCTTCGTCTTCATGCCATCAGGGACAGTTCGCAGCCATTCGCTGATTTCGTTCATCTGCGAAGTGAGGAACTCTGCTGAGGACTCCAGGCAATGCAAGTCCGCATGAAGATTCTTCGCCCCAGCAGAAGCCAGAATTTCCGCCGACTTATCGTAGAATGCTGAGTAGACTCTCTGTGCTGCGAGCACCAGTGTTACAATAAGGCGACCGTAGGTAAACCACGTCACCTTGTCCCCGTAGGCCGCGATATTCGACAGAGAGAGTCGGGCCAGCTCGCGGTCATCAGCAGGCAGCTGGCAAGTGGCAGACATTTCAGCAACAGAGGAAGGGCGACCAAGCTTCATGCATGTTTTGGTCTCGACACAGTACAGTGTCCACCAGATGCGCTTCCGCAATTCTCGCTGGGGACGTGGCATATCCGCCGGAGGTTCAAGATGAAGGCCGAGAATATGGGCTGTGCGCAACGCAAGCGCCAGTGTCGTATGTGCCATATTCTGGAACGAAGCATTGCAGAGGTAAACAACGGAGAATATATGGCATTGAAGCGTAGCAATGGACGGGCTCTCGAGCTCCGACATGAGCAGTGTTTGCGATCGCTGGTAGTACCATCGGCCGGCGATGCTTGCGTCCTCGGTATCGAGATGGCCGTGGCCGTTGACACTATCCTTGTCTGGCGTCAAAGCCACGCCATATTGCATACATAGAGCCAGCACAATATCCACCAGGGCAGAGGAGGCTCGAGTTGTAGTTGAATCTATCCAGAGGGACTTGTAGTGCTCGCAAAACTCCGACTCATCCAATATTTGGTATGTGGGATGGTAGGAATGCCAGAACATGTCCAGAAAATAGTCCTCTTCGATACTGTTCAGGTATCCCTCTGACTTCTCGCCTGCGAAAGCACTCGGGGGCGCTGGCAGCTCTCCTGGCATTCTAGGAGACGACGGGCTTGAGAAGGTCCGACTCGCAGAATTGGGCTGAATGTTGTGGTCCTCTGGAGGGTGTTCAAGCACAGTAGAAAGGTACGCGTTCATGCGGCCGATGAAATAGAAGGTCGATGAAGGGCCATACCACTGGGTCCGCGAGGAGCGAGCGGTGCGAGTATGGATTCCGTCCCATCCTCTACTTGTTCCTTTCTTCACCGGTCGATCGTCAGCGATGGATGTGGATGGACAGCCGGTCGCATTTTCGAGTCGCTCTTCGAGATCGCGGACTTGCTGTTGCAGTCGTTCGATTTCTCTGATAAGTGTCACAGGTCAGCAGTGAAGAAGACTTTTTTAGGCAGGGCTGTTTACCTCACTGCTTCGGGCAGCGTCTGCGTTCTGGCCACGCCTTTCGACGCGTTTTTCTTGGTGCAACGGCCTCCTCTGTCGCGGCAGTTTTGGCAGGGCGAGCTGCTATCGCATTTGACGCGATGGACGCGGCACCAGTCGCAGGCGCGTGCAACCTGGTGGCGTTTAGGTCGCTGGGGTGAGGCGGGAGAAGTCTTGTTGTTTTCTTTAAGGCTGTTGGTTGCGAATGTTGAGAACATGACGGATGGAAATGGTTTTAAAGAGACTGCATTGTTTGCCCCTCGTTGTGTTGCTGACATTAGTGCTGATATCACGGGCTGCACAGGTATATATCTTAGCGTCGGTACCATTCCGAGTAACCACAAATTTGAAATATAATCAAATTGATTTATCTTCCACTGGCTCTTCTACGGGATACTGGATAATCATCTACTTCCTGCCACAGTGCGGCCTCGGACATACACCTGTGCTACGTTCCGGTCGTCACCGGTCATGATGTACTTCTCAAACACTCTCCTGAGCGAGTCGCCGTCTTCGCGGGGCGTCATTGCCGACTGCAAGCCAGTCGTTGTGGTCACCCAGACGGCATCAAACTCCTTACCAACCTGGAAGTTGCCAATGCGATCTTCAAGGCGAAGAACCCTCGCCCCGCCCAATGTCGCTAGGTAGAATACTTCTTCAAAAGACAGCGCCTTGTCCTTACCTTGCGATAGCACCTCGCGCGCATTCGATGCGATCATCGTTTGCCGGATCACGGCCAGCATCTGCGACGCCCAGCCCCCACCGCTGTCTGTCCCTAGCCCGACCTTGATACCACGCTGTAGGAAATCTCGCACAGGGGCGACCATGAAGCCTCCGCCCACGGTCATGTTGGCGATCGGGCAATGCGCAACGCCGCACTCCAGTGAATGTATCCTCTCCTTCTCGTGGTCAGTCATGATGGTGCAGTGAGCCAGGATAGCCCGGGAATTTAGTAGTCCGTAGCTCTCATATAAGTCGGCCTCGCTGCCACCAAATTGAGGGAACAGCTCTTTCGTAGCATCGACCTCCTGTTGGGCTTCGTTGAAGTGTGTCTGGACGGCCAGAGTGGTATCGCGTTTTACTATCTCACCCAGCCCGTGAAGTAGCTCTGGCGTACAAGAGATGGCAAATCTCGGCGTCACAACTGGTTTCACCAGGGAGTCATCAGCAGATGCGGATCCAGAGAGACCACGAATATGCTGAATGCACTCCTCCGTCTCACGCAACGAGACAGCCGCGCTCTCCTCGCGGATGTAGTCCGGGGCGTTCCTATCCATGTTGCATTTACCCACAAACGCCCGCTGACCTTTCCGATGGCATATTTCAGCCAGAATCTTTGTTCCCTCGGCATGCCGTGAGCTGTAGTATGAAGCAGTTGTGATCCCTTGGCGGAGGAAGTCGTCGACCGTTTGCTCGTATATCCTCGTAGCATAGGCAGGGTCGGCAAAGCGGGCTTCGATAGGGAAGGTAATTTCATTCAGCCAGTCCAAGATATGAAGGCCCTGGCCGAGACCGCGCATCGGCCATTGCGGGGCGTGATTGTGCGTGTCGACGAAGCCTGGAAGGAGGAAGTCACCGGCTGGAAGACGATGAATCGTAGCATCGCGAGGGATTGCATCGCCGGGAATCTGATCGGTAGATTTATACAAAGCCGAGATACGGCCGTCAGTAACGACGAGGGTCGCGTTTTCGAGGAGCTCGAGACGCTCAGGATCTGTGGAGTGGACGACGGCGCCCTGGAAGACGACAACAGCCATGGGGCATAACAGAGAGATTCGCGATATGTAGAACTGTAGAAGAGCTCTTTGAAGGTCGTCGGTAGGCGAAATTGACAAGAGTAGCCCAGCTGGGCTCTGCGGTCAACCGTGTGTTATCTTGAGCTTGGGCATCTCTGCGGGGCACCGGTGGCTGACTAAGTGTTTACAGTCTTCATTGATACAACACTAACACTGTTCAGCGGTTGATGTCAAAACAACTTGGCTGGCCAATACTGGTGCAGGTGCTCGACCGGTTTCACTGGATTATAAGAGTCCAATTTGTGTTCATTAAACTACTTCCATAGGAGAACCCCCTTCAGCGCCTTTCCTTCTTTAACTTCCTTGAACGCCCTCTGGTATTCATTGACGGGGTAGTATGTGACCATCTCGTCCAGGGGGAACTGCCCCTGGGCGTGTTGCTCAATAAGGTATGGCAGGAACTAAGGAATTCAACGTTAGCATTGATGGAAGCCTGCAGAGAATGGAATAGGGAATCGTACTTTCTGGGTATCACTGTCTCCCTCACAGCATCCCAGATACTGACGGCCCATGACCAGATGGGAAAAGACGTCCACTCCAGCACGCACACCAGGGCTCGGGGCACCAACAGTGGCGGCCTTTCCGCGAGTTCCAAGGCAGTCCAGCGCTTTCTCGACGACCTGAGGGATACCGGCACAGTCGACCGAGTAATCGACGCCATTGCTGCCAGAGATCTTCTGGATCTGGGCCACGACATCGCTCTCGGATCCGACAACGGTATGCGTCGCGCCTAGCTTCTTCGCAGCCTCTAGTCTCTGCGGTTGGAGATCAACCGCAATTATCGTCTTTGCGTTTCTCAGCTTCGCTGCCATGACAGCACTCATTCCCACCGAGCCCACGCCGAAGACGGCGACCGACTTGCCCGGCTGCACGTCCAGCGTGTTGAGGATAGCCCCAGCACCGGTCTGGATACCACACCCCAGAGGCGAAAACAGGTCCAGCCGTGTCTCTGCGGGAACCTTGACGACCGAGCTACTGCTGACGATGGAGTGCCGGGCAAAGGAGCTCTGTCCGAAGAAGGACCCATGTAACTGCTTACCGTTCGAGTCGGCGATGGTCAGGCTTCCGTCCGGTCGCTTCTGGCCAAAGTTGCGAGGAACCCATTCGGCACAGTAGGCTGGATGGCCTTGGTCGCACTGCCCGCAAGCGCCGCAGTGGTCGAAGCTGAGCAGGACCTTGTCATTCTTGTTGACGTGCTTGACCTTGTCGCCGACCTCGACAACCACGCCGGCTCCTAGAATGGTCAGTCTTGATCGGGAATGCGACGCGATATAACATACCCTCATGCCCGAGCACGCTGGGGAATACGGCAGGGAGCGTCCCGTTCATGCAGGAGAAGTCTGTATGGCAGATGCCGGTCGCGTGGATCTCGACGAGCACCTCGTCGGCGCGAATCCGGTCGAGGGTGATCTCCTCCAGCTTCGGCTCGACGTTTACCTCTCGCGAGACGAGGGCCTGTGTTGTGAATGGCATAGTGTGATAAGGAGGGTATTGGGTATCTAGAGGGTATTGTGGGATCCGGGAGAGGAAGCCTGGAGGGGACCGGTATATATACGCACCCCGTTCTCGATCTACATGTCCAATTTCGACATCGACAGTGCAACTACTCGTTTGCTGCGAGGTGAAATTACCGAGGATTGCGAGGACAATGCCGAATGTCAGCGTTAAGCCCTGGCCGGGCTGAAGGAGCCAAACTTGAGGCTGGCCAGCGCCCACCCCCGCGACTGCACAGAAGCTCCATCAGGAGCGGAGTGATGGTGGAGAGAGCCAGAGATTCTAGTACCGAGCAACACTGCCGGGGGCGACGAATGCGGCGATCTTGGTGCGTGCTCGATCCCCGCATGCTTTGCTCCACCACACCCCGGACAAGCCCCTTTCTCGTCAGCCCAAGGCTTGACTATTAAAGTTATTGTAGCCGCAGCCATGGTCATCAGACCGCAGCTTAAACAGCCGATTGAAAATCCCGAAGTCCCCTGCGGCATCTGCCCGGGATGTGCTAACATGGAGATCGCCCCACGCCTCTGCAGCCCCCAGACAATAGCGCTTTCGCCAAGAATATGCTGTTCGTTGGGCCCGATGGATTTTCGTGCTTGAGTGTCGATTAAAATAGGGTGGATTCAACTGGCTTGGGTTCGTGGTGTGGCTGTTTCCACGATCCGTGGTTCTCCGTCGGCCGTCCAGTGGCCACGACCTTCACCACGGTCTTCTCACCACTCTCCGTCTTGATCTATAAGAGGCCTGTGGGACAGTCATTCCAGAGGCTACCTGTCTCAAACTGTAACCTGCTGCCAACCATCCTGGGGATGTTGAGGCTGTCGCTTGTCAATGTGTTCGTGTGAAACGGAGTACGTCTCGCTGCTTTGCAGGAACTGGATCATTTCTGCACTAATCAGGCCCACGAACGGCTACAGGATTGACCAGAGATTCGAGACATCCGGGACTGCAGCACGCCTGGGATTGTCAACATTGTACGGTCGAGTTGCGGCCCATGGGCCAGGAACGGCCCACTGAGTCAGGGGCGAAGTAATAGTTGGATATCTAGGCTTGATTGAGGTCACTCGCCTTATGGTACAAATTGCACCTTTGCGGCAGGAAGGGCACCAAACATGACGGTACTCAGTTTACAAATCTAACAGCAACATGCCTCAATTCTATATTGGGGAGGTCTCCAGATCCGCGTCGACTACAAGCACTGACGGACGAGGTATGACCCATTGTAAGCAGAGTCATCGAGGCGTAACTGTTCGTCATGATGACATTAAAATAACATATTGGGGTATTCATAAATATAATAGGATAATTTAATCTACGTTGTTTACAGCAGATTAGATCATGTTGAGCACATCACAGTGATGTCATACTGGCTGTACTTATATACAACAGCGACTGAACAAATGCCACTTGACCAATTCAATCAAATTAAGATACAATGCCATCGAAGAAAATCCTCATCATCCTCAGCGATGCCAACTCCTTCCCCCTGCACAAGTCGACCGGGGAAGGCACCACCAAAACCGTGGACCAGCCCTCTGGCTTCTTCCTAATGGAACTCGCCAAACCACTGCAGAAGCTGCTCGACGCCGGGCACGAAATCACATTCGCCTCACCCAACGGCCAAGAACCAACCCCAGACCCTAATAGTGAATCCCTCCTCGCGTTCGCGGGCAACTTCTACGAGCGCCGCCGCGAGAACTCCCTCCTCGAGAAGATGAAGCGCGAGAACGGCTTCACGCGCCCACGCACCCTGAGCAGTATCACCGAAGCCGAACTGGCCTCATTCGCAGGCGTATTCATTCCAGGAGGACACGCACCGCTGGCCGATCTAGGGGACAACAAGGATCTAGGCCGGATCCTGCAATTCTTCCACAAGGAGAACAAGCCGACAGCCGCGATCTGCCACGGGCCGTATGCGCTGCTGAGCACAAAGCAGTATGGCGACGGGACCTTCGCGTATAAGGGCTACAAGATCACATCGTGGAGCGATGCGGAGGAGAAGGCCATGGAGACTTTACTAGGGGGAGAGGTTGAGAAGGTGGAATCAGCGCTGCGGAATGCGGGCGCAGATATGGTTACTGGCGGTGGTGAGAAGATCGGACAGACGACGCTCGACCATGAGCTGCTTACTGGAGGCAATCCCCTGGCTGCTGATGAGCTGGGGAACCGGTTTGTGCGGATGATCAGTGTATAATTGACTACTATAAGATCTTGTGGCAGTCTACTACAGTTAATGAACAGGCTCGTCTCCGATTTCCTCCATCTTCTCCTGTAGCAGCCGCTTCATGCGCGCAACAACCTCCTCGTATTCAGGGTCATTGTAGCAGTTGAACAGCTCTAACGGATCCTTCTCGCAATCAAAAAGCTCCCATTCTTTCTCCTCTCCTCCAGGTCGAGTACCCCCGAGTCCAAGGTCCTCGTTATACCAGTAAATCAGCTTATACCGCTGATCGCGCACACCGTAATGAGCATATGCCTCATGTATGACATCCCGATGCATCCAGTACCGATGATACGCAACTTGCTGCCAATCCTCCGGAGGCTTCTGCTGCAACAAGGACCTGAAGCTGACTCCCTGCATGTACGTTGGCACACGAGTCTGCGCAAAGTCTAAGAATGTCGGGGCAAAGTCCACATTGCAGATAATATCATCGCAGATGCTGCCCGGGGCAATCTCACGGGGATACCGAATGAGGAACGGCATCTGGAAGCTTTCCTCATACATGAAACGCTTGTCAAACCAGCCATGTTCGCCGAGGAAGAAGCCCTGATCGGAAGTGTAGATGACGATGGTATTCTCCCCCAGGCCCTCCGCGTCAAGGAAGTCGAGCATCCGACCGACGTTATCGTCGATGCTTTGAATTGTCCGTAGATACCGCTGCATGTATCGTTGGAACTTGAACTCTGCGAGTTCCTGGGGCGTCTTGAAAGTGAAGACTCTCCCATCTTCTTTTGCCATCAGACGCAGCTTTGTGACATCTTCCGGCGCTGGCACTTTTCGATCATGCCACGACCACAGATCTATCATCTTAGGGCCTACAATCTCAGCAGGGCCTTCAGGCTGCACGAGTCCTAGATCCCCATATGTAAGATCCTCTGCAACACGCATCTTCGCCACCGTCGCCGCCCTCGCCCGGTTCTTATAGTCATCGCTAAACGTGTCCGGAAGCCGAACAGGCTCTTTATACAGATCAGCATGCTTCGCATCATACTCCCAGCTACGATGTGGCGCCTTATGGTGACACATCAGAAAAAAGGGCCTTTCAGCATCTCGCCCCCGTATCCAATCCAAACACTTATCCGTAATGATATCGGTCGCATAGCCAGGGACCCTCGTCATCCCATCCGGCTCAATGAACTGGGGGTCATGGTACTCGCCCTGTCCAGGGACAACACTCCAGTAATCAAACCCCGTCGGTTCATGCTCTTTGCCCTCGCCCAGGTGCCATTTCCCAACCATGGCCGTCTGGTATCCTCCGCTGCGGAGCTGTTTCGCGACATTCGGCAGGCGCTTGTTGATCTTCGAGTCGAGTGTTACCACCCCATTGACGTGGTTATGTGTGCCTGTTAGGATTGCAGCGCGTGATGGCGTGCATATACTATTCGTCACGTAGCAGTGGTTGAAGCGCATGCCTTCGGTCGCGAGTCGATCCAGGTTCGGGGTGTGGTTGATGCCAGCGCCGTAGCAGGAGATGGACTTGGATGCATGGTCATCGGCCATGATGAATATGATATTGGGGCATTTGTCGGCGGGCATTTTGGCTGTACTTGTTGTAGCAGGAAACAACAACGGACACTGGAGTGTTTGAAGGTGGAAGGGTTGGAGGCGGAGGGAGCTCGACTGACTTTCGCAGCCGACAGACGAGGGATAGATTGCCGTAACTATTTTCATTACTATTTCATTGTGAAGTTCAATGGTCTTTGGAGACAACAAATTGGAGCCTGTGGAGTATACGGAGTCCACCGGATGTCGGCGGCAGTCGGCGACGGAGACACGATATTGGCAGGGAGAATGGGCTAAGAATACCTCAAACACCAAGTCAATTCATAGATATTCGTCATATTCAAGTATTATTACAATGCTCGACGAGTATGGAGACCTGCACCCCGTCCGTCAGCCCTCGTATCCCCCGTCCACAAAGTTCGCCTGACGAATCAAGCTATGCACCGCAAGTTGACCATGTCGGAGGCGAGCACTATCATGTACAGAATCACTATGTACAGACTGAGAATTCCCGACTCCCGGTGCACACTGGACCAGCCGCTCGAGATCGGCTATGATATCCTGCGCCCAGGGCGTCGCCGAGAAGAACTTGTATAGAATCCCGAGAGCCGTGGTCGCACTCGCAATGGCACTCTCCGTAGTTATTTCGCTACGAAGAGACGGCAGGAATAAAGTCAGTCGCGCTGCCTGGTAGGTGCAGACAGCCACATAAAGTGGCAGCAGCGGCACATCTGCTTTGAGCACGCCACCCAGGATCTTAAAGATGAGTTGGACATGGATGCGACACATCTCAGCCGCTTGGTGACGGAAATTGACATCTGTCGCGTCCATGATGACCGTTGGCACTGCCTCAGCGTAACCAGGCAAGAAGATGCGGTACAGATCGCAGTGCACTTGATGCCAGGAGAGCGAGGCCATGAGATATCGCGCAAACCACCGCGACTCCTTCATATTTAGAGGCTGCGTTGTAGCAGATATGGAAAAATCGGCCGTCAGTTCCAGGTCTGAATGCAATCGCCAGAGATCATTCTGGATCTCCTGGACCAGCCCCGGCAGCTCTACCAGAGGCTTGTCTGATATAGCCAACTGACGAGTCAATCGCATCACGTCCCTCTGGATCTTGGATACCTGGAAACAGGCAGCCAGAAGATTTGGGTGTTGTGGTTCACGTAGACCAGAATACTCCTCTTCGGAGCAAGGCAGCCGCTGGTAGACGATGGCGTACGGCATGGTTTCATACTCGGGCAGTCCGACAGAAAAGATGCCATCCACACTGGTGAGAGCCCAGAGAACACGACGACGCGTCTCCTGAGCCACGAATCCCAGCTCCGGTCGTTCGTAGTTGAGCCGGAGGGCTGTAGCGGAGCGCGCGGCCATCCCGGCCAGCATGTAGGCACGGGAGAACTCGCCGGTCTGGATGTGATAGAGCACTATTAACACTAAAGTCTGGACTCGAATAATGGATGGTTCATGTAGATGCTCCCATATCTCTGTCTCTACTCGGCGGACCCATGATTTACACTCCTGTAGCAGGCTTTGATCTGGAGATAGATAGACGTTGGTGACAGCAGCCAGCACCAGAGCGAGTGATGGATCAAGGGTACCAGCAGCACAATGCTGTCTGATTGAGGGCTCATGTAGAAAGGAGAAGGAGAGAATGGGATATAAATGGCGGAAGAAGCGGTCGATGGCGTTGAGCATTTCCTGGCGGCGGATGGGAAACAGCGGGCCCAACCAGCCATCTATCTCTGTAGGCTCATTCAAAGACTCTAGCGGCTGGACTGTTTCTGGCGGACCTGAAGACGAGTATCGACATCGCTTCTGGCGACGACGACAATTGTTGCATTCAGGTAGTTCGCCCGAGCATCGCGCCTTGAGACGCTTACATGCCAGACATGCTCGGCTTGCGCGGCGACGCTCTGGAGGTGCAGCCGCATTCTTCTGGCCTTTCTGCTGTTCATCAGGCTGTTTGAATGAACAGGCAAACTGTAGTCTTTCGCAGCTGCCGCAGGTGTCCTGTCGCCGGTCGCATCGGACCTGTTCTTGTCAGCATTGCACTGTCGGCCTAGAGCTTACACTACCTTGCGATATCGACACTGGAGACATGGAGAACGACCAGGACGAGGCATGACGCTGTCGGCCAGTCTATCATTATGCACAGCTGCAGCAGGTGTTTCCCGCGTTGGGGTCAGTCGAAGTGCGGGAAAGACGACAACTGGGCTACCGATGGCGCACTCTGGAGAGTCTCCGATTGGCGTATTTCGCTAAATCTGGGGTTGCTCGTTGCTGTCTGTCCTCTCGCTGCGGTTTCCGACTGCCGCCGACTGCCGTGTATCGTCGCCAGTCTACTTGCTGCTCAGCACGAGATCCTGGGTACCATATCGCATCATCGCTAGTCGTAGATACTATAAAATGAATGCCCATATTCTGCATTCTGCACTACTGGCGGTTCTTCTGGCTTTTACCGCGGTGAATATACATGATGGCCGACGCAAAGATACCCCATGAAACAACAGAAGCCAAAGACACCCAGACAGAGCAAGTTGATGCCGGCAGACGATCAGAGACTGATATCACCGTCCGAGATGCCTTGCGATACTATCGGCCAGCCGTGATGTGGTCTGTCCTCATCTCGCTCACCACCGTCATGGAGTCTTACGATATGCAAATTGTACACTCGTTCTATGCCTTTCCACAGTTCCAAGAGAAGTACGGCGTCCCCCTAGAAGGTGGTGGATACAGTATCCCGGCCAAATGGCAGCTTGGGCTCAACCTGGTGGCTCTCATAGGGCTGATGCTAGGCACCTTCACCAACGGCTGGGCGAGTGAAGCATTTGGCGCGAGAAAGGTCATCATGGTCTCGCTGGTCTGTCTGACGGGGTTTGTCACAATTACATTCATGGCTCCGTCGATTGAAGTGCTTCTCGTGGGTGAGCTGCTGTGGTGTGTTCCCAACCCTTATTTTTATAATTTTGATCTAATTACTCTAGCTCAATCCCATGGGGCTTTTTCGCTGCAGCCACCCCGTCGTATGCCTCGGAAATATGCCCAATGGTACTACGTGGGTACCTGACGACATTCGTGAACTTGTGCTGGGTAATGGGGAGGCTTCTATCCACCGGTGTCCTGACCGGCACTCTAGACATCCCCTCGCAGTGGTCATACCGGCTCCCTTTTGCTCTACAGTGGGCATTCCCTCTCCCCTTGTTTATTGCAACCTACTTCGCCCCAGAGTCTCCTTGGTGGCTTATTCGCAAGGGGCGCGTGGAGGAAGCTGAGGCGTCGCTGAAACGGACCATCTCTGCACCAGAGGGAGTCATCGACACGAAGCCCATCATCGCCATGATCCAAAACACAATCCAGACCGAACATGACATGCAGATCGGAAGTTCCTACCGCGAGTGTTTCCAGGGGACCAACCGGCGACGGTCAGAGATCTCAATCATCAGCTGGGGATGTCAGTTACTCCCAGGCTGGGCCATCCAGAACTATATCACCTACTTCTTCACCCTTGCCGGTCTGTCCTCTGGCGACTCGTTCAAGATTTCTCTTGGTATGTCTGATCCCGTGTTCCTGTCGGTAAGCTAACGAAGTAGGAACTATTTCTCTCGCCTTCATCGGCACTTGTCTGTCGTGGGTCTTCCAAACGCATATTGGCCGCCGCTCCATCTACATTACAGGATTTGTGTCAATGCTGCCTCTGATGTTTGTCGTCGCCTTCTTAGGAGTAGCACCTCCGTCCTCTGGCATTCAATGGGCCCAGTGCGCACTTCTGATGATATGGTTCTTCTGCTATGGTGAGTCTGACTCTGCTTCCACAGCTCCAGCTAACCCATCAGGATGCACAATCGGCCCCATTCCATACGCGATAGCAGCAGAAATCGGAGCCAGCAATCTCAGGATGAAGACAATCGTCCTCGGTCGGGGCACGTACTACATCCTGTCGGTCCTCAACTCGGTGGTGTCTCCGTACATGCTCAATCCCACCGAGGGCAATCTCAAGGGAAAGGCCGCGTTTCCTGCTGCAGTCTTCACCATTCTTCTCTTGATCTGGGCGTTCTTTAGGCTTCCAGAGACCAAGGGCATGACGACGGAGACGCTGGATCATCTGTTCCATCAGGAGGTGCCGGCGAGGAAATTCAAGGACGAAGCACAGCGATTTCAGTAATCTATATTTCTGTATTTCCATATTTAGTTTCTTAGAGAGCGGCAACGGCGGGAACTTCCGCCCCATTAATATAAATATAAATAGAGAACATGCATCATTCAATAACTCAACAACTCACCATGACTGTCAGTCGAGTCGCTGCCTGCCATGTCTCCCCCGTCTTCCTCTCGGCCAGAAAGACCACCGACAAGGCCATCAACCTGATCCACGAGGCCGCGCGTGATAAAGCCCAGCTGGTCGTCTTCCCCGAGACGTTCATCCCCGCATTCCCAGTCTGGAGCGCCCTGCGTGCACCCACCGAGAACCACGCCCTCTTCCAGCGCATGGCCAGCGAGTCCATCTACGCCGACGGGGACGAAATCAACGCCATCCGATGCGCCGCCCAAGAAACAAACACTCTGGTCAGCGTGGGCATCTCCGAAAAGTCCCGCTTCAGCACCGCAACCCTCTACAACTCGAACCTCCTCATCGACCATACAGGCGCAGTCCTCACGCACCACCGAAAGCTAATGCCCACCTTCTTCGAGAAACTCACCTGGAGCCCGGGGGACGGACACGGCCTACGCGTCTCGCACACAGCCCACGGGAACATCGGCAACCTGATCTGCGGCGAGAACACCAACCCGCTTGCTCGGTACTCGCTCATGGCACAGGCCGAGCAGATCCATATCTCGACCTGGCCGGCGATCTGGCCGACGAGGATTCCTGAGGCTTCGGGGGGTGGAGCGAACTACGATAATGTCGCAGCGAACCGCACTCGTGCTGCAGCGCACTGCTTCGAAGCAAAGTGCTTCGGTGTTCTATGCACGGGTTTCCTCGATGGTGAGGCAATCAATACCATCACTGCAGGCGCAAGTAACGAGGAATCCGTCCGGGGTGCCCTTGAGCGCTCTCTCCGCGGTGCATCCATGTTTCTTGACCCGACTGGAGCATTGCACCCGGCATTTACATTTTCTGACACCGGGGAGCAGCAGGAAAAGGAATTCTTGCAGCACGAGGAGGGCATAATCTATGCAGACTTGGACTTGGAGCGGTGCGTTGAGGGGAAGCAGTATCACGATGTGGTGGGTGGATATCAGCGGCTGGATGTCTTCCAGTTGCAGGTCAATCGGACTCGGTCGGATCCAGTTGTTTTCAGGGATGACACAGTGAAGGAGGATACTAGGCTAGTTACAAAGGATGAGTAAATTCAAGTTTAGTTATTGTTCTGGTTGTGTTGATCATGCTATGTATATACCAAACTAGTTGATATTCAACGTATAACCATCTACTCTTTACATTCAATCGTTGGTTTAACCTCATCCAACTCAGCACCTTCAGAGAGTGCAACTCTATCAAACCCCAGGGCGACATTCTCCAAAGACAGCCCTCTCGTCTCCGGAAACCAGAAGAAGGTGATCCCAAACCAAGATATCAACAAACAAACATACACATGTAGTACTTCCACCCAATCGCATCCATCGCATTGGGGGCCTACTATCACCAACCCTCACTGCGCGACTCAGCCCAAGAACACTCTTTACTTCTCTATTCTGCCTCCGAGGCGTGCTCCTGACTCTCAAAGCGGGCACGCAGCTGTGTTTATCGCAACTGTTGCAGCAGTCTTCTTTGCCCATGGAGTCGGTTTCAGCACGCTTCCGGGTATTATCAAGAGTCGTCTTGGTCCTGACGGTTCGTTCTCTCATCACTATGGCCTCGTTCTTACAGCATGGGGCCTGGCTGGCGTTGTTGGCAGTTTGCTTAATTCGTTGTTCGCTTTCTCTGGAGATTTTACGCCCCTCAGCTTTGTTCTGGGTCTCACTATGCTTGCTTCTGGGTGTACTTTGGGTTGTACATCCCTGTTCCCCTGATACTGAATTGTCAATTAGCTGCTCGTCTCTATTGGTTGTGATTAGTCCGACGCTGTCATTCTACTCTCACACTGCCGGCGATATTGAATGATTTACCGTGTTTATATGTTTACCAGACTTTCATAGTAATCAATTTCATTTCATGTTGGGTAACGAGAGAGTTGCAACATGTGGAAGTCGTTTGCTCTTCCTGGTTGCAAGTATAATACGTAACAAGCACTTCTGCTCACACGAGCGGACAAAGAGAAACCACAGCTAAACTGTAATAGCCAAAGAATTCAAATCCAATCTGGGATACGACTTGAGTGCAATCAAATCATCACTGGCCTCCGCGCGCCCAGAGCCAAACTGCTTGAGATTCCACTTATCCACCCCCTCAACACCCTTCAGATCGTTTCCAAACGCCGTGAACAGATCCGAATTCAGCTGCTCGTACTCTCTATACTCCTTGGGCCAGTTACCCAGCCGCTCAATTGCAAGCTTGAGCAGGTGCAGGTGCTTCCTGGCCCGTTTGCCCGAGGACTCGGCGCCATCCCCCCCTCCGGGACTGGACGGCTCAGAGTTGGAAGGACTTAGAGACCCATCTTCGCCTGCGATACTGGCAGAGCTGGGATCAACCAGTGCCCGCAGAGAATTTTCATGCAGCGCAGCGGCCTTCTTGTAGTACTGGTATGCCAGCTCGCGCTGATCCTCCTTGTTCTGGAAGCCCTGTGCAACGCTGGTATACATCTGGGACAGAAGCACGCTCATCTCCACAGTACTGGGATGAGTCGGCCCATGCACTCGCGCACAGTTGTATACAATATCCTCGGCGAGACGAATTGCAGAAGTATACTCGCCCACCAAGTACCTGGTGACCACAAGCATGCGGCCCAGCGCGAGCGTATATCCGCCATTCACCTGAGGCGGGTGCGAGATCTGCCGCTTCGTCCACAGCGAGGTAAGCAGCCACGAAAGACTGAGGTAATCCTTCTGCTTATCGAGGATCTTGATGAGATTGTTGAGATGCACGGCGTCCAGCTGGCTGAGGTCGATGTTCTTCCCCTTGCAGTGCCTCAGCATCTCCTTGCAGATAGTCTCCGATACATCAACCAAATCCTGTTCAAACCGAGACCCAGACTTTGGCTGGACGACCCATGCCGAGGTCGCAAGACCCATCTGAAAGACTAGCTTCATGGTTGTCATGGTCGCGAACCCGTCGTGGGCATGGACGTATCTGAATGACGCCAGGGCGAGATCCGCTGCAGCCTGGTGCTCGTTTATCGCAAGGAGATGGACCACGCCATCATGCGAGGCGAGCGCCACCGAGCGCAGGAAGTTCTGCGATGAGTGCGTCCGGAAGTGCTGGAGGATCGTGGACAGGAAGACGGTTGCCTGTCGCCGATTCAGATCGAGGACCTCGCCCTCGCGCGACATGAAGTAGTCCGTGAATTGCTCCATCAGCAGCTGGGAGCTAGGCGCATCACCCCGTAGATTCAATAGCTCCTCCAGATGTGACACTGTGGGTAGAATTGACTGGAGACTGGTGGATTTGGACCGAGCCTCTGTGCGGAAGCGTTCGCAGTAGACGGACTCTGCCATCAGCGAGGAGTAGATCTCGTTCATAGTAAGCGAAAGCTCCCTTTCATCGCGAAGACTGTATTCAAGCTGCGCGAGGAAGAGCAGACTCTGGTGCTTGCTAGACGTTATTCCATACTTGGCCGAGGTGCTGTCTCCTGTTATGACCTGGCGGTGGATATCCTGGGCCAGCTCTCTTGCGCGTTGGAGTTGTCCGATCTGCCTATAGCCCGCGGCGATAGTCTTAGCAGACTTGATAATGTCGGCCGAAGAGCTTTCTGATGTGAGAATATGAGTAGCAGCGTCGTGGAGCAGAATTGAGGCGCTTTGAGTGTCGTTCTGCTTGGCATACAGCGACACCAATTCCTCCATTTGAGATAGGGAAGCCTCATGAGCCCATCCATACATTGACAGTGTGGTAGTCAGGCGCTGATGGCTAATAGACACGGTCTGATGCTTCCCTTTAGAGGTAGTGGTGGTCGTCTTTGACTGGCCTTCTCGCTCCTCAGTGATACCATCGATGGTCGCGCGGATATCCTCGTAATCGATGTCTGCCACTTCCGACTTGGTCTTGAGGAGCTCCTCGTATAGTTGCACGGCCTCGCCCTCGTATTCCTTAGAGGTCTGGCAGATATGGGCCAGCGTCTTGGTTGCCTCGATTGTAATCACGGCCTTGGTGCCAAACACAGACAGGCAAGCATTTCGATACTCAGCAGTCACATCGTGGATAACACGGAACTCGGCATTGGTCATATGCAGGCAGTGGATATACCGCTCATAGACCGATTTGACGAACCTGTCACTGCGCAACTTGGAGTTGATATTCGGATGATGGAGGGTCTTGAACAAGATGCTGCAGGGTTGAAGTGCAGCCTTATAGCGCTTCTGATTGAAAAGCTCTGTCACGAGTAGAACCAGGCACTCAAATGCTTCTGGTCTGCAGGTATCCGAGCTCTTGTTCAGGATGTCGAAGACGCGCTGGTAGTAGTCCACGCAGGCAGTTCCCGGACGAGTCAAATCAGCCAACGTCCAAAGCTGTTTAAGTACAGCCGGGTGGCCATCCCCGAAGCGGTTGGTGTAGTCCTTCAAGATGTCATTGTGGATGGAAACAAGCTTGTCTGTCTGGCGACTGCGCTCGTAGAGGTTGACAAGCCCCTTTGCAATGCCGTCGAACAGCTCATTACCACCGACCTTGCGATCACGCTTGACTGCGTTATACAGTCGAAGGCAGATATCTTCTTCCTTTGCTGGATTGCGTCTGTAGCGGTAGCAGAGTCTTAATCGTTGCGCCAGGTCAATAGAATACTGCGCATTACTGCGAGGGAAAACGACATCGTTGAGAGAGCGCACAAAGAATGACGGCCAGGCGCCTTGCAATGCCTGTTTCAGTGTCCTTGTAGCATCTTTCCACCGGTGCTGGGCCATGTACATCTTTACCAGTTTGTCGATAGCTGTAGCAGAGAGATCGGAATTACTGTTCGCCATTTCCTGGAGGTCGGACTCGGTCATGCCTGAAGTGGACGAGCCGGCGGCCTGGAGTACTTCCTCAGAGGTAGATACAGTCTCCTCTTGTATCTCCTTGTACAGAGATCCCTCCCGACTAGTTCGCTGCGAGCACTGCTTCAATACGCTCAAGGCCTGCGAGGACAGTCCCACGGACCTCATACGCTTTGCAATGCCAGTGAACTGGGAAACGACCTCCTGCGAGCTCGACATGGACTGCCAATGCTCTTCCCAGAAGCTGGACAGCACAGAAGCAACCTCCTCGTCTCTCCTCTGAGACTTGAGGAAGTCAGAGAATGCGGTGATGGCTTTAATATTGCGCAGCTCTGACTCGGTGGAGTTATGCACCCTGTTGTCCTTGCTGGTTTGCTGCCAGATATCCACATAGGTCCGCTCTGCAGCCGTTAGATTGCCCTCGCGGATTTCCTTTTCAGCCTTTGAGAGGAGAGACTGCAGGTTGAATGTCGCGGTTATGGCGATGTCGTCCTGGAAAGACTCATCCAGAGTCAGGACCGTGCCATGCTCCACGGAGTCCTTCCGACCATGAAGCTGAACAACAAGGGACTGCTCCGAAGGCCTGCGAGCGGTAGTTGTCTCCTGCTGGGATTCAACAGTGCTGCCCTGGATTATGGTTGTGATTTCCTGCGCCTTGTGCACCTGGCCGACTGCTCGGTAGTGCTCTGAAAGCTGCGTTAGAGTCGACACGACCATCTCGCTCGAGGCGCCATAGTGGACCTTGTAGCATTCAACCAGGACTTGAAGCATTTCAGTTCTCCTTGTCATAATCTCAGACTTAGTTTTCGTGGTCCTCTTCTCAGTAAAGTCGAGGAAGTGCTTCGTCATGCGCATCGTAATGAGATGATGCACTGTAAGAACTGACTGGCAGATCTTCGTAGTATTGTAGAATACCTCACTCGCCTGCGACGGCGTCACATCCTGCACCTTCTGGAAGAATAATGCCTGGCAGAGGGTTGCCTGCAAGGTAGCAGGGTCCCTCGTCCCCAGGACGTTCTGGTAGAGGCGAGCCTGGGTAGTATACAACGAGACCAGGGACGGGGTTGGCTTTCTCTTCCAGACTGTCATTTCCAGCATAGGGACCAAGGAACTGCCCGGGAAGACTTGACTCAAGGCCTGGCCGGCTTTAGATATCTCCTGGTCTGAGTCGCAGCCGAAAGCGATCCTAGTATGGCCCAGCCAGTATCGCAGGGAGAAGTCCAGGAAAGGATGCTTCTCGACCAGACTCTCAGCCTGTTGTGGATCTGGGGTATCCAGGGATGGTTCCTGCTTTCCAGTAACGGTGTGCTTGATGTAGACTGCCATCCTGCGAATCAGGTCAAGCTGCGTGTCTTTGATGGCTGGAATGGACTTGTCATTGCTGATGATGTGGCAGATGGCGCTGCGAAGCTGACCGTGACGCAGGTACACCATGTTGTTCTGGTAGAAGACGAGCGACGCAAAGGGCTTTAGAAGGTTGAGGGGGGCAGCCTTCTGTTCAACAATAGCGTCCTTGTCTGGCTGGATAGACAGAAGACTTGACAGTTCTGAGATGGTCAGGGGTCGTGCAGCCGTAGCAAGCCAGGCAACTATCTTCACACCGGCCTGCGAAGCATTGGACTTGAGAGTTTGATACACCAAGTCGTTAACGGTATGGTTTGCCTTCACAAAGCTGCCGATATCCTTGACCAAGGGCCGAGTTTTCGATGTATTGTCGTCACGGATTCTTTTGGCGGCGAGTTTGGCCCAGAGGAACGAGCCCTCTGCAGCCTTCACGATGCGGTGCACGCAAACCTCCTGGTCTTCTGCATTGAGCGAGTTGTAGGCTGGACAGTGATCGAAAACAGTTCGAACCACCGCCGCAACGTCATCCGAGATAAGGTCTGGGGTTATATTCACAGACGACTGTTTAGGAAAAGTATTGTGCTTCTCAGAGCCGGTCACAATCAGCTTCAGATTATCAACGTCGGTACTCGCTCCCCTGAGGCCTTTGAGCAGAACATCCTGTCCACAGGTAGACTCGTCTGTTCCGTCAACGATGAGCACAGTCGGTTTAGAGCCCTGCATGGATGAATGAAGGCCGCTCTTCACAGCAGCCCAGAGCAAGTCCGTATACTCTTCGTCATTGACAGTCTTCGTGCAGCGCTTATATGTGTCTGAGAGAGACTTGTAAAGACCGACGTTTCCAATTCTCAATGCAAATAATTCAGCAAGAATTGCCTTGGCAACAGCCTGGGGAGTTGTTAGGGCAGGAATTCTGCTGTCTATATTTATACATCAGTGCGGCACTAGTATCCACTCGAATAAAGACTTACTGATTGGAACAAAGATAGATTGGTACGATACACCCGCAATAGGGCTCTGGAGGTGGTCATTGATAACTGTTGCCAGAATCGACTTGCCCGAACCTGGATTGCCAGTGATGGCCAGTGTCTTCTGGTCACCTTTCATGAACCGAGTCAGATGCGGTGCGACCCATAGGCATGTTGACTCCTCGCGGTCCTGAGCGAACTGCGCAGTGTATTTGGTGATATGCTCGAGGACGGTATCCTCCGGCTGGAGCCACTCTCTGAGCGTCTTGACATCGGTGACTACCATAATAAATTAGCGACACCGGCAAATATAAACTGAATCACGATTACCTTGATGCCCGAGGCCCTCTTGCGAGATCTGATGCTGCCACATCAACTCAGACACATCTTCACAACGGGCCTGGAAGCTCTCGATGAGCTCAGAGAAGGTATTGTGGATATCAATCGCAACAGAACCGGACGTGATATCCGTGAGAGACTTTTGGAAATGCGATGTAATTTCCACAACCAACGTCACCAGATCGCCAACAGCAAGGGTAACCTGGTCTCTGATCTTGCGAGACACAGGGAACAGTTCCGCGCGACCCATGAGGTGGTGAAGGTCTGTTGAACATCGATAGAAGAAACTAAACAGATCCATCAGGGCTTCACTGTTTTCCTCGCCCAGCTAGATAAAGATGTCAGATTAGCGTAAATACTTCTTAACTTCAATTGCTGCTGAACGTACCCTAAGGAGAGTGGCACAATAGATATAAGCCAGCTGCGTCGCGGTCTGGCTATCGCCTGCAAACGGCTGAATCCCTAATTCAAAGGAGTACAGTCGCTCAACAAACAGCCTTGCGCGAACAAGGACCTTGTCATAGCTGCTTCCCTCAGGGGGTAGCTTGCGCATACGCTCTGAGCGGATCCAGTCCAGGATCCTCTCATGGCTTGCGCTATTGATGCTGGAAGGGTCCATCATGTGGGATTTTCGGTACTCTAGAGTACGCGAAAGGTCATTCAAAGAGGTGCTTGTTTCACTAGATGATACTCTGGAACGAAAGGAGGAGATGGTAGAAGCCCCAGTCTCGTCTGGAATACCAGGAACCCATCTGGTATGCGTGAAAGAAGTAGCTGGGGACTCAAAGGAATTATGGACATGAGCTTGGAAGGACGTCGCCATTGTGTAGAGAGATGGCGTCGTTCTTTATATCATGAGACAATATTAGCATGGAATGATTATGGCGATAGTAATAATTATCTTCATAAACAACCACCAGCTCCCAACAGAAGCCTGGCCTTCATTTATTGTTGCCCAAATGGCAAAAGTACCAACATCACGACCACGTCAGGCTGTGCGGAGAGCGCTGCTATTGTCGATTACTGTTTGCGGCCAAAACTGTCGTACCATCATACGCGGGGCTCCAGATCATGGTCACCGCATTGTTATGAACTCATGGGGGTTGGTTCCAGGGTTCAGCCTTGCGTGGGTGTTTGGTTCGCAGCCGCGCCGGTCGGGAGATGAGCGACCGTACCAAGATCCGGGGTTGATAACCACGGTTTTACTTGTCTATCCCTGCAGGAAAAGCAGTTCCGACCGCATGTAGTCAACCTGATGTCAGCGATGTGCAGTGGTCTAGGATTATAGATGGTTGTGATCGCCCGCCTTATCTTAGGGCTTGCGGGTCATGAGATATCCATCGCCGTTGTAATCTGGTACTCCGAGGGAATTGTTCAGCCAATGCGAGAATTAGCCAGGATAATAGTCCGACGATCAGTAGCACTCCTCCACTGGCTTCTGATCCATGTCCAGACAGGCTCATTGGCTGGGGCGTGTCACCGACAACATCCATGATGCGCTTGATGCCCGGAAACAGGCCCACGCCGTCTACATCAGACCACTTTCCATCCTAGGTATTACGTGTGGTCTCAACTAGCCCTACTCTGATAGACCGATGCTCAGGTGGACACCCTGACATCAGTATAGTCGAACATCGTCGTAACATCGGCACTTGCGGCACGACAGCGACCGGGCAGTGGATTTAGAACCGCCGGCACACCCCGATTCCAGGTATTTAGACATCACCAATCTCGGATGTATGCTGCGTTGTGGAGGTTCTGTATCTACGTCCCTTCATTCGTTTCCACTCTATATTCGAAACTTTGCGATACCATTGTCCGGCTGATAGCAGAGCCGCCTCCGCCACCACCACCACCACCACCACAACTACCACCTACACCCACACCTACAGAGGAAACGCCTCTCTTAGCTGAAATGACCGACCCTTACAGGTAAGGCTCTCAATACAGAAACACACTGATATCGTTCTAACGGCACCAGCAACACTGACCAACGGGATGACGAGAACGAGCTCCAGCTTGATACTGGAGCCGATGACCCCAAAAAGGGTACGGGAAAGAAAACTAAACCCTTGATCGAGGATGAGGCTCCACCTGTTGGCCCTTGGGGAAACAGAGGTGTGACATCTCGTAAGGCTGGTACGAAGAGGCCGCCAGAGAAGGACTCCAGTCTGAATGTTCGGATCAATCTGGATCTCAGGGCGGATGTTGCGTTGGAACTGCACGCTGTTCTTCAGGGTGATGTTACTATCGGTTTGTTTTAATGTGCTGGCTTGTACACTGTCTACATAAACGTAGGTTTTCGAAATATAATTGACGAATAATGCAATTGTTTCAAATCACACTGGCAAGACATCCCGGTACAATGGGCTTGCAGCATGATATTTTGAACTATAATTTACTTTTAACAGCGTGGTAACTTCCGAGTCTTCATTCCAGTGTAGCACTCTAAGGATACTTCAATGTTAATACTCTGGTTATCCCCAATCACAATTCTAGCTAGTGTTGCTGATCTGTATACCCTCTAGTACGTAAAGCGAAAATGCGGATGCGAATCCCCCAGATTGCCCACCTCCTGCTCATCAAGGCTCAGCAAGTAATCGCGCTTCCCCTGCCCACGGTTCCGATTCTCCCGTACAAGCATGAAAAGCAGCACAGTCGCAGCAATCACACACACCCAGATCAACGCAAGACACGTCCCATAGCCAGAGCGGTAGTACGGCGCCTCAGTAATTCCAGCTCCAATAGCGTATATTAAAGTTGTTGCAGTTAAAAAGCGTCAAGAAAGATATTACTCGCGACAAAGCCACCACAGTTCCCGAACCCAATCTGCACCGCTGAGGCTATTGCCTGCTTATAGTGTCCACTCATATTATTGCTTAGCCAGCCGATGAAAATGGGCTGGGCGATGTAGCCGCCACCAACAACAGCATAGAGGGCGAAGTACTTGACACCCGTTGTGACAAAGTCCTGCGCGAGGAGGATAATATATCCCACTGTTGATATCATACAGCCGGCCATCGCGAAGCCAAAGCGGTGCTTGCATCGGTCACTTAGGAGGGACGTGCAGAGGGTCAGGGCTGCTGCCACGACGTAGACAGGTACACTCATCACCTGTGCCTGCAGGGACGTCCACCCCATCTCGTTAAGTATAGTCGGGGTAACGAACGACGCTGCGTATCCGGTATTCAAGACGCCCAGGTACATGATTGTCCTATACTGTCAGTCAATTCCTCTCCAGCCAGCAGTCAAAGCTCACCCCAGGTATATCTTGCCGTCCATCAAAATCCGTCTAACAGCAGCCTTATTTAGTCGATCCATCCGATGCCCACCTTGATCATTCTGCAATCGGGAATGCAGGATAGCACGTTCTGAGTCGTTCAGAAACCGCGCTTTATCTGGCCAGTCGACGATGAAGAACTTGGCTATAATAGCAATGACTGTCGTGGCGAGACCCTCTAGTATGAAGATCCAGCGCCAGGACGAGTATCCCCGGACGCCGTCCATGTATGCCATTCCATAGGCCAAAAGCTGTACCACCAATTAGACATTATCCAAGTTATCACACCGGCTTAGAAGAAAAACTCGCCCCGCTAACTGCTCCTGCGAGTATGGCCGCCGCGAAGAACAGTGTAAGCCGCCACTGCAGCTCATATCGCTTGTAGTACATTGAAATAAGATAGACGCATCCTAAATGGCCATCAGTCTCGTCAAATCAACCAAGTTTAGACACTCCAACTAACCCGGCAAGAACCCAGCCTCGAACATGTCAATAAAGAACCGACAAGTCATCAAGCCGCCGTTGTTCTGGACGAACCCCTGGCAGATCGTTGTAATCCCTAATTCAATCAGCCAGTTTGCTAAAACCACAATATCAGGCAGGGTGTTAACGCACCCCACAGCCCCATAATCGAGCTCAACCATGTCGACGGCGCAAGCCTCTTCATGATGAGATTACACGGGATCTCACACAGAATATACGGGATGAAGAAGATAAATAGTGCGATGTTGTAGTCATTCCCCTGCATGCCGAGGTCTTCTTCGAGACCTTGCAGGCGAGCATTGCCGATGTTTATTCGGTCCAGGAAGGCGAGGAGATACAGGACCATCAATACTGGGACAACGTGCAGATCGCATTTCCAGATAACTCGTCGTTCTGTCTTGAGATCGAGTCCTTCAGGTTGTGGCTTGCTGGCGTCGACGTCGTCAATGTGCATAGGTTTGATGTCTTTACTTTCTGGGTCCATGTTGACAGATTTGGGGAACAGTTTTTGGTGGATTTGATGTTACGATGTGAATAATTGTACTTGTATATGGGTTTTTCTGTAACTATCCAAGATCGGAGGACACTCATCGCTGCTACGTGTACTTCGGCTCTCCAACTTCTTCCCCGCAATATCCCAGAGCCGGAGACCTGTCAACGCGGGGTGCAGCTTGGAGAGACGCCTCTTCCCTCATTCAGCAAATGATTCCCTGTGGGGCTTTGCCCGTTGCTGGGAGTTCGGCTCAAGATGGCTGCCAACTGCCGTGGTCTCAAGATCAGACCTCGACTGGAGTTTGATCATCATAGTTGGTCGCGGTAGACCGACCAAGTCATTCAGTCGGTGCTGGCTGTGGTAAAGGTAGACGAGGGAAAATATCAGATCGATAAATGCCTTTAAATTAACTCCTAGGTATTATGTGAATTAGCGTCAAGTCACGCTTATTATATGCTCGTGTATATGCAATATAGATATTATCCCAGTATATAGCGGGAAATGCGGTAGGCCATAACTTGATTATGCGCGCTGCAGCAGGTGCTCCGACTCCGAGGAGTCGTTCTGCATATGCCAGCTGCTATTACGAAGCCTGCTGCCAGTCGTTGGCACCGGCTTTTCCAGTCGCGTCACCCAGAGAAAGATATCCTCTGCCGGCAAAAGGACCAGCCAGATCCGGTTGAGGGCGAAGCACATGGCGACGGAGAACATTGCGACGGTCGCATCGAACCAGTAGTGGTTTGCCGTGGCTACAATCACCGACAGAACCAGGAGAGGGTAACAGATGCCAAGGCCAACAAAAGCAGCCGTGGTGGTCATAGCACGCAGTGTCCTCCGGCCACCCTTGAACAGCGACCAGAAATTGGAGTGGTACATAAACGTCGCACCGATGCAGAAAGCATAGGTAAAGTGCAAGCTCGGCATGGCAGCTAGTTGGTTCACCGTCTTCCCGCCGACCCACACGCTCTCTGCGTTCTCCTGGCGCACGGTGTCGTGGAAGTTGTACGACTCGGGAAGCAGCCGCGGGGGCATGCACGGATAGAAACAGAAGACGATAAACGCGACGAAATTTCCAAGCGTCATCGTGCGGCGGACGGTCGCAAATCGGTGATGATCAGGGGCGGCCCAGTAGTACCATGAGATGAACCTATGAAAGTCAGAGCCGTTGGCGAGATCCAGTTCGGATCGGGCAACTCACGCGACGGTCCCTGGGATGTGGACCAGGGAGTAGATCCGATTGAAGAACGTCATCCACCCCGGATGCCCGTTGAGAAAGAAGGATTGGAACTCCGATTCTTCGACGGGGAAAAAAATGCTGAAAATCGAACGGTGTTCCAAGTCAAGAATAGATATGCCGTGGTCCTGCGCGAGCTGTACTACGTCCGTTCCAGCCGGAGATAGCGCCTGCGCTATCGCCTTGGTGCAAGAGTAGAAGGCATAGTTGAGGATCCAGTAGAACATCTCAACCAAGAAGGGGAATTTCTGGACGAAGCGGCTGTGGACGTGATGCGCGAAACGAGAGGAGTTTGGCGTGCTGATCACGCAGCAGCCGTATGATCGACGCTTCGGGGGGTATGATCTATCCAGGCCATTCTGATCGTCCGGCAGCGGAACCGAGCTCGCTTCAATGTCGGCCTTGAGGAACTCTCGCTCGGCGACCGGGTCACGGTTGGTGTCGAGGATGCGGAAGTGTTTATAGCGGTTCACGTAGAGGGAAATAAGCATGATGCTCACGACGACCTAGTCAATAAGTCTGTTAGATCTCGCGGGGCACAGTGAAGAGCAGGGTGACACACGATCGGCTCGAGCCATGAGTGGGAGGCAAACTGGGGTTTGCCCAGATCAATCTTGCCTGCGGAATTGGTCGACATTTCTGACTCGCTGGATCACGACTCCGTTGTCGTCGAGTTGGATTTCACGGCCTTGTTACTGGCTGAGATGGCCTCAGGAAAGCGTCCTAAGGATCGAATGCTAGCCGTGTGTGGTTAGAGCACGCGAGAGGGAGTGAGGCGATCTCCAGCCAGTATGAAGGCCAAGAAATATGTATATAGAGAAAGAAATCAAAGATCGGACGCTGACAGACAACAGAAATGGAACAGAAAAGGAACAGAAAAGGACACAGGGTGACCGACGACAGGGAGAGGGAAAGGGAAAGGGAGAGTGGCAGGAGAGCAGCTGACCGCCTCAAACTGAGATTCTCTGCACAATTTAAGCACAAAACAAGCTGCAATCAACGGCGAGTCCAGATCCGCGCGATATGCTGCTGCCGCTGCTGATTGGCGCAGAGTCAAGCCATCTCGTACTCGTAATTTGGCTCGTTTTCAGCCCTGCGATTGCGTGGGTCTGCTCGCGTGAGCAGCGGACAAGAACAGCTTCAGTCCAACAGGCACCAAGATATCACAACAATCAGGTGCATCAATGTGAATGTTCCCAATCTATCAGGCACTGTATAGCTTTTGTCCTCGACAGCTGCCGGTGCTCCGCTGAATTGCTGGATGTCACGCCAGGGTGACAGCTCACGTGAGGTCAGCAGGAAGCGCCGGGACCGACAAGATCCATGGAACAACTCCACTAAAGAAGGTTGCAGAATTGATATTCAGTCAAGATTTCGTTTTCTGGCTCCGGCTCAGTTGGTTCCGCGTATTCGGAGTCCGGATGCTGCGCGTCCTCTCGGAACTCGGGCGATTTACGGAGATAGTTGTGCACAAAACACTCGAATTCCGGTGCAGCTCCGCTGACAAAGAATAAACAAATAACTCCTGAACGAATCAACTAAAATTCTAAAATTACGGCACGATCATCTCTGGGTCCCGCCCAAGTCTCACAAGTCTCACAAGTCTGGTCTACCATCCATCAGAGGGTCCGAAGTCGGACTGCTCATTCTCGTTAATGTCCGCGTGGATATCGTATCCAACACCAATGACGAGGTCGCCGCTGCCTCCAGAACACTTGAACTAAGACTCGAATACGAGGAACGACCCTCGCCCGGATACGAGGCCGTCACAGTGAGCCTCGTTTTCGCACGCTGCACAGACTCGTGCAGATCCCACGCCGTGACCACCTCAGCACTATCCGTATCCTCCACAATGTGAACCTCATCGTACCACACGATCGTCTGGTCGAAGCAGACGCTGCCGCTGATCTGGAAGCATTCTACACCTTGGGGGCAGCAGTAGCCTTTGCCGCTGTGCTGGTAGCAGTAGTCTCCTGGGAAGCAGTGGTCGGCGGAGCAGCAGTCGGGGCAGGATATATTATCCAGGTCGCTACTGTCTTCATGGTGTTAGAAGATATAGTATGAGATGGTGGGGATACTTGCTCTGGGCTGGCAATGGTGTCTGTTCATTATATGTGATGGTCTTTGTGGCCAGAACTGGGTGAAGCGGAAATGAGTCCAGGCTTGAGTCTCGATTGGAATCTCGCAAAACATCCTGACTTGCTAAGGAAATCGATGAGAACAGAAGGTAGAGCAGACAGCGTAGTGACATTTTGTTGATACTTGGTTGCAAGTTGGAGTCCAAACAGCCAGGGCCAGGGAATATATAGCAGTCTCTTTATTGTCGCTGCATTCACCCATTCTATAAATGGAAGCGCCCGTTCTTTGTCTAACGTGCATCAAGGATCGGCCCGCCCCCGGCGCCTACACTGCAGCACTAGACTCTAACCGCCGGCGCCTACAGTTGAAATGCAGTTGGATCACATTTCTCGACAATTTTATTGGCATTCATGATGCTAATCATGTCTCAGTTATATTGCAAATATTTGACGCCGTGGATGTCAAGTCATACTACGTCAATGTCGGCGGTTATTCTTCATATCAACATATCAACATATACAATCGATGAATCAAGGAAACTGCCAACCCCCGGTACGCTTGCTAAAGAACCCATCGGGGTCATACTTGGCCTTGATGGTCTTCAGCTTGTCATACCCCCCATACGTAGACAGCGCACTCTGGTCATGCGCCGCATCGTTGATAAACAGCGGCAATCCCTCAGTGGGAGGCACCGCCGCAACAAGGTCCCTGTAACTATCCTCCACCTTCTGCGCATCCTCGTCCGACAAGAGCGGCGACACCGTCAGAAGATAATTCACCCAGTACCACGGCCCGTCCGGCATCTGCATCGCATTGCCGCCGTAGTTCGAGTTCGAGGCATCCGTCAGCGACTTCGGGATGGGCTGGACGTCGAACGAGGTCAAGAGGTACTGGCCCTTATTCTCCTCGCTCCAGGTGCGCCATTTCTCGTACAGCTCGTTCAGGTTGTCGCTACCCTCCTTGTCGCCGCTGTGCGCGGTAACCCGGAAGTTGTTTCGACCATTACTGAGCGATGCGCTACCGGGAAGAGGCAAGTTCACGACACCATTGTAGTCCATTGGCTTGAGCGTATTCGCCAGATTCGGGATGTCCGTGAAATTCTTAAACACATCCCCTGCGTCCTCGCCGTCATAGACCAGGAACATCATAATCGCCTCGTCGAGGTTGAACTCCAGATCCGGGGTGGGGAGTTTCATATACGTCCCGATAATCGCAGCCTTGGGGTCCTCGTTATACCGAACAAAGTCACTGATCGCATCCAGCACAGCCGAGTTCTGCTGGAACAGGTAAAACACATTCCCAGCATAGAATGTACCCGCCGGGTAACTCTGCACCGTATACTTGGTGACAACACCATAGGCATTCCCACCGCCGCCACGCAAACCAAAGAACAGGTCGGGGTTACTGTGCTCCGACGCAGTAACGATCTCGCCAGAGGGCAGCACCACCTCAAGTTCGCGGAACGAGTCACAGGCCATTCCATACTGGCTGGAGAGATACGAAAGACCACCACCGAGGGCAAGGCCAGTCCCTACACCGGCCAAGCGCGCACCCACAACCGTGCGATTCCACTGCGCAAAGTACTCGTACACATCCCCGAAATTGCCGCCGGGCTGGTACGTCGCGAGCTTCGAGTCCTCATCATACCACTTCTGCGTTAGAGACGAGAGATCAATAAGCACGCCCTTGTCGACAGACGAGTAGAAGTCATTAGGGTTGTGTCCGCCAGCCTTGATGGCGAACCGGGAGTCGGACTTGCGGATCGCTTTGATTGCGGTAGAGACGTCTTCTGCTGAGGTTGGGTAGACAATGCAAGACGGCTTGTATTTGCTCTGCTCGGTGTTGAAGTACGAGTTCTTGGATGTCATGTACTGTTCGCTGTGGGCGTTGGAGACGACGATCTTGTCACCGAGTGTCTGCGTCAAGTTCCCGCATGCCTCTGGGCCCGCTCCAGAAGCAGCAGACGCAGCGACCGAGAGGGCCAGGGCGAGAAGGCCATATCCTGACGAAATCTGGGGAAGCATGTTTGATTGATGTGGTTCTCAGGGCAAGGTGCGACTCTCGACAATTAAAAGGGGGAAGGCGTTATATATCTAAACCCATATTCCACCCCAGCAACGCGAGTCAAGACAAGACAAACTAAAGAGAGTTTATGTATCAATTCTAATCCTGAGTGAGCTGATCCCCCGTTCTGCAATCCCGTCTCCAGCTCCATCCACGGCAGGTAACCCAGTCAGCCGTACGGATATACGCGATACGAAATACGCGGGGGGATCAGGGGAAGCTCGTTTCATTGGGACCACTGCAAGCCGAAAAAATGGGATCAGCACCGGCGTATAGACTGGAATTCGATTGGCGGGTCTAACATAAAATTCAGATCCACATTCAACCCACGAGCACACCGGACGGCAGCGTTGAACAAATGCATCCAGAGCCAAGATTGAAGAGGGACTGGAACTGTTCTGACTATCCTGGGAAATAAACGCGAGTCTGTACCCCTATTCCATATCCATGCATTAATCCATGGATATTTCATGCCCAGCCTGCAGTTTGTCGTTGACGATCAACGGCTCGAACTTGACGTGGGGCTGAACTGACTCGAAGATGCGAGTCTGGTACGCGGTGCCTTGGTTTGTCTCGTTGATCTTGTGGAATTTGCTCGGGAAAGACACCTCGAGCCGCAGATTATGGGCGAAACAGCCGAGCGGCAGTTGGCTTGGAGGGCGTACAGGTACAGATGCTATAGGCGTTGAATAACAGGTATACCAGGCCCTTCCAGCATTCCGACTGACTCGCTCGCATACCCCAGGTTCCCCACAGTGGTCCCTTAACCTTCATGCCAACAGTCTCTAACAGTCTCTCTCTGAGCCGATCTGTACGACGTCGACTGGTGGCCAAAGCGCAGTCGTACAGAAGACTCGACGACTCGCCAGGGTGTAGCTTGGCTGCCGGGCCCGCTGTTCAAACGTCGCACAATCTGTATCTAGATCTCCGTTTAGATGAGGATGTATTATTCACGTGAATCTCCATACTTCAATCTCAAATCTCCGAGGCTTCCTCTATTACAACGTATAATAATTCTAGTTTGTGCAGCTTAGCTCTGAACAACCAACAACGGCCATTCAATCCACGCCCTTCGCTCCGGTCCCAGGACCAACTCAGCAGTCGCCACAAACCGTTCAGGCAGTTTGTGAATCCACCATTTGTCGCTGGTGGCCCGGTGCAGGACGATCGCATAGTGGGCGAGCACGACCATCGCATGCACATCCCCGGCCTCAACCATGCTAATCAACTCCGGCGACAGCCTGATATACCACGTGAAGACGCTCGGGATATCGTCGAGTCGCCCAGCCGAGAGCTCTGTATGGATCTGACTCAATTCCATTCGCGATGACTCGACAGCCCGAAGACCCTGGGGCCGCAGGACAGTCAACTGGGTGACCATGGCAAAGGTATCGCGGAGGGAATTCACCGCGTCGGACAGCGTGCAGGAATGGTGTATAGGGACAGCCGGATTGCCCTGCCACAGATTATTCAACGCTGCCAGGTGCCCGTCTTCCAACCTGATCCAGCTCATCGAGGGCTCGCTCAGCATGGGCGGACTGTATCGCTGGATGACAGGCGCAAGCGGACCTGATGAAATCCACCCCTGGCATCGCCAGAATATCCCGAAGATATTATGCATGCCGTGGGCGATTCTCGCCGCATTACTCGCCAGCTCTTTGGCAATCTCCCCCTTCTTGTCGGAGTCTGACATCCTCCTCGCAGCGTGTAGCAAAACACCACACTCCTCATTAACATTCGCAAAATCAAACAGCACCACAAACATCGCAAACCCAAACAACGCCGCGGAATTCTGCTCCGTTATATCACTCAGTGCCTTGGAGTACTCCGGCAGGGCCTGGTTAAGATGGAAAGCTGCCTCTGCAAGTAGATTCTGCGACGGTGTCTGAGACAGCCCTGCAAGGTGGATGTAGGCAACACTGAGGATTCCATGGCCAACGAAAGGAAACGACATCGCCAGCTTCGGAAACTCATCGCTGAAGAGCTTCTGGCCGATCTCCACGTACGAGAAGCTTGCAGCCGTGTGCGTTCGGAAGTGGACGTAGAGCTCATGGTCGCGCGTATTGCTGCGACAGAAGGGGGGGATGTCTTCATGCGATATCTGCCCAAGTAACTGCAAAGCATTGCCATTCACCGTTGTATTCGTAGTAGGCCGGTGTCTTGTAGCCGGCTCGAAGTATGTCAGAGAGCATTCAATATTTCGCTGGGCGCAGTTGTCGCAGACGGGCTTTTTCTCATCGCACTGTCCAGAATCAATCCACGTCCAATAGCCCTTTCACAGTCAATATTTACCTTGATTCTCCGCCGCTTGCATGGTAGACAGCCGTACCGCGACTTATGGTGGAACTTGCGGCCCTTTTTCGCGGGCGGGAGGCTGGCCATTGCCAACTGCGTGGGATGATTTCATTACCGGAGAATAACAAGGGGCATTTCTAGGTGCATCGCAGAATCGCTCCAGAATCACTCCATCATTCAGAAATAAGTCAAACGTGCAGGAGTTTCAAGGTAGTTAACGGTTGGGGTGATATATAACAATTGGCGTGTCAATCCTAATCTAACTGGGTTTCAGCCCACTTTGTTCGCCAACGTCTCTCCAGTCTCCAGCTATGGGGATTATCCACTAGAGTCTGGGCATTCATGCTTTGGGTGATCATTTCAGATTTTTTCCTGTTTAAGGTTCAATACGAACGTGCGACCTTTGTGCTTACTATTGTGCTATTGAACGTGCGGTGGCCTTATCGATGGGTCCAGCACGACTTCAACGCCCATGTCTTGGATATAACCTGAATATTACCACTATTTCCTTGATGAAATGATCTATCACTCGCTATAATTTCTAACTAGATCGATCCATCTGTGACTAGTCGACACTGGCAGCTTCATATATGCCGGGAACATAGCAAATGCAGGCAGTAGCGTGCCACAAATATTATTGAATTAGGAGATAAACCGTAGACTCAAACAAAACAACTTAGGGTATAAAATCAAGCAAGTTCGGACGGTTCTTGCTTTGCAGGCATCGTTCCTGACAGCTCGTGGCGCAAGTGCGGATCAGCCGGCATTTCCTTTTGCACGGGGGAAGATTCATGCAGCTCGGCCGGACCACTCTCGGCCTTGGCTGTATTATTTTTATTAATGCTCGAATCGGTGAAACCATCTGTGGTATTGGGTCGTTTCGACAGGCGACGACGACGGAGAAAGAACCATATTATTCCCACGATTATCAGGGCCCCGCAAACACCCCCGACTACACCACCCGCTATCGCGCCTTTATTCGTTGAATTCTTTTTCACTGTAATCGACATATCACTTAGCTGCTGATTCAAACACCAAGGCAAACCGTTCGAGAAAGCATACCTTCCGGCTGTGGATAATTCCCTGCATTCCGCACATCAGCCGGATCAGCCGTCGAGATCCACGAGCTGGTGCCACAACCCAGCTGCCCAGTAGATTGATAGTAGTAACCCCGTTCCCCAATCGTCGGATCGCAGCAGAAGTATCCCGAATCGTACGTCCAAAGGGTCCATGTTGAATTGGCACACTGCGGCTGCGCTGTCAAGTCCCCTAACTCGCTGTCAAGGTCACACTTCCGATAACCCGAATCAGTCACATTCGGTCGTGACGGGTCAGGGCAGCACGCAAAGAACTGTCCCCAGGTCTTTTCGCCATGCTCGCCTGGCGGGCATACTTCGGTTTCTGGGAGGTATCGGCGGACCGCCCAGCCTGCTCGAACCTCCTCGGACATGGAACTGGCGACTTTCAGATGAGACTATGAGATAAGGAATAACAGAGAAAGAGCAGAAAGGGGGTAAATGAGGGAGAAGGGCTGAAGGGACTTGAAGAGACCCTGAGGCAGAGTGGGATTGATTGGGGGTGGAGATATGAGGCTGTGAGGCTCTGACATCTCAGCAGCCTATAACAAAAGGCTCACGATCTCCAAATGGGGCCAAACATGACAATCACGACCCTCCATGGAAACGATCGCCTTAAACTCGCCAGATGCCAGATATTGAGTTTGCAAGTTCTGTCCGGGCGCACGCAGTGAGGCATGGTACGCGCGTTTGGTTGGGTCTTCTGGAAGGAGATGAAACAGCTGTACAAGCATTTCGATCTGCAGGAGAAAGGAGGTTCTGACTTCTCAGCTTGTCTATCCTAGCTTACTTCTGCGTCATCGACATGGTCCAATTGGTGAGAATGAAGGCGCATATTGCGAACATGATCGTCTGTTGAGGTAGATGCATAGCCCCAGTCCAGGCTGTAAGTTTAAATGGTCAGTGATCATGAGTATTTGTGGAGCAATGGTATGTATTTGCTTTTCCTGGAGTCCCTTGAGCTGTCACTGGAACAGGGCGACAATTTGTGCAGTTGATGGACACCAACTCGCTTAGTACACGGTATATCCCCATGTCTCTTGCCTATGAGGCTCTCTCGTACGCTCCTCCCGATTTTTTGTTATATATGAGCCGACCCATCCCGCCCATATTGCAGTCCCAAGGAAACAGACCGGCCATGATCGATGGCCAGCATCTCGTCAGCGACAACGACGACTATACATCTCACATTATATTGTTTCTCGCCTTCCCCATAAGATTAAGATGAGACGCTCTCAGCTAAACCCATCATTGGTGCTTCCAGGTCTTCACCATAGAATTAGATATACTTTACTGGAAATGGAATAATTATATGTTGGCATATAATGGTCTATCATCACGATCGCATTCGATCCACGTTGAAGTGTAGAGCGTCGAGAGACAGTAGATGTACTTGGCTGCGTCGGATATATATTTGCGTTGCGTACTTGATTCTGCACCATGTACCGGCAACAACGGAACTTATCATAGCTTTTACAGTCAATCCTGTTCATTTACACTATTATCCGTATTTTATGATAGTACGAACAATTTCTATCGGACAACAATGACTACAGGCATACTCTTCCATCCAGGAGTGGTGGCTTGTTGCGGTATGTTTTCCCGATCGGAGACTTGTTATTCCGACGCTAGCCGTATTCGACAGGGCTAACCCTTTGCCAAGGCCAGTGCCAATTTGGTCAAGCTTCTGTCTCGTCTTGTCTTGTCTGTCTTGTCTTGTCTGTCTTGTCTGTCTTGTTTGATTCTTAAATTTTAACCAGCTCTGATCAGTCGAGGATAAGGGAAACTCCATCTCTTAAGTATCATCAGACCATTGACGCTCATCGAGACACCGTTTTTCCAGCGGCTCGGCCAAACTCCGCTGCGGGCAAAGCGCTTTCCCACGCCATTGCTAGAAAACTGGGTCTGTCTGGGTCTACCGGGGGCAATGGCCAGGAACTCGGCCTTTTAGCAAATTAACAGACACCCGAAATGCATTTCGGCCCGCATTCATGGAAAAGCGGCCCCGACTTGGCCAGTGAATGGCCATTGACTGGCCATTAACAGGCCAACCCGGGCCGATGTGTGGAAGATGCCTGTGACTGCTGACCGGCAGAGTCTTCCCCAGGCCCGCTGGCTGAGCGATTAGCCCGCCTGGTCTTGCGATGTCGCTCACCGACCACTCACCGAACCGTGGCCGACTCATACGGCACATTCTTCGGCGCAGAAGTCCCTGGCTCCCGGCGGATAAGCGCCAGGCCTGGGGAAAACGCTCCCCCGGACAGTGTCCCCTCGATCAGAATGCGTGGGAGCACTGCGGGCATTCTCCAGCTGACGTGTGGGATCTCAGCGTATCGCAGGCCTGCAATTCCTCATGGATGCCCCGGATAGCTTCGTAGCGAACCCCAAACAAATGTGGAGAGGGCTGGAGTTGACAAACCCCGAAGTTTCTGCGGATGCTTTTTAGAAGCTGTTCCCACCTCGCAAGCTCAGCAGGTTCTTTTCAGTCTCATACACGATTCAAGTTTGTCTGTCGCCAATTTACCCCAAGTCCAACTACACCATGGGCGTTCTCACTCTGGTTGAGGACCGGCCGACGCCAAAGGCCGTCTACAACTGGCGCATCTACGTGCTAGCACTCATCGCATCATGTGGCTCTAATATGATCGGTTACACATCGGCCTTCATCGGCACGACAATCACGCTCGGGTCGTTTGAGAATGAATTCGGCTTCGACGACATGACCACAGACCAGGTGGATCTTATCAGCGAGAATATCGTTTCTCTGTTCATTGCCGGGGCTTTCTTCGGCGCCATCTTCACATACGGACTCGGCCACTGGCTTGGCCGGAAATGGAGTTTGGTCGTTGCCTCTGCTCTGTTCACCCTGGGCGCCGGCCTGTCGTGCGGTACAAAGGGGTCCTCCGGCTTGGGAATCATGTACGGAGGACGTGTCCTGACTGGACTGGGTACTGGTGTTGCATCAAATATTATTCCTATTTATATTTCAGAACTCGCACCTCCCGCCATTCGAGGACGACTGGTCGGATTCTATGAATTAGGCTGGCAGATTGGTGGACTCGTCGGGTTCTGGATCAATGTGAGTACTTGATATTGGCCCTTGCACATGGAGACGATAACTAACTTGTTGTTTTCTCTGCAGTACGGAGTTCAAAGGCATATGCCTGCAAGCCACCAGCAATGGATCATTCCGTTTGCCGTCCAGATCATCCCTGCGGGTTTACTTTTCATTGGTTCTTTATGGATCCGCGAGTCCCCTCGTTGGTTGTTCCTCAAGGGCCGTCGCGCACAGGCCATGGCAAACCTCTGCTGGATTCGTCAACTAGACGAAGCAGACATCTACATCACCGAAGAGGTGGCGGCTATTGACCAAGCTCTGGAAGAGCAGATCTCCACAATTGGAGTCGGATTTTGGAAGCCATTCCAGGCTGTTGCGCAACGCGGGGCGATTCTGTACCGTCTCTTCCTTGGATGCATGCTTTTCTTCTGGCAAAATGGATCTGGTATCAACGCCATCAACTACTATAGTCCGACCATCTTCACCAGCATCGGCGTGTCTGACGCTGATGTCGGCTGGATGACGGGTATTTTCGGTGTCATCAAGGCGGTCATGACTTTTGTTTGGCTTCTCTTCTTGGTTGATCAACTTGGTCGACGGAACCTTCTGCTCGGCGGTGCCATCACCGGCTCTGTGTGCATGTGGATTATTGGAGCTTATATCTACGTCGTTCGTCCTGAGGACAACCCTACCGACCACCTCAATGGAGGCGGCATTGCGGCTATTTTCTTCTTTTATCTGTGGACTGTATGTATCACTGAATTCCACTTACGTGCTTCACTAACCAACTGCAGGCTGTCTACACTCCAACATGGAACGGAACCCCTTGGGTTTGCAACTCGGTACGCTCCCTACTCCAGACCTACTCAACAGTCAAACTAATAGACTTAGGAATTCTTCGATCCCAACCTCCGGTCCCTCGCGCAAGCCGCGACAACAGCCAGCAACTGGCTATTCAACTTCCTCGTCTCGCGATTCACCAAGCAAATGTTTGCAAAGATGAACTACGGCGTCTACTTTTTCTTCGGCGCACTATCCTTCCTCGCGTTCTTCTTCGCCTTCTTCCTGATCCCCGAAACCAGCGGTATCCCTCTCGAGGCCGTTGACCGACTGTTCGAGATCAAGCCTGTCTGGCGGGCACACAGCAAGCTGAAGGCTCAGCTGAAGGAAGACGAAGAACAGTTCCGCTTTGAAATCAAGGAGGGTGTCTTTGGGAAGGAGGGCACGGAGGCGCCGAAACATGTAGAGGATCCTGAGAAACCCGAGAACTCTGGGAACTCCTCGGCGTGAAGATGAGATGAGATGTTTTGATACTTGTACAGACATGACGATAGAACTACACCGTATATAGAATTCCTCAGAGTTGGAGGGAATATCATGATTTTTGATTCATGCCACTATATGCTGCTTCCACTTTTGCAAGCTCCATCGCGCCTTCTACTTATGATTACAGTGTTCGGCAGTTAAGGAAGGAACGAGACACCATGCCCTTCGCTCTTTCTTCGTCTAATCTATCATCATACTTTCCTTTCTTGGTCTCACCATCGCGCCTTCCTCTAGTCCACTGTTACTTGAAGAAAGAGCAACCAGACTTAGTTCCTTCCCACTTCAACTCCCCGTCCTCGTCACATCTGCTTTTATTACTAATTTAGATACTACTGACAGGGTCTAGTTGGTACCGTGCAAAGTCCCGTATGATCGCATTGATCGGCCCCAGCGGAAGAGCACTGAGCCGGCATCCGCGGTAAACATTTTGCCAGTAATTCCTCTACACTCCTCCACTGCTAACGAAATGGTATATTGTTTTCACTGCTCTCAGGGCACTACATCGGGGTCTAGAGTCTCGGTGGACTACTTACCTTTCGCCTAGCACCGGCAGTGGACACGGCACCGGATCCGGATACGAGATGTGGCTGGATGAAGTGATTAAGAGACCCAGAGGCGTTTATAGTACTGTGGGAGCTGTTATGCATAATTCAGGGTCCCTGTTCGATTCCCGCGAACGCCTGGTCCTTGATGCCCTGGTCTTTTAGCCTGGGATATACAGTGGCCGATTGCAGAATTTTTCACTTTATAAGGCCCTCGGCTATCCAGGATTACTAAAAATCTGGGGGCCCTGGATGCTTGCGACATGAATTCTACGTCTAGGGATTATTGTTGGCTTGTCAGGAATGCGCGATCTCGATACCCTCATGCCACGTGATGGTTGTGGATAGAGAACGCATTTGGATCGAGCGCCACCACATTCCCAGAGCGGTGATAAGGTTGCTGCAGAGAGTAAGGGGCAAGTCATGCAGAGGACAGACGTGGCAACCGTGGTTGCTGCATTCCAACAAAGAAGGTCAACCAATTTGTCTTGTCATTACTCGACCACTGCCGCTTTCAGTGGTGAGTGCTGAATCCAGGCGGATAGGGTTTTTTAAGGACACGGACGATGGAAGATACTAGCGATCCTTTATGCAACCTTGCGTGGGTCTAGGGATCATCGTGGGTCTGAGAGATGAAGTCTGGTGACAGACGAGATGCTTCTGGAAGTCGCAACGTTGTTGAATATTCCCCAGTCTCCAAGCGAACCGAAACGTAAGCGTAAGCAAAGCACAGACGGTGAAGTTGGAGATGAATCCTTCAGTCCTCTTCCTTCAGCGCATGAGACCAGATCAGGCCACAACGGCGGTTGAGACCTGCTGATGACGGGCGTTATATAGCCACCCAGCCGTTGACCAACTCGATGATTAGCTTGCCCCGCATTGCCAGACCAGCAGGGCAGGGTTACATCCCAGGAATCAGTGAAGAACTTAGTAAACGAGCTATAACTTGTCTAACTTGTTCCAATTTCCCCGCCCAGCCAAGCAGCCCCGCCCCTTACGGCACCACATGGCTGCCATGGCCATTGCATTCCAGCGGCCACGCTGCTCGTAACTCCGCTGTCTCTCTCGTATCTCTGGTTCCTCTCGCTTGACGATCGTCTTTGATGACGCCGGGACCGGCTCCGCTCTTGTGCAACCAGCCTCGATGCCTCTGTGCCCAGCATTGGCACCACCAATACGAGCTGGGTCGGCCTGGCTGACCGCAGGATTCGACGCCCAGAGACGCCCAGGCGCGCTAGCTGCAATCCTTGGGGTGAGTCAGATCCATTTTTCGTCGCGTCTTGTGCTTTGCTTATGAGTTCTTCTCTACGCTTGACATTCGCCGACAGCCAATCATCAGGGCTCCCAAGGCTGGGCCACGCACCCACTTTGGAGATTTGGAAGCTGGGGATCTGAAGAATCTGGGGAACGCCCAAAGAACAATCCTCTGAAGCTCTGGTGAATACCCCGGAACCAGAGCAACCGCAGCTATGCCCAAGACCGGGGTCATGGCACACGGCTGAAACGCCCCCGAAAATCTGACCTTGGACCAGTTCAAAACGCCGCTTTGGGCGCCTCCCATAGGACGGCCCCAAGCCACACGCGGAAGGGAGCAATAAGGCTCTGGTGAAGTGATTCCATTCAGTGGCACGCTGCTTCGTTTGCTCCGGTGGGTGGGCGGCCTTTTCCACCAATCCAGCCCCCTGCCAGTGATGCCAGCCAGGAAGCATCCTGCGCCCCGGCCAGTGAAGACTGACCGTTGTTTTCCTTTGTTGCATGCGCCTGGTCGAAATTGACTAGGCCGGGGGCCACGGATTTAATACCGCTGCACAGCCGGCGCGTTTTCCTCCTCCAGGGGTTCTCTCCACGTTTCCTTCTCCCACCACACACTGCGGAACTCCGAACGCTTTTCTACTCCCACCACCATGAGCGACGAAAAGATAAACCCCGAGCTGAAGGCTGAGGAATCGTCTCCTACCCATGAGGAGGTGACTTCCCCAACGAAGGCCATAAAGACTGAGCATGGTGCTCGTCGCGAGTCTGTCGGTGTCAACATCATCCAGAATCCTCTGCAGGTACGTCCTTTGTTCTCTCTCACAAGCCAAGCCGAGGTTTATTGGACTTGCTAACTTCTGGATCTAGAGCGTCTCCACCGAGCAAGTCGTGCACGATGCGCGCACCTTCGCTGAGGACCACGACCTGACCGAGCATGCCGAGCTGTTCGGCCGCGCTGCCCTCGTTGCGCGAGATCCCGATAGGTTCGAGAACATCGAGGGCCTTTACGGCGACGAGAAGGAAGCGCTTGAGTACGAGAGAGCCCACAAGTGGCATGGTCCCTGGATGCTTTGGTACTCCATCGGACTGTGTGCTGTCGGCGCCGCCACACAAGGATGGGATCAGACTGGCTCCAACGGAGCGAATCTGCAGTTCCACGAGGAATTCAAGATTGACGGCAAGGGTAGAGACGAATGGATTGTTGGCGTTGTCAACGCGGTGATCTTCTTGACTGCTGGTCTTGTGTATGGCCACCTACCTGCCTGCTACTCCTTCTCCGTGCTGACTTGATATACAGGGGTGCCTTCATTGTCGACCCTCTTAACCACTACTTTGGTCGTCGGGGTGAGATCTTCATCACTGCAATTATTCTCACTGCTACACCAATCGGGTCCGCGTTCACACACTCGTGGCAAGCACTCTTCGCTACGCGATTCATCATGGGCATCGGCATCGGCGCAAAGAACGCGACAGTCCCGATCTTCTCTGCTGAGATGGCACCGCACCGTGTCCGTGGTGCCCTTGTCATGTTCTGGCAGCTTTGGGTTGTCGCTGGTTAGTATCCCTCCCCACAGTATGGCCTACTTGCTAACACCAAGCAGGTATCTTTTTGGGTCTCGCGGCCAACTGCATCGTCATGAGAACCGGCCCTATCGCTTGGCGCCTTCAGCTCGGTTCTGCATTCATCCCATCTTTCATTCTCGGTCTCGGTATCTGGTTCTGCCCTGAGTCGCCTCGTTGGCTCATGAAGCACGGCCACTATGCAAAGGGATACCGTTCCATGGCGCGCCTACGAGCCCACCCCATCATTGCCGCCAGAGACTACTACTACTCGTATGTTATCTACCAGGAGGAACTCAAGGAGGCCCGCGGTGCCGGATATTTCCAGCGTATGTGGGACTGCTTCGCCGTGCCTCGTATCAGACGCGCGAACTATGGTGCCTCGACCGTCATGCTTGCTCAACAGATGTGCGGTATCAACAGTAAGCCTTCACTCATTCTCAAATTCTGTCCAGTTCTGACGGCAGCAGTTATCTCCTTCTACAGTTCGAGTATCTTCAGAGACGCCGGATACAACGACACTGAAGCGCTGTATGCCTCGCTTGGATACGGTGCCGTCCAGGTCGTGTTCACCATCCCGACGCTGTTCCTCATTGATACCAAAGGCCGTCGAACTCTTTGCTTGATTGTATGTATCTGAATTACCGTATACGTTTACCTAACTAACCGATCAGACCTTCCCCCTGATGTGTATCTTCCTACTTGCCGGCGGACTGTCCCTTCTCAAGGATTCAGGAACCCGTGGAGAGCAAATCGGCCCCGTCGTCCTGTTCGTCTATCTGTTCACCATATGCTACTCCCTAGGCGAAGGACCGGTTGCATTCCAGTACTCCGCTGAGGTCTTCCCCACCATCCAGCGTGAGCAGGGCATGGCCTGGGCCGTCTGCATCAACAACACCTTCGGTATTTTTTCACTAGCCATATTTTGTATACTCTGCTAACATCCCCCAGCCGGTGTGCTCAGCTTGACATTCCCCCGAATGACGACCGTCATGACCCCAACGGGCGCCTGTAAGTACACCTATCCCCAGTATCACGGCAAAACTAATCCTATACAGTCGGTTTCTACGCCGGCCTCAACCTCATCGCCTGGGGCATGATATTCTGTTTCGTGCGAGAAACCAAACAACTCACGCTAGAAGAGCTGGATCGTATGCACCCCAAACCTATCCCATACAAGACCAACACTAACATAAATCAGAGGTCTTCTCCGTCCCAACAAAGGAGTTCCTCGACTACGAAACAAAAGTCTGGCTCCCCTACTTCTTCAAGCGCCACATCTTCCGCCAGAATATTCCCAAGCCACCACCTATTATCGCGACAAGCGAGAAGAACGAGCACTCCGGGCTCGGAAAGGTGGTGGACAAGTATGTCCTGCGCCGCCGCAATGTCGGACCTGAGGCTTGATTGGAGCTTGGAACGCGAAAACTGAAACTGGATATGATCTGATCTGATATCGTAATTCTTGTGACGTGGAGATGAGAAAGAGACTAATTACTGACTTACTGACTGCTGGCTGAGTGGTCTTTATTCAGTCTACATCCCGTCCGGCCATCTCGACTCCCCCGCGCATTGGTAGGCTTTCTGTTTCTTGTCGCTGTGTGAGATGAGGGTACTATTACTATTAGTGACCGTAATACTGGAGATGTGTGCAGTTTAATTTAATTCAATCTGTACTGCTATCATTTGATTCAGAAATCCATGTTATTGTCTCGGTTGTCAGTGCCATTGCCCCGGTAGTACATACGCGTCGAGCAAGGACAAGTGGTGGGTCTATCCCAGCAAGTCGGTGAATAATCCGACCTATAGTGTACAGATCTATCAGTATTTTCCGGTTCATCATCGTCAACACAGCTGGCATTCATGTTTCAGATATGTTTGACACCGAGTTCAAGTTCACTGTACATAACCTGGAATAACCACCCCAGGTGAAGGAGGGATGGTTCGATTGTGCGACTTTGACAACTTTATCGGAGCTGACGTTCCTCTTGGCTTCCCAGTTTCTCTGGGAATTGTGACATCCGAGGCTGTGCAGATGTGGATGCTTCTGGAGCTGTAGCTGGAGCTGTTGTTTCCCCCACAGTCAAATCCATGAAAAGCAATGCAATGAATGTAGTCTAGACTGGACTACAAGCCACCGGCATGAGAGAATTCGACATGCATTCCACAGCTGTTATTGACCTGATTGGACCCGGTTGTACCTGTTGCCTGGGCGTCGCCGTTCCATGGTTCACAAGGACTAGCGAGATGGTTTGTCATGCCACAATGTATGAATTTAGAATATTAAGTCTGACCTTCTATTTATAATTGGCAGTGAATACGAGATAGTGAGACAGAATAATGAACTATTTTGTTACGACTGTATAGTACTGTATGTTGGGCCACCGGGATGAATATTGATATGGACATACTGCAACTATTTAGGCTGCCATCAATCAAGGATCTAGAATCCAGTCCAGATTGTCGAAATTTCAATGCTTTCACAGTGGTTCCATGGCACCAACACAGCATACGACCACTCTAGAACTGTCATTTGGACCCGCCGCGCAAGCTGAATCGTCACCGGCCAACAGTTCTCAGGGTGGAGAACTGGAGACCACAATAGACTGACCTCTGAAGCACAGTACCATAGTTAATTCCGAGGCAGTCTACAATGCGCGAATAACAGTTGATTCCATTCGGTGAATGATCCCGACAGGCTGACGGTGGTCTGGGCCGTGAATTCCGCGGTCACTGCTAGCAAACTTTGTCCACTGCAAGGACTACATATAGGCCTGCGTCATCCCAGGTTTCTGAAATCCAGTTTCCTAGTGTTACCGTATTGGAATCATCATGAAGTCGTATCTGAGATGGACTGCTCTTGCAGTCGCTGCGATCCAGTCGTGCACTGCTCAGACTTATACTGACTGCAACCCTACCGAGAGTATGACAGCAATCTGATCCTTCTGAGTCTTTACTGACGTTGTGAACAGCGACGTGCCCTGCAAACGACGGCCTGGCTAGCTGGAGTTTCTACACAGACTTCACCACCGGCGCCGACTCGTTCGATGGCTGGACCGTCAGCGCCGGGGATGTAACCAGCACCTCCCTCGGTGCCGAGTTCACCATCAACGAGCAGGGCGACGCACCCACCATCGAGACCGACTTCTACATCATGTTCGGCTACTTCGAGGTCGTGATGCGAGCCGCCAACGGCACCGGCATCATAAGCACCGCCATCCTCGAGTCCGACGACCTCGACGAGATCGACTGGGTAAACCAACTCCCCATAACCCATATCACCACGCATATAGCTGACACAGACAGGAACAAGTAAGCACCTTCGACAACCAGATCCAAACCAACTACTTCGGCAAAGGCAACACCACCAGCTACGACCGGGCCACAACCGTCTCCGTCACCTCCCCGACCGAGCAATTCCATACCTACGGCATCAGCTGGACAGCCGAGAGCACCCAGTGGTTCGTCGACGGCACCCTCGTCCGAACACTCAACTACGCCGACGCCCTCTCTGGCACAAACTACCCACAGACACCCATGCGTCCGCGCATCGGGATCTGGGCCGGCGGCGACCCGAGTAACGGCGAGGGCACGATCCAGTGGGCTGGTGGCGAGACGGACTATACCCAGGCGCCCTTTAATATGTATGTCCAGTCTGTAAGGATCATTAACTATACCCCGGCCGAGTCGTATACGTGGACCGATATGACGGGCTCGTATCAGAGTATTCGGGCGTCGAACGAGACAGAGGGAGGTGCTGTGGGCTCTAGCTCGTCGGCTGTGGTGGGATCTACCTCTACTGCTATCCCAAGCTCCGTCTCCAGCTCCGTCTCCAGCCCCGTCTCCAGCCCTATCTCGACTAGCAGACCTGTTATTTCTCAGCCGACGGCTTCCACACCGGGTGTTGGTGGTACTGGTGCTGGCGGTATTGGCGCCGGAACTGGTGGCGCGACTGAGACTCCAACCAGCTGTGCGTTTGATACAGGTGTGACTCCGACAGGCACTGCCACCGGAGCTGGTAATGGAGCTGATAATGGAGCTGGCACTGGATCTGGCACTGGATCTGGCACTGGAGCTGGTAATGGAGGTGGAGCTGGAACTGGTACTGGTACTGGAACTGGCACTGCCATTCCTTCCGGTAGCCCAAGCCCGACGGAATTCTTCAGTGGTGCTCCAGGCTCTTTGTCCTCATTTGCTAGCGGTTTCTCTGGCATTGCGCTTGCTGCGTTCATTGCGAATGTGCTGCAATTCTAAGTATTAGATGTCGAGATAGCGAGTTGTTTCTCTCTCATTCTTGGGATAAGATTTAGTTATGGATGATTACAGGAGCAGATTAAGGAGAAAAAGTAGATTCTTATTCTAGTCCTGCTGCGTACCCTCTTAATGGATTTGACATTCTGGCCAATTTGTCGATTAGCTACTGTTATGTTGCCGTTTTATACTAGTCAAGGAGATAATACATATTTGTATACATCTTCAGCAGACTTTGATCATTCGGCCCAATCAAGAAGAAAAAATTTGTCTGAGTATAGTAAAATTGTCAGTGCTCGCAGAGATGGAATCCACCCTGCTCAAACCGCTGATTTGCCTCCATGGATTTAGCACCCCTCTCCTCCATAAGCTTGAGCCGATACTCCTTCGCCTCATCCATTGTCATCGGGGTATAATCTGCATTACTCAAGACCATATGCTGAAGCTCAACAGGAAGTCTTTGTCCCAGAGTCTTCTGTATTGAGTCCTTCCACTCGCTACACCAATCCTCTCTCTGCGGAGGCACATTAGCCGTTGAGATGATCCGCCGGGTCGGGTCGATAAGGAAGAAGGCCAGGATCTTGCGGTGGCCAGGCTTGGAAGGGTCCGCGAGCGAGAACGGCGAAACGCAGTGCTGGAGAGTATTAGGGAATGTCAGGAGCCGGCCTTCACGGCATGATACGCCACCCAGGTCTTGCGTGAAATTGTTCTCCCCGTCGTATTCCCCAGCGTCGGGCTCGAATCCGAACACGCGCAGGAAGGCGAACTCGCCCTGCTCATACTCGTGGAAGTCATCGAAGAACCTCTCGTCGGCGCGGTGGCGGAAGGAGAGCGTGTTGTCGGTGATGTTCTCGCAGTCGTAGTAGTAGATGGCTGTGGCGCAGATCCGCTCGTTCTATATCAGTGGTTAGTATAGGGTATTCATCGAGTGGATGGAGTCGTACCAGCTGGCCCTCAATGTGCCAGCTTCCACCATCATAATTCGGCTTTTCTGGCGTAAGCTCGATATTAGCCAGTTTCACAATGACCTGCAGGCCCTTCTCGGCGTAGTTGACCTGGAAGTCGGGCTTTTGCCGGATAGGATTTTCAGGGGGCGTGAATGTAGATGCATCCGGGTGCTTTGGCTGTCGAGCCCTACGCCATTCGTCTTGACGGTCCAAGAACTCATCGTCGTCTGCGTTGTCATCGCTAGTCGGTTCAGGCTCTGGCTCATCACTGGGAAGATACTCAATCTCTGTGTATGGGATGCGGACCGCGCGCGACCTGCTGGCCAAACTCTTCTCCCACAGTGGAATAGTCCGCTTGAGGACCTGTTCAATAACACGGTAAAGGTCGCGATGTTTGGTCGGATGTAGATTGTTGATATATGAAGCGATCTGACATTCGCCATTGTTGTCAAACTTGACCTCGCATGGAAGCCACTGGAACTGGTTACTGTAGGCAGAATTAATGTGCCAGCCACGAGAAGGAGCTTCTTGCACCTTTGTGAGTTCGCCCAAGCCCACATTGAGGAAACAATCATCGGTCCCGATCAGCTTGTCAGTGAGAGCCTTGCTGCGACCATAGACAAGCGGGAAGAGGGACGGGTGCACCAGATCAACCACCTTGTCGTCAGAGTTAGGGTGATAGTCCTTGGGGCCTTCCTGCTCCAAAGCCCTGGAAAGATCCTGAAGTCGCTCCTGGATGTCGCGTGGAATCGCAGTATCAGACTTGACAACACCAGGATCAAACGCCTCTACCATCCCAGTCTTTTTGTATTCGTCTGTTTTCCAGCGCAGCTCTGCAATTATGAAGTCCATCATCGAGTCAGTGATGTTCTCGCCATCTACAGCCTCTTTTCTCCATTTGGAGGTGATCTCCTCGTTGAAGACCTTTTCTTCCCAGTTTGGCTTCTCGGTAATCGCCGCCATCATGCGTATCATAGCGAGCTCTCTCACAACGAACAAATGGCTGGTCCTATTAGCACTCCTACCATTCTACCGGCCAGACAGCGCTCACCCAACATAGCCGTCCTGAAGGTCTGAGGTATCCAAGGCATTCCCATAGACGAGATCAAGCCAATCTCTCTGGATGTTGTTAGTATATTAAACAGGACATGTGCGGGGCACTTACTTCGGGCGTGAAATTCAGGGGCAGGGTAAGCCCAGGCAGATCAAAGGGAGTGGATTGAGTGCCTGTCATATTTCCGATCCCGCGTCTGAGTTTTGTTCTTCCCGAATAATCAATTGTCGAGTAGGATCTGGGGACAGACAATATCGAATATTTAAGATCTGACCCTGCAGGTTGCAGGCAGGAAGCAGGGGCAGGCATCCGCCAAAGCAGCCAGGCAGCCAGGCACCCATCTGCGATGGCCAGGGCTTGGCGCCTCATCAGGGGACAAGACAAGAACTTTCTGGGGGAAGTTACAGAAGGTGCATAACTCAGGAGACGTTGAAGAGACTTCGTAGGAGCCTTGTTGCCTGGCCCCCAACGGTGCACGGCTTAATTCGTCAGGACAGTTAAGCCGAGCTCGACTACGGCGCTTGTATAGAATCCCCACATGGCACTCTCGGCATTTTACATATTTCACCGATCAGGCCATGCAACTTTCGCAATCATTAGTGGTGAGCAGTGAGTTGACTGGAGGAAAGATGGAGAACCCGTTGTATACCCCATACTATGGATGAGATGGCCCGCTTCCGTTCCGCCGAGACTGCACTATAAATATCAGTTAAACATCACCATGGATTGAATCATTCAAGCAACTGAATACAACCTTTCTCTGCCTATTTCCACTATACAAACAGCAAATCCACGATGAAACTTACAGTCCCAACAATCCTATCCGCCATCCTGGCGTGCGGGACCGCAAACCCAATCCGCCGCGCCGATAGCCCTCCCTACTTCATCACCATCGGGGACTCAACCGTCGCCTCAAACGGCGGCTGGGGCGATGGGTTCCTCTCGTTCGTCGCCTCTCCAGCCGACGGTGCAAACCAGGGCAAGAGTGGCAGCACCACTGAGTCCTGGCGCGCCAACGGACGGTGGGAAACACTGGTTGAGACCATCAACGAGACAGTGGCCGACTACCAGACCATTGTGACGATGCAGTTCGGACATAATGACCAGAAGGCCTTGTCCCTGGATGAGTATGGTGAGAATCTCATCGGCCTTTGCACTGATATCCAGGATCTTGGTGCTACTCCGGTATGGACCCTTCTGATATCCACGCTGAAATCGGATGAATAGCTAACGAGGCCAGATCGTCATTACACCCCTCAGTCGCCGCAACTTTGACGGTGATACCACGGAAGAGGACTTTGTCGAATGGCGGAAGACCGCTATCGCAGCAGCAAAGGAAGCCGGGGCCAAGTTCTTGGACCTTACCACGGCCAGCACCGACTATGTCAACGCCATTGGAGCCGAGAATGCGGCAGCCTATGACTTGAGTGAGGGCGATGGCACCCATATCAATGAGGCGGGTGGAGTAGTATTCGGCCGCATGGTTGCTGATCTTCTGATTGAGGCGCGCCCTGATGTGGAGGAGTACATTACTGCCAACGAGGCGCTGAGCGAGAAGATCGCGACGGGCGAGTATGCAACCGGCGATGAGTAGCTGGCAACATAATATTGCCATGCGGTCTTTCATATTGGTCTAGTTTGTGTGTTTCAAACACATACTGTACGCTCTTTTGTTTATTGTGATTTGCATACAATAAAATAACCTCGTCAGGTAGACATCAGTACTGGCTTATCCGGGCCGATTAATCCTATATACACTCTGAGCCACATTAAGATAAGCTTCGTACTCCACATCCTCCCCCTCAACATCATAGTGATAGTGACCTCCTTTTTCATCTCCCTCCAGGTCAAAGCAATGGGTATGCTCCATCCTCAAGCCCAAGTTCTCCGGGTCTGCACTGTGGAAAACCGTCAAGCAAACCACCGGCGCCTCACAAGTCTGATACCTCAACCACTCCTGCTCAAGCAGTTTCCGATCCTTGAACGGCAACTCCTCAGCCGGTGGGAAATCAGGCATGACATGGAACTTTGCCCGCCCTGATTTAAGCAAGAATACACCTCCCAAACTAACCGGTCTCGAATCACCATATGCTTGCAGTAAACCAGCACGAATGGTATTAGTGAAATTCTCTACCCCCGTTCTAGTCCGCGCAGTGACTTTAAGGACCAGTCCTGGATCTCCACTAGATCCGAATAAATTCACCATAAGCGCGCAGTTCGTGCTCGGCGACGGACGACACTTTATAGCCTCCCCAAACGTTGAATTAGACTGGAGAACCTCAACAACCCTCGTCCCATTCGTAACATGCAACGAATCCCCATCGCTGAGATCTGGCGATAGGCCCTGCCCCCTCCAAGCCAAATTCGGCGCCAGTTCTGCATTATGCCCGATATCCTGGAACGGCGCCGCGCCCGCACCAAGAACAAACCCTTTCGCGGGATCCATCTGCATATCACGCGCCAGCGCTAACAAATCGAATTTGGCATCAAAATTGGGGGTTGGGAAGAGATTTGGCTGCCCGCCTACATCGGCGATGCGGGGGGCGCCGCATAGACCGCGAGCAGCGAGGCCGAAGGGAGCGTTGCGCAGATCGGGGCATGGAGTGACAGAGGCAGATGCGTGGGTGAAGTTTTGCGAGAGGGCGCGTTCGATTATAGGTGCGAGTTCTGATAATGGGGGTGGGTTTCGGGGGGTTATCGTAACTGTCATGGTGAGTTAGTTGTACGTGTCATGGATTGTGAGAGTTGGAGATGATGGAGATGGAGATATTGCACCATGCGGGGCAGTTCATCTCGGAATGAACTCCGATTATTATACTAACCAGTGTCTTTAGGAGAGGCTGCTGCCAGCGATATACAGGTACATTTAAATCAAACCCCTGCGTAATAAAATAGGTTCAAGAAATGTTTAGATATCAACTTAGGGAGATAAATGACACTCTTCCGGAGGCATGGCCAAGAGCCAAAATGCCGTCTTTCATTGCCAGGCATTCGGGCCGATACCCATGAGGAAGCCATAATACCTTTATACCTTCAATGTATACCCACTGGTCATTAAGTATAGATATAGGGGAACCGTTTTCTAACCATGCCCATGCCGAATGGCGATGGTCGAGTATCTGACACAGCTCTGTCCTGGCATCCCAGAGCGCGACAGTCTGGTCAATAGAGTTGCACGCCAACAGCTGGCTGTCAGGTGAGAATGCTAGAGAAATAGCGATTAAATGAAACACTTCAAGGGTATGTCGCAGCTCGCCTGTATTCGCATCCCAGAGCTTTATAGTTCTATCACCAGAGCTAGATGCAAGCAGCTGACCATCAGCTGAGAAGGCTATTGACGTGATAAAGGACGAATGTCCCTCGAGACTCTGGTGAAGCTCGCCTGTAATTGGATCGCAAAGCTTAACAGTATTATTATCAGTAGATGGAAATGCCAGTAGTTGACTATTGGGTGAGAATGCTATAGACCGACTTTTAAACGGCTTTCCCTCAAGGTTCTGGTGTAGCTTAGATGTGATGACGTCCCACACCTTGACGCGCCGGTCACTTAAGCCAAATTCCAGCAGTTGGCCATTGGGCGAGAAGGTTACCGATCGAACAGGAAGGGAGTTGCCGGTAATAGTCTGCCGTATCTCGGCCGTTTGAGGGTTCCAGACCTTGATGGTTGTATCCTCAGAACCGGATGCCAGCAGGTCTCCATTGGGCGAGAAGGCTATCGATTGAACACGAAGGGAGTGGCCCGCTTCCACAGCGGTCAGAGATGGTCTGTTTGCACTGGGATCCCAAAGCTGGAGAATACCGCCATGAGATCCGGATGCCAGGAGCTGGCCATCGGGTGAAAAGGCTATACACCGAATTGGAAGGGAGGGCCTCTCAAAGGTCTGTCGTATCTTGCCTGTATCAGGGTCCCATAACCGAATAGTCCCATCGTCTGCGCCAGACGCCAGCAGTTGGCTGTCAGTAGAGAAGGCTAATGATCGAACCCCACCAGAATGGGCCTTGAAGGTCTGACGGAGCCCACCTGTAGTCAGATCCCAGAGCTTGATAGTCTTGTCGCCGGAGCCAGATGCTAGCAGTTGCCCAGGCAAAAAGGCCATAGAATTGACATAACTAGAGTGGCCTTCGAGAATCTGACACAGATCCCCCGTGGTAGGGTCCCATAGTCTGATATCAAAAGAAGCTGACGCTAGCAGCTGGCCGGTGGGTGAAAAAACCACAGAATAAACAGGACCAGACTGTTCTTCGAGGGTCTGGCGTAACTGCGCAGTGCGTGGATCCCAGAGCTGGACCTTGCCGGAACCTGACGCCAGCAGCCGACCGTCGGGCGAGAACGCGACGGACCAAATAGTTCCTGAATCGTGTTTCAGATATTCGCGTAGCTCGCCCGTGCTGGGATCCCAAAGGTTAACGCCAGGACGGTCTCCAGAGCTGGACGATGCCAACAGTTGACCGTCGGGAGAAAAGGCCACAGATTGGTTGCTATTTGGGCTGCACTTCAGGGTCTGCCGCAGCTGGCCAGTGCTGGGATCCCAGAGCTTGATTACACAGGGACTGATGTTTCCCCTTGCATAGCTGCTCGCTAGTATCTGACCGTTAGGCGAGAAGGCTAAAGATGTAACACGACCAGAAGCGGACTCGTTGGTCTCGTCTAGGGTTTGTAGCTGTGCATCCCAGGACTCATCGACTTTTGGCAATTGCCGCCAACCGAAGAGCTCCTTCTTATGCATCGTTTTCACTATTGAACTCTCTGGCGCGAACATAAGACCTGAAGAGTAAAGCTGAAGTGGCGCGGTGTCGACTATCTGCCGATTCCTAACGACGAATCGCATGAGATCCCCCAGAAATTCCGATATCTTGGGATGTTGACCACCCTAAATTCTATTAGTGCTTTCATATACACGAAGCTATCAGAGGACAGTACCTGTATAACTGCTCGCGATCTCTTTATTGCCTCTATAACTTCGGACGCAATGCCCAAGACACCCATTGCTTCCACCCAGTGAAGACAATGTGTTTCAAGGAATGGAAAAGCTTTAGACAACAGCATGACGGGGTCTGCAGATTGTACCAGATGCTGTGTCCAATAACGACAGGAGTATTGCAATTCGGGTGGCAAATGGACACTGAGAGAAACTACATCTATGTCGCTCCGTTCTGTACCATCGGTTGGCAAACTGCAGATATTCTTCTTCAGGCTGTGGCACATTGTTGCGATGCACCTTTCAGCTAGGGCATAGTGTGCCGCCTTCTCATCAACCCAGAATCGCTGACTTTCCTTGGATGCCTTTGTCCTCTCATCCAGCAGGAAGTCCCTAAATGAAAGATGCAGAACTCTAACAGGACTTTCTGGACCTTCAGGTATATTCAAAACAGAGTGAAGTCGGTCTAGTCGCCTCCTAATACTTACGGCTGTTAGGCCCAGAAGCTGGGAAAGGCCATTAATTGAGAGGGGCGTCGCAAGAATAATTATAGTGCCGACTACCTGCTTGAATTCCTTGACCAGATGCTTAGTCTCCCACTCATCCTGACCAAGCAAAAGTCCATTTAAAACCGGCACGTATGTACTGGCCATCTTGGAGACGTAAGTCATTTGATCGGCGAGAATTTCCTGAAGCCGGCTTTGAGGGTCCCAGTTTATGTCCCCAAGAAATCGACACAGGGTGGCCGCAGAAATAAATAACGGCACTGTCCTTGCAAGCAAGCTCTCAATGGCTTGCTCTCCAGGCCATTCGATTGGGAGGTCACGGTCCTGCTGGATGTGCAAGAATCTATGTCTCAAAAAGATAGAGATATCCCGTTCAACGGCTGACTTGGCAACATCATGAAGGTCCATATGTTGATGCTGATATTTGATATTCTTGAAACCTAGTCGAATCGGCAATTCTGGTCTGCTCGTCAGGAAGAATCGTAGTCTCAGGCGTCCTAACGTCTGCACGCGTGGTAGGAGTTTGATTATGACTCTTATATCGTCTCTGTATTCTCCTATTTCACACTCATCCAGAGCGTCAATAACGACCACCATGGTTAATGTTTCATCCAAGTTGAGATCAAGGAGTGGCTGGACAATCAGTTTATCAAATTGCTCGCCCAATGCCTTCTCTGAAATATAAGGGTCTTCTTCAACTGTCTTCTGGATACTGCGCATCAACTTGGGATTTCCTATCCCCAATTGTTGGATTATGGTTGCGAAAAGCTTCTTTGCATTTCCGCGATCCTCTTCGCCTCTTTTAAAGAAGAAACTGGCCCCAAGCATCCCTATTTCTTGGAGTTGGCGTGCAATTGTGCGTGAAATTGTTGACTTGCCAGTTCCTGCCATCCCATTTAACCAGAAGATACATTTCCCATGTTGTGATGTTGCCCATTCTTCGATATCGCGAAGTAGCTCAACCCGCGTCCCTTGAATGCATTCGTCATGGTGGTTTTCATAGGCGTCAAATGCTGCCCCTTTTGCAGTTTTCAGTGCCTGTAAATCAATCTTCTGTTCAATATGCTTGGTAGCTTTACTCAGGCTATTGAGCTCTCCAGTAAGTGATTCTGCAGAATAGTCAATTAGCCTACCTGTGCATATTGACTCGCAGATTCAAAACTCACTGCAGATATCCACCACCAAGCTTCCCTGCGGTACACGGCCTTTAGGCATATATTCCAGCATCTCCTTGGCATAGGCGGCGGCTGCCAATGCAGCATAACCCTGCCACTTCTTGTTTTTATGCGTGTCGGAATAATCGCAGATACCGCGGATGATAATACAAGGGAAATCTTGCATCAAGCCTGCAGCTTCCATTTCCAAACAGAGAGCGCCGGCTTTCTGTTGGAGCCGCTCCCTTATTCAGGCATTTTTAATAACCGCATTTCCTGACGCAATGATACCATAATGCACTTGCGGTTCAGTCTCTTCGCGCTCACATCTTCGTACTTCCCACTCTTGCAAGCAGTCATCACAGTCAGCGGCAGTCACAGGATGCTCAAAGCTGACCTGGAAGAGCCGATCATTCTGTGGGCCTGGGTAACTAAAGTTGCGTCGTGTTCGTGCATTTCGTTGGGCCGCTTGCTGAATATAGGAGTAGTAAACAGGGTCTTTTCTTAATACAGCTGCTCGCATCTGGTTGACCGCTGCCAGTAGTATTCTAGGTGGACTGTTCAAGGATCCAGTTTGGCCCAGCTCCCCGCTGCTGCCAATCTTCCCCATGTCATACTGGAGAACTCCACCACTGGTGCCCGTGGGATAACTAACGACAACATCGCCAAGCCGTATATCATTTGCAGCGGATGGTATAGCTCCGCCAATGCCGACCATTAACCCAATCCGTAGTGATTTGGAAAAAGTCCGCGTCATGTGGTTAGCAACTGTCGTCGCTGAAGTCGTCCCATATTGTCCGCCAAGGCATGCGATCACGACATGATGCTTTCCAATCCGGCCCAATGTATATATATTTGTGTCTGAAGTGTCCTGCTCCTCGAGTGTGCCAAAGTCCTCGTCAAGCATTTCCTGGGCAGCAGCAGCCTCAACAGGCAAGGCACAAATCCAGCCAATCTGGTACTCGTTGAGTGTCGGGGAGGGCGTCATATCTGCCATCTGGGCTCGAATAATCTGAGTTGGCAACTTGACGTGCAGAAGGTAAACCTGTGAGGCTGAGTTCGCTTTGTAGAGCGTCGACTGGTGCGGGGTACATACAGATAGATAGATCTACACCAAAAGTCTCTGTTTAGCCACCCAACCAAAATATATATTTTTAATATTCAACTTAAAATTAATGTTTAAAACCCAACTGACATATTGAATCAGGGACAAGAGTGGGCGGGCTCTAATTCCACTCATCGTGCAGCAAGGCGTCGTCAGGTCGCGATGGGCAGTTCATTTGTGGAGATACAGGGTGTGAAATGTTGACCTGAAGATTAAGACCAGACATTTCGAAAACGCTGTACTATGCCCTTCTATTTTTATTTTTATTTTTTGTGTAACGTGATTGGTGCTAAGGAACCAAACATATGATGACGTTTGACGTGCTCTCCCCTGTCGCAGCGAGAGTCCCAAATGAGCGAGTTGTGCCGCGTCTGGCTGTGCACGACAGACTGGAGACACATCTTGATTGTCTGGCCAGTCAGACAGCGCCTGGCAGCCAAGAGCAACGTCATATCAGGCAATTGACCTGGCGCAGGGCTGCGGACGGTGGCTGAGGCAGCAGTGGGCCGGGCGCTGAATGGAACCAAAAGGGGTTAGGGCCGCTGGGGATATCCAAGTTATAAACACCATGGACCCTGAATATTCAAATCAACACAATCAATCATCCAAATCTAAAATATCATCTACAGCTACAATATGAACTCCAACTTCACCGAAAAGATGGGCTACAACGGCTACCCTGCCTACCAACCGCCCTTCCAACCATACCAACAGCCCTACCCTCAATACTCCTACCAACCAGCACAGCCATACTACACCCAAGGCCCACCCCAACAACAATATCCCGGTCCACGCGCCTACGAAGTAACCTTCACCAGCTGGTCAGGCCGACACATGCGCATCACCGAAGAAACCCGCGAGGGCCCGCTCGCATACACCGCAGACCTACACAACCGCAAACCACACATTATCTTCCAAGCCGAAGGCACAGCAAACCTCCCAGCAACAGTCACATACCACAACTTCCGCAGCACAATCGACCTGAGCATCAACGGGGCCGACCTATCCCTCCGCAGTGAAAGCAAATGGAAGCACCAGTACGCCTTTGACTCGCTCGCCATCCAGGGCAAGCATCTCGTTTGGAAGAGCCGGTCGTGCTCGATGAATATGGAGTGTACCGACGAGAGCGGGAATGTGTATGCCAAGTTCACGGCACACAACAAGGGGTGGAGTGGGAAGAAGGCCGGGCGGTTGGAGATCTTCCCCGCTGCGGCGGTTGGGGGGAAGGGTCTTGCTGATGAGTTGGTTGTTACGTGTCTGGCGAATGTTTATCTCATTCTGCAGCGGACGACGGCGGCAAATTCGGCGGCTAGTGCTAGTGCCGGTGCTGCTGCTGCTACTTCTGTCTCTGTCTAGATTTCTTTTGTGTTTTTTTGTTCTATATCCCTGTTAGCGTGTTTTCACTATAGATCTTGATGTTAATATACCATTGCGTGTCTGGATTTATCATATCTATATAGTATATGTATTCCAAGGTTAAACCAAATATACCAGTAGCTATATCTCTGGGTATAGTCCATAAAAATTAATTCTGCCCGAGTAGTTATGTCTTCTAGTATTGAGGTGGTGCGGATGATAGAAGGAATGAGATATACCTAAACATACCAATGTCGCCCCTTCAGCTGATATATACTCTGCCATTAAGTGCTAGCTCCAGCAGCATAGTTCTGACCTTTTGATGTTGTCAAGACGGCCCAGCAATCAAGACCCCAGAAAAGTGAGAAATGCACTCAGAGTAACTCCGGATATTATTAGTCCGAGCGGCCTGTCCCTCCAGCGAGCCTAGATGGGCCTTTTACTGTGGTGTAACCTGCCAAGACACACTAAGTGCTGACTTCCCACCTCCCCAGGATACTAAAAATGCAGTGAAAATAGGGCTGACTTTGAGATGCGCGTAGTAGAGCCTCGAATTTGTCCACCGTGGCGGTGAGTGATTCCAAAGAGGTTCCTGTGCCTCACGTTTACTAGCCATAAATATTGTAGGTTTTTCGGTGACGCTAGGGACATACTTAGAGCAGTATTTAGCTTGATGATACTTAGTTTTACATTTATTCGATCTACCAACGGTCGGGTCTGAGCATGTAATTCAGTGAATAGCACCGAGATGGGCTATACCAAGGCAGCAGAAGCGGGACCTTGGCTTGTTCAGAGAAACGCTTCTGGGGATAATTAAGCAGGCCAACTCCCACATACAATAAATCTATTACGTTCAGTTCACCTGCGCCGTATAACCCTCGCGGTCTGGGATTTGGGGCTCCAAAGGCAGCAACGTACAGCACAGGAGAAAAAAAATAAATAAATAAGCAGCATTCATTCACGCTCTCCTTTCTAACCCAATAAAATCAATTCTACTCCCTGAATCCTCCATTCTCCTTCTTGACCATTGTATATGGAGGACCGACGCGGTTGACAAGCTTCATGACCCGTGGCTTGACATACATTGGTTCCGTCGCTTGAAAGTACGGAATATAGTAGTCCTTCTTAACCTGGACCTAAACACACAAAAGGTATCAGCAGGTCATTACTTATCAACTGTGTAAAGAATGAATGGATACCTCCATCAACCACTCGACAGACGCAGACCTGGCAGGATTATTAGCCAAGAAGTACGGTGATATATTATGCGTACCAGTTCTCCACCCAGGAGATCTCTCCAGAATTTTCTGGCGACTGGTAAATCTCGAAGAACGTGCACTCGGGCTCGGCAATGATCTTGTCGAATACTGGACGGCAGGCCTCAAAGAACTTGTCCACGTCTTCCTCCGCGATGAACACGGTGGCATGGAAAGATATACCGGGGGACGTTGTTGATGCCATGATGACTGCTATTGTGTTCCACAACCTGAAATCAGAGGTCAAACACGGGGTGAGAGCTCATTTTATATGTCGTCCCAGGGCTGAGAACGAGCTGAGTGCAGACCCAAGGCCATGCGGCTGAAATCAGCCAGCCATTTCCTGCGATTTAATCTACTGGAATGGCCGACCGGGGCAGCTGAATCTACGGAGTGAGGGAGAAGGCCCAGCACTTGCGGGTCCGTTCCACAGAAGATAACATGCAGCTTCCGAGTCGGATGAATGGATGCAATTATGAGTAGAATCAGTCGGGTAAAATTAACATTTTACTGATAAGTTGATATTTTATTCCAGAGGTGCCACTTCAGCCGTGCCGGTATCAGCGGGGCACAGCTGGTCAAGAAAAGACGGTGTAGCCCAACATACTGGGGCAATAGTGGCCGTTGAGCTGCTTCTGTCTGCTTCTAGTGTCTCATTTACTGCCGATCAAGATTATCCCAGCAACGCGTGGTGGGGGACCTTGAGAAGGTGCTTATAAATCCAGCTCTTGTTTGAATCATGCAAAACTAATTCTTGTACAGTTAAGGCGGGTCCGAAAGCAGTTTAATGTCCGCCGAAAAGGGCGAGTGTGGGTTCTGCAGGCCGATCAGTGAAATCATCCGTGGATCCATGATGTCAATGCCCCGCGGTATAAAACCCTCCTTTACCCTCACTTCACTTAACACGACAATATTCCACTTCGTTGAATACAATTGAATACACACCAATCTATTAATCCCCTATTGCAAAATGGCACCCAAGATCCTCATCGTCCTCACCTCCTTCGACAAGATCGAAGCCAACAACCACCCCACCGGCTGGTTCCTGGTACGCCCACATCCCCAAATTTCCAAAATCAAGTATAATTAATCAATTCTTCAATTGCACAGCCCGAATTCGCACACCCCTGGGAAGTCCTCCACCCCAAGGCCGAACTCACCATCGCCTCCCCCAATGGCGGCACCGCACCCCTCGACCCCTCCTCCGTCGCCATGTTCGAGAAGGACCCCGTCTCAGTCAAATTCCTCACGGAGCAAGAAGCCCTCTGGAAGAACACGGAAAAGCTGACTGACGTACTCCCTCGCGCATCCGAGTTCGACGCCATTTTCTACGTCGGCGGTCACGGCCGTATGTCCCCATAAACTGCCCCACGCCAGTAAATACCTACTGACAACGCTTCAGCAATGTTCGACCTCACAACGGACAAGACCTCCATCGCACTAATCCAGACCTTCGCAAACGCGCGCAAGCCCGTCGCAGCCGTCTGCCACGGCCCCTGCGTGTTCCTCAACGTAACCACGCCCTCGGGCAAGCCCATCGTGGCGGACGCAGAAGTCACCGGGTTCTCGAACACCGAGGAGGACCAGGTTGATCTGAGCAAGGTGATGCCGTTTATGCTGGAGGATGAGCTGCAGAAGAAGTCTGGCGGGAAGTATGTCAAGGCGGACCAGCCTTGGGGCGAGAAGGTTATTGTGGCCAAGGTTGCGGAGCTGGGAGGACCGTTGATTACAGGGCAGAACCCGGCTAGTGCGACGGGGGTTGGGGAGGCTATTCTTAAGGCTTTGGGGGTGTAATTTCGGATATGAATATGATATATAATGTTTATTGTCTGTCCATGGAGTGGCAGCATGATTATGGTAGTGGTGTATCAAGTGACGGTCAGATCTAGCTAGATACTACTATTAACTACGGATGACAAAAGACTTCGGTAATAGGAGTGATATTTACAAGTGTTCCATTCTGACTACAATCCACCACTCATTATACCCATCCAAGGCCTATTCAAACACCGCAATAGTCTCATCAAACTTATCGGCAATCTGCTTGTTCAACGCCGGCGCAATCGCCGCATATGCCGGGGTAAGTTTAACAGTAACCTCCTCCCCAAGCTCCGCCGCAAGGTCCCTCTGGTTCTCCAAGTTAGACTTGACCAAGAACGAAAGCGACCCGATGCCCAACAGCCCCGTATCAAACTGCGGCTTCTTCGAGACGATATTGTCAAGGGTAGTGAAGATGTTCGGCTGCAGGTCGAGGAAAGCACCGGAGACACTGAGCGACTCCTCGTCGGTGAAGTTGGCAGAGACCTTGGTCGTGGAGATGCCGTCTTTGAGGTCGTTGCTGAGTGCGATTGACTGGAACTCGATCTTGAGGGCCGTGCCCGTGCCGATGAACCCGCCCTTGTAGGAGGTCACGGTGGTGTTGAGGGTAACCATTGCCTCGGATATGGTGTTGACGGCGTCCAACACGGCAGCGCCATCACGCTTGACGAGCTCCGGGACAGGGGTTGCCTGTGTAATGGCAGTAAGAGCCAGGAGGAAGGGAACGTGGAAGCGCATTCTGGTTTATGTACAGTCGATCAGCAGATAAAACTCAATTCAGGTGGATAGGATCAGCTCTGCAGAACATGTACAGCAACGAAACTGGAAACGATGGGCAGGGCCATGAATTTATCTGCCCATCTTTCCACGACGGTGCAATCAATTCTACCCCAGTCACTCTCTCGCGCTAACTCGAATTTAAATTGCTCCCCGCATCCCAAAAGGAACGATGGAGATTAACCCTTGTGGCATGTTGCATCCATTGGCTCCAGCTGCCACAGTAAGCACATGTCTCCTGGCCTCCGAGGCATTCTTCATTGCTTCTCTTGCCAAATGTCAGATTGTGGCTCTTGGCAGGCGCCGTGGTGCTCCCATTAGCGGTTTTGATATTTCCTGCTTTCCAGTGCCTAGGCAATGCCCCTGTGCAACACGAGAAGAAAGCATGAGAACTTCTTAACTATGCCGCCGATTGGACTGTCCAGCCTTGGGTTAGTCTTCATTCAGCACCTGCAGAATCACAGGCACAGGTCGATCTCACCATCGCATCTCTTTGCAAGCCACCTTTGTGTAGCTGAGCATTGCTGGAAATTCAACGTGGGGTATTCTCGACAGTCATCAGCTAGACGAAAACTGGAGAAGCGGGGATATCTTTTCGATAGATCAGTCGAAGATTGATGCCATTGTTTGGTGGTCTTGGCTGGCTTTGTGATGATTTTCGCACAGTATACCCAATACGGAAATGTGATGCATTATTGCATATCTTTATGCACTCGATGTACTTGTCGCAGTCTCTCAGCCCAGGTATTCGCCTCAACAATTTCCAATGTGATCTTTACCGTACCGGTGTATATAATTTACCTATAACGTATGTTTTACCTGTACCTTGCGACTTTCAGAGGGTCAGCGCATTATATCATTTACTCCGACAAACTATATATATTCCAACTTTGGGCATCAATTCATTATTCATAAGTCATTACTTCGGTACATCATTTTCAATATCAGTCAAAAACACATGCAGTTTATGCACCAGAATCCGCCGTTGCTCAACCTGGTCCGGCCCTTCAAGCGTGTGAGACGCCCAAGGAATAATCCCACTCTCTGCATGCCATATCTCCCGGTCCGCATCAGTAACCCTTCGCCACCTTTTCAACAAAGCCTCCTTATCAACATGCGCCGGAACAGAAGGATCACTCCCAGAATACAGCACCAACAAACTCTCAGCCCCCCTCAACACGCCCCGTTCACGCACCATCCCAAACGTCTTCCTCAACCGCTCCTCTCCCAAATCCGAGCTAAACAGATCGTCCTCACCTGGAGATCGCGGACTATCCGGACTCGCCAGACTAAGAAACCGTCGACTACTAATCGCCGTGCTGCCGGGGTACCCAATACTCGCCGTATACGGCAACGGCACCACCGTATCCAGCCCATCCTTCTCAAACGTATCTTTCCTAGCCCCCGCAATCGCACGATCATAAATCATCTGCATCTCCTCCGCAGTATGGTGACGATTCCCCTCCTTCAGGACAGTCAGAATCGCCTCCCGATCTGAGACTGGGGCTTGCATAATCGCTCCGTCAACCTGCGGCCTTAAGATCGGCGGCGCCGACCCCCCACGATCCAGCACGGGGTGAGGATGTCTCGGGTTGATCGAGCTAATATACTGCAAGACATCCTGGCTGCCAGTTGAATGGCCCATAATGACAATCTTTCCCGGCCGTGAGCCGCTCCGTATCTCCGGTTCTGTGCATGTCCCCGTCGATGTCGTAGACTCTGACGACACCGCACCCCGTTTATACTCCACGATATACTCCAAACAAAGCGCCATCTCATCAATATCCCGCCCCAGCCCACTCATCCCCCACCCGCCATACGACGAAGACAACACCGGCGAGAAAACCGACCATTCCGTGTGTTCCAGCGCCGCAGCAATATCATCTAGATACGCGACCGTGCCGAGCCCGTCGCCCAGCCCCGGGATGAAGAGGAGGGTATGTGGTTTTACTTGTCCGGCTGTAGCGTATTCGAATGCGACGAGGCGCTCGGCGTATTCGTGGAGAAGGCCTGGGCGAGGACGGGTCTTTTTCGGGTATGAGGGCCGGATGTGCATCGCGGCGGGGCTTGGCTTGGAGATAAATTTAGACCCTAGGGCTGAAATGGGGAGTGAGATGCAGAGGGATAGAGGGGATACTGAATGGATGGATGGATGGTGTGTTGATTGCGGTTTCTGCGTCTGATTTTTCTGGTCTTGGCGGGGTTTTTATCTGATTGATAAGATCTGCCTGAATTGCTTGTCTACGGTGTAGGCAATCATCTACAAAGTTATATCTTGGATGCCCGGGTATATTTAGAATACACACCTCCTAATGCAACGGAATATTAGGATGATTATTCTGGTTAATGGTGTTGTAACAGTTGCATCATCTTGACAAGGTCGGTTTGCCACAAACAAGAACACCATGATATCATCTATGCAACTTAAATATCCAGATACCCCAAGCCGCCCAACTAATATTAAATAAAGGGAAAACGGTAATCATCATGGCAGGCCAAAAGAAACACCAAGTCGCCGTTATCGGCTCCGGCAATTGGTACGTCCCCTCTTATACAAACTACTCACGACTAACAACAACAGGGGCTCAACAATCGGCAAGATCCTCGCCGAAAACACAGCAGAACACAGCGACCTGTTCCACCGCGAGGTCCGGATGTGGGTATTCGAAGAAGACATCAATATCCCAGAAGACTCCAAGCACCGCTCCAAATACGGCGACGCACCGCAAAAGCTCACCAAAGTAATCAACGAAACCCACGAGAACGTCAAATACCTACCAGGGATCTCCCTACCCGAGAATCTCGTTGCAACCCCCGACGTCACGGCAGCTGTCAAAGATGCCTCACTCCTAATCTTCAACCTCCCGCACCAATTCATCGGCAAAACCCTTGACGGGATAAAGGGGCACCACCTCCCCTACGCACGCGGAATCTCATGCATAAAGGGCGTGGACGTCTCCGACGGAATCGTCACTTTATACTCCGAGCTCATCATGGAGAAACTAGGGATCTACTGCGGAGCATTATCCGGAGCTAATATCGCGCCCGAGGTTGCAGCCGAGAGACTGTGCGAGACGACAATCGGGTACGATACGCCGCCGATGGATCTTACCTCGAATGATGGATCTCCGAAGCATAACTTGGTTAAAGTCGATGAGCAGCGCCAGGTGAAGACGAAGCCCACGAGTGTTGAGCTGCATCCTGTCCCGCAGGACTACCCGCATGTTGATGCGGAGTTATGGGAAGCGCTGTTCTCGCGCCCGTATTTCTTCGTGCATGTTGTCAAGGATGTAGCTGGTGTTGCCCTTGGTGGAGCATTGAAGAATATCGTCGCTCTTGCGGCTGGGTTCGTCTCTGGAAAGCAGTGGGGGGAGAATACAAAGGCCGCGATTATCCGGCTTGGAGTTGGAGAGATGATTCGGTTCGGGCGGACGTGGTTTCCCAAGTCAGTGAATGAGCAGACGTTTACAGAGGAGAGCGCCGGTATTGCGGATCTGGTGGCGAGCTGCAATGGGGGGAGGAATGTGAGGTCTGCGACGCATGCTGTTGAGAAGGGCGTCGGTGTGGCAGAAATCGAGAAGACGGAGATGAATGGGCAGAAACTGCAGGGTGTTTCAACTGCGCAGACGGTGTACGGCTTCCTGGATAAGCATGGAAAGACGGGGGATTTCCCTCTATTCTGCGCTGTGAACAGTAAGTTATTCCACATTGTATAAATCATAGAAGCTGACTGCGGCAGACATACTGGAAGGCAAGGCAAAGGTCGAGGACCTGCCGGCTCTGCTAAACAAGAAGAAGTAGTACAGAAAATACCAGAGTAATCAATGAGTGGCATTCAAGTTTAAATATACACAGAATGGTATTCCGAGTCTAATATCGCCCGTGAAGCACTAGTTCTTAGCGAAGGAGTAATTCAGTAATTCCGGCCCAGAATATGCGAAGTCGTACCTCGCTACAAGTCCGACTCTATTTGTGAATACTGAAATGGAGGTTGGAGCATGACGAATAAAGAGAATGGGCTTTTACTCCGTCACGAGGCGAATGGAATGTCAACTTGTCTTATATACAGTGGGATGTACAAGCTGAACGGTTCACCAGAGCCAGATAGGCCACCGTACTGTTAATAAAACATCAGAAGCGTTTCTGTTCTGAAGGGCCTTCAGGGGGAGCCGCAGACGTCAGACCAAATGCATGGAGCCAGGGTGCGCTGACACCGGGAGCATATGCCCCAGAAGAGCTGTGAGAGGATACGATCTTGGGTTCCGTATCGGGTGCCGTATTCGTAGGCCCTGAAGTTCCACGGAGCGGAGACCCTTTTACGACGTCAGGCTTGAGCCTAGGGATTAGCCATCTTATCATTGTTTCCATGATGTGTTCTGTCCGCTTCCACTTATCATCTTCGTGCGGCTCGCCAGAGTCGACAGAGGCAGCCTTGGATGTCTGGCGGACGGTTTCTAGCACACGAACGAGATCAACAGTTTTACGGACCGCATCCCGATCCCAGTCGGCGGCCGGATGTATAGAGAGCCGGTAGGCAGTCACCTGGCACCGGCAAAATTGGGCCCATGTCATGAGCGAGGACCCTATGAGCCCCCGAGCTGTGAGCCTCGAATGCACGGCAAAGTAGGATCTGATCGCGAGTAAAGAATTATACATGCATTCGACAGCCTCCGGGCCTAGCACACTATTCGTGGTAGCTTCCTCACATGCAGACGCTGGAATGCCATAGGCCGCTGAATATGCAGTTTCATGGATGCTGATATCAGCGTAGTGTATGTGCATGCGGATCATGTCTTCAGCAACCCTATCCTTGTCAGTAGCTGATAGGAGATGGAAATTGAGTATGCCCTTTACTCGCCTTCGTTTTCTAGTTCCAGAGGTATGGATTTTCGGAGAATCTGTAGCTGCGACCGGTAGGACCCGGCGAAAACCCGAATCGAGACCTGTGTGTCATGCTGGCCGCGAGCTTGCCTGGCGTTCTCAATGAGGAGCTGCAGGCGTATATGAGTGGCCAATGCACGATCAGTATGCTCTGCACTGGCCTCGATTGCACTAAGATACTGATCCATTTGCGTAGTCCAGCGCATTGTATCCGTCTCCGAGTAAAAAATTGAAATGCTAGCAGGAGAGCACGTAGCAACAGTTAGCTTAATTAGGCGGGATTGCAGGCAAACCCTTAGGGTCTTACACAGAGCTTATGAGGAAGCATCCCAGTACAGCACGTACTTCCTCAAGGGAACGACCCCCTGGATACTCATTCCTTTTCATGTAAGCAGCACCACCAAGTTCAAGGGACGTATGTGCATTATCTGGTATTGGCTCGTTGAGGTGGAGCTTATGGGCGATGGAGATAGCGAGTGCCATCACTCGCGGGACACAGGTGATATCAGTACGGAACCCTGAATGTCCCCATAGAGTATAGATCAATGTCCCAAGAAGCAGGTCTATACTGGGCCGGCTCTGCATGACGGTAGCATTGGCAATTTTCATCTTAATTTCCCTCTCTCGTGCATCCCTGTCTTGTATGCAGTGGGCGGTTGCGCATAGTATATTTTCGAAAAGGAAGGGCCTCTCCAGCTCAAGCTCCCTGGCTGTCAATTTCGGAGGTAGATAGATGAATGGACAATGTGGGAGAAAGTCACGACGAAATAAAATTAACGTTTCCTCTGAATCTCGGATAGGGGGTGGGTGAAAAGCGTGCTTTTCATATATGGCGTCTAGGTTTATGCTCGAGTTGATAACGGACTCTTCCGAGAAAGACGCACCCACGGACTTGTTTGGCTGGTTGAAGGTCGGGGGTGCACCTGCAGGAGCGGACTCCAGTAGCGACAACACCCTGTCAAGCTTGGACTCCAATTGTGAAAACTGGGAGCTGGAAACTGATTGGGAGCTGCGCTTCCTGCAGGACTCCGAGGGATAACATTGCTTATTCAGGCGATGGCATCTAGAGGGAAGGGACAGGCTCTTTAGAGACTGGATTAAGTAAATATGACACATCGACGAACCTCTGACATCCTTCCCCATCCGACTGTGCAACACACTTGCTCTTGGCTTTGAAGCAAGCCATGCAAGCTAAGCCGTATGGGCCCCGCCTGTCCATGGTGGATGCGGGTGGATCTTCGAGCGCTCACACGGAAACGGAGGCCGGGGCCGATGCACGAATCCTGACGGCCACGAGATAGAAAGATGGCCGAAAAAGGATGGATGGAACCGGGAATGAAGCAGCCGCTGATGAGGATCAGGAATTCGGAGATTCAGGGGAGCAAAGTCTTTCTGACGAGGAGAACAAAGAACAAAGAAACCCCTCTTCACGTGACTGCAGACGGAAATTGTACACTAATTACAAAGCTATGCGCATAACTGCCGTGCCGCATTTGACCTTGGTTGAAATGTTCATGGATGAAGTCGTGAATAATGTTGATATAAAATCGGCATTGACAAGAAGAGGATGGCTGTGATGGCGCATACTCTGCAGCAGCCAGTTGATCTCCGTAAGCCGGACGGACGGCATCTGCGCCGAAAGCCGCCCTACGTCTCCCAGTCAGCTCCCAATCCAGCCACCACGCCTGTGACATGCCCATTCCAGTAAATGAACACGCCAGACTTATTCCAAAGGTACCACCAAACACAGTTTACCGGTATCCACCTTTCCAGTGGATGATGCACAGGATCCACCCACCGAGGAGCTTCCTGTCTATCCATTGCTATCGAGCAAAATGGGCACTACCACTGCTCAGAAGATATCTGACAACGCGCATGGTACAATGCAAGAACTCATTCAAAATAACCAATGAGAGTACTGTATTATCTCATGGCTGCAATATAGTATAGTAATTTTATATTATTTATATAGAAGCCCTTGGCTGGTCATAGCGAGTTTCCGGGATATACCACAGCAGGCTAATCCTTGACCAGAACACGTACACCCTTACTATCCATCCGAGCAGACGGAATAAAGATATCGTGAACAACCCGAACATCCTCCATAGTCGTCTCAAACAGTTCAAACCTGAAGCGACGGATCAAGCTCGAGATAACGAGGAGGATTTCCGAGCGGGCAAGACTGCACATACCAGTTAGTAAAGCTCCTAATTGTAGAAGGGTAGAACGTACTGCATGCCAATACACTGGCGCGATCCTTTTGAAAACGCTACCAGGTACTTTTCCAATCGTTTTCGCTCGGCAGGATCTTCCCAGCGCTCTGGCTTGAAGGTGTAAGAGTCGGGGAAGATGGACTCGTCATGGTGCATTAACAGGCAGCTCATGCTTATTGGAGTCTGATAGATAATTAGCAGGGTATTGGTTACAGAAGAAGTGGACGTACCCCCGGCGGAATGGTCCAGTCCTTGTACTTGAGAGTGTTATACGGGGCGATGCGAGGGAGACGCGCAGTAACACCGTATGATAACCTGCATATATTAGAAACAATACAAATAAACAGATCAGAGTACCAACCTGATCCCCTCGAGCATGATGCTAGTCTAGTAATTCATGATTAGCGATGTTCCCATCCCTTAACTGAGCAACTCACAAGATACGGAAGCTGCTCGAGCTGAAGAAGACTCGGATCATCACCCAACGGAGTCAGTTCGTCCTTCAATTTCTGCAATATGTCCGGGTGGTGATGTAAATAGAACATTATATAGCACATCGCCTTGGCCGTAGTTTCCGCGCCAGCGGCCACAAAAATCTGCATATCCTGCCACAGTCTAGTCTTGTTCTTTGCTGTTTCTGGTAGTTTGCTAGCGAGGATATTTTCGAATATATTCTGAGGCCCCTCTTTGGCATCCCGTGGTCCACCTTCGTAGAATTCCTTTGAGATATCGGCGATCATTTGCTGGCAGCGGCGCTGAAACGCGAAGAACAGCTCCATGCCAGGGTTCATCCACGCAGTAACAGAGTCAGGAAGTGCAACGAACAGAGGCACCAGGAAGCCGATCGGGCGAAAGTATGTCATCGTCTTTCCAGCGCCTCTGATCATATGGCACCACGCGGGGATGAAGTCCGGCTCGTCGAGGTAGTGGTACCCTTCGCCCATGGTGTAATCAGTGATGGCATCGGTCGCGTAACACGTAAGTGCGTGCTCGATGCTAACAGGAGAGCCAGTGTTCTTAAACTCTTCTAGTCTGCGGCAGAGCTTCTCGACGAGTTTCTTTAGTGCCGGTTCGAGCTGGCGGATGCGCGTGATGGAGAAGAATGGGTTCAGCTGCGAGCGGAGCAGGCGGTGGTGATAGTGATCTTCGGTATTTAGCAAGGCGCTTTGCGCATTCAGGGCGCGTTGGAAGTAGGGGTACTTGTTGCGAGGACTGTCGCGCGAGTAGATGACTTCGTAGTAGTCCGGGTCGTTGACGTGCAGTTCGGTCGGGCTGATGCGGACAATAGGGCCTGTTCAGTAAGTCGAGTGACACAGAAATTGAGAGACTGCTGTACCATATTCTTTGTGCAAGTCGCCAATATGAAAGGTGTAGCGTCCATTGCGAATGGCCTCCCAGTAGAACTCGTACGCCGTGGTCAAGGCGGCGAGGCGAGGCCCGGGGAAGTGGGCTATGGGGGACAGGTAAAGACGGTATATCGCAGTCAGGGCTATATAGAACAACGTGGCGACTGTAGCAACGACATATGGGTGCTCTAAGAGAAGGCGCAGGAGCTCCATCGTGACGGTTGAGCGGCAGCTGCAATCCACAGCCAGGTCGCTGGGACACGGAGTTCTTATCCTCTAGCCCATACAGTGGTGGACCAGGCAATTGGAGAAAGACATTAAAAATACTGACAACTTACGTCGTCAAGGAGGGGCCAGCAGGTGGAGACGGGCCTGGATGGCACCTGCGCCGCACTTATACAGGGGTTAACGGCTGTCAAGAGCTCACCCTCCAATTACGACTTCCTGCAGTATTGAGACCGCAGTTTCCTGTCCACAAGGAGCACCTGGAACTCCACAGCGGGCCGTGCCTAGCCACTGGGAATTGTCGAGGATAAGCCGGAAGACGGTGCCGACTTAGGGCACTCACTAGACTCCTGCCGTGTCAGACGTAGCAGCAGATCCTGCTAACGGCCGGGATCAGACTGAATCAGTTGTCCCTTGATTGAACAAATAAGAGTCTCTAAACGCCCAACAGAGAATTTGACGGCGTGACCATTCACAGCAATCTCTTCCCGTGTCTATCTCCTACTATAACTACCGGATCCCACCTTGATTGAGAAAGGTATTACTGTGGGAGCCCAGCTAACTGCCCAGCTAACTGCCCACGATGCTGAGCTATCCAGTCCATCTTGCTAGTGACGCAACTAGATCAAGGAGCCAAGCTCGGACACGTACGCACCTGTACGCTTACGGGTAGTTTCGGCCTGCTCGTAAACTATGAAACGCTTCCTACTAGTGGTCTGAGCTCCTGTTCCTGATCGCTGGAAGTCTAGTTAAAGTTAAACCCCAACTCTCCTGTCGACGTCTTTAAGGTTACATAGAATTAAGGTTATGCAACTAACTGGATCGACCAGTCAGTCCACGTCCCGGGCTCCTTGAGTTGAATCTGAAACAAGCCCAGGTAGGAAGACTGGGCCAGACCCTCTTGAAGGCCATGGAAGTAACTCTGCCCTGGACCAGGAACCCGTCCCAGATTTAGCTGAACCAGACGTACCAATGGCTCTTGGCCTGACAGTCGGTCTGTCGACGGGGAAATGCCAATCCACGCCCCACTAAATGCATAGTTTGTGACTCAAAGTCAACTTCATACTGATCCTCTATCTTGAACTTCAACGTATGCTGGCCCACCTTCACCAAGTCCGCCCGCTATCCATCGTGTACCATCTCGGTGAGGATGTCACAGTGTCCGGACATATTCCTTATCTTCGCGGCATAGGGTCATCGACACCACAGCCGCAGCCTTAAAGTACGTAACTAGCGGTCTACATCCAGTCCGGAGTAGCAAAGCGACGAGCGTTGTAGGTGCCGTACCCGCTCATATCCAGGAAAACGTCAGGATCGGGTTCGATTTAAGCTTTGCCTACGTTATGGCTTGCCTAATATCCTACACCGCGATCTCATCGGACCAGGCCAGCCTTGTTCCAGGAATGATGCTCTTTTCAAACCTTGATCGGGCACACGCAAACTTACGCATCCTGTCTAACTTTTCATGCCCTGAGTCACTTCAATATCTGGTAGCGAGCCCATGATCAGGGGTATAAAGTCCTGCTCGAGGCTGGTTTCTCTGTCTTTTCTTCTTTCTTCCTACATCTCTGTGCTCTTCGTTCCCCAAGTACCTCTGTCATTAGTCAGGTCATCAGACAAAGTTTAACAAACTTCTTCAAGTTACCTTGCCCTACTACCAACAACTACTTACTACTTCACCAAGTTAATTCACCTTAATCAAACAAGTACTACTACATCAACATGCGCTTCACAACTCAAGTCCTCACCGGAGCCACCACTCTGAGCAACACCATGGGTGTCCTCGCCAGCCTAGCCACCACCACTGTAAGTCCCCAACCAACCACAAACCAGGAAACAAAGAAACTAACACAACACAGCACTATAGCGACGGCCTGCAAGGCGCCTGCGGCTGCGGCAACAACGCCGGAACCTTCGACTGGCAATACGGCATAACCTCCGGCGTGTACACCGCAGCAGCAAGCCAATCCCTCTTCGACGGCGGCGGGATGGAACACTGGTGCGGGTCTGGCTGCGGGAAATGCTACCGCCTCACGTCCACGGGCGTATCCAGCTGCGAGACCTGCGGCGACGGCGGCGAGGGTGGGAAGTCCATTACAGTCATGGTGACCAACCTGTGCCCGTTCGTGGGCAACGAGCAGTGGTGTCCACAGCCGGGCCAGCTGAACCCGCATGGGTATGCGAACCACTTCGATATCATGGGCGGGGCGGGTGTGTTTGGGGATAATGTTGTTGTGGAGTTTGAGGAGGTTGCTTGTCCTGGGGATGCGGGGGTCAAGTGGAAGACTTGTGAATGTCACCCTGATCTGAAGGGGAAGGAGCTTGTTGATGGGGATGGGCATGAGGGCGGTGCTGGTGTTGTTGGGCCTGGCGAGGCGGCTATTATTTCGGTCAAGGGGGCGCCGGCACCGGTTGAGACTGTTGCTGGGAATGTTCCTCGTGATGGGTTTGCGACTGTTGCGAAGCCGGTTGAGACTGCCTCTGTTGTTTAGGGCTGACGGATTGACTATTCCTTCCTTCTTCTTTGTTTCTTGGGTGTACAAGGATATGATCAACTCATATCCATTCATCTGGTCTCCTCCGGATGTGGTCTGCCTATGCTGATTGTTTGATTCAACACCATGTGAAGTCGGGACTGAGTGTTTTAACCTGCTTATGTTTGTATACGAGTATCAGAAGGTCCTGACCAATATCTAATGTATTTGCGCTTTGATACAACAATCACTATATTATTCACTATCTCACCATAAAACAAGATATCATACAAGCAGAACATCGCTAGTAAGTACACGGCAGAATCATAACCTCATGACAAGTTCATATCCATCCATCCATCAAACATTAACAATCTTCACCTGCGCCCTCTGCACATGCGCAACCTGGAGAACCTTCGCGGTCCGAATCTGAACAGCCACAGGCAACGGCTGCTTCGGCACAGGATACATATCAATAAGCCCACCCTCCTGAATAACCCCCGTGCGATCCAGATTATTCCTCGCGCGCACGTACGGGTCCAGATCCCAGTAATTCAGCCGGATCTGCTCGACAACTTCCTCGCGGTGCGCAACCGCCTCCTGTATGTCCGTCACACTTCCCGTTCTAGAGGCTTCTATCCAGCGGGACGTTGCGGACAGGAATTCCTCGCCGATGGATTGTCGCTCGGCGAGGAGGGTGTCGCGGGCTGCGTAGTCATTCATGGCGCTATTCTCGTCTGCTTCGGGCTCGAGATACTCGTACTCCCAGTCTTCGTTACCGCCGAGCTCGGAGATGATTTGATCGCGGTCAATGTATTGCTCGAGGTCTTGCACTGTGTATGTGAAGTGGATTCGCTCGACGAGGCGGGGGTCGATCCAGGGTTTGATTATTTTCCAGACGCCTGCGTGGTTAGCATGGGCTGTTTAATATATCGAGGCGACAAACCTGTGAATACCCGCGGAGCGTTGTGGATGAGGAGTACGCCGAGACACTCGGGGTAGTATATCTCGAAGCAGCGGATTATAAATTTGACTGGGGCGTATTCCTGGTGATGTTAGCAATATATCGCAGTGTATTAAGAAGAACATACCATGTTGGCCAGCGAGAAGCCCGTCATGTCAAACAAAACCATCTAATCCGTCAGCAACGACTTGAATACTGAGATAGATAGAACATACCGCACTCTCAATAGGTGGTTTTAGAAGCAGCCGGGCACTCTCAACAACATGCGTAATAAACTGGTTCAGAGCTTCCTGGCTCTGCTCTCCTGGCCGGTGGAAGCGTATGCGCACCACAGCGATGGGCCGACTCATACGGTCAACACCATGTACAAAGCCCTTTCCAACTCGAAGTTGTTTCAGAAACCCTGTCGCCTCGCCAGCGGTATATTGATTTGAGAGATCCTGCTCGTTCTGCGCAGCGTACAGTTCGCCGCGCGGTAACAGCACATTATCCACCTGCATCTCCTTCAGCCTCCACACGGTCGCGTTCAAAAGGTGAACGAGCGCCTGGTTCACATCCCACTTGGACACTCGCAGAAACCTCAAGAGATAAACGTCTGGGTGTTCATGTTTCGCCGCAGTCAGGACCCCGAAGCGGATATCCTCGGGCGACAGGACGGCGAGGAAGCGACGCACATTGCGGACCTGGGTAGAGGATAAGCCGACGTCGCGAAAGGTCTGGAGGAGGCGGGAATGGTGGACAGAGACAGAGGCTCGACTGCCTCTACGGACGATGGTCCCCTCGGCGCGAGAGAAGAGCGAGTTGCGGCGACTGTTGGGCTGGGAGCGGGAGGACAGCGAGGAGAGCGAGGTGCGGACGGGTTCGAGGCTATTGACGCGGACAAACTGCTCGAGAGCGCCGAGCGATGAGGCCTCTGCCAGGTGCAGCAGGAGGGTCCAGAGCTGCTGCAGACGCGATTCCTGCAGAGTGGACAGATTCCCCCAGAAGCCGGGGGGGATGCTGGTCGGGTCCTTCATCGTACGACCGACATGCCGTAGCAGTTGAACAGGAAACAGAGGTATCTGACAAACAATAAACGGTTGCAGTGACTGTATCACAATATGACAGAAATGAACAAAATTGAAAAGAAAAATCCCCTGTTGCAAGCAAACGAACAGGCAGCCCACTTCCCCGCAGAAGCGCAGTGCACAGTCCACTTGGGCAGTCCCTCGGTAGCTGTGATTCCTCCGCCGCCCGCCAGTTATTGCCATTATTGGCTCAGGATTGTTGATTGTCGGCTTAGTTTGTTTAGTGGATGCATGATTGTTGTTATTGTTGGCTGACTGGATGAATGGGCCAGTGGGCACTGCCAGTTGTCTTGCCACTGCTGGAATCCCACGCAATGACACCAGACAAGCGGTCTGTGACTGCACGAGACTGTGTTGGAGTGAACGGTCTGGAGGAACTGTCAATCATCATCAAAGTCCTCTTCCAGAATTTACTACCCCTGACCCGGACATGTGTTCCTGGCTGAACTCTGTCCCCGTCCGGCTCGCGTGCCGATAATCCAAACAATCCCCACATTGGAGTGAAACAATTGACAGAGGAACTGCCTTTCACGGACTCCTCGGTCTGTTACTGATCTCATCGATACGGGGGAAACTGCCCTCCACGGAAACTTCAGTGGTGGTAGTCACACGGTCGGGCCAGAAATCCAACCAGGCATCTCATAATAGAAATAATTCTCGATATTGCTTTTTATATGCTGTCATCTCTTAATTTAATGTCCGATTACTAGACATTAGCATAGCACATATATGTCCCTCTCTCAGTTAATTCTCGCACTTCGGCCTTATCGGAGCTGCGAGTTCCAAGGCCGAGCCCCGAGCTCAACGTCTGTTCACGATGGTCCTCTCGTACCATATCCAAGATCCAAACATTCCAGCGGGGACCGGCGACAACCTTTTGCGACGCCGCTTATGCAAGGTCTACCACGGGCCTGCCCTGCCCGGCTGGAATTAAAAGGTCTGGGTTGCTGTGATAGGCCTTCCTCTCCAACCTGGTCTGACCATGAGATTGGGCATGCAGCAATCAAAAATACCCTGCTTCGTCCCAGTGGACCAAAGCCAGTCTATGAGTTTGTCTTTGTGATCTCGCCGCCAAAGAACGCGCCAGTCACTGGCTGGATGTATCGGTCTCCGAAGCGCACTGTTACTCAACATCTCGCCCAATAACGGTCGATATACAGGTAGCATCAACCACGTGGATGTTTGCTTTCGCAGCGATGCAGCCCGAGCCTGGTCTAGATAGATAAGACCGATGGCCCCTGGTCTTTGAAAGCTGAAGCTGTATCTGCGGATGTTCAGAACGTCGACATGCTGTCCCAAACAGACACCAGCCCTAGCCGGACAAAGTCACTCGAGCCACTGGATGTGCTCTCCAAGCTGGAGCCGTCTCGAGGACCAAGCCACGCCCACTGGTGGCAGCGTACCGGTCCGCAGCTTGCTCTGATGCTGAAGGAGGCCGGGTACGCTGTGGAAAAGCAATTCGAGGTCCTCCTGTTCCATTACCACTGGATAGTATGTTACCATGCCCCTTGGTGGGAAATACTGACCTCTAGGTTCCCTATCTCGGCCCCAAGCCCGATGACAACGGCTGGAAGTCTCTTGTCTCCGACATTGGTATCCCACTGGAATACTCGTGGAAATGGGACACATCAGCCAGCGGTCCCGATGTGCGTCTCACTATCGAAGCCATCAACGAACTCAGCGGCACCCGGTTTGATCCCCTCAACCAGTCTCCCTCTCTCGAGCTCTTCCAGCGTCTTGCAGGCATCCTGCCGCAGCTGGATCCGTCCTGGACGAGCCACTTTCTCTCCACATTCTACGACCACGACAAGGTAAAGTACGTGGAAGAGTCACAGTCCTCGTCGGGAATGCCCCTGCGCTCCACGATGCTGGTCTGCTTCGAGTTCGGCCGCAACGGCACAACGTCCAAGACATACATGAGCCCGCGCAAACTGGGCCAGCAGGGATTCGCACCGTTGTCTGAGTACATGTCCGCCATCCAAGCCCTAGGACCAAGCCGTGCCCTCGACGCCCTGACCGACTTCCTCAGCACCAGCCCCGAAGGCCCCGACCTCAAGCCCTTCATGCTGGCCGTTGATAACATCGCCCCGTCCGCCTCACGGCTCAAGTTCTACTTCGCCACCCCGCGAACGCGCTACAATTCCATCCGCGAAGTCCTCACCCTCGGCGGGCGAGTCACAAACCCAACCCTCGAGTCTAAACTACGCCCGCTGCACGAACTCGTCAAAGCCATCATGCCTACGCCAGTGGACCTTGCAGACGACGCCGACATCCCTCCCCCTTCCTCGGATGCAACCCCAGAGTCCAACTCAACGTCCAACCCCGACATGGCCAGTGAACGCCCCGCTTTCATAGCCGGATACCAATACTACTTCGACATCGCCCCCGGCGCCTCCCTCCCCGATATCAAATTCTACATCCCGATTCGCAAAGCGCAGATTAACGACCGTGTTGTCGCGGACGGGCTCACAGATTGGATGAGAGCGCAGGGGCGTGGTGCCTTCTGCGATGGGTACGTCAGGGTTCTAGAGGGGCTAGCTGGGGGGGAGGACTTGAGTCAGTGCCATGGCTTGCATACCCATATCTGCTGCATGGTGAAGGCGGATGGGGAGGTTGAGGTTACCTCCTATCTGGCGCCGGGGGTAAAGGAGTAGGTAGCTGTTTACCTGAGTTTGCGTTTTTGACATGATTATCGGATCGTCCTTAGTGCAGCTGTAAATAGGAACACCTGAACTGGTGCCTCTGTTGTCCTCTCTCAATAGCTCTCAACGGAAAAAATATGCAGAGAATGTTCACAGAATCCACTAACTTAGTGAATACGAGGTCACATCCGGGCTCTCCACGGTGTATCCACCCCCAGCACGCGATTGGCACCAGACTCGTGTTCTCCTTGGCTCGTGCCCTGCAGCTTCTATATTTGTTTCTATATTTGTCCCACGGGTTGTCTATGCGGAGCCTGTTCATCAATTGTGGAATTCATCTCGCTAAGTTCGAGCATTCAATGGCATTGATACGAGATCATCGGATTTCAAACCCCACAACAACTAATTGTCCAAGACTCCAGTTTAACTTGATTCAATATAAATAATAATACCCCCATACCCTAATATCCCCTCCACACCACCCTCCTCCACCACACCCACCCCTTAACACAGAAGCCCACGGCTTCACCAAACAAAACAACATGCCTCACCTATCCACCCTCCTAACCCTAACCCTCCCGCTCCTCCCCCTCGCCTCACCCATGTTCCTCGTCCCCCGAAGCACCTGGAACGCCACCCCACCAACAGAACCCTACAAACCCATGCCGGCGGCAAACCTTGGGACAAAAATCCACTACGTCGGCCCCGTCTACACCACCCGCCCACACGCCCACTGCAGCGCCTACATGAAATCCATCCAGGACGACCACCTAGCCGACCCCGAACAAGGCTGGATGGACATCGCGTATAACCTGGCCGTATGCGAGCACGGGTACGTCTTCGACGGCCGCGGTAAGGGCCATATGTCCGGAGCGAATGGGAATAGTACACTCAATGAGAACCATTATGCCGTTCTTGCGTTTCTGGGGAAGGTGGGGCTTATGGAGCCGACTGGGGAGCAGGTTGAGGGGATTAAAGATGCAATTGCTTATTTGAGGCGGGCTGGGGCCGGGATGGAGATTAAGGGGCATAGGGATGGGTGGAGTACTGAGTGTCCCGGGGAGAATCTTTATGGGCTTGTTACTGGGGGTGGATTGGAGCCTGGGAGGGAGCTTTGGGATGGCGGGGAGCATGTTGTGAAGACCGGGGAGACGGTGGAGTGTATTGCCAAGGAGTATGATGTGCCGGCGAGGTATATTGTTGCGGTGAATGGGCTGGAGGGGGTTGAGGATGTCAAGGCTGGCGATGTGCTTGAGATTCCGGCTAGGGGGGTGCCGATTGACCCCAGTTTGTTTCCACCTGAGGAGGGGGATGGGGATGGGGATGGTGGTGAGCTGGAGTATGAGGAGTTTCCGGGGGCGGATTTCTTCAAGGGCGAGCCGGATAGTCCGATTGTCAAGTCTATGGGTGAGAGGTTGGTTGAGATTGGCTGTGGCAAGTATAGCGACGGGCCTGGGACGCAGTGGACGGACGAGGACCTGGCGAGCTATACTTGCTGGCAGGAGGCGCTTGGGTATACGGGGGCTGATGCAGACGGATGGCCTGGGAAGGTGTCTTGGGACCAGCTGCAGGTTCCGGCTGTGTGAGCATCATTCTATACTTTAAACACTGAAAGAATCTATATATACAAGCTACAATAAGATATCACGCTGAGCCCTCTCCATATATCACCCTCCAAATATCATCCCCTCTATAGCATCTCTCTCACCACTCCCCTCAACAAGCCCTCTAAAAACACCACCCGCAATACCCATTAACTTGCTGGGTTTATCCATCTCAACCACCTCGCCCTTCTCAAGCACAACAATACGATCAAAGTCCGCAATCGTCGACAGCCGGTGCGCAATAACAATCAGCGTACACCCCGATATCTCCTCCCTCAGCGCGCGCTGGATCAGGATATCAGATTCCATATCAATGCTTGCCGTCGCCTCATCCATGACAAGGATTTTCGGACGGGAGACAAGAGCCCGCGCAAGGCAGAGGAGCTGTCGCTGGCCTTGGGAAAGGTTCTTACCACCCTCGGCAATTGAAAACGAGAGCGGGATATGCGAGGGCGTCGAGGGTTGTATTTCAGGAGAGTCAGAGTTGGAAATAGAAGCGGCCTGATTTGGCGTAGAGAGGGCTACTTTCTCCAACGCATCGCGTAGTTCGGCATCACCATGCTGATTGAACGGATCCAGGACTTCGCGAACTGTCCCTGCAAATACAACGGGGTCTTGCGAAATAAGGCCAACACGCGAGCGCAGGTCGTGGAGTTTAATAGTTCCAATATCGATCCCGTCGATGTGAATTGAACCCGAGCGGATATCGAGACATCGCAGAAGTGTCATGGCAAGTGAGGACTTCCCAGCACCCGTTCGTCCGACAACGCCAACGCGCTCGCCTTGCCGAATACAGAAGTTGAGATTGCGCAGCACAGGTGGGAGAGAGGGCGCATAGGCGACCGTGAGGTCAGTCAATTCAACCTCGCCCTTCGTCGGCCAGGCGGCGGGGACATCCACACCAGTTTGAGGCTCCTGTTCGAGTTCCGTATACTCGATGATACGTTCGGCGGCGTTGAAGTTGACCTCGAGGTCAGCGTACTGCGACAAGAGCCAGGAGATCTGTCTCGACATGTCGAGTGAAAAGCTGAGTGCGAATCCAGCCAGGGGCGCATCGAGCGTGCGGATACCGACGAACGTCATTGTTACGGAGGCGACGAACTAGACGGTTAGCTATGTAGTGAGGTTGCTTGGATCGAACTCACCAGTGCGCCTACTAAACTCAGCCAAAACTCCATCCAGCAGGTAAACAGCCGTCGATGCCAGAGTGCCTGGCAATGCACATCGATGAGATCGTACATCCGCTTCAGGTATGCCTCTTCGCGTCCGAAGGCCCGAATAGTGGGCAACCCAGTCAGGAGGGACCCGACAAGCTCAAATATCGGTGACCTTGCAGTACTTTCCAGTCTCTTCGCCTCTCGAGCACCGGTCACGTAAAAGTAGCCAACACCCCACGAAGCCGCGAGGCAAAGAACGCCGAGTCCGACGATGGGAGGGGCCGTTAGTAGAGCCGCCACCAAGACGCCAAGAATGGAAACCATGTCATGGATGGTAGTAGACAGGTCGAGAGCCAGATCAGAGTCAAGAGTTCCAAAATCGGAGGTGAATCTGTTGAGGATCTGGCCGACGGGGGTTGTATCCAGGAAGCGGAGCGGAGCACGTAAAAAGACTGCGGTGAATTGTTCGAAGACTGCCTTGGATGCTTTAAGTGAGCCGTGTAGGATTATCGCGATGCGGGCGATTTCAATAACCCATGCACAGGCCGAAATCCCAAGATAGATTGAGCCATAGTATACAAGACGCTTGTCAAGCTTCGTTCGCTGGGAGACTTGAATGCCGTTGCCACTGCCAGGCTGCACAAGCAAAGAGTCGGTGGACTTTTCGTACGACCGTGTCCATAACGTAACACAATATGTAACTGCCAGGTTAAGCAAGAGAATGAGGACTAGGACAACCAGAATCATGACCCAGCGTAAGTAGCCTCCAGAGGCGTTTACATATGCCTTGTACACCTTGGCATTGACAACCCCAGTCTCGCGCTTTTCCTCTTCATAGAACTTGTTAGGTTGCGAAACAGACTCCCGGCGACCGCTCGATTTGATGCTCGGCTTCGGTGAATTGGGCCTGCTATCAGATGTCTCGGAGCTGTCTACCGTCGTAGCAGACTCGTCACCAGAGACGTCCAGGTATCGCGGAGCAGGGCTTCCATTCTCCAGCTTCACCAAGTACGCAGCACTATCGACACACAGCTTCACGTGGTGGGTTGCCAAAATCCTTGTTCTCCCCTCGGACAGGCTGCCGGTCAGCGCCTGCTCGTATAGGTGGCGCCCAACATGGGAATCAACGGCACTAAAAATATCGTCCAGCACGAGAATACTGGCTCGGCTGTAGAGGGCCCGTGCCAATGCAAGACGCCACTTCTGGCCACCGCTGAGGTTGATTCCATTGGCACCGATGTCCGTCATGTCGCCTTGGGGGAATATCTTCAGGTCTGGCGGGAGTGCACACGCTTCGATGACTTCGTCGTATCGAGCTTTGTTCCAGGGGTGGCCGAACAGAATTGATTCGCGGATAGTCGCGTTCTCAATCCAAGGATCTTGCGAAACATATGCCACCACGCCATCGACTAACCAGTCATGCGGGCCTTGAGGAGCTGAAGTAGGCTGGCCCTGGGGGACAACCACATCTCCTTTGACGACGTCTGCTTCGCCGATCAGAGCGTGCAGCAGAAGCGACTTTCCCGCACCACTGCGGCCGGCGATGACGCTGAGTGCATGGGAAGGGAAATTGAGGTTGAGGTCCTTCAGCTGGAACTGATCTACATTTTCATCCTCAGAGCGCGTTGGCCACGTAATTGTCGCATTGCTAAAAGTTATTTCATGCCCAGGTGTCCGGTCATCAGCGTGGTCTTCAAGCCCGAGGAAACGAGCAATCCGTCGCAAACTGACCCTCGCGTCTAAAAGATCAGTAGCGACCTCGGGGAGAATGCTCAGAACGTTCTGCAAGTTCTCAAACAGCGACAGCGCAGTGAACGCCGTAGACGGCGAGATGCCTCCATTGAAGTAAATATATGATGTGATGGATAGAAAGCTCATGCAAACAGGCCCGATGGTCCAGATGGCGGTAAGATAGACGTGGAAGATGAACACAGCCTTCTGGTCTTGCAGTTCCTTGCCACGCAGGGTTTGCACTTTCTGGTACCATTCAGACTCGAGGGCGCTGAACTTGATCTGCCGTATGCCGCGGACCATTTCAGTTAGGGAGGCTGATTTCTCGTCGCGGCGATCCATCAGCGCTTGTTCCTTTTCGCTGTATTTCTTCGTGATCGTGAAATAGACTGCAGTCAGTGAAAAGGGGATTATGCAGGCAGCCACTGTGGACTTCCATCCCATGAGGTATACCAGGAAGATAGTGGTCAGAACAAGCTCGACAACAGAGTCAAGCAGAAGGTGGCTGTACTGAATAAAGTCGGATATATTTTCCACATCGACTCCAAGCAAGTTCAAAATCGAGTGCTTTGTTCGAGGAGCTTCATCAGTCTCATCATCTTCCTCATCCTCATCTGTATCGGTATCTTGGGCAGGGGCCACGATGTCTTTCAGGCCCATTGCCTTCTTCGTGATTATAGCAAACAGCTGTTCGTTGACTGGCAGCGAAATCTTCAGATCGGCAATGAAGTTCCTGAGTGATTCTAACCAGGACGTTCCAACTAACGACAGCCCAAGGGCCAATGCAGCCAGCCACAACTGCAGCTGGTTGTCGACCCCGGCATCACGCTCCTCGAAGAGCCGGAGAATGATCAAAAGCAGAAAGTTCGGCAGGAAGCGCACTGCACCACTGAACAGTTGGATTGTAATTTGAGCGACCGCATTCCGCCAGTAAAGCTGGAACCATCTCTTCCATTGAACCGACGTAGAGTCACCGGCAAAGAAGTTCTCAGAGAGAGTCTGAGCACGAACCTCCTGGGCAACGAGCGGCAGGTCTTCCGGGTTAAGTCGGCCATTATTCGCAGCGAGGGACAGGGTCCTCATTGCCCAAGCGAATGTGTAACGGTTAAGAAACGAGACAGAATCTTTTTGATCGACCAGCCTGCCGTCACGGTACACAACCGGCCCTCGGGGAAGGGATAGGTCGACAGCCAGCAAAATAACCGCGGCCACCAATTGAACGATGGACAGGGCATCCTGAGCATCCAGGGCAGCAATGCGCTCATCGCTGTGCAAGGCTAGAAGATCGGGTACGACAATTGAAAGGCCAGTAGCCAAGGCAGGCACGGCGCTGTACCACCCTAGGCTATACCTATCTGCGGGATTTTGGCGGGTTGCGATGACGATTTCTTGAAATAGAATCGCAGCCTATAAAATTAACATACATTTTTGAGCACTATCAAGCGTTGTCATACCCATGCCACAAATTGAAGGATTTTAGCTGTCGTTGAGGCATCCGTGCTCATCCATGACCAGAAGGCGGCGGCCGTGCCTACAGCGCCTACCAGCACAAGGCAGACGCGCTGCCACAGTGATCGAGGTAATTTCCCGGTTGTGATTGTTTCATCATCGCTGTCCGACGCAAGCAAATTGTAGGGTTTATTGCGACAGCTGGCGACCAAGGTGTATGCGTGTGGAGTCGTCAGCGCACCGGCGACAGCGCAGGCGGTCGAGGAGGCCGCGAGGGCGAGCTGCGAAGGGGGCATCTTTGTCAACCATTGGAAGGCGATAGGGGATAGGACATGCTATAAATGAGGCGATAAAACGATAGGCATATTCGGGGCGATTATCGGTCCAGGGGACGATGACTCCTTTCAAGCCTTTTTTTCGCGATGAATCACAGATCTGCAGGCACCGACATTTTTGGCAAATTGCATCTGCTCGGACTCAGTAATCCACCTCAGCCTTCGTGGGTCGTTGCTTGGTGAGCACCAGAGCCGCAGTCAATCCGGTGGAGAGTTCGTCATCTCGACTCATCTTGGTGTGTGTCGACGACCCAATGCACAAGCCCGAAAGGGTCCACAGATCTCCCTGAATGGCAGGTGGAAGCGCCAAGACACGACAACCTGCACATTCTCTACCGGCATTGTTTTACGTCGCGATTTTCTCTGCAGATCAGGAATTCGAACCGCGGATTGGGAATTCCAGACTGACTTGCAAACCTTGGCGAACTGGTTGTGCGGAAATACCAGTTTATAGGTAATAGATATATATTTTTGGCAGCCGCTGACTGTCATGACTCACCGGTCGCGATAGTTTATCAAACACAACAACTGAAGTTCTGCATGAATATCAAAGCGGGCCAAATAGGAACCTAGGAGTCATAGTACGAGCATGTCTGGGGAAGTGAAATGTCTGGTCCGTAGTCTCCGCGGCTCCTCTAAGGCTGGGGTATTTTGAGGAGACTGGTAACGGAGATGTCCGGCGGCGAAAAGAGTGACGGTGAGACGGACGGTGAGACGGTGAGAGGGTGAGACACGTCTGCAACACCGAAACATGAAATGTCTTTAGTCGATGAATTGTCGGGAGCAGATCGAAACGGAAACTGATGCAGAGTCTGTGGTTGGAGCGCAACAGCTTAATGTTCCGCCCACCCCGCATTTTTCGAATTAAGTTCTGGCACTTGTGTTCTTCAACCCACGTTTCGACGATGTTGGTATACTTGGCAATGACGCTAGGAAAGAACAGGAGCCAGGCCCGGGGAGCACAGACTGGGAGACAGAGCGATGGGCCGAGCGGTTGGGAACTTGGTCAAGTCAGCTGGGCCGCTAGGAGCAGATTTCCGCATCTGGCGCCACATCAAGACTGCCCAGCATGGGAGGCGACACGCCGGACATGGCCCGGCTTTTCTAGGCTCTCGCTACCGGTGATTAAAGCTCGATATGTCACAGAGAGCTTGATGTCTGGGGATTGCGTGGGGCCAGTGGAGAATGGGCCATGGCTGTTGCGGGGTAGACAGCTGAGACATATCAAGAAGGACATGGAATGACTCGTGCATTTGAGTCTTTGGCTGCAGTCTGTAGTTAGAATATATACCCTCAACAACGGTGTTGCTATCAATCCTGGACGATCCTGGACACACTGTAGATACTGGACAATGCTGGATAATGAACCCTGCAACCTGCCAGGGTCAGGAAACAACTCCCGCTCTAGCCACCGGGGCGAGACTGCCAGTGGCGTTAAGCTTTGAGAAGTGAACCGCACCGTAGAATAACCGACAAAGTGCCGAGGATATGCTATGCTGTGGATATGGGTGCGAGCGCCAAAACAGACCACTCTGCAGAGCGACGTGTGCTCGCGTCGAGATCTTGACATCACGATCTGCTGATGTCTTCAACAATTGAGAGGCGCTGCCAAGGGACCCCCTCCTATCTCCCCCGCTGGCGTCGCGCTAAGTCGAGGAAACCTGGGGTGACACGAGGGAGATGCAGCTAGCTGTCCTGCATTTGCTTGGCTGATAGGGGTATAAAGAGGTCCAAGTCGCCGCGAGATTGTCCAACCTTGTAGCTCCCCAATAGTTTCGCAAATCAAGCCTTCCAACATGGTGAACGACATCGAAAAGGTCTCCGCTGAGCGAGTGTCTGCGGAGAATATTGAAAATGTCGAGAGTCCCCCCCCAACCAAACGCGTGGTTGTTGACATCGACGATGATGAGGAGTACAGCTATGAAGAGCAGCGGAGGATCATCCATCATGTTGACCGTCGGCTGATCATAATCGTCGGTGCCGCGTACTGCATCAGTCTGATGGACCGGACAAACGTGTCGGTGGCGGCAATTACTGGGTAACATTATGCATCACCTTGTCTTGAGCTACTTCTGATGCTTTACGTTAGAATGATGGAGGACCTTGAGCTGGCGGTCGGCTTTCGATATGTTTGTGCTGAGTCCTTACACTTGTTAAATGTCTCACTGATTGATGTAGTCTATCATGGTGCTCGTCTTCTTCGTGACGTACATCGTGTTCCAGCCCTTGGCAACCGCCATTATTCGAAAGATAGGGCCTCGGACATTCATCTCCACAATAGTGATGACCTGGGGCGCATGTCTAATTGTACGGCTCTCATTCTATTGGTGTGAATTGTGCTAACTGTATTTATTTAGGGGTTTGCATACTCCCCGAACTGGCAGACGCTGGCAGGGCTGCGAGCGCTTCTGGGTATCCTGGAGGCTGGTTTCTTTCCCGGCTCGGTGTATCTTCTGTCGTGCTGGTATTCGCGATGTTAGTACAGGGTTTCCCGGCTGTTGAAGCATGCTAACCCGGCTGCAGACGAGGTCCAAAAGCGCTACTCACTGTTTTACCTGATCGGTTGCGTTGCATCTGCTCTATCTGGTATTCTCGCCTTTGGCTTCAGCGAGATGGCACCACTTCAAGGCCTGAACGGCTGGCAATGGATTTTCATTATGCAAGGGGTATTGACATTCATTATTGGGATCCTGTGCATGATATTCGTTGTAGACTTCCCTGATAGAGCCTATAAGGCATGGGGCTTCCTGAGCGAGAAGGAATGTGCCTTCGTCCTCCGCCGACTGAACAGAGACCGCGCAGATGCCAACCCAGAGCCGTTCAGCTTGGGCAAGTTCCTCCGCCCAGCACTGGATCTAAAGATCTGGGCGTTTGCGTTTATTTTCTTGTCAGTTTCCCCAAGTCTTGCCATCTTTCCCCTATCTGACAGCTGAACAGCGCCCTGACGACTCTCTCCTATGGCATCGCCTACTTCCTACCCATCATTCTTCGTGATAACATGGGCTTCAGTGTCGCAGCATCCCAGTGCCTGATAGCACCCCCATTTGTCCTCGCCGGGATTCTCATGATTACAACCTCATGGGTCGGCGACAAGTACCGCATGCGCGCGCCCATCCTCGTCTTCAACAGCGTCGTCACGCTCATCGGCCTCCCCATTATGGGTTTTGCCGAGAGCTCCGCAGTCCGTTTCTTCGGCGTATTCCTGACAACGGCTGGCGTGAATGCCAATATCCCCGCCTGCATGGCTTACCAGGCAAATAATATTCGGGGGCAGTGGACTCGTGCGTTTGCCAGTGCCACGCTCGTTGCGTTTGGTGGGATTGGTGGGATTGCGGGGAGTCTTGTGTTTCGGTCGCAGGATGCGCCGGATTATATCCCTGGCATTTGGGCTGTTATAACGTGAGTGTTCAAGTCTGATCATGAGAGTGGAATGCGAGACTAACCGCATTGTTAGATGTCAGCTGTGTCTTCTCGTGGTGGTGGCGGCGCTGAGTCTTCATTTCTGGATAAGTAACCGCAAGGCGGATCGAGGGGAGAAGATCCTCGAGGGATCCCCTGATTTCCGGTATACAATTTGAGAAAACTACTGGTGGTAGCGATAGCTCATGGAATATGATGTGTTAATTGTGTAATTTAAGGACCTGCGATAAGCTTTCTGAGGATAGTCGCCGTACACTGTATCATCACCGGTATTGAGCCATCCATCATTCAGCAGTGTTACAGCCACAACTAAATTCTGTTTTCATTCCTGCTGTTCAATCCCAATCCAAATCGTCGGTGGCCGTACTGTCAATTGTCGCACAAGAAGTTGATACGGAAGTGCGACATTCCGGAAGCGGAAACATGCGCGGGGGTGGGCCGAAACCGTGCAGCATCTGATTCTGTATATAATTCATTCGTCCTGCCTCCAGTAAGTAGTTTATCCCTTTAATCATCTTACGACGCAGAAATATACCAGAACAACTATCCAAGATGGTGATCGGGGTTGCAATGATGGCGGCCATGGTCCCGACGGTCTATGGGATAAGCGAAGCCAGCAACAGGCGCAGCCAGGATAACGGAAACGAACAAACCGCCACCAAGCAGGAGGAGCGATACCAATTGCTCGCCGAATGTCGTTCGCCGTCAGGTATGGCGATCCAAAATGCCAAGGTTTATTTGAGCATGGACGGAAAGGTATGATCCAGCGAGACTTGACAGATTCAACAACGCTATAACTATTCCAGATGTATATAAGCCACCACCCAGTGCGAGGGATGGTGCCGTTCAATGGACATTTCTACGCACACCCTGACTTTGAGCAAGGCAACACGGTCGGCTTCGTCACAGTCAGCCCTGAAACACCACCACAGCTGCGCTGGGCTTTCGTTGACGCCAACACGCACCAACTAGCGTGGGGTGGAGCCAAAGAAAGAGAAGGCCACATCAGTGGGCCATTTGGTTTGCACGATGACGAGGGATCCATATCATTAAACGGATGCCACAGGTGGATTGCGGTCAGCTTGGGTTCGGAGTCCAATGAGGAAGAAAGATTAGATTCTGGATCTCCAGCGGGACCTGATCTTTGGGGGCTCTATTTTGACACCAGAGAAAATCAGTCTACGAACCTACCAGCCGGTGCAGAACATATTGAAGTTGAACTGAAAATGGTCCGGTATCCGCAGAGGGCGCGACGGCCAGCAAAGCCTTCTATGTCACCAGTCCAGGAAGCTTCAGACTCGAACGGGTGAACGACAGCCTTCGTTGGACCAAGCAAGGGGAACCATAATATCCTCCAGTTCTGAGATACGACCCTCTTCCAGGAGTGTGCAGTGACAATAGTGATGTTTTTGGAAGCAAGACCATAAAGGTTACAGTAGATATAGGTCCATCCATTCGGAATTCAGCTGTATAGAGAAATGACAGGCTGAACCAGGCGCTAGCGTAGCACACTTTCCGCTGTCCATGACGAGTTGCGTTGGCTTAGTATACAAGATACTACGTTACACAAACTTCTTCACTGGTCTGCATGCAGCACCTTGGGTTGACAAGGGTATAAGGTACTCTCGCAGATCACCGAAGACATTGATGGTAACTACGAATTCAAGCTATCTATGCTTAAATTTATCTTCCACGCTCCAAATCTTCCACTGAAATATGCCTCCCGGTCCCGTTGACGGAGTCAAAAAGTATGTGCCCGTTCACGACTTCAAATCTGCATCCATGAATGTATTCAACAAAAACTCCAGACTGACTTATTAATCAGTCCCGCACAGAAGGGGGACAAGAAGCAGGACGATGCGTCCAAGGCGGACCAGCCCATCGAGGATCAGACCAAGGACAAGGCCGGCCAAGGGAAAGAAGAAAAGCCCAACGTTAACGGCCCTCAAACTGATGGAGAGCCTCTACCCAAAGGACCTTGGGGGGATCGTGGAGTCACGCACCGCAACGCCGGAATGTACCAAGTCTCCGAGAACGCACCCACTCTGAACGTTCGGATTAACTTGGATCTGAGGGCCGATGTTGCGTTGGAGCTTCACGCAGTTGTGCAGGGATCTGTCATTATTGGGTTATTCTGAAGTGGCCATTTAGCTCCAAGTATGCGGCAAAGTTATAATAAACGCTGGGAACGGTGATAGCAATGCTTTCGATTTGATAGTCATTAACTAGGGAGTACCTGGTTACTCTGCTTAGTAGGGTAAAAAGGCGCCTGAGCCTTTGCTTCAATAGACTAATACTCCCTGTAAGGTTAATGAGCCAGGAAAAGAAAAGTGATCAATTCAGAATCGTGGTATACACAGCAGGCTTTTTATCTAAGCTCTAAAATATTGGGCATTTCGAGACACATAGGATCATAATCTATATATTGTTAATGGCGCAGTTGATCACAAGTGCAAGGAAAAGGTAAGCGGCTCACAAAAAAGACATTGCAAATTCTCCTCTAATTTTAACATCAACATCAACCTCAGATCCAAAATCGAAATCAAAGCAGACTCGAGCAATGTCATCTTGGTCGTGACTCTGCTGGTTTGTTCCTACAGACGGTTCTCCCGTCATGCCGGATGCATTGGGTTTGTCTTCCGAATCCGTTCGTGACGCAGAGCTAGAGGGCGTATTATTCCTCGAGGAAATACCAGTCTCAAGGAGAAGGTGCGCAATTTCGCATATACAAGGGTCGCCTTCCGTAGCGTGGGCCTCAGTGGAGGGAGAGTGGCGTGTATCCGGGACTTTGGGCGGTGCCCCATATGTATCTGAGGACAACTGATCAATGCCCGTCATATCTGCCATATATTCAAATGTCTGTTCTTTTTCAGGGAGAAACAGGCCTAGCAGATGTTATTGAGGGCGTGGATGCAAGAAGGTTGACCAGCCTCGAGGAATGATCCCCATGAAGACCAGGGCAGCGGGAAAACAAAACCCAAATTAAATTACGAGGCGGCTTTGTCATTTCGGTTGGGGGCACCGCATGTAGTCGGGGGCAGGTAGTACGTTGCTGTAATAATAATGAGTGTTCCGTTCACGGTCCCAGGGCATGTTACACAAGCCCTAGAACGGAAACAATGACCTGATTATATGGCCTAGACAGCAACACTTTCGGGCCAGCAACTTCCAGCACTGTTTCATCTTCATTACAGTAGTCCACGATTGATGCACTAGGCGATATATCAATATGAAAGGTAATCACATGCGGAGAGATTTAGTTGGCCTGCGCTAAATGGCAGCATTAGCTGGTCTTCAAAGAATCAAATCGGCACACATCACTGTCAATGGGCACCTTATAGCCTCCTCAAACCAGGGCATTCTCGCCTTGATCGGGATTGAAGAAGTCGATACTGAGGACGATGCAGATTCAATGGCCAAAAGAATTTTACAGACAATGCTATGGCCCGAGGCAAACGAGACTCAGGTGAGTGGTATACGTATCACTGCGAAACATGGTAGGAGGTTGACGCGTGCTGCTTCAGGGGGAGTGGAAGAGGAATGTTCAAGAAATAAAAGGCGAGATACTGTGTAGTATGTAGGCATCTTTGAGAGCTGTCTGCCTAAATGCTCACTACAGCAGTACCGCACTTTATCTTACATTGTCAGCCCGAAAATATAGCCACAAGGACCCCTCCAGACATGGCCCGTTTGATAAGAGCGCAATACCAATATAGACGCTTTCTGAAACAATTGCGCGATATCTATGAACCGCAGCGGGTGAGGGACGATGTCTTCGAAGCGATGATGGCCGGGCCTCTAAGTAAGATTGCACCAAGCGGTATATCCTACGAAAGCACGGACTCGGTGGTATGTCATCCCTTAACACTATAATCAAATAGATTATGGCTGTGCTGATGATTAAGGAACCAGGTCACTATTAAGATCGTCACCAAGCCGCAGGGAATTCCAGCCCTGGGTTAAAGTACGAGACTCAAGTAGCTGTATCTGTCAACTCCACCCTCTTCCTCTCTTGCGCGGGAGGGAAGCTTCTAATTTGACCCTTTTCTTCTCCGCAGCGGAACCTCATGCTATGAGCTCTGCCTGGACATGCCTCATCTCACAATACCAGGCGTTTAGACGGCAGAAGAAGAATGCATCTCTATTTAATCCCATGGGTGGAAGGAACAAGCTAGCGTCAAGGGCAATAGTCATGGCTTAAGTAGCGCAGACACCCCAGTACTGGCCTGTATTATTCTACTGTATACTTACTAGGAAGGGATCAGGGCGCAAGGCCGGTCAAGGAATAGGGACTAGAGTGTTATAATAACTGGATATATTCTCTTCTAATATTGTATAGACTCGAGACCTTCTACTTTTCCAACCCCAGGATTCTTTTAATAGATTCCACGATATAGCGTCCAGTGATATCAGATTATAACTATAGTAAATAGTTAGATTTGCTATTACCGAGCCATGAATTAGGATTATTGGCCCATTAGTACCTGATTAGGGCTCATGATTAGGGGGGAAAGGGGAGGGCTTGCTGTGTAACTGGAGACATTACCCCTTACCGCATCGTAAATTTCGGGCAGTAGGTGTGGCCAGCATGCATATATCTTCCTGCCCCACGTACAGTCATAGCACTCCTCGTAAGCGTACCCGAGGGATCTCCGAACCCCGCATACATATCCTCTACAGTTCTCTCTTGCTCCCGGTTATTATTCAGTCCATTTCTACAGGCTGCAAAATGGCATACACCCACCAGGAGTCATCGTCGAGCGAGGTCGATCCAACAACCCTTCCCTCTCCTCCGACACACCCGGACGCAAACATAGTTTCGCGGTTCGTGGACACCTCGCCTTGGGGCCTAGTGTTTCACATCCTAGAATGTATCCCACCGTCCCGTGCACCAGGAGAGCGGAAGCTCATCCTTCTTGCGCACGGCTTTCCCGAAGTTTCATATTCATGGCGCAAAGTGTTACCTCTTCTGGCGGCAGAGGGGTACCATGCCGTCGCGTATGACCTCCGTGGATTCGGCCGGACCTTCTCTCGTCAGCCGTTGACTGAAAAGTCGTTCCGACCTGCAAGTCTGGTCACAGACGCGTTGGCGCTTGTCAGTGCTCTGGGTTACGACTCGGTTGCGGCGATCGTCGGTCATGATTTTGGGGCCGTGACTGCCAGCATGTGTAGTCTAGCACGTCCCGATATCTTCAAGAGTTTAGTTCTCATGTCGCACCCTGTCAGAGGGCCTTTCACACTACCATTTGGAACATCACCTTCCGCCGGGCAGCCATCAAAGAATACTGAAGAGAAAGCTTCTGGAGGTGTCCACGAGGAACTGGCGAAGTTACAACCACCCAGAAAGCACTATCAACGCTACTACTGTACGTCAAACGCAAATGGCGAAATGACCTACCCAGGAGGCGCAGCGTTGAGGACTTTCCTTCGAGGGTACTTTCATCTAAAATCCGCCGACTGGGACGGCAATACCCCCCACAGGCTTGATGATGGTTCAGCGACTCAGCTAGCAAGAATGCCCCACTATTATATTATGCCGGCTGATAAGACAATGAGAGAGGCTGTCGCAGATGAAATGACGCAGAAGGAGATCGCCCTGGCGCAGAAGGTTGCTGGACGATGGCTAAGCGATGAAGAGCTTGGGTTCTATGCTGAGGAATGGGGCCGTACAACGTTCCTGGGTGGGCTGAACTGGTATTGCCTGACCGTGAAGCCAGATCTGCTTGCAGACGCGCAGATCTGGAGTGGCCGAAAGATATCAGTTCCAACCGTTTTTGTTGCAGGCACGAGAGACTGGGGTTCGTTCCAAGATCCGGGGGCTCTGGAGGCTCTTGAAGACGAGGTATTCGTCGAGGATGGAAAATATCTAGGGACCGTGCTAGTGGATGGCGCGGGACATTGGATAAACCAAGAGCAGCCTGCTACCTGCGCTAGGGAAATCCTGAGGATGGCTGGTGTAGCTGGTGAAGTCTAGTATCCATTCTACCCTTGGAGTCAAAAGAGCAAAGAGAACTTTAGTTCCTTTCCCTGCTCTCCGGAACCCATATGATGTATTCCTAGCAGGCATTTTTACCATCGGAACGACGGTGCAATTACATATCGAGGAATATTGTTTACACATTACTATTAGGGATGATTTGGGGTGGCCGATCACCCATTAAGTCCACTGTGCGGAATCCCACCCTAGGTTCCCGCATCGGTAACAAAATATTCAGTTTTTAAATAAGTGATATCCTCCCCATCTTTGAAATTTGGTACGCCTGTGGTGGATTAGGTCAGTACTTTGACCGTGACTAAACCACGTAGAGGTGCGTCGCTCGCTTACCCTTCACGTTAGCTCATGTTAGATGATTTACTTAAACAACGTATGTGATGCGAGTGGCATAGCAAATCTAATCGAGGTAGAGGTACCCGGGTTTATTAAAACGTTATATCCTAACTCGTCAAACGGTCTACTTCAATACCTAAATGGTTAATTCCCCTGTCAGCTGAATATCCAAAACGCTCTTCCCAACATAAACGATATAATCACCACTCTGCAAACCCCAGGTCTGCTTCTCCACGTCCCAAGTACTGAGATCACGACGGGCAAGCTCAAATGTAAACGAACTAGTTTTTCCCGGTTCAATAAGCTGTTTATCAAATCCTCGAAGAACCTTCGCCGGTCCACCGGGAATCCCAAGATACAGCTGGGCGACCTCCTTGGCGGCGACTTTGCCCGTATTCTCAACAGTGCAATTCACTGTCGCAACGACGTCCCAGAGCGACGGGAGGCCGCCTTCTTGGATCTCGGTTCCAGGAGGAATATACGCCTTGTCCGCGCCAGAGCTGACCTCGATGTCGAGGCCAGAGTAGGTGAAGTCGGTATAGGTAAGGCCATAGCCAAAGGCATACCGAGGCTCGATACCCTCCTTCTCGAACGCCTTGTAATCGATGTACACACCCTCCGTGAAGTTTGACTGCGGGTACCAGCCATTATAATCCCGGTCAGGCATTTGCGGGTCCAAGAGAGCACCGTAGTCGGACTCATTCTTGGCTACAGTGTACGGCAACCGACCAGATGGCGACTGCTTGCCGTACATGATATCAACGAGAGCGCCACCGGAGTCCTGACCCGGAAGATGGGCGAAGATTACGGCGGTGATATTATCGTTGTTAATCCAGCGGTCGACGAGACGGATTCCGGCATTATGGATGACAACCATAGTGTTTTTGCATTTTGAGGCAACATTCTCGACAAGAGTGTCGGAATAGGGGTCTGCAAGGTGCGGGCGGTCCCAGCCTTCCGCGGAGGCCTCGTTGATAAAGACTATGCATGCATCTGAAGCGGCGTTCGGGGCTGGGTTTTGGGACACGAAATCCCAGGTCAGGACGGTGTTGTCTTCGCGTGCCTGACGCTGGAAAGCATCGAAGGGGGCGTCGATGTAGGCTGGGGTAGTCGCACCTGAGCCACCACCGGTAATCATCGTGCCATTCAATGCAACACCGGGTCCTATAGCCCAAGGATCTGCGCTGCCGAGGAACATGTACTGCAAAATACCGCTATCAACTGCGGTTCCATTGGGGTAGGTGAGAGCATTGGAGAGGCCCGCGACCCAGGTTCCAGCGTCTGGAGTAAGAGTGGTGGAGGATTGTGCGATGGCATCGTATCCAAACAGAGAAAGAATCCTGGGCTTGTTGAGCGGTAGAGCGTTGTTGGTGTTCTTCACCAGGACGTGGCCTTCTACGGCACCCTGGAAGATTGTGTCCTTTGACTTGGGATCCCGAGCATCAACGGGGTCGTGGGGGGCAGTGAGATCCGCAGGGATGCCATGGCCTGGATTCTCGCGCTCAGCGTACTTGTACCAAGTAGCAACAATCCGGGTGGCCATGTCGTTGAGACGAGTGGAAGCAAGAGACCCGTTGCGTACTGCAGTGGCAAGCGTGCCATTTTCCCAGTACTCCGAACTCGGCATCACCACATCGAGACCGGATTTAGCACTGGCGATGCCCGTGTACTGCGCGCCCCAGTCAGTAACGACAAAGCCCTGAAACCCGAGTTCGCCTTTCAGCAAGCCGTTCATTGACTTGCTGTTCTGGCAGCCGTAACTGTTATTGATACGGTTGTAACTGCACATCATTGAGCCAGCACCGGCTTTCACTGCATCCTGGAAGGCCCAAAGATAGAGCTCATGCATCGTCTTGTCATCAATATTTGTCGACAGAGACTGGTTGTGAGAGTTCTCCAGCCGCGACGGTGGCATTCGCCTTGTCTCCTGCTCGTTGGCAATTAAATGCTTAACACAGGCAATAACGTTCTCCTGCATGCCGCGGACAGTGTCCCCTACCAGGACTCCTCCCAACCATGGGTCAGCACTAAATCCTTCCCAGTTGCGTCCACCTTTGGCGACACGACCAACAGGCCCGACCAATGGGCCTAGAGCAACATTGACACCCTTCCGCTTGAACTCGGCTCCCATGTAGTGACCCCGCTGATATGTCAGGTCACGGTTCCACGCCGCTCCAACATGGACTCCAGACGCATATCCATTGACCAGTTCAGTATTCCGGACACCGTTACCGGCATCTTGGAAGCACATTCCAGGAAACCCAACACGAGGAACGCTTCCAGACATGCCACTGCACCTGGTGGTAGAGTCGAAGCCATAAGTGATGTTATTCTTTTCCGCGTCGGTCATCTGGTCAACAAGGGCCCTAGCCTTCTCATAGGCAGACTTCCAATCCCCGAGACCCTGCCCCTCAGCTGCTAAAGTTAGTCGAGTTTGGTTATATGGTAGAGTAACATACGTGTTGGATAGACCGGGTCAGAGCCGCCATATGACCAGTAGCGTTCGAGATTAGCTGCAATTTCAGCTTCGCTCTGAGCAGAAGCGGCACCAGCCAGCTGCAGTGCAGCGGCAAGGATGGGGGCTGTGAACTTCATCTTCGCCGAGATCAGAGAAGCAAGACACAAACTCAACCCATTTCGAGGACGGAATCGGACCTTTAATACGTACTGGCAATCGGCGAACGGGGCGGACCCAATCGCTGGATATCGGAATGCCGTTATTTCATGCCGTAGAAGCAGCTCACATTTCGTGTTCGAATCCACCATCTGACCCATATAGTAGAAGGTCTCATTGGCACTTACTACACTAACTCCAGTTTCTTCAGCGGGACTCCAAATCAGCAAGCAGGGTGCATATTGCATTTGCGGGACTCCAGACTGCCAAGCTGCAACTCCACACAAACTCCCCACAACTACCCTGTTCGGAGCTTTCAGTGACTTAAGCTGCCGATATTTTCACGCTGTCCCTCGGGCACCGAGACTGGGCTCACTTTGATTAAGATCATCTTTCATACATGCCATAGAGCAGTGGCTTTCGCCAGCCTTCCTATGCTTCTACTTGCTGAGCAGTACATATAATCTGGCATGCTGACCGGCACAAAGACACCTCGCCCTCCGTATATCGGGCCCAGCATCAAACTTCAACCGTCGAGCATCCATTTCAATTCTTTCGCAGGCTTTTCGGCTCCATTAGTCCACCGACCTGTATACTATAGTCAGGCATGGACCCGACCCGACGATTTACCGACCTTCCCGAAATGGCTGAATATTCCACCAGGCTCTGGCGAAGTTACAAACCCGGCCTCTTACTCGGTGTCAAGCCGGTGCTCCTGTCGTCCCGGACGGGGTGAAGCTCTGGTTCAAACCTCGCTTGGACCGTGTTAGTTGTGGAGATGATGGCGGAGGCCCAGAATTCACCCGAGGATTTCCCGGGCTGTCATTTCCGGGGAGGAATTTGCCGAAACCTAACATTCAGTGGCCTTTCGAGAACCCTTTAACTGTAGTGACTGGATTACGACTTACCTCGCGATTGACTTGTCCTGGTATCCTTCAGCGCACATCCTTTACACCGCCCAACGGTGCTATGTGAAGGAAGTAGAAGAGCGAACTGTGGTACCGAGAAACTGTCCTCGGAATCACCAGCGGCGTTACGCCCCACGCACCCGGTTCCTGGGGTCCACGTGCGGGATTCCGTGGAGGCGTCGCTAAGTGCAAGATGCCCACGGGGTTCGGCAGTGGACGGGTTGATCCTGCGAGGCCGATATTATGCGCACAACGTTCGCCGACTGCCCTCTAGGCCAGCAGCACTGGTTACAATGTGTATATATGTTATGGTATTATCGTGCAACCTCATCATTTATGAAGTAGATACAGGATATGGTTAGTTTTCCTTTTCCTTGAATGTAATTGGCCCCTCGTCCTGTACAACCACGGCACGCATCTTCTTCGACATGTCAGTCATTCCATCCACGCTGCGCATAGAGGCAATCCCATTCTCTGGAGTCGAATCAAAATGGCTCGTTATCAACGGAAGCACCGTCGACTTCCACAACACTGCCTTCTTCTGTTTGCTTCCGATCGCAGTCGCCACAAGTAGCACAATTGATCCCAACGCAACAATAACAGGAAGAATGATCCACGGCCAGCGGACACGAATGAAAGTCTCGTCTCGGAATGCGTCCCCGGGAATCGTAGAACCACGCGCATTAGTACGGAAGGTATCAGTCGCGCTGGTGGACATTGACTCGAGTAAGTGGCCGATATTAGGCGTGCGCAGAATCGTTGCTATTCTCGACGCGTCGGTTGCTCTTATTCCTCCAAGGGCGTAGGTTGTAGTATTGAAGAAGCTCCGCAGTGTCGCTTGCAGACTGCTGAACGTCCGATGATCAACGGCGTATGTTGAGTTTTGTGATAGGGTTCTGGACCCGCTGGGCGATGCAAAGTGGACAGGGTTTGTCGAGGGAAGCAGGGAAAATTCATCCAAGGCGTCTGTGGGAACGAGCTGCTGCGTATCAACAGGATGCACTGGGCGGCTGCTTTGGTCGCCGGGCCGGTAGGAAGTCGCTGCGTATTTTCGTTCGCAAAAGTATACAGTGCATTCTGTGACCGATGGTCTTGGAGGGGGGAGCGTCGCGTTGGATACAGCGTAGGTAAGCTCCATGCTATAGTTGACCGCAATGAAGGAGGAAATTGGGGTCTGGATGTCAAACATTGGACTCGGCAGCTCAAGAGCTGGGTCATTATACCTTGGACGTAAACTCCAATGGTTCATACGATACCCGATAGTGTCAGCCCCGATGCCGGCACTGTCCAACTCTTTGAATTCGAACGTGAAGCCATTCGGAGTTTCATAGCTGCAATTGATGGGGGCTTTTGTTAAGCTCTTATCGACAGCATCCAAGTAGGGTGAGAATTCCGGCGCCTCACACTTTTGATTTGTTTGGGCTGTGGCATCCTCGCATTTGCTACACATCCCCAATGTAACAAACTCTGGGAACTCGCACGAGGTTGAATTGCATTGAGGCTCAAGCGGACTATGTATCTGCATGAGGCCACTCATCACTGACGTCAGAAGCGTCGGTGAGAGTCCAGACTCTATCTCGTATTCCATATCATCCGATGGAGAGAACCATTCTTGTGAGGTTTGGATAGACGCAGTGGCATTCAGCGCTGGGACGGTTCGCTGAGGGAACGTCAAGATCTGCTGTGCAAATGGATCCACTGCAAGAGCGAGAACCGTAAGAGCTGCCCCAATGTATGTCAATATTCCTGTTCTCGGCCCAATTATACCTCTCAGTAGAATCTCCAGTGATCCCCAGGGTCCCCGGCTTGCCTGGTCAATAACCTGCATCTGATATAGTGGCGCTGGATTTTGAAAGAGGTTCCATTTCAGCTGCCCGAGACACGAGGACACCGGGACCAGTAGTGCGGCTTTGGTAATGGTGATGATGATTGACACGACAGTATTAGGGGACGCCGTATACTGCCAGTCCCCGTAGGGAGAATTGTTTATTGTGACAAGGAAGGCAACCAACAGCGCAACGCCTATGACGGATAGTGTAATAGATCCGATTTCCCATGCCCAGGAGCCCTCCCAATCGAAGCGAGGTTTCTTTGGTTTAGTGTCTGTTTGCAGGTCCTGTGTATGCTCAGGCGTAGCAACTGTTTGTTGGGGTGGCGCTTCAGTGTTGCTGGCTTGCCCATCCGCAGACACACGGGGACTGGGCAGGTATTCAAACCGTTGGAACTCGAGATCAGGTCTGCTCAGGCTGTCGTGTGAAACCGGGGATGGCGGCTGAGATGCCATGGTGACATCGATAAACAATAGCAGTGAGAAATGTTCTACCAAAGGAGTGTATGGGCAGGCTTTTGTAGTGGATTGGGCTGTTTTGGATTAATGGCGGGGGACAAAGACACGTTACTGTGGCTATGGGCCGCTGAGCCTCACAATTCTCTCCTAGTTATGTCGATCTCAGAATACTCCATGTTACGGCATCCAAATAACGCAATGGATTGGCATTCTCTGCCTATCATATACCACTATGAGCTTGTCGATCCCTTGTGACAGGGCCCGGGCGCCATGTTGCCCGAATCTCTGTGCACCAAGTAACCAGCCCGAGAATCTCGCTAGTATTATCTAAATCTATAGTATCAAGAGAACCCTCCTTGCAAATATACAGTTACATGTTCAGTGTGTACTTGCTTAAACAACTACCATACTGTTAAAAGTATATTAAACATCCTGAAACATTAGCGGAGTACTAAAGAATATATTAGAATCAACTACCCCATAAAAAGAAATAACTAATTTCAATTAGAATATAAAAGATGATTTTATTATCCATAGCTTCAATTCGAAAGGATAGTGAGGTCAGGGGCCGGCTTGCGTAGGCGTTATGTTAACTATATATTTGCGGTCGGTAAGGTTCGGGAAACTGGAAGCTTACAGGTGTATATTAAGGCCAAGCATCATACTGCCTTTTCGATGCATAATCGCCTTGGTGCCCGCTCTAAGCCGCTGTCTGGGTTGCCGGCTCCCTTGTAGAGGGAATCATTGCATGCAGCAGAAATATGGTGCCTCATTTCGCCAATTGTCCTTCTCCAGTAAGTAGGAAACGCAGCTAAGACGGCATCAAGACAAGCAGCCATCCGGAGTGCCTTCTCATTCGGCACAACTGCCGATGAAAAATGCATTACGATACCCAGTCCACCATCTGGCTGTGGTGTAGCTACAAGGGCTATGTCTGCGGCGTCACCAATCCGGCCTTCTAGTGATAGAGTGCAGTCAACACCACCCAGCTTGAGAGTGTCTCCGACCGATTTGTGATTTTGGAACGTGACGATTGAACCGAACTTGCACACCGGCCATTGCGTTGGGTCTTCGAGCACCGAAAGTAGCCCGACATGCTGATAGGGGATCGAGTCTGTAGACTGTTTCTGCAGCTCCCCGACAAACGACGCTGTAGTCATGTTGCCGTCGATACGTGCGCGGACCGGTAGCATACTGATGCATGGGCCAACGACCTGGTCGGCATCCCGGACAGCAGAGTCGCGATTTGCGTTGACGTACCCGAAAACAATGTCGTCCTCCGCGAGTACTTGTGAACGAGCAAGGGCCCAGGCAGCTTTGAAGATGGTTGCGTCCGTGCAAGAAGAGGTTGTAATGTCCTTGGTATTACTCGTGAAACTGATTTTCGAATCGACTGGATGTGTGGGTGCAGAAGGATCTATGCGGCGCACCAGTGACCGCGACGAGCACCTTTGCAGAAGCTCCCTCCAGAATTCATGTGCCTTCGCAGCGTTCTCGCCGCTCACATGCGAGATCCACTCGTGGAAATGCGTGGGCCTCGTTCCAAGGGTGCGGCTGCTGTAGGCTGTGCTCAAGTCATTTAACAGATGGCCCATCGAAATGGCGTCGTACAGCGCGTGATGGATTTCCAATTCAAGCTTCTGGCTTGCAGAGCGCCCATCGCTGGTGAAATAGAATCTCGGAAGTGTCTTCAGGATGCTGGGCCCGCCTGGTATTGGGGGTGCTCCGTGTGCTGGCTGTCCCTGCTGCGCAACCACTTGGTCGATTGGGGGATCTCGGAGGGCGATCTGAAATACCCGATCTTCGTGGCGAATGAAGACGGTTCGCAGAATAGCGTGGTGTTCGATGATCGCTCGGCATGCATGCAGGAGCTTCGACTGGTCTAGAGAATTTCCTGGAACCGGCGATAGTATGAGCTTGTTATATGATCCATGGCCGCGCCTCTCACTAGAACCGAGTGTCAGCGCTTGGGTATCCGTCGCAGGAGCTATACTATCGATATTATCAGGTTTGAGCCACGGCTGGCTATTAGACAACTTGCTAAGGAATGTGATAATCTCGGGATAAGCGTCGCTGGGTGATATGCTGCCGTCTGCATCCGAGGCCTGGAGCTGTAAATCGTCGGACGTCCGCCGTAAGGGTGCGACGCATATGTCTCCCAATCCCTCCATTTCTCGAGCAACATCTGCAAGTGTCCGTTCACGTAAAAGCGCACCAGCTCTGATAGGGAAGCCCTTTTTCTGACAGCGAGTCGCCACTTGCATTGCTGTTATGGAATCACCGCCGAGTCTCAAGAAGGAGGTTTCACGTCCAACGGAGTTGTCTTTTAGGCCTAGAACCGAGCACCATGCAGCTTGCATCACGCTCTCAGCTGGGGTCACAGGTGGTGTCAAAGCGTGGCTGTATGTGTCGCCCTCAGCCTCCCTCGCAAGACTCCTAGCCAGTGATAGGTCCAGCTCCTCCAGCCAGCGCCTGATCCTGGCGCGGTCAAGCTTTGTGGATGCAGACTTGGGTAGGTGGTTAACGACGACCCAGGCCGTTGGAACCATGTATGGGGGCAGGCAGCTTACGGTAAAGTCTTGCACATTCCGGAGTTGCAGGCGGCTCGACTCATTCAGGCCCACCTGGACTACCTCCGGATCATCCCTATGTCTAGGATATGATTGATCGCTAGAGTCCCAAGTCAAAGCCACGCAAGCAATGAGATCCTCGCGGTTCTGCACAGGAGACTTGACAACCTGCATCGCAATGTCGCGTACACATTGATGCCGCCTCAGCACTTGCTCGATTTCCTCCAGCTCGAAGCGCTGTCCGCGTATCTTAACCTGGTTGTCTTGTCGGCCGAGGAACGCGATGCTCCCATCCGCATTAAACCTGGCTAGATCGCCCGTTAGATAGGCCCTATTAGGACCCCCCTGGCGTTTTGGCACAAACTGCGGTGCGGATATAAAGCGAGAAGCAGTCTGCGTGGGGTTTTTGTAATATCCTCGTCCCACCCCTGGCCCTTCAACTAGCATCTCACCCACGGCGCCTATTGGCACAAGCTTGTCGGAGTCGGCGCGGTCGACTATCCATACAGCACTACCGACTGGGGTTCCAATCGTGGTTGGATAGGCGGATGCAGGGTCCAGCTCCGCGAGGGTAGAGATGGTGGATGTCTCACAAGGGCCCCAAGCATTGAATAGGCGGACCTCGCTGCCCCAGGTACTCGCGGCAGTCTGCGGGATTGGTTCACCGGCCAATACAAGCGAGGTTAGGCTCGGGCACACGTCATCGGGTGCAAGATTTCGCAAAGCAGTTGGTGTCTGGAGAGCAGCGTTAACCCCAGCATCGTTGATATACTCTCCGAGTGCCGACTCGCGCGATGCAGCGGAGGGTATGCAGACGCAGCCCCCTACTATGAGTGTAGCGACGATTTCGAAGGCGAATGCATCCCAGGCCGGTGACGAAAATTGCAAGACTCGTGTCCCCGAGACCCAGCCCAGCCGCTTGCAAATCGCGAGGTATGACGTTGCCATTGAGTCGTGTTCCAGGACAACGCCCTTTGGCTGCCCAGTGCTGCCACTCGTGAACAGAATGTATGCTGCCTGGCTAGGATTGCTGCCTGGGACTTTGTGTAGGCCCGGTGCGTGTCGTGGCTGCCGACAGAGCGCAATGGTGAGGGAATCGCAACCAGCAAATCTCTCCCCCCCCGGGGATGTGAGAACAAGCCGAGCCCCGACAGTACGCACAATCACATCTTTGCGCACCTTGGGGAGCGAAACGTCGACGGGGACGCAGACTGCCCCGGCCTTCAAAATACCCAGAACCGTAACCACCGCGGAAAGTGACCTCCCCAAGGCGAATGGAATAGGCTCTTCCACAGAAATACCGTGTTCGAGCAGCTGCTGGGCCACATTGTCTGACATATTGTCCAATTCATGATAGGTTGCCGTACCATCCCAAGCATCAACGGCAGCGCTGTCAGGCCTCTGGCCGCTTTGCACCACGAAGAGGTCGTGAAGACATGTGCCAGCCGTGTTTGGAACCTCCCTGTTCCATTTTAACAGCTCCAGCGTATCGCCGAAATTGAGAGAAGGCAATTTGGCGATTCTAGTCGACGGGGGTGCATTGCACAGAGACTTGACACGATGCTCCATTTGCCGTAGGATGCGTTGGACCTGAACTGCTGGAAGCACGACTGGATCGAACATGGCTTGTATGGAGATGCTATCCTTCGACAGCTGGCATAGGAGGCAGAGCGCGTATTCATATGTCTGTTCCACAGCATCGATGATCAGTCCCGGGATCTGGACCTCTGTCTCGTCATGAGGAAGGATGTCAAGAATTGTTCGGAAATCGCAGGCAAAGCGTCCATCCTTCCCTAGGCTCTGCCTGATCCCTGCGAGGCCACATTGTATAAAAGGGCTTGTTAATAGCGAGCGCCGGAACTCATTTCTCGATTTTAGAAGGTCCCCTACAGTGGTGCCGGTCTTTACACCCACTTGCATGGGTACCGTGGCCACAGTAGGTCCCAATGTCGTCTCTGCTCCAGCAAGAGCGGCGCTACGGCCGGACAAGGCATAGCCGAAGACGGCACTGTCGTTCCCTGTGTAATCCATAACCGTCATGGCAAGCCCGGCCTCGATATACGCAGGTATCAACGGCAATGGGGGTCCCTTTGGTAAAGAAATACAGTGAATCATGTTTTGAGAGGCCTTCGGTACGTGGCCCCGAGGGATGCTGGGGAATATGGTTGCAGAGCATTGGTCGAGTTGGGCTTTCCAGAATAATGCTGCACTCTTCTTGTCAATGCTCTGGCAGTAATTGGCAAATTCTTTGAAAGGGGCCCGCCGAGATGGAGAGACGCCTTGGTAGATTTTGCACAAGTCCTCGAAAAAGAAACGATGCGTGTAAGAGTCTGCAATGGCATGGTGAATGATCGTCACAAGCTTTCTGCCGACAATTGCAAACCTGGCCAGCGGCGTCCCAAGGTGCATGGGTATATTCCGATCATCTTCCAGGTATTGCTCTGGATCTGTGTGTAACGACCGAGTCACGCAGTCTGTCATTGCGGCTGCCTTGACAACGACCTGGACCAAACCCAAAGGGGAGTCGACAATTCGTGTCCGCACTGTCTCCGTGCGAGATACCATCTCATGAAGAGAGTCACAAAGGTGGTCCAAATCAAGGGAACTGGCAAGCGAGTGGCTGAGACTGTGGGTGTAATCAGCCCCGTCGGCCAAAAGACCAACTTGAAAAGGTGTACAGGCGTATACATCTTCGACATCGTCGCGCGATATGTGGCAGTCCTCGCATATCTGGGCCAGAACAGCACTGTCGATATCCTGCATGGAGTTCATGATCATTTCCGAAGTCAACAAAATGGTTCTTAGGCAGCAAGGCGAGATGGATTCAACTGAGAAACTGGACCTTGTAGCACCAGCTTGAATCTGGGAGTAACTCATGTACCAGCCCTAAGCCTTGGGATTGCAGTCCAGCATACAATAACTCATGACGTTCATGGCTTGGATGGTCATTGCGAACGTACCCGGTCTAGGCCTGTGCAGGATGACTCAATGCCTCCCAGCGGTTACACAAAGAAGCACACAACCCACCAGCGGTTACACAAAGAAGGACACAATCCATGGCTTTTTGGACTATATCGGATTAAGAGTTCCATTTTTCGAGGAGAAACTGCCCAAAGTGAGATTGACAATAATCCTTGGGAGCCGTATGGATGAGAACCTTTTCCGCTCAATTTTTAATTGCCCTAATTGAGTGATTGGGTGCATAATCAACGTCTCAACGGCGTCTTGCCAATGCAACATTCCCATAACCTTACGGGAGCTTGCCTTGATGAAATTGAACAACTGCATCCTACACTCAGATCAGTTGCAGCCAGCCCTACAATTAGAAAGACACGTCACCACTGTTCAAACGATAAAGCCCGCTCTGTTTCCGCTGAAAGGTGTGGCTTGACTTATGAGAACATAGTCTATCTCTTTTCGCCGGAACACTTCAGCTAGTCTTTACTGTCACAGCCAGCAGACACCATGACACTCCCAGAAATGTCCCCGATAGCCGTGGTAGGCGTCGCATATAGGCTACCAGGTACAGGGCGTAGAGGCCTTTACGAATATCTTGCAGAGGCAAAGTCAGCATTCTCGCCCATTCCCAAAGACCGGTTTGAGCAGGAAGCATATCACTCCAAGAACTCGGAGAAAGGCGGCGTTTTCTCGTCTGACGGAGCTCATTTCCTCTCCGACGACGTGTATGCATTTGACGCGGCATTCTACAATATGACGGCCGAGGAGGTTACGTCTATTGACCCTCAGCATCGTGCGTAAACCCCTTGAAAGCGTCATAAGAACGAGATGGCTGACAGCCCCTGTGGCATTAGGCCTGATGCTTGAGTGTGCATTTGAAGCTGCAGAGAATGCAGGCATCCCACTGCCCGAGCTGGAGGGGTCAAAAACTGGTGTTTTTGCTATCACGGACCGCTGCGGCTACGGTGAACAGCAGATCAACGACCTCCCGTAAGATATATTCTCTGATCTCTTCACTCTAACTATCAGAATGTTTTCATATTGACGCTTACTTTCCTTTCTGACGGTTACTAGGACGACAACAAAGTATTCCACGTTTAGTGCAGCTCCCTGCATGGCGGCGAATCGCGTCTCCTATTTTATGGGTTTGCAAGGGCCTAGTATCTCGGTCGACTCCGCATGTTCAAGCAGTACCCATGCGGTACATCTGGCGTGCCAAAGCCTTCGCTTGAAGGAGTGCAGGACTGCGTTCACGGGAGCGGCCTCCCTGATTACTACTCCTCATATAATGGCGGTTCTCGATACCATGGGGGCACTTTCACCGGACGGGAAATGCTACTCCTACGATGCTCGTCGCAACGGATTCGGGGTCGGCGAAGGGGCCGCCTGTCTGGTTCTTAAACGCCTGGAAGACGCTGTCGCGGACGGCGATGCCGTACAGGGTGTTATTCGACACACCAGCTGCAACCACTCGGGCCATACACGAGGAATTACGATGCCCTCACAGTTGGCCCAGGAAGACATTCTTCGCCGCGTACACATCGAGGCAGGCCTGGAAATGTCTGATACCGGGTTCATCGAGGGCCATGGCACAGGGACTCAAGCGGGTGACCCCATCGAAGGCGCCGCCGTTGCCAACGTAATGGCGAAAGATCGCGCAGACCCTGTCTACATTGGCTCAGTGAAAACCAACTTCGGACACCTCCTAAATGCCAGCGGCATGGTGTCTATTGTCAAAGCCATCGCCATGCTGCGCCATGCAATGATCCTGCCGAATTCAGGCTTCCAAGAGATGAGCCCTGCCCTTGACGGGTCCAAATTGAGAGTCGCTGCGGTTCCTGTTCCTTGGGAATCGGAAAAGCCTCGACGTGTCTGCGTCACGAACTTCGGTTTCGGTGGCAGCAACGCAGCCGTTTTGCTAGAGGAATTTGGTGATTCCCGACGAGGCCATGATGCATCTAGGGACGTGGATGGACCGAACCATGCGGACACCAGTGGACGAGCAAGACTATTTGCACTCTCGGCAAAATCCGAAAGATCCCTTGTTTCCTTCTGGTCCGCGCTTACTTCACACCTTCAGGAGCTCCCTCGCTCTTTGACGACGAGTGACGCCTTCCTCGCTGACCTCAGCTTCACCCTTGGACAGCGACGCACGCATTTCTCACGCCGGGTCGGCGTCGTAGCCGGCTCTGTAGAGGAGTTGGTACAGCAGCTGTCCTCACTGAGCGAGTCCAGAATTGGGAAAGCGCGCGCAGACCAAGAGGTGGCGCCTGCCTTCATTTTCACCGGGCAGGGAGCTCAGCACGCCGGCATGGCAACCGAGCTTTACGGGTATGAGCCTTTCGCTGCCGCACTCCGGAGCGCAGACCGCTGTCTCCAAGACTTCGGTGCCGAATGGTCCTTGGCGGAGGAGCTGTTCAAGTCAGAGGCAGAGGGATCTCGTATTGACGACGCTGAAATAGCCCAGCCTGCCTGCACTGCTGTTCAGCTAGGGCTGGTGGCATTGCTCCAGAGCTGGGGCATCTCGCCTACCATTGTCGGTGGCCACAGTTCTGGGGAGATCGCTGCCGCTTATGCAGCTGGCTTTTTCTCATTCCGAACAGCAATGGCACTCGCCTTCTTCCGAGGAAAAGCGGCGGTAGAGCTGCAAGAGAAGAGCCAGGGTTCGCCGGGAGGCATGGTTGCGCTCGGCACCGATGTCGACACGGCGTTGAATCTGCTGGAGTCTACGTCCACTGCCCAGATTGGAAGGGCATGTATTGCGGCTATCAACAGCTCCAATAGTCTGACTATATCAGGCGACATCGCCGCCATCGAATCAATTTCTCAGGTAGCAGAGGTTCAGGGGATTTTCAACCGGAGATTGAAGGTCGGCGTGGCGTATCACTCTCACCATATGGAATTGGTCGCGGCATCGTATGAGGCTGCTATAGAGCCATTCTGCACCGCTGAGCGGACAAGAACTGAAGGCGGAAAAGGCACATCCTTCTGCTCATCGGTCACTGGCCGCGAAGAATGTGCTGATGCTGTAAGAAAGGCATCCTATTGGGTGATGAACTTGTGAGTGTCCCCTCCAGGAAGCGCTACTGTTAGGGCTATCCGCACCTGTCATGTACTAACCATCATTCACACTATTCAGGGTGAGTCCAGTGAGATTCGCGGACGCAATCGAAAGGGTTTTAAACCGCGAGGAATCTGACCAGGGAGCTACGGTCGCCCTCATTGAGCTGGGGCCACATCCTGCACTCAAAGGTCCTATTAAAAATGCCTTACAATCAATGGGCGAAACTCGGGCAACGTATCTCCCAACACTTTCGCGTGGTCGAGATGGTACCAAGGCACTGCTTGAGCTTGCTCAAAGCATGTTCACGCTAGGAAGTACCCTAGATTTTGCTGCTGTCAACCGAATTCCTCCAGAACACGCGCATGTTCTGACGGATCTTCCGGCCTACGAGTGGAAAAAAGATACACGCTATGTCCGCAAGTCGCACAGGTCCGCCCACGAGCTGCATCCTGGCCATATCTACAACCGTTTGCTGGGATGGAAGATGCCGTCGGTAGGAGCTGAACACATCTTTCGCCAGGTGTTCTCACTCGCCACCATGCCCTGGATCCGTGACCACCAGGTCGCAGGGGATGCTCTGTTTCCCTTCGTGGGTTTCGTGCGCCTCGCGGTGGAGGCATTCAAGGCCATATCACGAGGCCCGTCGAGCGTAACGATACGAGATCTTCAGGTCAGCCGAAGTCTCGTGGTTAACAGGGGTCAGAACGTGGATATAACTACAAAGCTTCAGCCGGCTGAGATGGGAACGCGGGCATTCTCCTCGACGATCTGGACTTTTCAAGTCCTGACCTGGACCGAGTCGGCCGGCTGGACTCAGCATGCCCATGGGCGCATCGAAGCGGACACCGTGGACTTCGCGACAGGTGGTAGCCCGGCGCAAAAGGCGGCTGACAAGGCGCTGTCCACGGGGCTCCTGACGGCAAAGGATATCGAAAGCGAGTACGAAATCATTCGACAATCGGGAGTCTCTTTAGGGCCCGCATTCAGAAATATGACCAAATTGATGACGGGACCCAACGTCGCTGTCCAGGAAGCAGTGCCGCCACAGATTGATGGCGAATCTTTCCAAGGCTCACAAGAATTCTTGGACGTGGTGATGCTGGATAGTCCGCTGCACTGCGTCCGGAGAACCTTCTTTGGAGATGACTTGAACGATGTGTTCGTTCCGGTGTCCTGCCCCCGACTCCAGCTGTCAATGATTCCCGCGACAGCCGGCCAGACCTTCACGACGATAGCGTGCGGGGGAGGACTCGACAAGGTAGCTGGTTTAGCACATATCCAGTATGTCATTTTGGTCAGCACGGAATCCGGGACTGTGCCTTACGCCGAACTCGAAATGACATTTCAACGTATCGGGCACTTCAGTGATGCTGTTGCTGGGAGCAGCAGACCGGAGGGCTTCCATACAACCTTGGTGCCACATATAGACTTTCTCAGCGGCACGGAACTGGCGGAACTGCTGACAGACCATTGTTCGGATCCTACAGAGCTGCTGCCCCGTCCGGAGATTGCTGCTATCAGTCGGCATTTCCTGGTTCACGCGCTCAGGACAACAGCTGGCGATGATCGGTCCACTCTGCCCTCTCACCCTTCAAAATTCCTCCGCTGGGCTGAGAGCCTCGCAGAAGAGAGCGACGACATCCAAGTCACCTCACAGCTAATCCACCAGGTTTCCCAGGCCAGTGCTGCCGGCGAACTTATTTGTGCTGTTGGTGAACGGATACCGGAAATCCTGCGCGGGCAAGTGGAGCCGTTAGAAATCATGCTGAAGGACGGGAGACTCACCCGATACTACGAAGACAATGCGGTGATGCAGCGAAGCTGCGAGGCCCTGGCCAGATATGTGGCCGCGTTGGGCGAAGTCAATCCCAGGCTGCGGATCCTGGAAGTGGGAGCAGGCACTGGTGGTGCGACTCTACCAATCTTGGACGCATTGTCTGGCGGGGCGAATAGTGATAGCGCTCCCAACTTCTCGCAGTATGTTTATACAGACATTTCGTCTGGGTTTTTCGAAAATGCGCGGCAAAAGCTGTCGCGGTGGCCGGAGCTCGTATACCAGAAACTTGACATCGGTCTCGATCCGGCGCAGCAGGGCATCGAAGTTGGCACGTACGACCTTGTCGTCGCGGTTAACGTACTTCATGCAACTCCTGACATTGAGGAGACTATTCGCAATGTTCGCGCCTTACTCAAGCCTGGCACTGGCAAGTTGGGCATCGTGGAGGCTGCGGATAACGACAGTCCTCTAGTTTTGCCCTTCGCCCTGCTTCCGGGCTGGTGGTTAGCGTCAGATAGATACCGGGCACTCGAGAAGGGACCTCTAATGCCTCTCGACCGCTGGCACCAGCTCCTGGGCTCCACCGGGTTTTCCGGAGTCGATGGCGCTATCGAATGTGGTGGGTGTGGCGCCTTCTGGTCTCGCAGGGTCGAGCCAGACAACAACCCTACCCTGCCCAGCAGTCTCTCCAATATAGCCTACCCGGTAACCATCTGCAGTCCTCTGGCCACTTCACAGGATACCAGGCTGGCCGAAGCGGTGGCCCACGCCGTGGGTGAGACCCTGCATATTCCCACTCCGCGCGTCCAGTCACTCGCGGGGCTCGATATTTCGGAAGACCGCTTCTGTATCTTCATTGACAGCTCCGACAGCAGCTTTTTGGCGGGTATTGCATCCGAACGTCCGTTCAATCAGCTGAAAAGTATCCTACTCAAGCCGAGGGGGTTGCTATGGGTCACTCCAGAACATGATGGCCCGGACTACGCACGCATCAGGGGCATTCTTCGGACTTTGCGCCTGGAAGACACTGCGAGAAAGCTGCTGCATGTCGACGATGTTCAACTTGACACAACCCAAGGGCCTGCGGCCGTAGCGCAGCTCACTGATAGCCTTGTTCAAGACATCACCACCACGACGCCCCGTGAACAAGACTTCGTATGGCGGGATGGACGTATCCAGGTCCCCCGTCTCCGTAAACTCCGAGAAACAACGGAGACATTTGCTCTTGAGGCCGGAGATTCGATTTGTCGAAGACAGCCGATATGGACCAGCCATGGTCCGGAGAACACCCTCTCCCTGGCTATCCACAACCTGGGGAATCTCGACTCTATTTACTTTAAACAGCACAACCTAAGCGGTACAGCCCTGGGTGACGACGAGACACTGATCAAGGTACACGCGGTGGGGATCAATTTCAGAGACGTTCTGACCTGCCTTGGCACGATTCCGTGGAGCCCTCCTGGTCGTGAAGGGGCCGGCACCGTTGTGCGCGTTGGGGCAAAGGTGCCACATCTGAAAGTCGGGGACCGCGTTATGTTCGGCAAGGACGAAGGGGTGTTCTCGACCTATGTTCGAATCCCGAGTATGGGCGTCCGCAGGCTGCCACCGAGTATCTCATTCGCGGTCGCGGCTTCGTTACCTGCTGCGTATGCGACAGCGCTCCTCGCCTTGCAGGATTCTGCGCGCCTTAAGGAAGGCGAGAGCGTGCTGATTCATGCGGGTTCCGGGGCTGTTGGTCAAGCATGTATTAATGTTGCTCAGAGTATGGGTGCGGTTATATTTACAACCGCAGGATCCGTGGAGAAGAGAGACTTCTTGCATAGAACGTTTGGGATTCCCACATCACGCATCTACAGTAGCCGTACCGCCAACTTTCGTCAGCAGATCCTTAACGAGACGGATGGAAAAGGCGTGGACGTTATTATAAATTCTCTCAGCGGCCAGCTGCTTCAGGAAACATGGCATGTATCCCCCCAGTATACACAAAGCATCGAGCAATCGTCTAACTCTACCTAGGTCCTTGGTTGCCGACTTTGGTCGATTCATCGAGATTGGCAAGCGAGACATGCTCGACAACAGCCACCTTGGTATGAGGAAGTTTCTGAACAATGTGACATTCACGACCCTTGCGCTTGAGAGCATGTCAGCCAATAGACCTGGACCCGTGCAGGATACCCTGACCAGGATCTTGGACATGATGGAGAAGGGCATTCTCAGGCCTATCCAGCCCATCACGGAATTCCATGTCTCCGAGGTGCAGTCTGCATTTCGAAAGCTTCAAGGTGGCCAGAACATTGGTAAACTTGTTGCCATCATGGGCCCGACAGATGAGGTGATGGCGGAGTGTACTTCTCCATTACAGCAACACGGTAGGCTGCTCCAGCACGACGCCACGTATCTCATCACCGGTGGCACAGGGGGCATAGGAAGGGCCATTGTGCCTATGCTGCTGGAAAATGGAGCCGCCAACGTGATCCTGCTCGGTCGGTCTGGCGTTTCCAACCCCGAGGTGGCCAAGTTGATCCGCGAGCACGACAGACCCGGACGTGGCATTCACGTCCGCGCCATTCCATGCAATGTCGCTTCGCGAGAAAGCCTCCGCATGGCACTGCACTCTATCAGCGACTTGCCGCCCGTCCGAGGTGTGATCCATGGCTCCCTATATCTGCGCGATTCCACTTTGATGAATGCGACGTGGGAGGACTGGCAGAACATCAATGGGCCCAAGATCGACGGCGCATGGCATCTCCATGAGTTGCTCCCTGGCCTGGACTTCTTCGTCGCCCTCGGTTCCGCGACTGGTGTTGTCGGCAATGTCGGCCAGAGCATCTATAGCGGGACCTCCTCGTTCCTCGACGCATTCGCCCAATACCGCACCCGTCAACAGTCGCCCACCGTATCCATCAACCTCCCAATTGTTGATGATGTCGGATATGTTGTCGAGCGGGACGGCCTACGCTCGCAGATGATGAAGCATACTGGTGGTTTCAGCTTGTCCATCGCACAGGTCCTTGCGATAGTCAAGGGGGCCATCATTGGTGCAGCATCGGGCTTCGTCAAGGATAGCACGGCACTTATTTTTAGTCGCGAGGACGGAGAAGGGTCTGAGGACTGGGTGGATCGGTCGCACTATCTCGCGGCAGCCCGACGCAAGAACGACACTGCCCACCATGCCCGACGGGGTGACGGGAGTGGTGAGTGCGGCGAAGAAGATGTGCTCGAATCCTTGTGCCGCAAACTCTCAACGATCACGATGATAGCTCGGGAGGAGGTGACGCCGCGCCGGAAACTGTCAGAGTACGGACTTGATTCCTTGGTAGCGGTGGAGCTCAGACAGTGGATTAAAGGCGAGTTTGGTGTTGACTTGGCCCTGTCTCACATCGTTGGTGCAGACTACTTGCAGGCTGTGGCTGACCGGATCTTAACCGGCCTTGGGAGGCTGCAAAAGGCCTAGAATTGACAATGAGATATCCCAGTCTATTGTCGTAGTTTAGGGTTGGAAATTCAATTGAATTATGCCTGCGAAGGGTTACTTCAGTATGCCCAGCTTCTAAGTGCTGGGTGTGATTAGTTCCGGAATAAAATCAGAAGCGTGAAAATGGATCGCCGATTCGCCGATTACACCGAAGGTGCAGTTGGCTTAAGAGTCATCTCCTCTTCCTGATATTTATATCTATAATTTTTTTTTTTCATTCTTAATTATTCCCTAGAATTATCTATTAAATCACTTAACAACTTCACACGTACTTCATCATATTTGAACAAGTTTCACTCCTTTATATATTTCAGAATATAGGCTAGATTCTGCCCACCTTTCTGCCTGAGGCAGAATAGTACCAGCTTTTAGCGCGTCAAACTCAGCACCGAGAACTTCATTAGACAACATCCTGCTACGACTGGTACAATGACCGCTGAACACTCCCCGGCGGAGGATATATCCACCGTCGAGGCGCAGTCAAAGGGAAAATTTCCCCGCGTACCTGACCGATGGCTCTCTCGCATCGCAAACTGGGGCGTTGAGCTCCGTGGTGTTGCTCCTGTGCCCATTGAGGAGCGGACTGACACCCGGTTTATCAATGTATTCTTTGTTTGGTTTACACTCAGCACAAATTTACTACCGTATGTCCGGGCCTTTTATTATTAACCCCTGCTAACTAGTCCAGGATCATCACCGGCATGGTGGGCACGTTCGTCATGGGGATGAGTCTGCGCGATGCGGCTTTGATTATCCTCTTCTTCAATATGCTCTGCACCATTCCTCCGGCGTACTTTAGTACTTTTGGTTCCAGAACAGGACTGCGCCAGATGCTTCATGCTCGATTTACCTTTGGGTATGCCCCGCCTAGTCGAGAAATGAACGCTGCTAACCTATCTGTAGATACTATCTGGTGTCAATCATCGTTGCGCTGAATCTCTGCACTATTGCTGGCTTCGGCGTTGTGTCTTGCGTATTAGGCGGATCAACGCTCTCAGCTGTCTCTGACGGCAGCATTGACGACACCGCCGGCATCGTTGTCATCGGCGTCTGCGGGATGGTCGTCTCCTTTGGCGGGTACAAGTTCCTACACCAGTATGAGCGGTACTGCTGGCTGTTTGCCCTTGTTGCCATCATTATAGCAACTGGTGTCGGTGGAAGCAGTCTCTCAGCACAAACACCGACTGCACCACCAACGGCCGCCACGGTGCTTTCGTTCGGCGGTGTCATCGCTGGATTCCTGATCCCATGGGCTGTACGTCTCTCCATACTCCTTCTACGTTTCAAACTAACAGTACCAGGGAATGGCCGCCGACTTCAGTGTGTACTGCGTCCCAACCGTCTCGACAACCCGCATCTTCGCCTACACGTACCTGGGGCTATTCGTCCCAACGGTCCTGCTTATGACCCTCGGCGCAGCAATCGGCTCCGCTACCCCATCGATCCCCTCCTGGTCAACCGGCTACAGCACCTACGGCGTCGGCGGTGTTCTTGAATCCATGCTCTCTCCCGCAGGGGGATTCGGCAAATTCGTTGCGGTTCTCCTCGCCTTCTCCCTCCTCGGAAATCTCGGCGCCTCAATGTACTCCATCACACTAAACTTCCAGCTCCTCCTCCCCTTCTTCATGAAAGTTCCGCGCTTCGTCTTCTCGGTAATCTACACTGCAATCCTAATCCCTGTCTCCGTTGTCGCTGCGAAATCGTTCTTCACGAACCTTGAGAACTTCCTGTACGTCATCGCCTACTGGTCCGCGGCGTTCGTCTCTGTGGTCTTGGTTGAACACTTCCTCTTCCGACGGGGGGATTGCGCATCTTACGACGCGAGTACGGTGAATTGGGACTCGCCGAAATGTCTACCAACGGGGATCTCCGCCATCGGTGCAATGGCGCTTTCATTCGGCCTGATTGTGCCTTGCATGGGCCAGGCGTGGTTCACGGGCCCTATCGCGGAGACTACGGGTGATATTGGGTTCGAGATTGCACTGGTTCTGGCTGGGTTGCTGTATGTTCCCTTGAGGTGGGCAGAACGGCGAATCAGAGGTGTATAGTTAGTAGGAGAGAAATTGCACGCTTATTATTTACGAGGCGATGATAATATCTTTTAATATATTCATTCTACCTGCTAGAGTAATATACAGGCTACTTACGTACCCGAGTCGTGCCTTCCCTGTTGGTTTGAACGTTGCTCTTGCCCATTATGAGCACCTGCCGTATTTGATGATTGAGTCGCTCATTCCCTCCTGGTCTCATATCTGTGACTACAGGAAGGAGCGATCCGTACCTAGATTGAAACATATGCGGAAGGAACTATCATTCGCTGCACTTTATCTCACGTTTAGATACAGCCAACCAACTAATATATTGGCCACCACAGTAATCATGTATTTAATGCGAAGATCATCTGGGAGTCGTTCGTTACACACAGCCTCGATCGTAATCCGTCTTTGCGGTCAATGCCCAATGCGGTATTACGTGTTACACGACTATGCACTAGACGAATGGGAACTGCAGGATATGTGGTTCATTCTCAAAATGATTCTGATTTAATAATCAGGTCACAGGTGAGCTTCTGTCATTTGTGGGCTCGCGACACAGGGATCCCCCGGTCTCCCGACAGAGTGATTCTTCGGCCTCCGGCTTCATCAGTTCAATCACACCATCTCCGAATGGTGGGAATGCCTCGAATGTGACCTTCAGACCAGCTGCCTCCGCAAGTTTCCGGTACTCCTCTGCGGTCCTCTCCCTTCCACCGAATAGTATCACCATCGCAACGTGCACCATAGCCATCTCTTTGCCTTTGGCCAGTTCGTGAATCAGAATCCGCGAATGCGGTTCCATTGCCTCGCCAATCCGCTGTAGAAGCCGCACTGCATCCAGGTCTGGGAGATTATGCAGGACGTGCGACAGGTGGTAGATCAGCGCCCCCTTAATCGGCTGCGGACTGCTCTCGTCTTTGAAATTCCATTGCACCTGGGTAATGCCTGGCACATCGCCCAGATCGTCATTGAATTCCTCCACGACCAAATCCTTGTCCTGTAGCTGCGGGAATGCTTCCTTCAACTCTAGGAGCAACTCCCCGCGACTGCCGCCAATATCGACCATTTTTATCGCTGTCGGCGGAGCACTTTCTAGTACAGCCCCGAGATCATACTGCAACATGTTCAAACGCTCGGGACTGCTTGGGCTCTTGAAAAACTTTCCATCCATGAACGAGTTAAAGCTGTCCATCCGTCCCTCGTCAGACATAATTGCGTACGCATGCTTCTTCGAATAGTCCTCGTTCCCCATAAGCTTATGCGCATACTGCATTGGCGTCTCGCATTCTCGGAATGGATACTTGAAATTGGTCGCCTTCAACATCGGAAAAAGGAACGAAGCAGCCATTAACATCTCCGACGTGCTTGGTGGTGAGATTAGCTCCTGTTCAGTCGTATTACAGATAGAAAACCCACAAATGAACTCCTCCATGTATTGCAGACTGATGCGCAGCTAGATGTTTGGTTAGACTGTTCGGGCTAAACGCGTTATCTGCCTCGCTATCGATGAGGCCTAAGCCTGCCATCGCATGCAGACTGTCCTCTTTTATTGTCAGCACTGAGCCATAAATCCTGTGAACAACACGGCCGTACTAATTAGAGTCAATCCTGATATTCCAGCACTAAGGGTCAGCGTATGAACGTTGTTTCGCGGGCTGCTGAATATACCTGGAGCAGAGGCTGCATTTTCGCTTGCTGGTAGTCTCTGTTTACAGACTTCTAGGACATCTTCGCTTGTAGCCGATGTACCTAGCTCCACAAGAGCATCGAACAGCTTGAAATGGGCGGCGACAGGGAAGTATCCTAGCAGCGGCGCCTGGGATTGATTAACGACCAAGCAAGTAGTACAAGCAGCTGAAACTGACGATTGTAGTGACCCTCATCACTTCCATTCCGGCTTCGAAGGATGCCATGATTGATAGAGATGACGGTAGAATGTAGAAAGAAGAGTGCGCAGATACTGATGAGAGTATACCGACAACAACGAGGGCATCTCACAGCTTATATGGCATTCCCTCCCGCTCACCAATTCACCTTCTCGGGGCTCCGGTGTATCTCGACACAGGATGTGCCTGGTTAAACCCGGTGATCGGGCTTGCAGCTCGATTCTGTATATACTACCCATCTCCTTCGGGGCCTGATCGACAGACCAGCATCCACAACTGGACCATCCAAAGGTATCTCATCGAGACAACTAACCAGACGAGGATATGATAGGCTGTTGGGTGAATTTTGCTTCGGTGCAATGCACTCTCCACTCGGATGTCGGGGTTCTGTCTGCTCCGCTTTGGGCGAGCTGACGCTCGGCAAATTGCTTATCACCGAGCAAACAAGACCGAGCGAGCTGCCCTTCGTCAACTAGTTCTACACCGTATGAATTTCATACCAATGCGAACACCGTGCCAGGGTCCTGCGTCTGCTGCTAATTTCTAGCTAAACCATATTATTATTATTTCTAGTCTAATATAGTTGATTCAACTGTAAATTCATCCTGGTCTTGAAATATTTGTCGTTGCCCTGACATTATACTGTCTCGCGCTGTGATTGGCTCGCTCGTACCGGGCGGGTCTTTACGAGCGTCCGAATTGCATCCATACTTGAGTTCCATACAACCGACTCCCCTTCAATACTTCACATATAAAGCCGTCATTCTTGCACTATGGACATTAGACAATCAATATTCATACAATATACCATCCAGGATGATGTGGATAACCATCCTCGCCGTCCCAGCCCTCTACGGCCTCCATTCCTTCGCCACCCTCCTACACAACCGCTCGCTTGCCCGCAAGACACAGCTGCCATACATCCTCTTCCCCGTCTTCGAAGCAAACCTCCTCTATCTCTCCCTCTTCGGTACCAGATGGTTCCAGTATATAATATCCAACTGGCTACCTGAAGGCGTGGCGGACTATATCCACGATAGCGTCTTCCGGAACCGCTGGGCTGTTAAGGATCGCATGGCGAAGAGGTATGGCGGTGTTTATCTCTATGTCACGCCTGGTGGGATAAGCTGCAATGTTGCAGATGCGGATGTAGTTGAACAGGTTGTCAAAGCCAGACATTCCTTTTTAAAGCCGGTTAAGCATTTAGGTACGTCTGCCATTAATCCAGTTGATGGGATTGGTACTGAGTGACTGACTCTGTTTAGAGGGGTTCGATATGTATGGGAGTAGTATTTTTACGGTATGTGCATGCATTGGAAACTTATCAGAAGTTCGTGGATATTGACGAGTGCAGGCGGAAGGAAGCCAGTGGTCGTATCACCATCGAAACACCGCGCCGGCGTTCAACGACAAGAACAACGCTCTCGTCTGGGCGGAGAGTATCCGACAGGCCGGCGAAATGGTCGAGTACTGGGGTGAAAGATACTCCGATTCCTCGGATTCAGTATCAAGTTTTGTCGTGCCCGATGCACGGGAAGATATACTCAAGCTGTCACTTAACATCATCTGCGGCGCTGGATTCGGGGTGAAGCTGCCCTTCAGGCCCGCTTCCAAAGGCACGACAGACGATGCCAAAGATCTCTTCAAAGACGCAGCTACTCCATCGCCAGGCTATTCCTTCACATTCAGAGGTGTAATGGAGTATATCAATAGGTCGATGATGTCAGTCTTTGTCGCTAACAGTATCCTGCCGAAATGGATTCCGCGGTTTACCCTGCCATTCCTGAAGAAGGATTTCGCAGCCCATGAAGACCTAGGAAATTATCTCCAAGCCCTAGTGAAGGACGCGGAGAAAAGCGAGTCCGAGACTCATAATCTCCTAGAGCGAATTGTCCGGTCTCGACGAGAGGAACAAGAAATAACCTCCAAGCGCAACCCCGGGCTGTCTGATGCGGAGATATTGGGCAACGTATTCATTTTCTCCATCGCAGGTCACGAAACGACAGCGACAACGTTGCGATTTGCATTGGCCCTTCTATCCATCTACCCTGATGTTCAAGAAGAACTGTACAATGAACTGCAAACAGTGCTGCGTAATGAGCCAGATGATCCTGCGGAATGGGACTATGCCACAGTGTACCCCAGACTGGTTACTCCACTTTGTATCATGGTAGGTCGACTCCTTCTCAATAAGTAGGTAGCTAACGGTTATAGCTTGAGACGCTCCGCTTGTACCCTCCTGCTCCTAGCATTCCCAAGTTAACGGCCAGCTCCGGCGCGGACATAACGTATAACGACGAGATACACCATCTGCCAGCGGAAGTCCGCGTTAACTTAAATAGCAACGCTCTTCACTATAGTGAAAGACACTGGGGGTCAAATGTGAGTGCTTTCAACCCCAGCCGATGGGACAAACGCAATGCCGAGAGCTATCTCGCGAGAAATGACGGCCTTGAAGGGCTCTCCGGCCCAGGGCTCGAGTCGAGCGAAATCCACAAGCCCGAGCGCGGAGCATATATTCCATTCAGCGATGGAATGAGAGGGTGTATTGGGAGGAAGTTTGCGCAGGTAGAATTCATAGCTACTCTTGCTGTTTTATTCCGAGAGTATCGAGTGACTCCGACGAGGCTTCACGGAGAATCAAACGATGACTCTACGAGAAGAGTAGAGAAGGCTCTACGCGAGAGTTCGGTGTCGCTTACCTTGGCCATTATGGACAGGGTTCCTCTAACATTCCATAGGAGGGTTACTTCATGACCACCGGTTTTATCGATAATTGTACAATAGTGGAAATAGATATTTGAATCCAATCGCCACTCTTGCTGGGGTGTCGTTCACTCATCCTTTGGTTTTATGATAATGTCCAAATACTGTGCTTTTCAGCATATTTGCAGTTTCAGGATCTGTAGTGTCAGGACTAGCCCAGCGGCGACATGAGATTAGGTTAGAAGGGGCCATGTCACCAACACCGACCGTGGGCAGACTCATGTACTCAGTAGTGAAATGCCACGGCCCATGAATACCTTCTGGTTTAGTCATGAAAGTGACGCCATAGCGTGAAGAATCACCAGCAATCCCAGGCTGCGGGATACAAAAGAAGTCGTGAACGCGAACGTGTTCAGGCGGGAGGACACTATCATCTGGGGCTGCATCAGGAGGCAACTCCAGGCACTCCTCCTCGATAGCCATGATGTGCGAGAAAATAGCATGGTACTGGCGTGAATCGAGTAACCACTCTCGCCTCGGTGACCGGAGAAGCAAGTCCAGCGCCCTTCGGCGGATGCTTGGGTAGCGGCACTTCCAGGCGACAGCGTGCATGGGGTAGATCAAGCCAACTTCTAAATTGAATCCTTTCGATAGTTCATTCGTATTGTAGGGAGGGTTCGCCACGAGAGCTTCTGAGACCCGCAAGATCTCTTCATAATCTTCCTGGCGAGTATCCCATTCGCATTCACTTGACACCACGTACGCAGCAAGTCCGACCTCGGAACCATACTGCATAATTCGAATAACGTTTGCCGCGGCCTTCTCCTCCGTATTCCAAGTCGATTCGCAACGTTCGAGCAGTTCCTGAAAATTGGTTTTCCAAAGGCCAAAGGCAACACGAAGGTCTTCAGATGGAGCTAAAAGGCTAGGACTGGGTGTCTGTTCCGCATCGACCTGCACATCCAGGCTTTGGAAAAAGGCCGCGCAAGCAGTCACCAGGTCGACAAGCGCGACTCTGGCTTCGCGCAGCGTTTGGAATCTCGGTGGTACTTCCGGTGCTCCAGTCTTGGATTTGTAAAGAACGAGTCTATTTTTCGGGAAGGGGCTGAATTCCGAAGCATTCAAACTGAACAGAGTAAGAATCGGAGCAAGCTCGCTGTGTAGAAATTGCGCTTCATAGGATGAGTACTTTCTCCCGCAAAGCTGATCTTGTGTAGTTTGGGAGCTTAGGCGCCATGATCTAAGGATACTTATCCCGTTTGCAATATGCGTGGCAGCAGCAGCAGCGTTACGCCGTAGGAATTCGAAACTCGTAAACAGGATGCTGGCCATAACAACAATGGGTACGGCAGGCTCGCCCGCCGCAGCCTTGTCGACAGTTGAGCGAAGTGCTTGGGCATAGAGCTGGCTGGCATCTGAACTGTCCGCCCAGGTCGAAGATTGGGCTTCACATTCATGCAACGAGCCTAGCGCAGCCAGCGCCTGACGAATAGACGGCTCCGAGAGACTAAGTTGCAAGACGCTTCGCCTCCAGAAATCCCCCTCAAGGAAACCGGCTAGTTGGTAGGAGGTCGTATTGAAGAAGAACTCCAAGGCTCTGGATTCCTTCGTCGAAATAATCACTGTCGACTGTCGCAGCTCAGGAGGCACACTCAGAGCCCTAGAGTTGGGCTGGATATAACCATCGCATTTTCGCCCAGTGCTAACACATCTACAAGTGTTAGATAATTTATCAGGACTGCCAGATACGAAAAATACCTGTGACATGATGGTCTGGCTTCATCGCATTTCACTCGGCGTATCCTAGTTCATACGTCAGAAATGTCCGTTGTCGAACCAGCCTGAACTGACTTGCAGGTGATACACCCCGTTCGGACCTTGGGCTTGCTTGCCCTGGGTCTCGAAGTTCGATGATCCATGGGCGTCTTGATGAGATCGGCTGGTGGATGATATGCAGACGATGAACAGCGACGGAAATGACTCCAAAGTGCTGCAACCACTGCACGTGCATTGTCTTTCCAATTTGGGATTAGTATTCTCCTCACTCTAGTGTCTACCGGCTTTCAGCGTGGACAGTGGACTCTATCGATAGCTGTCTGTCCATGGATCTGCCAATGACTCCGCAGCCTGGATGGTACGGTAACTACAATTAAGTTGTTCTGCAACTCGTAACCCCGGTGCGGACATCGAGGGTATCGGAGTTAAGGGTATTTCCGCCGCAGACACGATAATATATATAGTTCTATCCTTCACCAAGCTAGCGAAACAACAGAGCACCACCGCTACATAGGAAAAGGGCAATTCCATTGGAAAAAACAATAAATAATAATAAAATGTCGTCCAAACGCCTCCTCACAGTGCAGAAATTCATCTCTTACTTTGCAACCCTGGACCAAACGATCCTCGAGTCCATCCTGGCTGACAACTACTACCACCAATTCGCACCCGCCTCAATAAACCCACCCGGCCCATTCGACCGAGCGGGGTTTCTGGCACACACGAGCGGGTTAAACCGGATCATGACGGGGTTCCCCGTCTTCGCGAAGGAGTATATCGAGAGTGACAGCGGCAACCAGGTTGTCGTTTGGGCAACGAGCAAGACGCAGTTCCGGGAGGAGGTGAGGGATGATGGGATCCCGAGGGAGGAGTGGGAGTATGCTGGAGAGTATGTGTTTATGTTTACAATGGACGAGAGTGGAGAGAAGGTGGTGAGGTGCATCGAGTTTTTGGATGGGGGAGCCACACCGAGATTGCTTGAGCTGGCAAAGAGGGCGAGGGGGAACCTGGAAAAGATTGAGACAAAGCCATGAATGTGATATAATTACACTATATTTAAATAGAACTAGACAGCAAAAAGACCTTACCCAAGTTCTATCTACTTTCAATGACGTTGATGATAAGTTTTTGAGCGCGGTGGCGCAGAGCCATAATTACAGGATGGCCTGAAGCAAGGAGCTGGAGCTGGACTGTCTTTCGGGTTGCCTATACTCCGTACTCCGTAGTGGACGGCAATGATGAGGGCTCTTGTCGTGTCAACATAAAGTGGATACCCTGATTCTTGCTGCTCTGGATACGGATGATCGACCAATACTTCTGGGAATAGTATGGACGGTCTGCTTACCTCGATTTGCACTGGTATTGTCGGCTGCTCTACTTCCGCGGCGATGAGTTTGCAGAGAGCAGTCATTTAGGTCACCGGCCAGAGTGCTTTGATACAGTTCACCAAGAGTCTTATCACTATAAACCGGTGGACATGCTTGGCTGAAGCAGTGGCCCCTGGATTCCCATTGTCTCTGAACAGGGCATCTTTCAATTTCCTCCATGCAGAAGATCGGCAATCACTGGAGCTCGGTGTGGAAGCAGTTGTGGTTGGCTTGCTGTACTCAATGCGAAGGGATGAGACCTGCAGGGCGTGGCATGCTGTGTGACAAACAACCACCCTGGGATGGGCGCGGGAGCAAAAGCTGAAATAGCGGACAACGTCCCCTTCAAACCTTTTGATTCTTTCAACCAATTTAACCTTGTGGCTTGAATTTCGCATTTCTCACCATGAAGATCTCCGCTGCCTCTGCCTCTGTGCTGCTCGCCGCCATCGCCCCAGCGGTCGTTGGACAATGGATCCCTCCAGGGACTCTTGCACTGGTACGGACTCCCTGTCACCATAACTCCTCAACCGATCCCATTTACTGACGCTTGACATGGCAACCAATAGATTGGCATTACCACCAGTACTGGCACTCAATTTACCGCTCCAGGCTTGAAGGCTTGCGAGGAAAGCCCATTCGGAGTGTAAGCATTCGCCCCATCCGCTCATAGAAGCACGAATTGCTAACGCCGCACCAACTAGGCCATTCAATGCAAAAGAAATCGATATTAAAAGCACAGGAGCCCCCGCCAAATGCACCTTCTATTCGTAAGTCTTTGTGCCCTTGGTACTTGAGAGAAACCACGTTGTCTGACCTATTTCCCTCGAACAGCGAAGGAGGATGTAAAGGTCAGCACTACACGCTGAAGGACGGTTTCCATCCTCTTAGACATGACTTGGTGGTTGGCAGCTTCAACTGTGCTCTTGCCTAGAAATGAGGAGGACGATATGACACAGTTGGTGTCACTGAAAGCGGGCCTCGGTATCGAGAATACTGTCAACATGGGTAGATATATTAAATATCGATGTCCGTGGTTATTTCGATCCGGAAGTCCATAGAAATCACTTCACTATTGGTATATGAGGACCCAATCGTAAAATCCGACTACCCGCAGGGATACAGACGCAGGACTATCTTTTCCATTTAACGACATCATTCATCCCCACTACTAAACCGGAAATGTATACGGAGGATAGTCTCCCAAAAAAAATGTGTATTGGTGACAGGCCAGTGTGCCTGTCTAAATGACCACGCAAAGGAATGAAGGCTATTGAGGCGCTATGCAGACTGGAATGCTGGCCACAATGGCATGGCCAGTGCGCAGAACTGACAGCTTAAAGGCAAACATAGCCCCGAGCCAAGCTTTCTCATCCCTGTTATCCACTTACTTTTTGTCTAATCATTAATTAAATTCGACACAATGAAGCTAACTACTACTCTTGCGCCCATGCTCGCAGCACTCACTCCGGCCGTGGTCGGACAGGTGCAATCGCTAGGGTCTCTCGGTCAAGTACGAACTCTCTCCTGTTAATAACCTCTGACTATAACCTGACATCTGATTCTGCAAATAGATCACGATCGATTCGCATAGTGACCCTGATGTGCATAGCATATACAGCACTACAGCACCGACGAAATGCGAGAAGAGCGCCGTCGGGTATGTCTCCCCTAAACAATTCAATCACCGATGTAAACACGGACACCACATATCACTAACTATAACGCTGTTACAGAACAGTCAATGCTACAACGATCGAAATTAGCCAGCACAAGGTGCCAATCAAGTGCACTTTCTACTCGTAAGTCTCTGGCTGGTCGATACCTCACGCACAATAGGTGGCTTAGCTAATTTATTCACCTTGAACAGGGAGCACAAATGCAGTGGCCAAAACTACACCCTGGGAGCTGGTAAGCACGACTTTAAGAAGCGGCCGTTGTTGGTGGATAGTTTCGAATGTGCCCGAAACGAGACTGCTACTAGTTCCTAGATAGTTATGGTAGCGTGTCTTCCAGGCACATTGCCTTGTTTTTAGTGAATCCGGTCTCTTTTCTGGTTGGATATTTCCTAACTGAATACTGCAAACTGCGAAGACCTGGCGCCGTGGCTGATTGAGTATTAAGAGATATAATTCCAAGGTCAATCCATGAGGATTATCTTGTTTGAATTGATTTTTGTATTAATATTAAGTTATAGTAATAATAATGCGAGGATTTCTTTTTTATTAAAGTGTATCTACGCATTTTTCATAACCTGTCATATCCAGTGCGCCAATCCGCAATAACCATACCCAGAACTGCCATGCAAGAGAAATAAAATATAATCAAACAACAACATCCATTTACACCAGAAACAGGTCTTTTACATTAAACCCTCCTCCTCTCCTTCACATAAGCCATCATCCCACACCCCGCATAAACAAGAACAATAAAAATCTGCGGCAAAAACCCCAAAAAGAAATAAACCACCCAGCTACCCCTCAACACATCAAACCTCGACACCTTGGTCATATCATGCTTATCCAGACTCGCCGCCGTAAGGACCGAGTAAAGCACACGCACAAACAAGCAGGGGATGACCGCCGCCATACACGTCGTGATGTAGTAATTAACCGTCGGAAAGCTACGGCGCGATTTCCACAGCAACCCCACGCCCAGCGTTATACCCGCAAGACCGAGCATGAACAGCGCCGCTGAGGCCTTGGAGAATGTAACCGCCTTTGCGAACTTGTCTGGGTCGATGTGGCCGGAGGAGTCGGGGGATCGTTTTGAGCCGCCTATGGCGCCGAGGACGAGGCCGATCATTATGACTGGGTGGAGGGCGAGGAGGAGGATATTGACTGGGGTGAGGTCTGCAAGTCGTCCACCCTTTGAGCTTTTGGAGGGATTGGGCATTGGGGAAGGGGCGGGTGCGTCGACGGGGGAGTAGGAGTAGGCCGGGCTAGGTTCCTTTGGTTTAGACTTTGAGGAGGCGTTGACGAGCGAGAGGGTCGCGTTGAGGAGGGGGCCGAGAGCGATGGTGTATAGGATCTGGGCGCCCATTTGCAGGCCTGTTGAGGGTTTGGATTGGTGTGCCATTGAGAGGTACATTGCCGGGCCGATGATTTTGGCTGGTGTTGTTAGTATGCGCTTTACACGCTTCTTGGAGAGAGACTCACCGAGAACGAAGACGCTCAGGTAGATCCATGCCGTCTGCCTCTTCTTTGACAGGTAGTGGTATGTGCAGAAGATGACAGGGGCGAAGAGGACGAGGTAGACGGCCAGCTCGATGGCGGCCAGGATCTGGTGTGGATTCATGGCGGTATACAGTGATGAGGATGGAGTGAAAAAGAAAGTGTCTGCAGAGGAAGGCAGTATTTAAGAAGAGGATCTGGAGTCTAGCGGAAATTGCTTGAGTACAGCCTCAGGCTCAGCCTCAGCCCCCAAGCCCTAAAGTCTTGTATGACCATAAGCCTTTTGGCGCCGTCCGGTCGTGGGTCCGTCTCCAACGCCGTGTCCGAATCCGTGCCCGTTAGACTGTTGTCCGGCTGTCCGTTCGGGTCCGAGTCTGCCTGGCGTGTCTATCATTACCGTAAATGCTGCATAGCCACGCGCAACTTAGGCTTGTCTGGTCTAGGCTCGTCTTGTATATGGGGACGGCTTGGGGGCCATATTGATATCGCCGTAAGCCACTGCCCATGGGAACAAATGTCAACAAATTTAGAACTATCTACGGAATGGCTCAGTTCTCCAACTCCGTGATCTCCTTGACCATGTTACCGGCCATATTGGCAGCCACAGCCCGGCGTTCGCCCTCAATGGCTCGACTCCTAGGGAGTGTTCCTGGATGATTTAACTTCTTACCCAGGTGTCGAAGCCAAATTTTATACAGGTAACTAATGGGGGTGAGAAATAAATCTCCGCAGCCCCTGCGGTCGGATCCGAAGCGTTTCTCCGTTGCGTCTTATATCGATTTTTCATCATAAGGGCTGTCGCTGGACACAATGATATTAAACGTGCGGCAGTATTTGTTAGATACCTCGTTAGCCAGGTACATGTCCCGTAGCAGTGGATGGGTACCGATTTAATGGAGGACAAGACTCTGAAAATCGAAAGATTAACTCTATTTTACGTTCCAAGTGCCTCCAGCGCAACCGTAACCAGAAATTAAACCGGATGATATGCAATAAGATCATATTGTTCTGCATCATAGGGCTGAGTGTCATCCTGCGACTGAGACTGCAGCTTACGCTGGAAGATGAACGGATCTGCAGTCGTATCCGAAAGTTGGCTTCAGTTGCTTGGCTGAAAATACTTCCCAGCTAAAGTGAGAGTAATCCAAGTAAGTCGGAGTGGTTATTATGCTGCGAAGATACAACAGACAGCATCAGGATGGGATGGATAGAAATATACGTGATCTTCTGCGAAAGGCTCACCGTATGGAATTGCTAAACAACACCAGGCATCCGAGTCATGCTCCCATACTGGGGGCTTGGAAGTAGTGTGATGCTCGCAGGTAACGATGGCTGTCTTTGAGATATCGGTGTAGCTCCTTTACGTGCTCACCGACGATCAGACATGCACTCGGTCGCAGATCTCGTTTGTGTATATTAATAACAACTAACACATAGTTAGGTGCGGCTCGTATAGAGGACCGTGTAATCATGAGTAAGAAAACTAACTAGCTCATGTGCTTAAGCTCACTCGGTTAAGGCGTGTTGGGCAGCAAATAGGGTTATGAGCTACGGCTTCCGGAGTCCGAGTCCGTACATCGCCACGGAAAAAGGATCCTGTTGGATGATCTGACATTCGACATCACCCGTCGGACCGTCCGCATGGACCACCCCCATGGCCCACCTCCAGGGACCGCGCTGGATCCCCCCGCCAGCCCACGACCGGACAGTCCGACTCCGACTGAGGGGCACCAATTTAGGTAACCGAGGATATATTCAGCTTCTCTCCCAACAACTGCGGGTGCATTCTTCCCATCAATCTCCCGAGTATGGCTATCAAACAGATCGTGTGCTCCGGCACACCCTACGAGGTAGTTCTCTCCACGTCGCAGCAAACAAGCTCTAACACTCCCAGATCGGCCACGAGCATGGCTCGCAAGCGGCAACCGAAATCGAGCGCGCGATCACTTTCTACGCAAAGATGTTCGCAAAACACAGCAAGCTCGACTGGGCCCAGGTCCAGGATCTCGCGCGCGATTTTGACGGCTTGATCCGGGAGAAGTGGCCGAGATATTACGAGGAGCTTCAGGGTGCGTCCACCCACTGTATATTATTTGCCAAAGGGGCACTGTTGATATTGTGGGATATGTAGGAATCGCGGCCGGTGCAAAGCGCGACTTGATCGATATAATCGCCTTAAATGTCCGGACCGAGATTGTCTTTGGGCAGTTCAGCGATGGGTGCACGAGTCTCTATTACCAGGGCGATGGGATCTCCTTCCAGGGGCAGAATTGGGATGTACGTACCATAGCCTACGTACCCTTAGTGGCCCCCCCCCCACTATCATAATACAGCAACTAATCCCCCGACAGTGGGACGAAGAACAAGGCGAAAACCTAATCCTAGTAACAATCATCCAACCAGATCTACCCACAATCAAAATGATTACCGAGGCCGGGCAGATCGGGAAAATCGGACTCAACTCCGCCGGGGTCGGTGTGTGCTTCAACGCAATTCGCGCAAAGGGCATGGATAAGACGCGCATCCCTGTTCACCTGGGGCTTCGAATAGCCCTGGAAAGCTGGTCTGCGATCGAAGCGGTCCAAAACATAGAACGAGTGGGGATGGCTAGCTCGGCGCATATACTTCTCGGAGACACGACGACGGCAGTGGGGTTGGAATTCACGGCTTCGACTTTTGCGCGTATTCCTGTTAATGGGAAGGGGTATATAGTTCATACGAACCATATGTTGCTTGAGCATAAGGATATTAATGAGCCTGTCTGGTTGAAGGACTCGCCGGTGCGTGTGCAGACGATGGGGGAGAATATCGCGAAGCTCGGGCCTGTGACATGGGATGGTTTCAAGGGCCTTTTTGCAGACGAGACGCACTTCCCTTGTTCGATTAATCGTGCAGCAGAGGGTGGCAGCGATATTGCGACGCTGTTTAACATTGTCATGGATCTGGGGGGTAAGAGAGCGGAAGTGACAATGGGAAGATTAACAAGTGGTGTCGAGGGTGAAAGCATTATTCTCAGTTTCGACCAATAGCTGCTTTATCTCTACCTTGTATTTAGTTCGGCTTACTCTTTTGAAAGAACCGGCAGTATGAGCATGTCTGGTAGTGAAAGAGCAGCATTGTCCCATCAATAAGCTCCCCAATAAAGGACCCTTTGACACTGTTCTTTTTATACTGCACTTCACACTTCACTAAACCCCAAACAATGGCTGCCTGGATATATCATATCACTGACTGCCACGTCAAAACCCTCTTCACGCAACCAAACTCTGTCTTTCCTACTGTATATATATAGACTCTACCATGCAATCCCCCGTTCAAACCCTCCGCCAGCCCCATTTCATTTCTACTCACTTCTCAACCCCGAAAATCCGCTTGTCATTTGCCCCATCGCCCTTCCCAGTCTGGTCCCGTCGCTCATCAACCCGCAGATTCAGCGCCATGTCCTGCACGAAATCAAGAAGAGGCTCTGTCCCGCACGAACCACTCGCCTCAATCGCCAGCAGAGTCCACAGCCTTTGTGAAGAAACCGAGACCCTGATGGAACATACAGGCCACCACGAGAAATGCATTATAGGGCAACTGCACCGCTTCGACGCCTGGGCTGCATCGGTCGATGTGTATAGCCATCAGCACCGGACGCTGGAGGAGCGACTGCGGCAGTTCTCGCCTTGGCTTCCATATGATACGCTGGAGATGCTGCATAACCTGGAACTGAATTTGATTACGTTGGCAGACTATGTGGAAAAGATGCAGGACATGTTTACACCGGTCGAACAACGTGGGAATCTGGGGAAGCTCATCTGCAAGACCAAGGTGGGCATTATCCACGGCCTGGACAGTCTGGACGGTGTTAAAAATGCGATCGACCCTCATGACGATGAGGACCTTTCGTCAGCGATTGATGACGCACTCTTTAGGCGTATTGATGTTGCCTAGCATCGGATCCTTGAGAAGGACTATATTCAGCATACGGTCTTGCACCATTGACATTCTGCGCTTTTCCACTCCTTATTGAGAATCTACCAATTGCAGTTCTCACTCATTCGTGACTGAACTCTCACCAGGGGCTGGTTTTGGGACCAGAAAATCTTAATATATTCGCTGCATCCGTATGAATTCCAGGCAAAAACTGTAAAAGCCGGGGTACTGGTACTGTCAATAACACAGCCAACCCTCGTAAACATGTAGTATCTATCTATTGGTGTCTGCTACTGGAACTGGTCGTCGCTTCCGCAGCTCGCCTTGCCCAGATGTTTTGACTACTGGCGTGGCGCACTTGGGGGTCGATGGGATTGTATTCCGCGAACAGCCCTCTGGAAGTGTCTCTGCAAATGCATTTTGAATGAAGTCTGAGGTCTGCATTATGCTGGCAAGGAGGGCCCTCGCGTGGCCGTCATCACTGAACGTTGTGAACACCACAGTAGCTCCGTTTGAACACCAGAAATCGACCATTGCTGGTACATCAGCATAAGGGATGATCTCGTCTTGCAGACCGTGGTAGACGAACACCGGAGCAATCGGTACCTCGTTTTGATTTACACCGAGTCGATTGTGTTTGAGGACAGATGCAATGGTGGGGTGCTGCAGGAGATCAGGCCCAAGTCTCTGGATATCTGGTGAGAACATGGACTTGTGATGGAAATTGCCCAAGTCCGCAATAACACAGTGGGAGTTTGCGTAGTCCAGAAGCTCTCGGCCTTCACTGGTGATAATTCCATCAATCACAGGCTGCAGTTGTACACCATATGCGCTGGGCTTACACAACCCATCAATTGCCGCTGGGAGGAATCCACTAAACGTGCTGTTATCGAGCTGATGGAACGTCCCAGAGAGGTTTACCGGAGTGCCCCCTAGTGCCCACCCCTTGATATTCAATTCTGGAGCATATGACGACTGAAGAGAGGCAGCCCATCCTGTTGCTATTGCACCCACAGAATACCCGACACCGACAGTCGCAAGGTTACCGCCGGATATACGCAGTCCTTCTTGGAAATTAATAACAGCCCGCATTCCATCCAACACCGACATCCCTGCCACACGTCCGGCGGCCAGCGCAGCATCTGGGCCTTCATAATCAGGCGATGCAACTATATAACCCTGAGCGACGTGTCGCTGTATGAATAGCATCTCGAGTGAAGATATCAAGTCGGTTTGTGGAACGCCAAGCTGGTACTGGTAGCTGGGGTTGCAGCTGACCGAAGCGCTGTCGTACGCAGTGTGAAAAGAGATAAATCGGTCATTGAAGGTCACGAAAGGCCTGAATATCGTCGTGACGGTGGCAATAGCAGAGCCATCGACTGCAGTGGTGCGATACAAGAGTTGAAATGCGCGGACCTGGCTGGGGGAGATACCGAAAAACGATGTAGTTACCTTGCGATTGCGAAGGATAGTTCCTGGTCTCACTTCCTCGAACCCAGCAGGAGGGACATAAAAGGGATCAGTGGCGGGGTCCTGGGCAGAGGGAAAGACCCACGGTGGTGGGCAAAACAAGTTCAAGTAGAGGTTTACCCAGGCCCAGAAGAACCATACAACCCCAAATAGTCCGACAATCAGCGGTATACCGTACATCTTGCAGGTATGCAAGCTTATCATGAATAGCTAGCCTGTTCCAAGTCGGGCGTGCTGTGAGGATGGCCAAGGGCGTGGATAGCTCCTTCCTTAGCAGCACATTGCACTTTCCTGTGTCTAACACGTCGTTTACCCCATGAGTCAGTTGCGATTGGCAAGGAAGGAGCTGATGCTAGCCTCAATCGCACCTGCCTAGTTCCAACCATGTGTTGGCAGGCCTCCATGGCGACTACTCACGGAAGTATCATGAGAAGATGAGAAGCAAATGCAATATCATAAATGCATCTCGTCATATTGAGCTGGATATCTGAATATTATGTATGTTCTATCGTAATGCATGAGAATCTATTTAAAACTAATATTAGGCCACCCATAACTGCGGCGGACGTCATGGACGAGCCTACCCAGCCTTGCAATTTTGTAGCCTGCCGGAGGGATTGAGCCAAGGAGTTGTTATATCCGTTTCTTCTGGGTCTCCAGTTTCACACTCCGGATGGGTACCGGGTCTCTGAGCCGGGGGTAGAGTCTGCCGGTTTCGTATTTCCTAAATGTAATTCGGGAAGATGCTATGCCGGTCCAAGCTTGATATGTCCCCAACGAGCAGCCGCAAAAATGCCAGCACCTCCCACAGCCAGGAGCAGGGCAGATATCGTGCTAAACCATCCGACGCCAATGGACTCCGAAGCCGGAATCGCAACCGCCGAAGCAACAGCACCGAATATATACCGAATGAAGAAGTTCCCTGCAATAAGCTCTGCACTCCTATCCGGCACCACATCGAGACAATACGTGTTCAGGCTTGGGTAGCAGAAAAGCTGCGCAACGCCCTGCAGGAACATAAATATAATCGGCACGGGGAGCCCGCCAAAGGCCTTGTCGACGGACCATCCGTAGATGAGCATACAGGCCGGGATCACTATCCCCAGGAATGGAACGGCGGCGTATAAACGGTCTTCTGGTACGAATACTTTCCCCCTGCGCTCGTACCATTTTCTTGCAATGTAGTCAGCCCACCGGCCGCCGCCGAATGTGCCGAGTATGTATCCTATGCCTGGGGCTAGATACAGCAAACCGGATTGGAGTGGTGTTTCGAGATGGAACCTCGGGTTCAATACATAGCGGATGGGCGTCAGGAGGCCGTATTGGTTCCAAACAAGAGAACCACTGGCAATCGCCGTGACCACCAAGCTAGGGTGTTTGAACGGGGTAATAACCCGCAAGGGATTTGTCATTGTATAGAACTTGATAACCTTCTGGCCCCTGGTTAACCCTTTCAGAGGACGGGGTGCATTCTCCGCCAGTGTCTCGGGCAGTAGAAAGAAGGATGCCAGAAGAGCTATCCCAGCGAGTCCAGTCTGCATCCAGAATATAACACGCCAGGTGGTATACGTGACAATCGCACCAGCCAGTAATGGGCCGATTGTTGGACCAACCAGTGTACCAGTATAAAACCAGGCGAGGCCGGTTGCTCGGTCGAGCGGCCGGTACAGGTCGCGAATGATAGCTGGTCCTATAACCAGGATAGCCGTACCCACGAACGCAGTGAGCATGCGAAAAATCATGAACGAGGCGATATTTGGACTTAGCGCTGTTCCGATCGATGCGCCCAAGAAGGTCAATGTACTCGCCAGACAAGACTAACACAGTTAGTTTTGGTGTAGGCAAGATTGGAGAGATCGTACCATGCGCCTGCCAATTGTCTGGCACCAGGGACCCCAGAAGCAAGGACTCAGAGCCATAAAGACCAGATACAAGGCATTACTCAGACCGATCACGGAGCCGGATGTATTGTACGTCGAAGCAACATTGGGAATAGCTGATAGCACGGAGGTGCTTGAAATTGGGGAGAGGAGGCCAGTCCACGCGATGACCGCGACCATGACCAGCTTTCTTCGACCTGAGAACCGGTCAAACTCATCGACTGGATACTCGGCTCTTGGCTCTTCGACGTCCCCATTCTTCTCGGGTTGGCTTAAGCTCATGTTGTCGGTGGGTCAGGGTCCAACTTCACAGTTGGAGGGGTTTGATGAGAAATTGAAGCTATCACGCAATTGCGGAGGATAGCCATTAATTGAATTGAATCCACCTCTCTTGCTACTGTAGTGACTCAGAATGGTCGGGTAGCAATGACAGAAAATCTCTGAATGCATATTGTTACCGATACCTCGGGCACACGGATTCTTATCCGGATAGCGGAATCAATGCGTCCACGCCGATGAAACATCCAATTACGGTCAGTATTTCACATGGCGTCTGCAGTCGGATTTGGGCCTCATATCTATCAATAAACTGACAGGCTAGTTGCCTGTTGATCCCCGTTCTGGCCCTCCTCCAGCCGGGCCTGGATGCGCCCTACAGGGCGGAGCACTGTCGCTTGTTATACCGCCACTTGTTCATCGATTCGTTTTCAAGTATTGAGGCCCGATGCTGCTTTTGTTTACATGTACATCCTTTCGGGCGCATATAACAGTGTATTGACACGGTATGTCGTCGAATGATGAGGCAAATGGATCACATGAAAGAAGCTACTAGGATTGTTCGTCATCAGCTGCAACGTAGGGATGTAGTTATGCGTACGCCATCCTTACTATCAGAAGATAGCTACATAATAATTGGCGTCCTTCTAAACTTCCCCAACCGTGTTTTGCGCATATTCTCAGGTAGTGAATATCGGATCCGCCAACTGTAGTTCGCTGCATCTCGCCCGTCAAACGAGGTCTCCAATCCTGTCGCCAACAAACGTGAAACCTGGTCGATGGCCAGCCTACATGGATCTGTATGTATGTCGGTACCTGAAGTGCCCACGTTTAAACCCTCATTCTAGCCAATAAATGACTGGTAACTCAAGTTGAAAATTGTATACTTCCACGGACCCTCAATGCTGACTATATATATATATATATATATGCATAGTATGCTGTTCTGGAGGAATCGCAGAACTAAGCTGCAAATCTGTTACACTATGGGCTCAATTCACCGAGAATTCAAGTTGTACTGACCGACAAGCGTAATGTCTTCTTCTTGCCGTGCCTTCTATGGAAACTGCATTATCAAGATACTACCCATCAAACATTTACGGGTTACCGAATGAGCTTCAATACATTCAAAAAAGTTCATAAGTCTATTAAAATCATTTAATCCAAGGACGCCTCTATCCCATCCTCGACGGAATACGTCTCCCAAGAAGTAAAAAATAAAAAAGAACGATATATGGTATATGGTGTATATATACATTAGATCCCTGAGTTCATTCTATGCAGGCATAAATCATTGAACATGCCAGTGGTAATAGAAGCATAAATGTAGTAATGGTTGTCATGTACTGGTCATTGTACAGTAAGGAATGTCGTAGCATAAATAGCTTTTTACTGCAGCTCAAGAGGCTGCTGCTCACGGCTGGCACGGGCACTGGCAAAGTCGCTCTTCGTCTTCACACTCTCAGGCACAACCTCCTCGCCATGGTTAAGTTTCTCGGCAGCCTCCATGGAGTAGATAGGGCCCTTGTAGCGGGTCATTCCACGGATAAGCCACCAGAAGGAAACGATGGTCATAAGGCCGACCGTGATGACGGAGGTGTAGTTCATGTTCTGGACAGAGACGGGCAGGGTAAAGGGGAAGCAGAAGAAGACGACTGTGACAGCGATATAGACGACGGCGGCGATATTGACGAACCAGCCCCAGATGCCGGGCATGACGTAGGGGCCGGGGACGATGTTCTTGCGGCCTGTTAGGATGTGCGGCACGATTGCGCCGGCGTAGGAGAGCGTGGAGAGCACGATGAAGGAGGAGATGAGGGCCTGGAAGGCGGTTGTGCTTCCGACGTAGATGCAACCGAGGCAGGTGACCATTGCGGCCATGCCGCAGGTTGCGTTGACGGGGGCGTTGAGGGTCGGGTGGACCTGGGCGAAGAAGGAGGCGAAGGGGGTGGCGTTGTCGCGGGCAAGGGACCACCACATGCGGCCGCCGGTGGTGAGGGTGCCAATTAGGGTTGGGAAGGTGGCCAGGAAGAGCAGCGCGATGAGCCCGACGGCGCCGGGGACGGAGCCGGTGGCCTGCAGGTAGATTTCGGCGATGGGGAAGTAGCCGATGCTGGTGTCAAAGACCTTGTCGATGTCCTGGATGCTGTAGAAGAGGGCGATCAGGTAGACAAATGCTGTCAGGAATGCTGTCAAGAGCTGCAGCATGATGCCCTGGGGGACCTTGCGCTCGGGTTGGGGGACTGTACATGTTAGTATAAGAACGGATTATAGAAGACTAGCAGACTCACCCTCTTCAGACAAGTGACTGATACAGTCGGGAGTGCCGACAGCAAAGGCAGCGTTCAAAAGACCACTCAGGAAGCAGATGCCATCAGACCAGCCGGGGGCCCCGTCGCCGGTCATGTTGTAGTAGGTTCTCCAGACCATCTCGTTGCTGGCGTGGTGACCGCGAGGCATGACGGCCAGAACAATGATGGTGATGAAGAGACCTCCCATGGACAAGGCGAGCGCAATGCGGTTCAGCATGGGCAGGAATCTGTTTCCACAGCAGACAATGCCAGTGCACATCCAGAGGACGATCTGGAAGACGATGAACGGCTGCCAGCTGTGCCATTCCGTGCCCGGGTTGCGCAGAATGTACATGGCGACGGCCTCGTTTCCAAGGATAGAGCTCATGGAAGACGCCGACAGCAGCCAGGCGCAGGCGTTGAGGTATCCAGTGAAGAAGCCCGCAGCGCGGCCATACTTGCCGCCCACGACGGACGACCAGTGGTAGACACCGCCGGCAGAGGGGATGGCAGAGGCCAGCTCGGACAGCGACAGCGAGATAAAACCATAAAAGACAGTGACGACAATGAGGCCGTACAGCACAGCCATGGGCCCGCCATTGTATAGAGCAGTGACGATGGTGCCGCCGGTGGCGGCCCAGGAACTATTGGAACCAGGTCAGGATCGACGCCAACAACTTCTCAAATTGGCCGAAGTGACCAGGGTGCGTGCAGCAGGTTCAACTCACTTGGCGATGATAATCCCCAGACTCGTCAGACTGAAGAGTCCGAAGCCGCGGACCAGCTCCTGCTTGTGGCCGAGGGCAGCCTCCAGGCGGACGGCATCGACCTCGACGATCTCGTCCTTGGACGCGGGAAAGCCGCTGTTCTCAGGCATCTTGGTGGAAGGATGGACCAGAGAATGCGAGGGAGAGCGAGGTTGAAAAGAAGGAGGGCGAAAAAGAAAAGAAATACCGCGTGGCAGTGGAATATCAGGGGGGCAGCATGAGCTAAAGCAAAGCGTGCAGAGTTAGCGTGAACACGAACTGCCCCCACGAGGAGGAGAACAAGAAGAAAAGAACTAAAGAAGCAAGGAGTGGACTGTGGGCACTAATTTACTGGCCAGCTCTGAGCACACTGGGCCGGTGGCACTGCAGAGACAGTGGCTGCAGAGCCGGCCCACCGAGTGGGAGTGACTGGTTGTCTTGTAACGACCCACAGTCCACTCGCAAAGTTTAATTGGGATGCCAGCCTGGGCAGACCCAAATGCTGGACCGGCGTCGCTAAATTATTATTTTCGGCCCCGGCAATCTCGTGCAATATGCGCCCTGTGCGGGTGGTCAATACTTTTTTAAGCCGGGTGCCCCTCAGAGCCCTAATCCTCGACCACCACCATCAACCCGTCAAACCGACGCAGCCCGCTTCATAAGGGACGGCTAACTCGTCTTCTGGCACTGGACTGTGCTCATCCGATGCTGCTCTAAGATCGCCCGGCCATGGGGGACGTCTCACCCTCCCCTCACCAGCTGCTGGTAGAGGCGGTTGTCTTTTGGAGCATCGGGGTGGTTATCTACATTGGGCGAATGTATGGCACCTGGAAGGACTGGAAGCTGGACTCGCGCTGACATTGCATAGCGTCGCTCGATGCATCTCCAATGGAGGAATCCGCAATCTGCAGGGTGGGTTATCCTCATGTTTCAGAGTATGCAAGTGCTAACAATCGCAGTCGATGACTATATCATGACCTTTACCTTTGTACGACTGACCTCGACTCACTATGAAACAACCAACTGACTCTTGCAGCTCGTGTATACTACTCTCCTCGTCCTCATCCGCGTCTCCGCCGAATACGCAACAAACCTATACCCAGCGTCAGAGAATGACCGCATCCTCTCCGACCCCGACGAGGTCGCCCGGCGCGTCTACGGCAGCAAAATCGTCATCGGCCTCGAGCAGATGATGCTGGTCTCAACCTGGGGCGTCAAGACCTGCCTGGTGACAATGTACTGGAAGCTCACGCAACGCCTGCGCTGGCATCTCTTCGTCCAGATCCTCGCCGGCTACGTCGTCCTCGGCTTCGTCGTCATCGAAATCACCTACTTCGCTGTCTACTGCCGGCCCTTTTCGCAGTACTGGGCCGTCCCCGTCCAGAACCAGCAATGCGCCAGCTACCAGCACTACTCCATCACGCAGGCCGTGTTCAACATCTCCTCGGACGCCTTCATGCTCATCATACCAATCCCCTTACTGAAGGGCGCCCAGATGCCCATCCGCAAGAAACTCCTCCTTATCGCCGTTCTCGGTCTCGGCGTGTTCGTCATCATCGCCGCCATCCTGAATAAATACTTCAACTTCCACTCCCCGGACACAACCATCTACCAGCTGTGGTACATCCGCGAAGCCTCCACAGCCATCTACGTCGCAAACCTCATGTGCTGGTGGCCATTGCTCCGCCGTATCTTCGGCAGCGTGCTCTCGCAGTACAGCGGGCGCTACCGCACCGACCAGTACGATCCTTACTACGGCAACCCGTCGCGCGCCTCGGGAGGGCTATCCCAGGCCCTCGGTGGTTCGCGGCCAGGGACGGGCCATGTCACGCAGACGTCAACAACCGGAGACAAGCCGTCGAGTCGGTGGTGGCGTGGCGGGATGAGAAGTCGGGGGCGATCACGCACCAGGGCCGATTCCAAGGGCGTAATGGGGTTGACGACGTTGACGACGTCGACGAGTCAGGAGGCCATCAATACGCCAAATCCTCCCGGCAGCGGGGGGTCTGGAGGTTCGGACTCGCATGTGCCGCTGGAGATTTGGCGCAAGGTGGAGGTGAATGTGGAACAGAATCGCAGTCCGGATCCGGAAGCAAGACCTTAGCTGGGCGGTCCATGGTTCAGTGTTACGACTAATACGACAGTATACCTTAGATTAGACTTATATTCAATATCCAATGTACTTGTTCTTTTCGTTTATTCGCTTATTTCTTTGTCTTGTCTTGTCTGGTTCGTGGACAATCGAATTCAACCGTTCGCATCCTGCACATCAACCAAGACCCAACTTGGATGGACCAATAGTAGAGAGCAATAATACAGATCGTCACTCGGACTCTCGGAGGAACATTCCAGAGCGGATTTGGTTCCGGAGGATCGTCACGTCCCAGGGTTTGTCTCTTGCGTGACGCAGCGGGTGAGTGGTTGGTTGGGAGCAGACCCTCCTGCGTGGCGATTAACCGACTGGCGAACAGAACTGCGAGCTCCAGCACGATTCAGTCAAATTCAAGGTGGTGGAGTGATTGACGCGATACGCAGCAGAAGCATGAATCGGGAATGTCGTGTTGGGTATACTGTACACCGGTGTCTGTCCGTGCTAGGACGCCGAACGGGCCTCCTGCTGTCCTGATGTGCTGGATGTGTCCGGAGTATCCAGTCCGCGCATTCTCTGCCTGGACCCGGCAGTATTCAGTAACTGGAACCCGACCTATTAATTGATAGCAATTCAGCTTTGCCTTTCGCAACCCGGCGACCTGGTTCAGGGACCCGGTTCAGCAGCCTCAGCTGCAGTCAGCAGCCCACATGGATCCGGTTCCTTAATCAATCTCAAATGCTCGATATTAAACTAGCCCCCATCCTTAATGGAATTACCTAAGTTTCCATCAAACCGCCAAATCTGGATCAGGAGAGCCGGCCCACTCGCAGCTCAAGGATTCAAATCTCAGCTGTCGCTGGCACGCCACACAGCCACGCCCTCCACTCAACCTTGGTGGCATGATCGGGGGAATAGGAACAGGAATACCCGGCCATTAATATCCCCTTAATATAGCCTGCGTCTGCTATACGACAGTGCTCGATCTGGAAGGAGACTCCCATCGGAGCATCCGAAGAACTCAGTCGGGGAATCGGGATTATCCAGTGGGGTGAGTGAGTTATTAAAGTTTGTCCTGCCTCCAGCCTGCCACACGTGTCGGGGAAATAAATCAGGAATTCAGGATAGACGACTGCCGTGCATAAATGCCTAAATGACGATCAAGCGAGCAGAACCGGGGGAGGGTTGCATTTGGGACTTGGACTTGGACCAGGATTGGATTTGTTGAACTTGCGTGTGCGATCGGATCCTTAGCCCGATGGGGCAGATCTGCGCTGCGCCAACACATGTTTGCAGGAACAGGACTCAATTTTAGGCTGATCGGCTCAGGTACACTATCATTGAACAATTGAAGGAAGATAATGGATGAAAATTGATGGATGTTGATAACTAATGATTGATAATTAATTGATGATCAAGTTGTGTGGAGGCGGGCACGAGAATTGGGTTTAATGAGGATTGACCTGTCAGTGTCGGCTGTTGACAATTCGGATGTCACTGCCAGTCTCTTCAGTGTCAGTCTCAGACTGTGTCGCATTAGAGTTTAATCCTGGCATTCCTTGGCTGCTCGTGCTGTTTCGTTTCGATCCGATCGAGTCAGGCTGAGGTCAATGGAGGCATAATAGTAATACAATAACCTTATCGTTGCAATGATCGTGAACACTTCCACTTCAGTGTTAGAACATGACGTCATTTCAGTCCAGTGTGCGACCGTCAAGAATTATTCCGCAGATATCAGCATAATTCGGATATCAACACGTTATGAACGATTATATATAATTATGTATCTCAAGTTAAACCTCCAAATATAATCTGCATTGATATTCGACCTGGATTGAACACCACGCCGTACAGTCAGATAGGCTCCTGCTGATCTTATAAACACCGCTGTTCATTCACACAACTCAGTATACTATAACTCAGACATAACCTGCAGTCTCCGGTCTGTAGCGGATAACTCGTTGTATGGAGATATTGTCATCTATAACTATACTGCGATAATCTATTGTCCATGGCGTATCTCTACAATCCAATGCGACTATACAGCCCATAAATTTACAATAGTTGTATCGTTGTGTAGATACCGCCGTTCCCGCAATACCCGCACCCCCTCATGAACACATCATATAACTTGACTCACCCATCAATCATCATCAATCAAACACCTTCTACCAACTCAACCCACCAGTACACTACGAAATGCCAGGAATAACCCATCTCTCCAAGCCCCTCGCCCAGAGGTATCCCTGGGCAAAAGCACCCCTGCTCGTCAGCGCCCCAATGCGCGTCTTCTCAGGCCCCGAACTCGCCGTCTCCGTCTCCCACGCCGGCGGACTGGGCTTCCTAGGCCCGAGAATAAAAACCCAAGATACACTGACCGATCTCGAGAAATCCACCGAGCTACTCAAAAAGCTGCCCTCCCCACCCCCAACATCAAATCAAGCCACCCTCCCCATCGGCGTCGGCTTCCAACTCTGGAGCGACGACATCGACATCGCCGTCGCAGCCGTGGAAAAGCACAAGCCCTGCGCCGCCTGGCTATACGCCCCTTCCAACGGGCAGGCCGATCTAAACACCTGGTCGCGCCGCCTCAGGGCCGTATCCCCGCATACCCAGATCTGGGTCCAGATCGGGACGGTGCGGGAGGCCGAGAGTCTAGTCGCGGCTGGATCGGAGAGGCCGGATGTGGTTGTGATTCAGGGTTCGGAGTCTGGGGGGCATGGACGCGCGAAGGATGGATTGGGCCTGATGGCGCTGTTTCCTGAGGTGGAGGATGTTCTTCTTTCTGCTTCTGCTTCGGGTTCTGCTTCAGGGAGGATTCCGCTCTTTGCGGCTGGGGGGATTGCGGATGCTCGTGGTGCTCTTGGGGCTATTGCGCTGGGTGCTGATGGGGTTGTTATGGGGACGCGGTTCCTGGCGAGTACGGAGGCGCGGATTAGCGATGGGTATCGGAGGGAGGTTGTGCGTGCTAGGGACGGGGCGACGAGTACGACGCGGACGCTGCTGTATAACCATCTGCGAGGGACATATGGGTGGCCCGAGGAGTATAGTCCGCGGACGATCATCAACCGGTCGTTTGTGGAGGAGCAGGAGGGGAAGCCGTTTGAGGAGCTGAAGCGATTGCATGATGAGGCGTTGCAGAAGGGGGATGACGGGTGGGGGGTTGAGGGGAGGCTTGCTACTTATGCTGGGGCGGCGGTTGGGTTGATTCATGGGGTTAAGGATGCTGGGGAGATTGTGAGGGAGTGTCGAGAGGGTGTTGCACGGAGGTTTGCTGGTTTAGATGCTTGAATATGGTGCATTTCATATTTGTGCTGTTAACCAGAGATATCAACTGCGAGCTCCGTTTGCATGAGTTTACTTTCTTTCATCAACGTAGGACAAACCATCTCGCTTATCCTTAGTTACTTTCTGAGCCATAATAAGGTCTTCTAGAATATGTAAAGAAGCTCCTGCACTTGGTGGTTTATCACTGCGTTATTGACTACTTTGTGTATCTCAACCCAACGTGAAAACATAACGAGCACAAAACGAAGCAAACCGCAGTGTCTCCGATTTATACCAAGCCACGGGAACCAGTTTATACACCACAATCGTTTCTGCAAGACGATCCAGTACGTGATTGAATACCATGTCTCAGCAATACATGACACCGCATCAACCTCAATCCTACCCCCCGGTCTTACACATGGTCCCGCCCAAACAAGCCGGGATCATATTGCCTCTCTGCCACTACACAGGCGGGACATGTTCAGGCGACAACGAATAGCTGGCGCGGCAATTGCAATGCGAGGAGACATGCTAGTTCGGCCCATCCACTCCATGGCAGCGCTTATACCCACGAATCCGTACCCAACTGAGAACAAGGCAAAGTTGGTCGGCATCCTGCTTGCCCTCCAGGACGCGCAGAGCGAGTATTGCCGGCTCCCCCGAGGGCCAAATCAAGTGAAGGTCATTATCTACACGGAATCGCAATATGCAAAGGATTGCATGGAAGGACCGCTTGGGAAATGGAGGAGGAATTGTTGGAAAGATGACAACGGCAAACCTATTGTGAATGCTGAGGTTCTCCGGCGAGCGGACCGCGCCCAGAGGGAGTTATGTCGTTCTGGGAGTGTGGAATATATTCTCACCACGAGGGCCAATTTCATGTACGCTGACATGATAGAGATGCTCAGGGTCTGGGAGAATGGGGCCGTACTTCTCCCAATGGTAATATGATACCTATGTCACTTAAGATTGTTTATTTAGCGGATTGCTAGAGATTAGAACTAATAGACTGTGATGATTTTACGCTTACCGGATAGATTCTCTGGCAGATTACGAACATGGACGCTTGAGCTATATGGTGGCTACAAGGGAGGGGTATGCGTATACTGAGCAATTGTGCAATGCGCTCTGGGGCGAGGTGGACCGACATCTGAGCGCTTCTCAAATGACTTAGACCAGCCGAAATCTTTGTATTAGATCAGATTAGTGATTAGACTATTATGCTAGCCTAGCGTTGTTGTACTTCCCCAAGCGCTATATCACATTGAAACAGGCGGTAAAATCTGATGATGTTGAACTCCATGAGACGCCAGTTGTACGCAAGCCCTAGCCCAAGAGCAAGCCAGATTCCCAAGTCAGAGAACAGTCGCAGACGCAGCCTGCCAGATAAGATGTTAGGCCTATTACCCATGTTTACAGTCTCCTCAATACCCACCTGCTTGATCTCCTGCTTGATCTCCCCCTCCTCCCCCAACCACTCCACATAAGCCTTCAAATACGGATCCTCAGGGTCAACATCCCCCCACTGCGCCTCCTCATCATCCCACTCCCTCCCATAAAGCCCATCCCGACAAAAGATCTTCCACGCATCATCATGATACCTCGTTAGACCCTTCAAATGCGCAATCTCGCTCTCAAACCCCTCCCTCCCAAACCGATCCTTCTTCTGCGTGACAACTCCCAGTTTCGGCGGATACCGCGCATACGAGTCAGCCAGTTGCTTCAACCGCGCCACGCGCGCCTGCATATCTAGTGCGTTGAAGTAACGCAGGATATCAACCTGTTTGGCGCACTGCATGGCTTCGGGGTCTGGGTAGCGCTGTAGCAGCCATTGGAGCATTCGGGGGGCGTTGGGGCCTGCGGTGCGGGCATCGTAGATGCAGGCGACTAGGAAGTGCCACTGACTGGACTGTTAATATCTATATCTAAGGCATTGAGGCAGGGCTTTTGAGGAGTTACCTCGTTATCAGCGTATTTTTCTTCGATGAGGTTTAGTGGAGAGCGGGGTCTCGGTTTCTGGTGTTTAGGTGTTTTCCTTTCTTCCCTGCTTTCTGTGAGCTTATCCATCAAGGGCCCATTTTGGCAAGAGTGATCTCCCGCTGTCTTTTCTTCTGGTGTGGCGAGTCTCATCTTGGCTGGGGTGATGGTCTCTGAAGGGAGGATTGTTTGGATTGAGGCCATGATGTATTCTCAGACAACTGGAGGGCTGGTGTGTACTTTGTTCAAGACGTCATTGTCCAACAGGGGATGATGCGGACATGTATCGGATGGTTAGTCCGCAAACCCAATCTAGAGAAGCGCAAGCTATAATGGCAATAAAGTATGATCCGACAGATTTAGACATATCATGGCTAGCCTTAAATGGACATTAATTATAGTTAGGTGATGCCATCTCCCACAACCCTAAACCGAAGCTAGTCTGCCATCCACACCAGTTCCGCGTGTATGATGACATAGGGGGTGGCACCATCATGCTTGACAAGAGCTGGCCAGAGAGAATGCTTCACAGTGCCTCGTTCCCTACCATCGAAGCTCGTCATAGCCCCAGCAGAGAACTCAGCCCCGGCGGGACTGCGAAAGAAGGTAAAGTTATCTGGCTGCCGCGCGAGGGTGTTCTTCAGAGCGACGCAATTCTCCAGGAACGTTCGCAACTGTTGCTTCCTGGAATTGGATCTTTGTGGTGTCGCGGGGCGGAATTCTGTCTCGATATGTTGAATGATGTATGCCAGAGTGCCATTCTGTTGCTCCTTTGTCAGCTCCTCGATGGCAGATCCAGTAGCCAATTTCCAGTTATGAAACGCTGCTTGCGAGTCTATAATTCATTAGCTCTGCTTGGGTCCAAGTGGACAGCTACACGCACTTGTCTGGTGAACACTATCTTCGATCTCTGCAACACAATGCCCGAATGGCTCATCATCATTCAACCCGAATCGGCGCGGGGCAAATATCAGAACCTGGACAAAGTTGAGTACGTACGCTTGGAGCCAGGAACAGCGCTGCGGCGAGGTAGAATGCAACTCCTCGCTCTCTGCAATAGGCTCCAGATCATCGGTGTCTCTGAAGTTCAACTTGACCCAGGTGTCCAGCTCAAAGCAAAGACGCCCCATCTGGTCCCGAACACTTTCATCCGTGAGACGGGCCGGGCCTGATTGCAGCGTGTGCATCCGAGCATACAGTCTATTCACCTGTTGCTGGTACTGCTTTTCCTGTTGTGAGGCATGAGTACGAGCGCCGAGGAGTAACTCCTCCTGACGCCTGGATCGTTCTGCAGCGGCTAGGTTTTCATTCTGAAGCGTTGCAACTTGCTCTTTAAGGGCACGATTCTCCTTCATTGGAGTTAGTTGTTGAAGTTAATCTGAGCATCAAGATCACGTACATCATAAAGTGATGCGGCAAAAACCTCTTGGGCGTTCAAAGTGCGTCGCACCTTGCGGTAATTGTCTTGAAGGTCAATGTCAGCAGCGTATAGTGAGATTAAACTCAGAACTCACCCTCCCAGTAGTTTCGCTGTCGAAGTTGTTGCATGTGGACAGGAGACGCCCAAGGCCACGGCCAAACATTCCACGAAAAGCCCATTGTCAGATTTTCTTGATCGGATGGCCGGGAGTAGGGGGAGAATATATGTCATAGCTCTGGCTTGGAAAAGTATGAGAAAAGTCTGCGATGGTGGTCCGACGGGGGAAGGGTTATTTCTCAGTAACCACCTTATTTGCAACTTTAATATAACGTCACGACGATACCTGAGTAAAGGGATATAAAGTGTAAGTGATATGTCGTGCATGTCATGAAGAGTGCTGTACTCTCATTCAAACTGCTGTTCAACCACCGTCAATATGGAAGGTCCATCGATTGTCGTGGGGATTGATTTCGGAACCACCTATAGTGGGTAAGTGATACCTCGGGTCCTACTTTATAGACGATAACATAATGCTCTGCTAGCATCGCATACTGTGTCGCAGGATCAATTGAAGATATCCAAGTGCTATCCAAGTGGCCCGGTGGCGGCAATAGTGAGTGGTTAGAGTCGTGTCCCCTTCTGCCCAGATTAACAACAATGCAGGAACATCCGTGAAAGTGCCGTCGGACATAGCATACAGAGGAGGAATAGCTTTGCAATGGGGATACCAGGTTGGGCCCTTCGCTGAAGCCTGTCGCGGTATCAAGCTTCTACTCGACGAGGACGGGGAAGTCAAATACACTCCATCCATAGAGGCCAAAGTACTGCTAAAGGAATACGACGTTAGTGTCAAGCTAGCAGTGCAGGACTATTTGAAGCAGCTGATCAAGCACACAAAACAAGTCCTTGAGCGCCAGCTTGCCATTGACGAATCTCAGATGAATTTGCAATACATCCTCACTCTTCCTGCCGTGTGGCCAGACAAAGCCAAATACAAGCTGCTAGAAGCTGCCGTTGGGGCTGGGGCTGACTATAAGAATGTCTCCCTTGTCTCAGAGCCAGAGGCAGCTGCGCTTTACACTCTTCGTGCAATTCAGCCGAATACTGTAGCTGTATGTAATCCTGAATAGTATGTTATGCCTGGTTCTGATCAAATAGATCAACGACGTCTTTATCGTTTGCGATGCTGGGGGAGGTACTGTGGCAAGCTCCATCCCAACTACTGGTTGGACCAGCACTGACAGTATAGGACCTGATATCTTACCGAATCAAGAACCTTGAACCATTATGCCTCGCCGAGGTGACCGAAGGAACGGGTAGGCAAAGCAATGAGCTCCCTTAGCTGTAGCTAACTTGGTGTAGGCGATGTCTGCGGCTCTGTTCTTCTGGATGGCCGATTCGACGCGCTCCTGCGAGAGAGAATGGGAAAGAAGGCGTACAGAGCCCTATCTCGCAAGTCAAGGGAGACAGCCATGACCTTCTGGCAAGAGCGGGTTAAGCCGAACTTCATGGGCGACTACGACGAAGATTTTGGCGAGGTCGAGCATTTCATCCCAGTAGTAGGAGCTGCCAATGACCCTGAGGTACCAATTGAGGGCGGCTTTTTTGTGCTTAGCAAGTATGTTACTGTACCCAACATCAAAAGCAGGCTCTAATCAAACACAGCGACGACATAAGAGGTATCTTTGACCCGGTAATCCACGATATCGAGGAGTTGGTTGATCAGCAAATGTCGGCGGTTAGAGAAAAGGGCTTCTCCGCCAAGGTGATTACTATTTTATAACTCTGGATATATTTAGCTGATACCTTGACAGACAATCATCCTGGTCGGCGGGTTTGGCTCTTCCGAATATCTATTCAATAGGCTGAAGGAGCTGAATCCAGGGGTTAATATACTCCAACCTCCGAATGGGTAAGTTAGGCCAGATTCGAAATTAAAACACTGGGCTAATGTATTCCTAGATGGTCGGCAATCGTCAGGTATGAAGCTCTACTTTTACTGATCAGGATTACTGACTCAAGACGCAGCGGTGCTGTCCATCGTGGACTCGAAGGAAACAAGATAGAAAGTCGCATTGCGCGCCGCCATTACGGAACTCAAGTCAGTGTCCCATTCGATCCTGCGATCCATAGTAAAGACGATCCCAGCAAATACTGGGACTCGCTCGAGGAAGCATACAAAGTGGACGACCGGATGAGATGGTTCGTCAGGAAGGTAAGTGAATCATGGCTCCCACTGGCACAGATCATCGCTAATTTGACCAGTCCTCATCGCTCTCAGAGAACGAGCCCATTAAGCTGCAGTTCTCTAGAAACGCAAGAGTCAAATATCCCAAGAATTTGATATTCCGTTCCTCCCTTTTATTCTGCAATGATGAGGATGCACCAGACGTCTTAGACAGGAGTAAGTACCTCTCTGTCCTCAAGCCGAGTACAACACTTACAAATATAGGGGTTATGCACTTGTGTCTAGTCGAGGCGGATCTACGCCAGATTCCCCAGACGCTCTTTGAGCGGAAGAAGAATTCAAAGGGTGTGGAGTACTTCAATATCCCTTTTACATTATCCATAACCCCGACCTCTGCGTCTTTAATCTTTGAGTTGGAGTTTAACGGTGTGTCCTACGGAAGCGTGCGATCCAAATACTAGTACCCAGCAGATTGTAGCTGTGCTTTCTTTTAATTCTTGATACTCCAAGGCCGTATTTACCACTTGGAGTGAAAATGTGATTTTAATCTAAAATGTGAAGCTGACTTATACCGGATGGGAATTGTAATGGCATCGCCTAATATCATCGCGGCTAGAAAAGCCCTAATGCAACTACCTCTCAGATTCAGGCGTCATACAAGTAGAACTGAGACTGGTGGTCGTCAAGAATAACCTAGAGCTTAGAAGTTATACTCTTCAAGTCATCCCCGCCCTTAACAATCTCATCCTCCCAGTAATTCGGATTCACAGTGAACTTGTTCAGCGGATTCAGTCTATGCGCCCTGTTGAATAGATCTTCATAGACCCGCCCATCAGATCGTCCAAGAGCACTAACTAGTCAGCATATAGATCTTTGCTCTCCCAAAGCGAAGACATACCTATCCAAGAGGTAATCTGGAATACTCCATGAATCGACCAGTCGAACTGCGTGAGGTCGGATACGCGCCATTAGTTCATTGATGTTGTTGGGGATCTCGTCTAGCTGAGATCTTGACGCGGCATTGCAAGTGAAAACTAGATGGGATGTTAGGAAGCAGTTTCAGTATATAGAAGGTAGGGACGTACACTCATATCGGTCTGCCTCAAGAGTGAACAAGGCGAAGAGCCGGTATAGATCCCATAAAACTGCCAGTGCAGGCCTTGGCAGGTCTTTGTTTGTGGCGAGGGCCTCGTAAAATTGCGTTACGAGGATTGATTGGGATTGTGCTGGTGCCGTTAGCAGTGCTTGAATAAGATAGGGGAAACCTACCTTTGCTGAGTTTGTGGAAATGGGTCATTAGGGAAGTCCATGCTCGTTTCTTTATCACGCGTTCTTGGTATACATTGTAGGCCTGGAGAGTTAATATAATATCAGGTGCAGGCAGGGTGGGAATACATACGAGTGCGGTGGCCCGGTGCTGAAAGGCTTTGACCAAGTCTTGATCATTTCCCAGTATATCGTACTTACAATCCCCGTTCCCACTACTTTGCACAAGAGGCAGATATGTCCCGAATTGAACATCAATTTCATCAGTAGCAGCGCCACGAGAGCCAACAGCAGCCGCAATCTTCTTGATCATATACGCTGCTGTCTGCTGCGTAATCATCCAGTTATCTCCTTCCACTGTGGGCTTCGACAAATAGTCATTATTCAACTGGATAAGCCCACTTCCGCCACCATAGCCATGCCCTCCCAGTGCCCTCCGGCAAGTCTCGATCCCATCTGCCGCCAGCGTTGTACACAGGCTCTTCAGGCCCGAGGACATGCTATGCATATATGCAAGGCTGCTAAAATCACCAGACTCAATCTGTTTGCGGGTCTTGCTGTAGATATCCTGCATGGCCAGCGCCGTATAGTGAAGCGCAAATGATGTTGCGAGGAGAGGCAATATGCGGATCTGCACGGTTGGATAGTCAAGTACTGGGAGTTCGACGCTGTTCGACGCACCATCGCGGTCTGGGAATTGTCGTCGGACGCTGGTATATCGCACTGCGACTGTCACGGCGCGCGCGAGAACGAGTCTGGCGTGCTGGATTATTTTAGAGCGCATGTATGTGAGCGTTCCATATACGACGGCGGCTTCTTCTGGTTTTGTGTATCTCCCGGTTTCTGGATCGACCTTAGAGTAGCGAGATAGCATTGCAGAATGGGGGATTCTAGATATGTTAGGAATAGACTGGATATTGTATTGGAGAAAAACTCACCGGTAGTTGTCAAAAAGCATATATGCGTTATCCATCGTTGCATATCCATACTTCGGTCCAATATCCCCAATCACAATCCCGTCGAACGGCAGATGCGTCTTCAAGTCTCTCACTTGGACGATAAACGGATGAGGACCATAAGACACATACTTCGTTCCATCTGAGCCCTCAGCACCGCTTGGATCCGGGAGAAGAAGCTGTGCAACAACAATAGCATGATTCGCAGTCCGGCCCAACGTGCCATTCCACCATTTACTTGCCGTCAGAGTGGGACTATGCAGGACAAACTCCTTCGTCCGTGGATCATATCGAGCTTGCAATTCCAGCCCACGGACATTACTACCATGCCCAAGCTCTGTCTGCGCATAGGCACCGGTGATCCTCCAGCCTTCTATCTTTGGCAGCCAGTACGCGCGCTGTTCGTCATTTGCCTGCTCGCGGATCGTGGTGATGAACATCCCCATGTGCAGCATATACGGCGAGACATCATCGACCAAATACTCGGCCGTTTCATGTTCTTCCTGTGTCCACTGATGTTTATCAGCGAGACGGCGGAGAAGTTTCCCCCGCGCAAGGGCAAGCTTGAACCGATCTGGTCGAGAGAGGTTCTGCTGGTGAGACTTGTTTAGCAAAGGCTCGTTTTGCACTATCGATAAAACCTTTGACTGTCGGGCGAGAAATCCATCCTTGCCTAGTAGGTGGTTTGCGAGTTCGTTAACTGGGATGTTTGACTGTGCGCGCTCTTGTGCCAGGAGCTCCGGGCCGTCGGGCTTGCTCGGGCTCAGGTTGTCAGTGAAGTCGGGCATGGTGGGTTATGCAAGCGGCATTGAATAATCTCTGTTCTCTATTCTTTCAGGTTTCAATCAGCTATGAGCGAGTCAATATATCTTCTCCACCTCGGGTGGTGCCATGTATCCGAGGGTAGATGTATACAAATGGCCGACTACCGGCCGGCACTCGGTGAATTTCCAGAATGGAATCGGGCAGAACAGTCGATCGGTAATGGTCTTGGAGTACTGGTATAAATCCATTTACCGAGATCATACTGGGATGTAGCCGTTGATTCATCACATTGAGTGGCATGGATTACAAGAGCAAGCACCACCAGGTTGGTCCTGGTGACCGTACCCTAACTGTCCCAAGACATGATGGTGAAAATGTACTTCCCAACCTACCAATCTTTGATAGACTGCTCCGTTTTGCACACCGACTGCCCCCGCGAGCTGCAATCAGAGATCTTAATGCGGGGGTTGAGAAGACTTATCTACAGCTTCTGACCGACGCACTCGCTCTTAGACGGGCGTTGAGAGAAAGTCTAAGTACAGAAACGCAGAGGCAACTGGAAGAGGACCAGGAAGTATTTATTGCCCTGATAGCGCCCGGCGGATATGAATATGCCGTTGCCTTTATAGCTATCCTGGCCCTTGGTGCCGCTGTGGTCCCGATAAGTCAGTTCTCATCCCACATCTACAATGCATATACTAACACGCACGCAGCAACGGCCCTCCCAGTCCAAGAAGCCAAGTCCCTCGTTCTGCGAGCACAATGCGCCGCAATAATATCCTCAGACAATGCAACAACTCTCACCAAGGGCGTCGTTGAAGCAATCGGAGCCAACCTCCCCCATCTCACAATCTCCCAACACCTCCAACCAGCACCCCTAGATGCGCACTCGATAACGGTCTCCTCAAACCCCATACCAAACATGAACTCTGCGGCGCTCGTAATCTTCACCTCCGGCACAACCGGCCCACCAAAAGGCGCCGTCCAACGACGCAGCTACATCCTCGGCGCAGCCGAAGACGTCGCGGACCAGTACCGTCTCACAGAATTCGATACAGTCCAGCATCTCCTGCCCGTGCACCACGCAACAGGGATTGGGGTGACGTTCTTGCCGTTTCTCATCTCCGGTGCATGCATCGAGTTCCGCAGTGGGAGCTTTGATCCGGCTTGGACGTGGGAGCGCTGGTCCAAGGGTGGGTTAAGCGTATTCTCGGGGGTTCCAACAATATACACCCGGATGATGCGGTACTTTGAATCGCATATCGCAAGTTTACCGCCCTTGCAGCAGGAACCGTATATCCAGGGTGCTCGGAAACTACGCGTTCTTCTCTGTGGGACGTCGGCACTGCCTGGACCGGTTCAGCAATTCTGGACGAAGATACTAGACGGAAAGCCAATTCTCACGCGGTATGGAGGAACGGAGTTTCATGCTGTGCTGAAGGCGGATATTGACGGGTCGTCGCCGCTAAATAGCGTGGGCCGGATATCTCCAGGGGTTGATCTGAAGCTGGGCGTGGAGGGGATGGTCCTTGTCAAGGGACCGCATGTTTTTGCAAAGTAAGTTTCTACCATACCTGATTAATTTCGTGGTGTACATGTTAATTAATTGGGTAAACCATGCAGATACCTCCATGATCCTGCCGCAACAGCCGCAGCGCACGACGCGGATGGATATTTCATAACCGGTGACATTGCGCGACGCGAAGGGCCAAACTATTTCATACTTGGCAGGGCCTCGATTGACATCATAAAAAGCGGCGGGTATAAGCTGTCTGCTCTAGATATCGAGCGGGAGATCCTAGGCTTAGACTATATAGGGGAGGTCATGGTGGTGGGTGTTGACGACGACGAGTATGGTCAGCGAGTTGCCGCTGCAGTTACTTTGAAGGATGGGAGAAAGACGGTATCGCTTGACCAGTTAAGAACGGACTTGAGAGGGGTCCTTGCTGGGTACAAGATGCCGACTGTGCTGAGGGTACTGGAGGGGGAGATCCCAAAAAGTGGGACGGGGAAGGTGCAGAAGAAGATTCTAGGTCCGAAGTATTTCCCTGCTGGATGGAGAAGGGAGGATGGCATTCAGGTTTGGGATAAGGGGGATAGGCAGGTTCGGGCGAAGCTGTAGCCTTCCTTATATAGAAGTTATAGATGGAATATCAGCTCCAATGCTGTTTGGCATTGGACTGCCTAAAGGTAAACATGATATTTAGACCTATGTATATCTTGGCTGTCTAGATCTTCGCCTTCGCCGGTGCAGATGTCAGCCTGCCATGGACATAGCTAATCCGCTGGAACTTCTGAATCGCCTCACCCCAGAGCTCCGCTCTCAATGCTGCATACACCCTATAATCTCATTAGCGCTGCAGAAACCAAGCTAGAAAACAACATACCCCATCTTCGCCTTTGGAGCCCACTTCCTGCCCATCTCCAGCGCGGCATCCAGCATGTGCTCCGGATCTGCAACAGCATGGACGATACCATCTTGAAGCGCCTCCTTCCCGGTCCACCGATGCGCCTCAAGTAGCATCTTCGTAGCAATATCAGGTCGCAGCTTCAAACGCGGAAGCGACCCGATGCCGTCGAAATGGAGTCCTAAGTTGACAGGTGGCATGGAGAAGAAACCGCGTTTAGAGTTCATAATCCGGTAATCGTGCGCGAGGGCGAACGGACATGCTCCGCCGAAGGTATGACCTGTTAGCAGGGCAATCGTGGGGAATGGGAAGTCCAGTACAGTGTGGACGAGCTGAGAAATTACGCATTAGAGCCATTGGCGGCACCAAGGGGTGATGGAGGCATGAAATACCGGATAAAAGCCATCAGAGTTGGCGAATGGGTTGCTATCTGATTCATCGAGTTCGAGGCCCTGGTATCTGTCAGTCAACACCTAGCAATGCCTTTTCCCCTGCCAATATGGGTCCAATCACGTACGGTACACCAGAACTTCGCATCGCTTCCACGCGTGATAACTGCGCCTTCACTATCCGGACCAAGAATCTTCTCTACTGTCCGGAATGCGCGGATGATCTCCTGGCAATACCAAGTGTTCAGCCGGTTCTCCGGTGGCTTTTGCATAGTTATGACGAACACATTGCCGTGTCGCTCGAGTGAGAGGTTGCGGAACGTTCCTACTTCAGACATTGTGCATGTATGATACAACTGAGATGAGATTAGGTCGCTGTGGAGTATTATAACTGAAGAGTATCTAGAATAATGCGACCGAGGTCAGTCGGTGTACAAGGGCATCCTCCCATGTCGGTTCTTGGTAAATCGCCGACAGCCGAAATGCGGGGGGTCGATCTGAGGTTATCCGAATACCGCATCGACCGCGGGGCTGGAGGGGTAAATAATCGTGGAAAAGGTGGCGACGTCATAATCCGCATTTGAAGTGCGTCGTCTTGCTCTATTCTTGTAACCGGGGTTACCACGAGTCTGGGCGTTAAATCATGATATCGCCATACGTATCGTAGTCATTCAGCAGCCAGTCTCCGATGCCATCATACTGCAACTGGAAAAGCCCGTGATCCAACGCGTCCTGGTTGTTAAGCTCGGGGAAGTCATTGACTGGGTCAAATAGACTACCGGTCGGTAGGGTGTCTACTATTGCTGCAGCATTTCCTCGCGTGCGCGAGGATACCGGGGGAATGGGTCCCTCGCTAACCCGGTACCCTATAGACCCAGTATATTCTGCCTCAGCACCGTCTTGGTGCATCCTCGGACGCATAAGGTCTTCCCAAGCCCAGGTAAGACCAGGGCCAAGCGTATCAAAAAATGCCCGATGTTCATCCTGAAGACTGGGTGCCTCGACATGGTTATCAGCCGCTGGCAAAGACTGTTGCTTCTCGGTAATCGCTCTCAAGACTCTGAGGGGTGCCATCGCTGACGGCCACCGTTTGGCGAGTTGTTCCAGGGATGAATCGATTGTCTGCATTCCCGGCGCAGCCTTTGACCACAAGAGTGGAATTCTTCTACATGATAGCATTCCAATACCGGTAGCCAGAAGATAAAAGGTAAATACCGATCCCAGATACTGGATCTCATCGCGAGCAAGGAAGTCTTCAAAAATTGCAACGACGTAGGCGGATGCAAGAATTGCCGCTGCTGACGGGGCATGGTGTGCTGGTTGGGATCGACTGAGAATTATAAGGCAGACGAAATATGGAACGTGAAGTTGTCTCGCCTCGAAATCGTAGGGTGAAAGAGGCTTCTCGGAACTGGACAGCTCAGTATCGGAGCCTGTACTCGCAAAAAGCCGCAGCGATTTGGGCAATCCATGAATCCATCGCTGCAGGGATTTGCCAACTGATTGCCTTGTGCGGCGCGTCAGGGAGTCCCTCCGGCAACACTGGGTCAAATGGCCGAGGATGGAGCAAATTTCCACGTATGAGATGAACAGATCCGGCCTATGGCTAGAGTCTCGAAAATCGTCTATACGCGGTGGAGCTAATTCACTATCGCAGAGATTCACCGCTAGTGGCCTGCCTTGTCCAGCAGATATCAAACAGTCCCTTGCCTGTCGCATGGTCAGCAAGTCCACTGATAATAGACAGAGCAACCTACAAATAGGCTCCACCATAGCCGTCGCCGTAGAGCTTTCCCTTCGGTGTTCAACGGCTCCTTGTGCAGGCCAATCTGGTGTGCCAACCCAATGCCGACATATCGCCAAAAGCCGCTTGTATTCGTTGAAACATGCTCTGGGCATTCAGGATTGTACCAATGCAAGATGCAAACCGCCGCCACTACGGTCAGCGGGTTCTTCTCCCATCCCGAATAAAAGAGCGCCTTTGCTCGGCGATAGAATTCGTGCGAGGATGCATACGATGCCACCGCTGGGGCTGAGGTTACTCGGCTGGCGGCAAGAAAAGCGGCCTGGAGTAGAAGAATCGACGGCTTGCTGTTGTCGATATCCTGCAGCCAGTTCCGCTCCACGATCGGCATCCATGGTGCGCAGCGTTTCATGAATGTATCGACGAGGCTCTCTCGGACAGCTCGTGGCGGTATATCGAAGGCACGCTGAAGACGCAGCAATTGCACATCATCCTCTGATAATGTCTCTGCAGGTGCAATTGGCAGTGTCCCCTCATCATTGGTTATCGAATCCGTGTCGTGAAAGTAGTCATTCCGCTCCATAAAGCCTCCAGTTGCAGTTATTGACGTGTATGGATTCCATAAAGCGCTCACGTTACTTCGCCCTGGCCTTGCATCGTAATCCTTCCATGCTGTTTCTGAGGTAAGGGACCAAGTTGTAGTGGGAGGAGTGATCTCTTCCACCGCGTTCAGTGGGAGCGAGCTGACATCTGGGGATACTTGTGCGTCAAGTGGCGCTAATTGTTCTCTTCCTGGCCGTCTATCTCGTCTGGCATATCCAGGTTGTCGCCCTCGGCGTTTTGGTTCCCGTTGGCTGCAGTCATTAGTGGTTGATCAAATCCGACATTTTGCTTCGCACCCACAAGCATGGCCATTGGTGTCGGAGACAATTCCGACATTTACTGCTAGTCTCCGAAAATATACATCGTACCTGTTGCGGTCAGTGCGATCTCGATACAGTGTTAAGCCCCGTTGGTGGCCGACCTTCTTCTTGTTGCATGCCACGCAAGCGGTTGAGGCCCGCAGCCGAGGAGGTTCATAAACGTCGGCCATTACCATTCGGTTCCCGGTGGTTTGGATATTCTCCGATGAAATATCAATTTACCAGAAATTTTCCGCAATCCCAGCCAGGGCGGTTGGAAATAATGTCTCGGCGAAAGCCTGTGGAAGCTGGATAGCCGAAGGTCTCAGCTTCCCCGCACCGGAACCAGCAAAAAGGAACCCATGGATTCATTGAGGCTTATGTATCAACATCAGGTCCAGTTATTGCTCCTGGGGCTGGTCAGTATACTAAAATTGCTGGATCTGTAGCACTGCAGTGGTGGCTTCATTAACCCCTAAATTCAGAAATTACAAGAAAGTGGGGTCATCAGGAAATATATATCGCGATGAAGCATGAGTTCCGACTTTGATGCATCAAGCACGACATATCGTCAACTCTTCCGCAAACCCCCAGAAGCAAGTAAGCATATCATGATAGATCAAGACTATGTAACGGAAGTCAAAACCAAACAAGAGTAAGAGGCTGTTTGGTGAAATCTGGGTGTAGGGTCACGTGTCGCACCTGCCGTTTGTGGAAGCCACAACATCGCCAGCCAGAAAGAAGATCAAGTCTGCACCATCGTTGGGTCTCAGTTCCATCCCATGCTTGTCATTCTTGTCACTCCCTTGTCCAGATCCGTCATTGAGTTTGGAGATCAGTTTCGCTTTTGCATCCACAGCCCCACCACTCCGTGCCTCTCGCCACCTCCACGCCAGAGCCGCTTGCTCCGAGCTTGACACCGCGGCTCTCTTATCGGGCAATCAGCTTGTAATCAGCCACGCACTGACACAGCCACGATGCTTTGCGATGCCAACACTCGATGCTGGAGGGCTTCCCACCTGGCCTATTACGAGCGGCCGGTAAATGCCTTTTGACCTGCCACCTAACCTTCAACACGAGGAAATGTCCGTTCGCTCTTATTGGCTGCCGTACCGCGCGTTCATATCGAAACGAGTTTGGCTCACATGCGGGTGAAATTGCCCCAGATGCCTTTGGCCCAGCGTCTTATCTCGCTGACGTTGGTTCTCCTCTTGCTTGGACCCTGACTTGGAGGTCCCTGGCGACGTTGGTAAACAAGGTATGCTGCCATCCCCCGTCGCGTTCTTGCGAAGTCAGTCGCTCATAGCCTTCTTATAATATAGGTCTCAGCTGCAGTGGTCCCTCGCGCGAGGTAATGACTGCTGTACCTCGATACCACCTCCGCCCATCCTACATTACGTGAAACTATCCGTTCGGCCCCAGCCCTCCACGGCCACGCACCAATGTCTCGAGATGGAGGGAATGAAGCGAATAAATCAAATTTGCGATGAGTTCGCCGCTCGGTTACAAAAGCTCCGCGTACGAAATCACGAAGAACAACCATTTTATCCCAATGGGACTGCCAAGGAAGTTTTTCGGATGGACGAGGAGCAACTCCATGAGCTATTTCAACTGATATCCCCCGGCGGCACGTCAAAAGACGGCATCATATCAGCTATAGTGCGTCACGTTGTACGGAATCTGAGTACCCTATTTGCAGTTGTCGTTCGAATCAGGCGTGCAGACGATGTTAACCTGTTACGGCAATTCACCGACTTGATCGTTCACGATGATGCTCTCCTACAGCCCCCACGCCTAACGGACGATGAACTTCCGATTCCGCTTGACAAAGCCCGGCTATTCTTTCCTACATTCGCAAACGAATTTTTCGACACCCAATTTCAGTTCTGCGCTATAACCCTGCAACGGAAAGAAGATGTAACATATCAGGATTATCGATCTCAATGCCCGCTTCCCTACAAAAGGCAACAAAGAATAGGAGGTGGTGCTTTTGGTGAAGTTTATAAAGTGAAGATCGAACGGCACCATGTCAGGTCTACCGGGGATCGGAGTGGGAACCTTGAACCAGAATGGCTGGCACGCAAAGACTTCAAGAGGCAACAGTCATTCACGGTTGAGCTTGATGTATATAAGGCGATCATGAAACAGCCAAGGAAACACGATCATTTGGTGATGGTCGTGGCGATTCTACAATACCGTGATACTAGCAGCCTATTTTTCCCATTGGCCACTGGCGATCTTGATCAGTACCTCAACGGCAAACTTCACGGAGATGAACGCCCCCTCGACACCCTACAAAAAAAAAGCATGCTTTTCGAAAGGGGGGTTGCATTGGCTGGTGCGCTTGCTTTTCTTCACGATGGGTTCGACGGGGTAGCTTGCCTTCACCTTGACCTGAAGCCTAGCAATGTCCTGGTCTATGATGCGTATGCGCCTGATGAAACCTGGAAGATAACTGACTTTGGTCTCACGCGTATGAGAAATCGCGAGTATTCCAGCGCTGCCCCAGGCTTTGAAGGGATATACTTGCCCCCGGAGTGTGGCACACCTGATGGCAGGGTAACACCTCGAAGCGATGTTTGGTCTCTGGGTTGCATCTTCTCGCTGGTCATAACCTATATGCTTTGCGGGCCAAGCGGGGTGAAAGAATTCACAGAAAAGCGTGGTGAGCGGCCAGAGGGAGACCTGTTTTTTATCACGACCAAGAACTCAACCCCCCGAATTTCGCCCGCTGTTACCTCCTGGTTTGACCACCTGAAGCAGAGCAGTGCTCGAGATGAAACGCTGTCACGGGTGATTCGAGAGTCGCTCGATTATCTCCAGAGCAAAGTCTTGCACCCTATTTGTGGCCAACGAGCCACTGCAAGGGAAGTGGAACTTGGACTGAAAGCAATCCATCAGCGCTTTGAAAAGCGAGCGCCCCCACCTTCACCACAACCTGCGCAAGGCCAGCCGGAGCAAGCTTCCGTCATAGATCGGCTCATCGCCCGCATGAAACACCGGACATCCGAGTCCTCTGTTTTTCGGCTGCGAAGCTTTGGGTATAACCTCAACCCTAATGGATTTGGATTTCGGTTCTCCCCTCTGGACGGGGATTATTTAGCTTTCTTTTCTTCGCAGAATACATTATTCTGGACCGTGTCAGAGATCATGTCTGCTCTGCGCGATGGGTCACAGATTCCACCCCCTCAAGCTCTTCGAATCCCGGATGGCGCAACCAAGTCATTTGCAGTGAGCTCCAACACAATCTGCAACTGTCTCGATGCGGAATCCTTCAAGGTATGTTGTTGTGTAGTATCCAGTATTTTCCTGGCCATTGCTAACTATTTTAGTGTCACGTATATAATGTCGCAGGCACATCTTCTTCTGTCCGGGTTGATGATGGTGTTAGAGTTTCCTATGACCATATGGGCTATATCAAAAGAGTCACCATGTCCTCCGATGGATCTCTCGCGGCGTTTGTCACTACGGATAGACCGAAAGGCTCTGAGATGGACTGTAGGATATATCTTGCCTACACCGAGCATTTGATGGGGACGGCGAATGAGGGGTGAGTATTTATCCCAGAAACCTTTATATTATCACTAACTCATGTTTTAATAGTAGCAGCTCCTCGTTACGGCGCGATAGCCGTTCAAACTCCGTTTCGGAAAGCTCGTTAATGTCGGTGACTACGGCCGCCAACCTAATTGTCGAGAAAATAGTGGTCGGTTCGGCAGCGCAAATCCGGTTCCTAGACTTTACGCCAAATGGAAAGTTCCTTGTTGTCGTAATTCAAGATGGCTCGCGTGGCTTTTCTATAAGGCTGTGGGAGACCTATAGTGGAAAATGCTGGAGGGACTTCTCGGTGGCAATCGAAGTACGTTGTCTGACTGAATGACGCAGCATTTCTTATTTTATTTTAACGCTGACTCGATTCTGATTTTCAGTCAGAGACTTTTCGTTCCCTCTTTACAACATGTTGCTTATTTATGTCCAAGGCGGGCGATCCTTGCTTGGTCGTAGTCTCGGATCACCGGCGTATCCTCCACGTCAATCTTTTTACGCGGTCAACCAACACCCGGAAACTAAACATCGGCATTGATAGTGTGTTCGTATGTGATGATGGGAGCACTCTTGTTCTTATCGGCAAGAACCACGGATTGCGAGCCTACCTATTGCCTCTTCACTCGCTTGAAAAATCCGATTTTATCGGAAGCGCAAAGATAAATCGATTATCATATGCGCCCGCGCTAGACGATGCCACAGTACAGTGTGATGCAAATAAACAGCTGAAGATGCTGATTGCTTCCTCTTCTGGATCCTTTCTTGAAATGGGCATCGATCATTGAAAAAAAAAAAAAAAAAAAAAGAAACTACCAAATGCTCCATCTATTAGAAATACACCCCATGGATAAAACCCTATCCCACCGATATTAGAAGCCTTTCAAACCATCAAGGCGTCAGTCGATCGCTCCGTGCGCTGTTTGGCATTCTGGAAGTACCACCAGTAGCATAGTGTTGCTGCGGTCAAGGGCACGGAACAAACAATGTATATCCAAAACTGCGGAGACACTACAACATTATGATTGTCGTCCATCTCGAAAAAGCCGTTCATTCCGAGGAGAGTCTGGTATTGTTCAAGGTTAGCTGGGTGTACCCTTTACTAGCTCCACTAAAAAGCACCTACGGCCATGAATGTTGAAGGGAGATATATCAGTGTCACCACGGTTATGACGCGAACTGTGGTGGAGTCTCGCACCATGAACTCGGTCTGCTGCTTTGCGACGTACGCATCCTTAAAGGAGAGAGTGTCAGTGATGTGCGATGCTATCCTTGATGTCCGGGTTTGCAGTGACCACGCGGCTTGGCCGTACGAGTTGATGGCGGTTGAATAATTGTCCAGCAGCTGCTTCATTGCCTGCAATTCATGCTGCCGTGTTACGCCGGAATCTGAAAGGCTCGCATTGGCCTGGTGAAGCACGTCGAAAGTCTTCTCGAGTGACCGAAAGATTGGCTGAAGAACTAGGCATCGATTTTCGGTCCCGCGAATGGCTGTCAAGGACTCATAATTGACTCTCAGCGCCTTATCTATTTCCGCTGCGACTGTAGTATTGGCCTTTGACTATCAGTTGAGATGTCAGAGATTGAGTAGCTTACACTTACAATGGGCAACATGCGGCCCTCCAGGTGCTTGATATATTCTCGCCAGGCCGACGTGAACGACCCAAACAAGATGTTATGAATGAGAAGTGGGTTACGATGCAGACAGGCTCGCTGACTTGGCGACTGAAGGAAGCTCTCAAGGCGAGATTGGAAGCTGCATTTTTCTGTTGGGTGTAGTAACACCCAGGTGCTGTTTTTGGTTGCCAATTCGTATTTTTGATATACCCCTGTTTGGCGTAGCACCCACGGGTCCATTCCTTTTTCATGAACCACTTTTTTAGTCGCGTATTTCATGATGTAAATAATTTCTTCTGTATATTAGTAGCCATCCTGTATAGCGGATGCCGCATGATACTGACCGATCGAGTCGGCGTTGTGCCTGATAACCGGGCTGCTGCTGAAACCTTCTTCGACAGCCATGGACCTTTGGAAAAAGGATAGCGGCAGCTCCAGGAGATCGGATGAGGCTCCAGCAATATTCACGATCTCCCTGAACATATCGCCCGTGATATTCAGCGGCCTCCAGGAGTTGGGCTGGTTGACAGATCTAGTAACAGTCAGACAAACCGCAGGCGTATTACTTGGTTTCGCCTGACTTACAAAATTCTTAACCCATTTTCCCGTGGGACGTGAAGACTTCTGCATCCACGGAGTTCGGCCAGCGAGCTCAAAGCTCTTGCAGTGACTAGATTGACTGTCAGCCATGGACGATCGCTACGCGGGTGAGAGGTGTACCTTGGTCCCCGTCAACCTCAATCCAAGTTACCCTAGATGCCGACTCCACCGCCCTGAAACATCCTCGTGATTCAGCGCGAGCCTGGAAGTCCTCGGTATATGGAGTGAGCGAGTACAAGTCGGGCAAATCCGCTATTGAGGGTCCCTTGCTTGGTTCGCCTTGTGTGGGACCATACGGTCGCGTTGGTAGGGGCAGACTGTCGAGTTCCATGCTAGTCTCCGGTTGCTGTCGCGAGTTGATGGGTTTATGCCGAGAAAGCCAATATCTACACAGCGCGATGCCGTTCAAATATGGTGTTTACGAAAAATGCGAAGTGCGCCTTGTTAATCCTTTTCTATTCAATATGATAATGGGTTTGACACGGTGACCCCGAAAAGCGCCGCGGGGGCCAGAACAGCCTGATGACAACCACCACAAATGCGACAAGAAAAGCCCACAACAACACAATGATTGGATCAACAGCCACGGGCCTTTCCTAAATCTGCCGCCGAGACTCAAGCCTCGCTCGGATTTTTGGGGTGATAGTCCTTGCTTACTCGGCGATCGCCCTGCGAACACGAAGACCAGTCAGTCCTTCCTAAGCCACATCACAGCCCCCAGCTCGTGCACGATTGCATGGTGGACACTTACTGAAGTTCGGCCTGTGATTTGTCAGTGGAGGAACTGGCATCCAGCGGATCACAAGGCGGGAACTTACCTGCGTTACTTCTTCAGGGGCATCGAACGACCAGACGTTCTGGAAGAGCTGCGAGAAATCGCAGAAGTCAGCAGAAGTCAGCAGAGCAGGGTTGGCATACAAGCGTCCAGCGGCATCATACCCGAATGTGGAAATCCTTGCCAGGATGGTTAGGGAACTTGTTCTCAAGGAGACGCTGTAGCTTCGCTCTTGTAAGATAGTGTGCGTCCGTATCCTGCCGCCGACACATCGTGCCAGACGAAGGCTGCGACGGAGGCGACGATGACAGCGACGATGCGAAGCTGAGCGTCCTCTCGAAAAAAGACATTCAAACTGTACGTCTATCGGGATACTATTTATAACGGCAAGGCTTGAAAAGTGGGATACATGAAATGGTGGTTGATAGGGACAATCTGTTCCTTCTGGATCCCGGATGGGAATTATACGGGGGATTCTCAGGCACCTGGAGGCATCCAAGCGAAGCGGAGAGCAAGAGGCTCTGCCACTGAGACCCCATCAGGTGCGTTGTTCACGCTGTCCAGTCGAGGAGGGGAGACCCGATATGTTCATGGAGGATGATTGGGCCGCTTGCGCATTCCACATGCACGCGGCTTGCTCCAGCCACATCTTCCTCCTATCACATCCCACCGCGAAGAGGCGATGATGGGAGTCCTGCGGGCAAAGACAAACTTAGTGTTTGCCTAACCATGCAGGGCTAGCCGTCGATGCTTTCTTTTCCGAGGCGGAATGGGTGAACTGGGCGATGAGTCGCAGCAAGCGCGCCCGAGGCATAACTTGCGCAGCCTCCGCACCATTGACCAACGCTTCTTCCTTCGTATGTGCGTTGCGATGCCCGAAGTCATGCAAGATGGCTTCGCGAAACAGTAGCGACGACTACAGAATCAACCTCGATGATTTGGATTGGTCCCCGGCTGCTCGTGAGCGAGAGCCTTCGACAGTTACCAGCTTGGGCGATACCTTGCGTGTGCCCACCATATCTACCAGTCCACAGCCGAACTCTCTGCGGTCGAGCTCTCTTGGGCCTGTCGAGAGCCCTTTGGGAGCTCCAGATGAAGCGGACGAGGGGGGTACGACTGGGCCGATTGTCATTGCCATCCACGAGAAGGACCGCACCGTGAAGTAAGGGTCTTGGTAATTGGGTGTCGTGAAATATGACGGAATGAGACATTTGCTGACACGATATTTCATCCGTACAGGCGACGACTTCGCGGAATCCATGTCTTCGTAAGGGACCACTGAATCTACATCTCCGCCATCCGACGATCTAACCTGACCGGCCAGATGATCACGATAAGCGGGGTCCTCGGAGCTGGATTGTACATACGCAGCGGAACCGTTCTGCGAATTGGAGGTCCTGGAGCGGTTCTGATTGCATTCACGGTGATGGGCCTGCTGGCCTGGATGGTGATGCAATGCATTGGCGAGTTTCTCGCCCTGTGGCCGATTTCCGGTGCGCTTGTCGAATTCGTTGCCAAGTTCGTCGACGAGGATCTGGGAACAGCCGTGGGAATAGCATACTGGTTGGCTTATCGCTCGTTTTCGTTGAATGCTGTCTGATCGTGTCATAGGTTTACGTACTCGATTAGCTTCGCAGCCCTAATCGTTGCGGCGGCTGGCGTGCTGGATTACTGGAACCCGGGCAAGGTGATCCAAGGAATAGTCATGTTCTTCATTGTGCCACTCTTCCTGGTCCTACTGAATAGTTTCGGCGTTCAGGTATGGCCATGGATCCGAAAGAAGCTGCGACAGGCTAATACGTGGTAGATCTATGGTTTGACGGAGGTGATCGGAGGCTCTATAAAGATTCTGGGCGTTGTTATCGTAATCGCTTGTATGATTGCGATCAATCTCGGAGGTGAGCTTCGCCCTGAATTTAATATGCTAAGGCTTATGGCGATTAGCTGGAGAGAGGGAGCATATTGGTACCAAATGTAAGCATCCTGCATGCTCGCTTTCAACAGGACTGACCTTTACAGATTACAAGCACGGTCCCATGTTCCCGTTCGATAAAACTGCTGTTGACAACTGGGGTTCGGCTATATTGTAAGTGGATGTACTTCGATTGTTTCATGTCAAACTGACCACAGTAGCTATGCATTTTCCATTGCTGCTTTCGCGTACGTCGGCGTCGACATTACTGCTGCCACCGCGCTCGAAGCACGGCCTGACCGAAGGCGCAAAACATCGACAGACCCGAGAGACAGGAGCCCGTGGCCATATATTTCTGTGCGCTTTGTCGCAACTTGGACCAGCTTCCTTGTCTGGATTATCTACTTTATTGCAGGCATTCTGCTGAGTTTGAATATTGAGTGGAACGATGCCAACCTTCCTCGACTGTCATGGCTGGGATCACCAGTTATCGAAGAGCATCCAGATAACGAAAACTACAACACCGACTCGGGTTTCGTTATCAGTGCCGCCATGTCGAATATACCGGGTCTCGCAAATCTGATTACGGCGGTCATTTTCGTCACCGCTGTGTTCTCTGCAAACACCAATCTCTATGTTGCCTCGCGAACGCTATTCAGTCTTACTAGGCGACTGCAAGGGCCTCAATGGCGCTTCATCGCTTTCTTTGGGAAGACAAATAACTATCAGGTTCCGGCTCGAGCCATGCTGCTATCGTGCTTTTTCATGTGGGTGCCATTTTTGTATCTGTCCCCACACAACTCTTCGGATACGACAATATCAAGTGTAAGTTACTCCTTAATTTCCTGTAGGTACGTCTAACACTACATCAGCTTCTCGAAGTTCTCTCCCAAATGGGTTCTGTGTGTTGCATCATCGTCTGGGCCTGTGAGTGCTGGGCGTTCATCCGCTTCTATAACTGGTGTGTTTATCTTCTAAGCATACTCGATGCATTATAATCTAACATCCCCAGTATGTCCCTCCACCGACATGAACTCAACGCTGCGCCCCAATTCGCCCATCTCCGTCGATTTCGCAATCCCGACACGGAAGACCTCTACCCTTGGCGCTCTCACGGACAGCCCATGACGATGTACCTTGCGCTATTCGGATGTCTGTTTGTACTTGCTGTTGCGGATGGCTCTGCACTGTGGCATAACTGGGCAGGCCCGAGATTCCTGTCTGCCTATTTATCCGTGAATATATCCTCTCTAGACGGAAGTGTGAGGGTACGCTAATGTTCACTATTAGATACTATGCTTCATCCCACTGTGGCTGGGTATAAAACTTTACAACAACTGGGGGAATGTGCAATGGAAGCTGGAAGACCTATCGAACTTTATATCTGTCGAGAAGAAATTGCGCGAGCTGGACGAGATTCACGACCTTGCTACAGCCAGAGACAGGGACATCCTGGAGAAGGGATGGAGAAATCTATGGGGTTTTATGTAACCCGGCTTACCTACTATATATACATAATACAAAAGTTTAAAGTCGTCTGAACAAAAATATATACAAGTTAAATATCAACCCAACTAACCACATACGGCAAAATCTCCACCTCCCCCATAAGTCCTGTCTCAACAAGACACGGCAAAGGCCCCGTTGTTGTCAACAAAGGCTCAGATCCTGCAATCTCAATATCGCCATACAAGGTGCGGATATAATTCCACATCACAGTGGGAACAACAATCTCCACAACATTCACCCCGGAAGTGAGATAAGGTCCCATATCAGCAAACGGCCTGTTAAAATCGACCCCATGGAGTCGATGGCCGTTGACATATACCTGCAGCCCATGCGGCACTGGAGGGAGGGAGATATATGCCCCTGAATTGTGACCACCACCAGTAATATTCGTGCTAGAATTCCAGTGAAACTCAGCGTGGTAGTATCCAACACCAGAGACATTGTGCAAACCCTCAATATCAATCCAGGAGGGCAGGAACGTTGCATTCAATAAATGCGTAGTGTTATGCTTCACGGCTGGGATATGCGCATTGGAGAGATTTGATGGTGCGGCCCAGTGTTCGACTGTTAGGGTCCAGTTTGAGAGTTTGAATGATTTTTGCCGGGGAGTTCCTGGTTGCATGACTGATGAAGATGCCGGAAGATGGTGCGATTTGCCGTTTGATAGCGGGACAGAGGTGTTTGTTGTCTGGTGGGAGGGACTGACGTGGAGCGCCAGTCCAGTGTCTCTGGTATAGCCATACCCTATAACGGAGTGAGGGAGATGAATTGCGTGAACTGGAGGGGTGTCTATTTCAGCTTTTAGACTGTCACTGAATGCTAGGACTGTTGTTTGGTTTACTGCAAGTGTCAGTGGGATTGTGATTGTGCCGTTGTTGCTGGTCTGGTAATGGACGATCGGGGAACGATGTCCACTCCAGCTCTTGAAGAAATATGGCGTTTTCGTAGTTTGAACGGTTACTGAGCCATTTGAGGGGGATTTGGATGTAGAGTCCGAGAATAAAAAGACGTAGTCTGTATCTGTTGCGTTGTCTGTTCTGTAGACTGGATACCAGGTGCCGTTGGTTTGGACGCGGACGCGAGGAGCAATGCCGATAGCTGTTAGGCGATGGGCAACCCTGTGCGTGCCAGTGGTATAGACGTTCTCACTTCTCTCTAGGCTCTGGAGAGCCGCTTTAGCTGCATCTTGGTTTGCCTTGGTATCAGTGGAATTCCCAGAGGGATAGTACCCCGGAAGCCCACCGCTGAGAATAAGAGGAATCCCAGCCCGTGCGAACTGCTGCAGCTTCTTAACAGATTCAAGCGTGACATTCTGATGTCCAGTAACAATAATAGCCTTATAGGCCGGGGACTCCGGTGCAAGAAGACCATTCTCAACCCTGACACCGTCCATGACTAGATTATCCGGCGATAAGTAGCTGTATGTATACCCACCGTCAACCAGATCACTGCCAGCATAAACAGTTCCGAGTTGAGGATCCGTGACAGAATCCTTATTCAGAAAGACAACATCCGTCCTCGGCATCCCCTGTCTCAAAATAAACTGATTCCTGCTCGCATACGCAATCATGTCTGAATAGCTATGTTCCCAAGCAGGCTGCTTATCGTTATACGATTCTCCAAAAAGCATGAAGAACGACGCATACCCAGGCCATGTCGTATCATAGTAATTCCCCGAATATGTCTGACCATGGAGGACAACCTGGTTCACGCCTCCCGCAAAGGCACGGTTAATCTGCCAGAGCAGATGTGAAACGGTCAGCGAAAATGCCTTGCGCATATTGGCCCCCATCTCGTTGGATATGATGCTTTTCTGGGCGACGGTTGCTACACCCGAGAACTGTCGATATCCATCGACATTGTCGTTGAAGGCGAGGCTCTCGCATTCGGGGGCATCGACGTGTGCAATGCTGGATTCCATGTCCAGCGGGAGGTTATACGAGGGCTGGGCGGAGTATTCGACACCGAGCGAGGACGTCCATTTCTTCAAGGTGTTTAAGTACTCCTGGTATCCCTGGGCTAGTGTTTTGCGGTAGTCATTTACAACGCCCTGGCCAGCATCTTCGGTGTCAAGAACGCATTGCATATCGCCTGGATAGGATGGCTGCACACCAGGATTATTGTTGCCGAACTGGATTAAAGGGAGGTATTTCCGCAAGTCGTACCCTGTCATTCGATGGAATTTCTGTGGCAGTGAGGGCGTCCAGGAGATGTTGGATTCGATTTCCAAGCTATCTTCCCAGGCATAGTTCCCGACTTCGGAGAGCAGCTGTCTGGTCTCGGAGTCGAGAATATATTTCTCCCAGAAGTCAATGGTGGTTCGTGCACCGCGGGCACTGAAGTGATCTACTATGTAGGATCCGTTGTCGAAAATGCTTCCGGTCGTGTTCGTTTCGATGTCCAGGTTCTTTGCAAGGTCCTGGTACTGGTAGTATGCAAAAAGGTGGTGAGTAGCCTTTGTGCCGAACTGCAACTGTACAGTTCCATCACGATGGACATAATCCGTATGGTCAGTGAGAGAGGCATTCTGAAGTACCAGCCGGGTAGACGTCGTTGATGGCGTGCCAAACGTCGAGCTGGCTGGGTTATGGATAACCGACGAGGACAATACTTGTGCTGAAACAAGTGCAACCAGCTCCCCCGATCCCCATCCAGGGACCCTGCCATTATATGACCCATTGTGAGAAACAGTAGCATTAAACGACGCCTGAGTAGTGGTACGTCAGCTGTGATATCCTGCTATCTCCGAAGAAACATACCAAATCCCAATGCAATCCCGGGTCCGTCGTCTCAGCAGGAACACCCTGTCCCTGGTTCGGGCCCAACGCAAAGTCAAAGACCATCCCGGCATCCTTGGCAGCCTGCAGCGAAGCCTTAAGGACACGGCTATAAGCCTCCGTCCCAAAGCCATAGGTAGCCCAGTCCGCGCCGGACGGGGGCGCCGCTAGGGATCCGCCGTAGTTATATAACGGAACAAGCTCGATGCCACCTGCGCCAATTGAGGAGGCCGAGCGGATGTCATTTTGGACCGTGGTCGTGTTTACACTGGCGTCTGGGAGCCAGTATCGGAATTTGATGCGGTCTGTGTTTTCGGGGTCCTGGAAGGTGCATGATGCTATTGGAAGCAAGAGCAGGGCTTGAAGCCAGGCTGTTAGATGCATATCCCTAGATATTGATTTGTGTGCAGAGTATGGACAGGGATATCATGTTTGCGCAATATTTATCGCCCATAACTGCGCATCCGAATCAGGACGAGGCATGAGGTCACAAGAGGAGTGTACGGAATATCCGACTCGGCAGCTTAATGTGATTCCGGAGTGGGTAGAGAGAACAGCAGCAATTGGCCTTGGTGTCTTGTACCTTAATCTTAAGCATGAAGATCTGCGGGTCTCCACAGTCGTCGTCACAACGGGCTGAGGATCTTCGGCATTGTACCGATGTTGTGCCGATTGAAGGTTCAACTGTCCTGGTTGTGCAATTATACCCCTAACAAGCTGTCGTAACTGCACGTTGAGTATCCCGGATTCGTTGTGTGGATCGTATATACTATAGCATATGCCTACCCGTCTTGCCGTGGAATATGCACTTCGATCCACCCTCGGGGTGTTTTCCACCGAGGGATCATTAGTATTCATCAGACTTGACAAGGATATGGCGCTAATTCAAGAATAGCCTCGCTTTATGCAGAAACGATGCCGGTCGGTGTGAGTGGAAACCGGCCTTGGACGGCAAGCCGGTGGCTCCAAGAACATATCAGATTAAAACCATGATAACAGCATCATTTCTGCTCGGAAAATCCGAGATCTGGCGAACCACGATAGGCCGAAACACAAGACAAGAGCAGAGTCCACTGTGACAAGAAATGGAGACGCCGGCTGTTGCAGCTTCCGACAAAGTGGACCTGGAATGCAGCAACTATTAAAACAACTGATTGTGCCTGTGAAGATGAGATTCAGAGTGCCATCGCGAAAATGAATTTCCTCTTCCTGTCTCTGCTTCCTCTGGCAGCTGCCCAGGCTCTGTCGGACCTGTACGTCGACAGCGCGCCCTCCTCGCCCAGACCGTATATCCTCCCCCACTACGCGAACTCGCACGCCGTGACAATTGGGAACCAGCTATATCGCTTTGCTGTGACAGGCCCCTCGTCGGATTATGCATTCACGCTCATGAGCACAAACGCCCCGGCCAGCGGCTCCCTCGGCGTACTGCCCCATATCCACCAGGCGCACTACGAGAACTTCTTCAACTTCAAGGGCCGTTTCCAGCTATGGGCTCAGCATGGGGACGGCGAGCAGCAGGCTAGACTGTTGACGCAGGGCGACTACGGGTCTGTACCGCGGAACACAACGCATACGTTCCAGATCCTGGACCCGGATACAGAGATGGTGGGAGTGATTTCCCCCGGCGGATTCGAGTAAGCACCAGCATCAACACGGAAAGCATCAAGTTTAGTAGTTAATAACTTACCAGGGACCTGTTCTATTTCCTCGGAACGAACCACTCCTCTAAAACCAACACGCCCTACGTCCCACAGTCAGGCGAGGGCTCTTCATCCAGCCCCGACTCCGAGATCATATCCAGCCTCCAGCGCTTCGACGTCCACGCACAACTCGACTTCGAGCCCCGGCGAGATCTCGCTAATGGTTCGGCACCTTCTACCGAAAACTGGCACTCGATAGACACCACGGTATCCACGCCCCTCGGAGCCGCAGGGAAACCCTACTTCGTCGCAAACAACTACGGCCCCAAGTACCTGAACAGCGAGCACGGCGCCTACCAGATCGTGCAGCCACTGGTTACAAACACCCAGTCCCAGGATACGAATTTCACGCTCTCGACTATCATCATGAGTCGGCAGAATGGCACAGCTGCAGGTGTTCCGGCATGGAGTGGTCCGGGTGCGTCGGCGTTCGAGGTTCTTGAGGGTTCCATACTCGTGAAGATTGGAGGGTATCCGGTTGCGAGACTGGAGATGGGCGATGTTGCGTTTATCCCGCGGGGAGTTAAATATCAGTATTGGACTCAAGGATCGTATGCGAAGGTGCTGTATGTGAGCAGTGGGACGGAGGGTGTTGATACGCGGCTGATTGCTGGTGGGAGGGACTGGGGATATCCGACATTTCCGACGAATTGATGAGTATGCCTGTTGACTTTGGAAGGATGAATAGTCTCCAATACTCAGTGTCTATACGGAGTTCGAACCCTACGTCGCGCCTGGGTACGCGTAGTGACATGTCATGAAGATAGATGGCCTGAAAAACTGCAATTATTGTCTGCATTCGCCTTCCGGTATATTAGATACTACTAGATCTAATCAGCATTGCATCCAGAACGGCAAATGCAAATATACTAATCAGGCTCCATCCAATCAACACAAACAGGGTAGTGTCTCCCTGACAGACCGGCTCAGTCCGTTCGCTTTTTAACGGCACCCGCCATCGCAGTTGCATCCAAAGACGTTGCACTCTGTCCAGAAAGTAGATTAGATCATGAATGAATTCATCAGCTGCGAAGACCACTTACGTCCATACCCACAGTAAGGAGTCGCCGGTGTGCCATCGTTGCAAGTCTGTAGGAGTCGTGAGAAAATGTCCCTGCTTTGGCCATGAGGCCAGTGGGTAACCTACATCGCAGATATAACCACCCAAGCCAGCATATGTGCAACCCTTCGTCGGCTTACAGCACACTTGTACTTCGGCTTCAGTCTCTTCCGCGGCCAGACCGATGCCACTGAACATGAGTAGGCCGATGATGGAGTAACGGAGCTTCATATTGGCAGATTGTGGTCAGGTGAGTACTTGGAAGGATTTAAAGATAGATGGATTGTTGATGGGAAGAAGGCTGGCCAAGTTGGTCGCTGGGGGATATTTATATGGTATACTGCGTCGTGAATTTAGATTGCTGATCTAGTACTCCCTTAGACTGGTTCCAGCGTTGCAACATGACTGAGGAAGAATATACTACAGCATTCAGATGTATTGATCGACGAACTGAGGGGACCGTAACCCTTTCCTGCTATCCAACTATGCTCGTGTAACATGCCACGCAGAGATAGCACATACTTCGGCGGGGCAGTATAGCTCCACGTAGGATAATCCACACTTTGCGCCGCAGTAAGGGATGCTGAAAGAAGGCATCCAGCACATTATCACAGGTCCTCGCATTCCCGGTGTGGTGGAGATATATGCATATTCTATGCCAGGAGGCACGGGGCGATCTGGTATCTAGTTTGTACTATCTCGGAAAGCTCTTTTTTGGTATATCGGTTCCTCTCCCTGGGAATGCCCTGATCCCATTATATCCGTAAACAGAACCTGACTGGCGACGTTGCATTCGCCCCGCCAGCAATAATCTTGGAGCTACATCCACATTACCAGTGGACGGCACGGAGAAAGTGGGAGCGACAACATCAAAGCTATAGACTGTAGTTTCTGACCAAGACTTTTGAGTGCCCATTTCCACAGGGAGATGGAAAACGCCAGGAAACAAAACCGCTGCTACATGAGAATCCATGATGGGAGAATACTTCATTCCAGAGAGAATGGCGCTGCGAGGACGCAGCGTTGTACTTGGTGTTCATCCCCACTCAATAAATAGGGGAGAAATGCGGATTTCCAAGTATTTTCCTCCTGAGCCCTGGCAGTGTTCCAACCATCCATGACGTTCTGGCGGGTTTCGGCTCTGATCAGCGCGCGCTTTGCCACTGTCTGAGTGTGCCGGTGGCTCAGCTGAAGAATCAAATCCATCGGTGCAACCTGGTCCGGAGAAAGGGGACAGTGCTTCTGGCTGCCTCCGGATGCAGTAAATTGCCGTGGTTGCTACTGTTCAAAGCACAGGAATGAGATGTAAACACCGCGTACCAACTGGCCACAGCTCGATAGGGGTTGTGAAAAATGAGAGTACCATGGGTTAGAACACAGCATGACAAGACGCATGACGTAGTATTCGCGGTCAAATTTCTATATTGCTTGGTTTTCGGGTTCGCCTGTGTGCTATCCTTCGCATTATTGGCCTTGTTTTGCCGTAGTTTGCGTTCAAGTCCCAAGCATAGTACCAGGACGGAACTGAAACCAGGGAGAATTGGCCTGGCGAGGCGGAGGTGGATGGGTTGTGTATAACACAGATGCAGGGGCTGTGATAGTGGTAGATGGATAGCCTCATTCAAAGACTCAGCGCACCCGGCATCCAGCTAATAATTCCTCGAATACCATCAATTTTGACAAACTTCGTCCAGTTGGTTTGGGAGGACGTGATGAATCGAAGTAGGGTTGCTGTAGGCAGGGGACACCACAAACAATGAGTGGAGGATCGGTGGCCACGAAGCACAACGCCCAAGCAATAAGATCAATCGACACATGGAAAGCATTAGCTCCGTCCGGCTAGACCGGGATTGTATCCCTGGTCATGTAGAACCGCGCCCCGGGATAGCCGTAGGGATGCCCAACACTGCTTGCAGTAGCCAGATCCCCAGCAAGGGTATGGAGTCATATCTGCCCAGAAGTGACACAACATAACCCTGGAAACTATTACTGTATCAAGAGCAGTCCAGTCCCTCGCATCGATATCTCCAAAGGACCGCAATCAAACTGAACCCATGGACGGGCCCCACTTCGTTACCGAGATATTGCTGTCGAGAGGGGAGGGAAGCCGCCCTGCTCCTGAGGTTAAAACTGAGGCCTTAACAAGCTTGGACCTTGCGGCGGCAAGGACGGCGCGATTCTGTCGGAAAGTGGAGTTATTGCCCAGTGGTATCTCAGCAAGGGTGGGCAGTGGAGCACCGTACGCCCTCAGCCCAGTGACGCACTTTGCTAGCACGATACGCGAAAAGGGCCATCGAGCAATGTAGGATATGACCGGGAACAAATGCAACCATGGGCTTCATGGTCACATTGGCACCAGAGCGGTGTCAATTCGTGTAGACTTCCGGCACCATAGGCATGGTGAAGGATCGACACCAGAGCCCCCTGAACATCGTCATTTTCTTCCATTCCTGCCGGGGAGGGTGCTGTATGGCTTTTAAGGCCGAGTAGACAAACGCACTGTTATTGAATGAGAGGAACAGTGATGAACCGAGGGAACCATGAACTGAACGACCTGCGACACTGGCACCATCGTCCTCAATCGCATCCATATCGCAGGGCCAGGGAGTACATTCGTACTGGAACCAGTGTCACTAACACGGGCTCTGATGTCGCCAAAGGGTTCATCACAACTGTGCCCTGGATTGTTGTACACTCCAAGCAAGCCCCAGGCACCGATTTTGCATAGGGTCTTCTCCGTTCCGGCTCTTGCAATAAATGACGTTGTGATGCGTGCAGCGTGTGAATGCACGACTATGAGGTTCACCTAACAACAATAATAAAAATAATAATACTAGATAAACGGTTACCATAGTATGGAGTACCATATAGGATCATGGAAGCCAATTTCCATTGTGAATGGGCACAGTATAGCCGAGACTTGTAGGAGTCGTGAGGAAGGCTTGTGTGGCGGAATATAGAAAAGGGTTCACGGTTGTGAGGATTTGGCACCGAGTACTAAAGGATGCAAGGCAGTGTCTCGCTTGGAAGGGCGATGGACAGCTGTCTCACATATCACTGATAGTAGGCGAGTTGTAGATTCGCGGGGCCTCGAGTGGGAGAGATGGAGAGGCGGGAGAAATGTCTGGTTGTTGCATCATCAACAACCTTAAGTCCTCGCAACACGCCCCTTTTTTCTGAATTCCATCCGCCAATTCAACACAATAACTCTGCAGTGGCTGCAACTCCGCCAGACGCGCTATCTCCGGCCGACAGAAGTCTGTACCAGGTGAAAGAACCCGTAATCAATGTCAGGGAAAAAACAGGGTTGCACCCATGGCTTTTGATAATGGGCCTATCAGACGGCAAGAGCTATGCCCAGAAGCGGCTACATTGATAGTTGGGTCATGGTAAGTGCGACGAGATCATGGCCCGTGTCATTTGGAGACGGCACATGATATTGACGTGCATGCAGAAACCCTAAGGCGAACGCAATAAGCGCAGGGGGTTGGTTACGAAGGTTGTTCGTCGGAGTCAGAGCATTGTAGATGAAGAGGATTTCTGAAAAGACCTGGCATTGCCCTGGTTGCTTCAGCTTCAAATAGACCGTTGACGAGTCAGTAAGGGACTGTGTATCCAAGAAGTGGTATACAAACTGTGACCAGTTCTAGTGGGGAATGTTGCCTTTCTATCGTTCAATCCAGTGCTGCGTCTTGCCCTATAATACGGCGAATGCTGGGACGGGGGCATTAGGGCAATACCCAGGCTGGTATGCGTCCCTAGAGGCCAAATACAGGGACTGCGCCCACCCAGCGCCATACGCGCGCAGCTATCAGGATCGTACAAAGCGTCAGTCATTCAGCTTGTCAACCCGGAAGTAACCCTGTGCCGCAGGCTCCGGGCTCCATTTGTCATTCCAAGGGGGCATGCATGGTTGGGACGATGTCGAACCTTATTGTGTGTCCAGGTGGTATAGATTCCTCTATTTATGCTTGGGTGCCCTCACCGGGCATTGAGGACCAGAACAATATGGCCTCTCGCATGGTCTGTCTCGATATTGGGAAAGTGTATTAGACCTTTCTGAATCGAGTCCTGTATCCAGTGTTGGCAAACGTCGATATGCTTGGTGCGAGCATGGAATTGCGTGTTGTCACTTAGCTTTAAAGCTGGCTGATTGTCTGAGTGTATCTCCATTGGGCTTACACTCAGAGCTGTAGCTGTTCAAGTAAATAAATGATCCATAAAGCTTCTTTTCTGGCTTCAACAATTGCGTTGTATTCAGCCTCGGTTTTCGAAAGAGTAATGGTCCATTGGCGATTAGAACACCAAGAAATGGGGCCAATGGTGTTGCAGTACAGTTGTTCAACTTGAGATACTATGTTCATATTCAGAAGCCAGCCGGAGTTCCTTCGGTTGGTGATATTTCCGACCCCTTTTTACCAGATAAGCAAGATGTAGATCGTCATTTTCTGCGCTCAACGTAGGCTAAAGCGCTTATTGTAGTGGGTGTGCGATGCACTCGGAGAATTCAAATATGGGGTTCAACAGGAATCACCGGGAAATGATGGGGTTGGCAAACCTGATACACAGCTTCTGAATGGTATCTTGACAGGTAGACCATGTTGTTAAGAGGGGAACCCTGAAGCCGGTAAACATGCTCCAGCATGACTTCGTGTCTGCGCTGATATCCAGACAATCCGTACCATAGTGGCTTGAAACCGGTGTGATACGCCAACTCCCAAAGCCAGGGAGGACAGACAACCAAGTAGTGATCCACAATGTTTTGCATAATGGATAAAGAAGTAAGAAGCGATACATGGCAAGTCTCAAGTCCAACTCACTTCCCTCATGCAGGCATCCTGCGGGAATGAGATATAATATGATAACGGTAGACCGTGTTTATCAAAGCAAGAGACCAGCAGCGTGACTCATCGCCACCTGAGATGGGACAGGCCATGCCATCAGGGTGGCATAGGTGGAATGCTCTTCTTGCGGGAAGTAAGATACTGCGCATTCGCTAGATTTATGGGCTTCGACATCTGCTAGTAACGCTTGGTTGTGGAAGACAGGTAGATGGTGCTGGTGATGAGTTTTGTGTTGCATATTGGAGATTATTTCTGCCTTTGACGGCAGGTTGGTATCTGGCAGTGCTGGCTTGATCCGACTGGTCTCCGCGTCTTTGACGTGAGAATAGCCACAGAGGTCGCTGGCGTGGCTTTAGTCGATATCGTGTTTTGATAATATCAGTAAGACGAAGACGGGCAGCCCTATGAGCAGGTTCTCGGCTCTACGGCGAGAAATAATAGTAGTGACTGTAGGGGAATAATGGGTTGTTTGTTGTGCTTGGCCTAGTTCCTGCTCCAGATGACGCCATATCCCTGCACAATGAGCCACTGGGAACGAATGTATACTATTCCCGGCAAGTGGCATATCTGGCGCTGCCTTGTCCAGGAGCGAAGTGATGAAATCGGCAAAGCTTGATAACAACACAAAGGAACGGACCGGAATGGAGTAGGGGCAGTTGCCCATTGTGACATGCGTTTCCTTTGGCAAGCCACGACTGTGGTCGGCGACGTCCGTAACCGGGACAAAGACCATCAGTGCCCTACGTGCAGGTCACCCTGTGTTGGGGGCGCGGCTGGTAAGCCGATCAAGAGCAGGCTATTCGCAGTCGTAGATAATATGGGAGAGCGGCCGACGTGCGGCGAAACTCGCTGGAGTTCTAATCTGAAGGAGAATGGGCCTGTTGGCAACATATTGTGGGTGGCCAGCGGAGAGAATATCTGCAGACGGCATATTGAATCATTCTCACAGCATAAATAGCGTACGGGCATCGCCAGTAAGGCAAGGGACAGCACCAGGCTCCTGCTTCAGGTCTAGCAGCTTGTCCTGCTGTTTGGGTATCGCCACGTCATCAATGGTCAGGGGCGTAAATGACACAGCAGCCGCAGAGCACTGTTCCATAACGATGGTGTGACGGCGACGTTACTGAGTCCAGCCCAGAGCAAGGGCGGGCTGGTTTGACGACCCGTCGCAGTTTTCCCCAAGGGATATGTCTGCCTTGTGTCATGTTCCTAGCAGAAAACGAGGGATTGTCGGCTTCTTGGATTATCTCCGCAGCCCACGAATTGAATCAGTGGAATCATGGTGGTGTTAAACGCTGACAAGGTCCTGTATCGCCAGGAATATGCAATACAAGTGAAGTCAACAAGGCAGTGGCTCTCCCGATCCTGCGGGCGGCGCCGCAGACACAGACCGTATATTCAAACGGCGCAGTCCTTTTCAGCAGCATCCAGAAAGGCCTGGTTGTATTCAGAAAGCCATGGCAGTCCGGATGCGATGTCTGGGGTAATGTCCTGCTGAGTGCAGTGGTGCTTCCAGGGTTTCGTCGCTGCGTAGGACATAGCAACAAAGCTGGAAACTGGCCTAGGAGTTAATCGTTTCCCCAGGCCAGAAGATGTTTCTTCGCGTTCCTTTCCATTGCTCCTCCACCGTTAGGCCGGAGCCGAGAATCAGGGCTTTGCCATTGCATCAGCCCTGGAGGAGCCAATTGAATGGAATCGCATTTCCCCTCATATAACAAGAGGATGGTGGGGTTTGACCATCCCCAGAGTAGTTCTGAAATGGCAGAGCACATGCGATGGTGACCTGACCCCTAGGGCTCAAGCTTCAAGACAGGCAAGCGTGCCCCATGATGTGTCGTTGGCTGGACGAGATCCGTCCCCAGTGGCTCGAAAGCAACAAAGTTTTGGCGGCCCCGTTCCCCATGAGTTGAGACCGTGTGTCGCACGGCACAATTCGATATCATCCAACTCGGTCAGATGCGCGGGGATGAAATCCAGGTGGCGAGCAAGGGTCATCAGTGAAGTCAGCCTATCCTCAACCAGCCTGATGTGCACGGATCAATTTTGGGAACAGGCATGTATAGGTATTTGCAGGACGAGGAGAAATTCGTAAATGTCTTGATGTCGTCGATGAGTTTAGGCAACATACAGCGCAGGTAGGAGTGGGATGGTGTGGCAGAAACAGTGGTGGTCTTTTCCATCCCTAAATATTTCTGTTTCTTCGCAATTGGTGTGGCCCAGGTACGTCAGCTCAAACAGCGGATTCTGCAGTGCAATATAGCTATGCAGCGGTACATGCAAATCCAAGCAGTCTGGGAAACAGGACATGAAGGCTTGGGTGGATGGTCATGGCGTCCACAGTTACATTGCAGGAGTATATGGTGATAAAGGCGATAAAGTTACACCAGAAGCGTGTGTTACTGAGGGGTGTTCTGGGAAAAGTTCCAGAAGGCCCCAGCACTGGCCCAGTAGGGGTCCGCGGATCGGACGCCCATTGCTGGTTGCTTTCCCTTATATTATTGGCTTTTATTCAGCGCCTCGGTCAAGAGTAAGCCAAAACCACAGGAAATAGATAAAGATACACCGCCGTACATACCAGGATCAGAAGGACCAGGCCATCGAGTATATCATCAGGGTTACGAAGTAACAATTCCCAGGGTCCGCGCGAAGATGAGAAGACCCACTAATGTCGACATAGAGACGCCCGACAATCCAGGGCGACGAGGTTTGTTTCGATGCACAGGCTTGCGTAGGTGTAGGTTGAGGTTTGCCATCTGTGCAGGCTGCATTCCATCTCTTCCATTGTGCGGGATGGCGCATGTTTGATGGAGAGACCGCTGTTGGGCCATGACGCCACCCTTGAGAAATCTATCGCACGATGTGTCGGTGGACAGCTTATCGGGGCTGGAAATGCATTGCACCATAGACCTGCTATTAGTGATCAGATTTCAGTTCGATGATATGAGTTTGGGGCCGTCGACGTACTTCAAGTTGACAGGGGAGGTCCAAGGATGGGTTATGGCGAATACCCTGTTTTTGATAGCGATATTCTTGTTAAACTGACTTTCATGTCAGTCCCGTCCCAGGTCCAGATATGCAATGTACTCACTGTCCTGTCGCAGCTTGACCTTCAGCAGACCGGTCTTGTATCGGTGGCTTGCCTGCCATAGCCCGACGATGAGGGCTCGTGGAAAAGGGATGGCTGGAGGAACGGTCAAAGCATTCAGCATATCCTAAGCCGAAGGTGTATGAGTTGCAACAGCCCTGCGCCATTGCCATGGCCGGGTCGGTGTCGTTGGTGATGATTCAGATGGTCAGTGATGATAGACGGTTGATAGCTTCTTGATTTGGGTGCCCTTAGCAGTGGGTCGATTTTTCCGTGGTGGACGCGGCCTATTGTGATATCGATGCACGAATCAGTCATAAACCAAGGAAAAAATCAGGGGAAGAAGGAAGTGGATGTAATCTGACATATCTGGTATCTCACTTGCGACAGCTACAGAGGATAAATTCCTGGGGAGAGCGTTTCTTCCATTTCTCCTTGTTTGTGCAATATGTAAAGATACAAGAGTCATCTTTCAGCGGTATTGTTGACAATAGTGTTTCTTCAGATATTTCATGCGCTCTATCTGATCAGATCACTGTTCCTGCGAGAGTGGCATATCGGCGGTTGCTTTCGGTGGGATCACACTCGGGGGCAGCGGCTGTTATGCTTCTGGGTGTCTATAGCAGGGCGAGTAAATTCAACGTCAGCAATTGCCCGTCACGGGATGAATGGAGAGGATACACTTACCAGGAGTTCTTCCATCGTGAGAAGCCACCGATCCGGCCGTACAGGACTTCAACAGCGTGAAGAGTTGGTGTTGGGATGAGGGTGACTGGATTGCCAGAACGGATTCCACGGTGGACTGTTGCAATTCGTATGATATACTGGTATATATGAGAAGGTAGAGGTAGGACGAATCAATATATAATATATAGAGAATATGAAGAGGAAGAAGAGAATACAGAAGCAAAGCTGAGATCCTGGAGATAATCCAGCGTCTTTATGCCCTGACCACCAGCACAGAAATCAAAGCATTGAGGAAGTGAGATGTCGCTCAGCAAACGGAATGAGAGCGTCCAGCACCTTGCCGATGGTCTGGACACAGCCGAAAGCCTCTCGGATGGATGAGGCTGGATGTATCGACTTGTGCAACGTTGATGAAGATCATCCGAAGGCTGGACACGGACTGCTGCTGATAAAATGTCTTCCACCAGACCATCCCACCCCGATGGCATTCCCACGATGCAATATCTACGGAGGACGATGGTAATCGGATGATGCCATCCCGGATAATGGCAAGATGATCAGGTGTTTCTACACGTATCCCATTCCATTGTTTAAGAGCTGAGGCCCTTTGGAAGCTGCGGTGGATGGACACAAACAAGACCACAGGGCTATATTCATTGGCAGTGTGGGAGAGAGAGATCCATGTCCATGCAAACGCGATCTGACAGGGATACCACTTCAAGCAAAGGATTTCCTCCATTCACGCCCCTTCGGTTCAGACCTTGCCCGAAAGCTGGCCTGGTCTTAAAAATGTTGTCACTATCATCTGGCAAGATCGCTGGCAGGTCACTTCGTGCGCAGAAACCGTGGCTTTTAGCATGAAACCAACAATTCTAGAACGCCAGTACGACTGTTAAAGACGGGCGACGGTGCCGCGTCATCGTCGGCATTCGTGATAAACCTCTGTTCATGTCCTCACGGATTGGGCATTGCATCTGTTTGCCGCGCTGCTGCACGTCAGACCAGGATGTTAACCCTCCATCCTGTATGCAAGCGGCGGATGGAAGCAGCGCCATTCTGGCGTCCCTCTACCCATTACCTCCGTTATGACGTGTCCATCCATTTCCGCATCACACTATTTTGTCCAGGAGAGGCGGTGCTGTACTGGAACGAGTTGGCGCAACGACTCTGCAGGCCAAATGATAGACGGCCCAACTAGATCTATCAAAACGCATCTGTCCCCGGTGGGTTCATGCACCCAAGCCCACTGTGACAGCAGTTTGCCCATGTCACCGTTTCTCGGCCAGTCGTGTTGAGATTACCATTATCCTGTTTGGCTTCTGTGATCTGATGCTAAATCTATCCAATGCTGGCTCCAGGCTGAGTGTCCTCTCTCCGTAGACACATCCGAAGGCAGATGCAGATCGAGCAGTTCGGCTTTGCGGGCTTTTCGCATCACGAATATCTCCAGTGCCCCATTACCCCTTCTATCGATACGGCAATAAATGAGTCTGCCGGTGCGTTTTAATTTGTGATCCTGGCTCAATGCTCCAAGGATGCTCAATTCAGGTAATCTACCTTTTCATTCGAAGCGCCAGGTAACGCTCACTTCCTTCCTACTCATTGGGTTTATGCTTTGACTCATCAGTCCATTCTCTGACTCGTTTATCTCTAAAGCTAAGCCTTTTCAACCCTCGCGATGGCCTGTCCTCCGCATATCCGCATTACAAAAGATGAACAAGAACAATCGCCATCAATGAATGACCACCCAATACTCCACTGCCTCGCACATTCCCAAGTTCCAATACCTCTATCCCAATAGTCGGAACACGTATGCAGGTTTGAAGAACTCCGCGAGCTGAACAGGACCAGGACCCCGACGGTGTTCACGGATCCATCAAAGGTCGATATTATCATTTCTTGCTTAGCCTCACCCGTCTTTCCGTTTCCTCTGCAGTCAATCGCCTCTTGCGAGGAATCACCTGTAGCGGGGCAGGTACTAGGGATGCGGTGTTTGGATCGTTCAATTGATTCTCTGTTAGTGCGAGGTTACGACTGGCAGACGCTTGAGAAGAAGGCCCTGAATTGAACGGTCCCTCGCCAGCAAAGAGAAAATCCAGGTCGTCAAAGGCGCTGTCCTGATGTAGTAAGGAAGGACCGCCTTGGTTGTTCCCGCCACTGCTAGGAAATCGATTGGCTGCTGCAGGGACGCCTCGACTGCTAGGTGCTGATGAAAAGGCGCCTGGGTGGTCATGTCTTGGTCGCGCAGGTCTATGGTCCATTCGAGCGGGTGCTGAAGAGCTAATGTTCCTATTGTCCGATTCAACATCAGGGAAAGAAGGATAGTGTCGTGGATTGAAGGGTCCAGCGGTATTCCGACAGAGAGTATCAACTGTCGGATTCGGGTCAGACACTGTAGTACGATGGATGCAGCTGAAGTCCCACTGAAACGGAACACCGCCCACGTCGAACGGTTGGATAGGGTCATAGACTCCACTTGCAGAGTCTGGGATACTTCTTGCCCGGTTGGATCTTGCATTCCCGGCTGTTGGCTGCTGATGCCCACCATCCTGACCACCACCGGCCTGGCGAATAATCTCATCAACATCGGCGTCAGCGTCAAAGACAAAATCAGCGTCATTCACAGCACCACGGCCATAGCGATGGGTATGCCGTTCAGCCAGACGACGCTGATCAGCCCATTGGGCACGTTCGCCAGCAAAGCGACGCTCCTGGGCCTCGTACTCTGCAATTGAAGCATCGAAATCACCGCCAGCCGCCCTCTCCATCGCGCTCATGTTTATCTCGGTTCCTCTTGGGACCTCTGTGGACTCTCTACTCTCTCGGGTGTCTTGGTGCTCTTCGTCCACGTCGTACTCTCCTTCCTCGTCGTACCACCCGTAGTCTTCGTAGACTACGTACTCTTCGTCGTCGGGGTGTTCGTCCTCTTCGTTGTTTGAGTGCTCTCTCTCGTAGGAGGGCCCCGAGTTATCTGATCCCTCTTGGTCGTTGGAGTTCTCGTCCTCTGAATCCCTCTCACGGTGAGAACCCTCTTCGCTGTCTGAGTCCTCGTCAGGGAATATGTCAACCCTCGACCCAAGTCGCCGCGCCGTTCGGAGAAACTCGCTGGCGAATCCAAGTCCAGGTGGTGCACGAAAACCGTGCGCTGAGAAGGGAGTGTCGTTGTGCGGATAATCCGACCTGGCGAAAGATGGGTTAGCTATCATATTCATTCAAGGATGTCCCTGGTGAATTACATATCCGTTGGTGAATAGATTGGGTGTGGTGGTGAAGGATGAGGTCAATAACGATGTGTATTAGCGAGAGAGGCAGAGTCAGTATGCTGGGCAGAAGGGATTGACAGTCAGAGGCATGATTAAATAGACACCTCTAACAAGTATTAGCTCTATGATTTGCATATAAAACCTGCATTCACTGTTCATGGTGTTAATATTGGCTAGTTAAGATGAGTGAGTTGGAAGGGATCAGGCTGGCCCATCTTGATATTCTACTTCACAGATTGTCTTGTATGCAACGTCATTGGAGCATGGGAGCTACAGTACTGTGAACAACTGAGAGATTGAAAGAGAGGTCTCCATTCCAAACGCCATTCAAAAAATGAGCCAAACGCTATTTGATAATGATGGCTTCTGAATGCAGATCAAACGCATCACTAAACGAATTACGATTGACAGTGTTCTAAATCTACAATCTAGAACACCACCGGGTTACAATCAACTTCCTATAGCCTGGTAGTAAAACACCGGCCTACCCCGTCACCCTCTCATCATCAGGCCATAGCCACAACCCTTCGACGGCGTTGTAAAACAGCGGCAAACTCACCCAAGCCTCGGTGAGATAAATGGGCGTCGTATTGACTCCATGGCCATGTTCTGCCATTCGTGCTTGCACATCAAGGACTTGACAAGTTGGGCATTTCTTCTGGTTCGATAGGCAAAAACGAGAAACTGCCGAAATCCAGCTATTTGGAAGTACTCCCCCAGGACACGTCGTTCTGTACGCATCCGGATGGCAAGGCTGCAGCTGCACGCAGGTATCACAGGGTTTGAAGCCATATTGACCTCGGGCAAATCCAATCGCAGCACCCGGCATTTTAAAAACGTGTGAGAGCGGTATTCCGTACAGCCAAATCTGAAGTAGCCCGACGGGGAGGGGGCCTATATGAATTCTCGCTGCTAGCCCAGCGAGGCCTTTGCAGGTGAGCATCAAAACGACCCGGTCCACAGAGTTGAGCATCCCGAGTATTAAGAGCTGTAACTTCTCTGGAAGGTTAAGCAAGGCTGAGCGTTGAGAAGAGCTGTTCAACTAATGGGTTGTCAGCCTTGCGACTCCAAACTACTCTGACAATTGACATACTCCCAGCCCAATGGGCAGTGATATAGGCCGGTGCGAAACATATCTCAACGGCTTAAACGGCCAATATTCCAAGGCTATCCCAGGAGTATTTTCAGCGTCGAAGGCGGCCAGAGAGCTACCCAAGCCAGCTGGAAATGCCTGATCGCGCAACACAGCAGGCCCTGCCGGAATTGAAGGGGCAGCACCCAAGCGAGCAGGAGATGTGTTCTCGGTCAGCTTAGCAGGCTCTGTCGGAAGTGAAGGGGTGGCGACAGTCGAGGACTCGCCTTTAGGAGGCGCAGGGGCGAGTGGGCGCAATACTTTTAGATACGATGGCGGGACGCCGCTCGCGTCGGTCTCTTTGAATCTTTTGTTACGACCTTCGTCTCCGTCATATTGGGGGCGACGTTTCGAGGGCGGGCCTGGTGTTGTCTCTGTTGTCTCTGTTGTCTCCGTCTCGTCGAATCCGTAGACATATTCATTTCGATACTGTTCGAAAGAAAGGGTCTGGAGTGAGGCCGATGGACGAGCAGGCAAGTTGTCCCCCAGTTCACCTTCCCCATCAGGCTCTAACCCCTGCTCAGCGGACTGACTCCCACCATCTTTCACTAAGTCCTGCGTCATGCCAGTACTTTCTTTTACCGCGACTGGACGTTTAGAGAGAAAGAAGGCTGACTGATTGGACGTTGTGGTAGGAAAGTAAATGCACTGGCGGCGTGGTGGTGAACATGAAGGAGCGATTCTGGTAAGAGCAGCCTCAAAGGTGGATACCATCTCAGGATGAAGGTACGATTGACATATTCAACTAGCACTTACCATGGCAGATTCAAATTCCAAAATAGAAAAGGTTGCTGCTTGCTAACACATTCCAAGTTGACCTGCATCTCAAGGCCAGTATTGGGAACTACAACTAAAAACGGAAAGAACTGACTCTGGCTCATTGAAGATGACTTCCCGTTACAGCCTTTTAGGATTTTTATCAGGTCACTGCCGGCCTATGGCCATTCTTTTGGGGTTTGAAGATACATGAGGCTGTTGGTTTGGGAAACATCATGGAGGCCGTGCGGAGGACATTATCTACCTGGGCAGCCCTCCGGGATATCAGCATGCTATAGATACAGCGATTACCATTACGAAGAGCCACATCGGACAGGATTTATTGCTAGTGGTATTGTGATATTGGAGACCAAATATCCGTACTTGCGGCACGAGCCCTAACACCGCGCGTACGAGAACAGATAACCGCCCAACCCATAGTTCAAAAATCGTACTCAAAATCTTGGTAAAAGGAAATGGACATCTCATTGTACAATGCTCTGCAGCCACTCATCAGAGGTCACAAGAAGAGGCCCCACTGGCGTCGTATCCGGGATGGATATCCGACAATAGGGGCAAACAGGCCCATTGAGCAAGCAGAAATTGCCCACGGCTTTGACCCAACCATCATGCGATGCCCCCTTGGGAATAACATACTTGTAAACTTCAAAATCATGGGAGCGGTGTTTCTGGCAGCTCTCGCACGTCTTCATCTTCAGTCGGGCTGGGCTCTCTACTGGCTGATGGTCCTGGGTGGCTTGGGCCTGGGTGGCCTGGGCTTGAGAAGGTCCGGACGTTGAGTTGGACAGGTCAAGCAGCGCTGGGTTTATATTGTTAACTGGCGCCGGGTACGTTGTCGCGTAAGAACTACGCGCACTGGGGCCTGGGAGGTCACCCGGAGGTAGGCTCTCCCATCCTGCGGCCCAATGCTGTGCTCCGCCATTTCGAACGGTTGGCGTCCGCATGTCGCCGAGGATGTTGGCCAGTTCCTCCTCGGCGGGATCAACAGGATAGGTTTGTGAAAACGCGTCGACTTGCGAGCAATCAATTGTTTCAGGGTCATATGAATTCCCGTAGAAATAAAAGTATTGATCTACTCGACGGGAGTCGGAGTCAGTATCTTCGTTCACTGTACCCTCCCCAGGACTATAATCAGCGACATATTGAGAGAAGTCTTCGTCCACTGTACTATCCCCAGGGCTGTGGTCAGGGGCGTATTCAGAGAACTGTTCGTTCACTGTACCATCACCATCGTGCTGGTCAGATGCATATTCAGAGACATGACCCTGAGTGATGTCCGTACTTAGATCGGCAAGTTCGTCCTGGGTTATCTCGTCATCGGTGTGTCTCGCGGTTTGATTCACCCCTGTCGCCCAACGCCTAAGCATCTCAAGATCGGAATCGAAGGCCGCTCCAAAGATGTCGATGATGTCCTCGTCGGCCTCCATATTGGGGAAGTCCATATCAACCCACGGAAGGACAACTTTACGGAGGGATCGAGATGGGATGGGTAGATCAACGACCTGCCAGCACGATGGTGAGAGGGGAAGGAAGATTCTGTCGAGATCAGGTGCTTGTAAAAATAAATGCCCTGCGTCTTATTGGCATATCAGAATTCTCATTATCTAGTCAAAATGACATGAGCCAGTCAACAGATTTTAGGAGCTAGCTGAAAGGGTTCACCTGGCTTGGGAGTGATATTGCACAATTTGACTAGTAATCAATGAGCCTAGGTCCATTATCCTTGGGTAGAGTGACTCTCATGGAAAGCAGTGTCTGTATAATATTCGAAATTCAAACAAAGCCAGCCTGATAGGACATCTGAGGTTCACTATCCATCCGCCCATTGCAAGATGGTAAGGCAAAACGGAGCACGATAGCCTCAAATTCCCCACGCGCTAGCAGCTCCAGAATGAAGACATATATGGCATCTGACTTACGTCCAAGAGCCCTCCATAATCTCCTTGGTAATAAATATCATGTTGGCTTCGTTTTAACACGAATATCGCCCTATATGTGGTTGGTTGGCGACTAAATATATAAAGCGAGTAAGGATCTTCAACAGTGAGCGAAAGTGTTTCAATAGAGTGCTTACATCCTTAACCGTCTAATAATCAGGTAACTATTGCCTAGTCTCATGGTTTACAGGCCGATATTCGATATCCAACCTACCATTGTCGTCTCCACTGTACTGCGAAACTATCTCAACATCCGTAACGACCTGGATCTTATCAACGTTCTTGTCCCGCTGCCTCACAAACTCCTCTTCGGAACCAGTCAACGTACCCCCAAGATCACCTTCTCCTGACATCCGCGATGCAAACCTCCGACCTCTCCACGTGCCTTGACCGCGTGAATGCGAAGGTAGACTCCCAAGCCTATGCCCCCCTTGCGCTTTAATATACCTATCAATACTATACCCCGAAGCCTCATGAGAACTCCCCACTACCGTGGTAAACAGGGATTTAAGAGCAGGCAAGTTAACAGCCATGACGGCAATCTGAGTCTTGATTCCAGGATTTATGGAAATTACCGTGTTGATTTGCTTGAGGATCCCATCTGGTGCTTTGTCCGCGGGTCTATCATCAAAGCTAGAATAATAAAGGTCGCGAGAGTTATTACTTACAATCCACACCCGTGCTGCAGGAATACGTATAGGATCGCCTGTTGTACGTTGTTGACGGCCTTTGCTGTTAGCTGTTGCTTCCAAACGGCTACTACAAACGCACAAACAGAAAGATGGCAGCAGCGTCATCGCGTCCAAAAGCCCGCAGACGCCATCGACAGTACAGTCTGAGAAGGATCGAGCCAGTGCCCAAGGCAAAGGCAATACTGATGACAGCGTAGGCAAACGGCTGGAGATTCTCAAGGGCCATTATCCTGCCTCAATCGGGGCTTGACCGTCTGATGGACCTCTCAGTATTATTGGGCCATCGTGACAGCTGTGGCTCTTCGCCCGGACACTCCCCGGGCCGTCTGGGGCCGTCAGGATATATCGGCCATTGACAGCTTCGTCGATGGAGTACTCTAATGCATGCCCACTGTGCCGCAACTGATTATCAGACAAACAGCCCGGTTGGTCGAGAAACCCGTAACGACCACAGGGGCACGCTTTCTTTTTGCAAGACCCCTTGAGTTACGGAGTACACCAGGCACTTCGCCATGGCTTCCCTTTTTTCGGTGGAAGCCCTCCATCAGGCTCTCAGTACCGATATCCCCAGGCTGATACTCTCATCTGCTGTTCTTGGAGGGTTGTCTCACGTCTCCATTTTCCGAAGTTTGCCCGTGGAGGAGCACCTATACCCCCTTCTCGCTTTCTACGCCGCAGCAGCCGTCGCTGTAGCAATCGCCTATCTATCGATCACAGAAAACTCCCCAGCTCAGGCCCTTTTTCGCCTAGGATGCATCACTTCGGCGTTTAATACCGGCCTGGCATCTAGCATCGCAATATACCGGCTATTCTTCCATCGCTTGCACCGTTTCCCCGGACCATGGCTGTCTAAGGTCTCTCGGTTCTACGATGCGTATCTTGCGGGTAAGGATGTGCAGTATAACGTTGAGATTGCGAGGATGCACCAGGAATACGGAGACTTTATCAGAACTGGTATGTTAATATAATCTCGGTATATGCAGTGTTGACAGTTTTAAGGCCCACGAGAAATCTGCATCGTTCGCAAATCAGCCGTGCCTCTGCTTTTATCACCGCAGTCGAAATGTGGAAAATCGACTTTCTACGCTCAGGCACAAGCAGAATCGAAATACTGCTCTGTCCATCATACTCGCGACTTCGATGACCATCGCCGACGGCGAAAAGCGTGGGATCGCGGGTTCAGCATTAAAGGTAACCGCTACTGTAACCATCGCTAATACATTCTGACGGAATACAGCTCTAGCGGGATATGAACCAAATATCACAACAAAAGTCGATCTCCTAATCTCCCATATCGAAAAGGCCCAAGACGCAATTGACGCAACCAGCTGGTCCATGTTCCTCAGCTTCGATATCATGGGCAACGTCGGGTTCGGCAAGGAATTCAACAATCTGTCGACAGGCGTTGAGCATCCGGGGATTAAAGCTGTGCATGACCATATGGCGATCTTAGGAACCATGGGCCATGTCCCGTGGCTGTTGAATATAATCAGCCATCTCCCCGGCGCGACCTCGGCGATGGCGGAATTCTTCAAGTGGTGCGAGGATGAAGTTGTGCAGAAGCACCAGGTTTGTTACTTGATTTCATATCATTGTCAGCAAGGCGGAAAACTAATGTATACTAGAACTGAGACATCAATGAACACCCCCGAGATGTCGTCTCGTGGCTTCTCACAGCGTACGTCGAAAAAGACATATCGGCTGCACCCACCGCGAACGCACTGCATGAAGACTCCAGAGCTGTTCTTGTAGCCGGCAGTGAGACGACAGCTACAACACTGGCATCGATATTATACTATTTGTGCAAGAACCCGAAGACTCTGTCTAAACTGCAGCGCCTGCTGGATGAGGCCATGCCAGGGGGGTCTACGGAATGGGCATATGAGAAAATCAAGAACATCAGCTACCTTGAAGATATCATCAACGAAACGCTGCGATTGCGACCTGCCGTTTTGACTGGTGGATATCGCGTCACCCCGCCCGAGGGGATGCAGGTTGATGAGGTTTATATCCCTGGCGATGTGAATGTTTTTGTGCCGACTCAACTTACTCAGACGGATGAGCGGTATTACACTGACGCAAAGAGCTTCGTACCTGAGAGATGGACTGAGGACAGGGAAATGATCCAGGAGGAAGCTCCATATTTTCCCTTTTTATACGGTAAGTTTCACGTAGGCCAGACCATACTCTACCCAGGCTGATTGTTCAGCTACAGGCCCGTATATCTGCCCCGGAAAACACCTTGCTCTTATGAGTCTCCGTATTTCGGTTTCCAAACTGGCCCAGCGATACAACATCAGCTTCGCGCAGGGTGAGACTGGGGAACTGTTCGAGACGAAGACGTTGGATACATTTACCACTACGCTGCCACCACTCCATGTGCAGTTTTCGCCCAGGTGACCATAAGTTCTGGATATATGTCTACCTAGATGTCAATAGTGCCTTTCCCTACTAAAAGCCCTATATTATCTCCAAATATATACTCCCGATAGGATAGTACTTTCTGCCCACAGCCGCCCCGGCGTGGCGGAGCTCCATGCCAAGATGCTGGGGTTCTCTCGTACGAAAATCCGGCTCGTTGACTAAAATTAGGCATTAGTAGGAATGATATATCACCGCGAGCCTCGTCGCCCGACCGACCTTCACGTGAGCTCCATTGTCAGCTGGGGGATGTCGCCAGTCTCAGAGCCTCGTGGAACCCTCAACACACGCATTCACGACCGTCAACTACAGATTGAAGTTGTTCGAAATGAAAGACACAACGCCAACAAAGCACCGCGGGACAGCATACGCGCACTGGATGCCGGAACTCTGGGGGCTTGGGGGCTCAGGGCTGGCGTTTGGCGGGACGGTGGCTCTGCTTAGTGTCTTTGACGACCGGCCCATATTCGATTGGTACGGGGTGACGCTCAATACGCTGGTGTCTATACTGTCCGCTACGATGAAGGCAGCGTTGATCTATGCAATTGCCGAGTGCATTAGCCAGTGGAAATGGATCCTGTTTTCGCGCGAGGAGCGGCTGCTGATTGACTTTGAGCGCATGGATTCGGCCAGTCGAGGTCCGCTGGGGGCGCTGAACGTTCTCTGGAAGACACGAAGGTCGTGAGTAGCGGGCCCGTACCTAATGGCTCTTCAGAGGCTAATCGGTAGTGATTTCAAGAATATCCGTCCAGCTCGGTGCGTTCCTGACCCTGCTCGCCATCGGCTTGGACCCGTTCTCGCAGCAGCTGGTGCAACTGCGCCAGGGGACGGCGTTCGTTGACTCCCTGGGTGACGCCTATGCCGAAAGCACACGAACAGAAGAGTACACAAGGGGCGACGTGGTGTATGGAAACGGCACCAACTCGACTATAAACCCATCAGGGCCCCTGGCAATAGTGGCAGAGGCGATGATAGATCTGTCGATGCAGGGGGCCATCCTGAATGGGTTCTCCCGCTCCCTGGCTGAAATCCGCCAGCAGGCGAATGTGACATGCCCTACAGGCCAGTGCAAGTGGCCCCCTTTCAAGACACTTGGTGTCTGCCACACATGCCACAATCTCACTTTGGACTTGAAGAGGGCTGATGGTTTTGGAGGTGTCGCCGGGCCTTTGATTTTGGGACAAGACACAATGCCAGAGAACGACAGCACGGCATTCGTCTTGCCCAACGGTCACTTTCTGGTGGGTATCAATGGCCAAATTGCCAGTATCATCGGCATCCAAGAACAAGGCTACCAGAACCCAGGCAACTCGTGGATTGTGGCTGGTCCCACCATGACTTCATTTGGAACCGGGAACCCAGCAAAAACCAACCGGATGCAGGACGTGGACACCTTGATCTGGTCGACCAGCATGATCTACGTGAATACAATCCAACTGGGAATAGCGGCAGGGTATGGCGCTTGGCCGGACGTCCCTGTCCGCGCAAGCGAATGTGCGGCATACTACTGCGTCCAGACCATCAACGCGACAGTCGAGGGAAACACCATCTACGAAAACACCACCCAGGACACCGACGCAAGGCGAGATCCAAATTCTTGGCTGCAACAGGACTCACTCCAGGACGAAGGCTACGCTCCTGAAAACATCCCTCCAGATGCCCAAATGTCAATCTTGGAGTGGGACGAGAGATACTCTGCGATCCGCCGGTCAGACCTGACCCTCTACTATCCGCAGAACGCCAGTGCTAGTCCCAATTATACCTTATCCGAAACCGCCGTCAAGCCCATCAGCTCGTACTTCCCGACACTGCTGACTACCAACATTACAGGATCAACGGCTGTAACTCGTGCTATCACGAAGCGACTGGGTGAGGATGCCGTCGGCTACAATGGCGCCCGGATAGGCGACAAGGCGTATCCGCAAGCATTGCTTCACATCTTCGAGACAAACAAGGACTTTGACCTTGGTAACAAGTTTGCCGCGCTCGGGGCGAGCATGACGAACGACATGCGCAGAAATGGAGATGACATCGGCAGGTTTGACCCAAAGAATGGCCATATTACTGGGGGCAGCAGCAATCAACTCGAATACGGGCTCGTCGGGATCGCCAGGACGTATTATAGCATCGAATGGGGCTGGATAGTGCTTCATGCGCTAATGCTGGCCGGTGGGCTCGTGTTCTGGCTGTTGACCGTCAGAAGCTCCTGTAGCTCGGAGGCGATGCAGATATGGAAGAGCAGCTCTCTCGCGGTCATGCGCCAGGGCCGGACGACGGGACACGTCTTGGAGGGATCTAGAACGATGGAAGAGATGAGGAACACGGCCAGAAGGGAGAAGGTGCTGGTAGCACTGGATCATTACGTGGCACTGCCGACCACACAGGGGGGTGATTTACACACCACTCCAGATGACCGCCAGGATGATTAGTGAAAATGTTATCAAGTACGTGTTGGCATAAATGCAGTACAAAGACGGGCCAATGCCGCTAGTAGATTTTTATTATCGAATCGCATTTCGATAGATAATATATAGAAATCGCTGCCAAGTAGAATTCCCAGAGCAACCTCCCGTACATGAATATATATATCAGGCACAAACACTAAACCGCCCAAATTATACGCATACCTCATAACCCATTAATAAACTTAAGCAACGCTACAAAAACCGATACAAAAACTCCAAATTCTGCAAATTCAACGCATCCGCCTCATCCTCCCATGGCACCCATCCATACCAGTCATCCGGCTGCGGAATCGGTGGCATCAACGTCTCACCAGCCGCCGAACCAGGGGCAAGAAGAGCACCATCCTCATCAGTAACAGGACCACTTGCACTGGCATTGCCTCCTTGTCCTATTTCACCTGCGTCTGTAACGAGAGCGCTAGATGCACCTGCATGCTCACCCTGCCCCGTTAACCCCAACACCTCGGCGGTACGATCATCCAACCCCTTGAAGAAAAGATGTAAAACCCAATTCTCCAAGTCCCATGATTTCTGCAGTTCCTCGAGACTGAGAAGGCAGAGTCTCGCGCGGTGTTCGGCCAGGGTGCGTGTTGTTCCTGAGGAGCGGCGGTGGTGGATTGTGTGGATGCAGAGCGTTGTGAAGGAGTGGGTTATTCTACTAATTAGCACATTTCACACCATCTATGGGTGTATGGGGGATGTACAGATGAGTTGGCGCATGCTGGATTAAATGCGCGGAGAGCAAATCCTCCATGATCCGGGTACTCTTCGTCGCGGCATCGAGGGCGATCTGCCCGTCATCGTGAGGGGTGGGATTGAGGAAAACGCGCCGGTAGAGGAGGATAAAGAGGTTTCTACCGCACACTATCAGCAGCTGCATCAATATTAGGAATTCGGGAGACGCACTGGTATGTCATATGAAGCAGCCCCTTCAGAAACAACGAGACCGGGTCAATGAAGACACTCCCCCACCGCAACTCAACAGGGAGCTGCGACTCCCAGAGACAGAGCTGCTCATTCAGGGCGTTCCTCGTTGCGAGGTCGGGTTTGTGGTGGTGGAGATACTGCGTTGAGACAATCGTTCGCACTGCATACATTAGCAACTATACCATGCATTCATGAAGAGCTGTAGAGACGCACGCAATCTCGCCAACTTGGCCATCTCAACCGGATACACCAGATCCTGCGGCCTCTGATGCCCAAATACATCGTCATCAACACTCTCATCCTCAAGAACATCGTCAGGCTCCAGCATCGCCACGTCCCCATCCTCATCGCGGATTCGAGGCGGGAGGCCCAGCGCTGCGGCACTTTGCTGGTCGCGCGTCTATCCACATTAACACTGCCACTACATTACAAGACACCAGAGGAAGGATATACATACATACAAAGCCCACCAAATCCTCTTCCACAACCGTCTTTCCTTGGGCGGGTGTGCGAATTTCGACCTGTCCGTCAGCACACTTCAACCTCAAGATAAGGAAACATACATCATATGCATCCCCCTCTTCTGCGCAAGAGAGACAGCAATACTCAACCAAAACCGCACATCCCTTTCCTCCCCGGGCCCGCCACGCCACGAACTAAGCATGAACAGCGCCTGGAGCTTCACAATGGGATTCGCCTCGGCGTCTGCATCATAGATAGCCCTTGCGCGCGAATAGAAGAGGAACTTGGCGCGATACCGAACAGGGAACTCCGTTCTTGCAAACGTCTCGTCGTCGCAGAGCGAGACGCCGATGAAGAGCATTGCCTGGAGAAGCAGGGGCGGGATGCCGCCTAGCCTGGCTTGTGCTTTTGCGCGACATATGGCGACGCGGTCTACGATGGGGAAGCAGGGGTGGAACCAGGTGAAGTAGGCCTTTAGCAAGGCGTTGACGGTGTCCTCTGGGGGGAAGGAGAGGGAGCCGTTTGATTCGAGTTGGGCGGCTTGTTGGACTTGGTGGAGGCGGACTGCTTCGTCGCGGGTGCTTGTTGGGAGGAGACGGGGGGGTAGGGGGTAGTGGAGTCTTGGGTGCCTGGGGTCCATGACTGTAGTGAGAGGGCTGGACTCGCCGAGGAAGACGGTTGGTTCGGTGATTTTGTGTCTGGCATGGTGGGAGGGCTGTATAGGGTTTGGGTCTGGGGATGGCATATGATCGGCCGGTGGGGATGGGCCGGAGGATGAGCTTGGAGCTGCAGCTGAGCCCGGAGCTGGACCTTGAGCTAGAGCTTGCGACTTGGCCTTCTTGCGCGGGTATCTGGATATCTTAGCTGGCGATCCATCTCGAAGGTCGAGTAGGCATACTTCCCCCGCCGCGAGATACCGAGCTCACAGGCAACTTCCTGCGCGACGCAGTTGGAGCACGGACGCTGCTGCAGCACATCGCAGCGGATCCTGCGGCGATGGCAGTGGACACAAGCCTGCTTTGCGCGTCGGAGCGGCATTTCCAATAATCACAAGTTAACGAGAGAGCAGGGAGCCGACTGTTGCAGCAAGATGGCTTTTCAAGCGGTGGTGTGGTGGCGTTCGGTTACTCGGTTATATGTCGGTTATATGCGACGGTCTTTAACATGCGGGGGACTTTGATTCCTATTTATTGCAGCTCTCTCCAAACTGAATGAAAGCAAGCAAGCACCATGTTTCGCTCTCGTGTCCTCGGTCACTCTCGCAGGCTCTTCTCCAGCACAGCCCGTCGGCCCATCATGGACCTGACGGGCTTCAGCGAGAACCAATTGACCGTGCGCGACGCCATCGGCAGCATCTGCGCCAACTTCCCCAACACCTACTGGCAGGAATGCGACCAGCAGGAGCGCGATCCGAAGGAATTCCACGCGGCGCTGGCCCGGGACGGATGGTTAGGAATTGCCCTACCTGAGGAGAACGGGGGGGCTGGACTTGGTAACTTATTCAAACCAACCTCAGTCACTCTAGCGCTAATGAAGTAGGAATCTCCGAGGCAACAATGATGATGCAGACAATCACACAGTCCGGCGCAGGCATGGCCGGGGCGCAGTCCATCCACGCCAACGTCTACGCAACACAACCGCTGGCCAAATTCGGCACCAAAGAGCAGGTCAACGAGGTCGTGCCCAATATCATCAACGGCAAATGGCGCACCTGCTTCGGCGTCACAGAGCCCAACACTGGGCTGGAAACACTGAAGCTCCAGACGCGGGCTACACTCAACAGCGCAGGAACGCACTATTCAGTCACCGGGCAGAAGATCTGGATTACGTGCGCGCAGGTCGCATCCAAGATGATCCTGCTGGCACGCACAACGCCGCTGGAAGAGGTATCCAAGCCGACGCAGGGGCTGTCCATGTTCTGCATCGACATCGACAAGACGAATCCCGGACTGGAGCTGAAGAAGATCAAGAAGATGGGCGGACGTGCAGTCGACGCCAACGAGGTGTTCTTCGACAAGTACGAGGTGCCTGCGTCGACGCTGATCGGGAAAGAGAACGGGGGGTTCCGGATGATTCTGCACGGGATGAACGCTGAGCGCTGTCTGCTGGCCGGAGAGGCTTTAGGGCTGGGATACGTAGCGCTGGAACGGGCGGCGGAGTATGCGAACCAGCGTCAGGTCTTCGGTCGCAAGATCGGCCAGAACCAGGCCATTGCGCACCCGCTGGCTGATGTTTATATGAAGCTGGAGGCGGCCAAGCTGGCGACGTACCACGCGGCGAGGCTGTATGATGCATCCAGGACAGATGAATCCATTCCAGTGCACTCGGTCGGGGTTGCGGCCAACAGCGCAAAGTATCTGGCAGCTGAAGCGGCGTTTACTGCGTGTGAGCGAGCAGTCCTGACGCACGGGGGGATGGGATACGCCATGGAGTACGATGTCGAGCGGTGGCTGCGAGAGTGCCTGGTGCCTCGCATTGCGCCGGTGAGCAGGGAGATGATCCTCAACTATGTCAGCGAGAAGGTGCTGGGCCTGCCGCGAAGCTATTAGATTAGTATATCCATGGTTAGAATGTAATCTATAAATATCTCGTGTTGCTCGTGTTGTCCGTCGAGGGGCAATCTCGTTTCTTGGCTGTAGATCGCATCTCCAATTCTTTTAATCCGTCGCTCCACCGTCTGCAGATTCCCCATCTGAACTCTGCACCTTCGCCTGCATCGTCAATTGTAATGCGCCAGAGAAAATCCCATCGCAAGTCCCGCGGGGGCTGTCTCACCTGCAAGTAAGTCAGCCTATCCTCATATATTCCCATCGTCCTGACCAGCAGAAAACGCCGCGTCAAATGCGACGAGCAGCAGCCGGCCTGCCAGCGCTGTGTGCGCGCCGGCTGGTCGTGCTCGTGGGACCCTGAAACCGAAGCTATCCCCAGCGCTGTCCCATCGCGCATCTTCCACACCCAGCGCGAGACTCGCTTCTTCGACTTCTTCCGCGTGAACACCATCGTCGACCTGTCCGGCTGGGCCTCGTCGTACTTCTGGCAGCGTCTCGTCCTGCAGATGGCCCACTCCGAGCTGGCCCCTCGCCGCGCTGTCATTGCCCTGGGTGCGCTGCACTCGGACGGCGTCAACTCGCCGCATGTTTTGCGGTATTATGGGGAAGCCCTCGCCACCCTGCGCCAGCTGCTCACCCAGTCCGATTCGCCCACGGGGATGGTCTCCATCGACGTCTGCCTGGCAACCTGCCTGCTGCTGTCGATATTCGAAGTCGCCCGCAAGGACTACGACGCAGCGCAGATCCACTACACGCGTGGTGTGCAGCTGCTCAAGCAGCACAGCCAGACGCAGACACAACCCCAACCTCACCACCACCACCACCACCACCACCACCAACTCGCCTTCTACGAACGCACGCTCCTCGCGCAGTTCTCGCACTTGGAAACCCTCATCATCTCCTTCCTCAACAGCCGCCCAGGCTACCACCAAGACGCCATCTTCGTCGAATACAACATCACCCAGCTCGCCATCCCATCCCGCTTCCCCTCCATCGCCGAAGCCCACGAGTCTTTCATCCGCCTGCTGCACAGCATCCAGAACCGCGCAACCCGCGCGGCAAACACCCTCGCCTTTGCAAAACCAGACTCCGTCCCCGACGACGACGGCATCTTCCCCCACCGCGAGACCCACTCCGCCTCCATTCGGCAAGCTGCCGCCCTCCGCGCCGTGAACCACGAGTCCCTCCTCGGTCTTGCCCGCTGGAGCGCAGCATTCTACGCGTGCATCGCGTCCATCGGGAAGCCCTCCCTCGCTGACCGTCGCGTCATCGCCTTGCTCAAGGGTCTCTCGACGATGCTGTATATCCGGTGCTCGAAGGATCCGGCATTAGGCGAGATGGGGCCTGATGCGTTTCTGCCAGAGTATGAGTTCACAATGTCCCAGTTTGAGATGGCTGTTGATCTTGCGTGGGAGGAGCGTGCATCTTCTTCATCCCCCTCCTCCTCCTCTTCTTCTTCTTCTTCTTCATCACCAAATACATCAGACAGTGATGCAAAAACGAAAACGAAACAATCCCCGCCTTCAAAACCAAAACCACAACCAGCAGTAAAGCCCCTCTTCTCCCTCTGCACCGGGATAATAAACCCCCTCTACGCCCTCCTCGCCGCCTGCCGCGACGCACGAATCCGGCGGCGCGGACTAGCCCTATTCGAGCGCATGCCCTACCAAGAAGGTCTCTGGACAGGCGCAAAGGCGCGGCGGGTAGTCGGGACGATAGGGCAGTTTGAAGAGCGGAACCGCATTCCTGGCGTTGAGGGGCCGGAGGGGATCAGGAAGGAGGATCGTGTTGTCGGTGTCAATTTCCATTATTATCCTGATCGGTTTAAGGTTATTGCTGATTGGGAGGGGGGAAAGAGGGAGGTTGGGTGGGTTATGTTAGAGTTGTAATATACCCCTATGCTGTTGGTATATGTATATGTATCTTGTATGCCGCGGCACAGGAAGCGAGTGTCTCCCACGATATGGTCTTCTTCTGACCCTACTCTTCCAACGATTGATCTTGATGAACAATTGACAACAGAAAGAGCACTTGGTGGCTTCAGTATGTCGCCTGTAATCGATCATGGATAGATGATCCGTCAATGGTGATACACTTGACAGCTCTCGCTACCACCGGCGGCGACTTCTTCTTCTGCTGTCGAACACCGAGACAGACTGGCGGTGCACCGTGATGGATAGCAGAAGCTAAAACCTCCGACGGCCAAGCTAAAGAGCGACCATATTCAGATGAATAATGGGTGAGCAGTGGACATGGGCGTTATATAAAAGACGATTTATCTAACGACATCGATATCTGAATATTGTTGAGGTGTGGGTGTCTTTCGTTTGTATGACGCGGGGTCTACCGTGAATGCACTGCAGTACTGCCTAATTCTATTATATTTACAGTCTTATTGTTGGGATATAGTTGAACGATTTAATTAATGCCGTTGACTTTCTATTGTCATGGTGGTGTTGTCCATTTCACTACGATATATAGTACGCATCAGCATCAAACTGTATATATATAACCGCAAGACACTTATCATATGATGTTTCTTCTTTGTTGATCAGGAGAATATTATATCGCTATTAACGAATACTCAACATAAGCTATTCTAGTAACCGCACCGCGAATATCAAGGATAATGCCCAAGCAGCCTTTCGCGAATCTGACACAACAGCATCGTGAATATTCCCTTCAGAGCATAGAGTGAAGGCCAAGTTGGCCACCCTAGTATGCAGGGTGTGAGGATGTTCTGTCCTAGCACTTACTTGGGAATCTTCAGGGCCAGATACTACAGCTCTTCTGCTCCTTTCCATCGTCCCTGGTTCCAGTATATAGTTAGAGGCCAGGTCAGCCATCTGCTGAGTAAGCCTTTTTCAAGATGAGAGTCGCCTAGATAATATTACTTAAGGTATCAGTAGACTTGCCAACTATAATATCACTGAGGGGTATATTAGAATTCTCTAGGTCGCACTCGATCCGCTCCCTGGAACAAAAGACCCGTAGTTCAAGGGCAACGTAAAATACAGGTAATGACGGGAAATTTCACCCATGGATCGGAGTAAACGCGGAAGCTGGAATTACCACGTTCCGCATGATGCAGATTCTGAGATATGATCCACCGCCAAGCCGGCCAACGCTGAGTTCCGGATTATCTCCACTCTCGCATTTGAGATGACATTACTGCTTAGTTCAGCCAGAGATAGAGTCAATGATGCCTTCCTCAGTCTATTTCCAATGCTGAATAATAAACTGTGCCCCTGTGACAAATTCGAAGTTCTTCAACAACCCGCTCGGCTGCGGGAGATGATGTTACTATGGTATAAAGCAGGCAGTGCTGCTTCAGAGTCGCTAATCACTCACTCCAGCAGATCTTTTCTTTACACTTTCCATCATGACTTCTAAGCTGATTGTTGTCCTTGGTGCCACTGGTAATCAGGGTGGCTCTGTTGTAGAAGCCTTCCTGCAAGAACCCGGCTGGCAGGTGCGTGCGATTACCAGAAACCCTTCGAGCTCGAAGGCCCAAGCATTGGCTACTCGCGGTGTAGAAGTGGTCAAAGCTGATCTGGATGATCCTTCCTCCCTCACCCCTGCCTTCAAGGATGCCCATGTTATCTTCGCGGTTAGCGATTTCTGGGGATTATTTGGCGATCCTGCCAGTGGTGACAAGGCAGCAGCAGCAGGTCAACCCCTCAATGTGTGGGCTGCCAACCACGAAACCGAGCAATTAAAGGGTGTCATCGATGCTGCGGCAAAGGTCCACACCCTGGAACGTTTTGTGCTATCCTCTCTCTCCAATGCAGCGAAGTGGTCCAATGGGAAATACCCGCATGTCTATCATTTTGATTCCAAGGCCAAGGCCGAGGAGTACGGCAGCGAGAACCATCCTGAGTTATGGGCCAAAACAAGTATCTTCCAGGCTGGGTATTTCTTAAACAACTTTGTGTCTAATCCTATTACTCTGCCAAGAAAGGTACTTTGTTCACTCTCCCTTCTTTATAAATCTTGGCTGAATTTACCTTTTTTGCAGGATGCGAACGGAGTGGCCCAGTTTATCGGAGGCGTAGACCCAGACGTGGAGCTTCCTTTTATCGCCGCGGAAGAAGACACTGGACCCATTGTGAAAGCCATAGTGTTTGATTCAGCTCCAAAGAAGGTTATCGGTTATAGAGCGCGCATTTCACTGCGCAGCCTTATTGAAATCTTCTCGCAGGTGACAGGTATTAAAGCTGAACCCGTCGTTTTACCCAAGGGGGAGTCAGTCGTTCCTTTCCCCCCTGAGCTACAGCAGGAACTTGATGACAACTGGGGGTATTGGAAGGAGTTTGGATATTACGGAGGAGATCCAACCATTATACATCCTCAGGATGTGAGTATCGTGCCTCGTTGTGAGAGCTTCTTTAAGCTAACTTGTATAGTTGGAACACGCGCCCAAGCTCAATAGCGTGGCTGAGTACCTCCAAAAGCAAGACTGGTTAAAGGTGTTGAGCTTGTAAGAGTTGGAATACCCTAATCACGAATGTCTTTGTTCGAGAACGGGGAATTCAAAACGACTTTTGAACTGGTCTAATGTATTTGGCTTAGTAACGTATGGAGGCGTGCACCAAAGGTTTTGGTGCAGGTGGCCTGCCAAGGAATGTATTAAATGTTTCGAATTATATGTGGTTACCATAGAACAAGAACTCGTAATGCATCCATCGCAGTCGCGCACGAAGAGGAGACAAAGATCCGAGGGATGGACTGGAGGAAGGCCCCTAAGGAGTGGCGTAGATAAAATAGAATAACTCCGGCCCCAATCTTTAATAGCTCTGGGTAAGCTTGCCTGTTGCAGATCACATTGATTCTCATCATCTCCGTCTTCACTGTGGGTTGTTTGTACCGCTTTGTTAATCTCAGCGGTGGCGACGGAGCCGGTAGATCCGCCCTACTATATAAGTCCACGATTTCTCCCTCTTCCGCTATGTAAGTCCTCTAACTCATCACGAATCTTCTTCACACCGGTTCCTGAGAATTGAAGCAATTTCCCGCAACTATTACTACCATGGCTTTCCCCAACCGCATCTTCACCCATTCAACATGGCACCTACTCGGCCTCGGACTGACGACAACCGTCTTCTCCTTGGGAGCATTTTCCCTTGTCGCTCCGTCCACCGCCGCAGATACTCTTGGGGTCGTACCCACCACAGCTGAAGGCCGCCACATAACCGAGAAAGCAATGGTATTCCTTGGTATACGTGACATAGCTGTTGCCGCAGCAATGTTTTGGTTTTCTCGTGAAGGAAAGGACAAGGAGTTGGGGGTCTTATTGACTGCGTGGACGGCTGTTTGTGTGGTGGACACTTGGGTTACGATTCAGGGACCGAGGGGGTGGGATAAAGGGGTTTGGGGATTGTGTGGGGGCGCGGCGGTAGTGATTCTGGGAGGTCTGGGGCTGTTGCAGGTGTGACATCTTCAATTGATGGGTTAAGAATGTCTTGAGTGCAGTAGAGCAAGAGACACGGCGGCGGTTAGGCTATAATTTCAACCTGCCTTGTAATAGGAAAGACACTGAACACTGCACTATCACCGACAATTGCCCGCTGAAGACGGAATTACCACTTTCCGGATGCCTCATATTATGCGTTATTTTTGACTGATTGTTGATAATTGTCTCAAGATGAACAACCGGACTGTCGAGAATGGCTTGCGGCCGCCAGGGTCGCAGTCTCGGATTGACTACTATTCAGTGAAACCGCCGGACGATCCCCGCAAAGAGTCCCGGATTCAATATATTACAATTCTTTTTGGTACTGTTTGAAGGCAGACGGATGCTCGGAACCTTTGGTAAATAACCTCAAAGTGGCGGCACCGCGGACCCACAAGCCGCGCGGGAGTATCCATTTTCGATCGATGGGGCAACCGCGCGGCTTCCCCTCAGCGGTACCCCAGCGGTACCTTAGCAGTACGAGTCTGGACTCTCGGCTCTTGATCGAGGCCGTGTTTCCGTACAGTCTCCCATTTGGACCAAGTTGACATGACGTGATATGCAGCGGGGTCGATGTTTACAAATTCAAGCAGACAAGGATATCGGGAGGGCATAAATATAGGGACGTATTCAATCCGCTCATTTGTCTTCTATATCGACTCTAGATCCAGTTCTAGTTCCTAAAATCCTCTGCTCCAAGTTCACCTTACGATGGCACCCCAACCAGTCGCGCTCATCCTCGGAACCGGCCCACGAGTTGGCGCATCTGTTGCAGCAGCTTTCCGTAGCAAAGGCTACAGCGTGGCAACCGCATCTCGATCAGGAACAGGAGCTAAGACGCCTGAAGGGTACCTTTCCCTCGCCGTCGACTTTGCCAATCCCTCCTCAATCTCGGCGCTGTATGGATCTGTGAAGGACAGCCTCGGTGCAGCGCCTAGCGTTGTTGTTTATAACGCGGCTGCTCTTACCCCTGCTCCAGATAATGACTCTGTCTTGTCAATCTCAGCAGAGAAATTCGTGAACGACTTGAACGTCAACACTGTTAGTCCGTACCTTGCCGCCCAGAAGGCTGTGGAGGGGTGGGCCACCCTGCCCGAGGACGTGAAAAAGACATTCATTTACACGGGCAACCCGCTAAACGTCCAAATTGTGCCCATGCCGCTGTTCTTGAACTTGGGGGTCGGGAAGCGTGCGAGCACGTATTGGATTGCGGCTGCAGATGAGCTATACGCGGCCAAGGGATATAGGTGCGTATACACAGGAAGATGCAGTCTGAATTCCAGCTAACTATGGAGGCAATAGATTCCACTATGCGGATGAGCGCGCTGAAGGTGGAAAGAGTAAGGGAAACAATCTTGACGGACCAGCTCATGGCGAGTTCTACGCACAGTTAGCGCGCCATGAAAGAAATATCCCATGGCACGCGACCTTTGTCGCGGGTGAAGGCTATAGCAAATTCGATTGAGCTATTTAAGCTGGAAGTGTGCGATTTCCGGGACCGTAGTCTTCCTATCGTCACACAAGCACTACAAGTTCCCCCGGACTGCTGAACAATGTACCTAGGTCATAGCTGATACTGTTTTCCGCATCTCTGTTGCGCCATATAGCCTCCATCAATTCAAGTGCTTTGCGTGCGGTGCCGAATACACTTGGCGGCTGTAGATCGTAAACAAGTTTTCGAAAACGGTATTCGTCGTGAGGCTGTGCGAGAAAGCCAGCAATACAAAATGGCCAAACAGTGGCCCGAAGGAGCTCTTGCGGTTCCACTCTGTTACACAGGGTCTGCAGTATTTTGGAGACATGGTACGAAACTTCTGCACTGCAAGGCTGCCAGCCAGATACCACGACAAATAAATAAAGCAATGCAGCATGCGCCCAGACAGAGGTCGCAAGGGATTTCTGACAGACAGCTTTTGGTCGCTGGGAATTATTCCCGAGGAAGTAACCCAATTGGGTGCCAGGCTCCGGAGTCGACGTCTGCGGTTGTACGTCCAGCTGTGCAAGGCGAGCCTCGAGTGAGGACTTAATCGGCGAGGCGCGGCGAACCAACTCCATCATATCGAGACTTCCGCCTCTTTTACAGCGTTGTTTCCACGCATCAAGACAAGCGATCTGGCTGATGCCCAGTAGGATCCATTTTTGGCAGCCCACCACTGCCTCGGTATCGATAGGGCTGTCAGGTTCCTCAAGTAGAGAGCGATGGTATGCGTAAAGCTTGGGTTCTTCTTGCAAGGCACTGCTCGTAATAACATCATCGAATATCACAAGCGTAGACGCAAACGAGAAAGCCGCCTGCTCAGCGCTAGGAATCTGGAAGTTGTCGGTCGGTAAGATCCGTTTTGATGGGCCGAGACGATGCAGAATATTATCAAAGGCTAACCGTGGCCCAACCGCCTCAGCAGCACCAACATTATCCATCAGCCGCTTTAGCAAGGACACTGCCGCATTAAGATGCGCCTGGCAATTCTGAAAGCTCATAACAGCAATCTCAAACCTCTGCAACTGCATAATGCTGACTAGGACCTGGGCTGCATCATGAATACGGTCTGTGATGTCCGAGATGCCCATGGACTGAATGGATTGCCGCAACATAGCAAATGCATCCCTCGTTCTCGCACACACCAGATCACCTATCATAGGATCCCGTGACCCGTGAATAACAGAGAAGAAATATGAGCTTTGGCAGAGAGTGGCTCGGCGCATAACCGGGCTGACAAGCATCAGTTCCATGATCCATGCTCGGCCACCTTGAAGAATGGGCGGGTGGTAGAACGGAAATAAGAACGGCAGGACATGCTCGAGATAGAATGTGAAGAGTAAATTGTCACATTGCCCCAAAGACAAGCAGCTATTGTAGTCATCGTTACTGAGATCTGGTCCGCGAGCATGCTGTGGATTACCGGCCTCGCTGTTTGTTGGTGACACGGTTGGGGGAGCCTGGTTGCCGGAAAACTGCTCCGATGATTCAATGAGCCCAGAAGGTGGGTTAGAAGCATGGACAACTCTCCCCCACTGGCGACGGTGGGCGCTGTCCTTCACCTCGGCCTTGATCTGCTGAGCCATCTGCTTCTGCCTCGCGCCGCCATCCATCCATTCCGGCTTATCGTGACTGTAATGGCAGGTGATATAAAGGTTAGCACAGGTGACACAAGCAGGGCGCCTCTCATCGCATTTCTTGCGTCTGATACGACAGGTCCAGCAACCATCAAAGCTTCTTATTGCGCTTTTGTCGGGGGAGCTTCGCGAACGATGCTGATTCATCCTTAGCAAAGGCAAAAACGTCTTGAAAATGAACTGAGAGCAGTTATCGCCAGGCAACCCTGGGGTTCTACCAAGTCCCAAGGTTCCCTCTGTTGTCGAGCCGACGTTCGATGTCGAGATGAGGGTTCAACGACCTGCTGACAAATGCAGTAACGTAATTAATAAGTAACGTAATTCCCGGGCCCAAGCGAGTCGCTCATGGCTGTATTCCACATAAAATAGCATTGTTTAAATGCTTAATATATGGAGGACTAGGTTATATAATTTATCATATTAAATATTATAAGGTATGTTTTCTTTTACTTTTTAAATTCTTAGTAATCGTGATTATTTCATAATGTTCGGCACCGCATGATGCCAAGCATCTAGCAACTACTGAGCAATGTCAACGAAGTAAAGAAGTAATAATTCAACCAACCTGGACCCTTTGCTAGAGACCGGATAAATTACTTAAGGATCCAAAGGAACTATATATCTAGAGGTCTTATATTGAACCCCCGGGCCCCTCCAGGAGGTAGCCTGGTGGTGGTCCAGCCCTGTAAGACCCTCTTCAAGATAGCCAATGTATATTTTGGTTAGGGGTGTACTAATCCATTCTGGCTAAAACAGGCTTCTTTCTATAAAAATGATAATAAAACAAATTCTATTCCATGAACACTTGATCATGTTTTATTAGCATTCCTCCAGAACCGCTGTTCCATAACATGACTGGTACAAGCAGTATATTTTTCTTGTCTCTCATAGCCTTCCGGTAGAAGCTCCCGATCCCCATTCGCAATTAAAGCTGCTGCAAGGGTACCTCTTCCCACCTCCACAAACCCAAGCTGCCGGTAGAACTCAATCGTAGCTTGCATCCCAGGCTTAACCATGAGACGCACAAGAACATTGTTCGGTTCGCATCGGTGCGAAATGAGGCAATTCAGAGCAGTCCGCGTCAAGGCCTTGGCGATGCCCTTTCCTCGATGCGCAGGATGGTTGAAAAGGCCCAGCATCTGCCATCGTTCCCCTACATCATTTTCACTCGTATCTGTATCTTCCAGATCGGATTCTGACGAGAGCGCGAAATGTTCTTTGCTTTGGGGTCCTAGGAATGTTACCTGCGCCACCCATTCAGGCTCGAAATGATCGACGGCATCATCAGACTCTGGAATTCGAGTACCGGCGCAGATGAATGTCTCTCGTTCGGGTTGCGTCAAACGTGAGATCCAATATTCGTCGGTAAAAGTGGATTCGAGCTCGTAGGATGAAGCAAAAGAAGAAGGAGAGAGTTTCAGAGCTTGGAGACGCTGTTCTTTGTATCGATGGGCTGAGTCAAGGAGATTCTCTGTCTTGGAGATGCGGAAGGAGCTGTAGTTGTACTCAGCGCTAGATATCATATCGGATAGGTAAGACCCTGAAGAATTAACTGAATGGAAAAGCTTAACCTGAATGGCGGAGTTTATATTCCCTGCCAGTCCATAACCCATTAATTGGCTGTAGTATATCCGCCAAATCCGCAACATCCGGACCGATGCAAAGCGAGGCCTCATGAAGAGCTGCAATGCCAATCAAATATGCCCCGATGCTCTAACATAATAGTTTACAGCAGTGATGTTACACTTCAGTGCGATAAAAAAGTTCACGGGGTTTATAAAGCCATTTCAGGCATCCCATGATAGTCCGCCATGAAAATATGCGCAAAGTCAAGGCTGTCCAGGCTAGGAATTTCCGCCATTAAATCGCCAAAGTAATCCGAATTGTGAGCATCAAGCACTCCCTCGTTGAGAAAATCAATATTGGGATCGGGAGGAGCCGTGGAATGCTTTTCAAGCACATTGTTCAAAGACCTGGCATCCTTCTCTTTTCTTCTTTGCTGTAATAAAATTAACAACCCCGCGGTCCGATATGCCTCTTTCATAACATCAGTGTCGTAGATTTCCATTACAAACTTGAGAGTGTCCATTGCCTCTGTCAATCGTAAAAGCGAGGCAGGAGTATCCATAGAAAGCAAGGTACAGACAATTTGGAACGGGACATTGGCAACATGGCTCCAGGGGCAGCGTTCAGATGCCAGATCTCTAGCGCAGGTAAGGGACTTTGTCATTAGAGTAAGAAGTTGATCCTCGAGCTCCGCACACATGCCCGAGCGCAGTTCACGCAGTCGTCTGAAAATGCAGAGCACAATATTACATTGAGAGAGCACCAAGGGAGGCTGTGTTCCAAGATTTTCAAGCATATTGAAAAACGTTGCCTTGAGCTGAGTAGGATCCAATGACACGTTTGGCTCCAGGTTCTCCGAGAGAGGTAGAAGATTCAACATTTCAACCGTATAATCACCTTCTCGGCGTGTAGGTGCGTTATACGAAGCGCCGAGTAGTATCACCCTAGAACGTCCCAGGTCAAAAGATATCCAGGTGTTGATATACTGTACAAAACCAAACAACCGTCTTCGGATGTTGACGTCGACCTTCTGTGGTCTAGTAAATAGGAGATGCTTGGATTTGGTCTCTAGATGGAGGCCAGATGCTTCAAGCAGGTGTAATAGCGAGCAACTTGCCATCCATGCAGTGTGGGGTGTAGCTGTCAGGCGCAAGTAGGCCAGTCTCAGCGCCCATCCAGAAATGATTGTCAAGGAGGGTATCCCGGACATTGAAAACTGCTCCAGTGATGCCCGAGCAGACTCAACTAGATGTGATTCTGCAGGAGTAGCTTTGTTCTGAGAGAAAAGGCAACCCATAGCTGCGACTCCACAGAAAACAGCGTCATACGGCTCTGGTGTCCCTTGCCGAGACCACCTTGAATCAAGATACTCGAAGAAAGTATCTTGATCGATGAATCCGTAATAAGGGTCTACTTTATCGAAGTAAACTCGTGCCAGTCTGGCAAGCTCTTCTTGTGAAACAATGTCGACAATATTCAACGGCGCAAAAGTACCAGGCAGTTGGCGAGCACCGATATTCCAAGCGAAAAGCTGCGGTTCGGGGGCATTGGCCGGGTCTATTTTCAGGCCCAAATTCCTTACAAAGGCTGCCCCAGAATTCGACTCTAGAGACTGCGGTTGTGGACTTTCCGGACGGTGATCTGGCGAGTGGGCTGATTGCGGTTGTGTGTCATTCAAGGGCGCTTCTTGCTGGTGGGGTTGTGCTGGACTGCCTGGAAAGAGATTTTTGTTCCTCTTCTTGCGTGTGCTAGTATCATAATAGCATGCATATCCAAATTCCCGGCACGTTCCACAGAGTTGATGGCCATCGCATTTTCTCTTGCGGTCTCTGCATGGTATGCAAGCGACCCTGGAACGTCGTTGACGTTTTACGCTAGACATCTCGCCGCTGCAAGGACTTTTACTGATCAAAGATAAATGGCAATAATGCAATAATGAAATTGATATATGATTAAACATGCAGAAAGGTTGACAGTTAAAGTGAAAGCAGGCCGCTTACGTGATGCGCCGCTTCTAGCGTAACGACCTGGACAAGCACTACTAGGTAGAGGCTCACCTCCAAGCCGGTATGGGAACTAGTAATTGGGCTGAATTAATTATTTTTCAGATTTTCTGAGTTTTCTGAGCTAGGTTAAAAGATTAGGCAATAGCCTCGGATGGCAGAATAGCCATAATCTCGGCTTCCCAACGAGATGCAGTATATCCGCAACATCCGCCAAATCCGATGGAATTGATATTACGGATAAAAGCTCCAAAAAGGACTTTAAATCATACGCTCTTGCTCACAGAATCCAGTTGGAGGCATAAGTTATAGTTTCCACGACATACACGTTTCAATTGTTCCGTAAGTTGATCCGTGCATTCGCAAGCCATCTTGCATTATCCGCCAGAGAAGACATTCAGAGTCGAAAAACACGAAAGCATGGGCTAACCAAGACCTTAATATTAATTGATAGCCCACGAAAGATTCCAAAAATACTTCTGAAATGGTTGCGGTGGGTGGTGTGTCGGATGTTGAGAATGGCAATCGCACCAACACCACAAATATGTTCCGATATCTTGATAAGTCAATTACCTTGATGCGCACAAGTCATGAACATTGTGACGTGGATCCACCTCCCGACGGTGGATTCCATGCCTGGAGCCAAATTATCTGGGCACACTTCACAGTCTGCAACACTTGGGGATACATTACCGCGTTCGGCGTATTCCAGACATACTACAGCCAGGCGCTAGACGAGACTCCGTCAACAATCTCCTGGATTGGAAGCATTCAATGCTTTTTACTCTTTTCTGTTGGTGTCTTTTCCGGCCGTGCTTCCGATGCAGGATACTTCAAAGCAGTATGGGGCCTGGGAGCATTCCTGAATGTGCTCGGGATTTTCATGGCTTCTTTGTCTAGAACTTACTGGCAACTGTTCCTGTCACAAGGGCTGTGTCTGGGCTTAGGAAGTGGACTGATGTTTACCCCGATGCTATCCTTAGTCGCCACGTATTTTTCACGAAATCGCTCGTTGGCTGTTGGAATGGCTGCGGCTGGTTCCAGTACCGGTGGTCTTATATTCCCGGCTATCGTCAAACAATTGCTTCCCCGGATCGGATTTGCATGGACCATGCGGACTCTGGGGTTCTTGACTTTGGCAATGCTGCTTCCGTCGTTGATATTTTTCAAGCAGAGGGTGCCTCCACGCCAAGGTGGGCCACTTGTGGAATGGACTGCCTTCAAAGACCCATCATACCTGCTTTTCAGTATCGGAATGTTTCTAAATTTCTGGGGACTGTATGTCGCGTTCTTCTATGTTGGCAGTTTTGCCAGGAATATAATCGGCATCAACAGCTCTGATTCTATCAACTTGGTGATGATCATGAACGGTGTCGGTTTTCCAGCCCGGATTATCCCAAACATTTGGGCAGACCGATATACCGGGCCAGTCAATTTGCTCATTCCTGTGGCGCTCCTTTCATCGATCGCTCTATTCAGTTGGATTAGCGTGACCGGGATTGGCGGGTTATATGTTTTTTCACTGTTTTATGGAATATTCTCTGCCAGCATGCAGTCCTTGTTCCCGGCTAGCCTGACGTCCTTGACAGTCGACTTGAAGAAGGTTGGAGTCAGGACAGGCATGGTTTTAACGATTCTCAGTTTTGCCGCGCTCACAGGTGCGCCTATTGCTGGTGCATTGATACAGCTTGGTGATGGTGACTATTTGTATGCTCAATGCTTTGCTGCAGCTAGCATGTTGGCTGGGAGTTTGCTGGTCATCGTGGCGCGGGTCTGCAAAACGGGGTTCGAGTTTAAAGCCAGGATGTAAAATATAGCATGAATCTCATTGTTGCTGGCGTTTCTTGGTTCCGTGGGAGCTGGTGGATGATCGAAACGATGGAGCCAACAGACACGAATTTTCTGCATTATTCCACCATGCCACCTTCTAATTAGAGATAACTCGATATGTATCAACTAGGAAGTCGTATTTAGCATTTAGCAAGACTATAAACAAGCAGGATATAGATAATACAGAAAGTATATATATCTATATTAATAGCTTATCAAGTAGCCAAATAACCAGGTTTCCAATTCTTGATATTATAAAGCACCACTGGTTTAAATTTATATATAACCACGACAAACACTTGATGAATTATACAGTTTTTAGGGAATCTATCGCTAATAACAAACATTTAAAATTACTCAACATAAGCTATTCCGGTGACTGCACCGCCAATATCAGGCATGATTGTGGTCTTGCAGGTCCCATCCAGATTGGAACTATACAACGACCCCCCAAGATCCCCAAAGAACATGCGCTGATGGTTCAAATCCAGTGCAATCCCAATACCCTCATGCAGCTTGCGAACTAGAATCTCTGGGCGCGCCTTCGTATCAACAACCTCATCAATCCCAACCACATTCACCGAGTTCCCATACGGGGGATCCCCCCGATCCGTCCAGTACAGCTTACGCTGCTCATGATCCAACTCGAGATCAATCGGCTCAGGCAACCCCTCCTTGACAATCTTCACATCCGATCTCGACTCCACAGTCTCCCCGTCTCTCAGTTCAATTCCCATCTTGAATATCCGCCCCCCATTCCCCTTCGACGGCCCCTTCTGCGTCCAAAACACCTGTCCCGCTTCCTCATCAACCGCAATCCCAACACACCAATCCTCAACCCTCTTCCCCTGCACATCCCCAGCCACGTAAAGAACCTCGATATCACCTCCATCCATATCCGCCCTCATAACCCTCATCCCCTCCCGATCAGACCAATACAGCTTCCGACCGTGCCGCGCAATAGTGAGCTGTTTCGGCGTATGCGTATACCCCTTCGGCACAATCGTGACAATATTCTTCCCATCCAGGGTACACCGCTGAATGGATCCGTCGTTCGCGGATGGGATTCCCATATTCGTCCAGTAGATATGCCCGGCTTCTTTATCGACAGCGATCCCGTCGGGCAGGCTCCGGATGTTGGTGATTAGTTCACGGAAGCCGGAGCCGTCCGGGTAGCATGTTAAAATGCGGCCGTGCAGGGCTGGGGTGGAGATACCGACGTCAAGGAAGTACAGTCGGCCTTGTTGAGAGTGAGTTTCGGGTGCTGATGATGGTAGGTGCATTTTGTATTATGGTGGTAGTAAGTAGTAGAGTAGTAATGTTAGAGATTTAGAATAGCAGTGGATTACAGAGGGTCTTCAGTCTTAAGTATAAAGCCAGCTTGCAAATCTCATCCACCCACTCGGCACAAGAATCCCGAGTCGGCATGCCTATTCCTTATCAAATTCGAATAGAACATTCCATAGTGTATAGTGGCCAGCGGCAACCGACCCGATCCGGATCCCAATCCGTCTTCCGACGACGGAAGCATCTCGAATAGGAAGGTTCGGAATGACATAATCACGGACGAACTTCGGCGCGAAATCGGACTCTACGTCACTGTCGGAGTCTGTTCACATTCCGACTCTCAATGCAGCAGTCTCGCCACGTTCCGTCTCGACAAGTTACTCGGCGCCTGGTGGTGGCTGGTTAAGCCAGCACGATGATGTTCTCCTTCCGCGCTGGGAGCGCATCGGCGTCTCCACAGTCGGAGCGTTTATCCAGAGCTGGAGATGGACAGCAGGAACCCAGACCTAAGCGGGCCAAGATCAGCATTGCCTGTAATGTGTGCAAGGCGCGGAAGACGAAGTGTGATGGTGTCAGGCCGGGTAAGCTCAGTTTGGTTAGTAGAAATTGGACTTGATTCAGATGGCTAATATGTGCTCGCATTGTAGTATGCGGTCCCTGCGCGAAGAGGAAGCAGGGCTCACATGTTTGCAGATACAGGGAGGAAGAAGGCCCGTCCGGCGTGCAGTAAGTCATTAGGCTTTATACTGTCTATGACCATCCGTCTATTTCATTGCTTATTCTTAATAGTTCCAATTCCACCCCGGACAAGCCGCTAAACATCAGCACTCCGCAATCCCACCCGGGATATAGAACCCAATCACAAGGCAATATCGAACACCGGGCCAGATCTCACAGCCCGATCCTACCTACCGGGAGTCTGTTTGGCGCATCTGGAGCCCACATGTTACATGATTCCAGGCACGGGTCGGACGCGACAAGCGGGCTCGAGCAGGGGGAGCAACGACGTGTCCAGAAACCTCTCAAAGAGCTCCCTAAGCTCCGAAAACGAGCAGCCAAAACACAACCGACTGATGTCCAGTTTTCTATTCCGCCACGCAAAGTAGCAGACCATCTACTTAATCTGTATTGGGACTTTGTCGATAGCGCGTATCCCTGGCTGGATCGGGGTTCTATCGAGAAGGCGTACGAGACGCTGTGGTCAAAAGATAGCGAGGCAGAGCTATCAATGGATGAGAGGGCCCTTCATTGTATTCTGAATCTCATGTTCGCGACATCGTGCGTTGCGTCCCAGGGCGAGCCTCCATTATCACGGTATCAGTCCTCGGTTGTCTTTTTCGACAGAGCGCAGGAGTTGATGTCGTATGGATTGATGGAGATATACAGCTTCGAGATCATCCAGATATTACTCCTGACGGCGGTGTATCTACAGCACGACAAAGTGCCGCAGAAGTGCTTCCGCAATATTGCAACGGCGATCCATATCGCGCAGGAATTAGGGCTTCACGTCCCTGAGACGACTGACGCTATTAGTGACCCACGCGAGCGAGATCTCGCACGCCAGGTCTGGAACGGCTGCGTTATCATGGATAGAATCTGCGCTATGACATTTGGATGTGCGCTTAAGGTTCCCCAGTCACTTGCGAAGCAGGGGTTGAGTTCACTGATTCTGAACTCGATGGAGGCAAGTAGAGATACTGAAAGCGTCGCCCTGCCGTCAAAGGTCAATTTCTACATATCGTTTTGCCGACTCCATCATATTATCGGCGAAGTCCTGGAGATATTCTACATCTCTCGCCATGACGCCGACAGAGATGGAAATGCATCTCCGTACTTTGATAAATTCGCAAGCCTCTTCCGAATCGAATCGGAGCTGAATAACTGGGCTGCAAATCTCCACCCGTTTTTCCAGATGCCTTCGGATCTCGCAGACCCAACGCCGACGAAACATATCACCCGGGAGGCAAATATCCTACGAGCCAGGTTAGTACTTAATCACTCCGTAGCTTTCCATCTAGCTGACGGAAAAGATATTTGTCCGTCCGCCTCCTCCTCTTCAGGCACTTCCTACTGCAAAACCATCAGACAAAGCCAAACCCGATACCCAGCCTATACGCCGACGATCCCCAGGTCATGCCGCATGTCGTCCTCCACTGCCAGCTAAACTGCGCCAAAGCGGCAGGGGACATGATCGAGTTTATTGCGAGAAACTTACCTGAGCAGACGCAAGCATATATCTTGCCGTCAAACTGGTACACTGTGTCATGTAAGAAACCTTCTTACACCACAAATAATTTATAGGGTCACGACTAACCTCAGCAGATGTGTATATGGCGGTAACCACCCTCCTCGCAGCCAAAACATCGCGGTCCCGACAATTGATGGAGAATCTATCTGCAACCCGCATGAACAGCCTGCTACACCTCGCGCGCGATATACTCAAGGGCTATGAATCACATACAACGTTAGCATCACGTTGTAGCTCTGTCCTGAAATTGATTGGCGAAAACATCGACACCCGGCGTAGTGGGTCTGGACCTGATACCTTCCCTCCTGTTGAATCCGGGTTTGCATTCACGAATACTACCAATAATAGCAGTCTCGTGGTTCAACAGGACCAGAATATGGCCGGGCCAGAGACCCAGAATAGCTTGGATAGTCTGGATTGGGTTGATAACTATGCGTTTGACTGGAATGACTGGCCTACGTTCTTTGCTCAGCTGGACGGAGACACGCCTGTCGAGGGGTGGAATGCAGGAATAGCTTGAAGAATAAATAATTGAATGACGTTATGAATTGGCTGGCTATGCAAAAATTTATTATACAATCTATAATCCGGAATAAGGTTATTAGAACCACTGAATCCCCTGGTCATGATAACAGTTTGGAACAGGCGCAGTCAACCACCGAGGCGTAGCACTCTCATCACTCAGTCTCGTCACAGGCTTAAGCAGGTCCATGGCACCCCAAGCACCCTCCTTATAACTAGCCAGCAGCGACCTATCCCCACCAGCCTGGAAGTACTGCGGAAACACCCTCTTCCAACCATCCATCACAACCAACAGAATCTCAATAACAAACTGCTCCGGCCCGATGTGCCCCCACTGGAACAGCTCATTACTCTTCTGCACCACCTCCGGCGAGTAAAGCCCAATCTCCGGCTCCAGCGAAATCGCATCAGCCTTGACCAGCGAGCTAGTGACACGGTACGACCCTCCAGTACGCGCCCGGTCCCGCAGCGCCATCAGCGCACCAAGCGCACCCACCAGACCAGTACTCATATCCGAGATCGGAAGAGGGGGGAGGATGCTCGTTCCATCGTTAAATCCGAGAGACCGACCCATGACATACGAAGACCCAGACGCCGCGTCACCGATCTGCTGCCACCCAGGGCGCTCATGGTAAGGCCCGTCAGGACCGTAGCAGTTCTCCCCAACGTAGACAATACCCTTACCTCTGTTTCCGGCCATTTCGAGGAGATCGTTGACGCCGAACCCCTTGCGCGCGATAGCGTTAGGTCGGAACCCCTGGACGAAAACATCCGCGTCAGCGAGGAGTTCCCGCAGCCGAGCCTTGTCTTCTTCCTTGGTGAGGTCGATATCGATAGTCCGTTTCCCGGCATTAAGGGTGAGTTGCAGGACATTCAGGTCCGTTAGCCGGCTGCAGTTCACACGTATAACATCGGCGCCATAAGCCGCGAGTGTAGAGCCGATGACAGGACCGGCGATGATGCGGACTAACTCGACGACCTTGATACCTGCAAGCGGACGCTTATCGCCTTCAACCTTGGGGATGGGAGTTGGCGGCGTAGGGATGGCATGAGTCTGCTTCGAGTAGCCCACAAGCGGCTTCTCGTCGAGTCTCTTACCCATCAAGGTATCCAGCCACCCCTGGGGCGTGAAGCAAATACTCCCACAGAACCCATTCTTGACGTTCAGCATCTCGATCTCATCGGCCGTCCACTGCTCTACATGCTTCGCGATGTACTCGTACGCCTCCTCAGGAGTCTTCGCCGGGTATTCAGAATCCATACCCATAGCCTTCAGAACAGGTGGCGCATCCAACGATCCATGGAGCTGGTACCACACACCAGGTGTCTTAGTCTTATAGAGCGCCGTAGTACGCTGACGCATCGGCGAGGACATAAAATCCCCCTCGAAATCACGTTCGAAGAGTCCCTTCAGCTCCCCCGAGCGCGTAATCTCAGACATATCCTTCCCCTCGATAGCAGCGGCGAAGATCGTGCCCAGCCAGATAGCCGCGTGGTCGGTATTGACTCTGACCTGCTGGGTTTCAGCGGGCGTGCCGTCGCGGTCTTGTACGATTTCATGGGCGACGACACCGCACATGGCGTGTAGGGCTGCGGCAACGAGGGGCGCTTTTGTTGGGCCTGGGATGACGGGGATGTCGGTGCCGCTGAACTTTACTGTCTCCCAGAGCTTCTTGTCTTGTGTGAAGCCGGGGGTGCCCTTGGCGATGTACTCGAAGATGCGGGTGGCATCTTGCGGGGCGGGCAGGAAGGTCTTGTCTGTGTATGTGCCGGGGCCGTATATGTCTGTGCTTGGGACTGTTTCGTGTGGCATTGTATTTATTCAATTGTCGATGCTAGGTAGAGAGTGGTATAGGTTGATATAAGATGGACGTGTGATATAAAGTTTGGCAGATCAGCTTTATATCATTCAACGGTCAGATCAGTTTCAACGGCCCCCTTCCGAGTTTCCCGATACGGGAAACGGAAGCCGGGAAATCGGCAAGCCGACTATCGGAATGCATCAGGGGTGCCAAAACGGGCAACTCGCTCTCCCGCGTGTCCACTCTGCATCAAATCCAGCCCATCCCGAGGAGCGACCAGAGGAACAGTGATGCGTGCCACTGTAAACTGTCGGGCCGATAGGTGGATGGTGGACCTGAAACGTGGTATGAGCGAGGGTGCAGGCGTCATGACAGCGCTTCCGATAGAAATAGTTCCTGATTCAGTATACGTCTGCCCGTTCCGAAATGCCGCCAGTATTTGATAGTTATATATAAGGCGGTCTTTAGCTTGAGATCAGATCTGAGATACAACTCATACTTATCATATCATGACTTCCTTACCCATCAGAACTATCGGCGTGATCGGCACTGGTGTCATCGGGTCCAGCTGGACAGCCCTCTTCCTATCCAAGGGCCTCCGAGTGATCGTATCAGACCCAGCGCCAGGCGCAGAAACAAAGCTCCGCGACTATCTACACAAGAACTGCTCTTCAGTTCCAGCCGCCCGATCACCAGTCGAGGCCTGTCTCAAGAACTACAAGTTCGTCAAAGACATTGGCCCACATCTCAGCGATGTTGACATGATCCAAGAAGTACGCCAACAACCCCAAAGGCTGATTATCTGTTATTAACCCTAACTCCATTCTAGAACGGTCCTGAGCGACTCGACTTCAAACGCAGACTCTTCGCCCAGCTCGACGCCGACACTCCCTCACACGTCCTCATCGCCTCTTCATCATCAGGCCTACCCTCCTCTCAATTCATCACAGAATGCAAGAACAACCCAGCTCGCATTCTGATCGGACACCCATTCAACCCCCCGCATCTAGTCCCGCTAGTTGAGATTGTGCCCCATTCCGGGACAAGCGAGGAATACGTTAACAAGGCGCGTGAGTTCTACTCCAGCCTCGACAAGGACCCTGTTGTTGTCAAGCAGGAGACACCTGGGTTTATTGCCAACCGGCTGCAGGCGGCGGTTTGCGCGGAGGCATATAGTCTTATCTCCCGCGGTGTTGTCTCGGCTGAGGATCTTGGTTAGTCTAATTCACCGCATTTGTCTTTTTTCTTTTGCTAATTGGTCTAGATAAAACCATGACGTCTGGCCTCGGTCTCCGCTGGGCGTTGTCTGGACCGATCATTACGAATACGCTCGGTGGAGGAGGCAGCTTCTCGCATTTCGTGGACCACCTCGGCCCGGCATTGAAGACGTGGCTGGATGATATGGAGAAGCATAAATTTGAGTTTGACTCGAAGGAGAAGACGGATGCGCTGAAGGAGAATGTCAACGAGTGGGTGTCGCATGTTGATTTGGAAAAGGCCGAGAAGGACCGCGATGAGTTCCTGGGTGGTTTGGTTAGGAAGAAGCTGGACAAGAAGAACTGACAGTTTTTGTGGTGAAAATTGCATTTGGTGTTAGCATTTGTATACGGTATATCAGTTTGACTAATTGCATAGCAATGGATATTCACTCCATCTCTACATCTATCTCGAAATTCCAAAGCGTCCAATAACCATCCATTGGATAGTCTGAACAGAATAAGGACGTCATGTTAAGACTAGTTAAAAGGGCGATTTTCCATCAGGTAAAAAGTGTCCGCATATTCGCCTAAGTATTATGATCATTAGGCAGCTAATAGGCTGATTCCGCCTCGCGCAAACATACGTGTCTCGCTTAGCGCCCTGTGGTTCAGCCGCATGAGACGTGGTTAAACATGCAAGGCTGAGCGACAGGCAAATACGTACGTACATGTTGGGAACTGTGGGCTGCGGTCTAGTGTTCCTTGCCCGCGCAGATCTTGGATCTAACTAACACCGTTTTAGGATATACTGTAGGCCAAGCCAACTTCTAAATACATGACGCAAGACCCTCTGCTTATGCCCTTCCTGTCGCCCGTCGCCTGTACTGCCTCACTGGAGAGATATAAACTGCTCCAAGGGCAGAACAAGAATCCCACTGTTTTCAAACTCACAATGGCGGAGAAATCCAACAAACTGCCGTCGCCCTCTGCATCCGCCGAAGAAGTGCGCGCCTATATAACCCAGCTCCTGGTCACGAAGTACAGCACCCCAGTCGAAATCGCCGCAAGCCACGCCGCGAAATGGGAGATTGGCACATTCTCGCAACTGTCCAAGGCGTCTCTGCAAAGCCTCTCTGATATATTCAACAGCAATGTCGGTCTATGTTTGTACAACGGAGTCCGGGAAGACATGTGCGACCATCTCGAGAAGCAGCCATCGGTGATTTTTGCCAAGTGTATGTTCATTTGCATTTGTGTTTATAGATTGACAGTGCTAATGCTATGTAGATGTTGCCCGGATCTCTGTTGTGATTCTGGTATCCGTCCTGCTGCTCGCGCTTTCTTGGTCACTGGGATTCCCAATTCCGAAGGGTAAGTACAATCCTCACCTCGATCTGATGCAATGGGTACTGATTATATGATGTATGCTTTAGATGTGGCTCTGTGGGCAAAGTCGCCATTGCCTTGGTTCTTCTTTAGTGGTGCCATGGTCTATTATGTCTACAAGCACAGCTTCAAGGACTCCTCCGGTGTCGTATTCCGCGTCATTCTTATCTATGTCGCGCTAATTGTTGGCGTTTTCTTTTCTAAAGTATGACGTAAAATCCATGGCTTGATCAGTGGCGATACCAGGTATATTCCATAGGCATCTTAGTATAGAGGATCCAGCGCAGTCGTCCTGGTCAAAGCCCGTTCGGCTTTTGAAATGGTGGATACAAGCTTAGTCACAGCTGAACACTCTCAATTCCAACCTTCACTTCGTCAGTTCACTTTCAACCTTGAAAATATTCTACAAGAAAATGCCATTCCAAGCCATCCGCATCATCTTCTCGCCCTACCACGTCGGCCTGCGCGACCACCGCGTCGGCAACGGACCGCACCGCATCCGGACATGCGGCCTCGAGCAACAACTCCACAACCTCAAAATCCCAACAGACATCGTCACCATCGCGCCCGTAGACGACCACGAGGGCGAGATCGGGCGCAGCTTCGAGATCATGCGGCGCATCTCGATGGCCGTACAAGAATCCGTCGCCGCAAACCGCTTCCCGCTCATCCTCTCTGGGAACTGCATGTCCAGTGCGGCGGTGGCGTGTGGGCTAGCGGATCAAGACAAAAAGGACTTGTCGTTTGTATATTTCGATGCCCATGATGACTTGGACTCGCCAGATGTGAACGAGAACGGGTACTTCGATGCCATGGGGTTGTCGATGCTGCGTGGGGAAAGCTGGAAGACGCTTATGCAGACTGTGCCGGGCTTTGACGGGGGTTTTGACTTCAACCGCCGGTTCCTGTACTGTGGATTGCGCGACCAGTCGAGTGTACAGAGGCAGAGGATTATTGATGCGGGAATGCAAGTTATCTGGGGGAGCACCGAGGAGGAGAAGGTGGACTTTGTGCGTGAGCTGAAGACAAGACTAGCACAGCAGTCTTACAGCCCGGCTCTGGTTCATTTGGACCTTGACGTCCTGGATGACTCGTACGGGAAGGTTAATAGCTATCCGTCCCCTGGGGGCTTGTTCGAGGACGAGCTGGTGGAGTGCATGGAACTTGTTCCGAAGATGGCGGGCCCAAAGTCCTTGACGGTGTGTTCGTTTGACCCTGATGCCGGCGATGGAGATAGGATTGCTGGTATTGCAGTTCGTGCTATTACGGCCTTTGTCAAGGGTCTTCTGGATACCGGGGCATTGCATATATAAGCCATGATATATGAAGCTAGCTATTTACTATCATGAATCAGAATGGATCTTGGATCATAACTTCATCGAGCGGTGCCCAGATGCCACCGCAGGGAGCTCCTCTCCCCAGGCAATGCGACAATCCCACCGGACTGTCTCTTCAGACACGTTCTCGGTCTTACGGGGGTAAACAACATCTCTCCAGACTGTATCCCCAACCCCAATCTCTCCCTGTAGCACCCACCGCCGCGCAATCTCCTTGGTGGCAGCATCGCCATCCCTCTGCGCATCCAACACCAACAACAGCCCATGCAAGATCCAAGCAAAGCTGAACATCGCTCGTCGTCCATCAGCCAGAACCATCGACGTCTCCATCGACTGAACCTTCCCCTTGAACCCACCCCAGGCTTCGGTCAGGGCATCCCTCAGTTCACCAGCCCCCAGCAGCCCCAGCACACGCTCAACCCACCCAGCAAAGACAGAGAAATTATCCCCTCTGACGAGGACTCTGACAAACTCACTCGCAAGCACATTCGTTGTCCCCTCCCAGATCGAGTTCACCAGCGTGTTCCTCAGAATCCGCGAGATATTAAACTCCGGCTCATCCGCCTCATCCATATATCCCACACCCCCCATCGCCTCCTGACACTCCTGGATCCCAATAATCGCCATCTTACTCACAACAGCCTTCGCCAGCGCCGTCAAGCACCGAAATACGACAGTCGCTTCATTCCCAGGCTTGGGGAGATGCTCCAGCTTCAAGCCCGCGTCCTTCGTAACGCCGCCATTCTCAACAACATTCATCACAGCGACGGTGAAAAATCCCACCTCCATCGCTGCCCGATGCCGCCCCTCCATATCCGCCGTGAGCCTCAAATGCATCGGGATAAGCCACAGCGGTTCTCCAACGGTCGTACGTGTCCGCGCAAAGCCCTTTGCAATGCTAATCGCCCTTCTCCACCCACCGAGCGAGCCGATGAACGTATGCGCGCGCGTGATATTCAGCAACGGCGCAATAGTCTGCACGCCCTTATCAAGATCACCAACAAGATGGGCGCGCATGTCGTGCAGTTCGAGTTCCGCGGTGGGAAGTTCCTTCGTACCGAGTTTGTTTTTGAGTCTGTGGATGCGGACGCCGTTTGTGACTTCTCGCGTTTTCCCACTTCCATCGGTGTCTTTATGTGTTGTTCGCAGTGGCGCGAGGAATGTGCTTAGTTTGCCTGACGGGGCGGTCTTTGCGAGCATGAGGGAGACATTTGCGTCTGTTGCTGAGGAGAAGAATTTGAATCCGCGGATGAGATATTCGCCGCCGTCGATGTCGTTTGGTGTTGCTGCTGTTGCGGAATTAGATGTAAGAGGGGAATGGGATGCCCAGGTCTCTGTGTTCTGGACGTCGCTTCCACCTGCGCGTTCTGTCATCCACTGGCCGGATGTCCAGAGGTCGTCGCCGCGGGAGAGAAGGTGGGCGAGGGTCTTCTGGAACGGGTGCGACGGAGGGAGTTTCTTCCTTGCTATCTCTTGCGTGAGGATCAGGGCGGCGCCGTCTGTCATACTGATCGGGCATGAGGCGAGGCCAGAGGAGGGCGAATATAGATAATTCCTATACAGTTAGTATCTTAGAGTAAGGTATCAGAGTAAGGCAGGACATACACTGCATACTGCGCAAGCCTTCTCTCGCGACCATACGTAGGTTCATATCCCAGCGCGACAACACTATCATCATCAATTAGCCACGTCCCACATCCTTAACAGGATAGAACAAACCCATGTCCACCGCCCCATTTGCCTAATCTCTTCCACCCCTCGGTCGTAACCAGTTTATCGACATCATATCGCTCTCCCCATACATTATGGCCCTTGACGTACGGCTGGTTCTTTTCCGCGTCGGCGCTCCATTCGCGGATCTGGTCGGACACGGCCTCGCCACCGAGCCGGACGAGCTGGGGTTCGAGGGTTGTTAAGTGCTTGGATGGGAGGTACCCTATAGACCAAATGCATAATTAGCACTGCCTCAACATGGAGAGATAGAGAGGCGTACACTCCAGAATCCTCCTGAGACTGGGGTCGGAGGTATAGCTGTTCTCCAGCGGGGCGGGCCTAGTGATATGCCCGGAGTTTGCAGTGGCGGGCGTCGGCGTTGGTGTATTTGGAGACATATTGAAGGCAATAGTTATCACGACATCGAATAGTGCAGGATGAATGAAGTGGAAGTGTGTTGAAGTTGGGAAGTGTTGTCTGTCATGCGACTGACGATCTGGGGAACCGAGGGACCGAGGTTAACAGCTGGCTGGTGGCGAAACGGGTTTGTGTCACTGCTATTGTAATCAAGTATATCAAGTACACTGATTTATTTATACATAGAGTGCTGTTTATGTGGTTCATTATTGGGTCAGATTCGATCTATATCGATAATCATAACTCATCGCGATATGTTCTCAGCGTCAGCACTAAAAATGATCCGCCACTGGCGTGCAGATATATAATAAATACCCCAGGTTTATCCCCCACAGATATGGCATCTTGCACTGAAGAATTCAGATATTGCTCGCTCTGAATAGACATGATTCGTACATATTGTGTCCTGAGCTGTCATAAACACATCATCTCAGCTACCTCATCAAGCCCTCTCAAAACAAGCCTCTGGATAAGATATAATCACCAACTCAGCTCCTCCCTCCTTCCACAACTCTCTCTGTCCAACTGCGAGCAAAACCTCACCTCCTCACTCAACTTGCCCGTCATCGCACCGCCAACCACCTTCGGTACAGCCGGCCAAATTTCCGCCCCGGCACTCGCCTCCTTCTGCTGATGCTCCATAACCATCTTCCTCAAAGCATTCTGGAACCGAATCGGGCCCTTCTCCTTATCAGGATGCAGCTCTCCATTCATGAAGATACCCGTCCGAAGACTGCGCTGAACACCCTCACAGAGCTCCCGATCCTCAGTCAGGACCTGCCGGTAGAACGCAAGGATCCCGCTGAACTCCTCGTCTGTCGCAGAGCTGTGTCTGTACACTTCATTCTCGATCTTACTTGTTGTAGCTGTGACCGGGAGCATACGCTGGATGTAAAAGAATTTGTTCCTATAGAGATATATACTCGTGTTAGCTCGACCACTCATAATACAAGGCAGGAATACTTGCATCCTGTCTCCTTCCAAACCAAAACCAAAACCAAAGATCAAGATCAAGGCACATACGTAACAGTCACAGACGTCGTCGGAAAGAAATACGTGATTGCGCGCTGGAACTGCTGATCCGTCGCCCCTTTATTGACAATATGATGCTCCATATATCTCGCATTAGAGCTCGGCTCAACCCGGTACCGCGGGATATCCGTAACGCCATTGATAAGCGGATGAGTGGTGGCGCAGTGGTAACACTCGTTGTAATTCTCAATCTGGAGCTTCCAGTTCGAATCAACATCCATTTCCCAGGTGTGGTCGAACTTGTACCCGCCGGATGAGAAGTCGAACCCCTGCATGCGCGGCTCGGTGTCGACGCTTTGGAACTCGTCTTTCCATTTCACGTCTGGTTCCCCGGCTTGGAGGTTTACCCAGACGAAGCCGACGTGGTCGATGTGGACGTGGACTGGGAGGAGGGAGTGTTGGGATTTATCGAAGTCGGGGACTGTTTCGAAGCGGGGTGCTTTGGAGAGATTCCCCTTGAGGCCGTAGGACCAGCCGTGGTATTTGCAGGAGAGGATTGAGGCTGTTCCCTCGCGGTTCGGCACGACGGGGTATGCGCGGTGGCGGCAGATGTTGTGGAAGCCGTTGATGGCGCCGTCGCGGTCACGGACGAGGAAGAAGGAGAAGTCGGCGATGGTGAAGGAGAGGTAGTCGCCTGCTTTGGAGAAGCGGGTGGAATGGGTAAGCAGTATCCAGCGCTTGGAGAAGATGGCACGCCGCTCTAGCTGGTACAAGGCTTCGGAGCGGTACCATGATGCTGGCAGGCTGCGAGGGGGTTCTGTGTCCGTCTTGGAGGACCAGCCGAGAAGTCGCCACATGATGAATCGTATACTGTGCAGAAGTCTAATGCTTGACGATGCAGGTAGAGTGCGGAGTCGCCATGATGTTCAAATAATGCACGGTGCTCCCAAGTGGGGGGTGTTGGGGTCAAGAGTCAAGAATGGGGGTTGCGTCTATCAAGAGATAAGCAACCTACTCCAACACGCTAGATTCACCAAAGTCTAGATCACTTCTTGTAATTGGGGCACGTATCCTACTTGCCTGGTGGTGTCAATGAAGTGTCTCGATATTGTATAAAGTATAGCTATGTCGCTATAATACGCAACTCATATCTATACCCCCCCTCGTGTATCATTATATAGTGGTTGCCTACTCCAATTCGTGATAATGCGGGGTGCATCATAGTTTCTGTCTCGGTACTTGCTTAGTAGAATAATAGAGCTGGCTAAGTCGCCGCCAACCGGATATCGTGCAAGTTGCGAATCTTCCGGGCCACCTTGTCTGGATTCGAAAGGTCAACAAACGCCCACCTCCCACCTCTGATAACCTTCAAGAGTATCCAGACCCCGATGAAGACCAAAACCTGCGAACATGGATTGTTAATTAAGACTTGCCAACCGCTGGTGTTCATGGGGTACTTACGACAAGGTATGAAGAGAGAAACGGAAACGTGTAGAATTTTCCCCAAAGAGAAGCTCCGTTGGCGACTATTAGAATAAACAAGCATCCGGCCAAAGCAATATATGCGAGTACTGGCTGCAGGGGACTGCAGTAGATGTAATCGTTATAGTCCGCTTCGGAAAAGCGACGGACAAGGGGCACTCCCAGCGCCTCGAGGGCGGTTTGGTGCTGTCTGATGCAATGGTAATATCGAATGAAAGCAAGGACCTCGCACGCCCACACTATGACAACAGGCACACTGCCCATCTGCGCGAGAATCTCGACAAACATCCCTATCGGACTCTCTGTGCTAGTCCCGCCCCGCAGTTGGAGGTACGGAACCCAGAAGAAGGCAGCAGCACTAAAGACCATGGCTCGGAAAGGAACCTTCTGAGAGTTGGTGCGGCCAAAGTAGGCGAGAATCCGGAGATGCCAGGCTTGCCCCTTCCCTCCATCCAACCGACTAGTCAGGCCAAACAGCGTCCTTGATGCCACGTACAGGTTGGTCCCGGCGCAGGTCACGCAGGTGAAAACCAAAAATGCGTTGAATACGTGGTCTAGGTGCTGGATCCCGGATTTACCTGCGATCGCTACGAATGCAGAGGTAGTCAACGCGAAGCACGGCTGTGCGTCGCTGGGGTTCGCTGTCCAACTCAGCCGCGGGAGCCCACAATCCTGCCAGTCGATGTCGAAGGATATCAGTAGACCGCAGAGTGAATAGGCGATGGTAGCTAGAAGGGCGATGTACATTGAGGAAAACTTCACAGTGTTTCCAATGAGTGTGTCTGTCGAACGGTGTGAAAGATCGGATTCCGCTCTGACGCTGCTTCTCCTTCGGCGACGATACGAATAAGGAGCAGATTCGAGGGCTGAGGCCGCTACGATCTCAACACCGACATATGCGAATGTAGCAATTGATAGACACATACTGCAGGTGTGAGTACGAGAGCCGGGCGGCAACGATAGGTTCCCACTTACAGAAATGCAATTCCCCAGTTACCGGCGGCTTTCTCGTCGAATGTCTTCGGTGCCGACCACTCTATCAAGCTTAGCATGTATACGAGCGTTGCGAAGAGAATAAAAATACTATGCACCCCCAGATATCCTTTACTGCCAGCTGTCGATGTTAGTTCGGTCCATTGACATAAGTAGCAGTTACTAACCTCCAACATTGACTGCGATTAGAGCAACAACAATAACCGCAAGGCATGTTATTTTGAGAGTGCCAAAGACCACTTCAAGAGGCCCGTAAATCTTAACTACCCGTTAGTTTGCTCGACCATGCGAATAGCGACGGCGGGTTATGTACCTCAATCCCCGCCGAGTTGATCAACACCAAGATAGCTGGAACTATGGTATAGGTAACTATCCCATCAAGGACATCGCCACCATCGGCCCCAGTCCAAAAGTCAAGCTCCGCGGCGAGAGTGGCTATCAGAGCCCCGAAGCTCACTGAATAGGTAAACCTGCAGTGCGCGTCAGAATTCGAACACCGATCCAGGGAGTAAGAATACCAATAGGCAATGCCAACAGCAATTCCAAGTTCAGCATCCACAAACTCGGTAACATAAACCGAGAGCGCACCGGGAATTGGCCATATGCACAGCAGTTCGGTGATGCATTGCATAACAGCCCAGGACAAAAGCCCGACAAGTAAGAAGGACAGTAGCGCGGCGAGAGGGCCTGCAAGTTCCAGTATCTGCCCACCACGCCAATAAAGACCTGTTCCGAGGGTCCCGTTCACTGTAATCATCTACTGATCGTTAGATATTAAAAGTTCAGTTGGTCGCGGCCTATGACCACTTAAATGGCCTGAGACCGACAACTATTCCGGAGGATGACAGCATACAAAAATATGAATTCCTCTGAGTTTCCTGTTGACCGTTCGGCTGGCATTCGGTGTCACATACAACGTCTTTGCCGCCTTGACATTGAACCGGTCAATATTGTCATGGTTTCGAGATGGTTGGCTCGAGGGCGTCTGTCGGGAAATAGTTAGTTGAGCCGCGATTTCCACGCGGCGCGATTTGTGATGCGTACACTTTCAGCAATGGGTGTTCGAGCTGGGAGCCAGTCTGGGGCCCAGTTCGGTAGCTCATTGAACTCCGACATTTGGTGGTTTCGCGAAGACGTGGTCGACGTATCCGACCTTGTAGCAAAGCATATGATACTGTATCAGGGGGCTGACAGGCAATAAAGCACGCCGACATATGACTGACAGCCTCGCGAGCCCACCGCCACAGATGCTAGTTGCTGCAAGCATCATCACCGAACGCGGAGGAAATGACTTTCACGGGAAAGCGCCATCTCGTGCAAAGTGACCGCATCCTCCAGCCGCCCAAACTGGCAGGGGTCTGACCCTGGCATGAAAGAGATTGGCGCAGCGAAGAGGCGGCAACCCTTGGCCATCCAATAAAACACTGTAGATCAAGACGAAGTGTGACATCTGACCTCTGACTCTCTTTTCTTTTTCTCCCCTTGGTGGCCACCTTCGCTGACGTGGCAGGTGGGCAGCACACGATCGCCTGGAGGAGGCTCTTTGGCCGAACTGGCCTTCAACCTTCCACTCATACAACAGGCTTGGCCAGGGTAACCGATGTCTCGCATCATTCAGTCGCCACAGCTCAGCCCCAGAACAACCGATCTCGTGTCAATCATTAACTGAGCTCACTGTCAAAGGGACCATGATAGACCAAAACGTCAGTTCTCGTTACATTAAGCGATGGCGTCTCCAGCAGCTTTTGGAAACCCTTTTCCCAGAAGTCAGCAACTTTCATATTCGGGTATAGTTGATGGACCTCCTTCGCAGCATTGGACTAATAGAATGCTCGTTAACCAGATGATCGAAGACGAGTGGGTATTCACGGTTCCAAAATTAGTGACGGAGGTAAGTTGCCCAGCAGCGAAAGAGGAAAAGACAAGCGTCTGACGAAGGATTCGTTTATTCGTTAGGAGCAGCTCGAGTGCGCCCTGCCCCATCAAGCCCTGATCGGTGGCGCCCTTCTAACTGTGCTGATGATGAATAGTACTGTGCAAGACTACGACTGATTTGCGAGCGAAATGTCGAGAGACAGGCCCGACTGGGATATACTGAATGATGGCATTACGTCGCTACTGATGACTCTCAAACCCGACTCTATGGATCGCGCGCTGGCCGCTCCCGACCACCGATGCAATCAAAACACTCTTACCGTTTGTCTCGTTGAGCAGCCTTGCAATGAACTGGTCGTCGCCCGATAGATCCGGCAGGTGTGCCAGCTCCCTGGTCTTGATTTGGTCTTCGTTCGATCGTGGTACTGTCATCTCCATCAACATCATTTTGTAGTTGGCTGATTGTCTGGCGACCGCGTATAATCTGCTGTTTTCGGATCCTTTCAGTAACTTCACGATTCGATAGTTCTTGATATCCTTTCGAATAGGAGTTGCCGAATCATCGGCCATTAGATTGAGTATATGTAACTGTTTTTCTCTCGTCACGACGGCGCACATAGCAGATTCTCCAATGAATGGAGAGAAAGTTGTAAATAGACGGGCAGTGGTGCTGCTGTCATGTCCCTGTTTTCTGTCAGTCCATCTTAGCTTGGACGAAAAGACCGTGCGGAGAGGAAATACAAACTTACCAACGGTTCTATCGGCAGGAAATGAAGGTCCTTGTTGGATATATTTACGTGCACAAGGTAAACCCTTTTCCCGCTGTTTCGGACGGTAAGCTCAGGTCGCACGACAAAGTATACGTCTTTTTCGGTACTAAACAGCATTCGCGCTATATTGCGGGCTGGCCATTCCAGCGGGCACTTCCACCATGTATCTTCATAAATGTCGGGCAGTTCATCAGGAACGGCACTCTGGTGGGCCACTTCTCCGACGGCGCGTCTAGCACTGCAAGAAAATGTCAGCAATAGGCCCGTCGATATCGATAGACTGGGAACCGAGGACATACAGCCTTGATACCCTTCCAAAGAACTCAGAAAGTCGGAAAATCAGTAAAGATCCGGATTTACGATCGTCCTCGCTGGATCTCACAACGCATGCCAGTGAATTGCTTTTCGGTGAAATGGCTAGTTTCGTGATAGAAGGCTGTGGCAAATCGACTATGCGGAGTCTATTGAGGCCACCGTCTCTGAGGTCAAAAATATAACACTTTAATTGCCATTACCGTCAGCAACCCCATTGTACGGATGAACATAGAAGGATTTCTCACCTGAAAGGTGGCGCTTGTTGTAGATGCAACCAGGTACTTGTCGGTCAAGCGGGTGGTATTCCAAAAGAAAGCTTCTTGGTCTATTGTATACTGAGAGGTAGAGGTTATTTCATGCGCGTTGGGAGAGTGGAGGGAACGCTTCGAGTAAAGTAATATCTTTCGGTCTGTCCAGTAGACGACAAATGAGCAGTCAGGGGATATTTGACAGCCCTTGAACGCTTCAACTTCAGACAAACACCATGTCTCCGCTGTACCATGCACATTCTCGCTGTGCTTTGTGTTGATACTATTCCAGCCAGTAATTAGCAGTCGTGCCGTATTATCGTAGTTTAGTTTCATACCTTGTCATGACATGTCGGATGCGTTCACGTCGCGGCTTTGGGGGTGCTTTCGCCACACTAGGACCAGTCGACAGTTTCATGTAGTCTTTGAAAGTGCGCTCAAGCATGGACTCGACTTTCTTTGCATCCTGCCGCTTGCGCGGGTCTATTTGTAGAACATGGTTCTCGAGAAATTCCAGCGCAACCTTCACCAGGTGTCCTTCCTCGAGACTCCTGCTGCCTGCTCTCTGAACAAGATACGCGTGAGTCTTCCTGACCGCGGGGTTCACCTTTGCAGCTTTAAATCCACGAGTCGGAACAAAGAATCTGTCATAGCCCTCGGCGTCATCCTGTTTCAGCCGTTGTTCCGCGTAGTTTGTCACGCCCTCGCTTCCGTCTTCTATATGCATGAAGACTACACTCAAAACACATCCCAGAGACCACACATCACTATGTGTCTTCATTGTGGGTTCCGGGGAGGCTGATTCAGGAGGCAGGTATGTTCCTTCCGCTCTTCGATTTTTCGTTGGTGCCGTCGATGGATCCTCTGGGGCCGCGCGCCGGATGAACCAGCTATTGACGTCCTTCTCCTTTTCAATTCTTTCCTGGGAACGTTTGATCTTCATGCGTGACATGCCAAAATCACTAATTTTCCAAATGTTGTGTATTTCACCATCTCTACCGGTTTCCCTAAAAATCAAAATGTTGCTCGGTTTCAGGTCCATGTGGTAGCAGACTAGATGCACCATATCTGGAGTTCTTATTTCGCGATGAAGGAAGTGAAGACCTCCGGTAAGGCCGATGGCACAGCGAAGGATCTCCATTCGTTCCCCAGCGCTGTTGAGGCGTCCTTGATGAAGCTGCATCATGTATTGACGGAGATCGCAGATCGCGAGCGGCATGAAAAGACTGTACGTCGACCCGAACGCGAGACTGCCCAAGTTGTTTAAAATGTTCGGGCAGCTCGAAGCAGAACTTGCAAATATTTGCTCCATTATTTCCCGTTCTCCCGCAGGGTCGAACTCACTGCTCGGCTCGTAGTCTTTGCGCGCTATTTCCAGGGGCTCTGGGTTCACGGTCTTGCGAACGCGGTCGCGGAAGTGGCCCTTTGCTATTTTCACCCTGAATACATGTCCAAAGGACCCCTGGCGTAGGCTTTGCTCTTCCAGATAAGGGAGTCGTCGGTAATTGGTATCCTCGATTCTGGTTTCCGGCGTGTTCTGGATTACCACGGCACAGAAATACGCCTGCTTTCCCAGGAATTTGTCTGTATCGACCTGATTACCATTGAAGATGTGGCGGAGGTCTTCCTGGCTGATAGGTAGAGACCCGATAAAAGCTCCCTGCCTACTCCTTGGTGGGGTATTGACAATGAGCTTGGTGGTGGCCGTTCTCGCGGTTGTCATGGAGCATCCTGCGATGATCAGTACCGCAAGGAATGGTTCAAGCCGTTTTTCCTTGACTATCGTAATCAGTTCATCTTCCGTGGCTTTGAACTGGTCAAGGGTCGTCTGGTCGGGGTCGAGCAGACTGCGGAAGAAGCGCCGGAGTTTGTCTGCGTGCAGTACCCGCTCAGCCGTCCCATCAGGCGCGAACCGTAGAGCCTCCTCGTCCTTCCTTTCCAAGAGTGCATAGACCTCTTGGTATATTTCATTGTGGAGCTCATCGTGCGAGCGTGTTTCCATCGTGATACCGCTGTTAGAGGGATGTCAGAGGGTGGCATTACAACCATCGAGATTGTTGACGAGGCTGAGGACTGAGGCTCATGGCGTCACATGTTTGTTGAGTAGCGGTAGGCTCAAGGAGTGCAGCCAAGACAGTGAGACGCGTTGAAGGCTTTCATTTTGGCTGGGATTGCTTTTTCGTGTTGCTTTTGGCGGGGTTGGTGGTGTTGCCCAATCCCGTAATCCTGAATGAGGCTGGAATCCGATCCTGTTGGAGCTCATCCTCATTTCAATCAACCAGTGCTTGAGAGGTGACTCTGGAAATATTTGCAGCTGATTAGAAGATGAATGTTGATGAATGTTGATAAGCTTGTCCTTGACGAGGCTGTCTCTTCATCGTTGCTTTTTCCGCGCGGGGCAACCAGCCTGATCTGTCAGAAAATCAACGCAGTCAAGCTCACTTTCTACCGAAAGCACCCGGAAAATGGCCCAGGATTTCATGACTGCTCGGGAAAATTTCGAGGCAAATGTCAGGCGGTTTTCCCGGGCTGTTCCAGGGTATGACCAACTGTGCCGTGGGATAGAAGGTGATGTGAAAGTCTCATGCATCGATTTCGCTGGTGAAGGATACGGTCGACCGACCCAGTTGACCAACGACCACACTCTTGCTGATCCGCAGATGTTGCATCAGTGGTTAACTGGAGGTTTGCAGGATACAACTACTCGATATATCGTAGTAGAAGATCTTGACACCAGCGTTTGTTATACGCTGGGAGCGGCCTTCGACATAGAACCGCAGTTCTTCCTGGACCACATGAACAACCAGCTCTCGATGTTTTCTCCATCAGAACGCGACCATCGCATCCAATGGAATACCTGGAATCTCTCGCGCCAGTACATGTCATTCCACTGGTACCGACCTGTTTCCCGATCCACGGCCTCTAGAAATGCCGACAGACGCAAGGAGATCGACAGGCGGTATGCGCGAGTCTTGCACATCGGTTCCAAAGTCAATGAACTAGGAGAAGATATAGATATCTATGCTATTAGCCTGGTGCGTGCGGTGTCGAGTATTCTCCGTCCTGAATGGGACCTGTCTACGTTTAATACGGCCACCAATGGTCTCGCTGCAATCGAAGAACGCGTCTCAATATACCAGACAACAGTAAAAGATCGCCAGTATTGTGAGTGAATAACTCGATTTGATGGTCATAATCTAGCTCTGACCCTGCTGCCAGATATCGTCTTAACTGACGCGATTCCCAGCGCACGCAAAGCAACTTGGAAACATTATGGCAGCGAGCCGGAGAACCGCTATATCCACCCCGACGACGCAGAGCTCGAAACAGTAGACCTTTATGACACTCTGATTCCTCGCTTTACCCCGGCTATCACCGCTAGGACCATTACCAACCTAGACAACGCGCAATTAAGAGAAACCTATCAGACCATGCCCTCGACCATGCAATCCCTTTTGAACAACTCAAATCCTGCAAACCAAACAGGTACCACAAACCCCGGGCCTTGCAATCATCTGCCGTTTGCCCATCTTTTCAGCATCGTCATCTCCGATACCTTGGGTCTCCTCCATCTCCTAGACGCTGTTCAGCGTGACATCGTGGAGACTACAGCATCTCAGGACACCCAGATTGCCCATATTCTCAGCAAAAGAACAAGTCTTGCTACACTACACGCGCAGCTACCAATACTAAGCAGAGATCTCCAGAAGACCCTGAAGGAACTAGCTAGCCGAGGAAAATACGAGACGTCGCAGGATGACAGTATTAAAAGTCTAGGAATAGACTTTGAGAAGACAATTCAGGGCGTCAAGGAAGCTTCAAATGCAATCACGGGCACCCTACAGTTCATAGAGAGCCACCGCGCCATCCTCGAAGCCGAGAACGTTACACGCCTGACTGAGCTCGCCTTTCTTTTTATCCCACTATCATTTGCCGCATCGCTATTCTCCATGCAGGTTCAACCACTCTCCAATCCGGTACCCGTCGGCCATTTTGTCGCCTTCGCCATATCGCTGAGCACGGCTACTTATGCTCTCCGCCTCCTCGCACGGAGCGCATGGATAAGTCGACAGAAGAAAGCCATTCTGGACTCAATTCGTGACCGCAGCTCTATCTCACCCGGTGCGCCGATTCCAAACACCGCCATCTTTGCTTGGGTTTATGCTCGAACGGGGCCGGCAATAGGTCTGATATTAGCTGTTGGGGGGTTCCTGACCCCTCTAGTTGTTGTCATCTGGATACGCGAGCTGGATGTGGGGCTTAAGATTGCACTGACTCTCTTGTTTATTGTTTTCATGTCGTTTATCGTTGCGGTGGCGTTTCTGGCATCGCCCAGTCTGCGCAGAAAACTGCGGCAAGGGATGCACGTTGGATGGTATAATCTTGCAGATGGTGCGCAGCAGGATGAAAGAGAACCGCTGCAGGAAAGATTTATGAAGTGGACAGTAGGGACGAAGTAGTATCAATGTATTTGATGTCGCTATGTGGCCCAAAATCCAGCGTCTCAGGCATCAACTTCATCGTCGTCGAGCAGTTCCCTTAGCATTGCCAGGCTTATAACCATCACCCCCAATCCTATCATTACAATGCAGTTGGCGCCGATGGCTACCCAGCCAAATATCATTGCAGCAGTGCCTACTTCCCCCTTGACTGCACCGTTAAACGCAGCCTCTATAGTGGCAGAGTGTGCTACTACTGCGACATGCTGCCAGAGAATAGCTGTCAAGAGGAAAAGCGTTGCCAATACATACAAACCCAGGATAAGTATAGATACTGCCCGGGACGGGAATGGCTTGACTTCAACTACTTCGTCATCCCTCGTCTCCTCGTGCCATCCGGGAAATGTTCCGAGGCCGCAGAATCCTACCAGCATCATAATGATGGCCATTATTCTATACTCATCAGTCCAATTCCTCAAGATATAATATAACGAGACAACGCAGGGACTCACATTATCACAGAAACTATGACTTGATCTCGAAAGTTATCCGCAACGGCCAGAACATTAAGCGGGTCCTGGCTCTCCAGCACCTGTTTTGCAAGGTCTTTGGCTTTGGGTCGACAAGTCCAGCTTAAAGGATTATCTTCTGCCATACATACCCCAAAATAGCCTACTCGGACGGCCAGACTAGCAGTAGAGCTGGTATTTGCGACTACTGAGTAGAAAGACGGGTTTGTGACTGCGCCCCCGCTGTCCTGGGTAGAATCGGCGATTTGGTGGTCGTACGATAACTGGAGGAGATATATACCACGCATTCGATGCGAAGAGCAGCCCGCGACCAAGAGTGCTAAATGCATTAGTGCCAACATTAACACAGGTATACATACATATATTGAACTTACAAAGTAATATAATCCCCACGACACTGATGCCCATTAGTACGTGGTGATAGCCGATCCTCCGCACTGCGAAGAACCGCACTCCCAAGAACCTCCAGATTCTGGCCAATCCTAGATTCCAGCTCGACTTATCACGGACAGGACTCCGGCTCGAGTTACGGCTCCCCGTGGAAATATAATAGCTGCTGCCGGTCCTGGAGATTCGGCTAAGCATACTCGTTCCCTCGTCGCCCTCTTCCACGACCTCGACGTCGTCTTCTCCCTCCTCTGCCTCTTGACCTGACTCCTCGTCCGCCTGTAGCTGCTGAGCCCGCTTTTTGCTCTTCCATTTAGCCCTCCATTTCCGGTCGACGCGTAATTTCTGCAACAGAGGGAACGACGACGATGATGGTTGTTCGGCATGCGTAAACGTTTCCGCCGCGTCGGGGTTGGAGCTCCCTGCTTGTGGCGGGGTCGGTTGGGCTCCAGCCTCAGCCTTTTCCGACTGTGAAGCCGCGCTGTCCATCGTTAAAGCCGAGGAAGGTCGACGCCGCCTGGGAAATTGTTAGTGCTGCGTTGGATGAACAAGAGTATTCCCTTAATGTGAATGATTAAGTGGGTTGCTCCTCTTACAGGTTGCAGCGCCTTCATTTCAGCTGCCATTGCCCATTGCTGATATATGCAGCCTCGAACGGCCGAATCAGAACGCGGCCTACGGATTGCGCCGCGTCGGCTATGATTGCTTTTTCGATAACTGACGAAGCAACAGACAGTCAGACATCTGTGGACAGTCTGAAATACGGGAGTCTAAAAAATATTACATCGAATCCTTCAAGATAGTAGAAGCCTATAATGCAATAGAAAGACGGCCTGATGACGCCAGTGGTTTTTTATAGTCGCATGGCATTTCGATATATATATCCATTTGTATATTGTGCCCCGCAAATGCGGAATCGAAGCGCAGGTGGAGTTTGCTATACCGGTATTTTGATAACATCTCGAATCAATAGCCCACAGAAAACAGACGACAAAACACGAAAACATGATGGTTCAGTTCTGGCATGTCACTAGTGTGATAACGATGTCTCTAATTTCCAAAATCGATGATCTACCCAGTCTACAAGGATCGGCTCGGCGATAGTGCAGGGTTGAAGCTGAGCTGGTCCGCCTTAGGCCCCCCAGATTTGTCAGCCGCGCATTTCCGTTGACTCCTTGAGCTCCAAAAGCCAGCAACATTCTCATCGTCAAGGCCATCGAGCAAGATGGATGCTAGAACTAGTCCATCAACTAGACGACAGACAGGCGCGTTGGCAGCGTGTGAAAAATGCCGCATCCTCAAGGTGAAATGTGTTCGCCATGAAGAAGGACGGCCGTGCCTGAAGTATGTCGGTGTAGCCAAGAAGATGCTAAGCATGACTCTAACGATCACGAACAGATGCGCCAAGGCACAGGTTCAGTGTATTATCCCTCAACCCAGGCAGCGCACGCGCCAAGGACAGCGCTCGCAACCGTAAGTGCCAAGGAACGATGCTCGAGTCAATACTAATAGATCCAGACGACTGGCTGAGCTGGACTCTAAGCTGACGCATTTGCTTGGTCTACTCTCGCAATCGAAAGGATCGCCAGGTCTCCACGGGAGTCAATCTGGCAGCTCTGGACCGTCAGTAAGCGCTGAGTGCGTGGAGGTTGAGCCCAGCCAAAGCCAAACACCAGCGGGATGGATAGCGCATGAGCCCCTACCAGATCTGGATTTAGATCTGACTGGGATATTGGATACCGAGGGTAGACTTGACACAGTGTCAACGCACTCTACCAATATAGACAATGCGTGGATTATAAACCTGGGTCTCAGCGATGTTGTCCTCCAGCACCTCCTGGACATCTTTCGAAGCATGGACTGCTATTTTCCATTCGTTATAATCCCTGCCAGTTGGACACCGGCATCTATGGCCCAGGACAGACCGTTCTTATTGCTTGCAGCAGTCACAAGTGCTGCCTCAAGGTACCATTACCTGCAGCAGGCCCTCATTGACGAACTCAAAGAAGTCCTCAGTCGTCGGGTCATCATGGCCGGTGAGAAGGATTTGGATCTTCTTCAAGGGCTACTGGTTCATCTTGCTTGGTTGGTTCCCATGGTGTCTCCTTTTACGATCTGAGCTAAATTATTAGGTTCCATTTCTGTTTGGACCCTCGGAGCCAACAAACTTTTCAATATTCGCAGATGGTAGTTGGCATGCTTTTTGATCTCGGTCTAGATCAAGACACTCTCAATATGACCCAGCAACCTCAGCCGGGAGAATTGCATGCTCGGGAAGCGCGACGTGCCTACTTGGGGTGCTTTTATATCTCTAGCGTGTAAGTCGGCTTGGAATTAGGACGAGTTGGAAACTGACAGATGAAAGGATCGCTATAGCTACAGGCAAACCAAACAGTCTTCCTTTCTCTGAACATGTCCTTCCGTGTGCTACCATGCTGCAAGGAGAACAGGAATTTGTTACCGATACGTTGCTATACCCGGTGATCAAACTGCAGCAGTTCATCCAGGAAGTCTACGAGACCTATCGGCTAGGGAATGACCAAATCCACGGCTTTCGATTCTATACACATACTGAGCGACTGGCGACGAGGTTAGAGGAGTGGTGGACTGCTTTGACAACGGTGCTTCGCCAATATGGTAACTTTCCCCGCCTTTGAATCTTCGTTTGGATCGACTAACCCTGTTTTCCTATAGCTCTTCTGAGGAATGGGTACCACGCAGTCAAGGTTCTGATCTATGAGATGGGCATCGTCTATCGATATGGACAACGACCGATTTTGCCGGGCACTGGAAAGTCTACTTCGCTCCAATCGTCACAGGTCACCCTCAACCTGACCAAATGCGTCATCGCTGCCAAAGAATACCTTGATTTATTCATCGCGATACCAACGGAGGAGTACAGCAAGCTGCCTCTTGCAACATGGTATCAGGCAATCCTCTCCACGATGGTTCTCTACAGACTATGTATCGGAATCTCAGAGTTTCCCGATTGGAACGGAGATATCGCACAGGAAACCGTTAATCTGGAACAATACCTCGATGCGCTGAATAGTCGTTTACAGTCGGTTGAAGGAAAGCCAGCGGCAGAATCCCAGTGCCCGCCCGCAAATTATCTCTTTACGATGTTTCCCGAAATCCTGGAAAGCGTAAAGACTTCCTATCACTCAGCGAAGCGGGGTCATAGTCATGGCAGCAACGGAAACGACCCCCATCGGAGCCTAGTCGGGCACCCTACGAAAGGCATGCCATCTTCCGCTCGAGGCCCGTACCGGTGTCCTGGAATGCGGAACCTGCGCCGGGACTTTCTCACGGACTCTATGGAGCAGTCTGTACGACAGGGCTACATCGCCGCAGAACTAGAGAAGATCGAAAACGAGAAGCTCTGGAGCGATGTTCTGGTAGCAGATGCGCTGGCTAACCTAAATCCGTCCACCGAGACAATACATTCTTCTGAGTGGACTACAGAACAGACACCTTATTCAGGAAAAACATGCGTGGACACCTTATTCCCAGCGTCATCATATCGCTGCGGAAGCACAGTAAACAGCCCATCCGCATCCCTGGGTTCATAATCCAGCGACAGCGCCGCCTGCACAAGAACATCAAGTCCAAAGTTCTCCTTGATCCAGTGCGCAACCATATCCATGCCAGCAACCGCACCACTCCCCGTCCATACATTACCATCAACAATCCACTTCTTCTCCCTCGTCCACTGCACAGCAGGATACCGGTTCTTGACATAGTTGTACTCGATGTTATTCACCGTCGCCCTCCTCCCATCCAACGCCCCAGTACCAGCAACAACCGCGGACCCGGTGCACGTCGTGAAAAGCAGTTTCCCCGCCGCGACATGGCGGCGTATAAACTCCTTGTATTTCTCAGGGATATTCGAACGAGCGGGGCTGTCGCCGCCGATAATCAGGATATCGAGCTCCGGGACGTCATCGACTGTGGCAGTCGGGACGAGCGTGATGGCGCTGGTTAGCAGGTTCACGGGGGATACTGTCTCCCCGATATGATGGAAGACGAACTCCGGTGCCTTCTCGATTGTATTGGGGTCGACTGGGGCGTAGAAGCTAATCCCGGTCATGAGTCTCTTTGTGGCGGAGTTGAGAAGGTCGCATGGACCGATAACGTCGATGGCCTGGTAGTCGAAGACTAGACAGCCGATGTGGATTGGTGCCATTGGAGTGAAATTATAATCAGTAATGGCAGTTGAGTTTGTGTTGACTTCAAATCTAACAAGGCAGTAAAGGTTGTTAAATACTTGGCTCAGAATCGCGGAGCGGGATTCAAGCATGGCTCCGTCCAAGACCGCGACATAACCACGGGACGGCGGATGGTTTACAGTCCCTTGAAGTGTCCGTGATTGGTAATAGTTAATCAATTGTCATATGGATTACAGTTGTTTCAAAGCGCCCGTGTTGTTAAACCTTACCTCTATTCCATACTAACATCTAGCCGGAATCAACGCGACTCAACGTAAAACATCCAAACTTCATTATAATCCATTCAAACAATACAATTATTAATATACAGATTACACATATTAGCCCTTTAATATATTACAACAAACCCCGTCCAATCCATAAGCACTGATCTAGAGCACAGCACCAACGACCGCAACACCAACAACCCCAAAGGCACTCATACCCATACCCATAACCCTACTAGCAGCACCAGTCTCAGTCGGCCCATCAGCATCCCCAGTCTGCGACGCCACTGCACCAGAGCTACTCTCCTCAGAAGCAGAGGCAGACGAAGTCGAAGTAGAAGTCTCCTCAGCCCCAACCGTACCGGTAAGGGTAGTCATATGGCCAGCACTGGTAACAGACCCCGCCGTCACAGTAACAGGGAAGTACTGCACCTTGGCAGTGGTAGTCTCGACGCCGGGGAAGTTCGCGTCCGGGCCGCCGACGCTTCTATTACACACCGCGCGCGATTTGGAGACGGTGCATTCGGCTGTGAGATGGCTGCACATTAACCAAAGGATATTAGCACGGGACTGTCACATAAAACAAAAACAAAATGCAGGGGACATACAAAGAATCGGCATAATCCATCATATAAGTCGTGACCTTATCACCGGCGACGACAGTCATGCCGGGCCCCATGCCGCATTCAGTACTGTCTGTTCCGGGGGGACAGTTGATGCTGTACGTAGTAGCGGATGCATCCTAGAGGGGAGGGCAGATCAATGCCGATGTTAGCAAAGATTCGCTTGTTTGTGGGGTCAGTCGATCAGATCAGATCAGGCAACCCACATTTCCGACGATCGAGGCGGCAAGCGGCTGCTCATCTGCGCCGAAGATGAACATTGAGGTGACGGTGCTCTCTGCGTAGGCGGCCGAGGCCAGGGCAGGCAGGAGGATGGACTTGAGCTGCATTTGGAAAATGATTGAGTATTTCGGGGGAGGAATTGGGGATAAACACTGGGAAAAAGAAACCGGACGCGGAGGAGAATAAATAGAGCCAGGGGCGAAAACAAAACTTGGAAAACCCTTCAGGGACCAGGCCCGCAACTTCAGGAAATTGGGGGGCGCAGCAGCCGAACTACAGCCAAAGCAGCTAGCCAATCACGGTGGCAATCCAGATTGGGTGTCGGGGCGAGCCGAACATGCCGAGGCTGAACTATACAGAGTAAAATGATGGAGTAGAATGACTGGGGAAGATTCTAGTCGTCAGCGACTTTGAAAATTAAGTTACAACGGACAAATCAAGCTATTCAGAACAGCGGAAGCTCTCAGTCACGGCCGGATTCCCTCCGATATACCTTGCCTTCGCGGGATATGGACACAGAATCCGAGCGTTTGTCCCATTAGCACCAGTGTATTCGACAGGTAGAGACTCTGGAGCAGTGCCGTTCTCGACCCACCGTCGGAGCGCATCGAACGTGGTTGTGGGCTGGCCACCCTTACCACCAGCACAGTGGGCCAGACCGGGTGCTTCGAAGTAGCGATAGTAGTCGTGGACATCTGGGTCGTTTTGCATTGCGGAATTGTAGTAGAATTCTGTGCCCTGCGTGGGGATGCTTTCATCGGCCTGTGAATGATATGCGTTGGTTAGTATCTCTATCACTAGAAGTAGATATGGATGACGAGTTGTTAACGAACCATTCCATGGTATGCAATAAGCTTCCCCCCTCTATTGCGAAACGCAGTCAAGTCAGGGTCCGCTGCGTCCATTGTATCGCTATATTGCTGAACAGCGAGGTGGAAGAACTCGGTGTATTCTTCTCTAGTCAGCTTCGTAGCGTCGAAGCTTACATTCCTTGCGATGAACAGATTAAACCACGCGTCTGAGGAGGGTGTGCTGTTTTTGCCAGGCACCGATCCAAAGCTACTGATGTCGGCGCCGGGGTAAAGACCATACCACAATTGCTCGCCATCCTCCGTTCGCGCGCCAGACCAGGCGGCATCAGCAACAAGGGCAGCACCGTAGCTGAGAGAGATAGTCCGGTTGAGGGAGTCACAGAAGAAGCGGCTATCCACGGACGAGAACGGACTATAGTCGCACGTCGCAAAGTCAGAGATAAGACCATCCATCAGACCGTCCTTGGGGTCACACTCCGCTACCGTGCGCTCCGTCAGAAAGTCCAGCTCGCATGCCAACGGGTCCACATTATGCCAGATCTTCATTAAGAGCGGATAGTATAGCCCAGACGCAAGCTTCGTCCAGGACTGGGCCGGCGCCGATGCAGCAATCCCGTCATACGCATCCGGATACCGCTGCGCCAGCATAAGACCCTGTCGACCTCCCTGCGAACAGCCACTCCAGTACGAGTACTCAGGGGCACGGCCGTAGAAGCTGCGAACTAGACTCTTCGCAATGACTGCCTGGTCATCTAAGGACCGCGAGCCCAGGTTCTGTAGCGCAACCAGGTCCACATTCCCGGGGCTCTTCAGTGCCCAAGCATTCGGGGATTCAGCATCCCCTATTCCTGCGTCCGTGGTGGTCGTCGCGTAGCCCTCGCCAATAGCACCGGCCATGAAGAAGTTGGACAGCACAAAACGCCCGGCCAACCAGCCTCCGCCACCGGTCGCTTGCAGGCGCCCATTCCACTCCCGGGGAAGCCAGGTTTCGACGCTGATATTGTCGTCGTAGCCTGGGTGGGTGTAGGTGACGGTGACGTTGCAGAACTGCGCATTTTCCACGGCAATGTCGCCATGGTTATAGTTGAAGTTTGCAGGGACGTTGAGGGTGAAATTGCTGACCCACGAGGCAGAAAGGGAAAGGATATCAGCTCCGTACAGGGCAGGGGGCTGAATGGCCGCTGGCGAGCAAGCCGTTACGTTCATGTCGGCAGAAAAATAGAAGAGCAGGACTATGGAAACAACTGGGTATTCGGGTTTTTTTTTTCACGCGCGCGAGCCCCTTCTTATAGTATTTCCTGCGTTACTACCCACATGTTGCGTCGCAATACGAGTGCGAGCTTCCTATTGCGCTGGATGCGAAACCATGGGTACCTGTGACGATGCATGTTAGAAAAGGGGTGCATGTTCAGATGAGTGGAGGAAATACCTACCACGGGCTGAGGCTTGAGGGTCTGCTTTTCGCGGCCTGATTGCTTGCCCTGTACAGAATTAGTGGGTCTATCGTGATACGGATGCGAACTTCCCTTTTGGGAAGAGCTCCGTACAGATGAGCCCAAATTTCTGACGACACCAGAGCACTAAAGCCATTTGCAATGTCATTAAAAATATATAAATTGCGGACGTGCCGATACTCAGAAAGAAAATGTGCCTCCCAATTCTCACACCCGTCCTCGATTGCGAATACTCCCCGAAACCAAATATCAGCTCTATCAACAATTCCTCAGACATACCCGCAGTAACAAAAGGAACGTGAAAATGGGTGACCCAGCACAGAAGGTCTACAGGCCATGGCCCTCAGGGCCCCCAACATACCAGCAGGCCAGCACCGACAAATCCAGGGACGTCACCCAGCCAGAAGACGGACTACAATTACTCCCTGGGAGCCTGCTGCTCTCCTGGCTCACTATGTATGATCATATAGAAATTGAAGACTTTGAGACAATGGCTACCTTCATAGGTCTTACGAGCTGTTGCCTCCCCTGTCTAACCTTCGGTAAAACCCAAGCACGACTTCGCGACCCGTCTTTGAATAGCTTCAGCTACTTGAATTTTGATGTGAGAACTCTATTACTGTGACGTATGTACAACATAGATCCCTAACGGCCATCACAGTGCACCCTCTTTACCTTCCTCGGCATGATTGGCGGCCACTGGATCATCCAGACAATCCGACGGGGCGAGATGCGAGACCGGTACGGGATCAGCGGGAGCTGCTGCGGCGACTGCTGCACGACGTTCTGGTGTGGCTGCTGTGCGATTATACAGGACGAGAAAGAGGTCGAGCTGAGAAGTAGGCCGGAGTTGGTGGGGTATCAGCCTACGCCACAGATGGGATATCAGTGATGGAGGGGTGGCTGGCGTTATGATGCTGGTCTTGTATTCTCATTTGAGGTTGTCCTGTATGGTGCTTCATTCACTCTCTTGTTTCTTTTGTTCGTTGTATTGTTAGCTGAGAATTGAAACTGGGCCCTAGACTGGTTTCCTATAATAGGACTTATATATTATACTTATATCTATTTTCACCACAAAGCTACGGTGGAAATTGAGCCAAATCCCCTCTCCAAGCAGCAAACTGTCTATGATAAGCATCAAGACCGTGCAGTATCCTGTGCATGATATGCTCTGGCCACCCACGGATAAACCAAGCCGCGTCAACATCCTTCAACAGTACAACAAAGAAGGAAAAGAAAGTCAGCGCGAGCTGTTTCTGCTGCTGCATATCCGAAAGGAATATGTCAGGCAGTGTGTACAGCCAGCCGAATATATGCGGGAATAGACCTATCCGTTCCAGCGGTGAGTCTGGCGGTGGATGAACAAGCGTGTATGTCTGTTGAAGTCTGTCAAGGACGGCGGTATATTCCAGATGGGCGCGCTGGTCAGTAGGGTATGTACTGTCCAAAAGAAAGCGCAAGTTGTTCAGATAGTCCTGTTCAGTAGAAGTCGACAATTCGGCCGCCGCGGTTGGATGATGTCCATTCTGCCCACGTTCCGAGCTAGGATATTGCACATCACTCTGTATATGAGACGTCGAAACATTCACAGCCAGGTCATTACTGCACAGTTCCAGGATCGACCGAACGCCCATAAATAGCGCAAGACAACCTGGGGCTCCATCGTCCCGAAACCCGAGGTACTCGCCCGGCTGGGGCCCCCTCGCCAGAGAGCAGATGAATATAAACACAGCGGATGTGTAGAGGACCTGTCCATTACAACCAGTAATATGCGGCACAGCGGATGCAGCCTCCCGGACCGCAACGTCGTAGTGAGCCTCTGCCTCGACGGCGTAGTCAATATGATCACCGGTGACCTGCTGCAGATGCGAGAGTGCAGTAGGGTCTTGTGCTAGGTGAAACCCCGACATAGCAAGCAAGAGCCGGAGCAAGAAGTGATGTTGGAAGCCCCATCGGGTCATCTGGGTCTGCCACTGCGGTTGCTCGGCCCCGAGCTCGGGGCAGCTCATGAAATGGTGGAATAATGCGAGGTCCGTTGCCGTAAACTGGAATGGTTTGTTTGCAAGAGTAGTTGTCTCAGGCGATTGAGTGCTAGTACACGTAGGTCCTGTAACATCGCCACGCGTTTTGTGTGCCCGCTTTGGAGCAGTAAAGTTTGATTGAGAGGATGATATGAAAGTCAAACTATCTCGCGCGTCCGGTGCACCTGTGTCTTTTTCTACATCTGGCGTCGAATTCGAGCTACCTCGCTGTGTATGAGTGTAATCGCAGCTGATACAATGTCGGGTACAGTTGACGCATGAGGGTTTCCCCTCGTCACACTTTGCTCCTTAGTCTCTGATTGAATGGCAGTCGCTGCAGACGTACCTTTATTTTCCGTTTCTTGCAGTTTACGCATCCCAAGCGAGATTTCTTGTGCGTCTTGCGCGCTGTTCTCTTCGTGTAGTCGCTGACGGTCGGATTCATAGTGCTTGACAGTTGTATGCGCATTAAAGAACAAGAATGGAAGGACAGAATACGAGTCTGGTTCTGCAGTCTGATTGGCTGGAACTCCAAAGGCTGTATGGGTCACGTGAACTGGATGGTGGGTTATTTATAGATGTTAATGTAATCACTTCGGTGTAGTACGGAGACAGGATATAGAATTAGTTCGGGAGGTAAGATAGTCGATGATCTCAGCTTGATCTCGGGGGTGTTTCTGAAGTCTGGAAGGAGTTGATGGAAGAGAGAGATGAAGGTATAAACCAGGTCCCCGGTGTACAATGCTAATATTAATCTTTATTTGATGAGGCTAGTAGATTTACCTTGACAATGTACTTGTTTTATACTTCTGTTATAATTCGTATTGACCACTTATAACCCGACAATCTGTCGAAATACTAAATATTCACCGGCCCTGCATTCCCTCCAGCAACATCGCAATCCGTTCATCAACCGCAGCCAAATTCCTCCTCAGCACCGCTGCCTCTCGAAACGCAGCCTGCAGTTCAGTTGTATTGTCCAACTTCCGCGTCTTCGTATCTGACACCGACGGCCCTATCGCAGTCGAATACGTCGGCGCTCGATCCATCTCTCCCAGCTGAACATGAACCGGCTGCGTCGCCGAAACAGCCCCCCGCAGTGCCTTTTCCAAATGCGGCCTGATCTCGTAGTCATTGACCTGACTGGACGCGACCATAGTGGATAGGGCATATAGCGAGTGGCAGGCGGAGAGGCAGACAACAAAGACGATAAACACGGCTAAACTCCCTGCTTTAGAAGAATCGCCAAGGTCATATCGCCAAACAAGGCCCTGATAGATCCCAAGACCAACGAGGAATGCATAAACAGCAACGGAGAGCAACGCCACAGGTGCCGATATGGTCAGCACCGCAGCAACAGATGGTAGCTGCACATCATACGTAGACCAGTCCTCGTCCGAATCCCTTGACGGTCCGCGCTTCGGCCCCCGTATCCATTTCTTGATGTCGTCTGCGTGGAGACACCGGCCAAGCATCTTATGCTGTTTTGTCGCGTAGTAGACGGATATAATCGACGAGACAAGACTGACAGTGAAGCAGGCCTGCGACGTCCAATGGACTTTCTCTACATTATCCAACTGCAGCGCCGTGATGGCGATTTGCGCCAAGATAGTCCCCTGTCGATCAGTATACACAGGTTTAATAGAATAGGGCTGCACATACAGCTATCGAAACCATATTACTCTCCTGCTGATTCGCCGTCCGGAATAAACTCGCGGTTTCAGGGTCGTCGGACGTCAGGACCTGCAGCTGCGTCTTCCAGACCATGCTGCTGCCGAATACTTGCAGCATGACGCCCCCGGCTGGTCCATAGTATCGTCGGTAGAGACCAAGTAGCCGGGCGGAGTCGTAGAAGTTGCGCAGGGCCGAAATGCCAAAGCCGGTGAGGGTGAAGACGCTCATCCTGGTCTCAGGGGGTCTGTCGCGGGATGTCAAGATGCAAACTGCTGCAGAATCGTCGTCGCAGGATTGTGGGTCCACTAAATACTTTAGAGCGATGCTTGTCTTCTATCAGGATAAGGATGGAAGTTTCATGTCTATCGTAATTTAAGCACTGTCCTAGCCAGTACGGTGTATGCCAGCCATCAATAAATACACCTAACAATCCTCCAAGAACGATACCAGCGCCCTCATCCCAGATCCCCCATAATACCAAAGAAACGCATCAAGCCCCGGCTGGACATGCGCCTCCCCGGGCGCAATCGCAAGCACAAAGTCCGGCTCCTTGAGACGCTGAAGCGCAGCCTCACCATCAACCACCACGCTCTCACACCCCATACAGTCCCTGCCAAAGGCAACACACGAATTAAGCAGAACCTCTTCTCCCCCACCTAAGACAATCGCCTTCTTGCATATCGCACCGGGGTTGAACACCCTCTTCCACATCGCGACCGTGTCCGCGTCCTGCGGCTGCCACAGGTTACTCCAGACCTCGCTCTCACTCGGCTTGAAGAAATCACGCATCCACGCAACACGCTGCGCGGGGACATAGTCATGCGGCGTTTCCGGGAGAGCACCAGTCTGCTCATTCGTCATAGCAACCCAGGGCGAAACGAGCATCGCAGCCTTGAACCTCGCACCATTCAAATCAAGCGGTGGCGCATACGGGGATGGCTGGGCGATATGAGCCAGTAGACTCAGCGTCAGATGCCCTCCTGCACTATCACCGCCGATAACGAGATCCTCTGGCTTAATTGACTCCTTTTCGAATAGGTATCGCATCCCCGCGACGGCCTGGACGAGCTGGCTCGGGTATGCATGCTCAGGGGCGAGCGAGTACTCCAGAAACACGACCTGGGCTGATTTGGCTGCTTCCGCGCAGTGCAGAACAAACGATACATGTCCCTGCTCAACAATCGGGTCGTGGTACCCGCCGCCGTGGATGTAGAAGAGCGTTGGCCCGTCTTTGTGTGCTATACGGGGCGTGACGAAATGGAGCACCGGGCTAGGGATATCGGCCCCTGGGCCGGTGTCAAGAGTAGCACCGGCACCACCACCTTCCAAGGGAATAGCGATGGCTTTGTGTGGTAGTCTATACCAGCTGCAGTATTTCTGGATCCTGGGTCCTGATAGGATACTCCGTGGGAGGGCCTGTTGCTTTAGTGAGAATACGAGTGCGTGGGTCCTTAGGTAGGCGAGGGCCAGCTTCTGGCGCAACCCCAGCCTGGAAGCTTCACGGGCCGAGAGGTATAGTGAAGTCAGATTCGCCACGAATTGGATAACTGGTTTTTGTCAGTTTTCTGTTGTTGGAGTGCTCAGGGGTGCAGCGTACCGAGTAAAGGCACCCGCCAGAGCAGAGACAGCCATTCCGAGAGATCTAGCGGTTCACCGACCACTGCAGTAGTTGGGAGGGCTACCATTGTGTCTGGAGTCAGTGTGGATTTTGAACAGTTCAATTGAAGGGCGACGGGCGGTTTTACGAGGAGGCCCTAAACAGTCCACATGAACCTCGGTTGAGACGACTCCAAGCGACGATCTACAACTTTTTGTAGGTTTGGTCGATTCAACAATTTCGATCCAGGCTCGACAACGAATTATTTTACACAAATGAAAGTTTGGGGCCCCGCATATCTTATAGATTGGTACGTGCGTTGATTCCATCCAACAAGACATGTGCCCAGGCCATCATCCACCCCCAATAACCATCCAACGCACCGAACCAGCTTCAAATGCTTAATTATCTCTTGGTTGTAGTTGACTGCTCCGGTGGGCAAACTCGATCTCCTCCACATCGAGTGCAGCATCTGTACATCTATTAGCTGTCTTCGTCGATTCATCAAATAAAGCTCGACCGAAACATACTTGTTGTAGTTGACTTCAACAACAATGTTGCATGAGAAGCACCACCATCTGGAAAACCAATCCATCGTGACGAGTGATTGCGAGTCTGTTAAGGAATGAAGTATTGAGTAGCACGAAGTTGAATATGAACGTATACTAGCACGGCAAATGGTCAGGTCAATGATCCAAATATTTATCGGGGGATCGGGACATTATATGTTGGATCGAGCCGACTTCAGCCTCGTCCTCGGGCCTCACTTCCAAGGCCCAGCTGTCTTTTATATGCATGCCTCGGACAGGCGTAGTGCTGCTATTCGTTAGGGTGTCGCAGCCTCGTCGGCTTGTATTGCAGCCTCGCTGTCAGCACCAATGAGGTTACTAATGTCGTATTCTGGGCATGGGCAAGACGCAGCCTCGTCTTGCTGAAACGCGTCTTTGGGCCATTGGACGCTCGAGATACGGTGTTGGCCCTATCTCCAGGCCTAGAGCACTTCACCCCTTCCCAGAACTTGCGCCCGATTGAGGCAACTTTCTATACTAAACGTTACACAAGGACAGTCCAGATACCTCATATAGAATTCATTTCAATGCAGATGCAATCGTTATATGTCTATCATAAACATCAATCGGCTAGTCTACTCAAAGATAGACTGCTTATAAGCCTTAGGATCAATATAAGGCGTCCCTCCGCGCTTCGTGAATCCCCACCGGATCTGACTGGCCATGGAGATCTCAGTATCAACATGCTGCGCGAATGTCCAAGCAAGACCAGGGTCCTTCTGGAATCCACGCCCAACAAGCGCAACATCCAGTCCATCCTGTTCAAGCAGCTGGTTCGCCTGTCTGCCATTCGTGATAGCACCAACAGTAGCCACAAGAAGCTTATCTCCAACAGCCTTCTTAATCTCAATAGCGAAAGGAGCCTGGAACGCCGGCCCAGACGTCACCTTCTGCTCAGCATGCACACCACCAGAGGAAACATCAACAAGATCGACAGCGCCCTGCTCCGCAAGCGCCTGCGCAAACTTCACCGAGTCCGCCAGCTTCCAGCTCTGCTCGGGCAGATTCTCCTCAAGCCAATCCGTCGCCGACACACGCAGGAAAACAGGGACATCAGGCCCGACAGCATCGCGCGTCGCCTGCGCAATCTCCAGCGACAGCCGAATCCTGTTCTCAAAGGACCCGCCATACTGGTCATCACGGGTATTCGCACTCGGCGACAAGAACGAACTCAACAGATACCCATGCGCATTATGGATCTCGATAAAGTCCGCCCCGGCCTTAACAGCCCTCTTCACGGCATCCACCCAACTCTTCTTAAACCCCTCAATGTCCTCCTTACTCATAGCCTTGGGAACAGGGAAACTCTCATGGAAGGGCACATCACTAGGCCCCACAACACCATTAGGCCACCCCCCAACCTTCTCCGTGGCAATCACACCCTGGCTCATCATCCAGGGCGCAATCGTCGACGCCTTCCGACCAGCATGCGCAATCTGCACCCCGATCTTCTGGTTCTGAGAGTGCACAAAGTCAATCACCCGCTTCATCGGCGCAATCTGGCTATCCTTCCACAGACCCACGTCCTGCGGCGTAATCCGCCCTTCCGGGGTAACGGCCGTGGCTTCAACCATCATAAGTCCGGGGCCGCGCTGGGCAATTCCGCCCAAGTGCGCAATGTGGTAGTCCGTCATATGCCCATCTTCGGCGGAGTATTGGCACAGGGGGGCGAGCTAGTCGACTAGTTAGTCTCTGCCAGTTATTCAGGAGGTACGTATCCGCGTATCCATACTGATAAGGCAGGGACATACACCGAGTCTATTCTGAAACGTCACCCCACGCACCGTCAGCGGCGTATACAGCTTCGGAATAGCATTCCCGCTGGTCTGCGGGTTCGCGGCCGTTCCTGCGGCGGGGGACTGCGCGGGTGTGAAGTACGGGATGCCCTCAGCGGGGGCGATATCGACGTCTGGGACGGCCATTGCAATTGCACTTTATTTCCGATGATATCTGTGAATATGTTGGTCCAAATACATCCCGGGTAGCCAGGAACAATGCACGCTTAAATACCCAGAATCAGGTACAGGTACATGAGTAGAAGCGCCTCGAAGATCCACTTGCTTTGAAATCCCGGTGGAGCGGTGGGAGGTGAACGGTGTATACACTGATGACTAATGACGAGGCGCGGCATGTTGTTCGGCTTTGATATTGGCACAGCAAGAAGGTTCTTCAAACAGACGAAGGAAATAATGGAATTGTACTTGTATACAGATGTTGATAGTACTGCAGTCGTGCTTACTGTCCGAGTTATGCGGCATAGTGGGAGTAATGCACTGTATAAAGAAGAATCTGACTGTGGCAGTCGGCTCAATGTTGGCCGAATGTCTCCGAGGCTAGCCTGTTTGGGACATCCCCTGCCTTACAAATGAGGCAGGAATCTAATAACAGCCATCAGGCAATGTTCAGTATCACCCCGCTACATGAGTCTTGAATCCCGAAGGAGTGGTCGGGATTTGGTTTGGTTCTTTTGTTGACATGGTATTAACATGAACATGGTAGAATTATATTTGGTGGTTACCGAATAAACCGAATACCGCCGGGCAAAATATATATTGGCGTCGAGGTCGAACATCATTTACCCTTAAGCAAACTGAGCATATGAGAAATGTGAAATGATGTAAAGATAATCTATTCATCTCTAATCTAACATCTATGCAAAACAATAAATAAAACACCTCCGAAATTAAATCAGTACACTACAGCTTGCTCTTCGGCGTTGCATTCTTCAAGACATTCTCATTCCAGGGATACGGATCAAACACCAGGTCGTTGACCGGGTTCTCCTGGCTCGCCCTCCGGAACAGATCTGGGTAGACGTTGCCATCGGATCGGCCGAGACTGCTGTCGAGTTGCCAGTCCGGAATCTGCCAAGCATCGACTAACCGCACGGCGTGGGGGCGGATCTGATCGAGGAGCTTCATCACCTCGTTTGTCTGGGTGAGACCGATCTGGCGGACCGTGACGGCGGCGGAGGAGAAGAATTCAGATGATTCACGTTCCAGGGTGTGGAGGGAGTACAGGCGGAAGAGGCTGCGCATGAGGCCGGCAGTCTCGGGGTCAAGAGAGGAAGTGAGTTCGGGAGAGGTGACCGCGTCGTAGAAGTTCTTGACGACAAGGTACTGAGAGAGGGCAGTGGAGAGACGCCAGAAGTTAACGAGGAGGCTGTTCCACGAGCGCTTCTCGACGTCGCGCTGCTTGAGGGTCTCGAAAGTGAGGTGGGCCGTGCGCCAGGCGAACGCGGCGACGATGTCGCTGTCGTTGCCGAGGATGTCAAAGGAGGCACCCTTGTCGCGGCGGGCGAGGTAGGCTTGGAGAATGCGAGAGGTGTCGTTTCCGGTGCCTTTGCCGGCGAGTACGGCACGGGCGGATTTAAGGAGCTGAATTGTCAGTAACGCGTCTCAAAAACAAGGCATTGTGAGCTTACATATCGTGCAACTTGTTGGGTCAACATGTAGTTGTCACCTTCCCAGGTCAGTGTGGGGAGGTAATCCGCGTACCACGGGCCAATGCCGCTGTAGTTACTGTATCCGTGACCACCACAAGCACGGCGGCACACTTCAAGACCCTCTCCGGCAGAGGTACTGGCCAATGCCTTCAGACCGCATGAAGTGGCGTGAAGGTCGGCGAGAAGGTCGGAGCCAGCCCGGAGCTCTTCCGGACCAGCACCGCGCTTCTCCTGGTCTGCCTGGGAGGCAGCGTTCATTCTCTTCTGGTTCTCCTGGTAGAGGCGCATCATGCCGCGGCCAGTGAAGTGCAGAGCGTACATGGTCGCGAGCAATGGGAGCAGACGGACCTGAACCATCTTGTAGTTGAGGACCTGGTTCTCCTCCGCGCCGGCCTTTGCATCCCGGTCCTGGAACTGTCTTCGCACGGCACAGTAGCGGATGGCAATGGTCACACCACGAGCCAAAACACCACCGGCCTGCAGGACAATGTTCGAGCGCACCCATGTCATGGTTCCGTACATCAGCGTCGGCGAAGCGGGTCGCAAGTACTTATTCGTGGCCTTGTCAACCTGGGCAAACCGGGCCAGCATGTTGATGTGGGGGATCTTCAGCTTGTTGAAGAGGAGGAATCCGTTGTCCATGGTGCTGCACTAATTAGCCTCGCTTTCAAAAATTTCTTTCCGGGGAACTCACTTGTAACCAAACTTTGGCCCAATATCTCCGACGTAGACATTCTCCAGGGGCTGGTGTGTTTCCAAGTCACGAATCTGGACAACAAACGGGTGAGGCCCGTAGTTCTTGCCAGCAATGAACAACTGCGCCATCACCACGGCGTGGTTCGCCGTCCGCCCCAGCGATCCGATCCACCACTTCGACGCCGTCAAGCTCGGAGAGTTGATGACGAAGGTCTGGTCTGAGGGGTCCCAGGTAGCGGTTGTTTCCAGCCCACGCACGTTCGATCCGTGACCCAATTCTGTTTGTGCGTAGCATCCGATAATCTCGTAGTTCGCGGCTCGCTCGTAGAAAAGTTTGCGTTGCTCCGGGGTACTTTGTTCGCGTAGGGTGACCTATGACGCCCCCACGTTAGCTAGCGATCGAACACAAGATAACACGAAAAGACATACCAAGAACATAGAAGCATGAAGACCGTAGGGAGTCGGCTCAGCAACGAGGTCGTTCGCAACATAGTATTCAGCCTCCGTCCAGTTATGCAGCTTGCTCAGCTGCTGCAGACGCTTTCCGCGGGCAAGGGCGAGCTGGATCCTCTCGGTCCGCCCGAGAACGTGGTTGCGGGACTTGTCGAATACCTTGTCCGACTTGAGCACAGAGAGAATCTCATCTTGCTTCTGCAGCGCCTGCTTTGTGTGCAGCAGCTCGCCGAGCTTCTGGACGTCGACTTTTGACTGAGCGCGCTCCTGGGCGAGCAGCTGTGTTCCCTGCGGTTCGGCGGGCTTGAGAGCCTGGACCCAGGCTGGGGGAGGACTCGGCATTGTGACGGGCGGTGAGGCAGGGAAGAGAGAAATGGAGCTGAAGGTGAGCAACGAGGAGGGACCGAGGGGGAAGAAGTAATAAATACACGGATTGCCCCAGAAAGTGCTGACTCCACGGGGAGAAGGCGAGATGGCGGCTGGACCGGCGAGTCCGTTGGTGTCAGTAATCAGGCTGGCCCGAGGGTAATCCCAATCGGGCAATTGCCGAGGCAGACCGGTGGCGGCCTGGCTGCCTTAACCCCATCTCCCTGTTCTGCTCACTCGTCTCGAAGTTCTCCGTAACTTCTTTCGCTAATTTCGACTCAAGTGGGCTGCCGGAGCGCAAAATCGGCTTGCCAGCACGTCGGAAATGCCTGGGCCGAGTGGCCTTCATTTCCCGACGCACGATGGATTTAGTGTCAGCCGAAGACGGCAGTTGATGCGCGACTGCCCTGTTATCTTAACGATCAGTGCTGATCAGGCTGCCTTCAGGCTGCTGGTGTTTGCATGTGGTCAGCCGTGCTGTCCGATGCGGTGAAGTCGGGTTCTCTTCTCGGAGCAGCTGTCTCTTGGGAGATTGCTCCGAGCCACCGCGCACAATCACATGCGATCAGATAACAAACTACGCCCTGGGAGCTCCTGTTTTTTTATCCTCCGAATCGAACCCCTTTCACGTCGCTCTTCGGTTCCCCGAGGCAGCTTGACCTTGAGTTTTCGGAATAACGCGGGACCCCTGATCCCTTCAGAGCCTCACTGCATTTAAAGAAATGACCGTGATTGTCCGATAGCATATTTCCTTGTTTGAAATTGCGGCATTCAGCTGACCTGGTCGACAATCTCCTCCCTCGCTTGTTCGAGGTGAACTTCCACATGCTTCAACGACATGTGGGTTGATATCCACATCGACAATATCGAGCCCACAGGACGTCGTAAGGCCTATTCCCAGATGTCTTATTAGTCGGCTTGTGATCCACCAACATGGTTAATTTTGCTACTCAGCGCATGCTCAGGTTTAATAGCTCGGTAACTTCCATCGTCCCAAGTCAAGACGAGCGTGTTTAGTTTCTTCATGGCATGCGAGTTTTTATTTTCTCCGGACATCATTGAAACATTGAATAAAGTACATGCTTAAGCTCAGCTTATTGACAGATACACTAGTGCAACATAGCCCACGCTCAAATCCGGCCTGAGTTCTACTCGCAAGCTGGGAGCTCCTCGAAAACGCATGCTTCGGTAGGATCAGTCGAGGTCTCTTCAGGCTCACCACCATCGGCGTCCGCCTCGTACGTGGTGCAAATCGCACCGACGTCCGTCGCGCAGTTGCTGCTGTCGATGGTCACGACGTCACCGAAGTTGCCATTGGCACCCGCAATGGTCGACCCCTCCACGGCAATAACGTTACTGATCGTTGCAGTCCGCTGGACATCACCACAGGTTCCGCAAGAGCGGTACAGCTTGCCAAAGTCGTAGACCGTGAAGCCGTCAATGATGACCTCACCCTCGGAGTTGTGCTGCACCACATCAGCATTCCAGCGTACGGAAAAGAAAAGTAAGTAGTAGACATACCTGAATCACCTTATCCTCGGCACCCTGCGCACCACCGCCGATAACGTTATACGGCCCACTCCCTTCCTTCAAGGACAGGGCATCCTCGCAAACCTTCTCCCACCAGACATTCTCAATCGTGCAGGCACCGAGACAGTAAACTCCCTCGATCTGGTCGGCCCCGATAATAGCATTGCGAAGGGTTCCGCCCTCTTGGACAATGAAGACGGTGTCAGACTCCCCGCCTTCGTCCTGACCAGTGCATTCGACGCCACGGCCGAAGGTCTGGAGCTCTCCGTCGTAGGTCTCGCCCGCGGCGATCTCGTACGGCTCGTCAAAGGTAACGCTACCGGTTGAGCCAGGGATGGGGAAAGTAAACCGCTTTGCCAGCTTGGGGGCAGCGAGGGCGGTTGTCGCAAGAAGAGGAAGAACGAGTAGCTTTGAGAAGACAGGCATCGCGATGATATAGTATAAACCGTAAGTAGTTAGGTTATTCAAGTACTGCTGAAGGATCGATCCCACAGCCGGTGGATATGGGGGTTTTATACCCCCTTCAGACCCTGCCCAGATACGAGCAATCTCAAGTATACTTCGTATAGCCACCACCACTTGGCGTTTCACCTCATCGACGATCCCAAACAATATCCCATCCATCCATAGCCCCGGTTACACCGGCGGCCTCGCTAATGAATGGAAGAAAACACCCGCCCCCTCCCCTGCCAAGTTCAAACCGCCACAGGGACCGCCGATCTGTCTCTCCAGCCGAAGAGCCTAAACGTGGCGGCCGCTTGGCACTCTATCTCCTCCGCGCCGAGACGACGATCTCTTGTCTGGGATGGGTGCTATTCGCGGAATTTCTTCCTTCCCCCGCTGTCATTTCTTCACGGCGTTTGAGGGGTTCTTGGGAGGGTAGAGATGTTTTCCGGCGGGGTCAGGAGCCCTGGAGAATCACAGCACCCTGGACAAGGGGTTGGTCCCTGCTGTTTGATATTTGGTGTCTTGCATTTCTGGGGTGGACAGTGCGGCGAGTCAGAGACCATGATGTTTATCGATGGAGGGTGTTAAGGGTAGCGATCAAGAAGTCGGACTTGAACCTCCCAGCTGCGGATGGCCGGACTTTTAACTTCCAGGTGATGCTTATGGCCACCAATATGGCCACCAGTAATACGCAAGATGCTCGACACTATATCCGAATACAAACATGGAAAATGCGGGGACCAATAAGCCGCATCTGGGCCCAGTATCGCTTGGGAATACTCTGGGAGGAGGGTTGGTTCCCGATTGAACCCTTACTCGGTCCTCAAGTGTAACCTGAACGATGTATCAATGTATCGACACCTTGACCTTGGACCGATTCGGAGGATTGCTCTGCTAATGAATGGCTCGGCTGGATTAATGAAATCTGGACCTGGTGATCGGTGATCTCAGCCACTAGGCCACGCATTCATGAGCTACACGGTAGTCAGCCTAGATATAAGATAGAATTATTGAATATCTCCGAGTACGTTGAACAATACGAATGATCCAGTCAGTATTCATAATAATTCTCTTCAGTTATATACCGAACATGACGTCCATTACAGTGATATATATTGGATATCCCGACTACAGGCTATACAATCTAGGGTCTTAAAGCCGACTCAGTGCAGCAACCAGAACCTGTGCGAGACTTAGTCTCGCTAATATCGCATCAACTTGGAAACCGACAAATGCGAGCTATAATGTTCTTACTGTCTCAAATTCCTCATCAAACAGGCCCATGGAGAGCTCCACTCCATCATAACCCTGTACTGCAAAAAAACCTGTTAACTCATTCAGTTTCTTACATGGCGAGACTGAAGACAAAGCCTTATTTTGTGAGTGTCTATGCAGTATGTATCATCCTGACAGAACACCACAAATTGATGGCGAGTCTGGTGCAGTTGACTTCGTCCTAACCAGCCGACGCGCATCCCCACAATGTGCAACTCGCCCAACCGTACTGCGTCTCCACGCAGCCAGTTTAGGCGATTCGGTACGGTGTTCAGTGGTGATACGGGATACGTATCTCAATTCTCAGCCTCTTCCGCTGTCACCGCAGGATCGCAATTGGTGGGATGCGCAGGCCAAGCTGTAAGCAAGGCTGAGCAGCTCTGATACCCTGTCCAGAGTTCTTGGTTCTTCCAGCCTTGCGCCGTGAGCGAATCATCCAGGCACGACAGCTAGCGGCTGACCATTGAAGCAGAGTATATTGTGCATGGCGTTTGGAGCTGGACTGCTTTCGATCAGAAGTTCAAGAAGATGGTTTGAGTGGATGGCTTCAAGACGACCAAAGGCTGAATAGCTAGAGGCAGCAGCTCACTGTTGCCCACTACACGCATTTACGAATGATGTGTTCCATTGTGAAGTTATCCTGGTAAAGTCCGTAACGAGAGCACGATAGCCCAGGACAACCTACGACATATAAACCCCGAGTTACCCTGCCTTTTGGTCAAAACCATAACGCACATCTCTCCTCATTGAATATCCGTCGCACTACCACATACAAAATGGACGACCCCTTCATGCCCGGCGGGAGCAGAAAGAAATTCACCCCAGATGGCACCAGCAAGCCCTACCACGGCCACTCCGTAATCTGCCACGTCCCCGTCGACTCGCCCCTCCGCCCAACCCTCAACCGCATCAGAGCAGCCCTAGCCGCACACCCTCTCGCCGAATCCATTCTACCAGGGGAATGCATTCTCCCCGAAACCAGCTTCCACATGACAGTCTTCATCTGCGTGCGGCACCGCGAGCGCGCAGAAAACGTCATGCCGCGGCTCGGGGATCACGCCCAGGTCGCAGTGAAGCAGATAGGACTTGACGGCGACTACAACGAGTGGCTGGAGTATACAATCTCGCGAGTTGAAGCGTTGAGCCAGGATCTTCCTGCTGCAGCGCAACCGCCGTATGTCCTTGACGTCGCGCCTGAGATCCCACCGATCGGGGCTACCATCGGTCTGAGACTGCATCCTAGGGATAATGCCTTGTGGAATGTCCGTGAAGCGTTATCGGCGGCGACGGGGATTAGGCACGACAATCATGATTCCTATAAGTTCCATGTTACTTTGGCGTATACGGTGCGCCAGGTGACGCCGGAGGAGGAGGCGGAGCTGAGGGCTGTTGTTGAGAGGGAGCTTGTGGATGCGCCGAGTACTGTGGTGTTTCCCAGGGTAGCCCTCTGCTCGTTTGAGAATATGCAGAATTTTGAGGTTAAGGCTGTTTTGGGGGATGCCAGTGAGTATGTCAACTAAGAGGTCTTTTTTCCAGAATACTGCGTCGTGTTCTACTTTGACAGCCTTCAACAATAGTGAATGTATATTCGTGAATATATGTTAAAGTAATCGAAACAACGGATAGAATAGCTAGAAGGCTCAAGAAATCTAATGCTTGCTCCAAATGGCAGCATAGCGGTCACCAGCAGGAGTGTCATACCCATTCAGCACATCAATCACGTACCCATCAGCCTTGAACTTATCAAAGTTCTTCTGGAAACCAGGGGAGTCCATCCCACTGCGCGCCTCCCAAGCCCCAGACGTTGAGTTATCCCAGACGCCAGCATAGTAAACCGTATCCTTAACCGCATACCCAGCGACATCCGTAAGCCGATATCCGTCCTTCAGATAATCATCGAACCTCTTCTGCAGCCCATCCGCACTCATATCAACCCAAGACGCCCACTTAACATCCTCCTCCCCAGTCTTCTCCCAAATCGCAGCATAGCGCGCCTCCCCCTTAACCTCATACCCACTGGCATGCACAAGCCGATACCCCTCCTTATCGACATACTGCTCAAAGTACTTCTTCAGCCCCTCCTCATCCATCCCATGCCTCGACACCCAAGGCCCAGAGGGCGTCTTATCCCAGACAGCAGCATAATACGTCTCCCCAGCCACATTATACCCATTAACCTGCCGCAGCCGATACCCCTGCCCCACATACTTGTCGAACTTCTGCTGGTACGCGGCCGAAGACATGCGCGTGTGCGACCACCACGCAACCCCGGCTTCATTCTTCTCGAAGATGGCGGCGTAGTTGGGCTCGCCGTCGCGCTCGTATCCGCTGACGCTGTTGACCTTGAAGCCCTGGCTGAGGTAGCTGTCGAAGGTGGATTGGTAGTCGGCGGTGTTCATGCGGTAGTGGGCGTGCCATTCGGGCACTTTGGCGAACGCCGCTGAGGCGAGGGCCGTGGCTAGGAGGAGGAATTTCATTGTGATAGTAAGGTAGTATGATTGAAGTAGTCGTGAGGGTATAACTATTAGGTTAACAATGTAGAGGCTGGACGGTGTTTATATACCCCTGCTGTGTGAGGAGGAGGATATTATTTACTCGCGCTAGTCCGCTAGAGAGCCTCAGCCCAGCTTCAGCTAAGAATAACATGTTCCTGTTCCTGGTCCTGTTGGTTGGATGGCTGATGCAATTTCGCTACCTTTTAACCTGATTAGGGATAAATCCTCGAGACCATGATCCTCTGCGTTCGTGACAACCTAAAATAAGCTAAAAAAAGCCTGAATACGAGGGGCTGCAGGTTGGTAATCTCCCACTCGTAAAAGTGGACTATTCTTGTAAGGCGGAATACGAGGTCAGGCCAGGGCACCACCGTTAGCGAGGAACAAAACCTGTAAAGAAATGATATTTCCTCCTGCTGGGACATCCTTTCGAGAAAGTGATAGAATAGATATCTGTAGAGCGGAAGAATTCCGACACCTCCAACAGGAGCCCGGGGAGTTAGGAGCTCTCGGTAAAGCAGAATATTCGGTTGTTCCAAAGCACAGATGTCTGTTGCGGTAGATAAAACGTTGGAGATGAATGCAATTAATTATACGCAGTTTGAATATTGATCCTCCGAAAGACATCTAATATCTGCTGTCAAAATGCAGCACTGCCGCGCCGTAATATCGTACGAGCCCATGCCCAGCGAACCCTGGAACGCAAAACTCCAGAATGTATCCATCCGGGATATCGATCCGGACGAATGTCTAGTAGAGGTGGTGGCTAGTGGAATCTGCCATACCGATCTGGGTATCGCAGCACGGCCAGGCTCTATTTTCCCCGAGTTTTAGGGCACGAAGGTATATGTGAATACTCTTCCCTGTCCCAATGAGACTGACCAGTAAAAGGAGCTGGGTATATACGAAAAATAGGGTCCGAAGTGCCTACAGCAACAATGAACCTGAAGGAAGGAGAGCCAGTCCATCGCATTCTGCGGCTCCTGTCCGAGCTGCAGCTCCGGACACCCTTCGTATTGCTACGATGCATACAAGCTGAACTTCGCCCATCCTGGCTGTGATGCCTACGCGCAGGATACGTCAACGCCCGTGGTTGGCGGGTTTTTCGGACAATCGAGCCTCGGCAATCTCGCCGTCGTGAAGGCCAGCTGCATCGTCAACCTATCCGGAATCGTCAAATCACGAGAGGAACTCCAACTATTTGCTCCACTGGGATGCGGGTTATAGACTGAGGCTGGGGGTGTGTCGAAGCTGGGAAAGGCGCAGTCTGAGGATGAGTTGCCATTATTGGACTTGGTGGAGTTAGTCTTGCGGGCGTCATGGTGAGTGGTCAATTGCCATATTACTCTTATGGTATAGGAAATAAGTGAGGACAGGCCGCAAAAATCATCGGCTGCAGACGGATCATTGCGGTCGACCGTATCCCGGAGCGGCTGGTGCTGGCGACAGAGCTGGGTGCTACTCATACAATTCATACTGGAGAACTAACAACGAGTCTTGCAAATGCTGTGAGATTGGCAACAGATGGAATCGGGTCCAGCCTTACTATCGAAACCACCGGGGCACTTCCGATCATCCAGGAAGCGTTGGACATGACCAGCATCCTCGGCAGAGTGGTCCCAGTAGGCATGTCAAAAGAGCCTCTTCAGACAGATATGACAAAATTTAAACTGGTGAGCCATTATTCCACTAATAGTATTGGCATCTAACTGTATATTATAGGCCGGAAAGTCTCTTCTTGGGAGCATGCAGGGGGGTGTTATTCCGTCCAAGGTCAGTTTGCTTCTGATTGCCTTATATATTATGCGCTGACATGTTTAAAGTATATCACACAAATGATCGAGTGGTATCGAGAGGGAGAGTTCCCTATTGAAGAGCTGATCCGCTTCTACAAGGTGAGAATGCCACTGGGAATTAAGGCACAGCTGACACTGTACAGCCAGAGGACCACGTGGAGGTACAGGATATGAAAGCAGGGCCTACCGTGAAACCTATTATACACTGGTAGACTAAGGGGTTATTTAGTCCGTTCACTGACGGTGTAAAGCGATGACCTGTGAATTCCTTTAATCCAAGTGCTTATGCCCGATGTGTTATACTCGCTGTACTGTCGTACCTTCTGCTCTATTATACCGTAGGACTGGGAGAGATAATTGTTTTAGAGGTAGCATCCCTTCTCTGCTGCTAAGATGGATAGATATTCATTCTTTAAGGACTGATCGTGGGTACAAGAGCTGATGAAATAATGAGTATCGTAAAAGGGGCTGTATATATTTCGATCTTCTACTACGCGAACCGCAGCGGATCTGTCTAGCATGCGATGCCATAGCACTTCTTGCACCAATAGGCCATATAAACTAGAATAGACATATCTCAGTCTATATCTGTCAGTATTTAGGCCATTCCCCACCTTGGGAATCATTATATTATCAAATAACGTGGCGACTTATTCATGCGCTATGCGGGACAATAGCGACATATCCATCCAGCCTCGCCATAACCACCGCACCCTTGGACGGGCCAGTCTTGGGAATTCTGGGGAAGCATACTGGCAACTGTGTGAATAACCCGCATCCTCATCATTGGTAGATAAGCTTGTGCTAGGTGCCCAGTAAACCAATTAACTTTTAATCCAATATACGGAGTATTGCCTTGGTAGCACAGTCTTCTTCTTCAGCCTCGTATATATTATAAATGACAATAATCTGAACATCTCTGTACAAATTGGTTAGTTCACTTCTAAAGTACGCATTGGTGTTTAAATTTATGATCTTTGCTTCTTCTAACCTGCCGTTGATGTCTGACGGGGCCAATGACCCCGTGCAGATGCTTTGAACGCCAGCGCATTTTTGGGAGTACTGAAAGTGATTGTCCTTCCTCGGTGGATCAAGACGGTATCGACTCCGGTCCCGTCGAAATTATATTTTGGAGCTGGATTCGGTTTGCCATTGTAGGCAAGGCCGAAAATGGAACCGGGCAGGGGATATTTACTCGGTGAGCCTGAGTTCCCGGTTCCCAGCCAATCAACTGGCGAATTATCAGATATTATCATGCAATTCCCAACCGCAAGGGATTACAAGAAAAGGATTCAATATGCAAAAGTGAAACCGATTTACCGAAATGAGCACAGGTTGGAGCCCCTTCCGCGTGTGGAGTCTGGCGCAGGAGGCTCGGTACACAAAGCAGGTCACTGTTTGCCCGTCAAAGATAAGCATTGATACTGACTGGGCCCAGAGAATGAAATACTCATCACGTCATAGGATCCACCGGCAGGCAATGAATGTTCCTTCAAAGTCCCTGATTTGCGCCCCCCCCTGGCGCAAGGCGAGCAAAGCTATCTTGTGCGATTTTGACCAGAACATGACCGACGATCCATGAGAAAGGCTTACGAGTCACATTCACAGTAGTAGTAAAAGCACTTGGCAGGTCATCTCGGAGCTGGTGCTGTGTATATTGGGACCAGAGTGCGCCTATAAATCAGTCAGACCAAGTGACCTCTTGACGTTGATCCGCTCTTCCTCTCTCCCCGGTATTCCAGATTGACAATCATGGTACCAGACGTGCCTTCATCTCTAATCGCTCCCCTGAAGACTATTTCCCTTCAGGAGCTTCGCAGAGGCTCTCCGCTGGAGAAGAGCAAGCTGCTTGCTGCCGCGAAGGATGATGGCATCTTCTACCTTGATTTCACGCATGATCATGCTGAGTTCAGGCTGGCTGACTTGATGAAGGGTATCTACGGGCTCAGCCAGTCTCTATTTGATCTAAACCTAGAAGAAAAGATGCAATATGATGTGGACAGAGTTGGCAAACTAAAACTGAACGGGTGAGCGCTATCCTCTTCAATTACTCTAACATGAATGCTCATATACCTCCAGCTACAAGCCTATCCGCCGCAACATTGGCGGCATCAAAGGCCAGCGCGATGGCTTTGAGAGCTACGCTGTAAATACACTTTCTCCCCTTTGTATGGAGAATGGCACCAGTAATCGAATGATAGATCTCCCGCAACAGCATCTTGTCCTCCGCCCAATTTCCGCACCCCGGGCCCATCAACACCCATATGCCGCTTCTCCGGGCCTTAACCTTGACCTGCATTGAGATTGCCCAGCATATCTTCAAGATCCTGTCGGCCGAGCTCGATCTCCCCCCATCCCATGGCCTCGACCACTTCCACCGCCCCGACGCCCCAGCCCCAGACATCATCCGCCTCCTCAAGTATGCCCCATCCACCGCGGGAAATTCAGAGTTTTGTGTGCCTCAAACTGCACACACCGATCTCGGTTCTCTCACTATGCTTTTTGCCGACTCCCCGGGACTCCAGATCCGACCCGACGACCGCGAGGAGTGGCTGTACGTCATGCCTAAGGAGAACCACGCCGTCATCAATCTCGGTGATGCGATGAGTCTCTGGTCTGGTCAAGTATTTCGTAGTGTCTTGCACCGTGTGGCTTCGCTGCCCCAAAGAGGCATGCAGGAACGATACAGTTGTGCATTCCTGATGCGGCCAGAAAATGCGGCACCCATGGTTGATTTGACAGGGAACAGGCTGCCCAAAGAGAGAGACGGTGTTCTAACAAGCGAGGACTGGATCAAGGCTAAGTTTGGGGCCTTACGAGGTGATACTGCACGGAATGAGAGTCGGATCCTCACAGGCAGAGACGCAGTTGTTTGACTTATTGGTTCCTTACTTGGTCAGGAAATGACCCGTTCTGGACTATTTGTTGCTACCACTCTGGTTGTGTCTTTTTTTTCTACTTTCGGCACCGAAATGCAAAAAGTTAGGGATAAATACAGAAAATCAAGAATGTAATAACATCCAAACCCTAAGGTCATGGGGAACCCATACACCGGTTGTTAGTCGATGCCGATACTGCCCCGATAGTAATACCTCACCAGGGCCAAGCCAAAATGGAAGAGTCACATCCACAAGATCGATATAATTATCATGAGCCCATTCCACCTCGTCACCTTGGATGTACCCAGACATGTGGACGCGTGGACTGGATGCAAGGGCTGCCACCAGAGTGCGCAGCTGCTGCTTCACCGCTGTGTGCCTTGTGGCGGTAACGAATGTGCCTGATATTCCCATTCCACGCCGTCAACGGTGAGCAGCAAGTTTGAATTTAACCAGAATAATACGCCTTGCAGAATAGCTGAACAATTTAGTGTAGTGCCATTACGGCATACTGCAGCCAAGACAACGACTAGAGAGGCCATCAGGCTGTAATATAAAAGGATTACAGGCTGAAGATCCTGAGCACCGTCATCAAAGAGACGGCACCCGAAAGAGGGAGTCTATGGTCCGGCTAGGAAGTCAAGTACACATTTGACTACATATAGTATCTATCTTGGGTTCATCATTACACATTGATGCGGGTAACCTTCTGTCACCGAGCCCAGAACCGTATATATCTCGGAAAGAGCTTGGAGACATGCACGAAGCCCATCAGTGACGGGTCATTCTGGATAACTCGACACAGATTGTCTCGCCTGAACTGAGGAATATTCTCTTGCATCTCCCATCGCGTCCGGTCACCGCGTACCTTTTCTTGCAACATGGGAACCAAAGGGTGCAACGGATCCTCGACCTCCTTCGAAAAAGACACAACCCAGTCCGAATAGGAAACACCGCGCAGTGGCCCTCGGGAAAAATGCTTGTTCAGGAGATTGAAGGTAGCCTCCATGTCATAGGAAGAATGTGAAGATGGGTATATGAGGTTGTACGCGTACCCGAGATTCTCCGAGCGGGCTGACACGCGGATGATGGCGGCCACCACGAAGTCCACCGGGATAAACTCCTTGCGCTGGCAAGGGAGGATAGGGTAACACCCCATATTGGCACAGCTTGCAAAGAGACGGCCTACGCCCCTGTCTGGCTGTGACCGAGCACGAAGCCCGGCCGTAGAATACTGACCGGTAGGCCCTGGTCATACGCGTTCCTGCTGCGCACACCGACGAAACGCGTCATTGATCGCAGTGGTATCCATCTTCGAGGACACTGGGACCACATAGGCGAGGATGATTACTCCAAGGTGAGGCTGCTCTACTTGTACTTGAAGTACGACCGCCTCGGCGACAAGGCCTGTTTTGAGCAGCATGGCTTCGACGGCTGCCAGTTCCACGCGCTGACCCCAGACCTTGACTTGATTGTCTCGGCGGCCGAGGAATTCATACTGGTTTGCCGCATTCAGGCGAACTAGGTCGCCGGTGCGATGGAGTTGGCTTGACCCAGTCCCCAACTGGGGACTGCATACGAAGGCCGCTACTGTTTTCTTCTCGTCGCAATGATACCCTCGAGCCACACCAGCGCCTTGGATCCACAGCTCTCCAGCCTTCCCATGGCCCAAGGCGCGGCCATCCTCGCTCACCACAAAACAATTGTAATTATCGATGGGTAGCGGAACGTGGGCGTTGGTGAGATCTTCCTGCGTGACCTCGTGGTACATGGTGTAGACGGTCCACTCCGTGGGTCCATAAATATTGACCAGACGCCGCGGTAGCCCATGGGAGAAGATGGCCCGAACAGTCTGGACGTTGATTGCCTCCCCACCGGTGAGTAGGGTGTCGAGGGTGGCAAAGGCTGTTGGGTTCGTATGGACAGTAGCGTTCAGCGCCGCGGCGGTTAGCAGCATGACATCGATCCTCGTAGTCCGCAGCTGGACTGCCAGGGCCATGGGGTCAAGAACCTGCTCCTGTGATAACACTACCAGTGTATGGGATCTTCTCCGCACTGTTCAGATGCAGTACGCCCACTCAATAGAATTCGAGACCGTAGGCTGGAGCGATATGGCGAAATTGTGTACATTGTGGCCTCCAGACGCTCGGCCAGGCTCGTTTGTGCTACATGAGAATTTTGCCCATGACTGGGAAGTCAGCCAAGGTGAAATTACATGTCAAAGGCTGGCTTCGATCCTGTCACCGCACCCTCGCGACACAGTTTATCTTAGGACTGTGCCGGGAAGAGGTACCCTGACGGCCACCATATACGCACCCAGTAATATCATGGGGGAAAGCTATATTATGAGACTACAAGACATGTTATGTCAGGCACTGAACAGTATTATATCTGCTCCTTCTGCAGTGCTTTAGATCGGGTTGGAGCTCAACTCTGAACCTTATATGTAAATACATGGGAACGGTAACGGAGTTAAGCTTATCTCCCCGTGCAGATTCTGCCCCGCATATCACACATCTTTATCATATTATCACGGCCTGTCAGTTATTTCTGTAAACAGACCCCACCTCTATCGAATTCAAAATGGCCTCTCAATCTGCTGCTGAGATAGAAACACGCCTGTTCATCAACGGCCAGGTAAGTGTTCTACCCAGCAGTATGGACAGTAGTCTGACTATCGCAGTTCCGCCCTGCTTCAGATGGAGCTACATTCCCTTTAAACTCGCCCACGACACTAGAACAGACAGCTCTTGGTACGTTACTACAACAAGGGTGTAGCGGTTTAGCTGATTACCACAGTCTCCGAAGCCTCAGTCGAAGATACAAACGACGCAGTCGCCTCCGCAAAAGCTGCATTCCCGGCATGGTCCGCCCTCTCCCCCCACGACCGCGGGGGCTACATGAGTTAACTTGCCGAGTTAATTCTCTAATCCGAGTCAGAACTCGCGCATCTCGAAGCCATCTCCATGGGCCGGCCCATCTCGGGCTACTGGGATGCGAAAGGCGCGGTTAAGAAACTGCAGTATTTCGCATCTTGTGGCTGGAATGGCCAAGGGCAGACGAGTCTCAACACGCCGGGGTTCGTCAATATGACACTGCGTCAGCCATACGGTGTCGTCGCGGTGATTATCCCATGGAATGTTCCTGTTTATTTCTTTATTAATAAAGTTGGCCCGGCCCTTGCGGCGGGAAATACGGTTGTTGTCAAGAGTAGCGAGAAAGCTCCGTTGACTGTATGTGGCCACCTCCTGACTAGCTGTAAAATCCTGCCTGATGGGATTGTATTGATATAACTACAGTCTGCAAAACTCGCCCACCTGATCGACGCCGCCGGCTTCCCACCGGGCGTTATAAACGTCCTCTCGGGCCACGGGCACGTCTCAGGAACAACACTAGCGCACCACATGGACGTCCGACTGCTCACATTCACCGGCTCCGGACGCACAGGGCGATTAATCCAACAAGCTGCGGCAAAGTCGAACCTCAAGAACGTAATCTTCGAACTCGGAGGGAAATCACCGACCGTTGTCTTTGCGGACGCGGACCTCGAAAAGGCAGCGAGGGAGGCCGCATATAGTATCCAGTGGAATAGTGGGCAGGTGTGCATGGCGAACTCGCGGGTTTACGTGCATGACTCTGTGGCTGGGAAGTTTATCGAACTGTTTAAACAGAATTTGCAGAATATCAGGATCGGTGATCCGACGGATCCGGAGACGAATCATGGACCGCAGGCTGATGAGGTTCAGTTTAATACTGTGAAGCGGTATATCGAGATGGGGAAGCAGACTGGACAGCTTGCACTCGGTGGGGAACAGGATCCAGAGAGTAAGGGTTATTTTATCCCGCCGGTGATTTTCACAGATACACCGGAGGACGCGCAAATTATGAAGGAGGAGGTATTCGGGCCTGTGGTTAATATCAACATCTTCGAGACCGAGGCTGAGGTTGTGCAGAAGGTGAATGCCACCGAGTTCGGGCTCTACGCTGCTGTTTATACGCGCGATGTGAGTTGGGCTATGCGGCTGGCTACGTCGATGGAGGCTGGGACTGTTGGTGTCAACTGCACGAGTCCGAGTGGTGCATTCGACCTGCCTTTTGGAGGGTATAAGGCGAGTGGGATTGGGAGGGAGGGGATTCACCACAGCTTGGATAATTATCTTGAGACGAAGACGGTGCTACTGAAGGTGGACGAGGCGTAGTTTAACTTCATCCTTAGACATTGGTCCTCCATGGATTCGTCCCCCGCCGGTACAATTTACTTACGAGTGGCATTGTATCTATCCTAATTATATCATTGCCGATAGCTGAATGTAACAGTTCCCAGACAGTTGGAGCATATACTAACCCTAGTAAACCCCGCGTTATCAACGAACCTTCCTGGACGCTAAAGTCGACTAGGGCAACCAGAATGCAACATTACAGACGCATGGTATCGGCTGGAAGGTTGGCTGGCTCGTACAAGAAATACAGTGGCTCCGAATATGAGGTATGTATTCATATTCAGTACGGGATATTTTTCTAAATAGAGATATGATGTTGGCTGGGATACAACGCATTAGTTATTACAGACTACCTATTTCCAACAGTCACACCAACAGGAAGGGCATGGACCTGTTCATTCAGCTCGTATGCACACTCAACAACAGTAGCGACCCCATTGGCAGCCTCTGTCAGGCAGCTCTTAGAATTGGCATTAACCACATTCCCCGAGACATCGTAGCTCCAAAAATCCGACTGACAACCAGACCGGGAAGACAGAACGGCCCCCTTCTTATCGACTATGCAATATTCCGGGCGCAGGAGGCTACTAATATGGCCATCCGAGCGAACGCTCCAGGTCTGTGCGTCTGATCCATCGCATGTTGCGAAGATGACGCTGCCGGAGGAACTATCGGTGAGGCACTTCATGCTGCGCGTGTTGAATATGAGACCAGTAGGAGTAACAGGGCCAGTTGAGTTGCTAATACGCAACACAGCAGTTCCGTGGCAGGGGACACTGTCCGCCGTAATTCCGATTTCAGAGACATCAATCGTCTCGCCAGTCCATAGATTCTTGACACTTAAACCTTTCCAGGCGCTGGGTGAGAAACCGGTGCGCGCCCAGGGTATTGTAATGTCTGCAGCGGAGTCACCCTTGTTCAGAGCAAGGAGTATGCGGTCTCCGTTTTCAAGGCTCTTCGACAGGACATCCCACGTCTTATCACGACTAACCAGTGTCGCCTGCTGGATTAAGCTATCCTGGTTTATGGCGATGAGGTCTTTATTCGTGAGGTACTCGACTTCTTCAGGCGTGATAGCCGTCAAGTCCGTGCTGAGGATCAGGGGCGCGGAAAACGCGCACCAAAGAGCAAAGTGGCTCTTCTTCTCGTCGAGACTATACGAGGGATGATCCACATTCAGAAAGTCAGGGTCGTTGAAGTAGCCCACCTTCTGGTAGCGCGCCAGGCGGACGTGGTAGTTGTAGTTGGTCATCATGCTCCCCCAGGAGTCTCCGTCGGGATACGTCTGGATATCGTCCGAGTGGCGCGCCAGTTGTCCATACCTCTGGGCCCATCCCATGATAGTGTACCAGTCTGTCAGGTTGTCCTTGTTGGCAGAGTAGGCCGGGGCGGAGTCTGAGAAGACCATCGGGTTCTCCACGGACGAGAGGAGCCTGTGCCAACGGCTATAGACCTCGTGATAGACTTCCTCACTGCTAGGATCGGGCATATTACAGCCGTCCATTTTGAGATACTCGAAGCCCCATTTGGTGAAATCGTCGTAGTCGATCTGCTCGTGGTCCAGAGCACCAGGGTATCCGCCACAGGAGAGATTACCGGCATCGGTGTAGATTCCTGGGATGAAGCCCTTGGACTTGAGATGGGATGTGAGCCAGTAGAGGCCCCGGGGGAATTTTGCGTCATCCCAGACCATAGAGCCATTTGAAGCTCGCTCTTTAGTCGACCATGCGTCGTCGAGGTTGATGCGGTTGTAGCCGGCGGAAAGTAGCCCGTGCTTGATCATGCAATCGGCAGCATCGACAAAGATTGCCTCGCTGATGTTGGTTTCGTAGCGGGCCCAGTTGTTGAAGCCCATCGGAGGTAAAGGAAGAATAGGCTGCACGGCAGCAGCCATGTGAAGCAGCGAGAACATGGACATGTGGTTGAACACGGTGTTTAACATAAGTTCAAGGTTAAGCTGAATATAGAGAAACTAATGGCAAGTGTAGACGCAGTGACATATTTATCCAGTCCGTGCATACACCCAGACAGCCGATCGGGTCGCGTATGAGTGGAAGCGGGGATCTGATCAACAGCCATGTAACGTTCTGTAGAGTAGCACTGGGTATGTTCTTTACCAACGTCGCATGATCGGCATTACCGTGAACAGATCGAGCAGGTAGTAAATACTGGGCTTGTTAATATATGAAAAGCGGATACCAGATCATGTGAGAATGCCCTAATTACCAGAGTCTATGGTTATCCAGCAGTATCCCCAGAGACTGGTACCATGTGCAGGAATATTGATATACTGTATATCGCCCATGCGTTCATAAACCCCAGGAATTCGCGCGGAGCTCAGAGTGTTCGGGTAATTCCGCACTCAAACAGAAAGTCCTTAACTCATCCCCTATGGTTTGCGTCTTCATCAAGAACCGCAAGACTCGTCAAAGACGGACAATATCCTACGCGCCAGCCACCGGATCTGCGTCACCGCTGCAATAGAGTCCATCGATATAGTTGAGCTACGACACGAGCAGACTAAAAAGACCGCAGGCCTGAATTGGTACAATATTTTCTACCGTACGCCCTCCCCTTGCTGGTATCCTCAGTGTTGTTATTCTAACGCGATCAGTATTCAACGCCGTCATCACCCTCGTCTCATCCTGACAGATCCCAAGAATCTAGCGGTTACATCCACCGCTTAGTCCCATTGTGGCTCAGAAACAAACCACTATACCCCCCAGGTAGAGACGACCGCTCAATCGCAGCCAGGACACTCTTCGCAGCAGCCTCGGGCGACGATGGCTTAAAGCCAGGCGAGTAGAGCTCAAACTTGGGCCCATACTTGGCGAGCTGAGCAAGGTCATCGCTGGACACTACGTATCCGTTAGCTACTGGCCACGGGTATTTGAGATAGCAGACTCACGGGTAGCACCAGGCTCCGCTGTATCGACTCGCCCTGGGCAGATCGATGCAAAGAGAATCCCCTGATCCGAATATGCGGCGGCGAACTTGGCTGTCAGGGTTGTGAGTGCTGCCTTGCTGACGGCGTACGGCGCCGCAATGGGCAGTTGGATCTCGTTGATGAAATCTACCAGGAGTGTTAGGGAGCATTCTTGCGCTTACACAGGTTCGTCAAGGCTGACCGATGTCTCCCATTCCACTAGATATCGAGATGACCTTCTTGAGCGCGCCTCGCCTTACGAGTGGGAGGAATGCGGTGATTGTTCGGAAAGTACCGAAAACATTGACATCGATGCTCTTATGCATGTCGTCAATAGCAACTTGAACATCACCCTCACTTCGTACATTAGTACCGGGCGCATATTTGGGTAAGATAGACCTACAAATCCTCAAGTGATTTAAGCGCCGTTGTCTCGCTCACATACGCGGCGTTATTTATGAGCACATCTATACCCTTGCCTCCAAGGAATTGGGCGGCGGTCTCCGCGGCGCGAGATAGAGCTTGTTGATCAGTTATATCGGCTTCAAGAATCAGGGCGTTGATTCCATCCGACTTGATGCGATTATCAACAGCAGCTTTGTTCCTGGCAAGGCCGAGCACGGTATTCTGCGAGTCACCGGCCAGCGCTTTCATTAATGCGTACTGGAAGGAAATATCAGTATAGTGAAAGGACTTGGACCATTGGGCTTACACCAAGGCCTCGTCCGGCACCGGTAACTAGATAAACAGGCATCTTGGAATGGTATTTAGATTTTCAGCAATGAAGCTTTTGATTGTGTTGGAATATGCTCGTGTTGATCGAATATGCTGGGGCCCTTGGGGCTTTATACTGCTCTGGATTACATGTTTCCAAGGTTCAATTTGCCATCTAAGACGGTCGTAGGGCGATTCATAATCAATGCTGACGGATTATACAACTGGACCTTCATTAACTACGGTTGCCTCTTGGAACTCCGTGCTGAGGGATCCATAGATCCAGCGGTGCTGTCGGAGCCCGGAGTACCTGGTTGGATCCACCTATTTTGGTCCATGAAGAAACCAACCAGAGATAAACATATTCACCATTAATACCCGTCTATGCTTTATGGACGGCAGTTGAGTGAATATGGCGCCCTTGATAATTTACGGCGCAACAGGATACACTGGCCAAATGGCCAGTGAGAATGCAAAGGCGCTCAATCTGGACTTTTCGATTGCAGGCAGAACAAACGACAAGCTTCAGAGCCTGGCATCTTCACTGGATGTCCCTTACTCTGTTCTTGACGTGAACAACCATGGTCTAATCGACTCAGCATTAAAAGATGCTTCCGTTCTCCTCAACTGCGCCGGCCCTTTTATACGCACCGCCAAACCTCTCATGGAAGCATGTATCAGAAATAAAGTGCATTACCTCGATGTCTCCGCCGAGCTGGGCAGCTACCAACAAGCATACAAATTGGACGAAGACGCAAGGAATGCCCATGTCATGCTTCTCCCGGGCTGCGGTGGGAGCGTCGCAATGTTAGGCTGTTTGGCGGGGCATGCTGTCGAAATCGAGCCTACCAAGAGCCCTACCAACATCGACATCGCTTTGCACGTTGCCGGAGCCATGTCTCGTGGGTCTGCAATCAGTGCAGCCGGGACAATCACAGAGGAATGCCTGCAGGTGGTCAATAACTCACTCGCCCAAAAGGACCCGGGCGAAGCCAAGGAGTTCAATTTCTACGATGGCAACGGATATGTCGCGTCATTTCCCGTGGCATTACCCGATCTTTTTACCCTGCAGATATCTACGAATGCGCCAAATATCAGAACTTATGTTCATACCAGCGGTGATAGCTTCCCAACTGGGGATCTTCAGTCATTGCCTCGTGGCCCGACGGACGCCCAGAGGAAGGCCTCGCCGTATAGTGCGGCAGTCACTGTCACTTTCCAAGATGGAACTTCTCGGACGGCCGTCCTGCACACAGTCAACGGATATACATTCACAGGGATGGCGGCCGTAGAGGCTGCAAAGCGAGTCCTAGATCATCAGGTCAAGGCCGGCTTTCAAACGCCTGTTCAGGTATTTGGCAAGGAGTTTATTCATTCTGTCCCGGGGTCAGAGATTAAAAAAGTGCATCTTGAATGAGATTGTTACTTGTATATAACTATAGAAATGTTGAGTAAGCCTCTCCTGGCATGTAAGCACCCGGTTATTAGGGTGAAGTTCACTTCTACTGAGCCCGACGAATGAATAGAGATATAATAATTCATTATCGCAATCTGATAAAGAGAGTATCGCGACTAACGGTGGTTAAATTTGACGCCACACGTCGTGCAAGTCCACTTTTCCTGCGCAGAACGACTGTGAATCTGGTGTCGAGACCGGGTTGTGTAAGAAATCATTGCATCGCCTATCTTCAGTAACATCAATTATAGCCCGGAGTTCCGAGATGCTTATTCATCGCTCATATCCCTATGGATACTATGTGCCTGCCACTAACTTCTTCTAACAAAGGGAATCCGGCTGGAAGCAGGTCTGTAGAAAGCTTTTCAGCATGATATCCTCGCTGGTGAACCCTGACTGCCCAATTTCTTTTAGGATCTCCTCTGCCCGATTGACCTCATCCGTAGCGCTCGAGAGATAATTCCCCTGCAAATGCTGGTCCTCGCCCTTGACAAGGTCCGGTCGAATTCTGCGAACCTTTTGGCGAAGGTCATCCCAAGTCAAATGCTTGTAATATGCAAATATACGTTCATTTGAAAGGGAAGATTTGGCAGTTGCAGCGACTAGCAACCGGGCCGTATCCTCCACGTCACATAGGAAGCCTGAGAAATCATGATTAGCTTCTACTCCTTTGGAAGTATCAGTAAAGCTTACCCAGAGGCATAGGAACAGAGTCCCATTGACCAGCCAAGGCCGCTTTAAGCATCTGGTTGCTCGATGTCGCGCCGTTCAGACCACGACCAAAGTTCCCGTCTGGAACGACACAACTCGCGACAAATGGGGGCCTGTTCGCAGAAATCCAAGACCAGAAAGCTATTTCTGCAGTGGTCCTTCCGGCACTATATACATCTAACAGCCACTCAAACGAGTCATGCCTCGGCCCACAAGAAGTCTTCACAAGGCAATCCCAATTATACATCGCAGCCGTGAGCCGGCGAGGTATATCATCATATCTGGTAGTCTCAACAACTTTCGAACTAGAGCTCAGCACATACCGCTGGACTCCTGCTTTGGCTGCAGCCTCTAAAGTATTAATCGTGGATCTGACATTTGGACCGACAACCATTGCGGGATCGGGTTGGAAGTTGACTGGCGTCGAGACGTAGATAACTCCCGCGGCTCCTAATTCCATTTAGCTCACGGCCATTGACTCGGGTTTAAATCAAATGGTTACCTTTAAATGCTTCGTCGAAAGCGCCCTTCTCCTCAAAGTTGACCACGGGGACCAATTCGAACTTTCCAGGCCACTTCTCATCAAAGAGATGATGCATCCAGGCAGAATTCTGGTCTACATCTCGGACGGTTCCTCTGACCTTATATCCAGCTTGCAGAAGCTTCTCACATGTCTCCAGGCCGATGAATCCATTGGCACCAATAACAACAACAACAGAGTCAATTGGGATTGCACGGTCTTTTATCAACATTTTGCTAATACTCTGATCATGCAGAAATATAAAACTTGGATCTAAAAGTTATGTATGATGGGATTGCGCCTATATATAGTCTCTTGAACTCATTTCTAAGCAGTACTTTAAATAATTCGTGGCTCTCCTAAGCAGCTTCATCATCCGACTTGAAGAACACGGAGCTCCGAGTACCGCAACTTAATTATAATCTCATTCATTGATAATCATCTAATGCAACAGGAAGCTAATAATAATGATAGTACTGATGCGTTTGGAGTTGGGATATGGAGAAGAGAGCAGGGGACTCCTGCAGTACACTCTTCCACGTAGGTCTAGATAGTAGCCGTCTACCCAAAGCCTCCATACCCCAAATGAATTATTCCCCTGGAACAGCTTAACCCCCCATCGTAGCTTTATGAGGCTAGCACCAGCTAAATCCGAAGGCAAAACTATAGTCTAATGTGGTTGTCGGAGGCTCCGATTGAACAACCCCAGCGCCCCGGAACCACCGATACACCACATTATCCTATCCCTCTCGTATTTACTTCATGTCCACGCAGGCAGTATCTCAAACCCGAACCATCCTTCAGGTCAACATGTCAGACGCAGAGCAATACATGAAACCCGCAACGCGGCTCCGCAAACTCCTCTCCCAACCAGGCGTCTGCATCCAAGCCCCAGGTGTATACGATGGTCTCTGCGCGCGACTCGCCATCGAGCAAGGCTTCGAAGTCATGGTACGCCACCATCAGTAGCATAGCGTACCAGGAGTATATGGCTAACAGCAACAGTACCAAGGCGGGTCCATGACAACAGCCGCACGACTCGGCCGAGCCGATCTGGCATTCGCCTCGCTGAACGACTTTGCGCAGAACGCGCAGATGATCGCGAATATCGACCCAAGGATTCCACTAATTGCTGATGCAGATGTTGGATTTGGTTCGCCGCCGAATATCGCGCGTATGGTGCAGACGTATCACTCGTGCGGAGTGGCCGGGTTCCATATTGAGGATCAGGTTGCTAATAAGCGGTGTGGGCATTTGAAGGGGAAGGAGGTTGTTGATTTAGAGTGGGTTCCTGGAATATGAGCCTGGTAGAGGTTTATGTTGTATGAACATCATGGCTAACGTGTTGAAGGACGTGGAAAACGAGAATCCGGGCGTGCGTCATTGGGAGGGATTCTATCTACGGGGGTAGTGATATTGTTATTATTGCTAGGACGGATTCTCTGTCGGTTGAGGGATATGATGCTGCGCTTGAAAGGGTATGATAGCCCCTAATGACCCTATGTACCTGGCTAACCTGATATTCCCTTCAGCTCCTTGCAGCACGAGAATGCGGTGCAGATATGGGTTTCCTGGAAGCAATCGAGACAGGAGAACAGATTAAGAATGCTGTCAAAGTCCTCTCCCCAATGCCAGTAAGTAGGATATCGCATCTTTCCACCATCTCCAGACTAACCAGGTTTCAGCTCATGGTGAACCTGGTTTCAAATGGTAAAACACCGTGGTTTTCACCTGCACAGCTCGGCGAGTGGGGAGTTAAGGTTAGTATATAACTGCCCAATCGACCAACACAAGTTCTAATGCGTTGGAAAATAGCTAGCAATATACCCCGGTGCTGCAGGAAAGTCCGTACTGCACACTATCCGCCGGGCGTACAAATATCTAATGGAGACTGGGAAGGATGATGCAGAAGCCCAGGGCCTCGATCCGAAAGGCTTCTTTGATGTTATGGGATTGCAAAGGGAAATTGAAATCGACCGTCTTGCCGGGGGTGCATCATTTGTTAATGGGGCATGAATTCTCAAATATTATTGAATTGCGTTCTAGCTTTTTATATTTCGCTCGGAAAGATATACATGTAAAGGGCTAGTAGGAACCGCGCTCACCCATTCTCGGCGGGAGGGTAGAATGGCTTCGCAGTCATGATTCAGCATGGAAGTATCTGCCGGTTGGACGTGATATTTTCTGAGTATTTGAGAGACGGACAGGTAAAGCTCTAGGTATGCAAAGCTAGTAATAGCCCCATATTAGTCGGCGAGAACAAAAATAATGCACGGATAAAAAACAGATACATACTGAATGCCAACACAAGCGCTGGCCCCTTTTGAAAATGGAACATAGTACTCATTCCGCAGTATAGACAGCTGATCATTATCATCGCCCTCTAACCATCTTCCCGGCCGATACCGTTCGGGATCAGGGAATGCGGTCTCATCCCGAAGATACCAGATCGGTGAGCTAGAGATCATAGTCTACAGTAACCCCAATTAGTATAGCAACTTGCATGAAATCACAGTAATATGTGTGGAGACGTACACCTTCCGGCACTTGAACACCCCCAAGAACAGCTCCACCTTTGGGCACAATTCTCGGCAGCATCGCTGCTGCTGCACCTGTCCATCGAATGCCCTCCTTGACACAAGCAACCAGGGTAAGAATTGACTCGAGAGCCGTCATTTCCGTGGGCCACTGCGCGGCTTCCAGATCTGAAACGAGCCTATTCTGAAAAGACGGGTTTAACGATAGTGCCCACAATATATGGGCGAGAGTAGAAGATGTGGTGTCCGTTCCTGGTCCGAGCATCTCTTTTGCCTCAGATAAGGCGCACTGTTCAGGGATTCTGCTCCCCGCCATGACTCTTAAGAAGGACATGCTGGAAGCGGTTTCGGTGTCGAGTGTTGATTTCAGTGCGTCATTTGCCCACTGTTTATGTTAGAAAGAGAATGCTCGAGGGCATATAGAAGGAGAAACCTGCCACATCAAATCGTTTCTGGCTCTCAGCCGAAATTGGTTCCCGGCCAGTCAGCTTGAATAGCAAAGTCGACACTAGAGCGTAAGCCCTGACCAGAGAAGGAAAGTTGGTATACATCGGCATCTTGGAGGACTGCAGGTCATTTTGTTTAACAATCTGCAGCTCCTCGCCGGCAATCGCCAAAGATTCTATTGCACCAATGGCATTTCCAAAGGCAAACCTCGCTACCACAATTAAAATAATATGGCATAGAAGATGGCGAGGATTGACTCACAAACAATATCAGCCTCCAAGGCACGACAGGTGGGCACCACATCGATAGGGACACCTTCGGTACTCGATGACTGACATAGCTCGTTGAAACGGGAGACTTCCTCCAACATCATGGGAGTCAAAGCAGGCACTTTGCTCCTGTTGAAAAGGAGGCCCATATGGCGGCGGCGCAGGGCGTGCTCTTTATGGTCACTACCCGTCCAATTCTATTAGATTCCTATGCCACAGTTTGAGGAACAGGCAACCGACGTAATTGAAAATAAAGCGGGATGGCCATCTTGCACAAACTGGCTATACACTCGGGGATCCTTGGCGAAGGCGCTTCCTGGCTTATGGACTTTGTTGTAGATATCTATCCCATAGAATGATACCTGACTCGGCCCGATGCGGACTAGGGGACCTTAACATAGTTAGACTGGTCCGCACGCTCATTTTTGGACAGACATACCAAGCTTTCGGTGCAGCTTTGGCAGGATCAGTGTTAACTGTCCCCGATATTCCGTGGGAAACTCCCATAGTAAGCGTGAAACCGGAGCGAGGATGCCAGCACTGGGAATATGGGATAGCGGAGAGAAGAAGTGCGCGTAGACGATCTATCACAATGTTAGAGGTTTCTTAGTTACAGGAATCAGGACGAACCCTAACTAGAACCACTGAGAGAGCAATCACGCCCCAAACCAGCAAAGCCATATTAAGACGAATACTCAAGGAAAAAAGCTACTCCCTATTTGAAAGAATCAATGCATCCGCTACCTTTATACTGACCTCCATATTTCGTGCCCACAGTAATAAATAACACCATATCACCGACATTTCTCCAATATTGCGCCATTGGTCATGGCTGGGTTATTGACATTAAAGATATGCAAATGTTATTCAGATGACTAAGCGGATATGGCATAAATCTAAGTATAGCTACCCCGCGCATAAGCAACAGTGCAACAACACCAACTTCTTGATCGAGATTCCACAGTAGCGGTGTTTAAACAATATAATCTGTTCGAAGCTACCATGGCGCCTCGGGCAGAAATAGTCGATGGGGTCAAGACCTTCATCCCACTCGGTACAGGCCTATTCTCCCTTATGTCAAAAACACCACTAACAAGTGCCAGAGAACAATCCTGAGATCCTCAAACTCCTCTGCGAGAATCTCCAAGCATCACCGGATCTCAAATTCCACGACATCATCTCAACCGCTCCAGAATTCCTCCAAGAATACCATTTTGGATCCTGTCGCGCCCTCATCGTCCTCACGCATCATCCCATATATCAAGCTGCCCGCTCACACGTCGAACTAACCATACCAGAATACAAAGGCTCCGGCCCCATTGAACCAGTAATATGGATGAGACAAACGATTGGCCATGCTTGCGGTCTGATGGCTCTCCTGCACGCACTCTTCAATCTAGACGGCGGGCGATATGTGAGCCCCGGCACTACCTTAGCTGCACTCCGTCAACAGGCCATCTCTCTCGGTCCCACAGAGCGAGCGCAGCTATTATATGACTCGAGCTTTCTTGAAGAGGCACATATGGATGCAGCTGCGCGTGGTTCCTCAAGAGCCCCTTCACCTCGAGATGATAATCACCACCATTTTCTGGCCTTTGTGCAGAAAGACAGGGAAGTCTGGGAGTTGAATGGTGGGATGAATGGACCATTGCTCAGAGGTGTACTGAGTCAAGGGGAGGATCTTTTGAGTGAGAGAGGACTGGAGCTTACTGTTCGGGATTTCTTGGTTGCTGCTGAGCGGACTGGATGTAATGAGATGAGTATTGTTGCAGTCACTGGAACCGACGGAGGGGCATAAGGTTAGCTGGAAAGTATCTCTCCGAGGGGTAGCAGCTATAGATATCTGGGCTGTGGTGTCAATCATTGGAAGCCCTTGATATCGATTATGTATACTTTGAAGGTAGATGAATTCGCTAACTGGTTGTAACGAACATATACCTTGACACTGTACAACAGAAATATTGAAACAGTATTTTACCATTCGACTAAAAATCCCAATAATGGTATTAGGCCGTCTTTCTAATTGCTTTAGATGCTGACAAGGAATACATAAATATGAAGGATTTCTAACTGGGACAAGCTCTGCATAATGAAATACACAACACTACGTATAAGTCCGCTGGAACAACAGCAAGTTTATTGACGTATACTAAAAAATGACTATATCCCAGCGAAAGGTGTTAATGGCATGCCCATGGCCTCAGCCTGCCGCCTCTCGTACCCAAGGAAAGCCTCTGATATGGCACTCCCCCGAACACCACCACGCACCGCGCCAGCCCTAGTATCACCCCAGTACTCGGCCCACTCAGCGGGCAAAGGCTGGGAGGAAGGAATCGAGAGCCACAGCCGCATGAGATGCCGCTTCTCATCGGGGATCTCAAAATCTTCAAACGGCGTGCGCGAGTGCAACGTCACAAAGCTATTCAGCAGCTGCATATCACCTCGCTCCAGCTCCATAGAATAGCAATACTCCTCACTCGGCATGATAGTATCCATCAAATCCAACGCTTCCTCCTGCAATGCCGTAAGCCGTGGAACCTCAGTCTCAGGGAAGTCTCGCTGCGCAGCAACAATATTCTTGCGATTCGTCCTAGCACAGAGATACGCACCGCTCTCCCCCATAATCGGACAACGATAGTAAGGCGGTTGCGACGGATCCTGTGCATTCTGGTAACTATGGAACCAGACATTCGACTCCAGCACAGGGATCAGGTCCGGGCGAAGCTCAGCGACACGCTCTCGCAGCGCAATGCTGCTCATGACCTTGGACGTGCCTCCGGCCTTTGCAGTGCGTCGACACAAGAGCGCAACCACGTCCGCTGAGTCCTGGTGGAAATCTAATCCTGCATTGGTGTTGTATCCACGCCCGCCCCTCACTTTGTAGCTACCTCCCGCGTCGCGCACATCGTTGATCACCTCGCTGGCGCGGTTCTGGGTGCGCCCAACGCCCATGTACAATCCCATGCCCCAGTATGCGACGCGCATGTCTGCTTCCGTCCACTCGTCCACTGGGAATCCTTTCACCAGGCACATTCCCCAACGATCTTGGGTGGTGGCGATTGCGCGCTCGAGGGCCTTCTTGGAAACTTCCGGTAGTGGGTAGTCGGCCTGCGTCATGTCGAGGAGGGCTTTAGGGTGTTTCTTCGCGTATGCGAGGGCCTCGCGGAAGCCTTCGACTTCTTCGGGTGTGAGGCGTAGAATCCATGAGTTGTCACGCTGGACGTCCTGTGTTTTCCAGGCTTTGGGACCGTTTCCGATGGACATTTTGATGTCAATGCAATGGCAAGTAATGTTCGATGTGGTTTAAGAAAGAAGCTTCAGCAACATCAATGTATAGCTGCTGTATATTAGTTGTTCGAGCATAACCTGTCGTTTGCCGTATTTAATAATGACACCATCCCAGCCATATGTCTACAGAGTCCCCTGTTCAGCACGCTGGAAACATTGTACGCAACACTACTCATCGGAGGCTCCGTCCAGTCTAGCTAAGAAAAATAGACTTTTCGCACCCCGCATTTCATGTTATCCTTGTAATCGGAGTCTCCGGTACCAAGGCCCTAAGGAATTTGGAGTAGGCATATCAGCTCCACCCTTATCTACCACGCGACGAAGGAGGATCCTCCTGTTTAGGGGGCAGATGGAGAAGACCTGTATTACTGTTCTCTTTATCTTGTTTGGTTAGTTAGCTTTGAGAGACAAGCAGATACCCCAGCACACCATGTCAAGACACGCGAGTTCTTATCTTCGACGCTCCTGAACTTACAGTGCGCCACAAGTCCAGGTGGGAGATAGTGGATTGATTAATACATTATATTTATCCTACAGCTCCGGATAGACTTTCTTGAGAATAGTCCGAGGGCATTCCACGACTTTCACCCACGGAGGCTATACACACAATGGCCCGACTTCAGCAGGTCAAGCACGCATTCGCGTCTCCCAGGGCTTTTCTCAAGGCCATCGAGATGAAAGAGACGGATGGGGAGAACAAGGCCGATTACAACGAGGATCTTCTCCCAACAGAGCCAGGTGAGTCTCCTTGCTGGTACTACAGACACTTGCTCATATAGAGCAGAACGACGGTCATGGAGATGGGTACACTTCTTCACGTACTACCTGACGACGTCTTTCTCGCCTACAAGCTACAATCTCGGTGCATCTCTGGCGACTATCGGCCTGGTAGGTGACCTAACCCTCTACGGAGAGAATCGTGTTCTAATGACTGTCCAGCGATGGTGGCATACCCTTATTGCCTCGGCAATCGCCTCCTTATTGCTATCCATCGTGGTATTCCTCAATTCTCGAGGTGCAACGAGATATCACATCGGATTCCCTGTCATCGCACGAGCGTCTGGAGGGCCACGCGGAGCCAAATTCTTCATTTTCATCCGGGGTGCCGTAGCAGTCATTTTCTTCTCGACAAACCTCTACTACGGCGGAATGCTCATGGCCATCGTACTCAGATGCATATTCGGGACAGCATGGGATAATATCCCCAACCATCTCCCAGCGGACGCCGGAATCACCAGTGCAAATCTGCTAGCATTCTTCATCTACTGGTTCTTCCAAATGGCCCTCATGTTCGTGCACCCGATTGTCCTCCGACATATCTTCGTCATCAAGGCATTCTACTGCACAATTGCCCTGTTCGTGGTGCTGGGCTGGGCAATCCACCAGAACGGCGGCTCGTTGGGTAGTTTCCATTTCGATGGGCAGGTTATTCTCTCTGGATCACAGCTTGTCTGGCCCATGATCTCTGCTATCAACTCTATATGTGCTGCCCTATGTCCGATTTTGATTAACCAGCCCGATATCGCGCGGTACGCGAAACGCCCGTCCCAAGCGACCTGGTCTCAAACGCTGGGTATCTTCATCAGCAAGATCCTGATCATGTTCCTCAGCGCGGGTACAACCAGCGCGGCACAGGGGTTTCTGGGTACCTCCTACTGGAACGTATGGGATCTCTACGATGCAATTTTGACCACGTACTGGGGTCCCGGTGCTCGAGCTGGTATCTTCTTTGCATGCTTCGTTAGTCCGCCATATCCACCCTGATATCTTCACCATTGACCAAGTTTCCAGGGAATGGTCCTCGCCATTCTGGCCACGAACGCAGGAACAAACTCCCTCCCAGCAGGCGCCGACATGAGCGGTCTGCTACCGCGGTATATCAACATCGTCCGCGGGCAGATTATATGCGGTCTTCTCGGCCCACTCTTCTTCCCCTGGAAGATCATCGCCAACGCGCAAAGTTTCCTCACCTTCCTATCCTCCTACACCGTATTTCTCATGCCGATCTGCGGTATCATGGTGGTGGACTACTGGCTCATCCGGCGCGGAAACATACACATCCCATCGCTTTACAGCCGCGAGCCAGGAACGCCGTATACCTACTGGAAGGGATGGAATCTGCGGGCCATTGCGGCGTGGGTGGCCGGTACCGCATTCGTTATCCACGGTGTTGCTGGGGAGTTGAAACCGGAGTTAACAGGCCAGGGGAGTAAGAATATGTATAAGATTGGGTTCTTGCTTAGTTTTTTTATGGGCTCGGTGGTTTACTTTGCTGGTTGTTTGTTTTTTCCTGTGCCTGTCTACCCGGTGGACAAGGAGGATACGCCGGCTACTTGGGAATACCTGGCTGATTCTGAGGGATTCTTTGATGGGGAAACGCGAGATACTATCAGGCTGGGGGCTGGGGTTGTTGTGGGTGTGAAACTGGATGGGGATGGAGGTGAATTTGCAGGTCCCAAGAAAGAGGTGGTTTAATTAGTTCCTAGTCTCAACATTATGATATCTTCTTTTTCCTGAAGCGGACCGGTGTAGCCTTGTACTACCCCACAATTAGACAGTAACCGTCGTTGGTCAAATCTATCTACCCCATATCGAGTTGGAGTATCTTCCTCCTCGGCTCTTCGGCAACGCTGCAAAAAGGCAGCAGATACTCTAGCGCTGCACTAGTGCTGACTGCCGACTGCTGATAGATAGATATCGCATCCTCCGTCCGGACCCTCCGCTCTCCATCACCATGGACATTCATGCATACCCATCTTCGGCAGGCATGGACATGTCTGGGGTAGTTCCACCTGTGGATAGCCCCCGCATACCTCGGCAGACACGCCAGCGTGGAATGGGACGGACTGCATGCTCCAGATGCAAGACTAGGAAGCAGAAGGTATGCCCTGGCCTGTACTAGGGAATCGGCCATTCCACTAACAGTTTCTTGTCTAGTGCGATGGACGGCTCCCCGCCTGTTCAAGCTGTACAAAGTCCGGAGCCATATGCGACTTGCAAAATGTTCGCGGGGAGGATCTCGTTGTCGCGAAGTAAGCCAGATACCTGTTTCCAATGTGGGAATGACTACTTAACGACCTAAGATACATCCAAAGCCTCGAAAGCAAAATCGCCGAACTCGAGCTTCAACTCGTACGAGACCAGCAATCGCAGTCGCAGCCTGAACAGCCACAGCAGGAGACTCCCAGGTTCCCCCTCCAGGGACGGATCGGAATCGGCGGTGTAGTCAACTCGCTTTGTAGTGACCTGCCCGAGAGATCTTCAGTATCTGAATCTCTGCAGTTCGGCGTCCATCTCGCTCTCAATTTAGGCAGTTCTCCTAATTCAACGGGAGATGTCCATACCCAACATGGCATTGCAGAAACTCCAACTGCAGCCAGTCCAGGAGAATATCCATTCATCAGGTCGCTCGCGAATAACGCTGAAGGAGCTAGTCCACCCTCAGAGGAGCTAGGAGCGAAGCTCATCGACGCGTATTCGGAGAGGTTAGAGTGGAGATATCCATTCTTGGACCTAGAGGAGGTCAGAGAGCTTCATCGAGATCGAGAGCGTCTATCACAGGCCGCAACCCAGCAATTCGGGCTATTCAAACTGTACCTCGTGTACGCTATAGGATCAGGGCTTCTCGACTTGACAGAGAAACGAACGTCATCACCCATGCCAGAGGTAAGTTACCCTGAAATAAAGGAACTATGTCTAACAATGAACAGGCCTTCTACTCAGCTGCTATGCAGCATATCCCAACTGCACGAAACACGCGATCTCTTGAGAATGTTGAGGCAATGGTTTTACTAGCGCTGTTTCACCTCCGCACCTTCATCAGCCAGGAACTCTGGTATCTAATTGGGTTTGCCATGCGAACCTGCATCCACCTAGGCATGTACCTTGCTCGTAGAGAAGCTGGTCTTCCTGCGGCGGTTATTCAAAGGCGTCGGAAACTATTTTGGACCGTCTACTCCCTCGAGCGGAATGTTTCCATTGCACTCGGATACCCCGTTAGCCTGCCCGATCGGTTAATAGACGTTGAGCTGCCGGTTATAACGGGAGACAGAGCGCAGGACGATGAGAGACTGCAGCAGGCCATCTTCATATTCCAGCTCAGGAGAATCGAATCGCGCATCCATCACTCTATCTACCGGAATGACCGAACATTGGAACAGCTCCTACCCAAGACGTCCTGGCACTACCAGCAACTGCAACAATGGAAAGAGGGTATTGTATCGTCCATGGGTCCAAATCCAGATCCACAATCGTCAACGAATAACGACTCCAACCGTCTGGACTACTTACTCCTACACTATCACCGCGCCATCAGGCTCCTCGTCCAACCCTTTCTGTCAATACTACCCAGCTCAGATCCGTACTACAAGGCATGTCTCGAGTCCGCCGGTCAAATATGCCAGCTGCACAAGAGACTCCATCAGAACTCCGATTACGGACATAGCTTCATAGCCGTGCAGACTGTCTTTGTTTCAGGTATCACGCTGCTGTATTGTCTATGGATCCATGGCAGTGATATCTGGAGTATCCGACTAAGCAATCATCTCCGTGCCTGCTCGAGCGTACTATTCGTCATGGGCGATCGGACACCTTGGGTGCGACGGTATCGCGATGCTTTCGAGGCACTGGTCACCGTGACCATGGAGAGATTGGAGGTGCAACAGTCTAGCACTGATAATTCTCTATCCATGCAGGATACTGCTGTTGCACCGAATGCCCAAATGCGTGATACTCTTACGGGTGTTAGCACACAATTTCCCACTATGAACGAATGTCCCCCTGGAGACCCAATGCCGATGCCGCCGCCGTTACAGGTGCTTCAAGACCGCTGGATGGAATTTGATACCATGGCCGTCGTCAATGAGCTTGTAAACTGGACTGACCCAGGGATGTCTGGACCAACGCCATACATGGACTTTGGAGCCTACGGAGGTAGTAGCTGTGATGAATGGCAGCTGCCGTAGACAAATAACAAGTTTATATCAACTACTTGATGTATTTACGATCACTTCCTCCCCTCGTCCACCCACTTCCTATCCGCCTGATAAGGAAACGTAGAGCGGAAGTGCTTCGCGATATCCCTCCTGGTCGTCACCCAGACATCTGGTTTATCTGCGACGTACTTCATAAAGTTGCGCAGCGCCTCACATCGTCCAGGCTTTCCAATTATACGCGTATGCAGTGGGATGTTCATCATCTTCCCGCCCTCACGGTACAGCATGTCGAAGGTATTCTTGAGATACTTCTCGTAGGTCTCGCCCACACTCGAGCCAAATCCAGGCGACATGTGGAATTTGCCGTCGTTGCAGTCGTACTGTATCATCAGTCATTTTATTATCTTATGTATGGGGACAAGGGTGACAGCTTTACTCACATTATACGGAATCAAAAGCATCCCCTCCCTCTCCTTCTCCGGCAGACTGTCCTCCCACGGTAAATCCAGCCAATACGGCACATCATCATTATAACACTCCGAGCTCCAAAGAAACTCAGCTCCCAACTCCTTCCAAATCTCCGGGAAAAGATGATGCGTCTGCGGCGTCCCTCGCCCAAAGTACGCACCCACCGGCATCTCCCCACTAACCTCCTTCAACAACAGCAAACTCTGCTTGACATACTCTTTATCCTCCTCAATGGTATAATCCCAGGTATCCCTCCAGCGTAATCCATGACTCGCAATCTCATGACCATCACGCACGAGAGCCTTCGCAAAAGTCGGATTCTTCTTCATTGCCACGGCCACGGCATAGGTCGTGAAATTCCACCCAAATTCTTTGAATAGTCGCATAAGTCGCCACGAGGCAACACGGCTCCCATACTCAAAGTCGTGCTCGGCGTTTATGTACCGTGCGTTTGTACGATGCCCGCCCGACGCGCCTTTTTCCCAGAGATAGGGCTCGGAGATGTCGTCCCCGTCGAGGATGCAGCGTTCGCCTCCTTCTCTGGTTCTGTTAGAAATGTAATCACATTTGGTTGGGGAGTGAATTACTCATAATTAAGAACAAACGAGACTGCAATGCGTGCGCCATTGGGCCATTTCGCGTCGAAGCCTTCCTCGCCGTAGCCTTCGAAGTCTCGCGGGACTTGGTATTTCTGTTCGATGTGGACCATTTCGCTGGTAGTTGAAGTTGGGAAGAGAGTAGTAGTCTGTCTGTCTCCAACTTAAATGGCCAAGTACTCCGTATACCAATATCGGCTTCCTTATCGTATCGTGCGGGGTCGGTTCCTCCGTCGGAGGCTCCGGCTTATCAGGAGGATTGGATGGGATGGGATTGCCGAGGCTAGATTTACTATCTTTGTTGGAGGACAAGATTGGAGTAGCAAGAACTATCTTTATCAGTTAAGGATGCACACGGTGAGCTCATCCTTGAGAATCAATCATATCAAACACTATGGCTTCCACACGAGAAACGCTGCTCTCTACAGCCAAAAAAGTATCATTCGAGATCCCAAAAGATGAAATATCAGAGTATGAAGAGCTTCTCTCCCGCACAAAGAAGACCCTCGAAACCGTCGCCGCAATGGATGGTAGGCACTCATCCCTGAATGCCCATCACCAAGACAAAGCCCTAATAATATGTATAGACTACCAACCACAACCAAACCTAACAATCCACCCCAGAAAAAACATCTACCTCCCACCACCCCAATCCCCTTCAAACCCCCTAAACGCCTGGGCCTGGCGCTTCACTCTGGCCTCCACATCCCCCACAACCAACACACTAGCCACGAAAACCCTCTGCCTCAAAGACAACATCTGCGTCGCCGGCATCCCATGCCTACTCGGCACATCCACAATAACCCCCTGGACCCCGCAAACCGACGCAACAATCGTAACCCGCATCCTGGACGCCAGCGGAACCATCACCGGAAAGGCTGTCTGCGAGAATCTCTCCCGCGGCGCCGTAAGTTCCACCGCCGCCACAGGACCGGTCCATAACGCTTACGCGTTCGGGTATTCCGCGGGCGGGAGCAGTTCCGGCACGGGGGCGCTTGTCGCGTCTGGGGCTGTGGATATGGGGATTGGATGTGACCAGGGTGGGAGTATACGTATCCCTGCGGCGTTGAACGGGTTATATGGGTTTAAGCCGACGGCGGGGCTTGTGCCATACACGGGGATTGTGAGTAATGAGGCGAGTGTTGATGTTGTGGGGCCTATGACGAGGAACTGTAGGGATGCGGCGGTGCTGCTGGGTGTTATTGCCGGGTGGGATGGGCTGGATGATCGGGCTGGGCCCGGGGTGAAGGGTGTTGGGGATATTCCGTGTTATGAGCGGTTGATGGAGGAGGGGGTTGAAGGGGTTAGGATTGGGGTTTTGAGGGAGGGGACTCCGGGTGGGATTGATCCTGGGGTTGAGAGGAAGTTCAGGCAGGCTGTTGGTGTTTTTGAAGGACTGGGTGCGAGTGTATGCGAGGTCAGCGTGCCGCTTCATGCGCAGGCGAGGAGTGTTTATTCGGTGCTGAGCAAGATGGGGAATCATATGGGGATGTTAGGGCAGGCAACGGGACGGCGGCAGGTCATGTTAACTGATCTATACGAGAAGAAGGATTTTCCTTACACGCCTGAAGTCATCAGCAAGGTACGTCCAGTAAACTGCCTAAATAATTCCAACGTGTTAACGAGACAGATGAGCGTCATGAGCAAAGAAGGGCTGCTGAGCGGAGAATTCGCGTGGCAGCACTACACAGCAGTCTATCCAAAGGCAGTGAACATCATGCGCAAGTTGAAAGATCTCTACGATGAGGTCCTCTCCTCTGTTGACGTGATAGTAATGCCGACGACCCTTTCGCCTGCAAGGCCTCTCCCACCGGTAGACGCAAGTCCACTGGCTCAAATAGACGCAGCGAAAGGAATGACGGAAAATACCTGCTCCTTCAATGCTACGGGACATCCTGCACTGGCGATGCCGATTGGGTTTGTAGCGGCGGAGGATGAGAGTATACAGTTGCCGGCTAGTATGCAGATTGTGGGGAGATGGCATGATGAGGTTATGATTTCGCGATGTGCGTATGCATGGGAGAAGGCGGTTGACTGGAGAGATTTCTAGTCAAATATTATTTGATTTGTTAAAATATTATGAAAATAGCCAGGTGTGTCGAGAATATATATATTCGTTTCGGGAACTGTACCCCTTTTTAGATTATTTGCTAATGTTTCCTAACGGCATATAGACTGACCGGATAGACAGCCGGCTGTATAAATATATACAGGTTTTCCTGGTCAGTGATGCAACCCCAGAAAGCAGTGACAGCCGTAGCCTGCTCCAACAGCAAAAGTACGAAAGCCTGCAGATCGAGCTGAGCCAAGTGTGTCGTCCCTGGCGTGGACCTTCTCCAAACCAGTCAGACGCAGGGGCCCCCCAGCGTTCCCACATTCCTGCATTCCGGCCGTTCGAGTCATGACAGATCACAATGACGCGTAGTCTTGGGTTTAGTTTAAATATACGGCTGGACTGAAAAGAGTGTCCAACTTCTAACTTTCTCCGATGCAGTGGTTGAATGGTCATACAATGTCATAAATACGATGCATTATCCAAAATAACAAGGGTATCCCGCAGGTAATAAACGCAGAAAAACAATTCAACCGCTTTCATCGAACATCCGGTTTCCGAGCATACACCACCGTTCCGGGGAGATAGGCGTGGGTGCGGTAATCTCGCAGCGATGCCCGCATCTGCGCGAGGTGTAACTGAGCACTTTCATACGACCAGCCCAGCGTGGACGTCAGCAGGCGGAGCATGAAGCCCTCCACGCCGCCGTGGAGACGGAATTGGTTCCAGCGGCCGAGTTCGTGCATTTTTGGATCGGCGCTCCATCTGCGGAGGTTAGCCACGTCAAACTAAACACGGTGACGATACCAACCCATTCATAGGCCATTTATAACCCGTCTCAACGACGTCCACGAAACCAGCTTGTTTCAGTCGCGATGCGGACTCCTCCCAGATTTTAAAGGTCTTTCCGAATCTTTCGCCCGACTCGACGACTACCTGCCCCCATTGGTGATAGAAGTGGTCTGGACCCATTGTGTCGTCATCGGCGACGGGTTGGACAGAGTGTTCGACGACTTCAATATACCCTCCCGGCTTGAGGCAGTGCAGGCAGTTGCGGAAGAACTCGTCCCAGTCGGGGATGCAGCCGAAGAGCTCGCGGATGTGGATAAAGTCGAATTGGTTTTCAGGGTATGTCCAGGGCAGGGTGATGTCGTCGATTTCGAAGGTGCAGTTTGGGGGGACGAAGGCGGGTTGGATGGGGGAGAGGTCGACGCCGGTGACGCGGGCGCTGGGGAACTCGTCGGCGGCGTCTCTGGTTGCAGTGAGTAGGTGAGCGAATTGGATGACTGGATCGAACATACATTGCCCAGATTCCGGTTCCTGTTCCGACGTCAAGAATATCCTGCTCGATCAGTACGAGTCCATGGCTGCCCAGGTGGTTGAGGTACCTGCGGGTTTTCGACCGGGGCCAAGTGAAGCCGACCGTCGAGAGTGAGGAAATACATGTGATGGGCGAGGTCTTGCTGGGCGTTTGCGCTTTCATCGTTCGGGCCCTAGCGATATGAGCACGGAAACACTACAGCCCGGTGACAACCTACCCAGTATGCGCCGTCGCGATAAGAGTGGTAGCGACGGCCAAACTCGTACCTGTAGTCTGTGATATACGTGGACAGAGACTTGGTGTCATCCCCAATCAGCGAGTCGTCCCCGTACGCGGAATCGCCATCGGAAAACTCCTCATAACGGCCGCCAGAGGGATGATACTGGTCCATGTCGGAGTTGATGAGCGAAGCGATGGGGATGGAGGCGTTGGAGCGGTCGCAGGCCTGGCTGACCATGGTGGTGGGTGGAGCAGCCAGGAGAGCGGAAAGATCTCGGGCACAAGGGATCGGAACCGTGGATCGAGAGATCTGGCAGAGAGTAGATTTAATCAGATCGCAGCAGTTGTCAGACTGATCACATTCCAGTCCTTGCAGACGTGAGGTTAATCAGGGGATGAAGTCGGACGCTGACACATCCGAGGGACACAGTGTGACAATCTCTTTGTTCTTCTTCACGCTGAACTCTCGTCTCCACCACGAAGCTTGTCGCACGTGAATTCACAGTGAGAATATCATAATACGCGGTCGCCATGATTCATAAGCAGCCCATCATGCCATGCAGATCCGCAGCAGTGAATAATGAGACTCCACAGATATGATTTAATGAAAGTCTTGGTTTCAGCCGGCAGACGGTCTGATCCCGCATTCCTGAGCTCCGCCATGTCAATAAATCTGCTGTCATCCCTTGCCTTCTTTTCCCTCTGTCCTAGTCTACAATCATCATGAGTGTCCTACGTAGACTGTCGGCCCTGGTCCAAGGCCGGCAAACCGCTGCGCCCGATACGACCGTGCTGATCGTTGGTGCAGGTAAGCTCCATCACACAAGAACCATGCACAATCTGACGATACAGGCTCAACTGGTCTCGCCCTCGCCCAGGGTCTGAAAAAGGTGACCACCACCAATCCATCACACCAATCCTTCAATTCAATCCATTACTCATCTGCCATGGACAATCCACTAACAATCCTGCAGGCTGGAATCCCCTACATTGTCGTCGAGAAGAACGAGAGCCTGCATGCACAGCCCCGAGACTGGAACATGGGCATGCACTGGGGCGCCGAATCACTGCAGGCCCTGCTCCCCCCATCCAAGTGGGCGCGCCTGCAGAGCGTACAGGTCGACCCCTCCACGCCCACCCCCGACACCGACGCAATCAACTTCCTCAACGGCCAAACCGGCGATCTTATGACCTCCATCCCCGCGAACAAATTCTACCGTCTACGTCGACGAAAACTCCGCTCCCTGCTCGCCGAGGACCTAACCATCCGCTACTCCCATAAAATCGAATCAATCACATATTCTCCAGACGGCAAACACGCAATCGCCCACTTCACCAATAACAACACCATAAAAGCATCCCTTATCGTCGGTGCCGATGGCGCCCGCTCGGCCGTGCGCTCGCACCTCCTAGGCCCAGAGCTTGGCTCCGTCCGCACCCTCCCCTACAGCGCAACATTCGTACAAGCGCGCTACTCCGCCGAGCAAGCTCTGTTCCTGCGGAAATTCCACCCGCTCTATCTCGCATCCATAAACCCGGCCAACCTGTTCGCATTCTTCGGCCTCCACGATATCCCAGACCCTGCCAAGCCCGAGACATGGACTTTCTTCTTCTACATCTCGTGGCCGTGTTCGCTAGAGGAGCAGGTCCAAACAGCGCACTGGACTGATGCGCAGCGTCTGCAGCAGGGGAAAGACTTTTCGAAACATTTCACAGAACCCTGGAAGTCGGCGTATGAATGGCTGCCGGACGACCAGAAGGTGTGGTATATGAATCTTACGGACTTTGACCCCGGGGCGGAGGGGCATCGGTGGGATACGCATGATGGGCGGGTGACGCTTGCTGGGGATGCGGCGCATGCCATGACGTATCAGCGGGGGCAGGGGTTGAATCACTCTATTACGGATGCGGGGAGGCTAGCAGCTGCGATTAAAGACTTTGTTAAAGAGAAGAGGCGCAGGGCGGATGCGGTCGCACAGTATGAAGAGGAAATGATTGCCCGCGGTGGAGGGGAGGTGCGCATGTCGTCGACGAATACAGAGATGGTGCATGACTGGAGCAAGGTCCAAGAGTCACCTATTATGAAGAGTGGGATGACGAAGGTGCAGGATATTAAGAAGCAGCAGGCGTAGTCGATGTTATATCTAGACACCTCCCATTTCACAGCGAACTTTTTAATATCTAATGATTTAACCCAGTTATTTCAGCATAAGCAAAATCCGCCGGCGCAAGAACCGCCTCCCGATCACCACATGAATAAAGTCCCAGCATGGCCCCCGTGAACGGCGCTCCAACAGGCAGCGGTGCTTCAACAAGGTCTCTATTCTTCACCTCCCCAACCCAGTACATCTCTAGACCTGCATCTGCACCACCCGGCAACACTTCCCGGAATCCAAACCGGTACGCATCACCGCATTCAATCCGAAGTATCACGTCACTATCCGGCGAAACCAGCGGGATATCCACACCCTGAGCCTCCGGTGCTGCGCTTGTAGGTGTAAATCGGATAATCCGCTTCCCAGCATCTGTATCCGACGTTGAAGATGGATCTAAGCGGACACCGATACTGACATGCGTATAATAATTTAAATAAACCACCGTCCCAGCCTCGACATTTACCGAGTCAGGAAGAAACCTCAACCTCGTCTCCCAAACACAGAATCTATGCGTTTGTTTGCGCAAGAAGAGCGTCGGACAGGCAGGTGTCGAGAGAGTATACGGAGCGCCGTGGAGACGTAGCCCACCTTTATTACCTGGTTGGGTGCATAGAATAGTGTAGTCCTTCTTCACGGGCGTATTCTTCCTGTACCACCCCAGCTGCAGGGTCGGAGAGGTGAACTCGTCGCGCCATTCAACAGGCGGCGCGTACTCATAAAGATGAGGCGAGTCGTTCTGTAGGGTTATTTTCTTCCCGGAGTTTACAACCGGCCAGTCGTCGACCCAGTCAACGGGGACGAGGAATGTTTCCCTCCCTAAACAAGTTAACATTGGACTTTGAATAAAAGAGTGATGGAGGTATACCGAAAACACTTTCCTCCCACCTCCCCTCCGCCTCCCTCCAAACAGGCCTCACCCCTAGAAATACCCCCCACCAGCGTCCGGCCTCATCAACCACAAAATCCGCATGTCCCGTATTCTGAATCTCATCATGAACCCCATTTCTCCAAAGCGGATTCACCGGCCCAGGCGTCCAGGGTCCAAACGGGCCGTCTTCGCTGCGGAAAACCCACTCGCAGTGTCCAGACTCCGTCCCACCTTCTGCTGTGAAGAGGTAGTAGTATTTCCCGCGCTTGAAGATATGAGAGCCTTCAGAGACACCAGAATTCGAGGAGCGGATGAGTTTGGGTTTTGAAGTCGGTGTTCCCGTTTCGAGGTCAATGGTGCAGATATGGATGCCAAAGTCTTTTAACTGTTTTGTACCAGCCGGGACAGGCGTTCTGTCGTGTTTGCGGTATGTACTACTTAGGTAGACAGTACCATCCGTATCAAAGAAGAGCTTGGATACATTAGCACCTGAACTATAATTAGGCATGCAAGCATGTAGGAGGTGGCACAGGTCATACATCCTGATCAAACCCGACAGCATCAAACCAAACCGGTTCACTCCAACTGCCCTCATCCCAAATATTATTCGTCTTGACATAAAACCCCCTCGGCCAAACCCTATCGTCATCCTGCGGCCGATACCGGGTAAACGCCGAGGTAACGATATAAAACACCCCGTCGTTATATCTGATCGTGGTCGCCCACACTCCACCCCCGGGCTCGGGGGTCTGGATCTGCAGCTGCGATGGCCGGGCTAGTGCGTGCCCGATGAGTGTCCATTTTATCAGGTCCTTGCTGTGGTAGATTGGGGCGGAGGGTGTGTATTCGAAGGTGGATGTTACGAGGAAGTAGTCCCCTCCGACACGGATTATGGATGGGTCTGGGTTTGAGCCTGGGATTATTGGGTTTGTGTACATTTTGGTGAATTTTGGAGGGGAAGATGTTCCTGAATGAAGCTGGGGTGGGGTTGATATAGACACTTGGAAAGGTGGTCATTGGTGGAATATATAGATCGAATATCCGGATCGCCGGTAGAATGGATGAACTGGAGCTTGGATAGCTGCATATCAGGCTAAATAACGTTCTCAGATGCAGTTTCGATGGTTCTTTAAGGCGTTCTCGGCCTGTCAGGCAAATAATGCTCAGTGGGGCTTAAAAGTGTATTTATAATTTAAAACTAGTAAGATCCAACAATCTATAAACACCGCCAAAAGAAACAGAGTTGGATGCTCTACATGGTTCACGTCAAACCAACAAAATCAATTATTGGCAGAAAGCCAGACTTCATGAGCCTTCTTCTGTCGTTCCCACTCCTTTCGCAGCTTCTTACTGCGACTCTTATTCACCGGCTCCCCTGCTGCGTCTTTCGTCGGAAGCCCGTCCTCATCCCAGGCACTAAACTCGTTGGTCTTGAACATGTCCAAAGGACCTACTTTTCCCTTCTCAAGCCTCTCGCGGACAAGTTTATCTTGCTTATCCTTCTCCTCATGTTTGCGCTTGGCTTGTTGAGCAAGTTCTTCACGGGCTTGTATGATATCCCTAGTCACTGCCCGAACTAGGGCCGGCATATCTTCCCGGTCTTCAAGGTAAATGCCGAGATTGAAAAGGTCAACATCGCGTAGACGATCAGATAGGGAGAGTATTTCTTTTGAAATATTTACTCCCCCTTCCTTCAGCGATGAAATACCCGAGCAGAAGCTATCAAGGATGCCGGCATATGGTCTAGCGGCGTCCGAAACACCAACTGTGACGGCCGATTGCTCTATGATCCTTTCAAGCTGTTCAGTGGTAATGGGGATATCCGATTTAGCAGCACGACGCAATGAGTCTCGCATAGCCGATAGTTGATATACAAACGGTTTAGCAGCATCAGGGATGTCAATTCCCTCCCATCCAATGCCTGCAATATCAGGTAAAGCTGCACCGTTCAGTCCAAGAATCGTCACGATTCGAGTCACCCATCGTGCTGCGGCGTCTACCGCTGCTGGATCCAATGACCGCACATCCTGGGTGTTGAAAACTGACACCAGATCCGAAATAGCGCCCATGGCTTTTGGCGTGTTGAATGAATCGCAAAAGTGTTCGTGAACCCTATCCTGGGCCACCTTGAGAGCCTCTAATAGCGAGGATTCAGCAGAAGACTTTGGACTAGCTCGACTAGCAGCATCCTTCGCCTTGATGAAGAAGTTGGTTAGTTTATCTTCCCAGGACGACGAGGCCTTGACCAGCTCCTCCGATATCTCAACACCATCTCGCCAGCCGCCTAATAGAAAGACAATCCTCAGCCCCCGCGGGGTCCAATCGCCTCGATCAAGAGCGTCGCGGACCGTCGTGAAATTCTTCAAGCTTTTCGACATCTTCGACCCCTGGATCGACAAGTGTCCCATGTGCAGGAAGTAATTGACCCATTGGCGACCATGGCACCAAAACGCCTCGCTCTGGGCCAGTTCATTATCATGGTGCGGGAACGCCAGATCAACACCCCCAGAATGGATATCAATCTGGCTCCCCAATCGACTCGAAGCCATTGCTGAACATTCGATATGCCACCCAGGACGTCCAGGTCCCCAGGGACTCGGCCAGGCTGGCTCACCAGGTCGAGAAGCCTTCCAGAGTGCGAAATCATCTGGCGATCTCTTCTGCACGGCTTTGGCTAATGCGCCCTCCCCGTCTCGCTGCAGGGGCTGGTTATCTCGATTCCATGGCTCGAGCCTGGCGTAGTGATTTCCGGCTTTCTCGAACTCTTTTATGTCGAAGTAGACGGATCCATCGGGAGTGACGTATCCGAATTGATTTCCCACGATCTTCTCCACGAAGTCTGCGATCTCTTGACCGTATTCTGTGACTCGGGTTATTTCGTCTGGGTCCAGGATGTTTAGGGCTCGCATGTCTCTCATAAAATGGTCTTCATATTTCCGGGTGAGTCTTGTGAAGATGTCGTATGCATCACCTGGCACAGTCGACCCCTTCAGACTATCAATGTAAGGAAGGTAGACTTCCTTGGTAGCATCGTAAAAAGCATCACTCGTTATGCTTCCTTCCAACGAATTCACCTCTTCCGGTTGAGCTTCAAAGGCTTTCATAACCTTAGCAATCATCCCCGCAGCCGGAATAACCGTATTAACATGCATCCGTATCTTCGCCTCAATATCACCAGGTTTCCCCTGCGGGTCCAACGCCCCTCCTCTGAGGACAGCACCATATACATCCTCAACCCTCTCAGCAAACACCCCAGGCTCGATATCATCATCATCATCAAGAAGCCGCAAATTCTCCCTCACATAAACCCCAAACGCCTCCCTCACATCCCTCAGAACACGCCTCGTAAGCACTGGATTCTCCTCCAAATACCCCTGAAACAAATACTGCTGCCGCCCACGGATAATAATCTTATCATCCACATCAGTAATGTTCATGACAAAGCGCACATCGAAGCGGAAATAATCCCGCATGACGCGGCGCAGGATATCCGTGCTCATGTAATTGCGCGCATGGCCGAGGTGTGCGTCGTCGTAGACTGTTGGCCCGCAGGCGTACCAGGTTACTTTCTTTCCGGTTGGGTCGATTGGGATGAAGCGGGTTTTGGATCTTGTTAGGGAGTTCCAGATTGTTAATGGAGGGAGTGTGGAGGTGGAGAAGGAGATGGAGGGATGTGACGGTGGGGTCCAGGGTGGTTGTTTGCGGGACTCCATAGCGTTAATCTGGTATGAATGGTAATTCCAAGTTGAGTGGAAAGAATATGATTTTGTTGCTTATTTAGAGGTAAATATGGCGATAGTGACACAATAATTTGACTCATCGTGCCCTGCAGCGCCGCATTCCAGATGTGGAATAGTTGGCCTCAGGCTGCATTGTGAATCATGATAGACATCGGAGACAACTAATTGGCAGGAATGGTTGCACAGCGAACTCGAATAGTCTTGTGTGTTATAAAGAGATATTCATTACTTTTCATCTTTGAATCTCGCACCAAGGAGACGGGGATATCTTGAACTACGCTACCAACATCCAAGGTATCATTCAACATCATATCAACATAAGAATTTTGGAAAGAAAAGTAAAGAAAAGAAAATAAAAATCAAATCCTTCTCGTAAAATCATAATACTCCCGCTTATAAACAGTATCCTCCGTCGACTTCGCCGACGCCACATCCATATGAATATCCGTCTTCATCACAATCCCATCCTGATCCCGATCTTGGTCCGGATTGCCGCCGGTAACAATAGCATCCTGACTCCCCAGTGTAATATCGCCCTTCCCCAGACGCCTGTTACTCTTCAATGGCGTCCGTCGCTGCATGAAATAGCTTGCGTTGGGAGATTTCGCGCTGGTATTGTGCGTGGAGCCGAATATAGACGGGGCGTAGGTTTTGACGAGGATGGAGAGGGAGGGGGCGCAGCCGCAGAAGATTGCTGTAGATAGACAGTTAGGTCTGGTATCTTATCCTGTTTTGTTAGGGGTGAATACATACCAACATAAGCCTCGATCGTGCACCAGTTAAGGGAGTCGGCAAGGAGGAGGTAATACTCTTCTTCGGCGGAGGAGAGTTTGGTCACGAAGTTGTAGCGAACGCAGGCAGCTAGCAGCAGTATTAGCAATAATCAAACAGGTAAATGGAAGATGGATTTACCAGCAATGGATAGAATGCCTAGTCCAAAAATCCCTAGGATAGCGCCCTTCTTTCGCCAGCTCAACTGCAGAGTATACAGCATTGGGACTGGGAGTAGATACGTCAAGATGTCTGTAACGATATTTAAAATGCCATTGACTTCGTAAAAACGCTGCTGCGGTCCCATTTCCATGCAGCCGTCCGAGGTTGGATCCGTCCAGAACAAGGATGGAGGACTACAGCCTGACAAAGCGCCGATGAAGCTCGCAAGAGACAGACCAATATTGAAGAACATGACGAAGAAGACAGCCCAGCGCATATGCTTTCGGGGATCGAGACGGAGGTAGAACCACAGCAGCGACATTTTGACGAAGCCCATGGAAGCGGTATATAGGAGGCGCGTAACCCAGATGCACTGCAGTGGTTAGAATGGTTATTATCGGAATGGGACTTGCATACCTTCAGCATAGGCACGGTGTCGCTGGTCGATATAGCGAGGGCGTGTTTTCCGATTCCATAGTTCGATCCGATCATGATCGTTATTGATAGTCCGAAATTGAGTACCTGGTGTAGGTGAGTATAAATCGACTGCCGTATAGATTAGGCTTACTGCTCCAATTATCATCAATACTTTATTTGTTAGTTTCGCTCTCCATTGAGTCTCAATGACTTACTATCATCCGTCCCCAGAGCGCGGAGCATGAAGGTGCGAGCATAAATACGCAGCGCAATGATAATCGAGTCAAACACGATGAACCCAATTCCCACGCCGAAGGTCGCCGCATGGCGATTCTCTGAGACATCGATTTGGGGCTCTGTATTCTGCCTGGCATTCATGTTTGACAAGTGGTGGAGGACGAAGAGAAACCACAGCCAGGTACAACAGGCTAAGTATGCAAAGCCATTCCCAACAATTTGTCACCTTGTGCAGCAAAAGGCCTCGTAAGTTTTCGCAGACGCAAGCTCTCTACATCCTTGTCAGACCAGGCCAATCATGAATAACGGCCCCAATGGACGAAGGAACGAGGGCCACTCTAGAAAGTTGGGGCTAAAAAGTTAAACTTCAGGATGCGATGCGGAACCGAGGGACCGCGGAATCAACTATTATCAGGCCATTGAGGGCTCTCATCGAAGGAGCAACAAGCGCCAGGCATCGGACACTTGGAGCGAAATGGAGCTGGCTGGTGCGATTATCGTCGATTCAGCCCCCAAACTCCACGGCCAGGCAGAGTCAATTCAATGTCAGCTCATCCACTGCCGGTTCTACCAATGGAATCTCATTATCCGGAATGAATGTGGCCCTGGTCAGCCATAGTGCAGTTATAGAGTGCGACGGACTCTGCTCGGCCCGGGCTGTCCCACCCTGAAACGCCGACGGACAACATGATTCATTCGTGTCTGTGCCGCCCCCAGAAGGAGTTCGTTCTTGACACGAGTAGCGAGGGCTATCGGGTCCACTTGAATGGCACTTTGACGTTTCCCAGATTAGCGGCCAATGGCGCTGGTACCGAGGGACACAAGCGAGGACTGCTCTTAAACATAGCCCCTCCTGTCAATTGCTCCGTAAACGAAAAAGAGAAAACAATCGCAATGGCTGAACCGAAGAACGTTGCATTGGTCTTTGGAGCCAGTGGTATCTCCGGCTGGGCTGTCACCAAGTGCGCGCTCTCATACCCCACGCCCACCACCTTTGACAGGGTGATCGGCTTGACGAACAGACCACTGCCCCTGGAGAAAAGTGGCCTACCGCAGGATCCTCGATTGGAGCTGCATCACGGTGTGAATCTGCGAGAGGGCCTTGACGACGTGCGGTCTCAATTGCAGGCCAAAGTTCCCAACCTACAGGATGTCACCCATGTGTACTATCTCGGTGAGTAGAAAATAACATACATAGCTCACTAGCTAACAGCACAGCGTACTCCAATGCAACCGCCTACTCCGTGGACGTGATGGCCATCCGGGACATCAACGAGAAAATGACCTACAACGCCGTCCACGCCGTCGACCAGCTGTGCAAGAATCTCAAATTCTTCGTTCTTCAAACCGGAACAAACGTACGTACACGTATCCTCCAGTTAACAACCTGCTAACCAGCACAGAACTACGGAGTCGCCGTCTTCCGCTTCCAGGAGCACATCAAGATCAACCCTCCCCTCCGCGAAGACAACCCACGCATCCCTTCTCCCTGGGGCGACGAGATCTTCTACTACGCCCAAGTCGACCTAATCAAGAAAGCCAACAAGGGCAAATCCTGGAAATGGTGCGAAGTCCGCCCAGACCAGATCGTCGGTGCGTACCTAACACCACACCCTAACTTCCCCTCCACCCAGTTCAATTATACTAAACAGCTTGGGGTACAGGCCACGTCCCCATCCCCACAAGCATGACATACGTCGAGCCCATCGCGCTCTACCTCATGCTCTTCCGGTACATCAACGGCCCCGGCGCAACCGTCGTCTTCCCAGGTCCCTACACGAACTACATCCACACCTACACGCCGTCCTCGCAGGACATCATCGCCCGCTCGGAGCTATACCTCTCGATCGAGACGCCGGAGCGCGCACACGGAGAAGCATTCAACACAGCAGACAGCGCCACGCCCATGCCCTGGACGGTTGTCTGGCCGAAACTATGCGAGTACTTTGGTCTGCACGGGCAAGGCGCGAGTCCCGAGGATAAAGGGTGGAAGGATATTGATAAGTGGTGGGCTGCGCATCAGGGCGAGTATAGGCAGATGTGTGAGGAGTACGGGTTAAATGTGCGTGAGATACCTGAGGAGACATGGATTTTCATGGCTGCGGGCTTTAGCTTTCTCGGGAGGAATCGCGAGATGAGTTTGGATAAGATTCGCAGTGTTGGGTTTACGGAGGAGTATCCGGTTGCGCATGGCTATTTCCGGGTGTTTGAGCGGTTGGTTGAGGAGAGGATTCTTCTTAGCAAGGATGATTGGACGAAGTAATATACTGGTAAGAGATGTTAATTTGTCTGTATAGATATATTCTTTTTGTAAAAGGAATGACGTTGTGGCTCTGGGAGATGTGTGAAGTGGGAATTCTATCGACATGGTAGATTTTACCATTCGACTAAAAAGCCCTTTCTACATTGCATTATATGCCAAAAGATTAATTGTATTCGGCCTTGGATACCCAACTGCCCATGCAAGTGAGCCATGTTGGGTTTCGCTCCATGGATTAGCAACGGGAGAGGATCGCGATCCATACATCGTGATCTAAGAAAGACCCCGCTCGAAGGCCTGTAATCTGGATCAATGGACTAAATTTCCCGGCTTGATGTCATGAAACTGAGAACCTTGGTCTGTGGGCAGTGTCCTGAAAACCCTATTGACCTTCTGTCTGGTTTTGGCTATGGAGATTATAGACTATGATTAGTTGACACAAATCCCTTGACTACACTCCATTTCTCGCCACTCTATGATCGTTTCGAAAGCCCTATGATATCTTGCCTTGTCTCATTTTGTTATGCGTTGTTTTGTTCATCACGCACTAATCGAGTTGAAACTCTTCTCCCCAGTCGCGAGTATTGTGGAGAACCTGGTGAATGCCAGGTTGAGATATGAGATCAGCAGCCCAGAGAACAAGGCCGAATACCGGAAGACGTGGCCTGGAGTGGTCTGTGGCTGTACGGCAATGACCGGTTCAACGGGGACGTGGATGGATCCCTGGGCTTCGCCATCGGCTAGGAGGGATATCCCTGTTAGAGAAAACCATGGAGATAAATAAGATACGCTGCATACCATTATAATCGATCTTCAAATCCACAATCGGATTCCCCCCCGCGGCCCTCCTCACATGCGACAGATAAACGGCACTCATCAGATGAACGGGGATATCATGGTCCGTCAGCGGCGAGGACAAGTCCGCCTTCGATCTCTTCCCGTTGACAAAATCAATCGCCTCCTGGAGGATGCCCCTTTTGATGTTCTCCGAATACAAGCCCGGCTTATCAGTCTTGTAGCGTCTGTCTAGGTCATCCACAGAGTAAGAATGGAACGGCGCCGTCTCGTTCAGCAGATCAGAGTTCCGGAAAACATGCACCTCAAAGTGGTTGTCGCTGCCCATTTTCGCCGTGCTGGGGACAGACCGGTCGTGCTTGTCGTTGGCCTGCCGGGAGTCAATCACGACGGTTTGTAGGGGCCCGCTTTTGATCTCGTGGAACTCGTGCTTCACGCGGCCGATTCCCTTGTATAGATCCGGACCGGCTTTCAGCCAGCTGCGCCGCGTGGACCCGTTGTGTTGGAGGTTGATCTGGGCGAGGGCGATGGGGTGCTTGCCCTGAAAGAAGGTGACTTGGATGGCCGAGTCGATCTCGCCCATGTCCTTTGTGAGCCGCATTAGGTCTGTCTGGGTGTAGTGGTTGAAGTCATTGTAGTCGGTGCCAAACATGCTCTTGTAGTCTTTGTCGTTGAACGAGGTGAGGAACCCGTTTGGCGTGATGAAGCTGCTGACCACCTCGGCGCGCTCAGGGCGCTTGGTCTCGCCCCAGCCCATCCTCATGAGTAGGTAGCACATGTCTAGGAAATGGTAGCCGCTGTGCGAGACCTTGCCGTAGCCGTGGCTGAAGCTGTGGTATGTTTGCTCCACGATCTCCGGTGGCATGCGCCACATGCCGTCGCAGTGGGTAGAGATGATGTTGGTGACGGGGCAGTTTGTGCGCTCGGCAACGTCCTTGATCAGGTCGAATGTGTGATGAAAGCCCGGGTGAAACCGGCGTTGGCTGTGGATCTGGAAGAACGTCTTCTTCGTCCTCTGCAGCTCCAGATATCTCGCGTGGGTTTCCTCAAAGTCTTCTGCGATGCCTAGCGCTGCGGAGGCAGAGGTGCAAGAGCCCGGACGGGTTGTCACGGGCTTGTCCATGACGACGTGCAGTCCCTCGCTGATCGCCCAGAGGCTGTAAACTTTGTGGACAAGTGGCTCGGTGCTTATTATCACGACTTGTATGCCCAGGCGACTAATCACCTCCCAAAGTTGCAGCCGGATGTGAGCGGGAATATCGGAGGTAAACGGTTGGACGAAGACTCTCTCGGCATGAAGGGCTTTCTGGGCGAGGTACTCATTGAGGGCCCTGCGGTTGTTTTCGATATCGACAACGGCACTTAGCTCCGCACGCCCTTCAGCTCGCAGGACGCCCAGGTGGGGGATGTAGGCCCTCTTTGCGTGAAGGCCTGCCCCGACGAGGAGGAACTTGACAGGCTGGGCAGGGACCTCTTCAATGGTAGCAGACGGCATTTTTAAAGATAACTTTTGAGATCTATTGAAAGCAAGATAAAAGATAGAACAAGGAAGGTGCGAGAAGACTGGATCGACTGCTTCTTTTTGGGAGCGCAGATCTCGCTCGAGCAGGGGCGCTTTTATAGAGATGGTCCTTTATTCCGACTATACCAATAATATAGCTACCCAGGGCTTCACTTTAGTGGTAACTAGCTTTGTAGCACCAAGCACCCTAATGGTCTAAGGGGACCTTCCGGGCCGAGCCGCGCTTGTACTACACGGAATTTACTATCTCCACTCCAGAGTCCGTAGTGGCGTTGTCATCAGAGTTTGGTTTGTGGCTCCTTAACGGCGTAACTTTGCGAAATACTCAGCTTACGGTGCTGAGCCTGAATCTGATGAATATGTTACACACCGATCCTTCTCTATGGTATCATAAGCATCTGCTATTGTGCAGCTAGCACACCATCCTGACGACCTGGAGACCGGGGTAAAGTCGGTGGCTTAGTGCTGATGTACGTATCGGGCTGAAGCTGACGGCGGCTTGTTTGCCTCGATCTGAAAATATGGAAGAGGGCTGGCCAGTCAAAAAAAAAAAAAAAAAAAAAAAAAAAAAAAAAAAAAAAAAAAAAAAAAAAAAAAAAAAAAAAAACCACATTCATGCCGTTAATCTAGTTCAATCTAGTCTAAACAACCGTAAACCTCGTCTCCCTCCGCACCTCAGCCGTCACACCCAGCAAATGCTCGCGACTAACCCTCGAAAACACAACGTAATACGCCACCCACGCTGTGATCCCCGATTCCGGCGCGGGGACGACATCGCCCCGTTTCAGAAAACAGAATGATTTCGAGATATGCCTTGCCAGATCCGGGCGTCGGCTCGCAAGATCCGCACAGACGTCGTCGGACTCGAACCGCCCGCCAGATTCGACGGGGATGAAGACCATCTCGCAGAAGTATTGCGGGCCTTGCGTGAAAGGATGGGATAGGGCGCGGAGCCGCTCGTGGTCGCGGAGAGAGGAGAGGAGGCCGAGGCCCCAGTAGTCGACGCCGTAGACGGACTCGACGGCGGCGGTTTCTTGGATGCCTGGGGGGCGGGGGTTGATTTCGATTAGCCAGGCGTAGGGGTCTTTGGTGGGGCGTGTTGAGCGGGGGGTTAGGTCGATGACTTCGGATGTGGTATGTGGGTTTTGTACGGAGCCGTATTCCATGGAGGAGTTTTGGACGCGGGCTTCGAGGTGGTAGATTCCTGTGGTGAGGCCTAGCCGGGTCAGGCTCTGGTGCAGGGATGTGTGTAGGAGATCGATCTCCGCGGACGGGAGCTTCGAGGGTAAGACATTGCCCAGCTCGATGAAGGAGGTGGGCGTATGGGATGAAGAGCCCGCGCTAGAGACATCTGCGGTCTTGGGGAAGTCGTCGGAGATCTCACAGAAGAGAACCTCCCCCTCAGAGAGAACAAAGTTGATGTCGACTTCCGGGCCATCGCAGTATTGCTCAAGCACGACTTCTGTTCCGTGCCGGTCTTCATTGACGCCCTGGAAGGCGCGAGATAGCTCCTCGACCCCATCGATCTTGAACACACCCTCGCTTAGAAAGCCCCTACACGGCTTCACAATGAACGGATAGTCCAGGTCCCCGCGTTGAACAACCTCCAGGGCTCCGTCAAGACTATTGACAAGATACGCCGGGCGGCCCTCTGAAACACCCGTGCGATACTTATCTGTAGCAATTTCATAGGCCTCGGCGGGCGCAGTAGGCAATCCTAAACGATCAGCAGCCTCCGCAACAGCAACCTGGTACGAATCACAAAATGTAACGATCCCGTCAACCTTGCGGTCGGCCAAAGCCTGCAACACTCGATCCCGCAGTAGCAACGGTGGCTCTAGTTCGACAGGCAAAAACTCCTTCCGCCAGTGAGCGTACTTCGGGCCCTGCAGCCAGTGGCCGTCAACATCCAACACAACCATATCGACGTTCAGCGCTCGCGCGGCCGTGTAGATACTTGCTGCAGTGCCCCCATGCTCGGGGCTACTGCGACCTCCTTCCACGATTGCCAGAGTTCTACGCGGTGCAGGGGCATCCAGCACCCAAGGGAACGAGAGCCGATTGGCGAGTTCTTCATCGAGGGCTTGGAAGACTTCCCGATAGTTATTGGACTCTGTAAATCCGATGGGTGGCCTAAGCAAGAGACCGCCGACTGCGCTATTCATAACCGCATGCAAGACAGTCTGGACGCTAGGGATTGATGCGTGCGCGTCGACCCGAAATGGTCTGAGCGATTGTTCCGGCTGGCCAGCAAAGAACGAGACGACGGCGTCCACAGACTCGAGATCGATCAGCCGCAGAGACAAAATGTCACTCCGCGCCAGGTACCCCGGCTTAGCGGCGAAAACAAATCGGATTGCACTGGTTTGTTGCCCCTGGGCGGCGGCGGCGGCCTGTAGCGCTCTATGCAAAAGGGCTGAACCAGGCCCGTGTTCGCATCGCGTCCAGGCAATGGATTCTGATTCGGATGAAGCGGAGGCGGAGACCCAGAGCTCTACAGCCTCATAAGTTGTAGGCCAGGTGTGAATAGGAGCAGGGGCATTTTGCGCAGCTTGCAATGTAATGTCGACAGTCTGCCACCATTCTGCTGACGTCGCTCGCCATTGGAACGTGTGATAGGCTAGGGTTGCTTGTTAGTCTCGACAGACGACAGTGGACGCGTGCAGACTGGCTGGATTACCTTCAACACTGCCCCAGCACGACTTGAGCTGACCAGTTTGGGTCATCTTGCGGACGATAATGAGTGAAAAGAATCTGTCAGAAAAAAAAATCTAAGCTGGGAGTTTCCGTCATGGTTAAATGGACAAAGCGATTTGCTTGGCGCACTAGTCAGCGGGTGATATACAGCTAGCTGTGATCACGAGTAGCCCTGAGTATCTCAGTGTTCCAGTCTGATGTACGTTAGCGTAAATAAAATATATCAGCTTCTGTAAAGATTCTTTTGAAAAACTGCTTTCATCTTGTATTCTTTGCATTTAGCAAACCTGCATTTTATGAACCCGATATGAGCTGACAGACGTACCTTCACATTATTTGAATATCAAACTTCTATTGTATCTATGCAAGCTCAGTACTAGTATATTGAGGCCTTCAAATGTCCAAGCAGCTTATACTTTCAATCCCCCATGTTGACTATTTAGTACTTCTTGTGAGCTGCCTTCGCGGAGTGGGTCTGCTGGCACCGAGCGGAGTTCTCGGAGTAGATCACACTGCGTCGGAGTGACCCACTCCGACCCACTGGATCAGCTCGGGTGTAACCCTAATTGCATCGATACAATACCCGTAATTGTAATCTATCGCATCTGTGTATCTACTTTTACTGATGACTGCAACTGCCAATCTATACCTGCATGTTTACGCCCTATCTACATGAGTAAACCGAACATAGAGAGGCGTGATATCCCACAGGTGGAAAATCTTCAAATCCTCCCCCCATGTTTTCGAGTCTGCGGTCAACTCCAGGTCGAAATTCCACACGATCCGCGCAATGATTAGCTTCATCTCCGCAAGGGCGAGTCTGTGAGAACGGGAACGATGTGTTAGTATCATCTCACTGGGTATGCCTTGGAAAGCGAAAGAGAAAAAAAGAGAAAAAACGTACGGTCGACCGGCACAGCTCCTAGGCCCTGTTCCAAACGGATGAGTCGCGGACTTGACGTCGTCCTTGTACTCTGGGTCCCCCAGCCAGCGCTCTGGCCTGAAGAGCCGTGGGTGCTTGAAGTACCGTGGGTCGTGGTTCATACAGATCGGAGGGATCGCAACTCTCGCCTGTGTTTAATTAGAACAGGCCAAATCTTTCCCATTTCCAGGGACGAAAGGAGTACTCACCCCTCCCGGCACATAATGCCCCGAGATCACATCTCCTCCCTCAGGAACAACCCTCGGCTGGGACGCCGGCGCCGCAGGCTGGATGCGCATCGACTCACTCAGTGTCGCAGCCAGATACGGCAGCGAAGCCACAGAGAGGAAGGTAATCTCTTCTTCGCTCTGGAATCTCCCGCGCACTTCTTGAGTAAGTCTCTCCCAAGCACCCGGATTCTTAAGCAGATGATAGATCGTAAAATCCACTGTCGTGGCCAGATTCTCGCTGCCGGCCATTATGAGCACGCCGAACGTCGCCCGGATCTCGGGCAGCGACATGTGGACTTTCTCTGGATCGTAGGGCAAGATGAAACTCATAAAGTCGCTTCGGTTGTTCGAGGCGCTGTCCATCTTCATGCGTTTTTCTACGCGCTCAGAGACAAAGTGGGCGTGTTTGGCTCGTTGCTCGAGAAGGGTCTGGGGGAGGAATGCGTCGAGGAGGGGTTTGATATGTGGGAAGTAGCCGATTGCGCGCTTGAGAGATGCATGCTTCATGACGCTGCCAAAGAGACCCTCGACCCAGGGATGGTATTTCTCTTCTTCGAGGCCGTGTAGCGATTCGCCGAAGGTGAGGTCCGCGATGATATCGAAGGTCAGGAGGGTGAGCCAGAAGACGAGGTCTTGGGGTTTCCCGGATGTCTTGGGCGCTGTTGCATGTTTGTAGAGTCTGGTGATGAGAAGATCTAAATGGCCCCGGACGATGTGCTCTTGCTCGCGGACGGCTTTTTCGGAGAACCCTGCGTTCAAGGTGCGGCGGTAGCGGGCATGGTCGGCGATATTGGGGACTGTGACGATGTTGTAGGCGCCTTCGTCGGAGGGGACGACGACCTTGGGGTCCTTGGTCGGGAGCTGGTGGCCGCTGCGGACGGTGTAGATGCCTTGCCAGGCGGAAGCGGTGTTGAAGGAGAGTTCGTTCGGGAGGACCCGGACGACGTCGCCGTACTTGTCGTGGAGTTTGCGGTAGATGAAGGGAAGGTCACCGCGCAGTTGGTGCCAGACGTAGGGGATTGGGGTGCCGCCGTGCAACTTGGGGCCGGGGAAGCAGGCGAGGGGGTGGAAGTAGAGATTATAGGTCACAATGCTCGCTAGGTAGACGATATACTAGAGGTCAATATGTTAGTACTGGGTCACCTCAGAGAATAGAGGGCAAGCCTTACTATAGCCAACAGAGGCTTAGCCAAGGCTATAACCGTCTGGAGAGAAATATATGACAGGAGAGGGCTGTCCCAGTGGAATGTGGTCGCCATGACGAAGAGAGCCGTTACATGCACTTACTGATGGAGTAGGTAATAGACATCTGGGCAACTGGACTTGGGATATCTTATACATATCACTCAAACCATGCCTCTCAGGTATGAGCAGTGTATGCAGGTGGCATGGTATGGTAGCCTAGAACGGTAACGGTATTTCATCTTTGATACGCCGTTTCTGTAATACGCAACCTGCCTGGATGGCGAGAGCTGAACAAAGACTAGAGATGAGATGCAGGGATGCCCTCAGGTCTGGCCCATGGCGTGATTGAGATCTTCGCAGTCCAGTCTCGAACTCAGAGTAACCCGAGTTGTCTCTCCAGGCCCTAATAAAAGAATTCCCGGCGCTGAGCTTCAACACCAGACAAGAGGTTTCAAACAGCCGTAACGATGTCGCCCTCGAGGACCAGCATCGACCCGCAAGTGCAAGATGAACACGCCCGAAAGGTCCTGCAGCGCCAAATCGACGGCCTGCCTGCTTCCTCGCCGGCCACCAACAGCAGCAGCGCCAGCGCCAGGACCGTCTTCGCGTATGCAACGCCATTCGACGTATTGCTCATCGCGGCCAGCACCCTCTCCGCTATCATTGCCGGCGCGCTGAACCCGCTGCTCACAGTCATCTATGGACTCTTCGTGCGCTCGTTCCAGGATCATGCGGATGGGAGGGACACGGGTGCCGCCTTGTCTTCTAACGTCTCGGAATTCACTCTCTACTACGTCTACCTAGGCATTGCCGAATTCGTCTTCATCTATATCGCCACCGTGGGCTTCTACCACTCGGGCGAGCGCATCACCCGCAATCTACGCCGCGCGTATCTGAAAGCGACCATCCGACAGAACATTGCCTTCTTCGATAGTCTGAATGCAGGCCAGGCCACCACGCATATTACCTCAGATATGAATGTCATCCAGGAAGGAATCTCCTCGAAGATCGCACTGTGCCTTACCGCGCTTGCGACATTTATCTCTGCCGTCGTGATCTCGTTCATCATGTACTGGAAGCTCGCTCTGATTCTGATTTCCACGGCGGTCCTCCTCGCAGGCGCAGAGTCTGTAGGTGGCATCTTCGCCGTCAAATACAGCAAGCAGAGCTCGGCCGCACTGAGCAAGGGCTCCGCGGTAGCGGAAGAAGTAATCAGCTCCATCCGCCATGTAAACGCATTCGGGATCCAGAAGGTCATGAGCCAGCGGTACGGGGCGCATCTAGCAACAGCAGAGAAATGGGGCGTGAAGACGCGTCTGGCGATCGCGGTGATGATTGGCACGATCAATGCAGTGCCGTATCTCAGTTACGGGCTGGCGTTCTGGCAAGGCTCGCGGTATGTCGTGAGCGGGGAGATGAGTGCGTCTTCGGTGGTCACGACGACTATGGCGTCGATTATCGGGGCATTTGCGGTGGGCAGGGTTGCGCCGAGCGCGGAGTCGTTTATTCATAGTATTGCCCATGCTGGGGTGATTCTTAAGGCGATTGCGCGGCGGTCACCACTGGATCTGTTTGATACGGAGGGGAAGCAGTTGGCTAGTGTGCTGGGAGACTTGGAGCTGCAGAATGTGAGCTTGGTTTATCCGTCGAGACAGACGGTGGAAGTCCTCAACCGGGTCAATTTGCAATTCCCGGCGAACAAGGTCACGGCGCTGGTTGGGGCGTCGGGGTGTGGGAAAAGTAGTATTATTGGGCTGTTGGAGCGGTTCTACGAGCCGACGGGGGGTGTTATCAGTAGGTCTTTCTGTCCTTTCCTTCATAGTCTATGCTGACTATGGCGTCAACAGCATTGGATGGGCACCAGATCAATGACTTGAATCTCAACTGGCTTCGACAGCAAATGTCCTACGTGAACCAAGAGCCCCTACTATTCAATAGAAGCATTTTCGCCAACATCCTTCTTGGTCTGAAAGATCCAGCAGGGCCAGGCTCGGAGAAGGAAGCACAGAAACTAGTGTATAATGCTGCTCGAATCGCCAACGCGCACGACCTTATCACGGCGCTGCCCCAAGGCTACCAGACAGAGGTAGGGGCGAAGGGGCTCCAATTGTCAGGCGGGCAGAGACAGCGGATCTGCATTGCACGAGCGGTTATCAGTAACCCTAAGATACTTCTGCTGGACGAAGCGACCTCTGCTCTTGACGTCAGGTCGGAGAGAGCTGTGCAGTTAGGGCTGGATCTGGCCGCGAAGGATCGGACCACGATCGTTATTGCACATCGCCTGTCGACTGTTCGTAATGCGGATAGAATCATTGTCATGTCTCATGGCTCTGTGTTGGAACGGGGAAGCCACGATGATCTGATTAGCCAGAAGGGGGTCTATGCCCGGCTTATCGAGACTCAGCAACTCGGGGGCGTCCCAGAGGAAGAGAAAAACACAATACTCGAAGAAGAGAACATGGATGTGGCCATCCTAGACGAGAAGGCTGACATCGTATATGTTAACGAGCATCATCCGGAGCGTAGAGAAGTCGTCGCAGCTGAGACGCATACAAGGCCCACATTCAAGACATACCTTCAAGTCGTAGGCAGGCTCAACAGAGATGAAGCTCCTGTCATCATCGCCGGCCTAGCGCTTTGTATCCTTGCGGGATTCGTCATTCCAGCGTAAGTCTCCCTTTGCCTCTCTATACTCAGGCAGCAGGCACTGAGTCCAACAGCCAATCCGTCTTCTTCGCCGAAGCAATCACCGCCGTCTCCCTCCCAGCATCACACTACCCCAAACTCCGCGACGACGTCAACTTCTGGTGTCTCATATTCCTCATGATCGCCATCGTCGCCTTCATCGCCTGGGTCGGGCAAGGCATCTGCTTCTCCTACAGCACCGAGCGCCTCGTCCACAAAGCCCGCGCCGAATCCTTCCGGTCCATCCTGCGCCAAAGCGTCGCCTTCTTCGACACAAAAGACCACTCCTCCGGCGCGCTGACCTCCTTCCTCGCCACCGCGCCAACAGACCTAACAGGCCTCAGCGGCGCCATCATCGGCGCAATCCTCACGTTCGTCGCGACCATCGCGGCGGGAATCGTCCTCTCGCTCGCAATCGGCTGGAAACTCGCGCTCGTTTGCACGGCTACAATCCCCGTCGTCACAGGCTGCGGCTACATCCGGCTCCGCATGCTCGCGCTCTTCGATAGCAAGGTCCGCAAAACCCACGAGGAGGCAGCCATGTACGCCAACGAGATCGTCACCGCGATTCGCTCCGTCGCGGCTCTCACCCTCGAAGCCCACGTGCTGGAAGAATACAGCGTGATCCTCGCAACACAGGCCGCGCGCTCACTGCGCTCGATCCTCAAGGCGTCGACCCTGTACGCGGCGTCGCAGTCATTCACATTCTTCGGCGCCGCCCTGGCCTTCTGGTTCGGCGGGCGACTGGTCTCCAGCGACGAGTACTCCATGCTGCAGTTCTACATCTGCTTCGCCGCGCTGATTTCGGGCGCACAGGTTGCCGGCGCGGTGTTTTCCTACGCGCCGGATATGAGTAAGGCGTTGCACGCGGGTGCTGATCTGAAGACGCTTTTCGATCTTGTTCCTGCTATCGATACCTGGAACGATTCTACTTCTGGTTCTGGTACCGAAAGCTCTGGAAGGATTGAAATTGTCTATGCAAGCTTCCGTTATCCAACGCGACCGGAGAGGTTAGTTCTAGATCGGTTCAGTGTCTCTATCCAGCCAGGGCAGTACGTGGCCTTGGTTGGCGCGAGCGGGAGTGGGAAGAGCACGGTGATCCAGCTTCTCGTGCGCTTCTTTGATCCAACAGAGGGGAAGATCTTCGTCGATGGGCAGGATATCTCCCAGGTTAATGTCAATGAGTATCGCCGGTTGGTGTCGCTGGTCAGCCAGGAGCCGACGCTATACGAGGGTTCGATTCGAGACAACCTCGTGCTGGGGACGGAGCGGGACGTGAGTGGAGAGGAGATCGTGCAGGCATGCAAAGAGGCCAATATCTACGAGTTTATTACGTCTCTGCCGTTAGTTCCCTATCGCTATTATAGACATTGGACAACCCTAACTGGCTAACCTCACAGCGACGGCTTCGCCACGACCGTTGGCACATCGGGGACGCTGTTGAGCGGTGGCCAAAAGCAGCGGCTCAGTATTGCCCGGGCACTGCTTCGAAAGACCAAAATCTTGCTTCTTGATGAAGCAACGTCGGCGCTGGACTCTGAGAGTGAAAGAGTCGTCCAGGAGGCCTTGGACCGCGTCGAGAAGCAGCGCACCACCATCGCGGTCGCGCATCGGCTGAGCACAATTCAGCACGCGGATCTGATTTGCGTGCTTGACCAGGGACAGGTCGTGGAGAGGGGCACTCATGCGCAGTTAATGGGGAAGAGGGGGGCGTATCATGACCTCGTTCAGATGCAGAGTTTGGAGCAGCGTCGGACATAGATCGTAGTTTATAACCCAGACGATTATCAACCAGAAACAGTTTACTATCATACACTAGAACCCGTCAGGTTCTTCCACGGGCTGAACATGAACCAAAACAGCTCTATCCAGCGCGCCAAATCCCTGGAATATCTCGGCCACCCATATACAATTGGCGAACTCAACTCCATAGCAAACTAGGCATGACCAGCTAACGAATATATTTCTAGCATGTCAATCGCCTCCACTTCCACTGAGGAATATAAATTCTGTGTACCATGCCATAACCGTACAATTGCCAAGGTGGAGCGTCTTATTGCCCCAGCGAGTGATGCGACGGATAGGGTTACTTTTGGTGGTGTTTCTTATGACCACGATCTTGCCTAGGGACGGCCTGTTGCTGTTGGCCCAGGGAGGAGAATGTACTAATTAAGGATGGAGTGCTGGCCGTCAGTATTCCCGATTCTTCGGCCGTTGTGGTGTCTTTAGCTTGAGATTTGCAGTGCTCCTCTTCAGCAGATGTATTTATTTTCGACCTAAGCAGACAAATTTGGAGTAACTGGATAAAGTCTTTCTTGTCCTCATTTTACCCTGGAATTAACAAAGCGGGGAACAGAAGGTCCCCCGCGTATTTTGCCGATCTATAAGCAGTTTAAACCCATTGGTGGGATCGAAGTTATACCAATGCCGTCTCCGCTTGGAATATGGCCCGATGGGTGTTTGATATTCATATTTATTTATTTGATCCCCTACTTTGCCTACTCTACGACTCTACGCCACTGCAGAGCCACAACTGTATACTCTTTTGCAAGATGCGCCTTAAATACACAGTCCACCATGCCAGCCAGCTGCTCCTATGCTCTCTCCTCCCTGTAATTGTCAACGCCAACCGGTCCCAGACGCGCCTCCATTCCGGCTGGAAATTCTCGCACTTCCCAGAAACCCCAGACGGCATAACGTACAGCATCCGACCAGACAACGAAAACGAGAACCTGGTCGAGCTGCGCGACTGGATCTTACCAGGCGCAAACCCCTTCATTGCTGATCCAGCAAAGCACTACGAGCAACCCGACTCTCCACCAGATATCGACATCCCATATGTCAACAACGACTTTGACGACGCGAATTGGACATCCGTTACCGTCCCGCACGACTGGGCGATAGCAGAGGATTTCGTGAGCGACGATGAAGTCTCCGGAGATATGGGCCGGCTACCAGTTCGCGGAGTTGGATGGTATCGGTACAGCGATCTTTATTTCCCAGCGTCCGAGCAGAATGCGAACCATTCGATTTTCTTAGACGTTGAGGGGGTCATGGCGTATTCCATGGTCTGGCTTAATGGCCATCTAGTCGGAGGCTGGCCGTATGGGTATGCGAGTTACCGGCTTGATCTCACCCCGTATGTGCGCTATGGGGAGGAGAATGTCCTTGCGGTCCGCGCGGAGAATCCGCAGACAAGACAGTTCTCCCGCTGGTATCCTGGTGCTGGTATCTATCGTGATGTTTGGATTACGAAGGTTGCGAAGACGCATGTGGCGCTGTATGGGACTGATATCAGCACGAGAGATGTCTCGCGAGACAGAGCTACCGTTGATCTTGCTGTTACGGTGGATAACCAGAACAAGTGGGATGCAGGTGTTAGAGTTGTTACTAACGTCCATGAATATGTCTCTGGAAGGGTTGGGCGCAGAGTTGCGGCATTCTCTAATCAGACGCTCCATCTGAGCCCTGGAAAGTCGTCGTCTATCAACAGCTCCGTCACTATCAAGAATCCCTCGCTCTGGGGCCCTCCACCAACCCAGAAACCGAACATGTACATCGCCATCACTCAACTATACACCAGGAACCAGCTGCTAGACCAATACTCGACCCCCTTCGGCATCCGCAATCTCGCATACTCTCCCACACATGGTCTGATAGTCAACAACGAGCGAATCCCCATCCAAGGCGTAAACCTACACCACGATCTCGGAGCCCTAGGAGCAGCATACAACCACCGCGCCGCAACCCGTCAGCTCGAGATCCTGCGCGAACTGGGCGCAAACGCAATCCGCACGGCCCACAACCCTCCAGCACCATCCCTCCTCGCCCTCGCCGACGAAATGGGCTTCCTAGTCCTCGACGAGATCTTCGACGTATGGGAAGCCGCAAAAGTCGACTCAGACTTCAGCCTCATCTTCACCGACTGGGCCGAGGCAGACCTGCGCTCATTCATAAGACGAGACCGCAATCACCCCTCCATCGTCATCTGGAGCGTCGGCAACGAAGTCCCCGAACAAGTCGACAACCAAACATCAGCCGGCAAGATCATGGCCTCTCTCCGCTCCATCACCCACCAGGAAGACGCATCCAGCACCCCGCCTCGCCCGGTAACAGCCTCCCTCAACCGCCCCGTCTCAAACAGCACCATGGCGGGCAACATGGACGCCATCAGCCTAAACTACCAAGGCGAAGGCGTCCGCTGGGGTCCCGCATACACCCATCTCACCGGTGGAAGCCGCACTTCGCCACAATACGACACTTTCCACGCTGCCCATCCTTACGCAGCACCAATCCTAGGCTCCGAAGTTGCCTGGTCCCTCAGCACCCGCGGGTCCTTCTTCTTCCCTGTCTCGCCATACATCTCCGCACCGGTAAACGACACAAACGGCGGCGGGAACTCCTCCATATACGAAGTGAGCGCGTACGAGGTCTACTCCTCAGACGCAGGATCCACGCCAGACCGCGTCTTTCTAACGCAGGATACGCACCCCTTTGTTGCGGGCGGTTTCGTGTGGGCTGGGTTTGATTATCTGGGCGAGCCGTATCCGTATGATGCGCGGAGTGCATATTCCGGGATCCTGGATCTGGCGGGGTTTAAGAAGGAGAGGTTTTGGGTTTATCAGGCCAGGTGGAGAGAAGATCTCGCTATGGCGAAGATTGTCCCGCATTGGAATTGGCCTGACAGGGTTGGGGAGATTACCCCTGTTCATGTGTTTTCGAGTGGGGATGAGGCGGTTTTATACATTAACGGAGCTCAGCAGGGACCGAAGAAGAGGAAGGGGGAGGGTGAGTATCGCTTTCGGTGGGATGAGGTTGTGTATCAGCCCGGGGAGGTCCGGGTTGTTGTGTACAAGGAGGGGAAGGTTTGGGCTGAGGATGTAGTTGCTACGACGGGCGAGCCGGCTGCGTTGAGGCTTTCGGTTGATCGGAGTGTTATTGCTGCTGATGGGGAGGATTTGGCGTTTGTGACGGTGGAAGTCGTAGACAGTGATGGGAATGTGGTCCCTACGGCGGATGATGAGGTGCACTTTAGTATTGCCAACAGCAGTGGTGCTGGGGTTGTTGTTGCTACGGATAATGGGTTTCCGGCGGACTTCACCAGTTTTGCTTCTAGCAGCAGGAAGGTATTCCATGGGTTAGCCCTTGGGGTTGTACGGGCTGAAGAAGGGGTTTCTGGGGATTTCGTTGTTGAGGTAAGCAGTGATGGGCTTAGGGCTGCGGAGATTACCATCACAGCACGTTGAGTATTCCTATAGAGACACTATAACACTGAATGTGCAATTACAGCAATCTATGATGTAATTAACTATTCCCCAGTATACAAGTTACTCACTATCACTCTCCTCCGCCTTCTTCAAACTCTGCTCCTTGGTCAACTTCGGATCCCTAATACACAACGAGAACGCAATAAGCGGCACCGTCAAGCAGATACCCGCAATGCACAGAATCCTCTGCGTATGCATATACCCCAGGACAACCGCATCCCGGTCCGGTGTGCCGACAGGGTTGTTTTCCGCAAAGGTGAACGGGTCCGCGTAGACCTCTGCGGCGAGCGTCGCGTTGCCGAGGTTGTTCGTTAATTCTGAGACAAGCGTCTGGGACCAGATTGCGCCGGCGATGGAGCTGCCCAGGGCGGAGCCGATGTTGTACGACGCGAGGAAGAGGGCCGTTACGATGGCGAGATCTGCAAGAGTTATGTCGCCTGTATTATGTGATGGGGCAGGATACTTACGCTCGTGTTTGGTAGCAGTTTGGATACTCGCTTGTGCGGGATAGGGGAACATTCCACCAGCTATACAAGAGTCAGTACAGTCGAGAGCAGTTAGAAGTCTAAGGACAACGCACCAATACCGAGGAGAATTTCACCACCGATGATACCACTGTGGCTCGACCCGCTATCCCCCCCACGGAAGTGGTACAGGATACCAAATGCAACAGTGAAGAGGCATGTTCCGGCAACGATGAAACCTTTAAGACGGCGCACTTTCATGACAATGGCACCGAGAATGCAGCCTGCAATGACGGAGGAAAAGCTACGCGATTTAGCGAAAGAACGCGATCTGGAGAATCTTCAACCTTACCTGTAAAGAGACGAAATCCGAGTAGCGCTGAGGACGCTCTCGTTGAAAGAGACGACTAGCACGGTGTAAAGGTAGTTACCTTGCAGAGCCCAGGCTGGTGCTGTCAGTATACTCCCTTCTTCTTCAAGGGCGAACACATACCGCAATTAAGCATGATCGCGATTCCAATAGCTCCCCAAACTGCTCTGTCTTTCAGAAGCTGCACCAATTAGCAAGATCACCTCAGCCATATTCTACAGTGCAACTCACCCTAAACGGAATCATAGGATGCTTGCAGGTCTGTTCCCACCAAACCCACACCGGGATGCAGAAAACACCAATAACCAGCGGCGCAATAATCTTCGCTTGCTTCCACTGCTCGGCGTATCCCCCAGCGAGCGTAAAAGGAACGAGGATAAGTGCAAACACGGCGATCAGCAGGACGATGCCGACCAGGTCCATTCGCCAGAAAATTTCAACGAGGAACCGCTTTGCCCCGTGGATCTGGAGAAGACCCTGGTATGACTCGATCTTCTTCGCTTTTATATGGCCGTACAGTAACGTCAGGAAGAGCGGGATTGAGCAGACTACTCATGTTAGTAGATATCTTCAACCAACACAGCAAGATACATACCCGGAAAGATAATCGTGAACATGCCAATTCCCCAGCGCCAGGTCGTCACCCCGAGCACGGCGCTTGTGAGGTTCCCACCAATCCAGGTGTTGATCTACACTGTTAGCCAGATCTAACTAGGTCAAAGAGCAACTTACAATAAACGGTGTCGCAGGGATATAGGAGAACAGAAGACGAGAACGCGTGGAGGTCGTATCTCCAATCAAAACCTCCACCAGGAACATGATCCCCGTATATCCAATCTGTAACAGTCAGTCACCCTATCCATGTACTATAGAACGGCATACCTGGTAAAGCACAGCACCGGCACAAAAGGTCTGGACGTTGTTTGAGGCCGTCTCAACAACGGTTCCTGTCTTGTCAGCCCATCTTCACCCCATCACCAGCAAGAGGACATACCCAAAGTATAGAAGAACACCGAGAAGAAGATCAGCTCGGTACGACCGAACATATCCGCGATTTTCGCAGCAGTGGGCTATCACACTCAGCAACGAACAAAACCAGATCCCAGTATAAGGACATACCTGCGCCGCAGCCGCAATAACCGAGCGAAGGACCTGCACCGTGGATAACAGACTATGGGTCGCATAACTCGCCGTCGCAACGGGCTATACAGTAAATACAAAGATGAGCAATCACGAATTCAAAGACCGGTAGTCAAAAGAGTTAAACACACCTGGTACGTATTCCGTACAGTCCCGTCCAAGCCATAAACGTACGCGACCAGCCAAACACTAGCAAACAAGCAAATGCGACTGTAGAAACCGAGCTGGGAGTTGATGAGTTCGATGCGCTTGACACCGGGACTCATATCCGCCGAGTCGTTGGAATGTGCCACTGCATCTTCGTACACGGGCGGGGGATCGTGAGCTGCGACCGCAGAGACATCGCTAGTTTCCTTTGATTTTGCAGCGGCGCCCATCGTGGATGTATCGAGAGGGAATATTGGTACAAACAAGGATAAAAAGCAGGCAAGAGAAAGAAAAAACGAAGGAGCTGGCTTGGGCAGGGATAAAAGGGCCAAACGGCGTGCACGGGCCGGACTGGAATAATCTCAGATCAGCTCATCTTATCAGATGGAGACTAGGACGAAAAGTCTGCAGGACAGACAAATCAGCGACGGTGCCGGTTCGTATTCGCCCAGGCCGCTGCTCTTGGCTGTCTACAAGTCCAGACAAATCAGGAGTCTGGCCCGCGCCCAGGATTTCGGTTCCGTGGGTTCGCCGAGGCCTTTAATTGTTATCATATCATATCAATCTACACTCTATGACACATGTTGTGGGGATGGTTGTGGCAACGGCAATTGGAAAAGTCATCCGGCAGCACTCGATCGCGCCGCATTCCCCAAATCATTCATTAACTGGCAGAGTCCCTGCACCAGCGTCGGCAACGCATCGTGAGGAGCATCCGCCCGCAGAAGCCCCTGCGCCACATCCATCACTCGCCCTGGGTCCGCGACAACAGCAGGCCCGCGGGTTCCGAACCCATGCAGCGCCGGACAACCACGGCCAAGCGAGATGAACTTGTGCACGTCGTTGGTCTCATCGCCGTCAAGGAACACCATCGGGTAGCGATCTCGCAGGGCCGAGTTCGAGTCCGAAGTTGGACTCGCCGACGTGGCAGTTGCTGCCATCTTGGACTCTCGCGCCTTGGACACAACACTATAGGACCAGAACGCCAGGCTTGCGTAGTACACCCCCACGGCCAAGAATCCCGTCAGTGCGCCTGGTGGCATGCTCTTCGCCGCTCGCAGGACTTGGCCAGCGTGCCAGATTGCGCGCCGGGAATCGACGCTGTGGACCCATTCCAGGGCACTGTGGTAGACTCGTCTTGCTTCCTTCTTGTCCTCTTTGCCCGCGAAGAGCTGCAGATCTTCCAGCGACATGAACACCAGCATGGAAATTACCTCGTAGACCAGGGATATTTCAGGGCCCGGCATGTTCGCCCATTCATGGCTGATCATGCGGAAATGCTCAAGGACTTGCGACAGTTCCTGCTGTCGCGAGTTGATGACCAGTGCATTCCAGTGTTTCGAATTCCCTTGCGAGATGAATTTCAGACGGTGATACTCGTTTATCAGCGCTGATAGACCGTGTAGGATAACAAAGCCGGAGAGCTGGTAGTCGACTCGGCCTTTCCATTGTGACATGTCGCGTAGTGTATCAACCAGTGATGGCAACCGCTCCTGTCCTGGCGTTGCAGTGGCAAGGTAGATGTCTCGCCATTCCGTGGCAGATTTCGCCTCCCACAGTGGTCGAATCATCGGGAACGGAAGCTCCAGATCCGCATATGAGATTAGCGGGTTAATGTTTAGCATCAACGCGGACTGTGCGTCATGGAGGAATAGATGGTGGACCAGCCTGGATTGTCAGTAATAGTCAAACTCCACTCGAGGAAACTTACCGTTTGAACGACTCTTGTTCTGCCCAATCCCGCCACTTCCGGTCCAGAACTTCAGGTGTGTCTTCAACAGTAGGTATTATAGCCGAATAGACAGAGCGTCGAAAGCGCAGTCCACGGCGCAGCATCTAAACCGTCAGTACCTTACAAACAATCAGGCTAGCTACGTACTGTGAGAATTGGCTGTTGAAAGCTTTCTGCGATTTCAGTGCGCCGGCCGCTTCCACTCCAGATCCCTATATCAATGACCAAGACGTACGTCTGAGAGGCCCGCAGCTCCCGAATTGTCCTATTATCAGTTTCATACTACCATTGTTAGCACCATCCACAAACACAAACGACAATATATACCTTCTGAGACAACTGCACACGCACAACCTCCGTCAATGCATATCCCAACTTCCGTATCGTCGGAATAGTCGACCTCACAGCCGCAGCCGCAGCCAACACACCCAACATATCTGGATTCTGCTCATTCGGATGAAACGTCGGCCCATGGATCCACGAGTCGACCTGCTGACTCTGATACGCAAAGTAATCCTGGATAAGACTATCAAGAAGTTCCGTGCTAGGAAACGACTTCATAATCCTCGTCAAGTTCGCCCGCAGGCTTGTTTGCAGGACCATGCCGAAAATCAAATCCCTGCTTCCGGGAGATAGCCGCTCCGATAGGATCTGGTGCTCTGAACGCACACTAGCCTCGGGGCTATCGATTGATTTTGGGACGGATAGATATGCTTGGTCTGCGAAGGCGTGGTCTTCGTGTGCCGGTTGCCATGCTGAAAGCGAAGAGCGCTGGTATGCTTCTGCGCCAAGCGCAATCCCACTATCTGCATCTAGCCGATCGCTTGGGTCATCAGGCTGGACGGCTGGATTGGCCGAGCCTCTGGAGTTGTAGAAGTCGATCAAGCCGAAGTCGACCTCGGTCAGATCGAAGTTGAAATTCAGGTTATGGTCGTACAGGCGGTGGGCGTAGTAGTCGTTTGGCGGGAACGCGGACGGGTCGACGAGCTCACCGGGTCGAGATAGTGAGACCAGCGAGTCGGGGATGAACTCGGGGAAGAATGTCCCGTCGACACTGAATACCCCGCTCTCGTGGTCTACCAGCGGAGAGACGGTTTGTGTTGTGAAATCAGGCTGTGGTGGAACTGTATTATCGTATGTGCCCGGCATGGGTTCGCCTGGTCCGGGATTCAGCCCCGGGAGAAACGTATCCATCTGAGCATTCGGTGTGATAAGGGGCTGGGGGTTGAGATCGGAGTTTAGAGGTGAGAATGTATCTTGCGATGACTCCATTGGGGAGAATTCCTCATCGAGTTGCTCATCGTTGGATGCTAAAACATCAGCACAGATCAAATAAGGGCAGGTTGAACGTACCCTGCTGCTCCGCAAGCTCCGGCGCATCGCTCACGCCAGCATCATTATAATCGCAAAATAACTTTCTATCGCGACACCGACGACACGGCTTCTCTTCGTCGCATTTGAGCTTCGACGTCGCACAGGCCTTGCAAGCCTGCGAAACGCGACCGTTCTTCGAGTAGGAGGAGGTGCGCTTCCGCTTCCCGTCTTGCGAGTGACTGTGCCCGGCAGAGTGTCGTTTCAACAGATCTCTACCAACCAGCATCAATAAAGGGTTCGAAATGAAGCTTCAAAAGACTTACGGCCTCGAGAACCCCTTGTTGCAGACTTGACAAACGTACGGCTTCTCGCGGGTATCTATGATGCTCGGTCAGAGAAACACCAAATGCGACTATATCTCAGAAACGGAACAGAACAGACGTGATCGGACATGGCGGATGAGGTGGTCCGCACGGTTGTAGCTCTTCCTACACGAGCCGAAGCCGCACTGGAAGTACCCTTGACGGGACTTGGAGTCCAGAGGAGAGTCATCGGGCATTCTGCATTGCATTTACAGAGGATGGTTTTAAACAGAAACGTGGAGGAGCGGGGAGGTGGAGGAGGGAAGCCGGACTGAGCTGGAGAAGTGAAGAAGTCATTTCTGCGTGGAGAGCTGCCATTATGCGGGGGCCAATCGCAGGCCGTGGTTTACTACGGCTCAAATAGAGCAATTGGAGGGATTTACAGGAGTCTGGGGAACTCCAATGCCTCAAGGCTGGTTGTTGCCTGGACAGAGCACTGCCGTTGTTGCAGCCGGAAATTGATCCTGGCTGAATCTAATATGATTAATTACGTATGGTTAAGATTTGAATAATCTGAGGAGATTATGATGAGGATTTGATGGTCTGACACACACTTACATTCCCTGCGGGCCCGATGTGGTCTCGGAATGTGGAGGCGCTTCCCGACACCGTCTCTGGAGTGGAATCATGAACAACATCAAGACCCTGGTTCTGATTGACATTTCATAAAAAAGATCTCGTCCTCATTTAGAATAATATTGCTCATAGCGAGGAATTCCTTGTTAAGTCTTTACTAACACCGTCATCCACCATGGGTAAGCCGCCGAAGCCATCAAGGATCCCCATCTAACAACACCAGGTCTCACCCCAGTGCACTTCTTCTCGCACGGCTCAACAATGATGCTGGGCGAGGAGTCCGAATCGGCCGACTACTGGCGCAAATGCGGTGCCGAAGCTCTCGCGCGCGGAATCAAGGGTGTTGTCATAATGGTACTTCATCCCTATCCCCATCTCCTGTCACCGTATACAACACCAACTAACAACTCCAGGGCGCACACTGGGACGTCCTGAATGACGGCCTCGAAGTTGCTACAAACCCAACTCCCGCGAAATCCCCCGTCGCCTACGTCCACCCGGACAAATACGAGAACTACAAACTCAACCCCGACATCCCAACCGCCCACCGATGCATCTCCATGCTCCGTGCCGAAGGCTTCAACGCCAACCCCAACAGCACCTTCGACTGGATCCATGACGTCTACCTAATCCTAATCCACATGTTCCCAACCCAGTGCCCACCCACCACCATCATCAGCATGAACGCGCGCTACGACCCGCACTACCACATGAAGATCGGATCCGTGCTGCGTCCTCTCCGCGCCGAGAACTACCTCTTCATTGGCACGGGGGGCGCGGTGCATAATCTCTACCGGAACAGGTGGGCGCCGATGCTGCGGTTCCGGGATAACTTCGCCATGGAGACGCCGCCCGAGGACTGGGCGCTGGAGTTCCGGCAGGCGGTTGAGGACGTTATTACGAAGACGGGGGGTGGGCCGGCTTTGAGGCGGGCGATGACGAGGTTGATGAAGCATCCTAGGTTCCGGGATGCGCATGGCACGGATGATCACTTTATGGCGGCGTTGTTTGTGGCGGGGCTTGTCGGGGATTGGGAGGATAGAGGGGTGAATGGGGTGCTTGCGGCGGAGAGTTGGGAGTTGACGAATATGTGTAATTCGCAGTTTACGCTTGGGAGCTGGAAAGAGACTGCTGTGGGTGCCTAGTCTCTGCCAGTACTTGGTCTGGCTTTGTTGTGGTGGCTTACATAGCTCTTATTTACTTGGTGGAAATGGTTCATGTTTTATCTATAGTGCTAAGCAGCAGTCAGTATGGTACAGTGTAGTATATTCATCATATTCCAGGCTACGTATAAGGACTTACGCTTGGTGTACTGCTGATGCATTTCATAATGTACACATTTGTCGTGCCATATTTGACTACCAACGAAACAGGATACTAAGCCAGAAATATACAACTAAATCAAAATGCAGTCCAATCTTGTATATAAATCAAAATCTCCTCCTCAAAAACGAAACGGTATAGAACCCCAACGTTGACACCGTCGCCACAAACGAAAACAGCGTAATCACACCTCCAGTAATCATGCCCTGCTCGAAGAACCCAATACTTTTCCCAGCTCTCTGCCCCGTAGATGGCAGTGGTGCAACTGCTTCATTCCATGCCGTAATTGCCTCTTGGGAGCCGGGCTTGTCCAGGACCCGGCGTACAAGTGCGTCGCCACTGCTTTGTGAGACGAACTGTGGCCGTGGGACTTGAAACAGCGCGGTGCTGTATCTGGTTTCGCGGCTTGGTCGAGAGTTCACTGGGTATGCAGGTCCGATGAGCATCTCTAATGGCACTTGGTTAATCCATGAGGCGTGGGCGTCGATGAACTGAGTTAGGTATTTGGCGGAAGAAGAGTTCGCAAATGCATATGTTGCTGCTAACGTTCCGAAGCTAAATAATGATTAGTACAATCCCATATAATAATGGATATAATAATCACATACGAAGCACTGAAATCAATTGCATCGTCGAGACTCGTAATTGGATGTAAAACGAGTACTTTCTCATCGACTTTCTTCTGTAACAGGGGGGAATTTCTGTCATGGACCTCGACGATGCCCCATCCAGTGCCAGAAACCAGCACCCGTGCGCTAGGATCCTTGTGAGCTAGGTCTATAAGTGATAGCCCGGGGCTTGCGCGACGTGGGTTAACAGCCTTTTGCCTTTCTTCGCCGGTAGGGCCAGAAAGGTACTTGGACGAGTGGAGGATAGCGACCTCTACAAATGCTTTCATGGCAAATTCCTGAACCAGCACTACATCCGGTGAGTATGTAGATCGGCCCCCGAATGCGAACCGTGCAGCCACCAGGGACTTTGCAGCAGCTGGGATGTCGGCTGTTCCGTCGACGACGGCGGCTGTCCTGGCTGTGACTGGGGAGGTGAGGCTGCTCTCTGGGAGAGAAGGGGCGTTGACTTGCGAAACTACCAAAGTCTTGCTAAGAAAGTCAGAGTCTGGTCTCTCCTCGCTAATGGCAAATGTATCTGCGTCCATGGCCTCTGGGAGAATTTTTCGAAGCAATGGAGGAAGAGCCATTGTATTTTTCGTCAACTACACCAGTTAGCAAGCCGCCAATCCGTCAGGGATTGATAGACGAACCTCAAGAATGATACAGTTTCCCGCTGCCAAAGCCGCTGCTAACGCCGAAACCACCGAAAAGAACATCGTGTGTGTCCCAGGAATGATATAAACAATCCCCGTCCCTCGCAGCGCATCCCCATTATCCTTCCCCTTCACAACCCGGTACTCCTTCTCCAGATCCTCCTCCAAATTCAACGAGAGATAGTGCGTCCGTACTTCTTTCAAGGCGAGACAGATCTCCGCCTGAACCTCCTCCGCGGCATTTCCAGTATCACTCTGCAGTGCACTCCTGATCTGGTCGATATGCTGCACGAGGGCGGTTTGCAGCCGGTGGAACTGGGACTGCCTGTAACGGACGTTTTGTGCGCGTCCATCAATTTCGGCAGCAACAAGCCGCGCAAATGGCTGTGGAGAGACCATCTTCTCGTTCTGTATAGTTGTTTCTCTAGCAAGGAGTAGACGAGCTGAAGAGGAGCCTAGGGTCTAGGTATAAACGCTATGTGGGCGCCCGTTGCTCGGGTAAGCTTCATTTCCCTCCAGAAAGCTTCCCCGCCCGTCTTCCGAGATCATGCAAGGAGGGAATTAATTCCTCCCAGATTGCTGGAGATTGCCATGTGTGGCCAGCTCGGGATGTGGAGGAGGAATCGTCTCCCCGAATGCCGCAAGGAGTCTCGACTGGATGGTCTAAGACCAGCCTCTTTCTTCTGAACGCCATCTCCTCTCGACCTCCGACTCATATCTATAGCATATTGAGGACTAGTCAGAATGTCGCGAACAGAAACCACAAACACCACCACTCTCTCCGTCCTCGCCGACTACGAACTCCACCACAGCGGCAGCGAGCCTTCTCCCAACACCAGCCAGAACACCACATCCCCATCTCCCACTCAACAACAACCCGCAAACTGGCCCACTAATCATCGTCGTGTTCCGCCTTATCGTCCCGCGAATCGCAGCCTTAGCTTCGAGGAGCGCGCGGCGGGGTCCAACCTGCCAGAGTTCATCTTCATTCAGTCGATGTTACATGGGTGCTGGTTGAATGCGGTATGTCCTCTTACAGTGTAAAGATGTCATGAGAGTTGTGCTAATGGAATATAAAGTCTGTTGCTCGGCTATGGAGATTCACTGGAGGAAGGATTAATGATCGGATATTCCACTATGAGATTGGAGGAGAATACTAGCTAGCACAGGCCATATAGCACTGCTTTTAGTACAGAGTAGTGTTTCAATCATACAATACCCATCACAGTATCTTATACAATATCGATATCCATTCCAACATCTAAATACACCTCTGTTATTTCCCTCTATAGACCAATCCACCAAAATCAAGAACTAGCCCTAACCCCCATATCCCCCAACTCCTCTCCCAGCTTAACACCCCCAACCTCAACACCCTCCGCCGGGGTAAGCACATACAGCATCCTCGCCCAGCTATTCCCAGGCGTCACATTCCTCCACGCATGGTTCGTCCCGCGCTGAACCGCCACATCCCCCCTCTTCAACAACCTCGTCTCCCCCGAATCCAGCACCAGCTCCACCTCCCCCTCCAAGACAACACCATAATCCAAGCTAACGGTGCGATGCATCGGGCTTAACGCTCCGGGCCGCATATCAACAATACGGCACACCGAGCCGCTGGAGATAACCAGGCCCGGCGAGTTCCCGGGCTCCAGGTAGCGCGCGTACTCGGGGATATCGTTATCGTTTGCCAGGCGGGCGGGGAAATGCGAGGAGGTATATGCGAGGGAAAAGTGCGCGCTATCTGGGATTGGCTGCACCGGCATGGTTTCCGAGAGGGCTTTTGAGAAGATCGCCTGTCCGGTTTCGTTGTGGGTTGTTATGTACCGGGAGAGGGGGCGGATGTTTTTTGGGGTGTTGTCGGTGTTGGTGGTAGACATTTTGACTGTTTTGTTGTTTGGTGTTTCGTTGGATTTCGAAGAATGGGCTTGTATTGTGCTTGCGTGCAGGCTGGTTAAGGCTGTTCGGTGGTTGTTATATCTAGCAAGCTCGTACTGTTCGGGTCCACATCGGGAGCGGAGACGGCGCATTGGAGATGAGATGGAGATGGAGATTTACACTGAACTACCGAGGTGGGCGTCTAATATTCAGTTTAATTGCAATCTACTAGGCCTTTCTGTCTATTTCCATGCTTATCAGGGCTGCTCACTGCGGCGGAATAATCGGCAGTGTAACATAGTTATCACCATGGCCAAAGTTGATGTGATTCTGGCCCTGGAATTTCTCCGAAGACCTAATAGCAGTGTTTGTCAGTCTGGCTTCTTCCGTGATCTAGAGAATGTCTCGGGAAACTTACCTATCAGTAGGCGAATTGTGAAGGAAAATCCCACTACCCTGCGTATCCCCCGAAGAAACCTCCAGAATAATCTTACCCCCCTTCTCAACAACAACATTGGTCGGCCACACCTCCACGTCAACAGGATACACCTCTCCCGGGATGACGGGTAGCACATCCGTCGAGTAATAGTCTCGATGCGGGAGGTAAGGTCTGTGCCGCGCATGCTGGTCGTTCACTTTGCGCAGGCTTACTCGCAGCCAACCCTTGCACAGCGGAACCGGGTCACCGGCTGTGCCGGTGTAGAAGACCTCTTTGCCCTCCGGGGAGATGTACCGGAGCGTCAAGAAGAGGTCTATGTCAGAGGGCGTGGGGGCGCCAGGGTATGGGCTCATAGAAACGTTCAGGTGGGCTACAATATGGCCAGTGATCTCAGTTTCCGTCTCAAACACGGGCGTGGTGAACTGGATCAGCGATGGATTTTCCAACGTGCCCAGCGCGGGATAGCTGAGTTTGGTGTACCGTTCCTTCGGCGGGGTCGGGACCAGTTCCTTTTGAGATGTGAGGTAATACCGCGTGTACTGGGTGCGAGCGATTGGCCATTCGGTCTCCTGGCGACGAGGGTATGTTTTCTCTGCTTCGGCGTTGTTGAATCCTACATCTCCTTTGCGGAGGACGAGGTCGACTGCTGGTGCTGTGCCTGTGGACCAGCCTGCGCGGTCCTCGCCCTTCAGGAAGGCATCCAGGAAGCTACGTTGGAGTTCGACTTCTTCTTTGTAGTAGAAGGGCAGATCGTGACGGCCGGTGATGAAACGCAGGTATTTGAGTTCGCTGCCTGCCTGCGTGTAACCTTCCACATTACCTCGCAGATGCAAGAGAATGCCACCCCAGTTGGCTACGGACAGAAGAGGGACCTGTTCTCTCGTCAGCACAGCTCTAGTAAATTAGGATAGCTGGTCTTGTTCACCTGTATGTCAGACATGGTGTACTCCTTGCTCGCGTAGTAGAGATCATCCCTGAAATTATTCGCCGCGTTGTCAATCGTTTGATCCTGGCGATTCGCAACCAGCTCCTCCTCCGGCAAATCGCCCTCGATTGTATCGACGCCCCAGTTGCGAGCTGATCGCCCAGGCCGCCCATACTGGTTACTCACAACCTGTCGGTCCCACCAGAACTTGATGAACGCATTCGACAAGATCCCTCCATGTCGACACCGGTCACGGTAGTAATCCGACATCCCCTCCCAGGGAATCATACACGCCAGGCCCTTTGGCTGCCTAGCACCAACACGCCACTGGCTCCCAGCGTAGTAGCTAATCCCAAGGAGACCAACCTTCCCGGATGACCATGGTTGCTCCGCGGCCCATTCCACAACGTCGAAAAACGCCTCGCTGGTTTCGCGCGACATAGTGTCGAGCTTTCCGCGGGACTGGCCTGTGCCGCGCTCGTCTGCCCGTACAACAGCATATCCATGATTTGTCCAGAAAGCAGGATCCGGTGTTTCCCAAGCGGAGTGTGTTGAGTGGTGTTCCGGGTTAACTTCGCTGAATGACTTTGGATGGAAGTCTGCGTAGGGAATATCCTTGCCATAAGGCCCATACGTTACCAGGACAGGGGACTTCTCGCTCCCCTTTGGTCGGTATACATTGCATCTGACAAGGCCAGACTTGTCCTTCAGGGTAATTGTTACATTCTGCTCGAAAATGTAGGCGAACGAAGTCTCGTCCCGGGAGGTGATGTCTTCGCGCACTGGGTTCGGCATGTTGAGCTTGGCGGTAGAGCAATTAAACACTCAAATCTTTGTTGAGTTAATCAGGAGATCCGATTATAAGTTTTAAGGCAAGTGGGAAAAATATCTGGGTTATCGGCCATCCCCTCACCGCGTGTGTCGCGCCATACAAACACTCCCGACGTGGAGCCGATTCGGGCCACCCGATGTTTCTCCTCATCCCCCCGAGGCCATCGTCTCAATCGGAAGACCGGCAATGATGGATGCTTTAACAGGCGAGTGTTGGTATTCTTAATTCTCAAGATGGACTAAAATTCTGTAGGCCTTTTTGTTTCTAGCATCTTGAGCGGTACAGCAACAGTCCATCCGTCTACACAAAATGGGCAGTACGAATCCAGAAGGCCAGGGCCTTCGCATCCTTATTGCCGGTGCTGGTATTGGCGGTCTATCAGCGGCAATTGCTCTGAGGCAGCAAGGACATAGCGTCGAGGTAGGCCCATTCATTCTCGTTCTTGATAATCGTAATGACAAGGAACAGCTCTTTGAGCGCTCTCGGTTCGCCAACGAGATCGGAGCGGCAATCCACATAACGCCCAACGCAAATGCTGCTTTGTTGAAACTCGGAATCGATGCCACGACTCTTGGTGCAGTTGAATCTAAGAAGGTCCGTATTGCACTTGCTGGTTGGTAGGAAACGTACTCATCTGAATAGATGCGCGTCTTCCCCCCAAATGGTCCGGAGATCTTCTGCCTGGATATCGAGAAAACTGCGGGCTTCTGGCGACAGGTATATCTTGCCTTACAACCTACCTTTCATTAACGCACACACTAACCTCTCTAGCGCTGGCTTCTCGTGCACCGAGCCCATCTCCATGAGGGTTTGAAGGCCGCTGCTCAGGCTCCAGGGCCTGGCACTCCTGCTCGACTGCATACCTCTAGCAGGGTCGTCGACATCGATCCTCACAGTGCTAATATCACCCTTGAAAATGGCGAGGTCGTAAATGGGGACCTCGTCCTAGGTGCAGATGGAATACACTCCGCGGCGAAATCAAAGCTACCTGGTGGGGAGAATATTAAGACATTCACCTCAGGCAAGAACGCTTTCCGTTTCCTCATCGCGCGCAAAGAAGTCCTAGACGACCCCGATACGAAGGACCTGGTACAGGAGCTCGGTACATGGTACATGTTCGATAGCGCCGAACGCCGCGTCGTCATATATCCCTGCGCCAACCATGAGCTGCTCAACTTTGTATGCATCCATCCCGACTCCATGTCCAAGATCAACGACGGTTCGGAGTGGGATCAGGGTGCGAGCAAAGAATCTCTGCTTGATGTATACAAAGACTTCAGTCCCCAGGTTCGGAAACTTTTGTCAAAAGCCGATCCTACTACTTTGAAGGTATGGCCTTTGCTTGATACCGACGACCTTCCCACCTGGGTTGAAGACCGGCTTGCTGTTCTAGGAGATGCCGCGCATCCATTCCTGCCGTACCGTGCGTCGGGTGGTGCTATGGCAATCGAAGACGCCATTTCGCTAGGCGTAATGCTTCCGCAAGGCGTTCGCCAGGAAGATATCCCCGAGCGACTTAAGCTGTATGAGAAAGCTCGCCGCACCCGCGCAACAACCGTCCAGCAATTGACCCGAAAGAGCTCCCATGGGCCTCTTCCACCAGCCGAGGGTATGATACCACATACCTTGCAGCAACTCAGCTAACATGTTTCCAGAAAAAGCAATGACCGATTACATTTACGGCCATGACGAGCACGACCATTCCACCCAGATCCTCCGAAAACACCTCTGGAGCAAAGGACCACAAAAGTACTGGCGCCAGCCCATCGTGTTTGGACCCATGCCTGGTCCACGGCAGGATTTCGAAGGACTCAGCCGTCTGGATCGATCACACAAGTCCACCTTCCAGACTACTTCAATCCGATTCAAGACAAGTCGAACGCTCCTTCAAAACCTCCTCCCGAACGACTCATATTCTTTCGGTACGCCGAGCACAGTCGCCACCGCAACTTTCTCGCAGACGCTTCTCCACGGCATGGACTGGCTGGGAGGCGGGGGCTACCGCCATCTCGGCCTGTACATCGATGGGGTGCAGTATAAAAAGACCAACGGCGAGACCGTGACGGGAACCTACCTACCCATTCTCTTCGAGAGCCTCGCAGACCCAATAGTGAGCGGACGCGAAGAGCTCGGGATGCCCAAGCTATATTCCGCCCTAGATGCGAGCGAGCGTAGAGGGTCATATTACCTGCAGGCTAGCTGGCAGGGCGCAGTTTGGGGCCGGTTCCGCTGGGAAGGCCTAGAAGACGAGGATCCCAATGCGAATGCTGGGCCAGGGGATAGTGGTGTTAATGGTGGCTTGCTGCTTCACCGCTATATTCCTCAGGTTGGTGCGGACTGCAAGGGACAACCAGAGGTGGAATATCCTGTGCTTGTGCCGAATGCGGACGAGTCTAAAGTACTTGTCTCCAAGGTAACTCGGGTCCGAAAAGCAAGCAAAGCTTCTTTGGAGATTGACGGTCTAGACTGGAAAGCCCTTCCAACATTGCACCATATTATCGAGCGTTTGGCGGAAATACCTGTTGATGAGGTTTTGTCTGCAAAGATTGTTGAGGGTGAAGGGGTGCCTGATGTGTCGTCGGCGAGGCGCATAGAGTAGATTCGTTCAAAATAAATTCGTAAATGTTCCTGGTGTCAGTCCGAGGCTCTTAATAGTATATACATTTTTGATAACTTTGTAGGCAGCCAAGCTGCAAAACGTTAGTGAGGAGCTGCGGGTGGGTAGGAATATGGAGTAGTGATATTAGAAACGATTCCTGTCGGTTGGCGCCTTCACTTTTACAACAGTCACGATGGCCAGTACCTAACGCAGAGGGAGAAAAGCAACGCAACATCCATCAAGTCATTTCCTCGGAGCAGTTTGGACCAATAGAAGTTCCGGATGCGCTATATTGCTTTTTCGTTTAGCACTGATGCCTCCGTCCCCTGGGAGGCTGACGGTTCGTGGACACAACACGCTGTCATGTCGCGCCCAAAATTCCCAACCCTTTGATTCCTCTTGGTTCATATTCAGTTCCTCATTCCCCGATCCGATGAGGGGAAACAGTTGACGATACGCCGCCCAAAAGAACCTCCCGAAACGACCAGCTTCAAGGCTGTCAGTAAGCAACGTGGGCCTGTCAAGACTTCAAACTCCAGACCAAACAACATCCAACCCAGCCAACCCCTGCCCGCTCCGATAAACCATCCTCAGGTCACCATAACAACCAAGCATGACGCGCGCGGACACCCCTCCAGCCACAACCGAAGAGGGTCTGGTCAAGCACCTTGAGTATAAATGAATACAGGGGAAAGTGTGATGAGAAGAAGGCCAAAGATGACAGCGCGCAAACATGGGTCTATACTAAACCTGCTACAGTGACTCCTAATAACCCTTTTACCAGTCGCTGGCTCCCGGAAACCGTTCAACGGCGGACGCATGCCGACCTACAAACCGCAGCTCCTTCTCAATGTACGTACATAATGACTTCGGGGGACATGATGCACTCTCGGTTATACAAAATCACATTCTTGGCTTTCTCAAAACCAAAACCGGAAAGGAATGCTGGGCTGCATGTGGTGGTATCAAACTCACCAGATCGGCGCCAATATCGGGTCCTCCACTCCGTAGGTCCATCGAACTCTCCCCCCTCAATCATATTGCAGCAGTTGCTAATTAGGGTCAGCGAAGGCTGCTTTAGACGCCGTCCCAGGCACCAAGGGTCTTCCGAGAACACGCTCCTCAATATGCTGGTTCAGTAAGCGCAGTTACCGCGAGAAAAGACCCACTCAGCAGAGAGAGATCGACGCTGTCAAGGAAGACACACTTCTGCAGATGGATTATGAGTCGAGGACCTATCGGGTCCATTATCTCACTTGGCCCACGTTTATTAGTAGGTCCTAGCAAGGAGCGCACATGCAGATCGTCCTGTCCAGGCCGCTGCGAGTGCTAGGCAGGATGGAAATCCCCCAGTTCGTTATTCCGTTATTGAGATTCGCCCTAAATGGCCGGCTAGGTAGTCTAGATTCCAACAGGCCATTGCCTTGGCACTAGCTGAGTGAAGTTAGGAAAATATATCCGTCGAGGAAGACAGGCAAGGCATTCGCCCAGGTCGTCGGAGATCCGAGCATGGACTTGTAAAGTTCGACGGAGTGCTTTGTCCTCTACTTGGAGCCTCCTCAAGGTCCTAAAACCCCCTCCAGGTTATGATGCTAGCATATGCATGTGCACCTCAACGGCTATTACTTCATGCAGAACACCAAAACGAGTAATCACTTCTATTGACCCTGAGGTTTAGTGTGCCTCCTCCATCGAAGCCCCTCTTTTAGCTGATTTGGTTGGAGGTTAGCACCACCCCGGTATCTAGAAATGGAACTTCAATGGGATGTCCTCCATAATCAAGGCTGGATTATCAGCGCTATTTTGTATGCGACACCCAAAAGTACGGTTGTTGCTGGCTGATGCTGCGCAGTTGTGCGTGGTGGGTGCCTAAACATATATATACACGAAAGTTTTTGTCAAAGGTTATAGTGATAAATCAGATATCTCTTTCAAAGAAAGTATAAGGTTGCACGTTTTTAATATACTTTACCAAAAACCAATATTGCCATGCTTTAAGCTTGTCGAAGGCTCGGAAATAGTCCGGGCGTGCCTGGCCAGCAATATTGCCTCTTGTATAGATGACGCATGATAATGGCTGCCTGAGCGGTGACTTTTCTCTCCTCCGCCCGCTGCACCGCATTAGGAACCGCAACTTCCACTCTTACTCACCCCATCGCGTTTCAGATACCCTGCTCACTTCTCTTTGTTTCTAACCCTCCTCAGTCTTACTCTCATCCCTTCTTTATCATCCGTCTTCTGTTCTGTTCCTCCTATCTTGGACCCTTCCAACCCCCTCCTCACCTTCGGCTTGTGACCCAGCAACTCCCTCCCTCCCATCATTGTACCATATCAGACTGCTATCAGCCTCATTCGGTCTCCTACGTTTCTCCGGCCTCACTCTCTAGTCGCTTCATTTATCTCGTGTACAATAGATAACCGTGCAAACGACCCCGACCGTCTCATTCCTTAGCTCTCACTCGCATCATTTCGCCTCCGCCTTCCCCGCACCGCAGGAGCCAACATGTAAGTTCGTAATATGGAAATACAACCTGCACAGACGGGCTACGGCTAACGGACATTTTATATATAGGCGTATTACAGTGAACGTGATAAGGCCGGACCAGGCCGAGCTCGATCTCATCCCGTTGGTGGTCGGTCCTGATATGACAATCGAGCTCCTAAAAAGCATCGTGCAGAGCGAAACTTCCATCCCGCCCTCATCCCAAAGACTTGTATACAATAACCAGCTACTCGGCGACGATTCCAAGACCCTGGAACAGCTCGGTATCGGGGAGGGAGACATGCTGGGGGTTCACGTCACGCTACGTAGTCCGACAACCCAGGCGCCACCTCCCCAGCAACTTCAGCGACGACAGCAGCAAATGAACCCTGATCCCGAGATGATCCGATTACACATACTAGGCGATGACCGTGTGCGCGATGCCGTGCGACAGCGAAATCCCGAGCTGGCAGATGTTTCTGATGACCCTCAACGATTCCGGGAAGTCCTGCTCAACCAGCAGCGGCAGGAATCCCAAAAAGAAGCGGAGAAGGAGGCTCGGATTGCGATGCTAAATGCTGATCCGTTCAATCCGGACAATCAGAAGGAAATCGAGGAGATTATCCGGCAAAATGCGGTGACGGAGAACTTGCATAATGCGATGGAACATCATCCTGAATGTAGGTTGAAGAGTGACCGCCCTGCATGAGTTTGAGCACAGACCGCTAATTTGTGTCACAGCATTTGGCCGCGTGACGATGTTGTATATTCCCGTTGAGGTCAATGGTCATAAAGTCAACGCGTTCGTCGATTCCGGCGCGCAAGTCACCATTATGTCGCCGGACTGCGCGACCGCATGCAATATAATGCGCTTGGTAGATTCACGCTATGGAGGTATCGCGAAGGGTGTCGGAACAGCGAACATCCTCGGGCGAGTACATTCGGCTCAGATAAAAATTGGCGATATGTTCCTCCCCTGCTCTTTCACCGTCATGGAAGGAAAACACATCGACCTCCTCCTCGGACTTGACATGCTAAGACGACACCAGGCCTGCATTGATCTAAGGAGAGGAGCGCTCGTAATCCAGGATCAAGCCGTCCCGTTCCTTGGAGAGGCAGAGATCCCCAAACACCTCTTGGAAGAGTTCGAGGATGAGCCCACCATCAAGGGAGCCGACGGCGCCGAGATCGGTGCTCGAACAGGGGCAGTGACGCATCAAGCCGGTAACCAAGGATCTAGCACCAGCACCAGCGGTGCAGGTTCCAGCTCGGCCCCAACGGCGTCCTCGTCGTCCCGCCCAACCCCCGTACAGAGACCGTCGTCCCGCTGGCCCGAAGCCTCCATCGCGAAGATCACAGAACTTGGGTTCACCCGCGAGGAGGCCACGCGAGCACTGGAGGCAGCTAACGGTGACCTAGACGGGGCCATTGGATTCCTGATATGATCCGTGACTTATTCCACTCAAGTCTCGCCCAATGTTTCAGGGATCAGCGCCGAGTTACCAGAGAAATGACGTATTTGGGCGATACTTATTCAAATGCGATCCGTGACAGCGTGACTGCGGTGCAGTCACCGCCAAACGCCAGTACCTTTGGATCAGACATTCGTCGTTAGAGAATAATGTAGGCCCTAGGTTACGGTGTACTCTACACAGGATAAGTAAACGAGACATCGTCGGATAGTTACTTTGATTTCCCCGGTTTGGCTAGGATTGTCACCCCGGGGTTAGCGGTGTCACTTCCAATGAATGCTTAAGGTAGTAATCATCATGTATTATCCGTTTGCGATTCCTCTTTCTGGTAAAGTTTCTTCCGGAGTAGACATTACGTAGTAAACGACCTTTGCGTGGTGACATGGTGGTGGGCAACGAGAAGAGAAATGAAGGGTATTAACATAGTGATTGCTATACAGCAACACGATCTATCAATATGTTCAGTGTACAAACACCTTTTACGCTCCCTGCTTATACTTCGCCGGCTTATGTCCAGGTTTTTCAATAAGGAACCCAAACATTTACTCCCGCTTTGGCTTGTTTAGGAGCCCAGTTCGAAGCCGCCAGAACATATCCAATGTCATAAATGCGCCTAGAGTAGAAATGGAAATTAGCTCAAGTCTCGAAACAGCAGTGGGGGCCGTACCAAGGGCGACATATGGGCCGTAAAGCGTTGTGAGGTTTTGCTTTTCAGCAACGGTGCGGTCCTCCCATGCCCAGACCTCGCAAAGACAGGTCCAGGATGTGAGGAACGACTGGAACCCGAAAACGAGCAAGTGGACGGGAACCAAAGGATCATCTGCCAAAAACGTTAACCGTCGAGTTAATTGTGATCCACCGGGGAAAACGTTTTATGGAAACGCGAGGCTGAAACCGCGGCACTCGAATTCAAGGCTAAGAGCCTAGGTCCCAAGCGCCTCATAGTTCCTCGCTGGGGGCTCGGGAGGGGGTTGTCCGTGAGGGAATTAGGTGGGTCGTACCTCGCAAGAGGGCGCCGAGAGCCCAGATACTCAGTGGGACATGGTACAATATTTCCATCCATGTATAGGAGGTGAACCATGCTGGAACAGGGCCCTCAAAAAACTTGTCCCTGTATGTGGCGATGTAGAAATCGCGTAATTGGCGCGAGAGGGCGTTGTCAAGCAGGCCTGGGAGGACAGGGACAGCATCAACCACTATCGAGAAAAAGATGTCATACCACCCGGCGTCAGTCAATCCGTACGTAGACTACATCGTCTGCAGCTTGCTGCACCTCAATGGGACTGCCACAAGCTGGGTCAATCAGCTACCTATGCCACATGCCGTTCTCGGCAGCGAGGAACGGGCTGTGACCTGTGAACTTGTTGATGCGTGGAGACCGGAGGAAGCAATGCGGATACCTTGGCTAAACGATGGACAACTCACAGAAGATGATGGGGATGTGGATTGCAAAAAAGCCGAAGTAGGCTAGGTCGCGTTTCCGGCTCCAGAGGGAAGGCATGGCTGATTGACAGGCTGGAGACACGCTCGAAATTCGAACAGAGCAGCGATATGCAAAAAGTTGGAGATAAGTGGGAAAACAACAAAACCAGCGAAACCCGGATCACGGGTGCCGGGACGGAAGGCGCGTGGTCATGTGACGGGCTTTGGAAAAAGCAATGCTCGCCTTGTCTGCTCAAGAGAGAGGCAAGCCTAGAGCTCAGGAACCGCCGAAAGGCCCGCCGTTCACCAGACCCAGGCCGGTGGAAGCCCGGGCAGCGATAAGGCAGGCTTGGGCCATAGGCCCATAATTGCTTTTTCGAACGCACGCGTCCGGCCTCCCTAAACATAGCTTATCCTTAGCTGCGTGGATCGAACGGAATGTACGCAATCTGTTCGCTGCGGTAGGTAAAGTTTAGTGTGCGGCCTAACATTGAGAACCTTCACTTTGCTTTTTCGCCCGCCCTCGGGTTTGTAGTATATTCTGACATTGGATTTCCGTCATAGGAGCTGTCCTCACCCAGCCTCAGCGACCGAATCTATGAAATCTATGACCTAAGGCGAACTATTCGAGACACGATCGGCCTC